TTTAACCTAGAGTAATAGGTTAGAGATAGAGAATCCTACCTTTAGTAAGGTTATATCTGTATACCGTATACGACGAAGTCTACTAGAGCGTTTAGGAAAGGAAAGGGCTAGAAAGCTAGCTATATTAACGCTAGATAGCTAACCGGAGGTAATACCTAAGTAAGGAAATACTAAGGGTTAGTAAGATACTAAAAATTATTAGAAAGACAAGAAAAGGACCCCCTATATATACGGAAGAAACCATCCCTAGAGATTCTGCTATTATATCATCGAAAGTATTAGGCTAGACTACTAGAAGCTACGAGCCGAGACGGAAGAACTAGTCGCGAAGGCTATTAAGAAGCTTAGCAAATTCGACCAAGAGAAGATCGCGAAGATCAAAGAGGATAGAGGCACTACCTAGGCTACTACCTAGCTAGCAGTGACCGAAGAGAAATAGGGATCGATTAGGAGAGTAGCTATATATATAGCTAACGTATCCCGTTAGATTAACCGAATAGCTAAGAGATATCCCCTTAAGGACTCTTAGATACTAGACTTAGGAGCGAACGTCTACATATATAATTACCGAGGGAGCTTTAAAAGCCTCACCGAGGAAGAATTCACTATTAAAACCAGTAACAGCGACTCTATTATTAAGGGTAGAGGAATAGCTATCCTCCGGTTAACAGACCCAAAGACAGGTAAGAAGCGAGAGGTAGTAGTAGAAGCGCTATACGCACCTAATTTCTATACGAATCTACTGTCCCTCGGCCGTATTAGTAAGAAAGGCTTCAAATTCTATAGTAGAATCCCCGCTATTATTAAGAACAAAGAGCCTATTAGAGCGTTAGAAAAGAGGTATAACCTCTACATCGTAGGAAACACCTAAGATAGACAGAAACTACCTAAGAGTACTCCCCTAGCGATAGTAACGGGTTACCCTAGGCATAGCCAAAAAACCCCTTATATCCGTCGCTACACCGAAGCGATAGTATTAACGACTCGCCTATATATATAATCAACAGATCGAGAGGCTCTCGGAGATAGTCGATAGTATCGAGATTAAGGGAGACACTATAGATAATACAGAGTATAATCCTAAGAGATATAAGGTCTGTCAGCGTAATATAGCTAAGAGATAGATATCTAGGAGACCTATAGCAAGAGAGTATATCTTTAGAAGATATAGAAGGATTTATTTCGACCTTATTTAGCTTACTACGGCCTATAACGGCCACTGCTAGATAACTTATATATATATTAAGGGTATCCGGCTGTATACGATAGTTTCTCACGAAAGAAAGAACGGCTGTTAATCGGCGATTATACACTTTATCGCCGTACTAGAGATATAGCTAAAAATAATAATCCGGGTGTTTAAAAGCGACTATAAGAGAGCGTCCGGAAAGACAGTAGACGATTTCTATCTAGATAGAGGTATAATCATCGAATATAGCGTTATTAGAACGCCGGAAACGAACAGCCACGGTAAACGATCTAGGAGGGTAATTATCGGAGTAGCTAGAGGGCTTCTTATAGAATTAGGCCTACCTAGAAACCTCTAGCTAGAAGTAGTTATAGTAGCGGTTTATATCATTAATAGATCGCCCACTAGGCTACCTAACGGCGAATAGATCATTCTAAACGTTAAAGCGATGTACTAAGACCAGAATCGGCCAAAATTCCGCCTAAACCTATCGAACCTCCGTATATACGGTTATAGAGCGTACGTACGCCGCTAGGGCGTCCCGAGGACAGCTAAGATAGAAGATCGTGCAGAGATCGGCTATCTCGTCGGTTATATAGCTTCTAATATATAGCGAATCTAGTTTCCGTACAGGGGAGCTATTAGGGAAGCGCGCGACGTAGTATTTAATAAGAATATTAAATTTAATCCCCGAGAGCTTTAGGTTAGACTATCCGACGATATCATCGACACCTTACCTTAGAATATTAGCCTTAATAAAGAGGAAGATAGTTAGCTAAATATATATAGTGAAGGGCTCGTAGAAGAAGCAACAGTCGTAGAATAAGACGCCTTACTAATATAAGATATCCCTTAGCCGAGTGCGTTAACCGAAGAGACGATAGAAACTTAGAAGGACGGTTAGAAGGATAGATAGGTAGTCTATTAGATACTATCCCCTATACCGTCGGTAACGTAGGAAGCGTCGCAGCCAGTAGAGATCTCTATATCTCTAATACTAGATACACCGCTAGAGGCAAGCCCGCTAGGGGCATTTCTAACTGAATTTCGTTAAGAGACCCCTAATAAATAGCTTTAGGATAAGCTCTAAGAATATATAATACTAAGAGCGCCTAGAGATATCGACGGGACAGTCTTATAGACTAATATTATTACGGGTACGTACCAGAGAAGGGCTCCGTAGGGTTATAGCTATCTCGTAATGATATAGGACCCTAATAAAAATCACGACGGAGTATTAGCCGTATATATAACTAGCTTGAACCCTCCCTAGCCGTATCAACGGCTATACTAGGACGACTTACCTCCTATACCTATAAATTAGCTAGAGATAATAAAACACCTATACCGTAATATATTTATCGCCGCAGCATCGCTGGAAGTTAAAACGCTAGACAGAAAAGAGACATACTAAGAGATCGACCGCCTAACAGACCGAGGCATCTAGATCTTACTATTAAAATAGGTCTTTACGTATAAATTCGACAGTAATAGATTCCTAGTAAAGTATAAGGCCAGAATCTACGTACGTAGAGACCTCTAAGCCGTTAGTAGTAACGAAAAATACTTAGTAACGTTAGCAGTACGGACAGCGAGGTCCGTCTTCGTACTAGTAGCTGTATTCGACCTAGATACCTATTAGCACGACGCCGTCAACGCATTTCTAAATAGCCTACTAGATAAAGAGATCTATATAGAACTACCTCCTAGACTATTCCCTTAGGGGAAGAAGAAGAGAGTCTAGAGGCTTATAAAGGCCCTATATAGCCTACGGAAGTCTCCTAGGCTATAGTAGCGTAAGGCCTCTCGGGTGCTTACCTCCCTAGGTCTCCGCGTCGTCTAGGAAGATCTTTATCTCTTCGTCGGTAACGGAATTATTATATTCTTCTATATCGACGATATTATTACTATTAACTACCCTATAAAATAGATAGCCGCAGATAACCTACGGAAGAAGCTCTATAAGGTATAGGAACTAAGGGAAATAGGTAAAGCGTAGTAGTTCTTAGGGATACGCATCCTTAGAGATCGCCGACAGAAGGCGCTTTAGCTATATCAAGATTCCTATATCTCTTTAATAGCTAACCGATATTATCTTACCGAGAGCCGTAGGTACGATACCCCCCCTCCCCGAGATAACGATAAAGCTATATAACGGTATAGCTATACTAGAGTAGATTTATTAATACTAACAGAAGGTTAGGTCTACCTAATATACTACTATAATTAGTCGACCAGATATAGCTAAAGCTACTAGAGGTCTAGCTCAGTTTCTAACGAACCCTAGGCCTAAATACCTCTACGCTATCGATCGAGTTATCTCCTACCTCTACTAGACGAAATCTAGGGCTATTATATACCGTACACCCTCGCATCCGTCCGAACTACACAGAGAGATAGCGGAGGTATAGATCTTTAGTAATACATCCTTCGCTGATAACTATAACCGGAAGAGCTCGGAGGGATATATCTGTATAATATATAGTAGACCGGTTAATTAGAAGGCTTCTAAACAGACGACCGTTACTACTAGTACTACCGAAGCTGAATTATTAGCGATCTCATCGGTAGGGAGATCGCTATATATGTAGACTCGCTTATTTAAAGCGATTAATTACCTACCAAGTTAACCCGTCGCCTTAAGATACGATAACTAGTAGACTGTCGGTCTATTAACTAAGGAAACACCTTAACTACGCACTAAGCTTTGTTACGTCGATATCTACTACTACTAGCTTCGTTAGGAAGTTTAGGCCGGTAGAATACTAGTGTAGTAGGTGCTAACGGGCGATATAGTGGCCGATAGGCTTACTAAGCTGCTGCCTAGGCAAAAATACACTGAATTCGTTCGTTTAATGGGTCTAGAGGATATTGAACGGCTATTAGAAGCTTCGCACACCTAGGTGAGATAGGCTACGCGTAGATTGGGCGAAATTGGCCGCTTGCTGAGGGGGTGTGTCGAAATATGTAGAGTGGTAACTTACCACTAAGAACGGGCTTATTCATTAAGCGCCCAGGTTTCTTATGTTTTTGTATGTAATACTGGCTTACAGAGAAACTCAGGCTTTGTAACAGCCGAGTATCGGCCGCACGGACAGAAATACGTCCGTACAGCCAGGGGATAGCTATTCAACAGGCAATCCCCCTGATCTTCTATCATCATCAATCTGATCAATTATCTCTCGTCCCATTGGACATCTTTCATACTAGCCCATACAGAATCAGCCCATTCTGTCAGTATATACTGTACTGTAATGTAATGTAATATGGAAGCACAGACGGGTGAACATTGGCGAATCGGCGGCCCCAAACCCTGTATTAATTACGAGGATCAGTACCGCGCTCTCATTCGGGCGAGGTGAATATATAACTACTAGTAGAGAATTATGCTTTAGGATTATCAAATAAATGCATAAGTACTATAATTACTAGGCTACAGAGCTAATAGGAGATAAGTAGAATATTATCTCCTAGTAAGATAATTAAAACTACTAGATTTTGTCTTAGTTGCCAAGATATTCAAGATATATTGTGACCACTCCACATCTACAGTAATTCCTGCACGTATAGCGGTGTTATCATCTCATTTCAACATTATACTGTATAGTATCAAGTAAGGCAATATAAAGCTTGCAAAAAGCGTTCCAAAAATGAATTCATCCATGCTAAATCTACTAAATAAGCTAGTCTCTGAAAAAAAAGAACTATTATCATAATCATCATCATCATCAAAAAAACGCGCCACAGAATACAACGGCTCATTATACCACAAGGTCGTCCATTTATCATATCCTCCTCTATCCCGTCACGTCTAAACAGCAATCGCCGGCGCCAGATTGCTGGCCAACGAGTCTTGCAAAGTATTCGCGTCCACGTAGGCATCTACTCCCGTGCGGAACGCGATATTGTCCTGAGCTCCAGTCACAGTCACAGGCTTCGAAACCTGTTGCTGCGCGGGCCAGATTTGATGGCCCGCAGCCTCCTCCTTGTCGAAATGTTGTGTGACGACCTCGCGGACGGTGCTCTGGAAGTGCAGTGGGCCCTTCTCCATCTCCGGGTGCAACAGGCCGTTCACGAAGACGCCGGCATTGAGGTTCTTCTGTGTGTGAATGCACAGGTACTTGTCCTCCGACATGATGCGCTTGTACATATCGCTGATGAGAGTGAAATCCTCGTCAGTGGCATCCTTGTGGCGGTAGACCTCGTAGCGCATGACGGACTTGGTCGGGCTGATGGGGGTGAAGCGCTGCATGAAGAAGAAGTTTGGCCTGGGGACTTGTTAGCGGATGATTCCTGTTTGAGTTGGGGGATTGTAGGGGCCGGGGTTTACGCACGAGATGTTGCAGGAGGCGTTGGGCCAGAAGTAGGTCGTGGCTATCCGGAAGCCCTTGTCGATCTGGTCCTGGCGCTGGGCGCCGTAGTGCTGGATGTGGCCGTCCTTGGTCTTGACGTAGTAGGAGTGCAAGTCGGCAATGGTGGGGATATCGGGATGTGCGACCCCACAGTGGTAGCACTCATTGTAGTTGTCGGCCAAGATCTTCCAGTTGAAGTCGCCCTCCATGTCCCAGGTGTGGTCGAAGGAGTAGTCCTCGAAGTTGTAGTGGTCGAACCGGGGTTGCTCGTCCACCCCGTCGAAGTCATCCTTCCAGGCCACCTCGGGCGTCTCGTTGGCATCCAGGTTGACCCAGATGAAGCTGTTGCGGTCAATGTGCACATGGACCGGGGTAAGATCTTGGTCGTGCAGGTACGCCTTGATGTGTCCTTGGTCGTCATTGGAGACGATAAACTGGTAGCCGGCGGCGTCGTACTGGACCCAGTCCCCGGCGTTGGGGATGCGGTGCTTGTGTGTAGTAAGGAGCCATTTGCGAGAGAAGATGGCGCGTCGCTCCAACTCGTACATTTCTTGGGAAGTATACCAAGAAGAGGGGAGGGCGCGAACAGGAGTCTTCTGTTCGGGTTTGACCTCCACGGCGGTGGTGGTGGTACCGAACCAATTCCTCAGGAAGGACATTGTGAATACAAAGAGAGCAACAATATGTCTTGGTAATTAGAACTAAGAGAGATAACCAACTTAAGAGTCTGTCTCGCTGAGGGTTGCTTTATGGGGATGCTATTGATTACACTTGGATCCGGAGATGCCGGCTTGTTTATGAAGTTATCGCGACCGTCTCGACGCCACGGTCCACGGAGCTCCAGCACCATCTCCCGTCCATGGGAACGGTAGATAAACCTCCTCGTCCGATGTGAATGACACGCTGGGAAGCTCATCGCCATCAGGTGGCCAACTCTAACGGGCGATATACATCGGGACCGGTCACCTGATCGGTTGGGTCCTCCCGCGGATCCGGATGGCTTCAAGCTTATCGACCTCGCCCTGCCGATAGTTGCCAGAAAAGCCCGGGGCCTAGCCGGGGCGTCGCTGTGGTAAGGCAGTCGACCAATAGCATCATCTGCCCAGATCCATATGGGATCCAGAACACTGATATGCCTGATGCCTCCCAGACCGTTCTGCCGCTTGGGCTTCTGGGTCCGGATGCCCTGATAGGCGACAAGGGCACCAGGTGATGCAGACCCGAGCCGCTCCCAGAACCGACGGTGGAGCCGGCAATCGCGTCCGATATTTTGCTCCTCCATCTGCTTCCCCAGCTCCATCCGCTTCCCCAGCTCCATCCGCTTCCCCATCTCCATCCGCTTCCCCATCTCCATCCGCTTCCCCAGCTCTCGTTTCTCGTCCTAGCGCCAGGCTTACTGGAACCGCACCGATATGCTTCGCTACGAGAGTGGCTGCCAGGCTTCGTATTGCGAGATGGTGTAGTCTGCTGGAACAGATACGCGATTTCGTTCAAAGTGTACTAATCAGTGTGTACTAATGGAGTATATGGGTTGAATTGACTAAAATCGTGGAGATAGAACATGGAGGACGGCTGTACCACGGCACAGACAAGCTCCAGTGAGCTGAGAGACGAGTTAAACCATGGAAGCCACTCCGATTTGCCCCTATCTACCCCTAATTGTATACGTCATACGTTAATTTTGCAATGTTATCTGTCTCGGATCGTCGCATAATCAGAAACAATAGCTTTGGAGGTCAACCACTGGATTAGTCCTTCCATTGGAAAGGAAACTAAAAACGTGTGATGTCCAAGGCCCACCCAGGATCCTTCGGCTTCACGGTAGCTTATACGCTTCGTCAAATTCCTTTCACTAGGCAGAATAACAAGTGCCGGGATGTTTGGAGGACCCACCTTAACTGCATGCTCCCAATTGCCATAGACCAGGGTCCCAGAGCCCATCAGAACCACGTCGGATACCCCGGTCGATCCAGGCAAGCATACTTTCCTGTTGCCAGCGGAGAATGTCGATTGTCGCCCGTAGGACCGGTAGAGGGCCCAAGGAGTCAGGATCACGAGGGGACATCGTCCCTCACGGCTTACGGTGTATGCGGCAACTGCTTCTCGCTGATGATCTTGGGAACTATAAATGGAGGCACGTGGTCATCTTTCCCCTTTAGCTGGTCACTGGCAACGCCCTCTAGCCAGTCACTCAGCACCCCAGCGGTTTTATAGAGAAAGTTTGCTAGTGGACAGAAAAACTGAAACCTGAATATTTCCAGTCCAGCCAGGATGACTTCCATGATTTACCGATGATTCATTCACAACTAATTGGAGTACTTCGTATATGGACAGAATTCTCATTAGATCCCAATTTAACTCCCGTCGCGCGTGCAGTGCAGCTCACTATCTGGTAGAAAAGTCGTACTTGCATCTGCTGTGTGATAGATATGAGCAGGAAATAATTCCCACTGGATACCTCTGGAGGGGTATGGGTTCACGACGTGTATTGATAGGGTACCATGTCCCAGCATAATGTCACATAGAAAAAGGTAAAATGGTGGATATCATCTAGAAATGGGAAGAAACATAGTCACATGCCACATAGAACCATGAGAGGGTTGCTCGTTAATAAAGTTTCCCTAAGAACGAACTTCGTGTAGAAACCCGCCGGAATTCATCCACCGCCGGACTAACGGGATTCATCCTACCACTCCCATCCTCCACCTCCATCTGTTCAAGCCCCTGGTACCCCGTAGACCTAGCTTCGACGTGCGGGCTTACGCCGTCCTTCTTTGCGCGGATGTAATAGTGCGCATCAGGCTCGTCCATGCCGATATACCACCTCTCTTTCATCTGCCGGCCAATTGGACCACCTCCACAAGCGCCCCGCAGCTGCGAGGACTGAGGACTGTTCACTGCAATCGCGAAGAGATTCTGCGGCTCGGTGAAGTCGGTGATTTGGTGGCCGCGGGCTTCAAAGACCACGAAGCCCAGACATATGAAAGAGGTTAGGAAGGCGAAGACGAGGACCACGTAGAAGACACCCTGCCAGCGCTCGGTGCCACCGGAGGCGTAGCCTGAGGCTTGCAGAGTGGCGGCAAAATGCTGATAGACGGGCTCGGGGAGGATATCGTCGGGCTCGGTGTAGTTGAAGCCTTGGACGAAGGGTGCGTTTTGCGAAGAGAGGATGAGCGTGCTACCGGACATCACGGCGAGGGCTTCGCCCACGGAGGGGAGGGACGGGTCTAGAGAATAGGATTTCAAGTCGGGATTGTAGGCGGGCATCATCTGCATAAGCAGGCGCTCGTTACTCGCTTGCGCATTGGTAATGCCCGAGCCCAGGCTGAGTGAGTTGGCCCACCCGGTGGCCACATTCTTCCAGTCTGCTTCCCAGGCGCCCTCGATGAAATTCTTTTCCTTGCGGTTGTATTGGAGGGCGTTAGTGGCGTTTTCGCAATTGGAGCTGAGGAAAGCGCCGCTGGACGCAGCGTCGTAGCGCGTCGAGCAAACGCCAGTTTGTTTAGCGCGAATAGAGCACATCACGTACTCCGGATGTGCGACACTTGGTTTGCCGAGGAGGTAGATTGAGTTCGCTGGCCAGAGACCTGTCGTGTTCAGGATTGTGTTATTGGATTCCGGGTAGGTGCCAAAGATAGGGGGCCGCTGGCCATATTTTTTGCCAAATCCGAAGATGTCGTCAACGACGGTTCGATTGAGCCAGGATGGGACTCGGGGAATGTCGGTCGGGGGTGTAGCGCTCCATATTGCGGCGTTGAAGTGTACATTTGGCCAGGTGGAGTAGACCAGGGGTGATAGTTCGGACTTGTTCATGCCCACACAGAGGACGTTGACAGCGGGCGAAGGTACTGAGGCTTCAATACTATACTTGCCCTCGCCGGACGCATCTTGCGGTTGGCGAATATCATTTTTCTCATCCAAAGCTGCGATTGGGATACTGCCATGCGGCATAGCCATAGTAATGTTGTTGACCATACGACCATGCCTTTTAGAAAGGTCCGTCAAATTTTGGACCTCGATCCAGCTGCCTGTGATTGTAGTATTATCCCACATGGAGCCAGTGGGTCTTGGTCGGGTCTGGAGCTGGTCGGACGTGTCATTTCCGTCACTTATGAAATTGGCCCATGCTGTGATCCATTGCTGATAGTTATGGTAGGCCTGGCCTACGTGCACCATCTGAAGACAAGTGTCGTTCCGGGCGAGGGGGTCCATTTGTTGCGGGATTGGGCTTTGGCAGTTTAATGAAAGGAAATCGACGTTGCCAAAACTGGTGTAAACCTTACCAGAGAGACTTGTGTCCTCTTTTGGACCCATTGAGAGCTTTGGTGATACTATGATATGAAGTTAGAACTCCACTCCTTTTATTTCTGCCATGAATCTTACTCAGGGCTTCCGCCGCTGTGGTGTACAGCATCGCGACAAAAGTGGCAACCAATGCGATAGCACCCAGAAAGGTGAGTGCTGAGTACCGCAGTGTCTCCCAGTGGACAATCATTGACCCAGGCTGCATGATCCAAGCTCTCATGTTCATATCCGAAATGCTGATCCCCCGGGAGTCCTTCGTCAGAGCACGCCGACTCAGCACTTGGCCCAGGAATGCAACGCATATTGTGACATAGGCTAGTTCAATGGTTTTCGCAAAGAAGGCACATAGCAAGCTGGCCGTTGAAGGAGCCAATGATCCGTCGCTGCTGACATTGTTCCATCTTGGCTTTCGAATCGCAATGGCGAGATATACGCCGGAAAAAACCGTCGCATAGAACGCGAGGACGAAAATCGTTACTGGAACCCACGAGAAGCGTTTTTGAAGAACTGTCACTCGACTTGGGCAATTCCCAGGAGAGGGATGTGAGCGTGAAATCGCCGGTGTCCCCTGAGGCGTTTTCAAGAAGCCCGGCGTGGTCGCAGTTGTCTGGCTGAACTGGCTCCCGGCGCTGGAGATCGAATCGCGCTTGCCTTGGGCAGGCAGCGTTTCACCGGAGGGGTTGATGATGCCCAACCCTACTTCTCGAAACACTGCCTCCGAGAAGCTCTCATGTGCGGATGCCGGGAGAAAGGAGTATTCGGCGTCGGTTGAGGTGCGACTATCAAGCGGATTCCACGAGCGGTGCCGCTTTGCACTGACCAGGTCCTCCTCCGAAGGCAGAAGCGAGTGTTGCGACTCCCGCGACTCAGCCATGGTGGGCGCGATGGGAGACGGGGATGCCGAGGAGAGCACGAGGAGGGAGAAGCTGCAAGTTGCCCAAGGGTGTTAACAGGGCCTGGAGCGCTGCCATGCTGCCCGTCTAGCGCGGAAAGTCAAAAACAGGCTAAACGCAAACCACAGCGTGCGCTCCACTCACGCGGCTGAAGGCTATCTCAACTCATTTCCCAAGTATCGGGGGGTTGGGTGGGTGGGGAGATGGTGAGTTTGGCCCAATCTCATACCGCTGCGATGGCTGCAGCTAAAGCTTAGCTGCTGGGTGGCAGGGTCCGCTCACCGCGATCGGCCTTTTCTAAGCAACTTCATTTGCCTCTTCAGGATTTTATGGAGCAACCGAGATCCACTTCCCGCAGAGGGCCTTGTGGCTCAGGGTAGACAAGCCCTCTTGTTTGAGTTCGTGATTAAAAGATTGGAACTGGGCCCCAAATTTCAATATCCCGTCAAGAGGGTGCTGCTGGACGTGCTACAAGCCACCAGATCCCACGCTCGTTCAGGAGGACGAACAACCAGACCTATGCGGTATCAGTGATGTTCCAACGAAGGGGATGGCCCCCACCCTACATGGAAAGGCTAGACAGGGGTCCGTGGTCTCTAATCTGAAGGAATCGGCCTAGTGCTTACCCTCCCAGTTAATCGAAATTCAGCCGAATAAAGACCTTCGGAGTGCCCGAAATCTCTGCATCATTCTCGACGCTTGTGTCAACTGTATACAAAATCAGAACTACTTGTCATGTCGCTCGTGCTGTGAAAAGGTGACCACTGAACTATTTACCGAGGGCGCTGGATAGACTTTTTCACGTCATGCGTCTTGCTGTGCAATCTAATGAATGCCGTAACGCCGAGAAAATGCATGCGAGGTTGTTAGTCCATGCGACGCTCTGGGAGATAGCAGAGGATAGGAAAAACTAATCCCAGGCTAAACAAGGACATCACTAGCTCCAAGTCCGCAAGGGGGAGACCAAATACTCGCTATAGTAAGTAGCTCACCAGGAACAGCCCGAACTCCCCGTAGATAACTGTCTCTTACACTCAACCAAATTAGCTCTGACAGAGAAAACGCAAATCGGCTGTCACTCATGACATGATGGATGACCTATGAACCATCTTCCGATTAATATAAATAGCACGCCAGGGTGTGAAGCGACACTGGCCTCAATTGATCGCGGGTAGCCGTTAAGTCTGCGCTTAAGGTAAGTTTTGAATGCCATCCGACGGGCTGCGGAAACCCCAGTAACACCCATCATCATTCCCAGCTGCTGGGAGAGGCAATAGGCTGTTATTGCGGTGGCTGTCATCTGGTCGGGGATGGAGGCAGATATTCCGATAACTGACGCAGAAAAGAATCCCAGCGCCTACTAGCAAACGACAAATTCAAATTTTCGGAGCGGCACTGACATTTTTCGGAATGCCAAACTTTGAGATATCCTCGTCGGTCTTTCCATCGATTGCAAGCTCCGCCAGCACACGACCAAAAACGGGCGCAAATTTGAAAGCATGGGCGGCGCCCAGCCCAACAATAATATCCTTATTCTGCTCCAATGGACTAATAATAAAGCGTCGGTCGGGTGGTATAGTATACTGGCAGGTAATGGTACGTAGCGGCTGGCGACCGCAGTCAGGCATGAACTTTTGAAGGCACTCTGACAATTCCCTTTGCAGTCGCGGTGAATGTACGTAGGTCCTTTCCTCGGGCGACATGAAGTTATTCGCGCAATCATGGCCCGCCTTGATTGTTGGTTCGCCGTAGCAAGGAAAGCCATAGTAGCTTTGCGGGCCGCCCCAGATCCAAACGGGGAAGCGGGGGTTTTCGAGCTCGGCTGGTTCGGTGGGCTTGAAATAGGTGATTTGTTCTTGCATTACCCGTAGGGGAATCTGTGTCCCTAGCGGTTCAAGGAGCCTGTTTGTCCATGCATCAGTTGTGAGGATTAGCTTGCGGACGTGAAAGGTTCCTTTTGGTGTGGCGATCAAGACTTCTCCGCCAGCTTTGGGTATAATACGCTCCACCAGCGTCTGGTCTTTTAGGACAGCGCCCTTGAATCGCGCCAAGTATTGCATCGCTGCTACCGTTTTGTTGGCGTGAACAATTCCAGTGGCAGGGTCATAGACAGTTTGCACCGTATCGGGGATATCGAACTGAGGCCACCTTTGCATCACCTCTTTACTACTCAAAATCTCGTGCGGAACGTCATTTGCAGCCAAGCTTCTTGTGTAGTTGCTGGATGGAATCGGGGCGTCCTTGGGCAGGGAAAAAAGGCCAACAGTGGTTGTCAACAACTTCTGGCCGGTAAGTTCCTCCAGCTCTGCCCAATCTTTATAGGCAGACTTGACAAGGGCGACATATTCAGGCTCCGAATTAGATTTGCGAACGATGCGAGATGTGTCGTGGGACGCTCCACGGACGCGTCCGAACTCGAACTGCTCTAATCCGAGAACCTTGGCGCCTTTCAGCGCCGCCTGGTACGCTGCAGCACTTCCATGGACGCCAAGTCCGAACGACTGCGATATCAAAACTTTCCATCTTTTCGTGACAGTCAGAGTATGTGATTGTGATTCAAACAAGTCTGCATGGGACAATGGTCGATTTAAAGCTGCGTTGCACTGATAGCTTAATGCCAGGCGGTGCGGTGTTTGGCCCGCTCACGTGGCCTGGTGGATATCGCAGAAATACTGAGGTTGTGTAAAGGTTCGTTTCCAGGTGGGCTCTGTTGGACACAGTAGCTAAAGACAGACGTCAGGTCCCGCAGCCTTCCGTATCCACCAGGAGTATATCCACCAGGCCCACAACTCTATCTGCAGCCCGCTTCTATACATCATCTTCTCCCAATACAGTCCCTTGACCTCCCACCCTTCGAGCGCGGAAATTGATCGATTTTCGCATATCAAATTTGCCTATGGAAGCATTCGATATTGCCTTCAATTTTCAGTGCTTTACGGGCATTGGGAATTCTTGCCCCCCGGCACACGTGAGCGGAGCTTGGTTATGCCCTGGGCCGGTCTCCCCATGTGTGACTATGCTGATTGCACAAGCGAGATCACAAAGCGAATCAACATGCATCATACCTATATTCAAACATGGAACGTAGTCATCTTCGAAGGATGCATCTAGCCCGCTTTAGCACAGCCAGAAAATGGCCTTATTATTTCTCAGGAAAATCACGTGCCTTATGTCTAAGAATGCTGGTATAACACAATCAGTCAAACCGTCGGCCTGTTGACGTATACCTTGTAAGCTAGATAAGTGGGGCTATCTGAATATTTGAGGACCGTCTAGGATCTACGATGCCCTGTTAATAAATGGGGCTACTGTGCTACCTTACCAGTCTACGTGGAGGATTGAGGACGAGGAGTCCAAGTCAGTCCTCGTCATTTAAATATCAACCGAAATCAGAAAACCAAAAAGAAAAAAAAATACAACGTCCGCTATGCCACAGCCCAAGAACAAGCCGTCCGTCATGGCTGTGGGAGCGGTGTTGCTGTAGTTCCTGTTGGTAGTGATGGTGGTTACTATGATTCTGGTGTCTGTCAACGTGGTGACTTTCACTCTATAGTTCTACAGTTGTTTCTATATCGGTTTTCGGGGAGCAGGAAGCGCGCATGTTAATCAAACGGAAGGAGCTACCTCCCCCACTTGTTCTAACGGAAAATCAGTGCTCGCCAGTGAAAGATATCTAAAGAGACATGCACAATGCGAGGTTCACAGAGGTTTAGACACAGGCGAACGCATCATGTGAGAGATACATGGTGTATTGTTATTCCGCGTTGGCTAGAGAATGGAAATTCCATTCATAGACATACGGGTGACTCCCCTGGATAATCTCATCGAACCGGCGACTGGTGCGAGTGTAGTTTTGTCCAAAGCGACCGAGTTCTTTTAGCCGAATCGACACCCAGTCCTGGTATATCTGATCAGATGTTGCGATCCCAGCTAAAAATAATGGCCAAACGATGCGGACCATGAGATGAGGTCGACTACGATGGAGCTTCAGGCTCTGTTCAAGAATGAGCGATACTGCGGCGGGAAGGGTCATAAGGGTATTGTGAGCTTGAGTGCCCGGATGTTTGTTGAGAATATCTTGGAAGCATAGGTGAAAGTAGACGATGGTGCTGTAGAATGTGATGGCAGCCCAGTGAATAGTCTCTAAGACACGGCGGCCCTCGTTGACATCGCAGGATTGGGCGGTTTTGACGGTAGCGAGAACGGTATCAAATTCCTACTGCGGGTTAGATGTGCCACCCACAAGCATGACCAATGATTGGATCGTTTTCCTGCGCGATCACTCACCAGGGCGATTGTGTTGATTTCATCGATAATATGTTGGTAGGGAGACTTCCCACCAGAAGGCACTTCCGTAGGCATGCCTTGTTTGAACAGTTCAGTGATTTGAAACTGAACGACATGGTTTCGATGGTACAGGGTCAATCCGGGAAGGTTCTCCATGTCATCCATCTGGGCAGACATGGGGTATGTTCCACCCCAGTACCGAGCAGGTGATTGCCTGCTAATTCGATAGAGTTCTGGCAAACTCAACGGGATCGTGTCAGCGGCGTTAGTGCCGAGGAAAAGCTGATAAATATCAGTATCCAGTCGCCCCGTGGGTGGGCCAAAAAATAATGCTGCTGGGGTAAAGAAGTACAACGTCCAAAGTAGAAAGAGAGGAACCGATGTACAACCGAGTCCGTCCAGAGAATTTGACTGCGACCCAAGTGCGTTTGAACCGGCCATAGCATCGTATTCACCCGCGGTTGGGGGCGAAGCATCCTCCTGTGCGCGATTGGGAGGGCTTTCATTATCTGACGTGAGGGCAATAGAGAACGCTTCCGGCGGTCCTCGAGGATGATGTTCGTGGGCTCGAAGCAATGGGACAACATGATCGTGAAGGAGGCTCTCGATACCCCGAATATGGATGTTGATTGCAGCAGCTCCGCTCCCAAACCGATTCTCATAGTCAATCATAAGCCATAAAGTTATGAAAATTGCCTCAATCTTTTGTGGTGACTTGACACCAATTTTAAGAGCGTGGCGCAGTCTTGATAATGCTCGGCCATAATGCGTCCGCCCGTCAAGTTCGCAAGACTCATTGTTAGAACGGGTACTGGAATTTAAACTGCTAACCGCGAAGGATTCTTGGTCATAGAGCCGCAATCGATGAATCTCTCTTGCAGTACTGGCCAACATCATGCTCATCACCATCGGCTCATCAATAGCGATTCGGTGATACGCATAGGAAACAGTGGACCATGGCCAGTGCTTCCCGAGGATTGTTACTAGCGTCGAATTTTGAAGATAACTGAGACAATCCCGGTCAAAGGCCGACAAGGTCAAGGAGTTGGAGGCCTGTAGGCTTTGGCCCCGGTTCCCACTGCCAATTCTATGGGAGGGCAGCAACGACGCTTGGCAGGGGTTGGCAGTTTGTTGACCTGGAAGTCGCGGTCGAACCGGCTGGGTGGTTTGGCTAGCATCACAAGTCGCTAACGTCCCCTGGGCATTTTTCGGATATGACGATGATACAGAAGTCGATTTGCGTGGTATTGGTCCGCCTTTCCACTCGCACTTGATGCGTGCTACCCTGCATCGTGTGCACTGAGGCTCCTCCTGGCCCTGGACCGGATGCTTCTCCTCGTCGCATTTCACCTTACGGATGCGACATGTACGGCACCCTGAACAAGCCAATCAGCCTCACCATTCACACCGGGCTAATTGAAAGATATGCGGCGCGTGAATCCTTACCAGTCTTGGAACGAGTCTTGCCCTGCTTATGCATCTTCTAGGTGCCAACCGTGACAGCCGCCTAAACCCCATCTGGTGCTATTGGGTCATCACCGGCCTATTCAGGGTGCTAGGGCGCAGATAGATTCTGGGTATTTAGGTTATGAGAACCTAAGCGGACCTATCGCGAAGGGGAGGAAGACAAGTGGAATTGCAAAGAGATGTGGAGGGGGAAGTGGAGGCCCGGGGAAGAACCGCGCCTTATCTGCCGAGTGGAGGCATGGAGACTTCACAACCCGCGACGATAAGAGCCCTGCCGACGCCCACCAGCCGATTGGCTACGTCGGCAACACTTCGCTAACCATATCGAGAAATGCGAAGCGTTGCCGAGAGGAACTAGAACATGAGCGGGGAACGACGAACTGCAAGTTAGGTACACAATCTACAGAACGCATCGAAATTGCGAATTCCGGTCGGCTCGGGGTTATAAAATTACTCTGCATCCCGATCGTTCCCTCTGTCACCCCCTATCAGGTCAAAGAAGTCGATCATATTACGCAAAATGCATGTTCCTGAATCGCAGCGACCGTTCCTAGAAAGTGTACAGGAAGCACTTCGCCGCTATGATGCGCAGTTGAAGGATATCAACCATAAGGTATGCGTCTAACCATCGAGAGACATAATCGCGTCCTCATAGTTAAACCCTGTTTAGATTTGGTCCAACCCCGAGCTCGCCTATAAAGAATATCAGGCGCACGATCATATCTGTGAGCTCTTTAGCAGCTTCAAATCAAGCAGCTATCAGGTTCGCCCAAGGGCTTATGGCTTGGAGACTGCGCTCGAGGTCGAGTACACCCACGGAAGTGGTGGGCGCGTCGTCGTGTTTAACGCGGAGTATGATGCTCTTCCGGGCATAGGCCATGCTTGTGGTCACAACTTGATCGCTACCAGCTCTATCGCGGCTTTCATTGCCACGTGCGAGGCAATGAAGGCGCAGGCGCAGTCTTCTGGAGTTCCTGGATTCACAGTCCGCCTCCTGGGTACTCCCGCGGAAGAATCTGGCGGCGGGAAGGTCAAGCTAATCGACGCGGGGGCCTACAAAAATGTAGATGCATGTCTGATGGTGCATCCTGTTCCCATGGTCCCCAGTAGTCCGGAATTGCTGAGCATGGCGACCGTCGTTCAAGGGGGGTTCCTCGCCAATGATAAAGTCACCATTACGTTCACTGGAAAGCCGGCCCACGCCGCTGCAGCTCCTTGGGAAGGTATCAATGCCCTTGATGCGGTGGTTTCTGCGTATGTGAATGTCTCTCTCCTCCGTCAACAGATTCTACCCTCTCAGAAGATTCACGGTGTCATCGTACATGGAGGCGATCGGCCTAACATAATACCCATGTCTGCGACTGTGGATTATTATATTCGTTCTCCGACCAAACAGTCGTTGAAAACCCTGACAGAGAGGGTGGTTAAGTGCTTCGAGGCCGCTGCCACTGCTACTGGGTGTAAAGTGGAGTTTGACTGGTTTGTCCTCACATCCTCATTGGCACTTTCATTTTCGCGAGGGACTGATAGGAATCTTTCAGGGGTATTTCTTATGATGATCTTAAAAGTAATATACCGATCTGCGAGAGCTATGTCTCAGCAATGCGGGCAATGGGCCACCATACGTTGCTTGATAACTCTCAACAGAAAGGCGCGCTTGCAGGAGCGTCTACTGATATGGGTTTGTTTAGAAACTTTCATACATACCATTTGGGAATCTCCGCTAACGGCTTATCAGGCAACGTATCGTATGTTGTGCCTGGATTCCACGGCATTTTCTGTATCCCAGCAGAGGGTGTGAATCACACTCCCCAATTCACAAGCGGGGCTGGTTCACCCGAAGGATTCGAAAGGGCTATCGCTTGTGCCGCTGGTATGGCTGTCGTCGGTTGCCAGATGTTGGTGGATGACCAGTTTGCCGAGGCAGTGAAGAATGATTTCCAGCATGAATGATAGGGATACGTAATGTAGCTGTTCATTCACCAGTTAAAAAAAATCAATCAACATGATAGCCAGTCCCCTTGTCCGAACTGTAATAGTCCCTTCTACAAGATATTCTCGCAGCTTTTATAAGATGGAGCCTCCTGAAGTGCGCTGACTCTAGTAGTGCTATCTAGGAAAATCAACTTGATCCTACTTAGCTTCCCATCAAATTTGTTCACGCGCGTAGGCCAAACATCCGAATATCTCTATCTGCATGGCCGCCATGGCTTTAAACCCGCCAAGCCATAACTAGTCTTGCCGATCCACCCAATGGTGATGCGCCCGGGGATGACCTGTCGTAAGCATGTACCCTTATCAAAATAATTGACTTTGCGGGGGTAGCTCTATCTTGGCGCTCCACGATTGTCGCTTCGACCCGCGAGAGTCCAGTCATGAAATGCGGGCTTGGGTATAAATGGGGCTGTGGAACTCCAAAGAACACCTTTTCCACCTGGTATGCAATGATCTCTCCATCATCTCCCGAGATCATGACAACCACACTTGAGAGAAAAGACATGGAATTGGCAGACAAAGAGATGGACAAGCAAAGTATCGATAATGGGGCTCTTAAGCAGCTCCAGTCCTCATCATTCCAGTTCTCAGCCAGTGCAGAAAGAAGGCTTGTACGGAAGATTGATTTCACGTTCGTCACAATTTCCACGGATTTCCCATATTCCGCTAGGGCTAACATCCACTTCTGAAGGATTCTTCCGATCATGCTGGTGGCTTATATGATGGCATTCCTGGATAAACAGACAGTGAATTATACAGCATTGATGGGCATCCGAGAGGACCTTCAACTGGTTGGCTCGCAGTATAGCTGGGTATCTGGAATTTTTTATTTTGGATATCTCTCCTTCTCGTGAGACAGTCTGTACCTTCTCTGTGCTGCGATAATTTTCTGACCTCTCACGTTGTAAACAGTTACCCTGCCTCACTGCTGATGGTCAAGTTTCCTCTCGGAAAATATCTTGCTCTTAACTTGTGGGTTCTCTTCTACAAGTGACATTGATGTTTTCTCACATAATCGCAGTCTCGTGTGGGCAATAATCCTTGCGTGCCATGCGGCCACAACCAACTTTGCCACTCTTATGGTAACTCGCTTCCTTCTTGGGTGTAGCGAGGCAAGCTTGGCGCCAGGTTTCACGTTAATCACTTCTCTCTGGTATCGAACCTCCGAACAGCCTCTACGTGCTGGAATCTGGTTTTGCGGAAATTCCATTTCGCTTATCTTCGGCAACCTGATTGCCGTTGGTATCTTGCAGATCGAAAGCCACCTCAGGGCCTGGCAGGTGCGATTATAAGAGCCCATCGCAAGGCAGGAACCTACTTACCTATATATGTAGTGGCTGTTTATCATTTTCGGACTTGTCACGTTTCTTTGGGGCGTGGTTATGCTCTTCCGTCTCCCCGATTCGCCAACCACTGCCAAATTTCTGACCGAGGAAGAGAGGCAGATTGCAATTGAACGTCTGAAGGCAAATCAGACCGGTTACAAGAATACCCATATTGATCGTGGCCAAACAGTAGAGGCTTTCATGGACATCAAGACATGGCTTCTTGGAGTCTTGATTCTGGCTTTCAATATTCCAAATGGGGGCTTCACTACTGTGAGAATCCCCGCACCGAAATATACAAATATATATTATACGTCAAGATGCTCATCCAACACAGTTCAACGGCTTGGTACTGAAGGGGTTCGGTTACGACACGTTCCATACACTGCTTCTTGGTATCCCCGGAGGTGTGATCGTGTTTATATTTGTGCTACTTGGGTCGGTTGCATGCCTCCATCTCCATAAGCGAGTATTGCTAATCAAAGTTTCAGGGGTGTGGTGTCGTCCAAAGTACCAAATAGTCGCTGCCTAGTCATAGTCGGAATGACGATCATAAGTATTCTAGGGAGTGCTCTCGTGTATGCCGGAACTTCCATTGCTGCTCGCTACGCCGGGCTGCTTCTGATGGGGATCTACTCTGCTGCCATGCCGGTGTCACTGGCGATGATCAGTTCCAATGTGGGTGGCTTCACCAAAAAAGCCACTGTCAGCGCTATCTATTTTATCATGTATTGCACGGGCAATATTATCGGACCACAGCTGTTCTTCACACGCGAGGCACCCAAATATCAGGTACGCATATGCTGACACCTACCTGGAGAATCTAATCTTCCTTCTCTTCAGACTTCATTACTAACAAAACTATATAGAGTGGCTTCTTAGCTATCATAATTTGTCTCGTCATCTGCGTTGTTGATGGCCTTGCCTTGTTGTTCTATCTGCGATGGGAGAATACCCGGAGAGACAAGACTGCCGTTGTTGCCGAGCCTTCTGACTCGCAGGAGAAACACGGAGAAGTAACACCACAGGAATTGGTGGATACGACAGATCTCAAGAATCCGAAGTTCCGGTATGTGTATTAAGTGCAGAATGAGGGGACAGCGTCAACCTAAGCCGCATCAAGAGTTTACAATAATTTGTGCTCCGTTGATTTTCATATGCTCATCAGTCTCATTTACTCGGCGGCGATCAGTAATCGTAATCCTAGGGGAAAATACGTATTCAAATTTGACTACCTAAATGAGTTACCTGGTATATTCCAAATATATTACTCTACACATCTTTCATGATGGCCTTCCAGCCCCTTTCCAGGAGAATTTCTTACAAGGACCTGTTTTGACAACTTCGGTATCCATTCTGCATATTCCATTGCCGAACCCTTCATATATTTGTGATTTTCTACACCCACACCTTCGTGAGGCCTCAATAAACACTGCAAGCACATGGAAGGTAATAGGCGATATCTAAAGATACATCACCAACGATTTCCATTACACTGAAGTTCATGCCCTCAAGGCTTGGGTGAATATCCGGGGGCCAAAAGCTGACGAAGACGACTATCATGATCCAAAAGCGCGTATAGGCGACCACCAGAATACACAGGATATCTAACGTACAGAACAGACCCAGGCGAGAGGTGCAGCCGACACGTTGGTAATCATCTCGTCATGTTCAATTTTTGCCCCGGCGATAGGCCTCAATGGAGAGGATTCAGAAGTTTCCCTGGTAATAGAATTCAGCAATGAGGTTCAATGAGCCTAGGCTCAGCACTAGCTTTTCACCTAGGCATCTAAACTAACGATCGTGCTCGTCCCTAATAGAAGGGTCATCCTGTACTTCTCACGTAAGACCAACTACCGTACAGGTACACAGAACTAAAACCGCTGATATCTCGCAGTAAACCCCCGAGATCCTTGCATATCAAGACACGCCGATTGCCTCCACTACGCTGCAAGTAATCCGGAAGGACCTTGATTATATTGATATGCATTGATGGCCTGAAAAGCTGCAGCGGCACCACGAACATTGGCCTGGCACTCGACGCCCAGCCCATGCAAGGTATCAGCGGCTATGCATTCCAACCCCACCCCCTCCTCTCAACTCCCTAATTCCTACGTATTCAATCACAAATAGCCTCACAGGCTACACACGTATCATAATGCCTCCTACGGCCCCAACAATAATCCTTCTTGGAACATGCGATACCAAGCTGGGCGAGCTGCTATACACAAAGGCGCAGATCCAAAGACATTCGCCCTGCCACGCCTACATAATGGATATCGGCCACAACCCAGTCTCGCATCCTGACATCATGTTTTCACAAGAAATCTACATCTCCCATTCCGCGTCTCTACCCGGCCCAACAGTGGAAATCAAGGACCTCGATCGAACAGAATACATTGACGCTCTGGCACCGTACGCCAGCGCCATGGTCTCAACCTTGTACTCAGAAAACAAAATCCATGGTGTTCTGGGATTAGGCGGGTCCTGCGGTACAGCACTCGCTGCCAGGATCATGCGTGATGCACTACCAGTCGGATTCCCGAAATTAATTGTGTCAACCATGGCGTCTGGGGACGTGAGCCCGTATATCGGCGAGACCGATATCACGATGATGTATAGTGTCGTGGATATTGCGGGGCGCAACCGCTTGCTGGAGCGGGTCTTAATGAATGCGGCGGGCGCCATTGCGGGGATGGCTAAGGGCTGCTTTGAGGATCAGGCGTCAACATCGACATCGACGGCTGCTGCGCCAACGAAGGAGGATGGGCCTCGCATTGGAATCACCATGTTCGGGGTGACGACGCCTGCGGCGACGAAGGCGCGCGAACACCTCGAAGCGATCCTGCCTAGTTGTGAGGTGTACATTTTCCATGCTACGGGGTCCGGCGGACGGGCCATGGAACGATTGATATCCGAAGGACAGCTCGATGCCGTTCTCGACCTGACGACCACGGAAATCGCAGACGAGGTCGTCGGGGGGGTCCTCAGTGCGGGCCCGACGAGGTTATGCGCCGCGACCAGACGGAATATTCCTCGAGTCGTGAGCGTGGGTGCGTGCGATATGGTCAATTTTGGGACTGCCGATTCCATCCCTGCGGCTTTTGCAAGTGCTACTGGGCAACATGAGAGACTGTTTCATCAGCATAATCCGACGGTGACGTTGATGCGCACTAAGGAGGAGGAGTGCATTCGAATCGCGAGGCTGATTGCGGAGAATCTGCTTGGTGGGAATGCGGCGGGAGAACGGGATGCTACTAGTCGCACCAGAGTCATACTGCCTACTGGTGGTGTGAGCCTGCTGGACACCCCAGAGCAGCCATTCTGGGGCCCGGCAGCGGATGAGGCGCTCTTTTTCACGTTGGAGGATAGGTTGCGGGGCAGTGGGATATCCGTCACTCGCGATAGTCACGATATCAACGATCCTCGATTTGCGATTGCTGCCGCTGATATGCTCATTCATCTAATCAATGGGCACTGAGGGGGAAAGGACGTGTTTATAGTGCAGCTGTGAATACTCCGATTACAAATATGCTCAATGTCCATACCTACGTAAAGGTCTCGCATGTTGCGGAGCAAATCTGGCGCTCGCCATCATTATATTGTTGAAAGACTGTGCGGCTACACATAAGCACCCGGCCTGATCCCTCCACAGCGACGAAGTTGAAAACCGTCGCCGGAAAGAACCAGGCCAGGACCAGCACAGGAATAAGGTATCATTTGGTAGTGAATAGAATCGAAAAAGGAAAATTCCCATCCGTACGCAGTGTTGAATGCAAGACCAATCCCAGGTCAACCCACGCCAGTTAAACAAAAACACGACACACACCCTCCACACACCCCCGTGTGGAGACCACTTTTATGCCGTTGAAGGACAACCACTTTTGAGTTCGAAGTTGATGAAGAACCCGAAATGCCAATCGTAACATCGTCGAATCATGTTGAAAGTCTATTTCTCAAGAAAGCTCATGGAATATTGGACGCAATTGGAGAGAAGGTGAGTGGTTTAGTAACGGTAGCTGGTGGTGGGATTAGTCAAATGAATCATACCATATGGGGGAGAAAGGGGGAGCGGGGAGGGCGGATGCTTACATTTCGCTCTTGTAGGGACCGTTAACGTCGAGGCTGAGGTACTCGGCCTGAACGGGGGTCAGAGTGGTCAACTTGGCGTTGACGTGGTCCAAGTGGCAGCGAGCGACCTGCTCATCGAGCTGCTTGGGCAGAACGTAGACACCGACGGGCTTCTTACCGGCGGCACCGAACTCAATGTACTTCTGGCCGAAGACAGCGTCCTCAGCCTTGAAGAGGGCGATCTGAGCCAGGACCTGGTTGGAGAAGGAGCAGGACATGACGAAGGAGGAGTGGCCAGTAGCGCAGCCAAGGTTGACCAGACGGCCCTCAGCGAGCAGGATGATGTGCTTGCCGTTCAGGAGGTAGCGGTCGACCTGGGGCTTGATGTTCTGCACGGACTGGGCGTTGGCCTTGAGCCAGGCAACGTCGATCTCAATGTCGAAGTGACCAATGTTGCAGACGATGGCATCGTTGCGCATGGCCTCGAAGTGGCGGCCAACCAGGATGTCACGGCAGCCAGTGGTGGTAACGAAGATCTGACCAACGGAAGCAGCCTCCTCCATGGTGTTGACCTCGTAGCCCTGGACGGCGGCCTGGAGGGCGTTGATGGGGTCGACCTCAGTGACAATGACGCGAGCACCCATGGAGTGCAGAGCCTGGGCGCAGCCCTTGCCGACATCACCGTAACCGGCGACAACAGCGATCTTACCAGCGATCATGACATCGGTGGCACGCTTGATGCCGTCGATGAGGGACTCACGGCAGCCGTACAGGTTGTCGAACTTGGACTTGGTAACACAGTCGTTGACGTTGATGGCGGGGACCTTCAGCTTGCCGTCCTTGAGCATCTTGTACAGGTGGTGGACACCGGTGGTGGTCTCCTCGGAGACACCGTAGCAGTCATCCAGCATCTCGGGGTGCTTGGCGTGGACGAGGGAGGTCAGGTCACCGCCGTCATCGAGGATGAGGTTGAGCTTCTTGCCATCCTTGAAGGCGAAGAGCTGCTGCTCGAGGCACCACTGGTACTCCTCCTCGGTCTCACCCTTCCAGGCGAAGCTAAATAGACGGAATGTCAGCACGAAGTAGATCCAGGTATGAAAAGGGGGTGGTTTGGGCTTACACAGGAACACCGGCAGCAGCAATGGCGGCGGCGGCGTGGTCCTGGGTGGAGAAGATGTTGCAGGAGGTCCAGGTGACCTCGGCACCGAGGGCAACGAGAGTCTCGATGAGGACAGCGGTCTGGATGGCTATAGGATGCGTCAGATGGGAGCTATTCGAGCTCGGTGTGAACAGACGTACTCATGTGCAGGCAACCGGCGATGCGGGCACCCTGCAGAGGCTGGTCGGCACCGTACTTGGCACGGATGGCCATGAGACCGGGCATCTCAATCTCGGAGAGCTCAATCTCCCGGCGACCGAAGGCGGCCAGGGACTAAGGGGGAAGGGTCAGCCATTGGCCACGTATACAGAAGAAGTCGTTGAGGGGGCACATACGATGTCAGCGACCTTGAACTTCTGAGCGGGGGCAGACATTATGGAAGAGATGTGATTAAAGAAACTGGAGAATTTGCAGTCAGTATGAAGAATGGTCAAGATTGTGATCGTGGGGGTAGAAGACGAACCAAATAAAGGGGGAGGAGGGATGAGAGAAGAAGAAAAGAAAAGGAGGGCGAGGCAGATCTTGAGGAGGGGAAAAGTCTCTGGCCCCACCACCGCCTTTCACACGCTGCGTGGATTGTCTGGCGGGGTCGGCGGGACAGCTTAGTCAGATCACGGCACTGCACGGCAGCCGAAGGATCAGAGGGGGGATTATATGGGGACCTTGGGGAGTGCTTTGGCTCGAATGTTAGGACTGCCGGAAGACAGAATGCTAAATTACAGGACCAGATGAGAGTGATGAGAGTTCGCCTTGCATAATACATCAGCACCGAAAGCGATGGCTTCAGGTCGGGGAAGAACAAGACGCTGAGACGGACCCCGCTAATTGCTCTAGAAGAACAAACGCTGTAGAACAACAAACGCTGCAGAACCAACAAGCCCCATTGGACCCCATCGAAAATCTGCGCAGCAAGAAATAGAGATAGAAAAAGATAGAAAAATGGCAGAAATGGAAAGTTCAATGCGTTATTTCAATAGAAAGAGTAAGAAAATATCCCATCCTAAGAGATCCTCGTGTCTCATTTAGTCGTCAATACCGTCCACGGCCAGAGTACCAAGTACGCCGCAAAAGCACTAATAAGAGATCGCCGGTGCCACACTCGTCGCTCCATATGGATTTCCATCGTGGTAAGAAAAGCCATTGCTATGGCCATGGTGGGTGTCAGGCGGGTATTCAATCTCATCCGGCCAACGGCGCCGACTATTCGGGACAGAGCCCTGGCTGCGACAGCGGCGTTGCTCCCGCTTCATAGCCCGCTCCGCACATTTATCTCGGAAGTGCTTTGTTTCCCTGCGTTTCTCATCAACCTCCTTCCACTCCGCATACGCGCCCTTGATACCCAGCGCCGCAAGCCCAACGCTGAACGCATCCAGGGCATTGGCCTTGATGCGGCGCTTGCGCGCCTCCTCGGCCGTGATCTCGCCGTCTTTCACCTGCTGCATGCGTGCCTTTCGCTTCTGGATGCCGCCGTGTACGCCATGGACGGCGTGTATCGTGGCCACGGTGGCCAGGCCTGACGTGAGCAGCATGTCTCGCTTCATCTTCCTCCGTTGTTTTTTTTCATCACTACTGTCGCCTAAGTCAGAATCACTCTCAGAGCTGGAGTGGGATCCTCGGGTGGTGGATCCCACGTCTCTCTCACCGCGCGCTGCGCTGGTGGGTGCATTGGGGGGTACTTTGCTGCCGTTCGCGGAACGGTAAAGACCTACATCTCTCGAGCCTCTGCCACCTCTGTGATCCCTGCTGTGGTAGTCGCTGTCTGCATCTGAGCCTGAATAGGAGTCGTAGCGTGAGTCCCTATCCCGGTGATGACGCCGCTCCCGGTGGCGATCATAACGATCGTCTCGGCCACGATCATCTCGACCGCGGCCTGATGCTTCTTCTCCAAGGCCCAGGGCAGCGATGCCCTTGGTGATGTACTCTGAGACACTCTTGCTGCGCTTCTTGGATCCGCGCCGATCATCGTCGCTGTCACGGTCATCTTCGCGGCCGCGAGGCCTGGAGCGCGAGCGAGAGATGCGGTCGTAGATTTCTTTGCCTGCGGCAGCTGGGGCGCCGGTGGCGGCAAGGTCTTTGAGAGCTCCGCCAGAGCGGCCACGGCCATCGCGTCCTTTGGATGAGGAACGCCCGCCACCCACGAAATGGCTGGCGGCGAGGCCCGCGAGCGTGGAGCCCACTACGTGACGTCCAGAGTGCTTGTTGGGATCTTTATCAACGAGGCCATCGGCACCGGCGGCGGTCACAGCAGCGGTGAGAATGCGCTTGCCTTTGGCACCGGTCCAGTCACCAGGCTCCTTGCGCGACTTGAACGCTTCCACGGCACCGGCAGTCAGGGCAGCACGCGCAGCCTGGGCGATGCGCTGCTCGCTGCGTTGGCGCTGATTGCGGGGACGGTCACGACTGCGACTGCGACTGCGACTGCGACTGCGACTGCGACTGCGCGATCGCGATGACGAGTACGAGCGACCCCGACGACGGGGAGAGGATCGGCCACGGCCGCGAGCTGAGCGGTCTGAATGTCTGGAAGCAGCCGCGCCAAGGCCAAGGGCGCCGAGTGCAGTTTCGCCGAGGGACTTTCGGCGTCGGTGGCGGGAAGGAGATGGGCTCGTTGAAGGTGAAGAGTATCTGGAGCGACGGGAGCCTGTGGTATCCGTTAGTATCAAAGAGAGCGCACGGCAGAGGAACGCGAGATTAGTGCATGGGGAGGACTACTTACGGGCATCATCATACTGTCTGGGCCGCCGGGTTCGGGAGCGATAGTAACCATTGTCGTAGTACGGGTCGTAGCCACTAACAGACGATGCGCGACGCACGTTCTCGTAGACCGGGCGTCGCGAGCGCCGCGAGTTATAGCCGCGTTCATAGACATAATCTGACCCCGGGGGATAATCGCGCTGGATTTCCTCGATCGAGTCCTGACTCTCTCGAGTGGGATAGAGTTCTCGGTCATGCCTTGCATGAAGGCCCCGTGGGTGATCTTCAAAGTAGTCTGCAGCATAACCGCCGGCTGGGCGGCCACGGTCACGGGGCGCATAGTGGCGACGATCCTCGTAGTACGCCATCGCGGACGATGGGAGATAGTGGAGGGGGACGGTGAAGAGTGAAAGCAGAGAGTTGTAAAAGAGTCGAGTGTGTGAGCTATCTACCGTTCACAGGGACGAAGTGTGTCGGAGAGAAAAGGAAAGATTCGAGGCAGCAGTGAGAATGATCAGCGTGAGGCGGGGCAGGGTGGCGTGACGTCGTTGGGCGAAAGATGGGGCGACAGGCGGGCAGGGATCGAGTGAGGCTGGAGCAACTTGGCAGTGGCTGAGAGATCAGGTGGTAGCGGAGGAGACTTGCATTGCGAAGATGAAGTACAAAATCCCGAGGGCCCATGTCGGTAATATAGTGGATGTGTGCCCTGTCCCCGAACTGAAATGGCTGGGTATCGTCAATGACGTCGGGCCACATACGCCAGAGCTGGATGCTCGCACCTACAAGCATTGCAGGGAGAAGAAGTCTTGCCGTTTTAGCGTCGAATAAGCGGCGCTCGGATGATGCCGCCCATCGTTGGCCTGTCATGGCCCCCGACGTCATCCCGCATTGGTCACCAGGGAAGGTGGCAGCCTCCAGGGCCGACGCGGTCGTGTGGTCTGCATTGCTTGACCGCTGGTCTGGTCTCGGCCCTGCAGGGTCCAGCGCGAAGGGCCCTCCCAAAGGGGACTGCTGGGAGGGGATAATCGTCAACAGTATCAAACCGTCAACACTGGTTCCACGGGTCAGCGCTCGGCCGGCCCCGCGATTTCCGTCCGATTCCTCTACCTACGATTCGTTGCACCATAGATGTTGCTTGGTGTAGCCAGAACTGGTCACACATGGTCATTCCATTCATGGAGGTCCTTGCCAAGAACGCAGTACTATATAGAAGTACATGGCAGACATACGCCCAAGGCTCCTCCCTCTCGGGTGCGCAAATTGTAAACTTTCGGACATAACACAATACAGGCTGATGCAATGATCAAAGCGGGAGTATACAACAGGAGAAGAAAAAAAGGGAGACACCCATGATAACAAAACAAACAAGGACGATTAACGACTCATGGAACATGCGCAGGCCTGGACCTCTCGTCGAATCCCGAAATGGATCCGGAGGTGGGGCCATGCTGCATTGATGGCGTAAATGGGTGGATTTTGGTGCATATCGACAACTCCTCGACCAAAAAGCGCCACACGATAGATAAGATGAGGAGCACACTGCCCAGCAGTGGTCGGAGGCACGCCAGGTCGTCAGAGAAATGGTTATTCGCATGCGGAACATGGGAGAAGAGGGTAGGGCTGGTTCAGGGGTTACGCCATTTGGCCTCCCTGTCCGACCCTTCTATTTATACGGGGGAGGATCTCGTCCTCTTTCAGGAGGGCAGATGCGGTCCAGCACTGGGGGCGGCATCACTGTACCGACATCGGTTGACTGGCTCACCGTCCGGCTATGTGCCTGCGGCCCGTAGCCCGAGTCCGGCCGGCCCATCGCCCATCTCGTCTCAGCCGCGGGCTCCGAGGTCGACCGCATGTCGTCAGACTGAGTACGATGCGTGCGAATGTGCTGCTTCATGTTGTCCTTCCGGGTGAAGGCCTTGTTGCAGATGGGGCAGTGCACGCTTTTCTCGCCAGTGTGCTTCTTCCCGTGGCGAGCGGCATGGCCCGATGTCGTGAAAGAAGCCAAGCAACCATGGCTCGCCGCGTAAGGGCAGGGATACTTGTTCTTTCGCCCGGTCCCCCGACCGTTTCCGGACTGTGAGTGAATGGGCTTCGCATCTGGTGTCGTGCTGGCGTGGATCTCAGGTGGTGTTCGCGGTGCTGCTGGCCCGCGAGATGGATAGCGAAACGGGTCCCGTCGCAGGTCCTGCCGGGCGTACGGGTGGTAAGCCGAAGAAGAAGCTTGACTGGTGAAATAGTCATAGACCGAGCCATTTGACGAGCCAGGCGAGGTGGGCAGCATGGCTTCCGTTACTGGGTCGGCGGCATGCTGGGTGCCTGGTGGTGATGCCGGGGGCGATTCGGACGAGGCATGCGGGCGGACATACTGCAGATCGCGAACGGGCGCGGGGGGCTGCTCTGACTGCTGCTGATGGGGATAAAGCGAGGGCAAAGTGTTGTTTCGAGAGGGTCTCGGATTGGACCGGACTGCAAACGACGGGTGATCATCATTGTTTAGAATCGATACAATGCTCGTCTTGCAGCCCGACATTTCCTCAGCCGCCCGGTGTGCGGTTACCGGAGCTGGGAAGCTATACTGAAGGGTGCATTCACAGGTCAGCCTGGACAGCTTGCAACTTGGCTGGGTCAATGTGCTCGACATGATCCGCGGAATCATGCTTCCGGGGTGAAGGGGGGGGGGGGATAAGGGCTTGGAATTGGCAGACGGGGAAGAGAAAGAGCAGCAAGGCTCTCGCCCGTTCCCCGTCCACCTCTAGGAGTGTACAGCAAACGCACCAGCGATTCTCGAAAGATGTTTGTCCTCTGCGTGGTGTAACACGTCGACAACATTAGACCTTAAGTCGGCACTTGCCTGCAGACCTGCCAGAAGCCCGCTGACTCGAACTCGTGCCCTGTGTCTCTACGAGGAGCGGGGAGGCAGCCAACGGAGGCGCAGGGGGAGTATGAAGACTCTCGGTGTCGATGGGAATCGGCACGCCTATCGGAGCGATGTTGAAAGGTTGAGACTGGACGGTTCTGCCCGCGCCGTCGGCCCTCTCACAACCCTTCACAAGCTCTTTTTTGAGGTTCTGGTGCTTCTGCGACTCCCACAATTTGCCGTGGGAAGCACAATCCTCAACGGCAGTTGCAAACTGGCCTGGGGGTTTTCCAGGGGGTGGTGGGAGGGGGGGAGGGCAGTGAAGGGCAAGGGTGTCAAGATCCAACACCGTCAAACCACAAGCACACTAGGAACCTGGTTCTCCGGAGAACAAGTCCAAATTCCTGCGATTGGTTATCCCTGCTGAGAAAGAGGGATTTCACGACCAAGCGTGCTGTCTGCGACAATTTCTCCGGGAACACGGATGTTGGGAGAGATACGATAAGAGATGCGAACAGGGTAGATCGCTAGCGAGGTGGGGGAGGGGAGGTAGTCCAGTTGATGTCAGTCCGAAGACCAGTTGCAAGACTCAGGTGAAGAGAGGATGACCCAAGGATGAAGGTGAGAGATTCAAACGAATCTAAGAGATCCCAAAGGATAAGAGAATACAGGAGCACCAAGTCGAGGAGAAGAGAGAAAAGGATGACGAGTTTCCAAGCCGAGCCAATCTGAGGAACTAATACATACTAAATATGCGAAGCCAAGCTTCCAGGGTCTGTCTGGCGAGACGCCCCAGAAGCTCGTAGGGTATTTACATTCGATACCGACCCTCTCGTACGAGCTGGAGTGGAGCCGGACAGCTCCAGAAAGCGGAAGCAGATTCACCAGGCAGACGTCGAAATACGAAGAAACCGACGATACCGCTAAGACGGATTGCCCCTAGAAACCGACATACAGAAGCATACGCAGTCCCCGCAGGATGCAGAGAATAACCAGGAAATCAGCTAATAATGCAGAAATAATTTGAATGAACCTTTCAGCCAGTCACCACGCACGCAGGCCATCAGTCGTGCCCACTCGTGGGGAGCTCGCGTCCCAATCATCCCAATGAGACGCGGCCAGGACCCCTACCCGCCCCTGGAACTACGGCGGTTTCTGTGCAGACCCGTTGGCTGGGCTCCGTTTCTTCCGGCCCGCCCCATCTTGACCCTGGCGGGGACGGAGTCGTCAGCCGGATCTCCTCTGGCGCGTTCCCGGGCCTGTATCGTAATTTATGCTATCGAGCATTGGACGAGTTGTCCCGGTGTTCTATGCCTTTGATTCCTGGCTTGGGGCTTGTGGCTCAAGCGGTTGCCATGCGTTGATTGAACAGTGTACCGCCTGATGTACTGGTCGGTTTCTATCGACCTTCCACAGGGACTGTCCGAGTCCGTGTGAATTACCAATGCGACTAGGGCTTCGGCCAAGCGAACCTGGACTCCACTCAGCGTCGAGATGCCAGTGACGAAAACGAAAAAATCTTAATTCAGACTACCCAAGCACATCGGGAGAACTACGGACAAACATAAATGTTAAAAGAAAAATTCGAAAAATACTTGTTTTTGACCCACTCCATGGACCCTGGAAACTGATAGTACTCGGAGCAGGGACTCCGTGCGTGGGAAACCCGCTCGGGCGGAGTATCTTTTAGCCCACACGTCCAGTCCACCCGGATACCTAAACGGTATTGGCGTTGCAGAGGGAGTCGCGACAGCTACGACAAAATGGCCTGTCCATCGAACAAGTCGATCTGGGAGTCGCGGGCGCGAGCCGCGGAAGTCCGGGGACATACGTAAGTGATGATGTTGCGGTGGTCACTACGCCCGTTTGGGAACTAACGTCCGGCTCCGAGCTTCAGGCGGTGGGGAGTTCTTGAAGAAAAGGCGCTGCTGCAAGGCGTAGACACTGACCGGTCGCGATGAACCGTCTGTACTCCGGTCTGAGGGGCAAGATACAGTATGAATATACCTTCGAGCGCAATACCTCGGACCGCAAGCCCAGGGGGTACCGTCGTCTTCTCTGGGGAGTAATCGGTGGTATACCGCGGAACGATGTTATTCTTGTTCTGGTATTACTGCAGGGCCTTGACCAGATCGCCGTAGGGCGAACGATACTGCAAATCAGTACCGAAAGCCAAAAAGCCAAAACAAAAAAGGTCGTAATTTTAAAGATGACAAGTTTTAATCAATTTTAATCAATTATCCTCTGCCATCGGCTCCTCGTCCCCTGGACCTTTCCCCTCAACCCTTAATTTCGTTTCGTACGCGTCCTGTTCTGCCAGGGAACTCTAAATACGCTTCCTGATAACAAAACGTGGCGTCCTTGCGCCTCGATCTACACCGCATCGGCTCAAAACAGCACTCAGTACCGAGTTTCCAGTCATACAGCGTGGACGCAACTTTAAAATCCGAGGCGAATCAACAGTCGAGAAGGACATCAAATACAACTAGATTAAAGTCAAGTGAAAGTAACGCATGGTTACACCCGATACCACACACACTGACCTCACCAGTGAGCCCTTACTACTACGAGCTGATAAGCCGCCCTGTTGGCGTACACAGCATTCATCACCACCCAACACCAAAACACTGTTAGGGCTCAAGGACGGCCAGTTTGGTGCGTGCGAGCTTCGTACTCGTACGCGTCCAGTGGCGCCCCGCCCCGAGAACTGCAGTATTCGCGCGGGGACTCTCCGCCCGGCGTACGTAAGATGGCAACGTATGAGCGATAGCTTTCATATTGTCCTTGTTCGGCCTGCTCTCATCAATGGAACTACCGAGAGTTGAAACTACAGGGCTGCAGCGCCCACCCCGCAACTCAAACTATGCCTACCGCTCACCCTGCGTATTCTATCGTGTTCCAGCTTAGGCCCCAAATCAACGCTATGGACCCTCTTCCCCCCCCCCCCCCCCCCTTCCTCCCCCTTCTTCGTCTGTGTTTGCTCTTCCAATCTTCCCGCGCAATCTTCCCGTGCTGACCACAAAATGCGCACGATGATCATAAGCCAGCCACACATTGTGTGTCTGTCGATCAGCCAAGAGCTTAGGCGATCCCGATCTCGACCCTGACCGGGAATATGGTGGTTCGTGCATGACCCTCTCCAAGACGCCGACCGTTTTTGGGGTGTGGCCAGCCGAGTGGTGATTTGCTCGCGACCGACGCTGGACGGGGCATACGTATACAGTCTACGTATATCCACACTGTCGCTAGGATGAGCTCGGACGAGCTGGCACTAGCCGCGCCCGATCCAGCGATCATGCTTCCCGGGCTTAGCCTAACTCGGCCTGCTACGGCTGCTCGGCGGCCCCTGATTCGTACTCCCGCCCCGGCTTTGGGAGATTATGCCACATGTTTGACCTTGCCAGGGCCCTTGGTTCATTTAGTCTCCGTTTTAGTCTGCTTCCTTCGCAGCCTTAGGGGGACCCTTTTTTGTTTCTTCCCTTTTTTGGGGCTCTATCTTTTTCCGCCCTTCCACATGCCTCCACTCTGAGATAGCTAGTTACTGGCCTATCACTAGGTATCTCCGGCGCACTGACTGAGTATTACTAGGTGATTTTGAACTGGGTATTCCGGTATAGTGGGTATGGAGAGTCAACTAGCTCGTCTTTTTTCATCGCCAGCTTACTCTGGAAATGCAGGGACTCGCGGCCAGTCCCCTCTCCGCGTCAACTGCCCAGTCCCGCCGCCCTCTAGACCTTGATGCAGCCTAGCGCGGTGGAGCCCACTAAGTTACGGCTGCTGCGAGCGTGGCACTCGCCACGCGGCCTTTCGGCGACTATTGACTCCATCTGGCAAGATCGGAGTGGCTTTGGTCAATGGCCGTCCTTGGCTTGCTCTCGGGTTTTCCGTCCGGGTTTATTTCTGGATTCAGGGACTACTAGCTGTTTGACGATCACTCGTCGGGCCCAATGATGGTGGGATTTTGGACTCCGTAGCTCCGCGCTTTTGATTCGATCCTACTGCTATGATCGGGGGTCGGAGATAGGGTCGCCGAGAGCGAAGATGGCACGATTGGGCGTCTGCTCGACCTCTCATCTATCACTATTTCTTTGTCTCGAGACACCCACGAACGTTTCCCGGTTTTATGCACAGTCTTGCAGTGCTCACTACACAGCCACAGCCCAGTCTCTCTTCAGTGCTGCCTGGCATCTCCGAAGACCACGCCGGGGGACTACTGTATTGCAGGTCTGTCTTGGCGTCTCGGCACTGGGACTACCACCCCATCAGCGATCCGTTAGCGGACTTACCGGTCATTTTGTTATTTCTTTACGGATTGCGGAGTACGGGCGATCATAGCTAGAGTCGTGTACGAAATGAGGGCTGGGGGCCAGGCTCGCCTGCTAGTGGGCACCGCCCAAAAGGACTGCGTATGCAAGCTTCTCACCGAACACCTCACCACCCAGCCCCGATCTCACTGTGGCGCGTACCATCTCATCCGCGATCGGGCTATTTCTGGCACTCCGAGTCAGTGCTTTCGCTGGCTTACGTAGCTCGGCATATGCTTATGCCGATGCAGCCTACCGTACCAAGTACACCTGCTCCGTACTGCACCCGTCACCCTTCACCCTTCACCCCTGGAGTAGTTCGTACATTATCGGGAAATACATAATGTCCGGTCTCTCCGTATCGGGTTCGGTGCATTGCGTACTGTACTATGGCTAGTGGCTCCGCGCTTGTCACTGACATATGCAATACGTGCCCTGATTCTCGCTGAGATGATGGATCGACAGGCTTGTTTCTTAGAACATAAAGTAACATTCATGTACGACGATGCTACTGTGCCTTTGATTGATAGGCGTTTCTGCAGGCTGTGCTTCAGCCCCGGTCATGGAGTCATATCAAGTGGGAATCTGCAGGGGCCGAAGTGACAAAGGGTAGAGGGTGTAAAGCGTCTACTGGCTCAGCATCTTCTGTTTCATTAGTAGACCCCGTTCTGTATCGGGGTGGGCGTCACACCCGTTGTATGCTGTATGCACTAGAATCGAGATCAAGCCCTGCTTTTCTCCAGCAAAGGGTACGACTAGCTTCTAGGAGCCCCCACCCATCATTGTTATCAGCCTGCGCCAAGTATCCACCCTGGCCATCCCTGTTCACCCGCCCATATAGGGTCCGACCGAAGAAAAGCTCAAGTGGTGGGAAGTGGGAGAGGGGGGGGGGCGTGCGGGAAGAGGGAAGCAAGTGTGGCAGGGCAGTACCGAAAGAAGGTGGTGACGAGGCAGTGTTCGTACCTCACCAGCCATGAATCCAAAACCACTATGACGATCCCTTGGTGGATGTGGCTGAGTCAGTCTGGATTTACAATGGCCAGAACGATGTATATGCTCCGTAAGGAGACTTTCGAAGCTTCACTGTTACAGAACCTTTACAGAACGCGCATACGAGGCGAACGGATCCAAGCCAGCTGTATGGAGGCTCGCGTATCGAGCGCGCACGAGGGCTGCGTAAGCGGAAACGTCATGTTGGGGGGTGGGCTCTCCAGACTCCACGCGATGTATGGGCATGCCCTTTGGGCGCCAAGCTGTGGGAAATTGCCCTGGGGCTTGATAGGTTGGCCCCTGCATTTTTAGTGGATTGATATGAGGGTGCCGACGAACTTCTTACGTGGAGCTTGCCGTCGACCCGGGGCCGGGTGTGCCTGGGTGTGAGGGGAGGGACTGTTCCTGCAGCCGGAGCGTGTGAATGTGGTTGCGATTATCTGATACGATTATTCGTCTGGTGACATCTGGATTGTACAGAGTGCAAGACTTCATGCTACGTTGAACCCACTTTCGGGTATCTTTTTCTAAGCAACGGCTCCTTGAGCTTTGTGGTTCTGAAGGCTCGACAGACTGGTTCAACTGCCATATCTTTTGACCTTCCGTGCGCGTGGTAAGACAGTCAATGTCAGAGGTCATGCTCTTGATCAAAAAGGCTTACACTTCATGAGGACCTTCCAAATCAGATCTATCGGCGAGCACTCACTCTTTCCCTCTCGCTCTATCAAATGGACTCGACTGCGACAGGTCCCTCCTGTGCCACAAAGTCCAACTCACCGTATACTAGAGCCATGCAACCCTTATAATACGGAGGCTACGGTGTTTTCTCTCCTGGAAACGGTCTAACCTCTGTGGCCTAGGATCGTATGGCTCAAGGTACAGCAGACCACAGTACCTTATTAACGGAACATCATCCTACCAGAAAAGCAGCAGACGAAACGCGATATTTGGCTGTGGGTCTTCCGAGTGCATATTCAACACGAATAAAGATGTGAGCTGTAGTCACCGTCACTAGCGGTCTCTTTTCCTTATTGTCCGTGAACTTTCCACCTGTTCGTATTGTTCATTCCAAAAGTCGACAACAATACCGATCAAGGGAGAACTCCAATTCAAGGATCCCCCGGAGATCCAGTTGGCACCCATTTAAGAGATATGTTCTCCGGTATGAATACCCAGAGAGATGCAGCTTTGAGGGTAGTTCAACACAGCGGGAAAGAATCTCGCTATCTAGCGAGAAGGCCAAGAAGCCCACGTTCTGATAATAAAAGTCCACATGAGAAAAGGTCTCTTAATCGATTTTCCCATAGAATCCAGGGCTCGCCCCCTCATGTTATACCAATACTTGCCTACCAAAGAACATGTTGGTTATTTTTGGTCGTCAAAGTAGCGACCTTATTTGCCGGTTGGAAGGTCATGAGGATGTATGCCGTGATTCGTATACTACCCACTTACTGCCAGAAAGCAACCGTCTCCAGAGACTGCCATTGGCATCTTATTGCTTACATCGCCAGAACTATGACTCTATTTAGCCGCGTTCTTTTCAATGGGTTCCGCAATATAGTTCCACGGTCAATCCCCGGCGTTGCCAGATCGACCCGTCGGGGCGAAGGGAAAGGGAATCTCTGGACGTTTTCACCCCTCAAGCCCATGAATGAGTTACTTCCTTGATACTCCAGACATGTGCACGCTCCATGTTTGATATCGCGAGCTGTCTACCATGTAGTGAAAATGCGTACTCATGGCAAAGCTCCTGAGGCTCAATCTGGTATACTCTCAAGTTATATATGGATTAGACTACTTAGTAGCTCCTTGAAGTGCTGAAAGTGCCTCATAGGTGTCCTTGCTCAAGAGTTGTACCTAGTAAGTCCTACGAAGCCTCAAAAGCCCTCGAACACTTAATCAGGCCTAATATATAAGCCTTTGTGTTTCTGGATAGTATACCTACTAATAGTCGAATTCCGCTTTTCTCGAAAGATACCTAGTATAATACCCTACGTAGTGGAATCACGATCATAGCACGCTATAATTGGATACGAAAGTTTTACCTTATCTAGATCCTCGCAGAACCCCGTTCTTTTCAAATATATATTATCTTGGAGATTTTGATAGTCTTCGCTGATGGCTATCTTAACCTGATAATTGGACTTAGTATGTCACTATCTACGCTCTTAGATATATATATTACTTATCTTTATAGTTGTTCCAATCCTAGGATACCTATGTATGGCTATGCAAAGTCTACGCACTAGATGGCGTATAGTACAGTTTTCGCGAATTTTCCAAGGTCTCCTAAGCAAGAATATAGCACCTATATCTATTCATCTCAGAAGCCTTCATAGCGCCCAAAACAGTGTGGAAGCTATACTAGACTATAATAGAAAGACCATCATCATCATTATAATTAGCAACAGAATCTCCATCATAGTCCATGTCACTATCTTCGTCCCCACCTGCCCCCTGCATTGCGGCGATACGAGTCAGAATCCATTGCAGTTCCAGCAATTGGAAAGATGGCAACGGTTTCTGAACTGGATCGTCCGTTGTGATTGTGAATATATGCCCGGAGGGAATGACGACTCTGGTCTTCATATCGAAGACAGAAATGTTTTCCCCTGGGCTATCAGTAAACCCCGTGCGCTCATACATGCCGGGGTAAGGGTGCTCATCAATCGGCACCTTGTCGATTCGGCGGGTTTTTTTGTCAGGGAGAGGCAACCAGTGGAAAGCAATGTCCATTCTGGTATTATCCCCGTTAACCCGGATAGGGCGGAAAGCGCATATAGGCTGATCCCAGTATATGTCGACATGACAGGCAAGCGCCATCATATTCTGCACCTTCTCGGTATCGAACGTCTCCCCAGCACCCAGGATCTGCGTTTTCCATCTCCTAACCTCATCTACACCCCAGAATGGTTCCATCCATCTCCAGAATCCCTCTTGCTGGCTTGTATGCACTTTGTAAAGCACAATATGAGCGATTTGGAGGGTGGTCCGGCCGTGCTTTGTCAACACACACTTGTTGCCATCGCGGTCCAGGACCTAGAAAATTAGGTAGATTAGTATTATATCATATTATTCTTCCGGTTCACTCCACCTTATCCTTTACCTGGCTATTACGCGCAGGATTTAGGTCGGAACGCCCCTGAGGGCTCTGGGATGCTTCCCGTCTCCCGCCCTGCTCATCTTCAGGGAGCTGTTTACTGCCAGCCACTAATATGAACAGAATTAGTTAGTTCTATCCTTTCGTTCAATATTTAGCACTTACAGATTCCTGGCACGTCCGTAAAGGAAGTCCACCCGAGCAGATTCCAGCGCAGGCGGAAGCCGGTGTCAGTTTGACCGCCCGCGACAAGCTCCCGAAGCATCGATATATTTGAGAACCACAGGGGAAAAAAAGAGCATCGAGGTATATTGGCTAGTAGGGGATCCTGGCGAACGATCTCCTTGATAAGCCCGAGGCGCTCTGCATCCTCAAATTCCGAGAAGATATGCTTATCATCGAATTTTGTGGTGGTAGCCATGATGAATAGAAAGTGATGAAGCATGTATCTAGGGAAAGGGAAGAAGGTCTTCAAGTTTGGAAAGATGAAGTTTTGAAAGAGGAATGTAACTACTAAGCCCAATCTGGAAGGCTCATGTGGTCCGGGGCTATCATAGGCTTAGGCATCTAGAGACCAGGCCGAGTAAGGAAGGCGTTCAGAGTCCAGGGTGAAGCACATGAGCATAATCACCCGTTCAACTCGGTGTCCCTCACTTCTAATCCACTTCATCCATCCTCATCCACCCTCCACTTCATCCATCCTCATCCACCCTCCATCGTTGTCCACCCTCATCCACCCTTCATCCTCATTCACCCTTCATCGTCATCCATCGTCATCCACCCTTTATCCTCCATCCTCATCTATCCCCACCCTCTTCCCACCTCCATTGCCATCATTACACCAGTAAGTTCGAGACCTATCCTATATCATTTAACATGGGGACTGACTTATGTTACCTCAGGATGGCCGATGATAATCCTCCTGCCGACCTTTCTGGGGGCCCGCCCAAGCGTCCTGGCGAGCTCACCCAACGCCAGATCAAGCGGCGCAAAGATAGGCGCCGTGCTGAGAGGAAGGTACGTCGCCTCTATCCTTTTTGTCGTTTGCCTAGCTATTCCGTTCTCTTGGCTCCCAAATCCCAGATGACCGATTCGATCTCTTGTCGAGTATGACTAAAAGAGATAATAGGAGGCGGACACCCAGGCGGCCCTGGCAAGCCAGGAGCCGTGCGCCAAGCCCGCCAGCTTGAGCCACCTCTATTTGCTATGATCCATACATCCGAAGATTTCGTCACGATATGACAGCTAGGAGAGCGATATCTAACAGATATAGTATGGGTAGCGTGATTTTCCAGATCGTGCTGGGAGCAGTTGACGTTCTGTCCGCAGTGGTGGTGGTGGTGGTGTTCCTGCCGGCCCGAGCCTTCGTAGTGGTCTTCGTGGCGGTGCTGCTGGCCGGGGTGCTCGTGGTGGTGACCGTGGTGACCGTGGCTGTGGGCGCGGTCACGGTGCTCTCCACGCTGCCACTACGGGTGCGTCGTTAGCGGCACCGGCCACCGAGTCCGCCGAAAACTCTGTCTCGGAGCAGGATGAGCCTGCGTTGCATGACTTGTCTGCCGGTAAGTTTCGTTTCGGGATACCCGTTACTTGTTCTTTACCCTTCCCCTTTGTCGATGATGATGTGCTTGTTCTTTGCGATGTAGACGCGTGTGTCAAGTGCTGTACTATACGTTTTCCTTCGCGCGGACAATCTAAAGGGAAGACACTCGGTAAAACCAAAGCTAACTTGTGCCATCACGTTAATAGATAAGGGAGGTTTATGAATAAGAATTGTGCTCTATAAACCCCCTAACTCTCCTCTGGCACTAGGGGTGTAATCTAGTCCATCCCCTCCCCCACCATGGTCACCCTTTAGCCCAAAGGATAGAGGTTCAGTGACTAACAGATTCGAACTAGTGATACCTTATTATAGACATGATGGGGCATTGACAGCCGTTTTGGGGCGGGGAAAAGGCCAGGGACAGCGTTCGTAGGAGATATACTCCTAGATTGAAAGATTGAGAAGAATAGGATCCTCGACCGCCATGTGACGAAGAGAACATATCAAGCACAACAGAAACTTAGGTCTGTCAAATGGTTTGATTCTAAGGCTAGTCGACCTTTTCCTTGGCGTTAGTGCATTGGAAATAAGATCTAGAGCCAGAAGCATGTGTTTGCTTCACCAAAGGCTTACTAGTCAACAGCACCACGGAGAGGTCCATGCCCCTCAACGAATATACCGCGTCCTACTCATACCTCAATTAAAGCAAGATCCGATCACTTACTTGTAACCAGTGTCGCTACAGTATCATCTCTGGTAACTTGTCTTTACACCAGTACCATGCACTCCGTAGCTCCGTTTATGAATGCGAAATCACGTCACTCACATTTCACTGCGGTTTCATCACGTCTTACGCTGGCGCATATCTAGGGATACGAGTCCAATACTTAAGACCCCCTGGCAAGTGGCTCAACTGTACATCAACTGGCCGTCTCAAATAAGTGGCTTTTGACAGAGTGCCGCATGACTTGATAAATGTGGCATTTGTGTTACCGAGGTTGGTTTGATAAACACCATTGTGTTCCCGACACTACCAAGGAAAGTCCTGCAACAACATATATTTCCCGTCCATGAGCTTAACAGGGATGTGGGCTGAACCCGACCGACGTGTCGTTGGTTTTGGGCCAAGTTGGATCTTACACAAAGCTCATGAGAGATTTTTCCGGCTGATGCTTCCGGCAGGGGATTCTAGCTGGAGAGAATAGCTGGCAGGGGGCAGACGCAATGAGGTAATTCGTGGGGCAGTGAGGGGTACGAGGCACAGGTACAACATGCCTCCAGATGCGACGGGAGATTCCCAACCACACAAAAAAAAGGATCCTGTCGCACCGACACCCCTCGAACTGACTCTTGTGACCATCGCATCCTTGCGAGCTTATCGTCATAGTTTGCCGTGCCATTGCGGCGTCAGCCTTCGTGACCATGCCCCGCCCAACTACCCGCGAGGAAGTTCTGGCGAGACTTCGCAAGACGGTCGCTGATGGCTCGATCATTGTCGGTGCCGGTGCCGGTGAGTCTTGCTTTGGGGATCGGATGTGACTGCGCTTTCCATACTGAGATACTGGGCAGGGATTGGTCTCTCTGCCAAGGCTGTCGAGGCTGGTGGCTGCGATCTCATTCTGGTCTACAATTCGGGTCGGTTCCGCATGGCGGGCCGAGGGTCTCTGGCTGGACTGATGCCCTACTCAGATGCCAACCAGGTGGTTGTCGAGATGGTGCGTTCTCTCTACGCAGTCTACTGTGGTCACTAGGACGGTCTCGGTCGCTAACTTCCCGCCCAGGCCAGCGAGGTCCTCCCCATCGTACAGAATACCCCCGTCCTTGCCGGTGTTTGTGGTACCGACCCCTTCCGGTCCATGCCCTCCTTTCTCGAGGAGCTGAAACGGCTCGGGTTTGTCGGCGTGCAGAACTTCCCGACTGTTGGGTTGATCGACGGCCAGTTCCGCGCGAATCTGGAGGAGACTGGGATGGGGTACGACCGCGAAGTTGAGATGATCGAGGTCGCCCACAAGCAGGGGCTGGTGACCACCCCTTACGTCTTCAATCCGGAGGACGCAACAAAGATGGCCAGGGTCGGGGCGGATGTAGTCGTTGCCCATGCAGGCTTGACCACGTCTGGGCTGATCGGAGCGCAGACCGGTCGGTCCTTGGAAGACTGTGTCGGGTTCGTGCAGGCGATCCGCGATGCGGCAGCCAAGGAAAACCCCGAGATTCTTGTGCTCTGCCACGGCGGGCCAATTGCACGTCCAGCAGACGCAGAGTATGTACTGTCGCGAACAAAGGGGATTCATGGATTCTTCGGGGCCAGCAGCATGGAGCGACTGCCGGTGGAGGTTGCGATCAAGGAGAATGCGGAGGAATTTAAGCGGTTGAAAGTCCGACTGGAGTAAAGCGGGACCGGTGGGCCGTGGGGAGCCCCTCAGGGACATCACTGGGACACTTCAGGGACTGTGGACAGACCAGGAAGGATAACCCGTCTCCAGCTGACGGGGAAATTAACCGGCCTTCCCCATTTGCGCCGCAACGGGCAAATTTGATCCGCGAGTGGAGAGGTGGGGAAACAGCGAAGCTCTCAGGAAAGGGCCGAAGTCCCCTATCGGCTAATTTACTGCTGGGAGTACAAAGTAGCATAGTTGGGCCTGAAGGCTTGCCATTTCCCTTTCTATTTTCTTCTTCAGATTTCACCCCGAGACTCACATTTAAAAATGACAAACACTAACCGCGTGTTGGAGGGCAAATTCGGCATCGTCACGGGCGGGTCGCGGGGTAAGAAGCCCCGAAGCCTCCCCGCGTTGCGATAAGAAAATAAGAAAGTCCGCTCACATCCCCCCTAGGAATCGGCGAAGCCATTGCCCGCAACCTCGCCGCCAAGGGCTGCCATCTCCTGCTGAACTTCACATCTGCGTCTTCGCGCGCCAACACAGAGGAGCTCTGCACCTCGCTCGCCTCCACCCATGGCATCCGCTGCGAAAGCGTGCAGGCCGACCTGAGCAAGCCCGAAGAGGCCACCAAGCTTATTCTCGAAGCCGCACAGAAGAGTTTCAGCGTGTCAGACAAGCTCCAAATCGACATTCTCATCAACTGCGCCGGTGTGGCAGGCGACTGCAACCTGAACGACCCCGTCCGCGGTCCCATCGCCGCCGAGCAGTTCAACTGGATATACACAATTAACGTCCTAGCCCCGCTGCTCCTCACACAGGGAGTCGCGCCCTTCCTCCCGACCGATCGCAGCGGCCGCATCATCAACATCTCCAGCGTTTCGTCCCAGATGGGATTCGTGGGCCAGTCGGTGTACGGCGGGACCAAGGCCGCGCTCGAGTCGATGACCCGTACTTGGGCGCGCGAGCTGGCAGACCGTGCCACGGTGAACGCGGTCAACCCGGGCCCTGTGGTGGGTGATATGTATTTCGCGGCGGGCGAGGACTTCTGGCGGGATATTCAGGGATTCCAGGATAATACTCCCGGCAGCAAGATGGACCTGACGGACCCGGAGACGATTGCTCACTTGACGAAGGATCAGACGCGTTTGATCCAGGAGAAGATGGGTGGCCGCAGACCAGCCTTTACCAGCGAAGTCGCTGGTGTGGTGGGTATGTTGACAACGCCGGATGGCCAATGGTGCACGGGAAGTTTGGTCTGCGCAAACGGAGGCATGAAAATGACTCTGTGATGGCTTGGAAACTGAACGGAAGGTGTCGCGAATCATAGCTTCAAATATATGTTGCACTGAAATTAAATGATTTGAGATTCTTCAGTAGGCCGCGCGCAACGGCCAGCTCTACAAGTAAATTGTCGAACTGGGCAAAGGAGGTAACTATAACTAGACTACCTAGAATTGCTTGAAGCCGTTATCCAGGGACGGTAGCTCTTTCTTTCTCGTCGGAAACATGCAAATCATGGCGACAAGAGCCGTACTTTCGGCAGATATTTGGTTGTGGTCTATTACGGTCGAGGATTTCATGTAGAGAGTCGACGACAGAGCGTTATGCTTGTTTAGAGTTATGTCCGTGTTTAATTATGCCGCCTTCAGAACGGCACCAAACCTTATTCAGATGATATCGAGAAACGTGGGTAGAAAGACGGTATCAACAAGACATTCCCACGATGAGGAAGCTGAGCCGTCAAAAGCTAACTTTCTTAAACATTGCGGTTGCGACTCAGCGAGAACCCTGTACCGTTAACAACCGCGCAGAACCCATTGGTTGTTACAGCAGTCTTTGAAAAACGACGAAAAACGAAAGCTAAACGCAACTAAAGTAAAAGCTAAGTCTGGGTTATTGGGCGGAGGTATGAATGGTGATTTCATTTAAGTGAGATGCTTGGCCATAGTAGGGTTATTGACTATCAAGGAAAGGTCATAGATATCGTGCGAAATCGAGGCCGCTATCATGCGACAATGGCAGAGCCCTAACTCAATGCGGATAGATTGCTTGTAATCTATTTGGGGAAGGGTTTTTACGCCGCGCTCGGTCTGAACTGCCCCCTGAGCAAATCAGTGCACGCTTATCTCCTCACACTGTCCAGTCTTATCTTGCGATTAAACGGAGAACTCCGTGCTCATTTTCATCCAGCGCTTACCCGGCTAAGACTTCCTCTATTAGAAGACGACTTTCGAGGCGACAGAAAGCATGTTGGAATTACAAAACCCACGGGGTTGTGCATCTTCGTCCCTTACGAGGTGGTAGTGGTAATGGTCATGAGAAGCAAAAAATGTCTCGGTCGCAGGTTTCTTGAAGAAAGACATGTTATGTGCCAACTCGTCCAGATGATGAGTTTCTTCGAGGCAAGCCTTCTGGGCAAAGCTTGGTTCCGACCCCAAATCGGAGAGGGTTGCCCATTTATTGGCTATTGGCTTCTAGGTTACGAATACCATTCCTTGGATGTCACTCACGCGGACTCCCGTCCCACGCGATTTTAACTTTTGCGTCAGGCGGACTCCGCTGATAACCCCGGTGGCCATCCAATGGGCGATTCGCGTGGCGTATATTTCATGGGGGAAGTGAAGCCCAGACAGGCAAAAACAAAATTCCACCCTGCGCTAACATCCACCACACACAGTTAGTGTCCTAGAGTTTGATGGCCGAGGCAAATATCCAATTTCACTATCTCGATTGGAGCGTGGCCGGCACTAGAACACTCGCAAAGATAAGTCTTATCTTCCCCCACAGCCGGGTTTAAATCTGGACCCCATGGCACCTTGAACCCTTCCATCGCCCTGTCTTGTACACTTCCCTCCCTGTATCCGCCTCGGTCAATATCCATGGCTATGGACCCCGAAAAAGGCCACGTCGAGGCCAACTATTCACCGGCCGACCAGAACTCATTGGATTCCATTCCGGCCGCCAACGATGTCGGTATCTCGCAACAGGCTGGCATGCTCGCCAAGCTTCGCGCCATGGAGACCAGAATGGACACCAAGCTCGGTATAGAGTCCGAGGCCATCACACGCAAGCGTGCCGAAGATAAGAAAGAGGTGCATTGGGTGGAGGAGCTGTCAATGGCATTACTGTGGGCGAGTGGCACCATGGGCACTTCTTGCTTTGCGACGGGCTTCCTTGGGTGGGAGTTCGGCCTGAGCCTGAAACAGTCGATTGTGATTACCATCTTTACCTCGATTCTTGCTGCCACGCTTAGCGGATTCTGTGCCACGTTCGGTGCTGTTACCGGTTTGCGCCAGATCAGCGTGGGTCGGTACAGCTTCGGCTGGTGGCCGAATAAACTCGTGGCTCTGCTGAACGCCATCCAGCAGATGGGCTGGGCCGCCGTCGCATCCATCACGGGAGGCCTTGCGTTGACGGCGGTTTCCGACGGTCGCGTCTCATTGATTCTCGGCATCGTCATCCTGGCTGTCGTGGCGCTGATCATCTCTTTTGTCGGGTTAAAGGCTATTTTGATTTACGAAAGATGGGCCTGGGGTATCTTCTTCGTCATCTTCCTGATCATCTACGGCGAGACCGGCCAATATGCCGACAATACGACTCCAGCTACCGCGACTGGCGCCACTTTCTCGGGAGCCGTTCTCAGCCTGATCGCAATTGTCTATGGATCCAGCGCTTCATGGTGCACAATGGCCAGCGATTATTATGTCCACTACCCTGCCAACGTGAGTCGTGTCAAGGTTTTCTTCATGACGACTTTCGGTATTGCAATCCCCACATCGATCGGCATGGTGGCCGGCTGCATGGTCGCCTCCGCTCTCAACAATAAGCCCGAGTGGGCCGACGCGTACGAGAATGAAGGACTGGGCTATCTCATTCAGGACATGCTGTATCCTCGCGGATTTGCCAAATTCCTTCTCACTCTCCTCGTCCTGTCCGGAATCAACGTCAATGTCATCAGCATCTACAGTGCCGCCATCTCTTTCCAGCAACTCTCCCGGCCCTTTGCGCGTGTTCCTCGGTTCATCTGGACCATTGTCTGCTTCGCCTGTATTCTTGCCCTGGCGATTGGCGGGCGCCAAAAGCTCAACACATATCTCATAGATTTCTTGAGCATACTGGGATACTGGTGCACAAGCTACGCCGTGATTCTGTTCGAGGAACACTATATTTTCCGCAAGGGCAACTTTGACAATTATGATTTGGAAGGGTGGAATGATCCGGCAAGACTACCGTTGGGTATTGGCGCAGCGGTGGCATTTTCCCTTGGTGTTATCGCCTGGGTTGTGGGTATGGATGAGACTTGGTATGTTGGTCCCCTTGCAAAGCTGATCGGGGACTACGGCGGTGATGTGGCGAATGAATTCACCTTCGTGGTGACCGCTGTGACTTATATACCGGCAAGGTACTTGGAGCTCAAGCACTTTGGTCGGTAATCCTCTTTGTCTAGAAATCCTGTCCTCCATAGCCTCATGGTACAGCTAGCATTGTAATCACTATTTCTTGAAAGCTTACTGGACACCTCATGTTCAAATAACCCAGTATGTGCTCCTCTAAGTTATGAGCGGCCTTATAGTGCTTCCGAGAATCGGTGACACCACCCGCACTCTTATATTGTTTCCCATTCACTAAATGCCAAGGCCTACTAGTCTGTATTGCGGTGCAGTACGGAATATCAATGTTCCTGTACATCCATACATATTATTACGAAGCTGGTTTACTTGGCTAATTCTTGTATGTGAGACTAGCTAGAAATTTCCACGTAAATGCAAACTGTTCAAACATAAGCAGCGGAAGTAACCCCTCCCCCAGATTCATTCAGCCGCCACATTCCTCAGCCTCCTGAGTCATGAAATTCCTGTACTTTCACGATGGCATCTGAGACTTCATTTGGGGGAATGAATTCGGGATTGCAGGTGGGAACAAACCATGGGTCCATCACTGCTCGGTTCGAGCTTCCCGTAGGTGAGTTACCGGTATCTAACGTGGGTAGACCTTGCTAATTTAAATATTGATTATCTTGACAAACTATCGATCGCGCGTGGGGCCGAGTTTGACTCGTACATGGATCAACATGAAGATGAATGCCTTCCAGGCACTCGAACTGAACTGCTTCGCCAGACTTTGGAATGGGCGAGCTCACCAGAGGGGAAGTGCATATTCTGGCTAAACGGCATGGCTGGGACAGGAAAATCAACTATCTGCCGCACAGTGGCGAGATCCTTGCGAGAGGCAAAGCTACTAGGAGCCACTTTCTTCTTTAAACGGGGAGAGAGTGACCGCAAAAACGGCTTGAAATTCTTTTCGACAATCACAAGACAACTAGTGGTTCAAATTCCTCAGCTGATTCCAGACATCCGGGATGCAATTTACGAGGAGCCTGACATTACAGGCAAGTCATTAAAGAAGCAGTTCGTGAATCTACTTCTTCAGCCACTATTAGGCTTGGAATCGTCTTCGGATGTTCAGATCCGCACTGTGGTGATAGTGATTGACGCACTAGACGAGTGTGAACAGGATGAGGAAGTACGGATTATTCTCCAATTACTACCACAGTTGCAGAACGCCAACGCTGTCCGCTTACGAATTTTTTTGACGAGTAGACCCGATCTACCCATTCGCCTAGGATTTTCAAAGATGACAAGCCGTGAGCATAGAGATCTCGCACTCCATGAGATTCCTGAACCAGTGATAGAGCATGATATATCCCTGTTCTTAAAGCATCGACTTTCAACAATCAGGACAAATCGCTCACTAGCTTCCAACTGGCCTAGTGATAGTGAGACTCAAAAGCTTGTTCAATTATCGGTTCCATTATTCATTTTCGCCGCTACTGCATGCCGTATCTTGGAGGACCCGCTGTGGGATCCGGTGGACAGCCTGGCCAAGATTCTTGCACACAGAGGAGATAGATCCAAATTAAACGGGGTATATCTTCCTGTATTGGATCGACTTCTTAGCGGACAGAGCAGAGACCAGCAAAGACAGCTGGTTCAAGAGTTCCGTGAAATCGTCGGTTCAATCGTCTTGCTCGAGCATCCACTCTCAGTCATCTCGCTTGCTAAGCTTATCGGCGTCAGCCAAGACCGAGTCATCTTGAGGATAAGCCTATTGCACTCGGTTCTAAGTATACCTAGTGATTTAACTCAACCGGTGCGACATCTTCATCTGTCCTTTCGAGACTTTCTTCTTGATCCAGAGATCCGTGACCGAAATCCGTTCTGGGTAGATGAAAAACAGATACACCAGAGGATGACAGAGAGAAGTCTCTTCATATGTGGCAGTCTACGAAGGAATATATGTGGGCTAAGCTACGGTATAAAACGTGGGGAGATTGATCGCCAGACTATTGATAGAATGCTCTCCCCGGAATTACAATACTCCTGTCGTTATTGGGCACATCACCTGACACAAAGCAAAGACCCAGTTGCTGCATTAGATAAGGCATTTTTGTTTCTTCGGGTGCATTTTCTGCACTGGATGGAAGTAATGAGCATTCTGGGGCTTGCTTCTGAAGTTGTGAGAATTATCGATCTGTTACAGTCCTATGTGAGTGCATTTGAGGAGATTTATGATATTTTTATTAACTGATATAGACTAACAGAAAATTGAAAATATCCGAGTTCTTGTTTGACGCGAAGCGCTTTGCCCTTAAAAATCGACAGGTGGCTGACGAGTTCCCCCTTCAAATTTATCGTTCCTGTCTCATATTTGCTCCAAAATTGTCGGTAATTCGCAAGCAATATGAAGGAGAACTCGTGAATTCGGTATTATCAAATTGTCATAAGACTTGGGGTGCAGAGTTACAGACTCTTGAGGGCCATTCAAGCCAGGTTCGGTCAGTGGCCTTCTCACCGGACGGCCGGCTACTAGCGTCCGGCTCCTATGATCAGACAGTGCGGCTCTGGGACACAGCGACGGGCGCGCTACGACAGACTCTTGAGGACGATTCAAGTTGGTTTTACTCAGTGGCCATCTCACCGGACGGCCGGCTACTCGCGTCCGGCTCCTATGATAAGATAGTGCGACTTTGGGACACAGCGACGGGTGCGCTACAACAGACTCTCGAGGGACATTCAAGTCGGGTTAACTCAGTGGCCTTCTCACTAAACGGCCGGCTACTAGCGTCCGGCTCCAACGATCGGACAGTGCGTCTCTGGGACATAGCGACAGGCGCGCTACAGCAGACTCTTGAGGACCATTCAAGCCATTCAAAGGTTAACTCAGTGGCCTTCTCGCCAAACGGCCGGCTACTAGCGTCCGCTTCGGAAGATACATTCGTGAAACTATGGGAGATAGCCACAGGCACATTACAGCACACCATTATAGGCCATTTTGGTGTGATTCAATCAGTGGCCTTCTCGCCTAGTGGCCAGCTATTAGCATCTGCCTCTTACGACAAAACGGTCAAACTTTGGGAAACCACAGGCGCGTTGGAGCAAACCCTCCAGGGCCATACCGATCGAGTTCAAGCAGTAGCATTCTCACCGGACGGCCGGCTGCTCGCGTCCGCCTCGAACGATAGCACTATCCGGCTCTGGGACGCAGTGACAGGCGCGCTACAGCAGACTCTTAAGGGCCATTCCAGTCTGGTTAGCTCAGTGGCCTTCTCACCCGACGGCCGGCTCCTAGCGTCTGGCTCTAATGATCAGACAGTGCGTCTCTGGGACACAGCGATAGGCGCGCTACAGCAGACTCTTGAGGACCGTCCAAGCCATTCAAGTCGGGTTGAGTCAGTGTCTTTCTCGCCAGACGGCCGGCTGCTAGCGTCTGGCTCCAAGGACCAGACAGTGCGGCTCTGGGACACAGCCACGGGCATGTTACAGCAGACTTTCCTAGGTCATTCAGGTGGGGTTCAATCTGTGGCCTTCTCGCCTAGTGGCCGGCTATTAGCATCTGCCTCTGATGATAGTACCGTCAAACTTTGGGAAATAGCGACAGGCGCGTTGGAGCAGACTATTATAGGCCATTTAGGCGGGGTTCAATCGGTGGCCTTCTCGCCTAGTGGCCGGTTCTTAGCATCTGCCTCTAATGATAAAACTGTCAAACTTTGGGAAATAGCCACAGGCGCGTTGGAACAAACCTTCCAGGGCCATACCGATCGAGTTCAAGCAGTAGCATTCTCATCGGGCGGACGGCTTCTCGCGTCCGCCTCGGACAGGACTATCCGGCTCTGGGATATATCTATGGGTGCCCTGCTGCAGACCTTAGATCTCGGACAAGTAGTGACCAGTTTGGAATTTTCTGCAGATGGATCATACCTGCAAACAAACTTTACAAACATACCTCTGGGGTACATGAAGTTCATGTATTGGTGCGATAATCCGATCTCCGGGTCTTCCAAGACTGCGCCAAAGGCTCTTCTGGTCGATAGCCATTGGGTGAAATTTCGAGGCGAAAAGGCGCTCTGGCTTTCCTCCGAGAATTGGCCCTCCACCTGGGCGGCCAAGGACAATACTTTGGCATTAGGCCACGAATCGGGACGGATCTCTATCATTGAATTTCGTGTGTAGTGCGGGGCTTTATAGCATTTCGAGGAGCTTATCGAGCCGCTTCTTCATGTAACTTTAAAATCCCGCCGCTCTGCGCATATATCACCAACCTCTCTAGCTGATCCCGGTAGAGCTTGTAGTGTTTCTTTCAATATTGATCCTGCCAGCAGTGCGGGCGTAGTTCAGGACCAAGGACAGCGGATCGAAGCATATGCCTCTTTCCAGGCGGGAAACTCTGTGGAAGCCGCCTCCTCAGCATAGATCTACTAATCTCGCTCTTAAAGGATCCGCAAGGTAGCAGAGGAACTGCCTCGTGTATCGGTCGTCCTGCAATTTACGTTTTGAACTTGAAGCGTTCTCCATATAATTGAATAAGATAACTAGTCTCAGTTTTTGGCTAGCAAGAAAAAGGTTTCCCTAATCCAAAAGCTATACCTCTCTAGGGGCTTATCATTGCACTGTATCAAACCTCCGAGTAAGGCCCTTCTGTCACTTTTGAGGAGTATATGTTTTTGAGAAGAGATCCAAGCACATACGACCATAGGGTGTGGAGAACAGGGCTTCCCGTCCGCTCAGCCGTACTTAAGCCACACGCCGGCCAGTTAGTAGTATGGTGGGTGACCACATGCGAATCCTGGCTGTTGTATGTTTTTTCTTTCTTTTTGTATCTGATAATTAAGTTCCCATTGGACATCTCCCTTACTAACTCATACGAATAGTGCATAGTTCGACATCCAGAATGTGTTACATCACATGCGTTTCCTAATTTTAGGGTGTATCCATGGCAGCTATGTATAAACGGCTACGATAACGAACGTATCATTGGGTAGAAACTTTGTATCAACAGCTCTTTTAGTTCTATCTGCAAAATGAGCCTCCAGTAAAACTAAGGAGATACAACTAGATCTTATTCTGTTTCCGCTACTGTCCTATAGTTAAGAGTAACTTTACACTCAATCTAGTAGTAGATACAGGCTAGTGGGTCTTTGTTATATACTCGACCTTTCCTCTCAATCACCGAACTACAGTAATAGAAGACTATTCTTTTGTGAAGCAGTTTTCAATGAAGAGGCGTAATCGATCGGGGATATAGAAAGAGGCGGGTAGCCGGAACTTAGAGGTAGCCAGGTGTTAGTGTATATTATAATATATCGCCGCATAGGTTGAATACATGCCTTATTAAATGCCGTAACCATCGTAGATAATGAGAGAAATAGGTCCTATATCCCCGGGCTAACTATAACGACAGTCTTAGAGTAAGTGATTATTAGTTAAGGTTTAGGCCATCAGGAGCTGTCTAGGCCATTTTTTGCCTACAAACAAACGACAACTAGCTAGGACAGTTGTATACCAATGGTATCACTCGTTTAGCGTCCTCCGAGCCAGAGAGACAACCCTCCTCACAAATTATGACCGGCATAGGCTGCACAGGGAAGGGAATGAGAATAGAGAACCCCAGAAGACTATCACGGGACGTAACACCAATGTGGCCTTCCCCATATGATTTGTAGAAATCCACCAGGGGTTTTCATAGAATCCTATGAGGGTTCTTTCCGTACGCATCATATAATCTTTCGTGGCTAAATACAGAACCATGCGCGGCGCATTTTACTGCGCCCCTCAATTTACTGTAATTCAAGTCGCTCAATAATTCAACTACGCTAAGGTCTTGGCGGTAGGGCCAGGAAAGAGTTGTCAAGTGTGTAATGGCCAAGCCGATGTCGAGAATGCACATACACAAAACTAGAGTACTTTTCAAGTTGTCCACACATTCCCCACTTTCTGTATCCGGCTATTACCTGAGTAGCTGGTAGCTGCAGGGTCCATATAGCTTTGGGTACGCTTCTGCAACACGATCATCGTACAAGAGAAGAAAAGATACAGAATCTATATTGGTTCCAGAGTATTACTGAGTGATAATCGGTGAGTCATTACAAAGACTGCTCTTTGTCGTTTTGAGGTGCGATCTCATTCGATCGACTGGAAATTCTGCATTCAAGTGCGTTTTGAGGAAGTCGGGTGACTAGGCTCCATCGCATTTAGGTATACGTTGGCGGCACATACTTCTTCGATCGGTGTGAAGAGTAATATGACGGAGAAAAACGCGGAGGCTGAGTGCATGGTCTAAGAGGCCTCCCGCATGAACCTGATTTTCGAGCTATGGTATGATTTCAGCATGATAACATGATCGTTCCTCCGTCCAGAATCTCCAAAAAAAACCTCTGATGGCCGGTAACTTTCGGCAGCACGTGGATCAGGGAGCGCACAAACGCGGGGTGCCCTACAGCATCGCGGAATCTAATTGGGTGGGTCTCGAATATGTCTTAGGTGTACATGTGGGGTGCGACGATCAGAATGCAAACATCTTCAGGCTGATGTCTCACCCATACAAAAACAAGTAAGACATGACCTCAAGCAGAACAGAAGTAGTATTCTTCCGCCTCATTTACCGTTACATCCGCTAGTCTAGTGAATATCTATTCTAAGCAACGTTTCCGATGATCTATAACCCAAGCTGGCTTCAACAGCGCCAAGGGTCAAACATTTGAGAAGATGAGAAAGGCCATAAATACCCTCATTCCTTCACTTGGTCCATTGTTTAACATCCTCTTTCACAGACAATAGCCTCCGGTGCAATCAACCTCATTCTCAACTTCATTCTCAACTTCACATTCTCAACTTCACATTCTCAACTTCATTACCACCTCCTAGCTACCAGATCGCCACTATGCAATTCAGCCAGCTCCTTCTTACCGCCCTCTTCGCCGCTCCTGCGGTCCTGGCTTCTCCAGTCGCCGGCGTGTCGATGATGGCTGCTGGCCCTGAGTGGACTATTGAGAACATGAAGCGGGTCTGCAACGGCGACAATACCTCATGCACCTGGACCTTCGGCATCAACCCCGGATCAGGCGCTACCGCTTGCACCTATGTCGTGACCGCCAACGATGCCTCTGAGGCTAACGGAGGCCCTTCTACCTGCGGCGCTTATACCATCACCTCAGGCTGGAGTGGCCAGTTTGGTCCGGGCAATGGCTTCACTACCTTGTCCGTTGTCAATGACCAGTCTCGCCAGATCATCTGGCCCGCCTATACCGACAAGCAGCTTGCCGGTGGGAACGTCGTGAAGCCTGATCAGTCTTACGCCCCCGCCGCTCTCCCTTGAAGGAAAAAAGCAACACAAGAACGGGGGTGAGAGGGGGAGAATTTGGGGCAGATCCACCGTGAAACATCGGTTGTGTGACTTCATACTGTGGAGAAGTACGGGATTAACGGACCTGCCAAGCCTGGGTCCACGGCAGCAAGATATACGGAGTAATACCATGCAACTGCTCTATAAATAGTTTAATCAAGTCCTTCTTTTTAAGTCTCCCGAGCCGCATCAAACCCATACACTACCACAACAGCGTAAAGCCTGCTATGACGGCAAATTTTCAATCTAAAATACTATTATCTATGAAGATACTACTATTTATGTCTCTATTTTTCATTGTGAGGTACTTATTCCAATCTGGGCCAAACCATTTCGTACAACACATCAATTGGTAGTGCTACTGAAGCTTAGTCGGGTCAATATTCTGCACAACTTCCTCATAGAAAATAATCGCTAGACGACTATCATCATCGGTAGCCTCACAAGAGAGGCATTTCACCACGGCATCCCGATAGGCCGGGCCCATGTGATGCGGCAGTCGCCGCTTCGCTATCTCCAGGTAGAGATTCTGCATCGCACGCGGGTTCATCGTGACACCGGCCTTGAGTTTCCTCGTCGCATTCTGGTGGATACTCATGGCCGTTTGCCAGAGTCCAATTTCCAGCAGCACCACACCGAGGCTATAAATGTCATGCATCTTCCGGAAGCTGACGGTAGGTGGGCCTTGTCGATCTGGATGTCGATAGAGGTTTTTCTCCAGGATGTTGTCGAAAGTGTATTGCGTTTCCGCTGTCTGGGGTCGTGCGAATTCAAAGTCAACCAGGAATGGATCGGCGTAGAGTCGAGATGAGGGAGCAGCTTTGTCTTGGAAAAAGATAATCGACTGACTCCGGATCGATTTGTGGACCCACCCGTCAACATGAAATGCCGATATTGCTCGCGTCACATCTTGGGCGACCCGGAATCGTTGAGGCAATGTCAGTCGTGAAATTGAACCCGCGGTGGAGTCCATCAGCGCGTACAACGAAATTGGCTCCAAGTCAGCCGCCTTGATAGGGAAATTGAAGATGAACGCATAGCGACTTTGCTGCGGCTGATCAATGATGCCACGAAAGTTAAGAGTGCGGAGGTCGTCTTTTCCCGCCGACGACAGTAGGCTGGCTAGCTGTTGGACGCGGTCTGCGGTTACCGTATCGGGCCTTGCATCCGCATTATCTTCTCCATATTTCTTATATTCAACCAGTACCGGTTCCGGCTTCTCGCCTGATGGAGACGAAGTGCTCGAGAGAGTTGCCATAATCAGACATTCACGGTCCAAATGGGCATCCAGCGAGGCATTTTCGAGGAAGAAATTTGTTTGATCAACGGCGGGCTCGATGGTCAGTTTGCGTAGGCGGGCATGAGGTGCCATGCCCAGGCGGTTGGAATGCTCATTGGAGATGAGACTTTCCAACGCGGCCGAGCTATCGTAGCGAGGGTGCAGTGCCAACATCAGAGGTACAAGCTCCTTGATCTTTGATGTCCACTTTCTAAACTCCTGAAGGAACCTTTCAAACCTACGCCGCTCGAACAATGCCCATTTCCATGATTCCCAGTTTGTTGTCGACCGTGACGGCATGAGCCATGCAAAGCCAAATTTCTTCCGTCCATTGAGATGGAAGTTCAACGGCCCGGCATTGGAGATGTCCTCCACAGGGATCTCAAGTGGGAATTCTATGAGCTTCGACGTCGCGGTGGAATTGTGGAGGTATGGAGAATAGGTTTGATAATCGACATCTTGGGCCAGAGCGAGTTTCGCATAATCGCCACATTGCAGGCGAAGCCTCTCCAGGATCGAATAGACTTCTTGTAGCCATTGCTGGGGCGGGTCCACGGTTATTCAATGATATTGGCTCATAATTTCCTCTATCCTCACTCACAGTATTCAAGGGGCCTTCCTTCATGATCCCATCATTCGTAATGATCAGATGCCCGAAACTTTGCAGATACAAGAGCTCGAGGTAAAACTCCTGTTCTCGCTCCTGCCGCTCAGCCTTGCTGTTCCGTACGGATACGATGACCCGATGGATGAATTTCGAGATAAGGTAGAGCTCTTTGAATGTGGTCACCACCGCGAGTCCTAACCCAAGTCCTTCCATCACGACGGCCTGGCGAGTGGTGGAGAGAGAGAGCCTTCCCCAGAATGCTCGTAGCCAGGCTTTTTAAGCGACCATCAGGCAGAGGCGCACGGCCTAGACTCCACAACGTGGGACAGATTGATTGGATTGTCGCCTTGCCATGCAGTCTGCAGTGTTTGGGCGTGGTCAGCACGGAGAGGGGTAGGATTACCCGGGCGAGGTACATGAGGCTGAGTGCCACGCTTCCTCGGCAGCCCCAACGTCTCCGGTCGCATTGCAGACTTTCCGTCTTCATTTCATGAAGTCATCGCAATAGCCCATGAGCTTCATTTCACAGCGGATATGTGCCCGCCGATCGGTGCCAGATGAATCCCGATCCAGCATCGCGGGGCCCCTCTTCGCCTGGGATCCGCAGCCCAGGCCAGGGAGCGGCCTTTTCTAGCCTCAGTCGTCTGTTCAGTCACTCAAGTGTTTTTGAGAGTCTGGGGCGCGGAAGTCGCCATGGCGGACGATTCAGCGTCATTGAGGAATTTGCCGCATTTTCGGACCCTCTCATCGTCCTCAGTAACTTGATGGTCACCCTGAAAGATAATCACATCCCTGGCCCCCGACTCATACGCATGCAAACAGAATTCAATGCTGAGCTGGGTTGTGGTGCGCAATCCGAGGTCTTTGGTTTCGATGAATCCGTCCTTGAAGAGCGCAATCTCACTCTCCAGGATCTTCCAGACTCGATGAGGAAGAATATCACCGAAGTTGCAGTCAAACGTTTTCGTGTCCACGGTGCCAGGCGACGAGAGCCTCGACCCAGCACGTCGATCAGCTCCGAAGAGTTTGTGTTTCTCTGCAAGGCGGCGCATCAGGAGATCGATGTCCTTTGCCAAAGCACCTTTCGCAAACACCCGAACATCGTCCGTCTCATCTCATGGGGCCTTTGTCTGGATACAATGGAGGAGAATGATGAAGAAACTCCCCGAATCCCCTTACTCATTCTGGAGAAGTCACGATGCTCGCTGACACAGTTGTTGGTCAATCCGGCGACATACAACACCCATCTCAGCTTCCACGATATCTGTGAGCTCCTTTTGGACACGGGACGTGGATTGGAGGCGATCCACCAGGAGGGCATTGCGCATGGCGATTTGAAGCCGGATAACGTGTTGATCTTCGACTCGGGCGGTCGCTGGTGTGCCAAACTATGTGATTTTGGGCTGTCCGCCTCGGAGAATGCCGGGCAAACCTCGTCAAGTGTGGAATATCGAGGAACTCCTGGCTGGCGCCCGCCTGAATACTATCGCCAGGGCTTGAAGTCCCTCAGTTTCCAAGGTCATCAACGATGTGATGTATTCGTCTTTGGCCTAATAGTTTGGAGCGCGTTTCAATATAGTGGACGCCACCCGCTTCCACGCGAGGGCGAACCAAGCTGGAATATTTCAATGATAGCTGCACAGCAGCTGGCAAAGCAGACTGCCATTCCGGCTAGTGAAAAGAGCCGGATTATCCTCACGGTGCAGGGAGCCCTCGTGGATGATCCCGAGGCTCGTCAACGGCATCCGTGGAAATACCTGGACGGTAAAGCCTACAGGCATGTTGGAAGGCGAGACAAGATCTGGAGGGACTCGACCATCATAACCCGACCCTTTCGATACGCGCTTCGCAGGATGTTTGGTGGTAGAGTGGTAATGCCAGATGAAGGGCTTGAAGAGACCGATGAATTCTTGCTGCCAGCTGCTGAAGAAGATGCCGCGCCACCGGGCCGCATCTGGTGTCTCCCTTGCGTGAGCCCACGACGCGCTGCCCGCCCTTCCTCCTCAAGGCTACCACCAATAGCGTTCCCTGTGCGGCACGCGCTGTACCTCAGCGAGTTTGAGGAGTTCTTCCGGCAACTGGATGTGGAGAGACGTCCATATGCACTGACCATAATCCGTCATGGCTATCGACCCTGTATCAACCTCAAGCACCTGCAGAAACTGTACGACGGACTGGTGGAGTCCATCCGTTCAAACGACGAGACTCGAGTGTATGCCTTGGCGCGGGTACGAAGTCGCATCCCAGCATGCTGCTGGAAGCGAGTGAAGGGCGGCCGCCCGGCACATATGATTGAACGCTATATCAAAGATACCCATGACTTTTCCACTCTCGCGTGGATGTGCCGTGGAGAAATCGGAGCCGGCGAGCTTCATTTGGAAACCCACATGAAGGCTGTCTTTGGATGTATCCTGCAACGGCCCCGGAACTTCAGTTACTTTGCCATCCGGCGTGAGCAGCAGCTAGGAGTGCAGGGACGCTCGAAACATTTCATGCTCTTGCTTGAACATGGAGCCCGGATCGAAGCTGCGGCCAACTCGGAGGGTGAAAGTGTCTTTCTGCAGTATCTTCATCTATCTGATGAATTTTCCCGCAATGGCTACGGAGATCTGTCCATCCGAGATATCTGTGTTAGCTTCAGGCGAATTGCGCGCAAGCCATGCATTGCACCGATCACGCGTTTCTATATAACGGGAGAGCTGCCCGAGCTGGAAGAGAATACGAAAGGATGCTCGAACACCGCCCTTCACGACAGTGTCGTCGCTGAGAATTACGTGGCAGTGGAAGCCTTGGTTCGATCCGGATTCTTTGTGGACGCTCGGAATAAAGATAATAGGACTGCTTTGTATCTTGCTCTCAAGAGGCGCAAGGAACAACAGCGGTCCGCGGCGCAACGAAAGCAGAAGAATAAGCACAAGGCCTCTCTGGTGGACTCTACAACCCTCTGGCGGATTATTGCTTTATTGAAGCAAAATACCACGCAGGCGCTCGACATCGACAACGCCTCCTGGGCAAGTACGGAGATACCACTGGGATGGGAACGAAAGGCCATCACATCCCGCAGTAATAACCCGGACGACTCGAGCAAGGAGATCTTTTACGATACTTTGTCCACGTCGCTCACATTCACTAAGCCCAGATTCTCTCTTTACGAGGACCGTCGTCTCGCACTCGGGGCTCGACGGTTTTCTGCCAGTGGACAGACCTACTACCTAGACCTATTCCGATTCATCAGTCCATCTTCGTCTAGTTCCGATGCCGATATCCAAACCTCTCCCGACATGGAGATTTATGATGATCGCTGGTTTGCCAACGAGCCACACACGCCCGCGGTTAGTCGACAAGGCCAGGAAGCATCCGAGCATACTCTGAGTTTAGAAGCCGTGAGAGCTCGTCGACAAAGGTTCTCTCCCAGCAGAGCCCTTTCGACTACACTCTTCAAGCTATATTTTGACGGGATTCAAGGTATATCGAAACTTCGGTCCACAAGTGACTGATAGCCCGCCTATCTAAAGTATCCAAACTTTACAACCATTGGCTGGTTACATGTATTTTCTCGGTGCGGTGTCTAGAAACACGGTGATTTGATGGCCAAGATGAATAATCACAAGGCTTGGTGCTCTGGCATATTTACTCTATTCACAAAATATGCCCACTTTACAAGAACCAAGTTGGTAGCCGGAGGGTCAGATAAAGCCTAGACGACCGAGCCAATATCTGGATCAATTCTAGAGCCCGCATTTTCTTTGAGAGAGAAGGGTTCTTCAAAGTGGGAAAGGCTGGATGTTGGCAAGGCCGTGCAGTAGGCTGGATGGTATCAGCTCAATTAGCCCAAGCCCAGTTGCAACCGAATTTATTGGGTTCAGTGTCAGAACCCCAAGGGGGGATGTCATCCGAGCTTAATTTTGACTCTTATTTTGATACACAGGCTAGCAGAATTCCACCCAGTGAGCAATGTTTTTGGCCTGAAGACCAAAGGTGAGGTCTCCAGTCTGCAGTGCATTCAAAATCTGGACAATCCCGAGCACGAACCGAAAAGAACAAAAGCACCTCTTAGTAACGGTTATTTCCTCATTACCCATCCTGTGCAAGACAGGTTTTAGCTGCAATCGGATTCGCTTGCGGTCACGGTTTCACCAGTTGCCGTGTTTTGTAGCACATAGACCGCGTACCCGCCTACGCCAACGCCGGCGTTGAAGGAAAGCACAATCCAGACCCCTGGGCATCCGTTCACATCGCAAAAGGGCCCCTGATGACCCTATCAGTATCTTGTATAATAGCGACATCTACGACGGGGGGAAGGACGGAGTATATGAGGAAGAGAGTAAAAGTGGAGTATATGTATGGAGAATAAAACTCACTGCCATGTTTGTAAAAATTGGGATGCAGATTACGAGAGATAGAAACTCTGTAATGAATGAGAGTTGTCGTGACTATAGTATGAAGTTTCTGCGGTAGCTTTTGAATCTAGCCATGGTAAAGTCTCCTTACTTATAGTTGACAGGCCAGTTGCTGGCCCAACCAGAACACTGGGGCTTATCTGGTATTATGTTAGATCAGTTCAATTTGCGAACCACCAGGTGGCCTTGGTTGGATTCGAAATCGGACTGCATCCTTCCAATTGTCGTTTTTTAATACCTAAAGGAGAGCAAGCATAAAAATGTATACCATCAGCAGCTGATATAACAAATCTTGTATTTGTTAATTCAGGTATTATGACTCTATTATCTACTTCTTACATTCTAAATTGACCCTCTTCTAAATCTGTTTCAGGAAGAATAAAAATAATATTAGCTTGTGTTGGTGCTACATATTCTTTCAATGATAATTTTAAAGCATCAGCAAATGCTCGCTGTAAAACCGCTGACTATTATCACCCCTCCAGCCACCAACTATTTAAGGGGCCGCAACGACCTAGCGGATCCTAAGATTCACACGTTGTTTCATCACGTGTAAGGAACTAGGCAAAGGGCCAGAGTGGTGTTCCCCTGATCGGGGATGTGAGCAGACCCACCGGGAAAGGAATTGTGTTACCTGGATTGCTCTTGGTACCAGTTTTCCTATGCTCCGCGCTCCGCAAGAGCCTTTCCTGACCGCTGACTCACTATCACACTTATAACTACATAAAGGTTTCATCTAAGCACGATTTATTCAGACACGACATTTCTCCCCTGCGTGTTTGCTCATTTAAAGACTATTTAGCTCAGCCTAGATTGCGCTTAATTCCCGGGTTAGTGTGCATTTTCTGGTTAGGCTGTAAGCTAGCCGTATCCGGCTTGATCGGCCGAGTGCCACTCGGTCCGTAAACCGAGATGATAGGATGATCGTGAGTTGTCGTAAGCTGCCAAGCCTCGTCAAATTCTCGAAGGAAGGTAAATTCATTTAATGTTCGGCATTAAAAGTTATAGAATAAATAAGACATTGGACTCCAGCTACTTGCCGACGTTCCCATTACTGCTTCCCTACATTTCAGAGTCCCTTCAAAATGCGTTTCTCTATTCTTGCAGGTCATCTTCTCTTCGGCGTTAATCTGGTTTCTGCCACAGCCATTGAACGTACGACTAGTGAACTAGTTAACAGCACCGCTTGCTCCAATGTCCACATCCTTATTGCACGTGGAACCACCGAGTCGTATCCTGGTTCTTTGAGCACTCTCGCAGAGTTGATCACTGCCAATAACAAAGATACAACCTACGAAAATCTTGTCTATCCTGCCACTGATGAAACCTCAACCGATAGCTACCACATTGGCAAGACAGTGGTGCGCAAGCAGCTTACTTCTTTCGTTGAGCGATGTGGTCACAGCGATTCGAAGCTTGTCGTGCTTGCCTATTCCCAGGTCTATATTGACATTCCCACTAACGAAATTAATCTAATGGCTGAGTCTACTTCTGGATAATTTAGGGGGCGATGGTCATTGCTGACACTCTCGCCGGTGGTGGAGGCGACTCGACTTTGGGTAATATGACTGACCCGATTAGCTTTGACATTGGCAAGCACAGTAAGATTGCCAAGTTCTACGCCCACGGTCGTGGAGCTAACCGCTCTGACGCAGTCGATGCTCTTGTGCTCTATGGCGATCCACGCCACGCGCCCTACCAGCCGTACAACCAAGGCTTGAACACATTCAACGTAACCGGAGTAGGTCGACTCACCCGAATACCCTCTTCCGAACTTGACACAGCCCTTTTGGCTAATAACATAACCAGAAATACCCTCGCGCAGAATTCCAGGTACAACACTTGACCGACAACTACGGCCACATGATTCATGACTTTTGCAATGTCGGTGACCCCGTCTGTGCTAGTGGATCCAACATCACGGCTCATATGGTATACCCTGACATTTGGGACCAAACTGCTGCCAACTGGGTTCAGTCTGTACTTGAAAAGGCACGTTGAAAAGTGTTGGAAATGGTCCCGACTGATGTAAAGCCCTGCTACTGGGCAGCAGAGCAAAAGTCTCGCTTCACTTCTGTCTGTAACATCATTGTCATCTTTAAGCTCCAGAAGCCCTGCAAGGTCGTGTAGTTGTTCCGATACGAGTAGTACAATAGACAGTGATTTGTGATTATATCATCTTTCAAAGCCTTCGTAGCGTATAGCCGGGATCCACGCACAACAAACGGGGTAGTCAATACCCGTGGCTTCGTCATGTGGCTCCATTATTCTTGTCCGCCAGCAAGGCAACCCAGAAATCCATGACCCGATTGAAAGAGCTATAGGGAATCACGCGCATTCAACGTTCTTCACGGACGAGTGAGCTACGCGCTTTTTTCAGGCAATGCGCCTTTCTAACTTCCATCTACCATTATCCCTCGCACACTCAAGGGACCAAAACTCTACGCATCAAGAGAAACTCCTAATACGTACAGGGCAAACCTGTCAATAAACAAGCATACATACGCGTCGAGCTATTCGATTGAATCTTTTATCACGCTCACGCAAAGCCTCCCCGGCGCCACGAATCGCGTTGGAAGAAAGAGGTGCTCTTTTGATAAGCGAGGGCAGCTCCGTCTCCACATATAGGGGAAATGGCTAATATGCTATTTATTGCGCAACGAACTGCACTGATGAATGCCCATGGATTCAGCAGGGTTCGTTAGGCATACACCTGCTGTCAAAGACCTTCCTCTCGGTGCTATGGCTACTAGTGAGCACGGCAGGAGGATCTACGCTACACGGGTGGTTTAGAACGGTTGGTTTTGCTCTCGCTACGTATGTTTTTCTACCTTATGGTATCTGCAATTTCATGAGATTCGCACTCTGACTTGCATGGCGGTGGCATTGTAAATGGTACTGCTTCTTTTTCTTTGGCAGTGGTTTTCAGCTTGATCGCCTTTGGTCTCGATACTGCTGACGTACACAATTGTCTTCAACGACATGTTCAAGCACTGAGTTTCCAAATGCAGCAATCCACACAGCTCGCTACCCTCACACTGCTCTTGAATTATTTAATCGGTAGGTTATATGTACGTAGTAAGTGGGCGGAATAGAGTAATACGCCTCTTAGTCCGGGCTATATATTTGTGAATGTGGCGGACTCTCTCCTGTCCGCTAGATCTATTCTATAATTCTCATCTTGGTCCCGAGATATATAAATAAATCTACCGTTCTTAAATAGCAACAAAATCCTTTTAACTTTAAGCCCAGGCATATAAGAATTGCTACTAATTATATAAATTTATGAGCCTGGGGATATATGGTATTTAATAATTCGACTTCAGCGTTACTTAGCGGAATTTCTATAGTTAGTACGCTACTAGGGTCATTTTGTAGTGTCTGGAAGTACGTGGTAACCATCCGGTTTATATTATTATGTTTGACTTGCACATAGTCTCACAAAAGTGCAGTCTGTATGATAAGAGAAAGAGGTGATAACCCAGGCAGTTTGCTATACCCTGGTCGCTTTTATAAAGCGATGGCCTAGTTAGGATAGCAGAAAAAAAATACCGTAACGGAAACAATCCCAATGTAATACTGAACTAAAATGAACCTGCCTGGATCAGAAACGTGCATTGGAGGTACCATGTTTCACACCACCCCAGATGATAAACTTAGGTTCGAATCCGTCTCGCTAAGGCCACCATTATCCGAGAGGAGTATAACGTTCTCTGGATACAGCTTCCCTAGAGTTGCGAGAGCGACAATGGGCTCCAAGGTCGGGATGACATGAACACCGCCCTGCCTTGCGGTGACGAGACCACGGTCTGGGTGTAAGAGAGATTGACATCCACGGCGGGGAAGAAGTTCCAAATGATCATTTTCGAGAAGGTGTCAGGGCTAGGTGGAAAGTCAAGCCCCTCGGGGTGGCATAAAAGACAATTTGTTCTAACTTCCAACATAGACCAACCAGTAGAACCTCCGCGGCAAAGAATGCATTATCCTTGCTCAAAGGCTTAGGCTTCCCCTGCAGACTGCACTCTCATATTCCCGAGATGAGAGATAGAAGCACAATTGATCAAGCAGTGCTTCGAGAGCGATGTGATCATCGACACCTTCATCAGTGTGTGCTTATCAGTGCCCATTGGAGGCCACGAGTAGACTGATTCAACGGTGACTCATTGGGTCTCGCGCCTTCTCGCCCCCACTCCTAGATCGTAGGGGAGAGCATCCCCCCTCGGCCCAGCGCTAGCGGCAGGAGTGTGAACATAAAATGCGCAGAGATTTGCTGCATTTGCAAGCCCTCATGTCCCTAGACACACACGCAGTCCCCATGGCCTCCGAGCCCGCCTCCCCGTTTCCGCTGGGTTTTGCCATCTCAACTCCACGGCTGCGAATTCACCCCTTTGACCCTGACAGCACTGCCCACTGCGAATTTCTGGTTCAACTATGGAACACGGATGATTTCATCAACTCCTCTGGCCATACCGGCATTGACACCCCCGAGAAGGCCGCCGCTTTTATTCGTCGCCGCGTTCTAGCGGACTACGCTCGCAACCGACATGGCCAGTTTCTGGTGTCCCTCGTCGAGGCAAACCAGGCCCCTAGGCTGATCGGCTGTGCTTCGCTCATGAAGGGTGGCCCGTCCGATCCGCATTATTACCTTGCCCCCGATGTTGGATATACGATTCTACCCGAAGAGAGTGGGAAAGGATATGCGACTGAGGCGGCCAAGGGGATGCTCGATTATGCCCGGCTAGAGCTGGGCATCGATAGTGTCTTTGGATTTTGCGCTGCTGGGAATCTGCGCAGTCGCAGGGTGCTGGAGAAGCTCGGCATGGAATACAGAGGGGTGGCTGCTCTGTCAGTCTTTGGTGGAGAAGAGAGTGCTGTTTATACGCTGCCTAGCATGGCCCAGGATCTGGCTGTTTATAACCTCACTGAGACCATCTGTAAATAAAAAGAATGGGAAACTGGATGATAACGTAACCCTTTCATTCTGAGAGTCATCACAGTCGACGAGAGAAATGCAGCATCCTTGAGTAGCGGAAGGCGGCCCGAGGGTCCATCGAGGTGGATGCTTCTATATTGGCCCCAAGGCGGTCAGCCAACAGCCCCAACCATCGGGCAGAATGGCCACCGCCCAGCCCACACTTTATCGAACGGCGGGCACACTTTAAACCTCCCCTCGAATCAGCTGCTCATCCACCCCCACCCCGTCCATCGAGGATCGACCGTGAATTTTCGCTTGTTGAGGCATCACCCCGCGCCTGCCTTGTCCAGCTGTGTCGCAGTCGGGGTTTCCAGCACCCTGGGTTGATCCACCCAAACTCTGGCGCTACCAGCTACCCACCCTCCCCGAAAGCGCGGAAGCAGCCTGAGCGGATCTTGTCCCGACACTCATGGTTAACATGATGGAAGACTTCAACAGTGAGACCGATAGTGACTACACAAGTTACTGGAGAGACTGGGTAGGTTGATCCCTTTCTCATGCCGCCTCATGCGCCTCCCGCCAGCCCCGCTGGCTACTTGCGCACTGGTGTCCTCGCCCAATTGCGCTATGGATATCTGGCTGGACGGTCGGCATCGTCAGATTGCCAGCATGCTAGTTGCTAGTCTGCCAGCGACAAGGGCGGAATTTTGCATTGATGGGCAACATCTGCGGCCGCACTTCAAGACGGTTATCGAACACAGCTAACTTGACCTTTCTTATCGTTTAGTTTGTCTCTTCGCGAGGGAATGAATACTTCTGTGAAATCGACGAGGATTACTTGACAGACCGATTCAACTTGACGGGCTTGAACACCGAGGTCCCCTACTACCAATATGCCCTGGACCTCGTGACCGACGTTTTCGACCTTGATGCCGACGATGATTTGCGGGAGCAAATTGAGAAGTCCGCCCGGCATCTTTACGGTTTAGTCCATGCCCGATACATCGTGACCACGCGTGGTCTGGCCAAAATGGTGTGTTCTTTGCCTTGCTCTACGTTGGTCATTACTGCAGACGCATGTTTCTAATATATCGACAGCTTGACAAATACAAAAAGTGCGACTTCGGCAAGTGTCCTCGCGTGCTGTGCGATGGACACCCTCTCTTGCCCATGGGCCAATCGGATCTCCCCAATATGAGCACTGTTAAACTCTACTGCCCCAAATGCGAAGATATCTACAACCCCAAGTCCTCCCGCCACGCCTCCATCGACGGTGCCTACTTCGGCACCTCATTTCACTCCATCCTATTCCAGGTGTACCCCGCCCTGAATCCCGAGAAGAGCATGCGCCGCTATGAGCCACGGATCTACGGCTTCAAGGTCCACGCCGCTGCCGCCCTGGCGCGCTGGCAAGACGGCTGCCGCGAGGAGCTGCAAGACCGTCTCGTTGAGTACGGCATGAGCCACAAATTCGTCGAAGAGAGCGACAGCGAAGAAGATGCTTACGAGTATGGCGAGGAGAACGAGCCCGCTAAGACCGAGAAGGTCGCCGGGGACGCGGCATCGGGTCGCATGGATATTGCAAACTGATTAACCTACGATACAGTGGCACTGGATCTTACACGAGCAAGCATTCGGCGTAACGGGGAAATTTTTTCCTGTGATTTGATTTTCCGTGATATACTTTACGAATAATGGCGTTTACAAGGCCCACATGGCTGGCCTTATACTTGTTCCCGACAATGTATCTACATCATTCCCCCCGCCCCCCTTCTTTGCCTGATGAGCTCCCCTGGAGAGAGACGAAATGAAGGAAATCAAGCTTTGATAACATGTGTTGTAAGGTTCTATAATTTTGAATGCTCCTGTGCAGGTGAGTATGGGTGCCAATTATCAACGAGGCGCGAAGAGAATATCCCCCGTTCTGTACCTAGTAAGATGCTTTGCATGTCAGTGGGCTCCCCCAAGCTACTCCCATTCAGGCGCCAACCGCATCTTCTGCAGCTCCACAAAAGCGAACTTGACCGCACGAGCAAGCTCCTCACCTTTGATCCAGGCCTCATCATGTCCCCCGGTAATAGGCAAAACATGCACACGGCGGTCATTGGCTGTTAGCTCCTGCTTCGGCACCTGTGCCTTAGCCGCTTCCCATTCACGAAGGGCTTCCTGCATAACCTCATGCTGGCCCTGGTCAACAAGCTCGTCATCCATAGAATGCGCTAGGACAACCAGCCTTCCAGCCTTCCACCCGCCCTCCACGCCACGCGAGCCAATCATCTGCGCTGGCGACACCGAATCCCAGAGCAGCCGGTCCGCACCAAACGCGCCTTCCACGAACTTGCGGTACTCGGAGATGTCCGAATGTGTGTCGACTATCCGCCGCAGATCATAGATACCCGCAACGCCCACAATCGCCGTAGGATGCGCCGTCAATCGCGGTGGAAGCGGAAGGGGAGACGAAGAGATTGGCTCGGCGACCGCGTCGGGGTCGCTGGCGTCTCCATTAAACCATTGTTCCCGATGTCCTGCTACCGCCCCCATGACAGCCTGGAAAGCCAGTGTCGCGCCGCAGCTGTGGCCAACGAGGATATACCGTTGGCCGAAGCCATAGGTATTCTGCAGAAATGCCAGTGCGGCTTCCACGTCTCGGATATGATCTGGGTGCATTGCGCCACGGTATTCTTTTGGTGTCGTGGTCGCCTTGTCTTGGGGATGATTCGGATGCGGGCTGAGCCGGTACTCGATCGAGGCGAAGCCTGCAATGGGGAGGCCTGGTGAGGCGCGGAGGATCGATTGAGTGGGCTCGATGCTTTCTGCTGTAATTGTTGGATCGCGCCAGGCACCGCCGTGGATGTAGCTAGAGATTGGATCCTGTTGTTAGCTATTGTCTTCTCTCCGCGGGTCGGTTGATTGCCATGCGGGGATCGGATCAGAGGCCGTACATTACCCAGTAGCCATCCTCGCAAGATTCAAGAGGTGTGACGATGATCGTTTGCAATGAGCTTTCTCGACCGTAACTCACGGTCCTTCTGCTCGGCAGGGTCGCCATGGCGGGTTTATGGTTGTCGGAGATCCTTAGATGAAGCTGGGCGGCTGCGATCTATCGGGTCGGGCGATATCGATCGCACCCCCCGGAGGCGGGACAGTCTCCACGATTTATTACGGACGATTGGCGATGCGGGCAGACTCGGTGGATTGTCAACAGAGGCGGATGTTCAAATCCCATTTATGATCCGCTGTAGGCCATTGGATACGAACAGAATCTAGTTTTTAGTAGTAGAAGGCGCAACAATCCCCTGTTAACTACAGAATAAACCACGGGTGTAGTTGTGTAAAAACACCGTATCTGCCCCTCTCCAGCACATTTGGTCGTTTACGGTATTACCGATATGTCCGTACGGCGCTAAACCCGAAAGGAAATTGTTCGACGGGCTCCTTTCACACAAACCGTGCATCCGCCCCATCTTCAAGTCTAACCTCCCCCCTCTCCACGGTGCAACCACCTTTCAATATGGCCGAGTATGTGATTCCCGCGCCCTGTCCGTGTATTCCAGTACTGATATCATTCCAGAGCACAAGCCCCCCTCGCGGCCGTCAAGGTCGAGGCGTTGGTACAGTCTCCCCGAATCTTGAAAATCTTCCCTCTCCTCGCCAGCGATAAATACTCATGCCCGACGCTCTAGGTGGTGATGAAAATCATCAAGCACTGCTCTCAAACCTTCCCGACCACCGCGACTGGTTCCCTCGTCGGTATGGATGTCGACGGCACCCTCGAGATCACCAACTCTTTCCCGTTCCCCGTTGTTGAGATGCCCACCGAGTCGCACTTCGACAACGCCGCTCACAACGCCGCTCCCAACGCCGCTGCCGCTGCTCCCCGCGCCAAGGCCAACGCCGCTTACCAGTCTGAGATGATCCGGATGATTCGCGAAGTCAACATTGATGCCAACAACGCTGGCTGGTACACCAGCGCCAACATGGGCAACTTCGTCAACATGAACGTGATCGAGAACCAATTTTTCTACCAGAAGGAGATGAACGAGCGGACGGTCGCGCTGGTGCACGATGTTTCCCGCAGCGCTCAGGGCAGCCTGAGCCTGCGTGCTTTCCGCCTCTCGGCCAAGTTCATTGAGGCGTTCAAGGAAAACAAGTTCAACTCGGAGGAGTACGTGAAATGCACTATGCGAATGGGAATGTGTGCCGGTGCGTAGCTAACAGTGAATTACAGGCTGCAAAAATCCAACCTCCGCCACCAAGATATCTTCGAAGAGCTGCCCGTGGAGATCCACAACTCCCACCTGATCACGTCGTTCATCCACCAGCTGCAGTGCCCCAACCCCTCCGGGCCCACCGAACTCCCGGCTTCCCTCAGCGCTCTTGAGGCCAGCTCTTTCTCCAAGTCCACCACCCTCACCCCCAATTTCGACAACTTGTCTCTCAACATCGACCCCTTCCTTGAGAAGAACTGCGACCTCCTGCTGGACAGCATCGAGACCCACAACACCGAGGTCAACAACTACCAGTACTACCAGCGTGTGCTCGGCCGCGAGCAGCAGAAGATCAACAACTGGAAGCAGAAGCGCACTCAAGAGAACGCCACCCGCGCCACGCTCAAGCAGCCCCTCCTCCCCGAGGATGAGTGGCAGCGCCTGTTCAAGCTCCCCGCCGAGCCCAGCCGGCTGGACAGCATGCTCAACACCCGCCAGGTTGAGCAGTTCTCGCGCCAGGTCGACAGTTTCGTCTCGGCGACGACCGGCAAGATGTTTGCTGTGAAGGGCAACCTGCTGCCCGGTGAGACCGCTAAATAAATACCAACTCTTGATGAGCAGTGATGGGGATGGACCCTGAGGCTTTTGGGTATTGCATGAAACCTTATTACGGCGTAGGGAGGGAAAATGTTCTCTGGGATGTTAATACGACTTCCTCTTTTGTTTCTTTGTATCCGTGACGAGTTCGAGTTCTTCTGTGTTCGATATATGGACTCGCCATCCGCTCATAGAAAACAATGACTTTTCTAGACACGACTTTGGAAATCTTCCGTTTTGTTTTCTATTTCCTTTATTTTCATAGGTGCAGTCCCTTTTCACTTTCTCTGTAACATTCGTCGTACTTGCGTCCAAGCCGGTCTGGATCTCTTTCTTCATATAGCCCTAACTTGGATAGGGCAATCTTGATCACGTGCATCCCATAGGTATGACCTCATCAGAACATCACGGCATCGCGATAATCAATCGCCGATAAGATCGCGATCGAGATCAGGTATAAGAGAGGGGACTTTTTGTAATCTGCACCTGGTTCTGTCATCTAGGGTGTACAGGGCAAGCCCAAGGCTAAATCCATGTACAATACTCATTCAGACATTTGGTTTGTAAGTCTTTCCAAGTTATATACCTTCACGGCTCCGCAATCTGCCTGCACTATCCCGTCAGCCCTGGTAGATCCTTCTTTTGCTAACTCACCCATCACTGAGTGATGATGAGCGATGGCTAACAAGGCACGAACTAGGCCGGTGCATTTGCTGCAGTCGTCGTTGACTTTATTGTCTATCCAGTAGACACGCTCAAGACTCGCATCCAGTCACCGAACTATGAGACCGTGTTCAAGAACGCGCGCACAGGCGCAGTGAGACGGGATGTGCTCTTCCGCGGACTGTACCAGGGTGTTTGGAGCGTTGTATTCTCGACAATTCCATCATGTGAGTGTCTGGCGAAGCCTTGATATGATCACAGAGGCCACAATATGCATCGTGCCGACGAATGCCCCATATACTGACATGCTCACCCTGACCCAAATAGCAGGAGCATTCTTCACCACGTATGAGGCCATTAAATGCGCTCTGCATGATTCATCGACCAGGAGGAACGCCACAGGCAGCAAGTCAGAGTATTCCACACAGAGCTCCAGAACTGGCCTTCAACTCCCATTCACACACTCGCTTCCAAGTCCCGTTATCAACGCGATTGCATCTTCGACTGGTGAAGCGGTCTCATGCTTCATGCTCACACCAGCAGAGGTAATCAAGCAAAATGCGCAGATGTTTAACAGTGTCGAAGGGGAATCGAGGGCAAAGGCTGGTAACGCCACTGCCATGCGCCATGTTCTGTCACGGTTCAAAGGCCACCCGTGGAAACTCTGGAATGGGTATTTTGCATTGCTGGGCCGGAACCTCCCGTTCACAGGTCTTCAGTTCCCGATGTTTGAGTACGTGCGGTCACATGTCATTGACTGGTATAGGCGACGCAAAGCTGTCGGCCATCCGCCTGGCGGCAGGGGGCAGCCCTCTGCTCAGAGAGAGCAGCTTATTGAGCGAGCTGGGTTGACTGGTATTTCGGCCTCGGTGTCGGGGTCTATAGCTTCGGTGGTTACCACGCCGATAGATGTGATCAAGACCCGCGTCATGCTGTCTGCGGGCGATGGCGCACCACCTGGCGCCAGGAGGGGCAGGGGCACCTGGGCTACTGGGAAGCAGATCTTCCAGACAGAGGGTATTCGCGGTTTGTTCAAGGGAGGCGCAATCCGCAGTGCTTGGACGGCTGTATCTTTGAGCCTGTATTTGAGTTTGTATGAAGGCGGCCGGTTCTTTCTGGAGAATCGGCGTCGCAGACTGGAAGGAGTTAGCGAAGAGTCTTCGAAGGGAGAGACAGCAATCTAGATTAGATTCGCATAAATGTGCAGGCATCAGAAATATGAACCAGGCGTTGTTTCAGCCAACGGTGGGTGACACCTACGTACCGTATATTTAGGGCTCGAGGTAAGCGTGTCGTGCGAAGTGGTAGACCGCGTGTGCTCACGTTGCCTAGGCGCCCGTCGCCGACTAATTCGCATGAGTGAGTCGTAGATCTACTAGCCCTTTCAGTCCCCAGTCAGGGTATAAAAGAGAGTTCCTTACCGGTCAATTCCACACCCTTTTTCTTCCTCCCTTTACTTCATCTTTCAACTCCTCTTTTTGAGAGGTCTTGTCAGAGACGTTTCCGAGAGTCTTTCCAAGGCCTGGGTCCTTTGTTAAAACCTTTCGAGCTATGAGGTTGCCTATAGCTCTTTCCCAATATCCTATCAGGCGACTTTACCGCCATGTTTCACATCGTGTGAGAGGTCTCTCCAGAGACCTTTCTACACGTTTTCTTCAATCCGTTCGAGATATGAAGCCCTCGAAAGTCTATAAATCTATAAATTGTGTCGGATTGTGTTCTACGTTCAATGAGAGACCCTGCCAGAAATCTTCTATACGGGGAAGTGTTCGACATAAATTCATTTTGATATAGTGCCGGAGTCATAGAATCGTATCTGTCGTCAAAAGTAGAGTAGAGGCGTCGTGCATACGCATGCTGCCTGCATGCATCATGCAGAACCTCGGAACAAAAGGGAAACATAAAAACTAGGATCAAAACGCACAATAGGGGACGGGGAAATAACAACGCTCCAACCTTGTACAGGGACCCAAAACACAAAAGATTTCCAAAGGGAAATCCACCGGTCAATACTGAAAGATTCTTCTGGTGCAGCATAGTTCTTATCAAAAAACCAACCACCACTTACTAAACTAGAAACTCGTCAGCTTCTTTAGCCAACTCGACTTTTTGGCGCCAGAGCCTGGCGGCGCCGGTGCCCCGCCGTGCCGACTGCCAGGATGAGACCGCATTCCTCGATCACGCTCGTAGTCGCCGCTTCCGGAGCTGCTCTTCACGCCCTCACGGCGAGACTCACGACGACGCGAGCGCACATCGTCAACCTCCTCTTCCGGCATATCACCATACCTGGCTAGACGGCGGGCTCTGCGGCGCACGGCGCGGCGCGCTTCTTCGTCCGATGAGAGGGAGTGCGCGTTTTCGGCTGCCGGCGGCGCGTCGATGACCGTGGGGACGATTGGGGGGGGCTCAGGGGGTTCTTCAGCTTGTGAGTAGACCCACGAGGAGATCTTGTCTTTTTTGGGCCCACCTGTGTTCCCATGATTCAAGCCACCGGCCATCAACGGCGCGCGCGTCTGCTCCGGTGCAGGCATAGCCTTGGATCGGCGCCGGCGAGCCTTTGCATCGTCGGCGGTACGGGAGCCGCGGCGGCTGTCTAGCTGTTCTTCGGGCGTGTAGCCGTCGGCGGGAGGCTCTTCGACGCGGGAGCGGCGGCGTTTGGCTTTGGCTGTCATTTCTTCTTCGCGCTGGCGCCGGCGCTCGCGGCGCTCGGCGGCTTTCGCTTCTTCAGCTGCTGCGGCTTCGCGTGCAGCTTGTTCCTCGCGGGCTCGGCGCTCTTCGCGTGCGGCTCGGCGGACTCGTCTTTCTTCCTCTCGACGCTGCTCTTCCACTTCGCGGGCTCGTTGCTCGCGGGCTTCGAGCTCTCGCAGCTTTTCTTTGCGTTTAGCACGTCGCTCCTCGGCTTCGCGAGCTTCTACCTCCCGGGTATCAGAGGGGGCCTGTCGAGAGGAGCGCTTTGCCCGCCGAGCTGCTCGCCGGGCCTCTGCGTCTTCGGGTTCGGTTTCACCACCGGCCGCAGCGCCGGCAGCGTCAGTCATGAAACCTTCAGCATCGGTATCGGGCCTGACAGATCGGCGAGGTCGGTCATCGCGTCGTGCTCGGCGATCCTCGCGCTCTGGCTCAGTGAGGTGCTTGACCTCTTCATCACGGTAAGAGCGAGATTTTCGACGGTCTGGCAACTCCGGTCGCGTGTTCTTTCGCAGCGAGCCAAAGATTCCCATGAACCCACTGGTTTCTTGCCTCTTGGGTGCAGTGTTGGACCGCTTCAGCCGCCGTTCTCGTTGAGGGGCATCAACCAAGGCCGCGTCATCGGGTCCTGATACAATGTCTGGAGCACCACGAGCGTGATCAGCATCGACCATGACAGCGTCGTCATCATCAGGTTTCGGGCGAGACTAAATTGGAAAGTAAAAAAGTATTAGAGGCGCCGCATCCCGACGAGTTGAGCTTAGTGAGACATACCTCTCTCTTCGACTTGCGCTTTGACCCTCTCGATCCCTCCTTGGGCGACTGGCCATCAGCGTCTTCCATATCGACCAAGACCAAATCATCATCATCGATCGCGTAAGGATCGCGGGGAGCTAATTCAATAAATAATAAGCCATAGCCCTAAGTCGATATATAGATGGGTGTTAAATTCTTACCTGACTTCCGGCGATCGGCACGGGGTCTGTCCCGTTTCGATTTGGACGCGTTGATGCCCATCAGCCTAGCTGCCTTATCAGCCACCTCGGGCTTTTCATCGGAAGGCAGCGACAGCATGACAGCTTCACCATCCAAGTCAATGGAAGCGCGCCTGGATACCGGCTTGGAGGAGGGTCTTTTAGACGACGACTCCGGCTTCCGGGATGGCTTGCTTCGTGGCGGGGGCTGACCAAATACGAAGTTGGACAAGGGGGTCGCACGCTGCTGCTTTGAGGGACGGGCCTCGCGTTCACGCTCTCGACGCTTTTCCCTGTCAGACGAGGACCTTTCCATCTCAGCGTCTGAATCCTTGGTGGGACGCGATTTCGTGGATTTGGAGCGGACTGCTGCTGGGGGAGACCGGTCGCGATCACGATCGCGATCGCGAGTCGATTCTTTTTTCTCCTCTTTTTCTCGTTTCTTCGGAGAGTCGTCTTCCTCAGGGGCCTTACTTTCCTTGCTCTCCTTCTTGCTGGACTTCTTGGGGGGGTGGTGCTGCTGCGCCCCAGAAGCCCCAGCCGCCACCGCTGGCTGTGCGGTCCACGCGCGGGCGGTCTTTTCTGGACGACTTCGGAGGCTCTTCGGCTTCTGGTGGTGGTGTCGGAGGCGCGTCTTCGTCCAATGGTTCCGGCTCGGGCTCGGGCTCTGGGGCAGCAGGCTCTTCGGCAGGGGGAGGGGTAAGTTCCTTGGTAACAGCAGCTGCGACTGCAGCCTTTTTGTACTTCTTCAGTTCCTTCTTAGACATCTTAGAAAGATCAGGAGCTGGAGGTCCGGGCTCGGGTTCGGGCTCGGGCTCAGGTTCAGCCGGCACCTCAGTGGGCTCATCAGGGAAGCTGCCTGGAACAGAGTCTCTGGAGATCTGTTTTTCCTCTTCAGGCTCGGGGATAGGTTCCTTTTTATTTGAAGAGCTCTTCTCCTTACTCTTCGATTTAGAGCTCTTTTTCGGCAGCTCTTCCACTAGAGGCTCGGGCTCAGGTACCACCTCGGGTTCAGGTTGTGGTTCTGGCTCTGGCTCAATCTCCTTCGTCTTCGACTTGGAACTTAGTTTCGCCTCTCTCGCTTTGTCCTTCTTGTTCTGCTCGAGTGCCTTGATGCGCTCAGCGACAGAGAGCTTAGCTGTGGCTTTAGCCTTCGATGACTTTTCTGGTGGAGGTTCTTCTTGGACGGGTTCTGGTTCTGGCGCTGGCTCTGGCTCTGGCACGGGCTCCGGCTCCGGCTCCTGTAGAGGATCGTCTCCAATATCGATAAGAAGATCATCCTGCTCCGTAGGGTGCTCGTCCTTTTCCTTGAGTCTAGACTTATCCTTGGTTGACTTGGGTTTGGCGGCTGCCCCTCCAGTCAAAGATGCCCAGAAACCCTTAGCGGCCGGTTTCTCTTCCTTCAGTGGCTCGATAGCCTTGGTCTTCTTGGTACTTTTAGACTTGGGAGCCAGATCTGCCCAGATATCATCGACGTTGTCGTGGGCCTCGGGTTCAGGAGTGAGACCCTGGGCAGGCGGTGTAGGTGCAGGTGGAGGCGGCTCTTCAACACCCTTCTTCTTTTTCTTCTTATCCTTGGTCGTGCCCCAGACTCCCCACGAGTCATCCTCTGCTGGCTTTGGAGGCTCAGGCTCGGGTTCAGGTATAGGCTCGGGCTCGGGCTCAGGTTCGGGTTCGGGTTCAGCAGGAGGCTCAGGTTCCGGCTCGGGTGGCTTATCAGAGGGAAGCTCGAAGTCCTTCCCAGGAATGGGAAGTCCTTTCTGCATTAGCTTCTTCTCACGTCTCTTCCGATCTTTGGACGAAAGACCATGCCAGCCCTCGTACAGTGGATCGTCATGCACCGGAGGCGCTGGCTGTGGCTCCGGCTCAGGTTCGGGTTCGGGTTTGGGTTCAGGTTCAGGCTCTGGTTCTGGCTCTGGCTCTGGCTTTGGCTCGGGTTCAGGTGCAGGTGCAGGCTCAGGCTCGACTTTGCTCTTTTTCTTCTTCTTGTCCTTAGAGGAGACGCCCCAAGCACTCCAGGTATCTTCGGGCTCCTTGGCCTTGACAGGCTCTGGTGCAGGTACCTCAACAACTGGCTCTGCCTCTTTAGATTTCTTATCTTTTTTGCCGGCAGTGCCCCAGCTGCCCGTCCAGTCTTCATGTGGAGGAGGATCCGGTGCAGGTACTGGTACAGGCTCAGGATCTGCTAGAAGATCAACCTTTTTCTTCTTCTTGTCCTTCTTGGAGGGAACATTCCAGCCCCAGTCATGATCGGGCTCAGGTTCGGCGGCCGGGGGATCTGGCGCTTTCGGAGCTTCCGCTTCTTGCCTGGCTTTCATTGCATCGTCGTAGGCGGCCTGTTTAGCTTCGTTTGCCTCCCGCACTTTCTGAGCCTCCTCCTCTGCGTCTTTGACCTTTTTCTCCCATTCCTTCTTAGCCTTCCGCTGTTCTTTCTTCGACAAGCCAATAAACCAGGCTTCCTCAGTTATAGGTCCTGGAATTTCAGGCTCGGGCTCGAGGTCCAGTTCAGGCAAAGGTTCTGCAGCAAGCTCGGCAGAAGGCTCGGGTTGGGGTTCGGGCTCAGGTTCAGGGTCAAGCAAGCCCTTCTTTTTCTTCTTGTCCTTGCTTGCGACATCCCAGCTGCCCCAGTCGTCGCCTGCCTTAGGAGTTTCCGCCGGAGGAGATCCCAAATCGCCAAAGTCGAACCCGCTAGTCTTGGTCGATTTCTTCTTCGTGGAGGGTGGTCCCCACGGATTGGTATCTTTCGGTTCTGCTTTCTGGCCCGAATCACCGACTGCGCCAAGATCCCATTTGTTGGCAGCAGGATTCCCTCCGGTACTCCAGTCTTTGCCCCATCCACCGAAGCTGAAGCCAGTTCCTCCGGTTTTGGGACCTGTGTCGAAATTCAAATCCAGCTGTGGAGCTCCGCCGTCCAGACTCACATCCTGGAACCCTCCCGGGGGTGCCTCTTCCTGCAATATACAATCAGCGGAGCGTCCGAATACATCGGTCAAGTAGATTTCGTTTTACCTTTCCTTTCTTCTTCTTGTCCTTGCCTACTGTGGCGAAGCCGGCCCACCCATCATCACCGCCGCCATTGTCAACGTCATCAGCCCAGCTGAGATTGTTAGCAGCCGCCTCGGCGGCTTTGCGCTCCTCCTCTTCTTCTTCCTCCTTCTTTTTGTTCTTTTTCTTGCTTCCAGGAACGGTCCCCCAGGCATTCCAGTCATCACCACCACCATCGTCGCCACCGCCATCACCACCTCCATCACCACCTCCATCTCCACCTCCATCTCCACCACCCGCGTCGCCGCCGTTTCCGTCGACGTTCCCTGAATCATCACCTGCGCGGTCCGAGCCGCCACCCCCACTATCAGCCGGGGGGGGGGTGCAGCCGGTTTCTTAGCCGCCGCAGGTTTCTTCTTCTTATGTTCGCGGACTCCGACAGGATTTTCAAAATCAATGTAAACATCCAGGGACCTATCTTTATATAGCTCGCGAGACTGACCTCGCGGTTTCGTAGCGGGGGCTGGGGGCGCAGCAGACGACGCCGGCGTCTTTTGTTTCGCGAGCAGAGGCAGCGCAGGGTATTCTGGCGGGAGATCGCTCGCAGCATCTTCGTAGGAAGGCGGCGGCTGGGTGTACCATGGGAGCGTCGGAGAACGAACACTTAATTCATTGGCATGCGCGTCCTTACACAAATAATCGGCGCATCGTGGTGACCCTCCCGTATTTCTCTGCATGAGAACGGCCCAGACGTCATCAACCAGTTCTTCCAAGGCTTCTTCCCAGCGCAGGTTGTTGTATGCGACTTCCTCGGTGATATTCTTGCCCAAGGCACGGTGGGTAGCGGGCACGACGACTTCCATGGTGAAGGCACATGCGCTGATGATACAGCTGGCCCGATCAGAGACCCGTCCACTGAATTATGGGGAGAGAACACATGGGGTGGCGGGTTGAGATCGAACCCCCGCAGGAGACGCTGGTCGAGTCTGAGTCTGAGTCAAATTCAGGCCCTGTGGCACGGGCAAAGGGGATCGGTATATGGTGACGCAATGCAGGGCTTCGGGGACGATCGATTATTCGACTAAACAAGGCGCAAAGCACGATAGCCAACCAGCACGACCGGCGCGATTCGAGGCGAGGGGCGGATTCGGGTGAGCGTAGCACCGATAGGCGAGGCGATAAGGCGATTAGATGGACCCTGCAGTCACAAAATCTGTCGGACGGGGAGAGTTGAGCTTTTGAGATGATAGGACCGAGGAGAAGAGAGCAAGGGGAGAGAGGGTTCGGGAAAAGGGATCACCTGGCGGAGGTAGGGATGGAAAATGGAATAGCATGGGGCGGTGGAGGGTGATCATCCGTGATCGCAAAGGACGCTCTGTACATACCTCCAGAGGCCCGTTCCCCAATTGATTCCTCGTCTTCTATTCTGCTCTCGCAGGAAGATCCGATAGAAATATTCCTTCCTTCCTTCCTCCAGTTCTTAAAGATTGTATCATTCAAAAACCTCAGTTCGGGGCGGCCGGGGGCAAAAAAATAAGAGAGAAAAAAGCTATCTGATCAGAAGAAAAAGGAAGGCTGGGACGAAGCGCGATCGCCCGCGGGTATACCTCGCAATTCTTGACCCCCGGCCCAGAAAAAAGGGTTGACTTGCTTTCTTGTTTTTTATTATTATCATAATGATCGTTGTGATCCTTGTCCTTTTTGCTGCTCACGCATCAATCTCCTGCATCCTCGAAACCCGCACAGACAGCCAATAGCCAGTAAGAACGGCCTTTGCACCGTAAAAAGTGATCGGAGCGCCCTATCGAACACGAGTCTCCCCTCCACCAGCGCGGTCGGAGGGGCCGCTGGGCTGGTTCCAAGCAGGGGGATATATCAATTGTCCTTCGAGACTGGATTCCAACGGCACTGTGCAGCCTGCAGCCTGCAACTCTCTTTTTGTGTCTCTGGGTTCATAGGACGAGGGAGTTTAATGATGTACAGAGTATTCGGTACGTTATACTGATTGTGTACAAGTTGCCCGGTTCACCGCATCAAACCACGGAACCATCGACCCCTCATCCGTGGCTCGCGCCGGCGAAATCATGGCTTGACCGTGGATGCCCGACTAGCCCACGGGAAGGCCCGTCTGCATAGAATAACAACACCGCAATCAATGCAGCTGCAGCTAGTGGAATGGCCGTACCGATCACTCGTATACCTACTGTTGCATTTGTATTCCCGTCGAAGGGACTTTGGGGGCCTAACGCAGTACACCCCTACAGTGCACTAACTTAGGACATGACAGTATCGCCACTCAAAGAGGTGCTTGCGATGAACCGTGTGTACTTCCAGCAACCTGCACTGTAATGATGTACAGCCGAACTGCGGAGAAAGCTTCCCTGGTCCAGCATATAAAGTACAGTCTGCAGTCCAGTGGGCGCATTCAGATTCCTACTAATACAAGGTAATCGTCATTCTATCCTGGCATCCTGGTTAGGTCTGCCCCGATATTTTTATAATAATAAGTCCACACGTTCCACTACCCCTCTGTAGGGAGATAGAGCCCGCTTTGGTACCCTGCACGCAAACACATGGTGTTTTCTCACCGCCACTTTGGGGCCGGAGGAAATCCTCCACCAGTGCGCGGGGTGGCTCCGCTATGGAGACCAGCGTCCCTTGACTCATAATGGTGGGAGCCACAAAAGGACGAGAAATTCCAGCCCTGGCATGGAAATATTGATTGGGGTGTCACAGTGGGCAGGTGGTCAATACTCCAGTGGGGTTGGCACGACACCATCTACATTCCTCCCAAATGAGTGTGAAGTGGTGGCATTGGGTAAACACGTCAAGAAAATGGCGTATTCAAAACAAACTACAATACAGCGACAAAGGAAGAGGGAATCAAACGACAGAGGAAAGATTCGAAACAGACGAAGACATTGGAAGACCACACCAATCCTGACCCAACCCTCTTCCAACCTAACCAGTTCTAAACGCCATCGAGGCCGCTGTCACAGAATACGCGAAGCTCCCATCGGGACATGTCAACCCCTTAGGACACCGACTTCTTGGGGGTGGGAGGCTCTTCGCCGTACACCTCCCGGTATTCTCGGACATATCGCTCGTGGTCTCGGAGTTGCTTCTCGACATAAGGCTGGAGTCATTGTCAGCCATGGGAGAAAGATATGGAGAGAAAACAAAGCTTACCTGCTTCTCCGAGTCGGTCATGCTCTTCCACTCATCAGCAGTGCGCAGAGCCACGTCCTTCACAGCCATGTGCTTGAAATCACCGCTCCCATGGCGCTCGCTCAGGAAATAGAAGAACGTAGTCATGGGTCGCTTGACTAGGCGATCGTCCTGGATCGTGCGGAACTTGGTCTGGCCCAGTCGGCGGAGAGCTTTGCGCGCCGTATTCGCCTCCTTGATCTGAAGGGGCGTATATTGCTTAAGCCACGCTTCGTAGGAGGCCTCGTTGGCAGCTCGGTTTTCTTCGGCCTGGTTGACGAATCGCTGGTTGGGTTGGTTAGCATGGCATGCTCCCAATTGAAGGCAGTATGACTACATAGTTGGCATACCTCGGCCTCAGCCAGTCGCTGAGACTGGACTTGCTCAACGGCATCCTTAAAAATATCCTTCTGCGCCTGCGAAGGCGACTGTTGCTTCAGCTCGTTGATCTTGTACTGGGTAGCAATACTGCGCGCGCTCTGGGGGAGTTTCTTTGGTAGCTCTAGAGCGGTTTCCTTGAGCTGCTTGATGTGATCACTGCGCTTCTTCTTCTCCTTGGCCTCCTTTTGCTTCTCCGTCAATGGGCGCTTAGTCTTCTTCTTGGCCTTCGTCTTGTTCGCGGACTTCTGGGCGGGCTTCTTGGGAGTAGACTCGGTGGTTTCTGTCGAGAAGGAACGGGAGTTGATGGCAGAAAGCAATCCGACCTGCGGAATTGAGAATCGAGGGTTCGTAGCGAGAGAGAGGTGGCGCAGCTGATTCTGCACCCCGATCACGCGAGTCCGGTAAGACAAGGCATCGCCGAGGCGCAGGTGTCGCACACCCGTGCGAGCGACCCGTTGAAGAGACATGTATGACGACTGGAAATAGGTTATAGGAGTATCCAAACAAAATGAGTCGGCTCCCGGAAGACTAGGAATTGACCGGGGGAGAAGCGCGCAGATGTAGGGTATGGAAGGGGCTCCTGACGCAAGCGGGCAGGAGAGGCTGGAACGTTTGGGACGGGGCGGGCCAAACAGTCAAACAGCCGGGCGAAACAAGCGCGTCCGAGCTTCGTTTCGGTCTATCCGTTTTAGGCCTAGTTAATTATCATGTGACACAATTTAGCTGCCCCACGTGACATTAATCACCTCCGGCGCAAAAAGCGCAGAAGTAGCGTCACTGTTAAGTCCATTATCTCTCGACGGCCCCGACGGCCTGAATTGATCGATTTCGAACGTGGTTGTATGGAAGCGCGGTGACCCTTCCAGGCCCCTTGTGCTCTAACGTCCCGGTGCTCTTGAGTTTCAGTATCACTCACTCATCGTTGGCCTGCAACAATGGCTCGCCACGGGGATACTCGCTCACCATCTCCTGTAGGCAGCACATACTCCTCATCTCGCCGGATTCGCAGAGAGGATGATCGCTACGACAGAACCAGACGGGATGAAGGACGCGGATCTCGCAGGTCCCGCAGCCCAGAGGTAGGTGGCAACCGAGTCCGCCAGTCAATATTGAAAGTTCACCATCTAACCCACAACCTGATACTGCAGCGGCGATACCGTGATCGCGAACATGGCCGGGACAAAGATGGCTATCGACGCCGTGACCGCTCGATAGACCGACGTGATGAAGACAGCTACCGACCCAACCGACGAGATCGGTCTCGCGAACGCCGACGGTCCCGAGACCGAGACGACGACCGTGATTATCGCCGCCGGAGTCGCGACAGAGATTACCGAGCCAGGCGAGATGATTCACGCGACCGAGACCGCAGGCGCACAGATGATTCTGCTGATTTGAAACACAAACCTAGACGGGGTGACAGCCGTGACCGCGGCGCAAATCGGCGGTCCCGATCCCGCACCCAAGAGGTGAGTCGCTGCGGACATCCCTTCATCAGGGGGGCGCATGATGCTTATTACTTTCGGCAGCTATCCAAACCCACAACACCCGCCCCCGCCGCCCAGACCGACGAGCAGAAAAAGGCCGAGAGACTTGCAAAACTCGAGCTGTGGAAGGCGAAACAGGCGGCGGAGCGGGAACGGAAGCAACAAGAGCAGGCAGCGGCTGGTGGTGGACGTGGGATTCTGGATGCGATTGACCGGAAGTCAGGCCTGCCCCCTGCTCTAGGCTCTCCCAAACCTCCGGGAACCCCTACCGACTCGCCCGCTCCTTACGCCGGCAAATTTGACCCCAAGGCCATTGCCAAGAATGCGGCATCAACTTCAGCATCAACAACAGCCGCGACCGCTGTACTTGGAACTGACGTTGCGGTCCCGCAAACTGCCAAAGCTCCGGTGAAGCCGTCTGTAAGGCCCGCTGATTCTGCGTCTGCGCCTTTGAAGGCTAAGGGCAACCTGAGTGGATTTGGTTTGGGTGCCAAGCAAGCATTTGAGACCGACAAACCCTCGGCTACTCGAACATTAGGCTTCGGTGAGGAGGAGTCCACTCGCAAGAAACTGGAGAGGCTACCGACTCCGCCGCTAGATGACGGCAAAGACACCTTCACTGGCGCGGATGACGCTGGTGATGATGATGATGTCGATATGCAAGATGGCGATAACGAGGAAGAAGCTGCAGCTGCCGCGCGGGCCGCCGCGGAACGGCGAGAAGAGCGGCTTCAAAACCAACAGCCTGAAGCGAATGGCGATATCCACATGGAAGATACCTCCAATCAGGAGGCTGACGCTACCGAGATGGAGGTCGATCAAGCTGAGGAAGTCGATCCTCTGGATGCATTCATGTCAGACCTTGCAGATACTGTTCCGCCTAGGAAGACGTTTGGTGCCCAGTTCTCGAAAAAGAAAACGACTGAACAGCCCCAAGCTATCTTTGGCGATGAGGATGATGTGGATATCACAGCTGTAGGCGACGATGATGCAGACGATGTTCTTGCCATGGCAACCAAGAAAAAGAAGAAAGAAATTCCTGTAATCGATCACGCTAAAGTCGAGTACGAACCCTTCCGCAGGAACTTCTACAATGAGCCTTCACATCTTACCGATATGACTGAAGAGGAGTTGGCAACCCTGCGTCATGAACTAGACGGTATCAAAGTACGCGGCCAGGATATTCCCAAGCCTGTCCAGAAATGGGCCCAGTGCGGATTGGGCGTACAGACACTGGATGTCGTCGATCGCTTAGGCTTCGAGGGTCTCACTTCCGTTCAAGCCCAAGCCATTCCTTGTATCATGTCCGGTCGTGACGTGATTGGTGTTGCAAAGACTGGTTCCGGAAAGACCATGGCCTTCCTTATCCCTATGTTCCGACACATCAAGGACCAAAGGCCGCTGAGCAATATGGAGGGTCCTATTTCTTTGATTATGACGCCGACCCGTGAGCTTGCCACACAGATCCACAAGGATTGCAAACCGTTCTTGAAGGCGCTTGGTCTTCGTGCGGTGTGCGCGTACGGCGGCGCTCCCATCAAAGATCAGATTGCTGAGCTGAAGCGTGGTGCGGAGATTGTTGTGTGTACCCCCGGTCGAATGATTGATCTACTCGCTGCGAACGTCGGCCGAGTGACCAACCTCCGCCGCGTAACGTACGTGGTGCTCGATGAAGCAGATCGTATGTTCGATATGGGATTTGAGCCACAGGTGATGAAGATTTTGGCAAATGTTCGACCAGATCGGCAAACCGTGCTCTTTTCAGCGACTTTCCCTCGTAACATGGAGGCACTCGCACGAAAGACACTGAAGAAGCCTATCGAGATTATAGTTGGCGGTAGAAGTGTCGTGGCGCCGGAGATTACACAGGTCGTCGAGGTCCGCAACGAGGATCAGAAATTCGTTCGCCTTTTGGAATTGCTGGGCAATTTATACTCTGATGACTCGAATGAGGATACGCGGGCGCTGATCTTTGTCGACCGTCAGGAGTCTGCTGATAACCTGCTGAAGGAGCTGATGCGAAAGGGATACCCGTGCATGTCCATCCACGGTGGAAAGGATCAAATAGATCGCGACTCCACTATTGAAGACTTCAAGGCTGGTATCTTCCCTATCCTGGTTGCAACCTCCGTTGCCGCTCGTGGCCTGGATGTTAAGCAGCTGAAGTTGGTTGTCAATTACGATGCTCCTAATCACTTGGAAGACTATGTCCACCGTGCAGGCCGAACCGGACGTGCAGGGAACACTGGTACTGCCGTCACATTCCTCACTGAGGATCAGGAGCGGTACTCCGTGGACATTGCGAAGGCCCTTAGACAGAGTGGGCAGGAAATTCCTGAGCCCGTGCAGAAGATGGTCGACGCGTTCTTGGAGAAGGTCAAGGCTGGCAAAGAAAAAGCCAGTGGCTCTGGGTTTGGCGGTAAAGGCCTGGAACGGCTTGACCAGGAGCGTGAAACCGCGCGTATGCGCGAGCGTCGAACATACAAGACCGGCGAGGAAGGTGAGGACGATGAGGAGAAGGATGAGAAGGAGAAGAAGGCCGATGATGAGCGCTTCAATAAGGCTCTTTCCTCGGTGCAGTCTGCTGCTGCTCCAGCACCAGCTCCCCTCGTTGGTGTTCCCAAGGGTATCGACCTGGACGGCAAGATCACGGTTCACAGGACTGAGAAGGATCCTGGCGCTGCCTCGAAGAACCCTCTGGACAAGGTTGGATCAGCCGTTGCCGATATCCACGCACGTCTGAGTCGCGCGGGTGTAATGAGGTCTGGTGTCCCCATCGACAACCGTGGACCGGATGCGGGCGCGTTCCATGCCACACTGGAAATCAACGACTTCCCCCGTAAGTTACCTTCTCCTACGAAGCTTCTGCTTATTTATGGACGATCACTTACATCAATTCATCTCTACAGAAAAAGCTCGTTGGGCCGTTACCAACCGTACGAACGTCGCCAAAATTCTGGAAGCCAGCGGCACATCCATCACTACCAAGGGCAGCTTCTACGCAACTGGCAAGGAGCCCGGGCCGAACGAGAACCCCAAGCTGTATATTCTTGTTGAAGGCGAGACGGAGATCTCCGTCACTAACGCCATGCGTGAGCTAATGCGCTTGCTGAAGGAGGGAACCGTGGCCGCCGCCGATAGCGACGCGCGTGCACCGGCGAGTGGCCGGTATAGCGTGGTCTAGACTTTGTCTCATGGCGAGGCGGGCATTAATGATAAGCACTTTTGAAACGTGTTTTGCACTAGGCAGATGTATCATAGCACGAATATGAGAAGTTTGTTGGGGAATATGCCTGCTCATGTCGGACAAGGTAGAATAAATGATGTGGACCAGCGACGTTAGAAATAGAATGCCACCAGCGCAACTTAAAACTGAAAGTCAAATATACTGCGGCCCAGAATCCTCGCCAAGGTCAGCGCTATAGGAGTATCCATGAATATGCAAGATCCTAACGCCGGCATCAATCAAAGCGCTACATGCCCATATTGCCCTGTTCGTAGCCTAATTCCACTCTGTGGCCTTTCGCACCTCCGCATCGTCGCGCGCGGCCAGCTCGGCATGACTCGCCTCGTTCAACGTCTGTGTTTGAGTCTTGGCTTTCTGCGCAGCAAGCTTGGTGCCTAGTTTCCCTTTGTTTGTGGAAGATAATGCTTCAGCTCGTTTCTGCAAGGCCAATCTCAAGTCTCACATGTTAGCTCAAATAGTGTCACAATTATGGTGCTAGTGATTTGTCAACTCGCCTGCGCAGCTATCGCAGCATTCGACCTCGCCTCGTCACCGTCGCCTTGGTGCGGGGAGCTCTCTCCTAGTGTCCGCCCTGGGGTGTTCTTCCAGGTTGTGCTGGCAGGAACAGAGGCGCGCGGCGCTGCCGACTGTCCAGCCGGTGGGGCACCCACGACACGACCAGGGCCGGCGAAGGCTTCGTCCTCGTTCGAGGAGCGGGAGCAGATGTTGCCCATGTCTTCGTTGCGAGTGGGGTAGGTTGTACCCCTCGGGTTAGTGTTGCGGGGGTGGCAGGAAGGGAATAGAGAGGAGCCAATTGCCACGAATGAAGTGTGAGAAGCTCAGAGACCAGTTCAGATTATGTGCCTAGCCGATCAAGGGGCACGCAGGGTTCTAGCCAGCGCGGTGCATGTTGTAATTGCGTTGCGATCCCGCGATAAGGCGATAGCCAGCGACGATCCGGGGCACGTGGGGTTACGTCAGCACTTACTGTTTTCCGATCGCAGGAATGCCATTCTTATTCCGGCTGACTGGTGTTGCATCATTTCTCATTAGAGTCGCCTGTCTCATGCGACAACATCCTCTTCAGATGACCAGATAAATCCCCAGCCTTGATAGCGCTTTGAGCCAGGTAAGGAGAGGAGCGGCAGGGAGGGGCAGAACTGCATGCCGGTCCCTGTTAGTCATCCCCAGAAGAAATCGTGGAAAAGACAGCCATTCCACTCCAAGGGGCAGTCCACATCGAATGCTGGGGAGCTCACTCTGAGTCTCTTGTTCACTAGACGGCGCCAAGACCAGCGATGCTCGCGACGAATTTCGGATTGACCGCTTGCCAACAAGCGCCCTACGATTCGCCCGAGGACCATGACGCCTAACCCCCAAGGTCCCCATCCTCATCTGCGTCCCAAAGGTCCTCACCAGAGATCTGGGGGTCACTGGGCATAGGCTGTCAGCCCTCCCTAAACCGAGCGCCCCTCTTCTGCTCGCTCGAGCGCATTTTTCGACCGGAATTCGTCCTCCTCTCCAGCTACATCTCCCAAGGTCCTCGCCGGTCTCTCTTTGATTCTTGTGCTGCACAACGGTCGTTCGCCAATTTCTCCGATTGCGTCGGCGATCCTCTTCCGACGTAGCACACTATTTTCCTGCAGACTTAGCGCGTGACACAATTGTGAGACAACCTGCACAACGGAGGGGCTTTGACCAGTGCTTGTGGACGTTTCTTGCCGCGAGAACGGTTCTTTGTGCTGGACTAGGGTGGCGCTGGGGTTTGCCGATTACGTGATTTACTCTGTCGAGCGTGGTGATATCGTTCCTGGTGGCCAACAATCCCAATTGTGGTCGCACATCCTCCTCGGTTCTTCAACCGATCTCTTTTCATCAATTTCCCTGTCCAGTGGCTTGCTGCTGTGACTAGACAAACGGTCGTGGTCCCGTCGCGTGCCTAGCACAAACCCTATCTATCTTGTCTTTTCTTTCCCTCGCCTTGACCGCACACACGCTATGGCCTCCCAATCCCAAGGAGGCGATTTCTGCCTCGAGTGCCGTTGGGAGGATTTACATATTGATACCAAGGACGTTGCCGATTCGTCGGGCACTCAATGTGAGCCCCAATGGAACTGCACTGATGCCGAAAATCACACTTTGCTGGCCCGGTGCGAGGTCGACGAGGCCTGCTGTGATGTGGACGATTGCGCCGATGACTGTCACCTAGACTGTGGATCAATGTGCGACGGGTTCGTGAACTGCGACGCCTCAACCGTCTGCTCCGTTGCTCACTGTGACGACAATCATTGCGATGATGACCACTGCGATGACAACCACTGCGAAAGCACGGATCCTGTCTGCTTCGAAGATCACTGTTGCGACAGTACTAACGACCAAGATTGCACGTTTGACTCCTTTTTTGGACTCAATGCACCGCTCTCCCTGGAGACTTCTAGTATCCTGCCGCTAGCAACGATGAACCATCATCATGCGATTTACGAACCTGGAAAACTCACGGACCATACATTGCCAACTACCGTTGATCCATGCTACCAGTACGACTTTTTCTCCTCGTACCAGGCTCATGCAACCCACTGCGACCAGAATGTACCCAATCATTTCGGGTGCCAGGACTTTCGAAAGGACTGGGAGGGCATATGCACGCATCAACACCAACCACTTCCCACTCAAACGGATGTAAACCCGGCAGAGGTCTTCCACATGCTTGGGATGTGCTCAAACTACGCTGCCTGTCACGACGAACACCTCACGGGCCACCACCAAGAACCTGACCCGAATCCCCTCGAGAAGCCGAAAGACGACCCCCTGAACTGCGTCCACCCTCCGCATCATCACGTACACAGCCATTTCAAGAACCCTAATGACCTCAACCTCCACGTCCGTGGCCCTCACCGCAACCATCACCGATGCCGAGTTCACCACTCCACCCATTCTCACCCATATTCCCCCTATTCGCGCCAGTCAAGGTCCAGTGTTAGCTCGCACTTCCTGTCCAGTCCTAGGGAGACGCCACCACCCTTGGAAAGGGATATAGCGTCTGTCCTGACGACGCCGGAAATCTCAGCTGAAGACAGTGACTTGCATGTCTGCAAGTGGGTAACGTCAGTTCACGGTATCAAGGCTCCCTGCGGCGCTAGCTTTACGGATTCCGGCGCTCTTCAACATCACCTAGTCTCGTGCCACATGGACACTATCGACGGGGCCAAGGGGAATGGCTACTACTGCTGCTGGAAAGGGTGCCATCGCCCTGATGAACCTTTCTCACAGAAGTCGAAACTCCAAGGTCACTTTTTGACACACAGCAACTGTAAGTTCTCCTTCTACGCCTATGAGGGTATTTTTGAATGCTAATCATCGATATCTTTAGATAAAAACTTCAAGTGTTCTGTTTGTGGCAAAACCTTTGCGAGACAAGCAACTTTGGACCGCCATGAACGAAGCCACCGGGGAGACAAACCCTATAGGTGCAAAGTCTGCGGTAAATCATTTACTGATAGTAGCGAGCTTAGTATGTCCTACTGCCCTTTTTGTTTCCGATAGCTGCTAACAAATATAGAAACGCATTCGCGAACTCATACTGGTGAAAAGCCATTCAAATGCACTTACCCCGGATGTAAATTTGAGACCGGTGATGTAAGCTCTTCGACCCCATTTGCGATACCGGATCTGAACTCTAACATCCCGGCAGTCGTCAAACATGTCTAGCCATAGACTGACCCACGGCGAACGAAAACATAAATGCTCCTATCCTGGATGCACAAAGAGCTTTACTAGGCCTGGTATGCGTGTCTCTTTCTCTCTCTGATCTGCCTCTACTAACCTGCGATCCTTATTCAGACCAACTGAAACGCCATCAACGGACAACACACAAACAAGAACTATCTTCAACATTCCCATCACCTAGCCCCGACCACTTTACACTCACACCCTTCGCCCTCGTCTCATGAATATACCCCCGAAGAAATCGAGTACGACGTATGATTTTCATGTTTCTCACAACCTACCAATCGATAACGGCGCTACATGTGACCGGGCGTAATGCGACTATCCAACGGATGAGAACAGAAAGAAAATGGATGGGAGAGCCTTGTATCTTGACCTGGCCGGGCATTTTGAAAAAAAAACATAAACATGTCTGATGCTGTCTCGACTCCACCTTCTCTGGACATGTTCTTCGTGTATTTTAATATATTTTGTCGAGGTGCTGCTGAGCAGCGCTGCTTTATGATTGGTTTGGTGCGGCTACGTTTTGCAACGCCCTGTTTTCTGAATCAAAACAATAATGGAACTGATACCCACGGTTGGAAGACAGTCTAACCTGTCTTTTTAAAATATAATGATCTCCTGGTAGACCAGACTCAAAAAAATGCCGATGGCACTCAGTGGTGGATGTCTCGCCTACCATCAGATGTCTTGCTAGAACAAATCATCCCTATAATACAAAAACAATGCAGAGTTACCAGCTTTATTCAGCATGAGCCCTCTCCTCCAGAACCTCAACCGCATTGCGCAACTCCCTCACCCGCTGCCCAACACGTCTGCGCACCTCGTCGCGCACCTCGCCCGAAATATCTGCAGGGTTGAATTTCGTCTCGACCACAGGAGCCTCCCCGTCCTTCTCGGCTCCAGCCTCAACTTTCACACCGCTGTCAACTTCCTCGCCAGGCCGAGCGGTGTAGAGATGGTATACGGCGCAAAGCTGGTTCAGGGCGTCGCGAGAAGACTCGCGGTCTGAGGCGGCGTAGATAGTAGCACCATCTGTGCTATCGGTGGCGATTTCAAATTCGTCTTTAGCGACTTCGTAGAGGTCTTGGAGTTCTTCGATCAACAGGTCGGCGGTTGGTTTGCCCGCTGCGTCGGATGAGTACGTTCGGGCGATGGGGGCAGATGATTGTGTAGCTGCCAAGGAGTATTGGATCTGTGTAGGAATGCTTGTATTCTGTACATTGCCAGTTCTTGGATTGCCCGCACTCAAAATGCTGTATAGGGCGCGTGGTGACGCAATGTTGCGGGTCAATTGGGCCGATTGCAGACTGCGAAGACGCAGGACAGGAGCTCCGGCGCGTAGTGAGAGAGGTGCCATTTTCGAACATCCAGATGATATCAATTGGACGAGGCTGTCTGGGCGACAAAACGTAGGTCAGCTCGTCTCAAGGTATTTGAAGGATGGAAGTGTCACAGCACCTTGGTGGCCCTGGCCCCGGAGCCGGAGACCGATGACGTCTGATCACGTGTTGATAAGAACTATACAAATGGCCCTTCGCAATTGTCTTGGTGGTGACGAGTATGGCCCCAATTAAAAGATCTACGATCTATCATAAGTACAGAATTCGGCTCGGGACACCGACTATAGTAATGCAGTACTGAACATAACGGTCTTTATCAATCCTTAGAAAACCCGTGAAAAAACAACACTATCTTAGGCATATGAGCGTAATATCTAGTATCGCTCTCCGCGTCGGAATTGGCAAATTTGGACAGGAATAACCCCCTGAAGACTAGCTAGTCCCTAAATCCCACCCGTCTATTATAGCTAGACATATATCTATATACTGAGTAATAGGATCGGAAAGATGATACCATAGGGAGAGAGTGTAGCCTCGTGAATCGGTATTTCGCTTCCTCGCTATCTACCGTGTGGCTTCCTGGGACTTACTGATCCAGGCTAGTGCTCTACTTCATCACAAGCACGCGGAATTCAAACCACAAGGACACCACTATCTTACCTACCGTTAGATCCAGTATTTCGAGTCAACACTCATAGAGAGCGTCTAGCATAGCTCGTCCAAAGCATCTCAGACTTAAGCGGGTAGTTCTGATCAAACGTGGGGTACAGCGAGTGGCTTCAAGAAGCTGTGAGTTAGTGTAGCTCAGTCTTGAATTTTTGTCACGATTAAGCTCGGACTGCCATAGTGCAAGACTTGGCGCTAGTTCTGTTCCCCTGCAGCGACACAAAGGAACGTGGCGGAACTTGGCCCGTTGTGCTGCATGAGTTTATCTTTATTTGGTCCCAGAGCATGGACCATATTGCGCAACATGCGCATATCACGTTCTTTACTGGGGTAGCTCCCACGAATGATACTTTTTCTCCTGCTGCTCTGCTGGGCTTTTGCGGCTGACAAGTTGGCCTGTTCTCTGTCTGTACTTTTCCTCTTCTCTTTCTTCTACTTCTTTGGGATTAGTGGACAATCCATCAATTTCAGCCACTGACTCGTGATTTTTTCCAATATTATTCTATGGCTAATTACTTACTTTCAACCTTAAGTGGGCAAGATCGTAAGCACCCTTTGCCCCGCTCAGGTCCCGTGCTAACAGAACGTCGATTAGCCCTCCTACTGTGTAACCAATAGCAGTCAATCGCCAGTCGCGCAGAGTGATCTATGCGGTTAGTCATCCTCACAGTCTATTGTGACTTGTGTTCGTGTCTGGTTGGCTGATCGCATCCCAGGAACGCACTAGGCTGGCGCTTAGGTGCTGCGCCTCTTCCGTCCGAATGCTAGGGGGTATATGCGAAGCGCTTTGCGCTCGCACTCGAGTTTTCTTGTTGGGTTTCTCACACACCTTCCTATTCTACTCATTTACGCCTGTTAAAAGTTCGCCGCCGACCACCAGGAATCTGCGAACACGAGCCTTCACCTGAGACCTCACATGTGCCGATTGTGCGACCGAAGATGCCCAAGAAATTGAGCCGCGATTCCTACCGGGTGGGATGGATATGCCCGTTGGAGGTGGAAGAAATCGCGGCAATAAAGATGCTTGACGAGAAGCACCATGGGCTTTCGCAGCTGAACGGGGATACAAACGTTTATAATCTCGGCAGCATCAACAACCATAACGTTGTTATCGCTGGTCTTCCTCGGGCGGGGAACTGCTCTGCGGCCACTGTTGTCACCCAAATGAGGATGACATTCCCAAACCTGAAATACAGCCTGCTAGTAGGGATTGGGGGTGGTGTACCGGTCAAGACAGATTCCGGGATGATCCGTCTAGGACATGTGGTGGTTAGTGAACCTACAGGCATACACTCTGGCGTAATACAGTACGATCATGGAAAGGCGAAGGTGGGTTACTTTGAACGCAAAGGTTCTCTCGCACCTCCGCCAACAGCCCTTCTAAACGCTGCCCGGGAAGTGGCTATCCGGCGCTATCGGATCGATTATGATCCAATTTGGAAGAATTTGGAGAGAATCCAAACGAGCTGTCCAATTCATCTCTTCAAGTTCCCTGGCGCGGCGAATGACCATCTCTACCCCTCAGATTATTTACATGGGCAGAAAGGGATACGATGTGAAGATAGTGGATGTGACCCAAAGCAGCGTATCAAGCGACCGACGGACGCGGAAGATGACTCTATTGTTATACACCGAGGCACAATAGCATCCGGGGAGTCAATGATAGAGGATGCTAAGAAAAGGGATGATCTAGCGCGGAAGTATGGGGTACTATGCTTCGAAACGGAGGCGGTAGGAGCCCTAATTGATTTCCCATGTTTGGTTATCCGAGGCATCTCCGACTATTGCGATTCGCATAAAAACGACCAGTGGCAGGGCTACGCGGCGGCGGTAGCAGCCGCCTATGCCCGGCAGTTATTCTTCCACATGCCCATTGAAGAGGTGCAACGGTAAATTTCTCACTGTCTTAATATACAAAGTCATGTTTATAGCTAATTCATGAATCGCTTAGAAATCCGAACCCAACGCCTACCACTTTCGAGCTCCCATTTAATCTGTCTGAGATATCCGAAGTGACCCGGTTCATTGCACGAGAGGATCAGCTCAAGGAAATACGAACGATCCTTGACGCGGCCGTTGGACGCCGTACTGCTGTCGTGCATGGGTTAGGTGGTATAGGCAAGACGCAGCTGGCGATCGCATATATCAAGCGATATCGGTCTGATTATTCGGCGGCAATATGGCTAAATGCACTAGATGAAACAGCGTTGAAGCAAAGCTTTGCTCGTGCAGCTGAATGGATTCTACGCCATTACCCGTCCATTACATACATCGCGGGTGCTTTGGAGAACCGAGACCTAGATGAGACGGTGAAAGCGGTCAAACGATGGTTAGACGAGCCGATGAACGATCGCTGGTTGGTCGTCTATGATAACTATGATAATCCCTTATTGGGTAATCATACGGGGGAGAGCCTAAAACATACTTCCTGTATCGAGGCAGGTGCATATGGCGATGATGACGGAGATCTTGCAAAGGCTTTTGATCTTCAGACATTCCTGCCCGAGACCGACCATGGAGCCATTTTGGTGACCACACGGTCATCCATGGTAAAGCTAGGTCAGCGTGTTCCCTTGCACAAGCTAGAGGACATCAATGATAGTCTCGACGTCCTGGCTTCCGCTTCTGGCCGTGAAGATTTAAAACAAGGTAAGACTTTAGTATATAATCCAATACAAATTACTATTGCTAACATCGAGCAGAACCCGCCGCTACTGATCTTGCAAGGCAACTCGATGGACTTCCTCTAGCCCTCGCAACTGCTGGCGCATACTTGGAGCAAGTTTCGATAAGCTGTACCGAGTACCTGCAGCTGTACCGTGGATCATGGCAGCTATTACACGAAGCGACACCGCAGCTCCCGGCATACCACCAGACTTTATACTCAACATGGAATCTCTCATATAGATACATTCAGCGGCAGAGTCCAACTGCAGCTATGCTTCTCCGACAATGGGCCTACTTTGCTAGCGAAGACTTGTGGTATGAGCTGCTGGCAGATAGCGGCCCGGAAAAGCCGGAATGGCTAGGAGCCCTAACAGAGAACAAGCTCACATTTCATGCAAGCTTAAGACTTCTGTGCAGCTACGGGCTCGTAGAAGCTGATCCGACTACCATATTACACCGTGTTGAGTCACGGGGGTATAGTGTACACGGATGTGTTCATTCGTGGATGATTCATGTGTTGAACCAGGGGCTTGACAAGAAGATGGCCTGGACAGCAGTGGAATGTATAGCGGCGCATGTGCCGGGGGAAGACAAACCCGAGTTCTGGCTCATGCATCGGCGGCTTATTGCACATGCAGACAGATCTCTGGAGACACTAAGAAATATAGAAGTTGAAGATGAGGCTGCCGGGGTACTGCATTCTTTGGGTCGCCTCTACGGGAATCAAGGCCGGCTAAAGGAGGCAGAGGCGATGTTCGAACGAGCAAGGGAAGGCAAAGAGAAGGTATTAGGACAAGAACATACATCGACACTGGATACTATCAACAACCTCGGTCTCATCTACACAGATCAAGGCCGCCTAAAGGAGGCAGAGGCGATATACAAACGAGCATTAGAAGGCAAGGAGAAGGCGTGGGGGCGAGACCACACATCGACGCTATCTACCGTTCACAACCTCGGCAACCTCTATAGGAATCAAGGCCGGCTCCAAGAGGCAGAGGTGACGTATGAACGAGCACTAAAAGGCTACGAAAAGGCGTTGGGACGAGAACACACATCGACGCTGGACACCGTCAATAACCTTGGTCTTCTCTACGTAGATCAAGGCCGCCTGCAAGCAGCAGAGGCGATGTACGAACGAGCACTGGAAGGCAAGGAGAAGGTGTGGGGACGAGACCATATATCAACGTTATCTACCGTCAACAATCTCGGCAACCTCTATAAGAGCCAAGGCCGGCTCCAAGAGGCAGAGGCGATGTACGAACAAGCACTGGAGGGCAAGGAGAAGGTGTGGGGACGAGACCATATATCAACGTTATCTACCGTCAACAACCTCGGTAGCCTCTATAATAAACAAGGCCAGCGGGAAGAGGCAGAGGCGATGTACCAACGCGCACTGGAAGGCATGGAGAAGGCATGGGGACGAGAACATATATCGACGCTTGATACGGTCAATAACCTCGGTCTTCTCTACACAGATCAAGGCCGGCTCCAAGAGGCAGAGTTGATGTTACGACGAGCACTGAAAGGCTACGAGAAGGTGTTGGGAGCAGAACATATATCGACGCTCAACACTGTTAATAACCTCGGCAACCTCTACGCGAACCAAGGCTGGCCCCAAGATGCAGAGGCAGAGGCGATGTACGAACGAGCATTGGAAGGCTACGAGAAGGCGTTGGGTCGAGAACATATATCAACACTAGATACGGTCAACAACCTCGGCCTACTCTACACGGATCAAGGCCGGCTCCAAGAGGCGGAACCTATGTATAAACGAGCATTGGAAGGCAAGGAGAAGGTCTGGGGACGAGAACACACATCGACGTTATCTACCGTCAACAGCCTGGGCAACCTCTATAAGAATCAAGGCCGGCTCCAAGAGGCAGAGGCCATGTACCAACGAGTGCTGAAAGGCTACGAGAAGACTTTAGGGCCGACCTCACTTTTGACCTACATTCCTGCCTTGAATATGCTTGAAAATTTTGCCCTTCTATGTGAGGAGCAGGGAAATGTTGTTAGCGCTCTGATATATTATCGGCAGGCGCTGGATGGCGCAGAGACCGTTTTTGGAGGCCAAAGCCAAAGGTGTGCACGGCTCTCCAACCAGATAAAATTTCTACAGTGTGATGGGTGCGAAATCCAGAGACAAGAGTCCATTCGAACTGGAACAACAAAGCTGGAGACCAAATGGAGGAAATTGAGAACTTCCCTCTCAGTTATATCTAAGCCTAGATAAGCATGAATTTCCTTGCCACCTAGCTCCTAGGTCCTTGTCACATACTGCCTCCCTTGATATACTCTAGAATTCAAAAATTTGTATCGAGTTTTCTGTGGGTTTTATGTAGCTTAGGATGAGTTGAGGATTCCTGCGAGACTCAGTCGGGTTGGCAATTGTGTACGCATCCTCAAACCCGAAAATTTATTGTTGGATTGGAAACCAGCTGGAATTTTCAATGAGCATCCATCTTATAGCAGTTCCTCCTCCTCACTTGCCCATTGGCATTTTACACCTTCTAGACATATTTGAACTCATCCCTGATCAAGACTCAGGTTCCAACTGAGAGCTCATCAAAACCATCAATTAGAATTCAAAAGTGACTATAGTAGAGAACGAAGAGTCAAAAAGGGACTTCTATTTAATAAATCACAAGAATAAGTCCATACAAGCAACTTTTTGGTTTGTCAAAGCAAAGTAAAACATTCCACTCAAGTTAGCGAAGCCCTTGAACCTTCGGAAGTGTGATACGAAGAGCTCTGGGAGTAAGGCTTACTACCTCCCCGTTTTTGTTCAGATTGAACTCAAACTCCGGAATGCCAACATTTCCATAGATATAGGAGTCCAGCTCTAGCCAGGTCAGACAAGATGAAAGGATAGTACCAGGGATTGGTTGCGCGCTGAGGCCTTGGATGACTGCTGAAAAGGAAACTCGCCCAGGGCTCTTGAGACCAGTTGGTTGCAGACGCATGCTCAGCAAAGAAGGATCTTTCTGGAGCCCAGCTTTTGCTGCAAATGCTTGACCCATATCCACCGAATTGCTGATCCATTCCGTGATTTTCAGCCCTGGCTCGCCGTCCGTAACTATAGTAATGGATGAGTTAGAGGTGCCCTTATTCAGGGCATAAGTGCCAGTGAATCTCCTGGTCGCCTGGTTTTTGGCGATTTGCTCCAAAGCAGGGAGCATAATATCCGCGACCTGCTCTCCTAGTTTCAATGGCAAGGTAAAGCCCCCGGTACCGGCGGTAAGAATAGCAAAACCGATATTGTGGTCTGGGGACAATGCAAAGATAGAGTTGTACATTCCAATGTTTCCAGCTTTGGAATAGACGTCAATAAGACGGGGCTCGCTAAAAGACATAATTTCCCAGGGGTGTCCCACAGAGACCTGCAACGACGCTGTATGGGATGCTGGCTTCATCCATCGTCTTGTCATGGTGGAATCGACTAAGGTGTTGGCCAAAATGGCACGGCCGAAGGTGGCCATGTCCTTTGGTGATGAGTAGATACCTCCGGCACTATGATTATTTTAGTTAAGATGTATCTGGCAGACCGCATGTGTAAAACTTACGGGCCTGCATCTCCAATAGACAGGTTAAACTGGCTGGCGGCCAGATTCAATGGAACCACACCCAGACTAGGATCGGGCGTGTCGTAACTCGAGTGGGTCAACCCGAGCGGTTTGATTATACGCTCCATAAGAATCTCTTGGTAGGGCTTTTGGGCAATTGCTTCGAGCGCATAGCCGAGCACTTGGTAACCTGCATTGGAGTATACCGGCGTAGACGAAGTCGCTGCAATTGGCTGGGTGTCCAGTAGGCCGCGAAAGAACTCTGCAGGTACGTCAACAAAGCGGTTCACATATGTGGGAACTTTGAATGTACTGACGTTGCCTGCTGCATGGTGGAAATGGGGCATTACCGCATGGCAATTTCTCAGATATAGGAAGTGGAGGCAATCCCATCTCAGCAAGAGCTTCAGGAGGGGCGGTCTCTTTCATGTCCATAAAAGCATCTGCCGAATACTGTCAATGTCTAATCACATAGCTGCAAAGTCTGAAGATCATACAGTCCCGTGGAATGCCTGCCTGATGACTGGCAAGTTCCCCAATAGTCACTTCATCCCAATTCACATAGTCGATCTGGTCGACCTGCTCGGACCCATTATAGGGATTTCGAAGCTCAGGCACGTATTTCGATACAGGCTCTCCAAAATGTCTTGTGCCTTTGAACGTCATATAAAGTAGCATAGTCCACAGTTTGGAAATGCTACCAATACGAAACACGGTATCGTCGTTCACTTCCCGAACTCCCACCGACCCATTCCTCACCGAGTCATCGGTGTGGAAGAGGCTATATGCGGAATACGAATCACTTCCGCTAAATATCTGCACGGATATCGAGTTCCCGGAAAGCGCTCCAGATTCAATACCTTGTTTCAGTTGTGCGGTCAGGTTCTGTGTTGCTGCGACAAATATAGGGTCACTGCCGAGCTCTGTGGGAGCTGGGAAGGCGGGCCCGAAAATAGGACAAGCATTGGGTTTGGCGGCAACATAGGCACCCAGCGAAAGCAATGGCAAAAATAGAAGAGGGTTCATTACGAGGAATCAAACACCACTTTAGGATACCTGAGCAAAGAAGAGTTCCCCATGCGATGTTGAAAGTCTTTGTCGCGTACTTATAACTTAGCATTCTTAACCCTCTGGGCCAAATTTTTGGCATCGCCAGGGGCATACGAGCCTTGAACGCGAACAAAGACGGGAAGAATCCAGTACCAACCCCATCTATATTTGTGGGGCAGGCTCCCATAGCTTTCAAAGTTATTGACTGGTGGCTTCTGAGCCACTAAATAACGTTGTTCTTTGATGGCCCAGAAGGACGGCCCTCTTTTAGGCCGATCGCACGTGTCGCACATCGTTTACCGTCGGTCAAATTAAAGCCTAATCTCCTTGAACGAATTTCGGTTATTATTGTTGAAAGATCTTTCTATTATTTAAATCGTATGTTAACAGCCCCTTCTATAGTTCTTGCGTCCTGGTTTTGCCCCTCTAATATTATTGCCCCGGAAGCGAGTAGTATAGTACAGCATTAGAAACCTCACGATATTCTCTCGGGGGTAACGCGATTGCGACTTTTGTCAACACAAAGGGCAGCTTGTGCAAGGGCTGAACCCTAGAAAGGCATTGGTGATGCTCCTTTGACATTCACTCCCTTGACAGGATGAGTTGTCGAGTTGTTCGTGTTTTCGGGGTTCAAGCGCATCCACTACACCTTGATCATTGACTGAGCTGTGCAAAAAAGAAGCATTCCAGGTGAAAAGCGACCAATACCAGCTAATCTACTGGCGCTAAATAGCTGCAGTATACTCTTCAGGCATAGTCCTCTTCGTTCCAAGAGTTTCAGTGGAAGCAAAGCGGAGTGGACGAAGGGGGTGGAGCGCCCCTTTTTCCACACAAAAACACTACGGGTGCGATCTGTATTTCTGGGTCAAACCCCTCTATCTACCTAGATTTTCTGGTTTTCGCTTCTTCCGGGCAACTTCAATTGGCGCTTTTGAGTGATGGGCGGCTGAAAGGCACGAAGTTATGAGGACAGTATATATCGGCTCCCCTCCACTATGAACCGGCATTGATTCCCCCACAACACTCCACAAAAACTTCGACGTACAATTTCTGCATCCAGTTCTTTTTCAATGTATACTATTTAGAATCTCAATTTGCAATATGACTAGATGTCACGTCTCGTGGCTGGCGGAGGTGGACCCTTGACATAGGGGGAACTCGACGCGTTGGCGGCTAAATTCCTCAGGGACACCTTGAAATGCGGGGGGAGTAAACAGATCCTCATCTCGGACATTCCTCCTTTCATCACGCTGAGACAACACTTATCCGTCCGTCGGGCCGCAATTCCTTGAGGATGGCAGTCCTTTTATTGGCTATGTGGCCCTTGACGATGGTCCCTGTATGAGGATAACTCTCTCCTCTCAACTTGAAACAGGTCTCACACCACATTTACCCTTGAGCCGGAAATTTAGCTCCAGAAGGCCGTTGCGCGGATCAGTCGATTATCTCAGGCCTATATATTGCATAAAGCTCTGAGATTTGTTCAACGGCCCAAAGCACCATTGCACGAATTTCACTATGACTCGAAGCCTCCTGGCCACGGCAGCGGCCTTGGTTCACCTTGCTGTCGCGCAACAGATTGGATCAAAACCCGAAGTTCACCCCAAGCTTCAAACATGGAAATGCAGCACTCAGAGTGGTTGCGTTCAGCAAGATACTTCTGTCGTGCTAGATGCGTTATCGCATCCGCTGCACAAAGTCGGAAATAGCAGTATCTCCTGTGGGGATTGGACCAGTGGACTAAGTCCAACCCTGTGCGCGACTGAAGAATTATGCGCTAAGAATTGCGAGCTGGATGGAGTCGACTATGCTGCCCATGGGGTTAGTACCGAAGGCAGCAGCTTGATTCTTCATCAATATATGCAATCCAATGGAGTGGTCTCTGTAGTATCGCCGCGGGTCTACCTATTGGACGAGAGCGGAACCAACTATGATATGCTGAAGCTTCTGAACCAGGAACTCAGCTTCGATGTTGATGTCTCGACTCTGGTATGCGGGATGAACGGCGCGCTCTATCTCTCGGAGATGCTCCAGTCTGGTGGTCGGGGCGATCTCAATCCTGCTGGCGCGCAATATGGAACAGGATACTGTGACGCGCAGTGCCCATCGAACCCCTGGATCAATGGAGTGGCCAATGTCAACTCTGCCGGTGCATGCTGCAATGAGATGGATTTATGGGAGGCAAATGCCCTTGCAACTGGGTATACGTCTCACGCCTGCAACATCACTCGCGTATATAAGTGCACTGAGGATGAATGTGGGAGTAGTGGCGTATGCGACAAATCTGGCTGCAGCTACAACCCATATGCGCTCGGCGCCCATGACTATTACGGAAATCAGGAGACAATCGACACGACAAAAGGCTTTACTGTCGTTACTCAATTCGTGACCGACGATAATACTGCGCAAGGCACTCTGTCGCAGGTTCGACGGCTGTATGTGCAGGACGGCACAGTGATACAGAATGCTGTCGTTGACGTGTCTGGTGACGAAATTGATTCCATCACGGATGAATACTGCTCAAACTCAGCCAGCTATTTTGAGCAAATGGGTGGCCTCAAGCAAATGGGCAAAGCCATTGGGCGCGGCATGGTATTGATTTTCAGTATCTGGAATGATTCGGGAGCGTTCATGAACTGGTTGGACAGTGGAAGTTCCGGACCTTGCAATAGCACTGAAGGCGATCCCGCTCTCATCCAGGCTCAGCACCCTGAGACCTCAGTGACTTTCTCAAATATCAAGTGGGGGGACATTGGATCGACTTATTCGCATTGAACATATAATCCAAATCAAAACTTATTGGCATTTTCTTCGTGGTAAATGCGTCCCAAACTAAGTAGCATCCTTTTCCAACTTTCAATTTCCAATTTCATGTCAACGATTATTCAACATTAATGAGAGTATGCAGTTCGTGTAATCTTAAAAAATCATAAGCATCAAGTCTTCAAATCATGCAAGGCAGGCCACAGTCCCATAAGTTCCTCCTTCAATCTGTCTTCCAGTCCTCTATGTGCTCAAGACCTGATTTACTCGAGCTCACCACCAGCGGTTTTGAGATCCTTCTCCTCATGCTTGTCCTTGTTGGTGTAGTTGTCGTAGTGGGCGTTGTTCTTGTAGTTTGCACCGGGAGTAGCTTGACGGTTGTTCTGGTTGTAGCCGTTGTGGCCATTGCCATTGTAGCCGGCGTTGTTGTTGTTGTTCCAGGTGTTCTGGTCCTGGGGGAAGTTGCGGGCGCTAACAGAGCGAGTAGGAGTAGCACCGTAGCGGTTCCAGTCATCACTCTTGCACTTGTGGTTGTAGCGGTTATTGTAGTCCCCGTCATGGTCGCGGTTCCAGTCATTGTTGGATGGCCACGAGCGGGGGATCAGGGCGGAGGCAACCTCTTCAGCGGTTTCACGGTCCTCATTGTGCTCTTGGTGGCGATCGGCCTCCTCCTGCTCCCGATTGCTGTTGTACCGGTCATCATAGCGGTCGGTATCAGGAATGTAACGCGGGACGTGGACAATAGAGCTAGCAGCAGCGGCATCGTTCACTAGAGTTGGCTGGTCATAGTGGGTGATGCCAGGGGCGTGTACGCCGACACCGGGCACGATATCACGCTTCTGGTTTGCGTGCCACTGGCCATTGACATCCGTCCAGCCACCTTGGCTGTTTTGGTTGTTATTGTTGTTGTTGGGGTTGTTGTGCCACACTCCATTGGCATCCGTCCAGCCCTGACTGTAGTCAGTGGAGTGCCAGACACCGTTGGCATCCGTCCAGCCGGCTCCATTCTGGGTGTTCTGGTTATTCTGATGCCAAACACCATGAGCGTCTGTCCAGCCACTCTGACTGTTCTGGTTGTTCTGATCATAAGGCCAGTTGCGAGCGTGGATGCCAGTGCCGGGAATACCCACACCAGGAACACCGACTCGAGGAAGACCGACACTGGGGGCTCCAACGCCAGGGACGCCAAGATTGCCGTGATTGCGGAGTTCCTCCGCATTCAGAGACTGACTGGGGAAAGAGCGACGCTGCCATTGGTTGTTGTACTGTCCATTCCGATTCCAGTTGTTGTTCGGGTTCCCGTCATTGTCGCGCCACTGGCCATTTTGATAGTTGCCATTCTGACCATTCTGCCAACTCTGGCCATTCTGATACTTTTGGCCATTCTCATTCCAGCCGACCTGGTTGCTGCCTTGGTTGGGAATGAAGTTGCCGTTCTGATCATAGTGGCCCTTTCGATATTGTCCACTCGGATCCCACTGACCACCCTGGTCGTTGGGGTCGACGGGAAGCGCGAGAGCCGCAAAGGGAGAAACGGCCAAAAGGAGAAGGCCGTTGATCACAGTGTAACGCATCGTGGAGGTAGAGGCTCGAATATAATGGATAGTAGAGTAGAGAGTCTTATGCCTTTTGCTCTTGGTATCTGGTGATCTCGAGAAATACTTTGGCTTGAGATGAAGAACAGCTAGAGGGGTCGAAATCGAGCTCGTATTTATACTCGAGCAGAGCAGAGCTCGCCAAGCTCCAAGCCTCTGAATTACGTATGTCACCACAGCACCAAGAGCTCTTCAGAGCTGTTGACTCTGATGTTTGGGCTCGGCGTGCACATCACATCATTGAGTTTTGCTGGGCAGTGGGAAGTTCCCTGCAAGGGACGGCCGTCGAACTTGGAGCCCAGAATCGTGCTGCCTTGCGGGGGATAGGAAAGTTCACGATAGACACGCTGCAGAATAATTTCAGAGGTCTGCGACGACCAATTTAGTATGAGAGAAATTTGATGCCTTGCACTAGGTGTCTTGCTCAACAGCGCTTTGACTGTCCATGCTGGACCTGATGAACCTCGCATGAAGCGGCAAGAAATCGCCTGGCGGAAGCGTCGATCATCCCTAGAAGAGGCTTAAGCGCATTCCAATCGGTCTTCTCTGCTTGAAAGTGGCTATGCTTTGCAGATTCCTGGGGGTTTGACAAGACATTTTACGCCATTGTGCCCGTGGAAGTCGATTGTCGTCGCGTTCATCCGCATGGCTCCTCTCTGGGGGTGGCTTCGGATCAGCCATGCATCACGCCCCACGGGGGTGCTCATGGGACCAGAAGAAAAAACGTGTAAGACATGCAGGGGGGGGTGATTGCGTCAATACTACTTGCGATGACTTTGTAATTCACAGAGGAAGAGCTGAACAGCTCAAGGATTGCGTGGCATGCAACAGGAGTTGCGGTCTGGGTGTCGGTTGGCCTCGGCCTCACCCTTTCAAAGCCAGAAGATAATTATTTAGGGCAAATCTAGATTTCCTCAGGCTGCATTGCTTCTCTCGTTCTTTTTCTTCTTCTTCTTCTTCTTCTTCTTCTTCTTCTTCCTCTCATGAAGTTTTGGATCAATTAATCGAATATGAATATGCTGGGAGACAAACCTCCTGATTTGGAAGACCGCGACTATAACCCACATGAGCGACTCCTACTAGAGGAGCAAGGCCAGCTCTGGTCTAGAGATGATGGAACAGATAGCTGCAGCTTGCTAGCATCTAGTCTTCTTCATTTGACAGCATTGAGCATATTCTTCCTCGTCGGAACACTGTTCGGCTTCTTCTGGAGGGCCGACCTCAATGGCCTCTGTAGTCGACATGTCTCCCAATACTGTGAGTTCAAAGTGAACGGTTAGTCCACCAGTAACTAGTCCCCGTATTAATAGGTAATTATAGCCTCGGTGATCAAAGAAGTGGGAATAGAGTATCATCTACAGGAATTCAATGGGTGGCTTTTGAAGGAAAACGTCTTCCGGCAGGATGCAAGCCCCGAGGTTGATGCAGCATGGGAATCTCTTGGAGTCAAGTGTAAGCTCTCATCTCTCGTTCAATGTGTTCTCAGCAATGTATAGCATGTTCTCCTAGACCGAGCGGTTCGCATACCCCCTCAGGAGGCGGAAGAGTCTGATCTTGCCCGCGATCAAGCCAAGATTCGCGATAAATACGGCGGAGGCTATCCAGCAAGTATCAAAGGCCTTCACCATCTTCATTGCTTGGTAGGCCGGCCAACATTTGCCCCATTCATCATGGTGCCTTGCTTACTGCTTTTTGTTAGAACCTCTTGCGAGAGTCCCTCTACTACAATTACGATTACTACCAGGTTAAAGGGGACGGGAGCTTTCGCGAACAACGCCTCAATTGTGCGCCGCCATATGTGTAAGTACTCTTCTATCTGCACTGACTATCCTATCATACATCCAACTAACTTAAGTAATCTATGTGCAGCGCACTGTTTAGATGTCCTTCGGCAGCAACTTATGTGTACCGTGGGTGTTAGGCCAGGTCTGAAGTTAAACCCGGGGCCGTTTGTCGACTTCAATACCTGGCATAAATGCAAGAACTTTAACGCGATCCGTCAGGGGCAGAAGGAAAACAGCTACCCGCATACCCCCCAGAGGATTTTCCGGAGCCCGCTGCGCCCGGAGACACAATTTAGAAAGAGATGCCGTGAGCAATGACAGCTATCTCAGGATGATGATCATGAGTAGGGCAATGCTGCGACGAGTTACGTTGCTTCGCAAATTTCTAGTCTCAAATACTGCTTGATTGCCAAGTTGTGACGACTACCTGATAAATTTGCTCAACGATCAGATTCTCCACGTTCCGATCTCTTAGAATGCGGGGTTCGCATTTGCCACCAGCTGCGCAAAGTAGGCCTATACATAACTAGTCAGTAAACGTAACTTGCACCCTATTCGGGTAATAGTGTTACCTGGAACCAAGTACCAGCCTCGGGTGCGGGCTGAAGAGCATCGCTGTATCCGCAGTGGGCATCATAGCGAGTAGAAGAAGAATCCGAGGTACCATCACTCTCACCACCAGGCTTAACCCAGACAAAGGCGTCTTCCAGGGAATCGCCGGTGTTGGTAGTCGGGCGAACGCCAAAGCCAGTGCCTTTTACATTGCACCAGTCACCCCAAGCATTCTGCTGTGTGGGTTGGACCCCATTTCGTCCTTTATAAACAGATCAGTCGATGGCCCGACATAACTGACGGTACAAGCAGATTGAAAGACTTGGCAGCTCACCGGTGTCAGTAATGAAATGAGCATCCCAGCCCGCGCTCTGCAGCAAGGGGGCAAGCGCATTGACGTATTTCTTCTCGTCGCAGTTTGAATCACCTGAAGTGTATGACGGACAAGTGTTGAGGGACCAGCCATTGTAGTTTGCGACATTAGTCGCCAGGCCTCGAAGGGCAGCAGGCTGCGATGCATTATTGTAGACCTGGGCGAAAAGTGTAGCTGCTGGGCTCAGATTGGCGGGCCAGCCCAGCCATCCGGCATGTCCTGAACGGAGACGTGAGTATGGTACCGAGTCAACGATAGTGGTTATCTTATTTACCAGCGTCAATATACATGGCCACATTATCCAGGTTCAGCTGCGTGATCGCGTAGTTGACACCTTCAAGGTAAGCATCGTGGGCATTTGCGCACTTGGACACAGCCATGTTAGTAACGAGGTTTGCCAGGCTGTCAGGTTCTACGACTAACGTTAGAAAGATGTCAAATATTACGAAAATATCGATGAATACTCACCGATGACCAAGATAGTGTGGACATCAGAGTATGTCGTAAGAGTGGCCTTGATATTGTCGATGTAGGTCTTGTACTTCGCGAGACCACCATCGGCAATAGAGTATTCTCCATTGCTAGCCAGAGCAGCACAGTCACGATCTGGCAAGTCGTATACAACAAATTGGCCAGCATAAGGAGGGCTCGCGCCAGCAGCATTCTTTGCCTTGATGTCAGCAAGGAAATCTCCCATCGTCGACACTTTGTCTGCCGTGTCACTGTGAGAGGTCATCAGTCGATGGAATCACACATCGCCAAGGTAAAACGAACAGCCAGTAGAATGACGGGACATTTGCCGCTGAGCTCGCAGCAGCTTTTGCGGTACCCGTCATAGAGGGCAGAGCTGAGGCTGAGACCTCAGATGCGTAGTACGAGTTTGCATAGAGCTGATATCCCGAGAAGGGATTGCCAGTAGATGCCGCAGCAGTAACGGTGCTTGCTCTCGCGTTCATGACACCAGCAGCAACCGAGTGGGCCAACAGGGGCACAAGAGAGAGAAAAGATCTCATATTGATATTTTGACCGCCGGTGGATGACTAGTTATCAAAATTTCCCGTTGCCAGCTACAGGCCTTGCCCTTGTTTCTGGGTTATTCACAATAGGGACGAGCTCAGCAGCTTTGCAGCGCATTATATACCTTTACATCCCATCTAATGGCTCGACACAAGGCCGGCATTGTGACCCGGTCGCCGACGCCCCATGCCTAATCAAATCAGGGTCCAACGCCATGTACCCTGAACGGTTGGTTAGATGAGACGAGAGTCGACTTTCGGCTAAAGTGAAATGAGACCTCGATGTCCTGTAGAAGTATGAAATTAACCAGGAACCACGTGTAAACAGAGCAGAAGCCAAGCACGTTTCGCGCGGACAAGAGTCCCCGCCCCAAAAATGGACATGTTGGGTCGATCTTCACGAGTCCCGTTAAACCCTTGGACCAAGGGACAAATGGACATTAGGATTATATCCAGCACGGCCTATGGGCCGAACCCTGGAGAGTTTAGTCACGGAAGAATTTTGCATATGGTTTCAAATGGTGTCATAGCTTGAATCCCATTTTACCTGCGGAATGCCATTACTACGTGGCGGCAGGGTTTAGGCGTGAAGTGGGGAATCCGGGGGAATTAGCTTCTTCAGGGGCTTGAAGATGTGGGGAGACTTACGCCAACGCTCGAAGATTTGGTGGTTTGGAGGGGAGGAGGGCAAATAACCACCGTCCAGATCTACTTGACGAAATATGAAGATGGTTTTGTAGCAAGATATGATAATTGAATATATTGTGAATATCGTTGAAAATGACAAGTAGGAAAATATCAAGAGAGTGAGTGGGGTGGTATCGCGCTATCGAGTTTCTGGATCCGGCCTAACCTGAATCAAAGCCAAAAAAAAAAAAAAAAAAAAAAAAAGGAAAAGACGTAAAATGAAGAATGAGAAAAAAAGGACATATCGGGTCTGAGCGTGGGCTACTCAGCGCTGCGCACGATCGCATTCGGCCAAGAACTTGTAGATCCCCTCAACACCGTCGTACTCCGGGGTAGGCTCCAGCACACCAGCGCCGGAGGATTCCGGCCAATACTGGCGGTCTCCGAGCTCACTGATGTTTATACTTGAGTACGCGGAGGGCGAGGATGTCCATGGGTTGCTGCCAAAGAGTTCTTTGTCTTCGAAACTGATCGCGTTGCCGGAGTCATGGCCTGAATCCCCCGTGAAGGGACTGCCGAATTCTGGAGTAAGCATGCAGTGCCAATTTATGTCATTGGAGCACTGAGTCTTTGGCCTCGAGGCCTTCTCGAATAAGTATTCTGTGTCGGACGAAGCAGCTACGCTAGGGGCGAACGGGAACAGTAAAGCCAGATCAACGCCTGTGCGCAGGTTGAAGTCTTCATCCTGGAAGATTCGGCCTCGTTGGACACCAACTTCGTCGCATAGGCGTTCGACCGTCTCCGCATCGCAACCGGGGAACCGTACGCGGATAGTTGACCGGTCATGGAGAGAGGTCGGAAGGTCACCAAGGGTGGAGAGACGCTTAAGGTCATTCAAAACGGTAGCAAAGTCCTTGAGAGCGCGAGCGAAATCCGCAGAGAGCAGGTCCATTAGACCATCTGAGTTGAGAGTCGCGACAGCCTCGGATCCGGTCTTCTTGTGCACAGCGCTGAAAGCACCGAAGGCGGTGATGGTGGGAGACAGCTGGAAGTCAATGTTTGAGCCAGGGGCGTTGCGAGGGATACCCGTCATCTTGCGGCCGGCTTGATCCTGCAGAACACTGACTGCCTTGTAGCGCTTCTCGCCGGTATGGGGATCGATGCCATCAAAGCGGACTTTCTGACCAGACAGGAAGAACACGCGGACGCCCTGGGATACATTCTGGATTACCTGTGCAGGGGCGGCAGGCCCGTGAGAGAAATACCGGGCTCCGCCAAATCGTCCAGCCCCAACGGCATATCCGCCCGCAGTGCGACCCAGAGTCCCTCCGGTCAAGTTGGGACGGAGGGTAGACGCAAAAGGTGCGCGACTCGTAAGTCGGCTAATTTTGGAGGCGACGCGACCGGTCTTGTATGCACCAATGTCGGCCTGGACACCAGATCGGATGGCAGAGACGAAGGCATCAGCGGCACGGGTGGAGAAGTGGCGGCTCCGGGCCTGTCGGATGGCAGCGACTCGATTGATGGGCTGGCGAGCATTGATGCGGGCATAAGCTGGTTGGTATCGTAGCGTAGCATGTTGTGTAGGTTCTGGTAGTTTGGCTCTTATGGCCTTGGAGGCTTTCTCATAGGCAAACCTGAAGGAACACGGGGTTAGAGGATGACTCAGATCAATCTGGGCGTCTGGAAATCGAGGTCAACGTACCTTGCTGCTCTCCATATTTTGGGGAGCAACAGGTGCCCAGGGGCAGGCGCCATGTTGACAGTTCGGAGATAGAATAGCACGCCGGGGAGCGTGAGGTGGATGAGAGAGGAGTGCCTGATGACGCGGGAGGAAACGGGCTTTATCAGTCCGCCCCAGGCCGCTTTCCCCAGTGGCGGTGCAGCGCCAACATGTGACTCCACATGATTGGCGTCGAGTGGCTGGTGTGTTGTGGAGCCGCCCCACTTGGGTGCAGAGTGTGCAGTATACGATCTACGAAGTATTCTTGGGACGAGGTCATCGAACAGAGTCTGGGAAATATCGAAAGGCCTGAAGACGAGTCATGTATCCAGTTTATAGTTTCCGTAAAGCCGACAATGACCGTATGTCAATCATGTGTGGAGTTTCATGTCGAGCAGCTGGAAGAATTTTTTTCAGTGATAGCAATAAGAGTGTTGTCGAGTCCAAAAAAAACCTCGGCGAAGTGATATATCCCACAGTAGGAACAAACAGATGAGGTGTTGGCCAGTAGTAGCTTATATCCCCCCATACTAGTTAGCCATGTTATCGGAAGTAACTACAGTAATGCCCGATACCACGAGGGAGGCATCCTGCCAGTAGGAGAGAGTGGAGCAGCAATGGGTATAAAATGAGTACCATCAGATAGCATCTGGAAATGTGAGTTTTTGGATCTTTCCCGCGCTAAAAATCCCTAGCTTCGCTACCCGGAAATCGTTGCTCTCTTCACTTGCAGTTTGGTTCGGCAATTCTCACCACGTCGGTGTCGCCGGAAGCCACTCGAGAAAACCCGCTGAAGTCTGTCAGCTCATGCTCCTGTCCATTCGCACGAGCAGGGCTTCTTGATGGCTGCCAATCATCTTCCGAGAATGCTTGATCTGGTCGCACCAGGGCGATGAGACGATTGAGGACGGCAAACTCCAACTTCAGCTTGATGCTGTACACCAGGGACTTGAGAGTGGTTTGAATCACGAAGTAGTTCAGAAACTCCATAACCAACAGCACCACATCCATCAAGATAATGAAGATATTGATGGATAGTACCAGCCACATGGTCTGTCGATGAGAGCGATGAATCCGGGAACTCGGGGGCACGACGCGCAGGTTCCGAATCGTCTGCATGGCATAGAGGCCAGAGATAATGAATTCTTGCAGGGAAAAGCCGATCAGCTGGATACGCTCCATGATTGAGTAGGCCTGATTCCATCTGTTGTTTCCGTCGAAATTGGAGCCATAGGTGGCAATGGTCGTGGGGACATGCAGGATAATCGCATTGGTGATGATCATGATTAGGACGCGACGGAGAATTTTGGGGTCATGCACGAGCAGATTCAGGCGAGAGTAGAGCACGATCGCCTGGCCAGTGACCATAAAATACCAACCGATCGTGGACAAGGTGAGGGAAAACCAGAGCGGTGCCAGGCTCCGATATTTCAAGAGGAAGCTGACGGCCTGTGGAACCACCCCAAGCAGGCCGCTCAGCAGCAGGCTCCAGAAGTAGAGACCACGCCAGTGTCGAAATGTACATAAAATGAGGACGACGAGCTCCAGCGAGTTGTACAGCGCGATGCTCAGCAATGTCGTAAAACTCACGATCAACAGGGAGCTTTGGCCAGTGTATGCGCCAACCATCCCGTCCACGACGGATGACGGGTCAGACATGGCGCAGCGAACCTGGACGGTCGGACCCGATCAGAGCGGAGCGAAATTGCGAGTGTGCCCATGAAGTGCGACAAGTCGTGTTTGGAAGCGAGCAATGTGCAGGTATGAGAGAGAGAAAGGCACGGGGTGGACGTGAGGGTTCCGTGTCAATATCCACATAAGCAGGCCAGAAATCCGCTGCGCCGGTTTTCTTCACGAACTGCCCGGGCGTGTCTACTCTTGCCCTCTCATCGATTCCCTGCTCTCTCTGTCAGTGAGGGTAGCACGGAACACCCTCGCTCGAATCCTGCAATGAGTGCGCAATCTCACGTCTACTCTCTGTTCTGTTCCTGGGCCTCCCACGAAGTTTATACCCCGCTCCGTTCAGCCGAGGGCTAAATGTCGCTCACCTTTAAACTAAGCGACACGCCCCCTGAATCCAACACCAGCCACACTTGCACGTCCCTTTTTATTCCGCGACGTCCAGTGAGCAGACTCCCACGTTCTTCGTCGGCCGAGCCATCCCCCGGACATCTCCTTGGTCTTCACGCACACTCCACCTGCTCGTGAGGCGGAGAACCCCTGGAGTTGAGATCGGGGCCAATGAAACCCATGGCCCTGGGAACCCTCGGTCGCATGTCGTTTCAAGGCTGCAGATCGCCTGTAGCAACGATGGTGTCGATGTTGTGTTTACTGGATTGACGAACATCTCCGGGTCGGCTGGTGGTGTCTTTCAACTCCTCCACCAGCCATCCCCGAGACATACACGAAGGCATCAGGCTGCCATTCCACAAATCAAATTGTGTCTCACCCCGACACTCCGCTAGACCCCTGTGATAGCGGTGATTTGGCGCGCATATGATCAAGCCCCCCGAAACGAATTGCGTAATCCTCATTAAACTACTAGCCACCTGCGCCACAAGTCGAGAGAAATTGCAGGGGAGAAAGCGATCTTTGATCCCCCATCGCCCACTGTATAAAAGCAGACGGACTCTTTGATGATAGATTGGTGGAAGTCCCCATGCCGAAAGGGTCGAGGGTCTGGGAGCAAGCGCTGATCAGGCAACCCCGTGGGGAATCGGCGAGCTTCCCCGGCCATCAAGCCCAGTTGTGGCCTGTGCTCTGGACGGGCCCAAGCTCGTCCCTGGATCCACGTGGGAGTGTTTCCAGCATCGGGCCATAACGGTAGTTCGAGCTGGGATCGACGAGCTATTTCCGTCACTTGAAAATTTCAAACCCCTTGGTGGCGTTTATGGCCGGTTCTCACATCCGAACGGGTAGCGTGCAAATTCCACGCGCTACGCGGGTCCCGTCGCTGGTCGGTATTCTCCTCCGAATGCTAGCGCCTGAGGCTTCTGGGGCCCGTGTCGGACCAACTCGCACAGAAGCAAAGAAAATCCAGTCTAGACCGACGAATTGAAATTTCGCCACTCGGCATCACAACACCCAAGCGCTTGATATGCATGGTCAGGCGGAATGCTGCTGCTGGACTAATCCCGAAGCGGGTCAGGGCAATCGAGTGCATGTCTAGCGGTGGCGAGAGCCGCAGTGGTATACAGAACCGAGCCGTCTAGCAAACACCGTGAGGTTTTCTTTCCAATTCCAAGGGCCGCGAGTCTGCTGGCTCCTTCCCATCTTCGTCCTTGTGTGTGTTATGGCAGAGGAATTCCACTGTTTCCCTCAGCTGCCCGCGGAAGTCCGTCGCATGGTCTGGAAAGAATGTCTGCCGAAACGTCGCGTCTTTGATACCATGCTGCCATGCTTCGTCTACGAGAACTCGACCTGTCGGGGAAATGGTTGGGCGTCCCGAGAAGGCTGGAGAGCGCCCATTATCACCCGGGTCTGCCACGAGTCGCGCGCGATCGCGTTCGAAACAGGCCGGGTGCTCTTCCCTGAGGACGACCCCAATGTACCCGCCTACATTGAGAGCATGTGGTCCGACTCCACGACCGATATCGTGGCTCAGTACTGGCGCCCTGGGCTCGAGAGTGTCGTTTATTGGGCGATCGACGACCCGGACCCGTATCTCTTTCACTACGCATCTCGCTATCAAGGGGCAATGATCGCCGAAGAGCGGCTCCAGGCGGCTTTGCAATCGACGAACACGTCCGACTGGACGATCCTCGCGCGGCTGAAGGACTGCTACGTCTGTCTGGCCAACCCCGTCATGATCCATCTGACCCGGAGGGAAATGCTCGCGTCGCAATTATTCGGTCGCCTAGGAGAAGAATACACCCAGCTGATCGACCCGGCCGACCAGCAAACCTTGAAGAAATTCCACCAGCTGGCGCGGACCTCGAGCCAGCAATTACCAGAGACCATGAAGTTTTTCGACCAACTCTGCACCCCATCATTCCAGTCCCAAATGCACACCTGGAGTCACGACACCATGTCCCATTGGATTTGGAAAGAATGGCTGAAAGAAAAACAGACGAATTTCAGCGGGATCGCGCGCCCCGACTTGATCTGGATGGGACCGCCAACGCCAACGAACGGCCGGCCGTTCGACCCGCTTTCGCCGCACTCTTTCACCCAACAGGGCCTTTTCGTCCCTAATCTCTTGGATGCGAGCCGCTTCTCATACAACGGCAACCACCCGTGGGTGAGAGAGAAGCTGGCCGCAGCCCCCCGGTTCTACCCCCGCATTATGATCCGCCCTTGCATTCAGCAATGTTGGCGTCCTCGAACCCCGCCGCGACGAGGCCGACCACGAGGACATTACCGAGCGGGAGGAAGATGACCTGACCCTTTTCTTTTGTGTTTCCTTTCTCTCTTTGCCGAGCCATGGTGGAGCTGCCACTCGAGGGAAACCCGGTGTGGTATTCTCGAACGGGCGACTCTGTACCGCCATGGCCCGCTCTGGGTCGTGCAATGGGTCGCGAAGGCGTTGGGGCCTCTGATCACATCTCATCTCCAAGCGTACACGATGCACACCCATAACAGACCTTTTGCCTGTGGTTAGAGCTATGAGTATCTAAGCGCAGATGTGTGCAGGCATTCCCGCTACTTCTCTCCACTGCCTTGCCTCCGCCACACGGCCGGCATAGTGATATCTCTCCGCAGATCAGAGAGAACATCGACCTGGCCCCAAGCATGTCCTACCTTTGAATGGGGGACCCGATAGCGGTCAACCTGTCTGCATGACCTTTCTCCTGGCATTGTCACGCACCACGGCACAGGCCATGCTACGGCGCGGTCCTTGGACCGCACTGCCGTGTGCAATCCCATCACTTGTACTTTTTACTCCATGGATCATGGAATCAGATGGATGCCAGCATTCATGTACTGGGTGAAATAGGGAAGTGGTAATACATAACGATTCACGAAGAGTCGCCAAACAAAATCCAATGGTCTTGGTATCTAAATCCTATGTACTCATCAAAGCATCATCATATCCGCGGGGTGTAAGGAAGCTTTTATCCTTTTTTTTAAGCCAGCAAAAGTCCCCTAGGCTCTACTCGTCATCGCCAAAGAAAACCTTAATAGGCAGCCAATCATCCCCACAAACCTTGAACCGATCCTTCAGGTTGTCCAGCTGGTTCACCTCCTCCTCCGACAAAGTCCACCCATCAATCTCAAAGTTAGCCTCGATGCGCGCCTTGCTCACAGACTTGGGGATGACGCTCCAGCCCTTCTGGATGCCCCACACCAGCAGCACCTGCTGAGGGGTCTTGCCCTTCTTCTCGGCGAGTGCCAGCAGGGTGGGGTCCTTGTAGAGCGGGGAGTTGGTCGAGCCGAGGCACGAGTAGCCGGTGCAGTGGATGCCCTTGGAGGCGTTGTAGGCGACCAGCTTGGGCGAGGGGTTATTGGGGTGCAGCTCGATCTGGTTGACGGCGGGGACGATCGTGGTGGATGGGTGGTTGAGGAGAATCTCCAGGTTCTTGATGCCAAAGTTGGAGACGCCGATGTTGCGGACTCTGCCGGTGGCGGGCAGCTTTTGCATGTCTTGCCTGTGGTTCGGGGCGTGAGTTTTAATGTTTCCTGCAGCAAGTTTGGGTTTGGGTGGGGGAAGTCTAGATAAGATAGGATGGGCCGGGGGCCGGTTGGGTGTGGAGCTTACCAGGTCTTGATGAAGTCCCAGTCGGGCAGGTGCTTAGACTTGTCGTTGGGGTCGGTCGAGCTGGGCCAGTGCACCAGGTACAGGTCGACGTAGTCCACGCCCAGGTTCTTGAGGGAGGACTCAATACCCTTTTCGACGCAGTGGTGCCAGGTGTTGTCCAGCTTGGTGGTGAGCCAGATTTGGTCGCGCGGCACGCCGGAGTCGCGGATGCCCGCACCAACCTCGGCTTCGTTTTCGTACGCCAGGGCCGTGTCGATGTGGCGGTAGCCCTTCAACAGGGCGTCCTTGACGGCCTCGCGGACCTCATTGGGCTGGGACTGCCAGGTACCCAGGCCGATAGCGGGGATCTTGGCGCCGGTGTTAAGGGTGTAGGTCTTTCTGGAGAGGAGAGAAGAGAAAAAGTTCAGTGATCGTGTGCGCGGAGGCATATCGGGCGTGAGGGGAGCTTACTGGGTGTGCTGGTTCGACATGCTGGCGGTGCTGGGAAAAGGCGGGGTGGTGAAGGGCAAATGGTGTATCTCGAAAAAAGCAGCTAGGAATAAAGAGGGCAATCGCAGGGTCTTTTATAAGCACCAAGGCGCGCAAAGCGCAAACCAGTCGGAGCATTGCGACATAAAAGCGGGCAGGTCCACGCCGCGAGAATGTCACTGTGGAGGAGCAGACTCTATCTTGTGGTGTCAAATGTGGAGAACTAACTTTCCCTCCCCTGTCTTTCTGCGCCGCGCAGTCAGAAGTAGATGTACTTCGCGGAGTTTCGGTGAGAAGAGCGACTATCAGCGACGATCACTTCGGTTGAATATGCGAACAGTTTCCCCGATTCACCATGTAAGACGATCACCATGTACCACGCCCGCCCACGTCGGCATTCGATAATTAACCACCTGGGTGAAATGCAGGGCCCACGCTCGGGCCAACTGCCAAGCTCAATTGGCCCTGCCGCAGGCCGAGGCTCCACTCACGATTTGGGGGCAGTTCCGGCGGAACTCCAACGTCGTGCCTCATTTCACCATTCCAGAAAGTTCGCGGTCTCACAGCCCCCGCCCCTCCAATCCCGACAAATTGATCCCGATTCTTTCGGTCCAATTGGCACGCCCCGAAACAGACCCTGCTCACCCACCCTGACCCCGTCACTGGCCCTCGCCCGGTTAATTTCACGCTCCACCCGAGTCCACGTGCATTGTCCCCGAGCTCGTTCCCTGGCCGCCCATCCCTCGGGAAAATACCAGACGGACTTACCCCCCGCTCCTATTTTCCCGGCCATTGTCGTCATGTCTTCAGGCTTCGTGTCGGCCGGGACGAATGAGGCGCCCATAGAGCGAGACGATGCCTGGCTGAAGGCACAGCAGGAGCTGGAGGAGGAGCGGCGGCGCAAGGTCGAGGCAAGCCAACAAGAGGGCGGGAAGAGCCTCTTTGAAGTGCTGCAGCAGAACAAAAGTGAGCGTTCCCCCGCACTGCAACCCACTGGGGCGCGCCTGCACACGCTCCGCGTCCGACCAGGCCCCGGGCAGGTCTCGATGTGGACGGCCCGCTGGCTGCGAGGGTAGGGCACAAGCTTAGGATGCGCGGCTGACATACTAGGGTGACCGTGTTTCGAGCAGTGGCGAAGCAGGAACAATTTGAGGAGAAAATGCGGCTGAAGAACCAGTTCCGCGCACTGGACGAGGACGAGGTTGATTTTCTCGACTCCGTGCTCGAGTCCACCCGCGCGCAGGAGGAGGCAGTGAAGAGGGATACGGCGGACCAGCTGGAGGCCTTTCGCAAGCAGCGCGAGGAGGCAGAGAAGGCGCTGCTGGGGCCGACCTCGTCGGAGGTGACGCCTGCCGAGGAGGAGGAGTGGGCGATTCATGCGCGCAAGAGGAGGCGGGAGAAGGGCAAGGATTTGCTTCATCCGGGCAAGAAGCGCAAGGCTTCTGTGACGGGGGAGTCTGGGAAATCGGCCGGTGCGACGAAAGAGCATGAGGCGCGGAAGATGAGCCAGCGTGGCGGCCCGGCTACGGCACAGACTGATACAGAAGCTACCAAGCCAACGGCAGATTCGGCAGATATTGATACCTCAAGGCGCACGACGGCTGCAAATGCCGCGATGGGCCCATCAAAAAGCCGGGCCACGTCAAGTAGGACGGCTAAGATTACGGCAGATACCACGCAAGCAGCTAAACCGGCGCCCGTTTCACTGGGGCTAGTGGGATACGGATCCGAATCCGACTCCGCTTCAGAATGAATACATGTTCCCAAAGGGCAGACTCCTACTCCACATACACTGGGATCACACCCTCGCCCCAGCCTCATCTCATTCACTCTACTTCCATTCCATCTAGTCCAGTCTAGTCCAGGCCATCCCCCCAAACAAACTACTCAAAATAGTTCTACTCATAATGCACCGCATTCTGCTTCACCTCCTGCTCCTCAACCTTCCTCTCCAAATCATGCGGCAGATAATCCTCCTTCTTGGAACCAGGCACGAACCACGGCGCATTCGAGAACATATAATTCATCTCCTCCAGCGGCACCTGCTTCGTCTCCGGCAGGAGGAAATAGAAGAACACGGCATTCGTGAAATTGCAGATCACAAACAGGAAGTAGTACCGATAGTGGATGTTGTCCATGGCGATGGGGGTGACCTGGCCGATCATCGTGTTGAAGGCGAACGAGACGCCGGTCGCGATGGACACGCCCTTCGAACGCGTCCGCGTGTCGAATACCTCGGCCGGGATGATCCACGACAGCGGGCCGCAGGTGGCTGAGAAGGAGAAGTTGTACAGCCAGGTCATGATGATGAAGCCCCAGTGCGCGCCGGAGTTGACGGTGGTCGGGGGGAACTTGGCGAGCAAGATGGTGGCGATGATGAAGGTCACGCAGTTGCCCAGGTTGCCGCCGATCAGGGTCCAGCGCCGGCCGAAGCGATCGATGAACAGGATGCAGAGGAATTGGGCGACGAGGGCGATGATCGAGTTGATGGCTTGGTAGCGGAGGGTGGCTTCGCCGGAGATGCCGATCTGCTTGTAGATGTCGACGGAGTAGTATCTGGCACGGCGACGGTGAGAGATGTTCTGATTGCCTGCTCATGCGCATGGGGGCGGTTTGGGGCGGGAGCTTACTGGATGGCAGAGACACCGGTCATCTGCACGGAGGCTTGGATGGCACAGCAGAGGAACAGTCGTCGGAAGGATGAGCGGTTCGTGAACAGCTCGACATACGACTTGGCCTCGTGCTCGTGCTCGAAGGTGATGCTCTCCTGGATTTGGGCGTACTCGGCCTGCACCCAGGAGTCCATCTCGTTTCCGTGGGCGTGCAGCTTCGCCAACGTCTTCAGACCCTCATCCGGGCGGTTGTGGTCGATCAGCCAGCGAGGAGACTATCCCGGGTTAGCGGCGTGCGTCCATCGGATCCACGCAGAATGTATTCATACGAACCTCTGGGAAGACCATAATCAGCAAGCCCAGCAGGACGGCCGGGATGATCTGAATTCCCAGCGGCAATTGCCATTGGGCATCATTGTCCGACGAGAAGCCAATGTACGTGCCGTACGAGATCCATGAGGCACAGAGGGCTCCGACCCCAAGCATGAACTGCTGCAGCGCAGTGACGCGGCCCCGGATCTTGGGGTGGCAGATCTCGGCTTGGTAGAGCGGGATCACCATGGTCAAGAAGCCAACCCTTTACGATCAGTTAGAGAAGCCCCATTCACTCGACGGGGGTGGGCAGCTGAGGAGCATCCAAGGACATACCCAAAGCCAGCAAAGAATCGGCCACTATACAGAAAGGCAAGAGTCTGGGCGCCAGTCTGCAGAGCACCTCCCAAGCAGAACATCAGACAGCCCAGCGAGATGGTCTTTCGTCGGCCCAGGTAGTCCCCACTGGGACCCGCGAAGCCGGCGCCGAAGAAGGCGCCACAGGTGAACATGGAGACGACCAGTCCGCTACCCGCAGTGGTGAGTCAATGGGATCAGATCCGCGAAGATATGGATGGAACGAGATTCTGACCTTTGCGTAGAGTTGGCGGCAAACTTGGAAACAAAGGAATCACACACTATGACCTCTGCAATCACACCGAGATCATCTGTCACCTGTTAACGGGGCGTTTCTGGGCTCGTCTCACGGTGCGTACATACAGCCATAGAGGAATGAGCCGAGCGAGGCGAACACGCCGACCAGGAACTAGATGTGTTAGACCTTCCAGGAACAGGCGTATACAAGGATCATACCTGGTACCACGACGGCGAGAGACGCATGGTGGGCCACTCTCTCTCGCGAGCTAGTCCAATCAATCAAATCACTCCACACAACTATACGAATGCCACGAATGCGTAGGAGGGCCAGCGATCAGCAAGAACAAGGGCGATCTAGAGAATCCCCACGAACACAACCATTTCACTCCCCAAGGAGGGGATAGTCAACATATACTTAAGTACATTGGCTGAGGGCTCGGAGATATCCTTGCCAGTCACGCTTCCTGATCCGCGTAGCGAGCCCCCGACTAAGCCGACAGCCGCCAAGAAGCCCAGTCATTGCAACCAGCAAGGACGTCAAACAGCCCCCGGCATCCAAGGTCGGGGGTCGCTTAATCCAGTTCTTCTTGCGGGGCCCGTTGGCAACTCCGGCCTGTCCTGCGGCGTGATTGATGGAAAATATGGCCCCGTCCCCTGCCGACCTGTCAGACCAGCACGCCCCAGTCATTGGCGCATATCGGGGGACACTCGGGACGTTTTGGGAATAGCAACCAGGAAAGCGTGACTTTCGGGTCGTGCCTCAGTCAACGTCTATCGCCATGCGAGGGCCTCGACTCTGCCCCGCAGGAGAATTACCGCTTGCAGGGCCGGGATTTGAGGGGCACGAGATAAATTCGCTTTCCTGGGGGTAGCTCGCACTTCGCTTCGGCACTTGCATTCTCTTTCGGGGCCATTTTCTCCAAGCGATCGGTTGCGTTTGCAAGTGAAACGTGATCTGTGCTTGTGCTCTATAAGCGCATCGACAGCCACCGGACGGAATCACCAATAAACAGACCGGACGGAAGGTGAACGGACCATCACATCCCTGTAGAAGAAGGACTATAGCAACCGTTGCAAAGGTCAAAGTTGCAAGGTTCCCCGATTCTCGTTTGCCTACTTTCTATCTCGCGGATCGCAATGACGACGTTTACTAAACTCGGCGACGAGGAGACCGCGGTCATCGCCGTCCATCCGACCCGCCGCATCTCCAAGATCAACCCGAACATCTATGCGGGCTTTACCGAGTGAGGATTCCTTTTTCCTAGATCCCAGTGCTATATACTTCTGCTTTGCGTCACTTCCCTCCACACATCATTGACCATTGAACTCACTACTTCTCTCTAGGCACATGGGCCGATGCATCTACGGTGGCATCTATGATCCCGGCAACCCGCTGTCGGACGAGAACGGCTTCCGGAAGGATGTCCTCGCCGCGCTAAAAGACCTCAACATCCCGGTCGTGCGGTATCCCGGCGGCAACTTCTGCGCGACCTACCACTGGCTGGACGGGGTCGGGCCCAAGGATCAGCGGCCGTCGCGGTAGGACTCTTCGGCTTCATACTGGCCTAGATCCGAATGGGAGCGAACTGCTGACGAGTAATAGCCCCGAACTGGCCTGGCTGGGCACCGAAACGAACCAGTTTGGAACCGACGAGTTCATGAAGTGGTGTGATGTGCTTGGCACCGAGCCGTACTTGTGCTTCAATTTTGGCACAGGTACTCTGGACGAAGGTAGGTTGCCTCCTATGAGGGCCCATAGATCAAGAGCCCAATGACTTACCATTTATTACCATTACAGCCCTTGCCTGGGTGGAGTATTGCAATGGCACCGGCAACACATACTATGCCAATCTTCGGCGCAAGAATGGCCGCGAAGAACCATATCACGTCTGCCCTCCTCCCAACCCCTGTGAACAGGAAAGAACCGCGCTCTGATATCTCACCAGGTCAAATACTGGGCCCTCGGCAACGAGACATGGGGCCCGTGGCAGGTCGAGCAGATGACCAAGGAAGCATACGCCCACAAGGCATTGCAGTGGGCCAAAGGTACTCCCCCGCCTGCCCTGCATCCCCATCCTGCTCCCCCATCGACATATACTCACCGCAGCCGCAGCACTGAAACTCCTCGACCCCAGCCTCATCCTCATCCTCTGCGGCCAAGACGGCACCGCAACCTGGGACTACTACACCCTCTCGCACTGCCTCCTCCCCGCGCACTCGGCGCTCTCCACCAGCGCCGTGCCCCTCATCGACATGCACAGCATCCACCTCTACACCAGCGCCTCCTCGCACCTCCCCAACGCCACCGCCCCGCTCGCCGCGGAGCGTGCCATCGAAATCACCTCCTCGCTCATCGACCTCGCGCGCATCGAAAACGGCGTGCCGCCCTCGCAGCCCCGACCCACCATCTGCTTCGACGAGTGGAACGTGTGGGACCCCATTCGCGCGGAGGGCAGCCACGGCGCGGAGGAGAGCTACACGCTCTCCGATGCGCTGGCGGTAGCCGTGTGGCTGAACGTGTTTGTACGAAAGAGCCGCGATCTAGGCATGGCGTGCATCGCACAGAGCGTGAATGTGATCTCGCCGCTGATGACGAGCCCGGAGGGTATTATCAAGCAGACGACGTGGTGGCCGCTGTATCTGTTTTCGAAGTTCATGCGTGGGTGGACCGTTGCGGCGCATGTTGCGTGTGGGACGTATGAGGGGGAGACGGCGCCGACTTGGCTGCGGGGCACGGTGCAGACGCCGTGGTTGGATGTTAGTGCGTCGGTGGGGGAAGATGGGTGGGCGAACCTGGTGGTGGTGAATCTTCATGAGGAGAGGGCCTTTGAGACGAAGGTGGAGGGGGTGAGTGGGCCTGCGGACGTGTTTACTGTGACCGGGGCGAGCGTGGCGGCAACGAATATGAAGGGCCAGGAGGAGGTTGCGGTGCAGGAGTCGAAGTGGGATGCGGCGGGGGCTTATGTATTCCCTAAGCACTCCATTACGCTGATTCGGTGGAAGGCTGAGTAGATCTGTGCGAGGGTCTTGCATTTATATAGAGGGGATAGGGTGATAAACAGTGAGACAGTTACATTCGTTTACTAGCTATCAACATATGCACCTTGAATGAAGAGAATCAATGGTGGATCGTGCATCGCATCTGCATCGTGATCTCATTACATCATGGATGTGATCGAGATGGGTGGTCGGGGTTTAACCGTATGTCACATCTCGGACGGTACCATCGTGATCAAGGTGGACGTTCAATCTGGATATTTCATAGGCTTGGTCAGCCACCAGCCACCAGCCACTGCAACAGCTCATCTTGCGTGTCTGTAGGTCCAGTCTCGCATACCTATCGGGGTTGTGGTCCATCGACTTCATGTCATCCGGCTTCAATACGCGGTGGGATTCAGGCAGGTCCTTTTTGGCGAATGACTAGCAGCAATTCGCTTCAGTATTCAACCCCTCCTTCAAAATCCTATATAATATATTCCTCAGGACCCCAGAATCGAGAACATACCAGCTCATTACTGCCCCCGTCGGTGATCTTCTTCCCCATCAGCTTGTTGACCCACTCGGACTTATCGCCCATGTTGGAATTGATACCAGGCACGACGAGAGGCATGGTGAATGGAAATGAGAGTCAAATTAATCTGATAGGTTCGATAGGTTCGATAGGTTCCAAAGGGAGAGTGGGAAGGTGCGTCCACGTTGGTTTGGAGTCAGTTGGAAGGGCTGCTTCACAAGGTGCGCAGGCATCATCTATAAATGCCCTGTTGGCCGATGACGTAGGTGCCCGATAAGCAGGGAGATTAGTCAGTTTGGCAGGAGCTGAGCCAGTAAGAACCGTGGGGAGTATATACACAGATTAATTGGTGCGAGAGCCGCAGAGGGTGATGTGCGTGTGCTTGATTCCTGGTTTCAGTCGCATTTCATGGAGCTGCGGTGGTGGGCATCATTTCTCCACCCTGACTCGCGCAACTACATCCTTCCCACTCCTTCCATAACACCCTGCACGCCATGTCTGGAAGGACCAGACTCCTCCATTCGAAAGGACAGAGGGGCCCTGCCTCAGATACGACTGTTGACATCGTTCCGAAGCCAAACTACCCGCAACAATGGAGGAAGTCACCATGGCAATGAGGCCTATCCTATCTACGGAAGCTGCTCTGGCGAATGCCTCGCCAGCGCCCCCGCGGTGTTGGTTTCATGCCGCTCTTATGCTACCTCCTGACAGGAGTTTTCCCCCTCGAGCTTGATTTCTGAGACGAAGCACCACAATGATCCAGCTGGGGGTGCCGGCGAAGAATGGCTCTGGATCGTTTGTCGCAACCAGTCAACGAGAGCAGAAAGCCTCCGAAATAGAAAACACTACAACATCTGGAAAGGCAAATCCTCAACCAGACCAAAGTGGACTAAGAAATCGCTTCTCGATCAAAAGAGCACCCACAGTCATCGCCGATTCATCCACAGCGACAGCCACTCACCCCGTCGCCAGCAGATCCCCACCCGTCTTCAACGGTCAACCGTCCATCGCCGCAGCCACCGTCATCGGCATCCTGGTCTTTGCCGCTTTTCTCTTCCTAGCCATCTGGTACATCCGCCGGGCACGAAGGGTTCGCAGCCTCCGCAACCTGCAGAACCACAGCCAAGACCCCTTCAGCCAGTCCTCAGTAACCCTCGCAGAAGACACCAGCAAAGCCTTGGAAGATTTCCTCATGAAAGATGTCCGACCCGAGCGGACCTCCCTCATGTTCAGCCGCAGCCGCTCGCCATCCATCACCTTCGTCGTGGACGACGCACGGCGCAGGAGCTTGAGCAGACTGTACCGGAACAGCTACGACGCATCGACAAGCAGCCTGAGCAAGCTGGATACCCTCACTCGCGTCTCGGCAGACACGTCTCGACCAAGCTTCATTGTCTCGGAGCTGACCGCCACTACACAGAGTACCTCCAACACCGCGACTCTGCAGGCGTCCAGCAACAGGGACTCTGCGACACCCCGAGCCTCCATGTCCATGTCCTCCACCGTACCCACGACGATCCGATCCTCGCAGCTGTGGACGACGACCACCGGTACAACCGCGAACAGTTCTCTGCTCAGCTGTGACGCTACCAGCTCCCAGGCGTCGCCGACCATGTGCCACAGCTCAAATTCCCCGCCGAGCTCGGCTAGCTCTTTGGCTCGCTCGTATCCCTCGAATGCGTCTCGGGCTTCGAGTCGGCGGTCGGGGCAGGGCCCGCCACAGTTTGGCGTCCGCTTGAGCTACGACAGCGCGAGTGCTCGACGGTATCATGTTAGATCTCACAGCCGCTCTTCTCAGGGTACAGTTGTGTCGCCGGTTACCGAGCCTGGCAGCAGTTCGAGCCAGTGCCCATCTATCTCCTCCACTCCGCCGCCTGGGCTCCGGCTCTCTGAGGCTTAACGGTGAACGGAGAATGGGAATTTGGAGTTATCTTGGTTGCTGATTACCTTTGTCGGTTCATAATGGAACGTCATATGCATGTTAGGCAGTCCCTTGGTATTGTGTGGTTGGTGTTGGTGCGTTTCTATACTCGAGAGAAACTGGATGCTGCGGGGTATAAGGATTCGATTTTATTACTTTAGGTACTCGGCCGTCTCGTCCGCAGGCTATATTCATTACTCTGCTGTAGTGCTATTGGAAGGCTTATCAATGTCCAGAAATAGTCGCAATTCAGATTTCTGTAATTTGCTCCGCTATCAAGCTATTGATGTGGAAAAAGAAAAAGCCAAAAAAACCCCCCACCGCACGCCTGTGTCCGAAGCGCTGAACCGAAGGATAACACTCAGGCACGTAGCTAAAAGACGAGCCCAAGAAAAAAAAAAAGAGAGAAATAAACCAAACATAGGAACCCCGAACACATGTCCGTCATGAAATGTACAAGGAAAAGCCAGGCGGAAAGAAAACCAACAACCCGCAACGAACTACGCTAAACATCAAATCTCCATTGAAATCTATTCAACATGCCACGCCGAGTGAAACAGAATAATCTCAAAGGTTCATGACTTCATCTCACGCACACTACGCAGACACCGCTCAATCCGCTTCCCGCGCTCCTTCTCCCGTACAAGCGTATCCTTCACAAACGCGCGAATTGCATCGCGCCCGACTCTCTCCCGCCACGTAGTCCACCCCGCCAACTCGCCGACAACAACGTCCTTGTTCCAGGTAATCTCCTTGGCGAGGCGGGATGACTGGGCCTCGCCGTCGCAGATCTTCTGCTCGAGGTCGCGGGCGGATTTCTGCCGCGACTCTTCGAAGCCCGGAAGGTTGATGTTGAATTTGCGCGGGAGCGAGGCCGATATGAGCAATGAGCGGGAGCGCGAGATGCTCCGGTTTGTGGAGGTTAGGGTGGACATTAGGGTTAGGGGACGGGAGAGGGATAGGAGGATTGCGTCGGTGGTGTTGTCCATTGACGTGAGGGTGGCAAGATACTGGAGAAGTGGGGAGGAGTCGGAGCTGGAGGTTGAGAGGTAGGTGCCGTAGCGAGTGAAGGCGTCTATGTAGACGGGTGGGAGGGCGTTGGTGGGTTCTTTGAGAGTGGAGAGCACGCTTGCACAGAGGGCAACTGCGTCGGCGAGGTCGGAGGCGCTGTTTTGCAGAGCGTGGCCGCGCCGGATCAGGCTGCGCGTGTTGACGTGTACCCCGCGTACCATGTCCTGGGCATGCGAGACGAATTGTTCTGTGTCGCGCATGGCTTCGAGAGAGACGGGGGCGTATTCGTCGGCGATTGTCTCGGTGAGCACGGCTGCCTTGCGCTGGGATCGATCGGCCATCATCTCGGGTTGCAGCTCGGGGACAAGGAAGAACTCCCACAGCATTTCATGGGTAGAGAAGGTTGGATGGGTTAGAAGAGTTTTCAGGAACCGATCTAGCTTTTCTTGAAGCTCATGCAGGACGGATCGGGATGGCTTCGAGTGAATTTGGAATGGGTTCCGGAAATCAGACAGAGATGGCACGTAGGATGCGGGATGTTCCACGGCAAGCCACTTGGCGAGGTTCTCAAAGTCGTTCAAGCTGCGGCGGCATGTCGTGACGGTGTATGTTGTCGATCCTGGATGGGAAGACGCCATCGATTCCGAGGGAGGGAAAGGGGCACCAGACTTGAGAATGAAGCGAACAGTTGCATCTTCAACAAAGAATGATCGCACGACGGTAGTCACACGACCCGAGGGATCACCACAGGCGGATGGTGGATGCGATAGAAGAATCAAATCGTCAATGCGGTTTCGGACTTCGTCATCTTTCGCCAGTTCGACAGCAGTCAGTCCGCGGGCTTCCTTGACATGGACATCGACTCTGGGATCCATGAACAGAATGCGCACTTGATCAACGCGACCGTATTTACTGGCCATCATCAAGGGTGTAAACCTCTTGTCATTGGTTGCATTTGGATCACAGTCGCTCTCTTGAAGAATCCGTGTCGTAATGTCTGGATCGCCAATGATATGTAGCAATGTGTTGCCTTTGGCATCAACATGGTCATCAAGCTGAAGCGGTTTCCCATTACCTTGGGCCCGTTGCGCTGCTGTCAAGGCGGCTTGGACCATAATCTTGTATTCAGGATGGTCATAAGAGCGGCATAGAGCGAAAAGAGGAGTCTGCCCATGCTTATCACGCTGGCGCCATGGAAGAAGTCCGCCAAGCCGAGAAAGCAAAGAAGGGGTACTGAACAGATAATGAGCTACTGTTCGACCATGGACGTCGGACCTGGTCAGATACATAGCGACCACACTTTCGTCAGTTTTGGTGAAGAGAAAGTCAAGGATGATTTCAACAATCTCGGCATGGGCGAGTTGTACAGCCGCATTGAGCAGAGTTGTTCCATCAGCGTTCGTGTCTTCGAGGATATCTTCCAAAGGATAATATTCTTCCAGGCTGAGTAGATATTTCAAAGACTCTGTCTGGCGGCTTTCCACTGCCATCATAGGGATTGAATCACCCGCTGGATCTTGCGTTTTGGTGAGAGTCTCCAGGGAAGTGTCGCCTTCGATGTTGCTTGCCATTGACCCAATCGTGGTTGTCCTGGAAAGGAATGAAACAGTGGATGACTCCGATAAGCTGCGGACGTTCATCGAAACCTTCTTAACAGGCCGGTTGTAATCCTTCAAAGGCGAGTCTCCAGCCCATGTTTGGAAGGGGAACACATGGGAGAGAGGCGGCGCATCCGACTCAATAGCTTCTTCTGGTACTGGCTGGCCATTGGTGAAAATCGAATTGCTGTACATTGATGATGTCTCGAACGGTGATTCCTCCGGTTCCTCGGAGCTATCGGTCTGGAAAAGCACAGACTTTCGCTCGGGTTCACGCGGAATAGCTTCGTCGATAGACTCATGGTCTCCGTTCGGTTCGAGGATGCTCTTCATATCGGATAGCCGACCTGCTTTGGTGGCTTGCCAGAGCCGTCGGTTTCGGGCACTTGCGCGGCGCAGACCAGCTGAGTCGGTCACAAGGTACATCAAAACTGCCTCGAAAGTGCTCAGTGCATATCCCATCTCGCCACTGTCTACATCGTCGATGTAGATGAAGTGTTGCATGTACAGCAAGCGGGCTTGGAGGTGCCGGATCTGCGATCGAATGACGACAACCAGCAGCAATGAGACCAAAACATCAGCGTTGATCGTCAGTGGAGATCTTCTTTTCTCAGATGCGGGCCCATCGACTTTATCGTAGCTCCCGGGGTAGGAAACTACCTTGACAGTTTCGAGTAGGGTATTCAGCATCTCGTGGGGGCTTCTCGCATCAGCCATCTTGCGGAATTCTTCTACGCCCCGATTGAGCCGCCGGATGACTTCTCGCTTGCCTTCACGTCCACCCTCCACGGATATACCAACTTGTGTCACATCAACGCTCTCCATATGCCGGATTCTTGAGTCCAGCTCAGAATCCTCGGGTTGTCGGAAAGCACATAAACGAGGGAACAAGAGCGGTTCATGTACTTGCTCTGCCACATACCGCTCGATAAGTCGCTCAACCAACGGCCCGGTAAGATCGGTAGTAGCTCCAAGCAGAGATAGCTGCTGTTTGTCGACGAGTCGGAAAAGGTCAATGGCAGCGGTCACTGCAGTCTCCAAGCTCCGACGCATAAGATCCTCATCATCTTCGAAGTATTCTTCCGAATTGAACGGCAGTCGGCCTCGACGGGAAGACCAACTGCGAATAGACGAGCTTTCATCGTGCAAAGTTTGCACACGCGATAACCTATGTTCTGACTCGCTACCAGATGCAGAAGGTGAGCGGGATGGCGGTGGAGGTAGCGGCTTGCCGAGCTCTTTGCCAAATTCGCGGAACAATCTTTCCAGGCCCGGCTGCATCTGTCTTGCAATCATGGGAAAGTTTGCCAGCAGTTCGCCGAAGGACTTGATCTCCTGCTTCGGTGGAGCTATTGATTCTCCCTTACCGCCCTTCTTGTCCATAGGAGCTGGCTCTATCTTCTTCGTATTCGTCCCTGGTACTGCAGCCGGAATGATTTTGGCGGGATCGTATGACCCGATCAATGGCCGCGAAATGTAGTATATGAGCCATGGCCGAGATTCGCTGGACGGGGTGTAGTAGAGGGCGTCGGAGAGAAGCTGTGCCTGAGTCAGGGATTTAAAGCCTGCGATTGTCGCCATCCGTTAGTCTAGGCAATTATTCATGCAATTTCTTATCCTATCCCCACCTTTGTTGCTGTAGACTGAGTTCTCTTTGATGATCACCGTCCTCCCATTGAAGGTTGTCACCTGCCTCGCCTTCCCCCTGTTATCGCGAACATTGGATTCGTCTTTTCCACTTGTCGAGCCCAGGTTGAGCGGGATACGCAACACGTGGCTCCCTAGGAACTCCTCCGACGCGACGAGGTCCGAGTAGTACAGATTGGACTCCCGATCGCGTGATCCAATAAGGCATTCCGTCGTGGGAACGAGCAGAACCTAGGATGCACAAAAAGACCCCGATTAGCCACTCCGGCCGATCCGAGGCGATGCAGCAGATGCTCTTACATGGTTCTCCACGGGTATGCACTGCCCCGGAACAGTGCTTCGGAGGAAGGCACGGAGGAAAGGGTTTAGAGGGTGCATCCAAACGGTTTTGGACGGCCCGGCATAAAAACTCCAGCAATCATCAAGCCGTCCGTATCAGATATGGAAACGCGGAGGGGGGTAGGTATGTGTGCGCTGTGGATGTTTCGCGGGGAAGAGCTCCGGCGCATTCAGCTGCAGGCAGCAGTCCGGGAAAATGAGGGCGCCTAAAGGGGTGGCCGATCGATGGACGGAGAACAAGACAGGTAATCGAAGGCCAATCGAGAAAAACAGATAAGAAAAGACTGTAGAAAGCAAGCGCACGACAAAGACGCAACGCGAATCGAGTTGAGCAGGGGAGTTCGAGAACGTGATCGCGGCGGGAGCTGGTCGCGCTATACCGCGTTAGGTAATCCGGAGGTGCCTCGACGGTCTCGAACGAGGCCCTGAGAGGCTGCAGGAAGAAGAGTGGAAGGAAAGTGGGACTCCAATGTACCCTACTCGGGGAGGAGATATTTTGGCTATTATACAGAGAAATAGGTCAACGGCAGACATGCATGCCAGTAATACAGTGAAAAAAGCCCCAGTGATCCTCCACATGCGTTATACAGCGCTCCACATGAGAGAAAAAAACCGACGCATATATATCCCTGCTCGCCTGGGGAAGTAAAAGAAACAAGGTCGATATTCCAATCAACCCAGTCTGCGAACCTTGCGGCTACGAGTACCACCGAACTTGATGCGAGTCGAGTCGGTCACTCGGCTAACAAGACCCCGAATGTTCCGTCCCTCATTACCCAGAAGCACCTTGGTGAACCCTTCTCGGCCCTTGCCAAACCCACGGAAGACAATCTCTAAGCGCTTGATATCCAACAGGAGGCCGCGCTCCTGGATCTGCGAGAGGACGTGAGAGGACAATTGGTAGGCCGGATCGAAGCCGGCGCGGCCCCCCTTACGGAAGCCAATCTGGCCACAGCCCATCGACAGAACTGGGTTGCCATTTGGCCGTGTCAGAGTGAGGATGGTATTGTGCTTGTGTGCAAAGACGTGGAGGTGATGAGGTGGAGCACGGTCGGCGTAGGGGTTTTTGATCATGTCGGCTTCCAGGCTCTCGGCCAACCGGGCGTAGTCGGCGCTAACACGGGAGGAGGAAGATCGGTTGCCAGTCATCATCTTGGAAATAGCTGACAGCGGCGAAGAGCTGTCCGACGATTCAGGCTGGCGATCAAGAATCTGATTCTCAATTGACCTGGTCTTCTCTTTCAGGCTCGCGGAGTCTTTCGGAGAAGTGGAAAAAGGGCGAATGGCACGCAGATACGTGACACGAGGTTGACATTGTCGGCATACTGCTGGCAATGTCTTTGCAAGCGCGTTCATCGAGAAGGAATTCATTGCGGCAACGGGTGCCGATGCCGCGGCGGTGATGGGGCACACAGAGGTAGAAACGCGGCGAAATAATTCACCGGGAGAGCTGATTCCGGTCAGAAAGAATGGAAACGATGGAAATATCTCCAAGAATCCAATTGAGCAGAGGGCCCGTAGCAGTCGGCCGGGTAGTCGCAAGAGCCGTGATCGGACCGACGAGAGGCGGAAGGGAAACACTGGAAGTTTTTCGAAAGGCTTGGCATCTCAACTTTTTCCCTTACTCACCTCTCCCCGGTCTAACTTCCGTTCCTCACTCTTTCACCCCGAACAACCGGGTTGGGCTGGATCTCTTTCGCTCTTCTTATTTCCGCTTCCTAGTACTCCCTTCTATCCGCCCAATACTTCTAGAGCATGATTTCCGCCAAGATGTCCACCGCCGCGCGGGCGGCGACCTTGCGCTCTCAGCCGGCGGTCTTCAGAGCCGCTTTGCAAGGATTCCGGGCTGTTTCATATTCGGCATTCCCAGTTCAGACTCTGAAGCTGTCTGGTAATACCCAAAGGAACAGTCTTCAGCCGACTTGCCTCCCGGTGTCCCAGCTCGTCTCGCCTTTTGCCGCCCTGCCCTTGACCCGTTCTTTCCACGTCGCCACTCCTCTGTCCCAGCAACAGCAACAACAACCGCCCAAGGGCGAGAAGAAGGGCGAGGATTCCAATTCCGAACCACACGATGAGAAGGAGCAATCAGACAAGGAGGAGCAGAAGGAGAAGAAGGAAGAGGCGCCTCCGCCACCCCATGGCGACAAGTCGCCATGGCAAGTGTTCCGCGACACCCTTCAGACCGAGTTCAAAGCTTCCAAGGAATGGAACGAGTCCACCAAGGCTCTGGCTTCCTCTGCACATGAGTTCTCTGAGAACGAGAACATCAAGCGCGCCCGTGCGGCCTATGAGGCGGCCTCGGGTGCCGCGACTTCTCACACGTCCGCTGCTCTTAAAACGACCGGTCAAGCAATCGGAAAAGGCGCCGCCTGGACATGGAACACCCCCGTCGTCAAGGGTGTCCGTAAGGGTGTTACCGCCACTGGTGCTGGACTCGAGAAGGCCACAAGACCCGTTCGGGAGACCGAGGCTTTCAAAAGTGTGAAGGATGCCATTGATGATGGCAGCAGCTCGCGCTACGGTGGATGGGTTGAGAAGGAGGAGCGTCGCAAGCAGCGCCAGCTTCGTGAGGAGATGGAAATCAAGTCTGGCAAGCGCCGGGCCGAGCAGATGGTGGAGGACCCGAAGTAAGTTTGAATTGTCCGCTTGGGCTGGTGGAATTGACAATTAACGGGAATTAGCGCCGGTACCAACGTTACTCTTCACAAAGATGCGGCTTGGAAGGAGTCATGGCGCACCTTCCGCGACTCTAACCCAGCCATGCAGAAGCTCTTCTCTCTGAGGGATGTGTACGACGAGTCCGAGAACCCGCTCATCAGCACTGCTCGCAGCATTACTGACCGGATCGGTGGCTTCTTCGCCGAGAATGAGACTGCCATGGTCGTCAAGAAGTTCCGCGAGATTGATCCCAACTTCCAGATGGAGGAATTCCTGCGTGAGCTGCGTGAATACATGCTGCCCGAGGTTCTGGATGCCTATGTGAAGGGAGACATCGAGACCCTGAAGCTCTGGCTCTCTGATGCGCAGTTCTCCGTCTACGCCGCCCTGTCCAAACAGTATACCACTGCCGGTCTGAAGTCTGATGGCCGCATTCTGGATATCCGCGGTGTCGATATTTCCAACGCCCGTCTGTTGGACCCTGGCGAGATTCCGGTGTTCGTTGTCACCTGCCGTGCGCAGGAAGTCCACGTTTACCGTAATATCAAGTCCAATGAGCTTGCTGCTGGTATGGAGGACAAGGTTCAGCTGGTCACCTACGCCATTGGTTTGACTCGTATTCCTGAAGAAGTCAGCAACCCTGAGACTCGGGGCTGGAGATTGATCGAGCTGCAGAAGGCCGCTCGCGACTACATCTAAGTTGTCTACCGGTCTCCCCTCAGCAAGCAATCATGGGCTTTTTGCAATACTACATCCTCTCATGTGGAACTCGTCCTCCTCTTTACAACCTTACTCCTCGCCCTCTCGACTGTACAATATGACTGTTTGATATCAAAACAGACGGAACTGGCGCTTTTTTCCAGCTATGTCTGTCCTCAGTGACCGCGGCTTTCGTGAAGCCTTGGTCGCTTGGAGCTTGTTCTTTTTTTCATGTATTAATGTTCTGTTCTCCCACTATTTTCTTATTCTTCTGCTATATCCGGTCCTGTTGCTGTTACTGACCAACGGGTCTTCAAAAAACACTCCTCCCGCTTCCATATACTAGGATGCGGCTGCGTTGGATTTTTGAGCTGGTCTGATGGGCATTTGGTCTTGAGGTGTTTTGCGGCGTCTTGTGCTTTTGCATTTTCACTCTCCCCTCGACACCGCTTGATCTGCATGTAGGCCACTATCTTTGGCCACCTGGGTTTTGTTCGCTGGGATGCGCTCGCATGAATTTGCGATCTGGTGGTTGCAGAGAACAGCCAACTGGAGTTGTATCAAAGTCTGTGTAAATATATCAAAGAAGAATATATCTTCATGGGTGGTCACCTATTTCACCTCTCGCTTGTGGCTTCCTTTCTTGTTAGCATGCTTCCAAATAGACTCTTACCTACCTAATCTCTCCCCATGCTGTAGGTAGACCAGCAATCGTTTATAAAAGAGGAATAAGGATTATTGAAGAATCGGTATGAAAATAGTTCATCTCTAAAGAACGCTGCTGAAACTTGAAATCGCCACAATAGCATCAAGATCGTGTCTTTTATTTTCCAATGCCATCCATCAGTCATTCAGTCCATAAATTACTGGCCACGACCAGCACCGCCACCTCCCATCATGTTGCGAGCCCTAGAACCATCTAGTTAGCAATACTCGTGGGATATCCATAGGCTCAATTCAACTCACATATCTGCAAGGTTGGGGTCGCTCATGAGGCTTGACATATCGGGCATACCGCCACCTTGGCCGAAGTTCTCAGCCATCTGGCGCAGTCGGGGGTTGCTCATCAAGTTGCTGAGCATGTCCGGGTTGCTCATGAGGTTCTGGGCCATACTGGCGAACATGGGGTTGCTCATTATGGAGCTCATATCAGGCATACCGCCGCCGCCGCCACCGCCACCAAGCATGCTAGCCAGCGAAGACAGGTCGGGCATGCCACCGCCGCCACCACGGGAAGCGCCTGGGGCAGTGTCCAAGTCCTCCGCTGGGGGCTCGCTGTCACGGCTGGCCTCCTCGATCTTCTTTGTGGAGGTCTCCAGACCGCGCTTCATGGCCTCACTGCCACCATTACCCTCTGCCTCGATACCCTTCTCGTAGGCCTCCTTCGCAGCGTGGTAATCGCCCATGTCGAACCGAGCAAGGCCAAGACGGCTCCAGGCCTTTGAGTACTTCGGGTCGACAGCAACAGCCACCTCGGCATCATCGGCGGCCTTTTCGTGCTGGCCAGACGCCGAGTAAGCGGCAGCCCGGTTGGAGAGGTAGATTGGGTTGGCCGGCGCAATCTCCAGAGCCTTGGTGTAAGATTCAATGGCCGCGGCATAATCCTTCTTAGCCATGAAAGAGTTACCCTCCGACTTCAGCTTGTCAGACTCCGGAGTAGGCGCACCGGCCTTGGGCTGCTGCTCCTGCGATTCCTGAGTTTCCTGAGTTCCCGCGCCAGCTGACTGAGGGGTAGACTTGTTCCGCAGCTTCTCGTAAACGCTGTAGATGTTGGCCAGAGACTGCCCGCCCAGGGCCTCCTTCACGGCGGCCTCATCGGTCGGATCGACCTTGAAGGTATCAGCGATACAGGACTGCGCGATCTCAACGGACTCGGCATCATCGGCGGTGAGAGTGCCGTCCTTCAGGCTGGAGCCGAGGAAATCAATGATGGCCAGAGCCAGGCGCTTCTTGCTTTCTGTCGGAGCCTGTGAAAAAAACCCGTTCAGTCTGGGAAACATTCATAACAGTTGGACAGGCCAATCCTTACCATGATAGCAGTGGTTTAGCAAGAAAATAATGACAGTGATGGACTTCACGGCAGTTCAGGAGAGGGAAAAAAGACAATGCGGGGGACAGCTCCCGCACGTGATACAGCTTATCGCCCCCGTTGGCCCAGACTATTTGGCTAGTGCTTCCTCGGTTTTGTCACTGTATTCCCTCCGCGCTGGTGGATTCTGGCCCTGAATTGCGTTTGTTTCTGGAGCGCAATGACTCCATGTGAGCTTCAGTGCCAGTCTTAACACCCTCCTCCCACTGTGAGCCGAGCCATGTACTGGCCTAATGGAGTGCCCCGGGTCTACGCGGTCAACGGCCCCAACATCGCCCATGTGTCGGATGACGTGAATCATCAGGACATCCGCAGTCCCGCAACAGAGACGCGGGACTCCACAAAATCCAAAGCTGACGATCGTGACGCAGAGAATCCAGAAATCCCAAACGATGAGCCCAAACCTGAGCCGTCAGCTGAACCGGACATCCCCAGATGGGAGCAAGAAGCTATCAATGGCCTGTGTGTTTCTCGCGCAGGTCATATGTTTGCGACCATAACTGAATCGTCTATTTGTCTATGGCAGACCAGGGTATGTCGCCTATACCGCTCACTATCTTGGCCATTGGACGGCGAGCGAACTTGGTGCTAACTCACGCGGCAGCCCACGGCGGTCGTAGCGGCGATAGCTCGGTCCTCATACTCACTGCAGATGTACGGCTCGAACGTGGCACTTCTCATGCACCCGGATTCAACAATTCTCGTTGTCCAGACCCTCAATGGATACCTCCTTACGTATTCGGTGGCATCCGACCCGGCGACGCGAGTCTATCAGCAACGCTTCGATCACTCCACACATCCGCGTCGGCAGCAACTGGCACGGTTCTCGGCTGTTGAAGAGGCAAATGTGGTTGGGGATATAAGCCTCAGATTCCGAATGGCAATCAAGATCGAGTCGGGGATTGTCAAGGCGCTGGCGCTGGATCAGGAGCTTGTCGTTGCCACTGTAAAGCCCCCCGCCATCCAGTGTATTCGATGGGTCCCGGAAACCAGTGGAACACAAACCACGTCTGAATTGCTGAGCCGTATACTTAACATACCAAAAAAGGTGTCAATAGTCGACATGGTCTATGACCGTGCCATGAACCTCTTGATCTGGCTCACCAGCAATGGCCAAGCATATGCTGTGCAACGAGTACCTGGGGTGCAAGAAGACTCTGACACACCTAAAAAGCTGTTCCATGGTCACTGCTTCCATGACCCCAAAAATGACAGCGAGAAAGCTCTCAATGTAGCGGTCAATGCCCGGTTCTCCTTACTCACCGTCGGTTGCGCGAATGGTGAGGTCTTGGTCTACACTGCCAAAGATTATATGGGAAACGTGCCCTTATCCCAGAAGCTAGAGCTTCCGGCATCTCCCGCGACTACTGGGGCGTTGACATGCATGAGCTACTCGCCTGATGGATATTGCCTATTCGCTGGCTATGAGAATGGTTGGACGACATGGAGTGTGTTTGGGAAGCCCGGCGGCAACAGCTTCTCCGTCGACTCTGCCTTGGCATCTACCAACGGAGAGAATTGGCTTACAGGTATCTCAGACGGCTGCTGGATCGGCGGTGGATCTGACATTATACTGTCGGGACAAAATGATCGGCGTCTTTGGATCCTGGAGACAGCACGCAGCGCCTTGACAGGCTGCTTCTCCGCTGCAAACCTAGCTCGGGGATTACTTCAGACAGGGACCGAGTTCATTCTATACCGTGGACATGACTTGCCCGATCTGATGACCATCTCCGGCAAGGACTCGCTATGGCACCATGCTCAGTATCCCCCTGCATACCTTCACTCACAATGGCCTATTCGGTCCTGCGTGGTGTCTCCGGATGGACGGTATGTTGCAATCGCAGGTCGACGGGGACTGGCGCACTATAGTGTAAATAGCGGCAGGTGGAAAGTGTTTGGGGATTCTAAAGTGGAGAACTCGTTCGCTGTTCGAGGAGGCATGTGTTGGTACGGGCATATCTTAATTGCTGCTGTTGAGAGCGACGGGTCATACGAGGTATGTGAGCCATTGAGTCTTGCTCTCCTATATTGGTAAAGAACTGACCGAGATATTTAGCTGCGTCTCTACTCGCGGGAGGATACGCTTAGCAACAACTCCATCATGCATATCGAATACCTCCCGTCGCCCGTGGTGTTCATTGGTCCGTCTGGGGAAGACTCTCTCTTGGTTTACACCTACGATAACATTCTGTACCATTATATCATCAACTCTATGCAGCCCCAAATAACTCTTGTTCCAGTCGGGCAGATTGCATTCAACGGAATTGTCAGAGCGCCCACCCGGGTCCGGGCAATCAGCTGGGTTTTGCCCGAGGACCAAATGCGTGAGTATCCAATAATTGCGCCATCAGTTGCTATGTACACGTTTAACTGTTAGACAGGGAATGGTGATCCTTCTCAGGACGTGAAGGTAGCATCGGTGCTCCTCCTAGTCGACGGCAACCTCGTCCTCCTACAACCGACAGTGACGGACGGCGGCGACCTCAAATACGACATGCGAGTCATCTCCCATGATGTGGAGTATTATGTCTTGACGCGTGACCAGCTCTCTTTCAACTTCTCGTCTCAGGTCGATGAGTCCTTACCGTCCAGCCCGTCTGCCGAGGTGGCACTTGGGCCATCCTACAGTAGCCTGTCGCTTCGGGATTCTTTGTGGATGTTCCGAGGCAAAGATCTTCTAGCATGGAATGATGTTCAGGATGTTCTGCAGCAGGAAACGGTGCCGGCACCGCTGATTATTCCTCTGGACTTCTATCCTCTATCTGTGATATTGAATAAGGGCGTTGTGCTCGGAGTGGAGTCTGAAATGACGCAACGGCGAGATGTGACATTCACCAGCCTAAAGTTCGCCATTCGGGTATGTTCAGTTTGTCGCATCTATATCTGTCTTCCATGACTAATCCTGTTCAGACACACCTTTTCCTCCCATATTTCCTCCAATACTGCTTGGTTAACCTCGGGACACCCGCTGCACTTTCTCTGTGCCGTCACTTCTCGCATCTGTCTTATTTCGCCCACGGTCTCGAAATTCTACTCCATCACGTTCTCGACGACGAAGTAGACAACGAAAGCCGTGCAACCAAGGCCGAAGGTGAAGGGCCCCTCCTCCCCACCGTCATTTCTTTCCTCCAAGCATCCCTTCCCACACGTGAATACCTCGATATCGTGGTACAATGTACACGCAAGACAGAGCTTCGATCCTGGCGCACCCTCTTCACCTATCTGCCTCCGCCGAAGGACTTATTCGAGCAAGCCCTCAGATTGGACTCGCTCAAGACAGCTGTTGGATATCTTCTGGTGCTCCAGGCATTTGAAGACGAAGAGCAAGGCCATGACGGGCGCATTGAAGAATACGTTGTCCGTCTAATTGGCCTGGCGTCCCAAAAGGGAGACTGGGAGCTCTGTGCTGAGCTCGCTCGATTCTTGATTGCACTTGATTCCTCGGGCGAAATGCTGCAGCGCGCAATTGGCCGCGTAGGCCTACGATCTGGTTCTCGGCCATCGGCGAATGCTGGCAATTCAGGCTTGGGTTCGAGAACCAATTCTGCTGCAAGTGTGAAAGGCCTTGGGCTTACTCTTCCGGTTCGCACCCCATCTTGGTCCTCCCTCTCCCCGACTTCGTCGCTATCCCCACACCAGAGCGGGCGTGACGGCGATGTGTCGGACGAGTACCCACATTCTCTAGACAGCCGTGATGGCTTATGAGTTCCTAATCACGTTTGGCCAGGCGTGAACCCCCGCCTGCATTTCTCCTGGCTCTCTCTGTGTATAATATGAATATAGCGCACGTTGTTCTACGTATCCCGGGCCACATTCGTATGCCTGACCATCATGCTCTGTAATATCAATGTTCTCTTTTTCTTCCACCCTAGCCTGTCGACCATTGGATAGCCAGTTATCTAGCAATAAACGCGTATAGCAGGATAACATACCACCCATTTGTGAATTCAGAGTTAGTATAAAGTCCAAATTAACCTACTGCAGCTTATCTTTTTGAAATTAGCCTGCATATTGCTCATTGATAGTTCAAGCTGAATGAATTGATTTATTGACCTGTACTAGAAAAGATTATGGCGTCAAACGGACAGCTGAAATTGGCCGCCCTGGCGTCATTCTTAACCACATCAACCAAGTTTTCCATCGAAATATTCCACGCCGACCTATGCTTTTTGAGGTTCGGGACAGGCCTCTTGCTTAAGTCAATCGGAGGAGGAAACAGAATAGCGCTCCTATACCAAACAAGATTGTCACGGGTAGTAAGTACGTAGTCTGTCTAACGGTAGGTATGGCGCTGGCTACTGCTTGAATATATTCGCAGTATGACCCACCCACCAGTTTAGCGTTCTTACCATGCCAACGTGAATCTAATAGGTAGGAACTGACTAGCATTTGATTCCTTCCACGACTAGGACTCTATCCTACTACTTTGTTTCCCTATCTACTATGTGATTTTATTCGACCCTTTTACAACCGATCCACGACTAGCATTTCATCACATCCAATGAACGTGGAGCGGCGGCGCTACTGTACCGCCCCTGGTTCTGGTCCAGAAGGTTGTCTGATTGAATAAAAGCAGCTTTCAAGCCTTGGGCTTTAGAGGCACTTTATTTTTGCAACGACGTATTTCAATCGCGTCTTCAGAAGGAATGATAATATCGTCAAATTGACCTATCTTCAAAATGAATACTTTCTTGCAGAATACTGACTGAATACGTTGTTTTCGGAGCTCAGGTTGCTGAAGGCGGTATGTTACTGCAGTACAGGTACAACATAAATACAGTACCAATCAGCGCTTTGCCTGGTTCACATTACTTGTTCAACTTAGTTATACAGTAATTCGGCCCTTTATCCTGCTGCTGTAAATCATATGACTCACAATACTTCGTATACTCTATTTCTACCCACAAAACAAGTTGGTTTCCCTTGCAATGGTTCTGGGTTTTGAAGATTGCTTGAAAAAAGTATCAAAAAATTGATGAAGCCAGAGCGACTTGAACGCCCAACTTTCAGGTCTGGAATCTGACACTCTACCAATTGAGTTATGGCTCCTCATTGGATAAAATAAAGTGTACTGTTTATGAATGTTGATCCAGATAATTTACGAAGCTTTACTTTACGGTCAGAAATACCGTCAGGAACACGAGAAGAAATGACAGCGAAATTCCCTTGCATATGTACAGTATTGTAGGTCCCTAATGTGTACGGGCCGTCAGCATCAATGCTGACCTTGAAGCTAGAAAGTGATCCCATATGCTTGGAAGCCTGTTCACAGATGCTTGACACCGAATGTAGCTCTCCAAAGACCTACTGTCTGTCTCCAGACTAGATACCTATTCCAAGGAAAAGAAACCAAAAAATCGAATCATTTTCATATCATCAACATGAGTGTATCATCACTATCGAGGTATATGCAACCATTCCGCATAAAATAAATCATAACAGTCCATAAAGATACTGGACCCAACTCTCTAGTCCAACTGCATCTTCCAAAGCCCATCACCCAGATAATGCCCCTCGTCTATAACAACGCCCTTGCCCTTACTCTTCATCTCTTCCGTGCCCATTTTCAGCGCACCGACAAGGCAAACCTCCTCCTTGCCCTCAGCCTTGACAGCAACGACCTGTCCAGTCTCGAGGGCATGCTCTGCGTCCGGCAGGCGGCCACCGGGGGAGGTCAAGCCGGGGGCCATGAGAGCAGCGCCGGAGAGCACGAAGCGGATGGCGCCGCGGTCGATTTGGATGGTGGGGAGGGCCGAGGGGTAGGCGTGGATGAGGCGGAGGTGGGGGATTGGTGGATCGTCGAAGCGCTGGAAGAAGAGGGGGGTTGAGTCTATCGTGTAGAGCGTTGCGCGCTCGGGGCTGTGGGGGTTGATCTGTTAGTTTGTTGGGTGTTCTGTGATAGTTCGCGTGGGTAGAACGAGTGATAAGGCAAGAGGATTATAGCGTTGAGTGGTGGAATGCGTACAGCTTGACAGCTTCCAGAGAGGCCTTCTTCGGCATGATCTCTTCAATGTAGGGTTCGAAGCCGGGGTATGTCTCCAGCAGCTTCTGGCGCAAGCCGCGCGCCGCGGAGGACTTAACCTTAGAGCGGTTACTCGGCGGGATGCTGCATAGAAAGCCATGTTAGCCAGGGTATCCTTAGTTCAAAATGATCCTTCCTTTTCCAATTGGCTCTCGCAAGAGGTGTAGGTTAAGCTCTGGTGGGCTCCAGCGGCTGTCGTTGGAGATTGTGCTCCTGTGGGATGAATATTTCGCGCCCATTGCTCGCCCTGGACGGACGAAGCAACGTCTGCATACAAAGCCGAAGCAACTAAAGCCACCGTGGTTCGAAAAAATTTACCGATTGGTTCCACTCACTCTTTTTTAAACATGATGTTGGTTTGTTGGATGTGGTTGAACGCTTCGGGGTGCGAAGTGGGATGCGCGGGGAGTGTCACCTGACCATATTTTCGTCCACCAAAGATTCGAGTCTTTCGTTGCAGCTGAACAGCCACCAGCGGAAGGCAAGTTTGGGTGCGAGATGGAAGGAATTGGGAACTTTTAACCGCTTAGAATGAGATATCTACGGTGCAAATGCAGCATCTTTTACGAAAAAAGGGAATTATCAAGTCACATCAAAACAATGTATATCAATTTGAGCTATCTGCACTAGGACTTGGCAGCACCAGCCTTGATGAGCATGATATCACCGTCCTCAACGACGTAGTCCTTGCCCTTGGTCATGATTTTGCCAGCAGCCTTAACAGCAGCCTCATCGCCAAGCTCCCTCAGGGTGCTGTAGTTGTACACGACAGCCTGAATGAAGGTCTTCTCGAAGTCAGTGTGGATGACACCAGCGGCGCTGGGAGCCTTGATGCCCTTGCGGATAGTCCACTGGCGGACCTCATCGGCACCGGTGGTGAAGAAGCTGGCCAGGTTGAGGGCCTGGCGCATGGTAGTGATGACCTTGGGCAGGCCGGACGCGGTGCCAAGGGTCTTGCACTCCTCGGCGGCAGCCTCGTCGCCCAACTGGGTCAGACGCTCCTCGAACTGTGCCGAAATGGGCAGGATGGGCGAGTTGGGGGATGTATTCTTGACCCACTCGAACAGCTTGGGCAGGTACTTGTTCTTCTTGCGGATGAAGTCCTTCTCGCTCAAGTTGACGAGGTAGACACAAGGCTTGGCAGTGAGGAGGAACAAAGGGTTGATAACTTCGACCTGGGAGTTCAATCTTTGTCAGCATGGAAGAACTGCAAAAAGCTTGATGTGGTCTTTTTGAGATATAAAAACTCCAATGTTTTTTTCAGTATAGGAGTTTACTTTCAAGATGCCCTCTACGTGATATAAAAATGAGGGATTCAACGAGCTGGGTTATATCGCGCAAGCGCTTATTCATCATAAAACATTGGAGTTTTTTGGGGCGGGTGGAGCGGGTGCAAATAGGAAGGAAGGGAAATTCTTGTTCAAAACGTACCTCCTTGGGGCTCCAGTCGCCCTCACGGATATCCTTGCCGGCTTTGAGCCACTCAAGAACCTTGCCAGTAGTAGCCTCCTCCTCCTTCAACTTCTTCATCTCCAGCGACTGGCCACCACGGCGAGTCTGCTTGCCCAGAGCCTCGAGAGCCTTCTCGACGAACTCGATATCCTTGATCCGCAGCTCCTCGCTGATGATGACCAGATCGCGGACGGGGTCGACATCGCCCTCGACGTGGATAATCTCGGCATCATCGAAGCAACGAACGACCTGGAAGATCGCGTCGACAGCGCGGATGTGCGACAGGAAAGCGTTACCCAGGCCAGCACCCGTGGAAGCACCGCGGGTCAGACCGGCAATATCGTACACGGTCAAATTGGCAGGCACCTGCGACTTGGGCTTGTAGTGGTCACAGAGCCAGTCGAACCGCTCATCGGGGACGATGACGCGGGCCTCTTCGGGGTCAATGGTGGCATAAGGAAAGTTGGCAGGGTTACCCAGAGAGGACTTGGTGATAGATTGGAAGAGCGTCGACTTGCCGACGTTGGCAAGACCAACCTAAAGATCACATTGTGAGTCTTTGTGTTCTGGGAGGGGGGTGTGATGGGTGTAGAGAGAAAAAAAGAAAAGGGGAAGGGGGTGGGCGGAGGGAGGCTTAAATAGTTTCGTGGAATTAAAAAGTGGACTGTGCTGTGCGAAAAAAACAGAGGGAAAAAGGGTGGGGTCGCTGCTCACATACGATACCGCTCTTCAAGTTGTTGCCGGGACGGCCCAGCAGGACCTTTTCTTGAACTTGGGCCTTCTTGGGAGGCATTTTATTGGATTTCTTCTTCTTGCTGGAGTAGAAGCGACAGAAAGAAGGTGGGAGGTGGGGGGAGGAGGAGTAAAGGCGGAAGCGGGTGCAGGGATGGCGCGCGGCAAAAGCAGGACCAGCTGCGGATCGGTCAACGATGCGAAGGAAAAAAACGGAAGATGGTAGAAGAGACGTGATTGCGGTGCCCACAGTGGCAGTGGACAAGGTCAATGGCTTAAATCAAGCAAGGAAAAACAAGGGAATGTATGGCAACCGAGTCCAAAGAGGGTGAGCTGAAGGATGTCATCGAAATTTTCTGCCGGTCAGTTGGACACCTGACCGCCCACGTGAAGAGCAAGCCCTGCCCTTTTACGTCACAGCGTCACAGCAGAATTGAGTAGATACGTAGAAGTAGATACGCAGCAGTATAATAATACTCCGGAGAAGGGGGTCGACCATGTGCGTTCGTAAGTAGTTGTAGTGCGAACGAAAGAGTGCTTTTGGCAGAGGCAGAGGCACAGCACGCCCAAAAGCTTATAATACAATTACAAAAAGCAACAAATCGAGCATCCATCTCGCATCCCCTTTACGTGGGATAGGAAAACCAGCCATGCAGAAAACCCCCCGGTGTTCCCAGAAGCCCAAACAGCCCACATATAAACGCCAATAAAAAAAACGTAGAAGAAAAGCAAAGACACAGGAAGACAACGTATCATTATAAATCCATCGCATCGCCAGCCTCGGATGCGGTATCAACCATGTCCAGGAGCTTAGCATATGGGACCGTAACCCGCTGGAGTTCGCGATATTTACCTGAGGATTAATGTTAGCCAAGTGAAAAACACGAAATTAAATCCAAACAGGAAGGAGAGCAAGAAACATACCGAGAGCAAGGATCACCTCCTTCAGAAGGGTCTCCCGCGGCCAGCCACAAAGATCGTCGGATCCCTCGCGCCAATTGCGGCCGTCACGCTCATTGACCTGCAGCCTGGAAACAGCCTCTGTCCCTTCCTCGTCGTCGAAAAGGCCACCGATCAAGCCCTTTAGCAGCTCTTCAACCTTACCCTTCAATCCCTCCGCACCAATGCGCTTTGCATACATGTTCAGGTACAGGCGGAACTCCTCCTTCGCACCCAGCGATAAAGCAGCAGCCATGCGGTTCTCCAAATGGGCAATGGAAACACTAGACTCGAATGTTTCATAGCCTTCGCGCGAGAGAAGGACTTTGATAAGCCGCTGCAGGAAGTAAGCTCGGCCCCGCAGGAGGGTCTCATTGGTGGTGTTGCGCTCCAGAAAGGGAATGATGCCGGCCGAGACAGCTGCCTTTGCATCTTTGGTATCTTGATTGGCCTCTCTAGCCTGCAGGTTGCCCACTGGCGCATCAGTCGAGTTCCAATACTGGCTGCCGACGGCCCACCACGCCTCCGAGACGCGTTGCCACGTGTACATGGACGGTGAGTAGGAGTATCCCTCGCCGTTGGTGAGGGAAACAACTATCCGGCCTTCGGAGTTGATGCGTGCATCTGTGACGGCGGGTGCTGCGGTGGGATTGCCGCCCATAGTGTGGAGAGCAGCGTCGAGAACGGGCTGGAGAGAGACAGGAGGGTGCGGGGAGGACAGGTGCTTCACGTTCCAGACATAGCACATGCCCACCGAAGAGATACACATGATCCAGGGACCATTGCACTCCAAGATGACTGGCTGTGCTTCCAAGACCAGCGCGTTTACCAAGCGGCGGCCTGCAGGAGTCCAGAGGTAAACAGAACCGTCTTCACAAGCAGCGGCCCACATGCTCTGATTTCCAGTGACAAGGAGCACAGATTTGGGCAAAAAGTCTTGCCACAATGGCTGCTCCCCGCGGAAAAGAGTAAGGCGGACTGGCTCGCGGTCCACTGCCCGCCCGGTCAGGCTGGCCGGCGAGGGATTCCGCGCCTCGAAGACCACATCAACGCGGCCTTTGTCTTTTGAACTTGAGTCGCCTGCCTGGGCAGGTGGCTCAGTGGGTTTCCCATTAGGGTCAAGTGCACGGAGGATGTGACTGCGAATCTTAGGGACTGCTAACCGCACCTGGCTAACGGACATGCAGGGGTTCGTGACTGCAGGACGGATGAAGTCGGGGGTTGGTTCTTGGCCGGTTGCTGCAGGTTGCACAACCGCTGGTAGAAGGCCATCAGGCGTGTTCGCCATGATGGGAGTGGCGCCGTTCTGACTTGCAACAGCGACACGCTTCTCAGCCAGACCCTCCTCATCGCCTTCCAGCTGCGCAAGTTTACGCTTATTCCCGAAGAGTAGAGCAGTCAAGCCACCCTTCGGCAAGCCATCAAACGGCTTCGAAAGGTCAACAAGTGACGTTGGGGCATCGGCTTTGACCTGACTGCTAACAGACGCCATCAAACGGGCCTGGGGAAGAGAAGATTCGCCAGCTCCAGCTCCAGAAACCAGCAAGGGTGCAATACGCTTCTTGCCTTCTTTTGTGTACGTCGGTCGTTGCTTCAACCTCTCCAACTTGGCATGGTACGGATCTGGCTTCGCAGCTTCGGCGGCAGGTGTTGAAGAAGTCCCATTCGTCTGCGTCTTGTTCGTCTCTGGGGCTGGTGACGGGACTCGAGCAGGTGTTGTGCCATTCGATGGCTGCGATGCGGATCCTCCGTTGACAGCAGGTTCGGCATGACCATCGCCCATCAGCGCACCCATTCGGCCCTCTACACCCTTGATCTCCCCAGCTTTGCTCTTCTCCTCTAGCAGCAGACTATCGGTAGTCTCTGTGATACCGGCGCCCTTGCGATTCGTTCCAAACTTGGTGAGCGACTTTTCATTCTCTTCCATCTCTGTTGCCCAGCCCAGCTCGCCATCCTCAAATCGCACAGCCACAATTGTGCCATCCAGAGCCGTAGCATAGAGACAGGTGCCATCGGGGCTCCATGCGAGATCCGAGATCGACTTGGCGGCCATTTCCTGTGCAACCACGATCGGGCGCGCATTGCTCGTGATCCAGACACTTAGTGACTTATCTGCTCCAGCACACGCAATCACAGTTATATGGTGCTGCGCTGCGTGGTTGTCAGGCTGCTTCGGATCCACCGGCTCCCTTGAGTAGAGACGGGGAGAAAATGAGCAAACCTCGACAGGTGCTTCATGCCCGATGAGGTTGATATCTCCATCCCAAGAGCCACGGTTGATAATGGCAACCGAGCTGACCGGGCCGTTGACGGCATTCGCAGCAGCGATATGCATACCATCTGGCGACCAGGAACAGCGGCGGAAATATGCGGTCAGGGGAGAGTTAGCAAAGGGTGCGGAGATGGTATGTTCCAAGACGAAATTATTCATCTGGTCATGGGCGCTGGAGTTCGGGGCAGGGGACGTAAAACGGAAGATGCGCACGGTACGATCGTCACTGGCCGTGGCAAAGTACTTGTTCGCCGGGTCGAAGGTGATACCCTTGACGTGACTCTGGTGCACGGCTAGTGTTTTCAGCTTCTCGAACGTATGCCCCGACCACACGACAACCTTCGAGTCGAGACCGACGGAGACCAGAATCGACGAGTCGTGCGACCATCCCAAATCCTGCACATCGTTGTCGTGGCCGATCAATCGCCGAATTGTGCGCCAGTTCTCGACCGGGGGTGCCTCGTCCGAGCCTGTGTTTCCAGAATGCCGTGAGTGATCTATCCCCCAATAATGTATCCGCAGAACCTACCGAATGTGGAGTGTGTTGGAGGATTCGAATCAAGCGTGTACACGCAGACGATCTTATCGTCCGCCCCGGAGGCAAGGTACTTGCCATTGGGCGAGAAGCGAACAGTATGAATCGTGCCAGAATGATTGCTCATTGAGGCGAGCTGTTTCGGCTTGCTTGCGAACTCCGGATTACCAGTGTTGTATATGGCCTCCGTAGACCAGATCCGGACGTATCCATCTAAAGCGCACCGAAAGTAAAGTGTTAGCATCAGGCTTGCACCCGTCTGCGTTCCATCCAGCTCAAAGACCAGCAAAGGCTCACCTCCAGCAGCAGTCACTAATCTCTTTCCATCGGGCGAGACATCGCAGCTGTAAACTTCGAAATCTTTCCGTTCCCCTACGGAAGCGCACGAATTAGCCCCAGTGTCCGAAACCAGCTTGGCGATAGCTTTACGCCGCCTCCAAGCAAACCCAGGTATCTCTTCCTTCCCAAAATCCAAGAAGAAGGGGCTCCGCTGCAGAGAGTAGCATACCTCCATGCGTGAGCCAAACAGGCTTGATAATATGCATTGCGCAGCGCGGGCAGACTGCGCCCCTCCCTTGTATCAGAGAAGAACAATTCGGCCAGGTTCAAATAGTTCGCGTGCGAAAATCTCGGCTTCAGGGGAGCGAGCGGCGGCGGGAGGGACGTTGGTCGTGGAAGGGCGGCGTGGTAGGGTGAGCGTTAGGTGTTTATCGGGCAGGACATCGCACGGCTGTTGAAGAGCGGCCACGACCCCTAAAGCGAGGATCTCCTACAAACGAAGGGCAGTGGAGATCGGTTTGGTGAGGGGACCGCAGATGGAGTCGGGGGTGTGGGGATGATGGAAGTCGCAGAGGCACAAGGAGGGCGCGCCCGATAGAAAAGTCGCGATCTCCAGATTTGGCGCCTGGCCCGAGCTCCCTTTCGCGTTTGGCTATATAGCTGGCTGGACCTGTCAAGCATACGCCGCCGCTGAGGTACAGCTCTATTTTACGTATCCTGGGAACAAGTGATAATGTCATAATTGATCTACACACGTATCATACACTGGTGCTTTCATTTTCCCTTTTCCCTTCCTTGCCAATATCCACAACGTCCTTATGTACACATACATGGTCCCGTCGGATCATCCCGCACAGCGCAAAGCGCTGGGTGCATTTTTGACCCCTGAAAGATATGCTGTAAAGCAGTAGAACAGACCAGAAGAGAACCATGAGCAGAGGAGAGTGGTACAGAGGTAAACCGGCGCCAGAAGAGACTCGGTTGAAACAAGATGCAGGACACAAGAAAAAGAAAAATAGCACATAGCAGGAGAGAGTGAGAGGGAAGATAGAGGGTGGGTCCATCGTTTTGTTTCGCTTGCGCCTATTAATTCTGCTTGCTGGTCTGATCGAATCCGTCCAGCACGCTCTGCGCAACATCATTTTGGTGAACCTTATCGGCGGACTCGATATCGTCAACATCGGACTGATGGGACTTGCTAGTAGCATGAGCAGTCTCCTCGCCGAGGGCCTTGGCAGCAAAGCTCTTCGCCTGGGTCTCGCTGATCTTGCCATAAACCGACATGGCCGAGGCAATCATGCCACCCATGTCACCGACATTACCCGGGACCACCACCGCGGTGCCCTCACGGGCCAGTTTGGAGAAAGCATCGACGTACTGCTCAGCCACGCGCAGGCTGAGGGCACCCTGGGCACTTTCCTGGCCCTCCTGGATGGCTCGGGCAACAGCCTCGATTCCGCGGGCCGTGGCATGAGCCTTGAGCTGGATGGCCTCGGCCTCACCAGAAGCGCGGTTAATCTGCTCGGCACGCAGCGCCTCGGATGCAAGAATCACGGACTGCTTGCGACCCTCAGCGATGTTGATTGCGCTCTGGCGCTGACCCTCGGATTCGAGGATCTCCGCTCGCTTCGACCGCTCAGCCGTGACCTGGCGGTGCATGGCTGCCACAACGCCGTCCGGCGCATGAATGTCCCTGATCTCGTAACGCAGGCAGACGACGCCCCAGTCCTGTGCAGCCTCGTTGATGGCTTGTGTGATGTTGGTGTTAAGGGTGGCGCGCTCCTTCAGAACGTGGTCCAGAGTAAGCTGGCCGATTTCGGATCGCATTGTCGTCTGCGCCAGCTGGGAGATGGCATATTCCGCATCCTCGACGCCGTAGCTGAGGACAGACACCGTTTAGTCATTGACTCATGAAGTATAACTCAAGCCGCGCTCTCTTGAGAGACTCACCTAGCTTTATAAGCATCGAAGACCCTTGTGTACAGCACACCGTCCAACTCCAAGGTAACGTTATCCGCCGTAATAGCATTCTGGCTCGGAATCTCAATAGCCGATTCCTTCAAGCTCCTCACATACGCGATGCGATCCACAAATGGAATAAGAATAGCAAGACCCGGCTCCAAGATCCGGTGGAACTTGCCCATTCGCTCAACAATCCAGGCTGTCTGCTGCGGAACGAACCGTACGACAGTGTTGGCGGGGAGAGTCTGGCGGTTTGTGAAGTAGGTGGTGGGACCAAGGCTGGATCCCTGCGCGCCGCTCGCGGCAGCAAAGTTACTGAAGAGGGACTCTGGGGCAAGATTCCGTGGAGAATTCGAGACCGCTCGACACTGTGTTGGGGTCATGCATAGCGCGGCGACTGGTCGGGCAAGGCGGCGCTGCTGGGGAAGGAGGTTAGCACCTCGAATCCGGAGGAGTCTCGATGTCTGGCGGGATGTACCCTCCATCTTGAGGGGTGTGAGTCGGAAGTGAGGGATTGGTATTGAAGAGGGGGAAGAAAGAAAGTGAGCTGGTCAAGCCGAGCTGTCGGTATGACCTTGGAAGGCTCGGGCTTGGTCGCTGCTCCGAGTGGTCGACGTGTGGCGGCCTCAGGCATCATTATTACTTCCCAATTATGCGCATACACTTCGAGCCCGGGGAAATCCATGTGGGGTGGAAGTCGTTCCCTGCAACTCATATCTGTAAAGCCAAAAGTGAGGCCTTTAATATTGCCTGAACTGAGTCTGATCTGATTTTGATGAAGTGCGACCCACATCATGCATATCCTATTACCCAGACGAAAGAACACGGAACGACCGGACTATGCACAAATTAAGAGCAATCGACAGATAAATGAAGTAATGCAAGCCCCAAAGCAGGAATTTTAAGTATCAAATAAGTCCGGAGCATAGCAAATGAGGTGTACACAGGACACCACCAGGAGGGAGCAATCAACTGTGGGTATATACACACCATCGACAGCACACCCCCTCCATGTGAGCAACACCCCACTGGAAACCAGTCCAGCTCCCAGGTGGGGAAATGGAATGAGAATAGACCTCAAGGGAACGCGGATGACATCATACGAGGCACTTTTTTTCATTGCTGTGCTGTTCTCGACCGTTGCATTGCTCTGGGTCGTTGTACCGTGATGCTGATACTCGCTAAGATCCAGAGCGCAAGAGCCGGGATAGGCACAAACTGGCTGGATCGAATGATAAAACGGGCGAAACAAGGAGAAACCACTTGACAAGAGAGGAAAGACACACGAAAAATCTCTATAATCGGAAGAAAGGAGGAAGAACATCATTTTTTGGGCCCGGCACACCGATGGTATCAGGCAGAAGGGAGGGGGATATTTGCCCAGTAATATCATGCCCGGACTCCAGAGAACATTTTGAAAGGGAAGAAAAACAAAGCCCATGAATTTGAAGCAAACAACACGAAGAGGGAAGAAAAACACACGGAAAAAAGGTAAATGAGAAACTCCGAGGCTTCACGGTGGACCGGAAAGACTAGCCTGCCGTTGTTGCGATGGAAATGAACCATTCGGCGCTCTAAAAGGGAGGTAGGCGACGATGCATGCAAGACCTTTTGAACGCAACAATGCTGATCATGATTTGGGTGGAAGAAACGCGGAAAGAAACAAACAATATGGCCCCCGAAAAACAAGGGAAGAAGTATTTGAAAGCAAAAAAAAGGAAGCCGATGATGGATTCAAGCAAGAGATTTCCCCCACGCCTGCTTCCTCCCCCCATACACACCATTGTCAAAATAGCCCCACCTTGCAACGGTCGTGAGTTCCACATCTCCGCTCGCCAATTGACGAGCAGAGAAGTTGAAAGATCGCCGTGTTGTGCTTCGTCTGTCCGGCCTGTGACAAGTGAACGAAGTAGGCAAAGACCTGCTCGGAAGTAACGGTGCGACTCAGAAGACAGGCATGGTAAAACTCATCAGAGCGTTGAATCCATAGTCGACGTGTAGTGTGAAAAGATCATCAATGGCTAATCGCCTAAATTCATTGTACAGTTGCAAATTGAAGGTGCGGGTGAGGTACTGTGACCAGGTACGATAGGGAGGACCGGTCACAAACCCAGACTCGGGGTTTGATGACCATCCATCGGGAGCGTAGTATTGGGAAATCTCGGAGTAGTAGACAGGAGCGAAACTTTTGGGATGTGAAAGTGAAAGGTCTCGCGCCCCTCGATTCGAACGGCCAGCATTTCCCTCTGGGAGGCGGCTTATCGGTTGGACAGGTAATGGATCTGGATGGATAGCGTTGTTTCTTGTCCACGTCAATGCTAATAGAGAGACAAACAAAGAAAGTCAGCCCCCATCCAGAGCCTACCACCGCGGTAAGGGATGGGAATCACAGTACCCAGAGGAATACCACTCCGTTCTGACCCGAGTGGGAAGCGAGTTGATTGGGGACGAGTTTAGTCCGCGCGCTGAAGGATAGATGTCAGTAAGTGAACTTTTCAAATTAGTGGGAGAAAGAGACTGTCGATTGTAGGCTGCCTTCGGAAAAGGGAAAGGAATCTGGGGTTGTTCCTACATTGGCAATTTCATTCTGCGCAGGCTGGAACTCAGGTGCTGCCGAGGAGAGCGGCGTCCGAGATCCGCGAGATGCGGCGCCATTGGGGACAAACTGGCGGGGTCCGTTGTGATTCGCTCCATTGGTAGCGCTGTCAACGTGGTTGTTGAATGGGACATTCTCGTCAATTTTCCCGGAGTGCTTCGCGGGAGGAGCACCCTCATGCTGTGCTGAAGGGTCACGCTGGTCAACAGGGAGAACCCACTGCGCCCACCTCTCCTTCGGGCGGAGTCGGTCCACGCCATCTTCGCCGATCTGGTAGTCTACGTTCCGCAGACTGCGAGAAACGTGACGAAGCATCTCAAAGTCCTCGGTCAGGGACTTGACGCGCTTGAAGCTGGCGATGACACCCAGAGGAACAAAGCCCTGGGAATCCATATGACGACGCAGGAACATGTCCTTACACATGTTGTCAACCGAAAAGTAGTACTCAAGTTGCATAGACAGCATAGTCATGAGGCCGAATGGCTCCATGTACTGTTGGTAGGGGACCGCGCTCATAGGGCCAGGAGCCACGTTCTGGTAGGGGTACATGGTGTTGATCTCCGCAGGGAAGGGATAGACATTGCCATACATGCCAGCCGAAGCGGGCAATGATGGGGACCGCAAAGGCATCCGGTTGTTCTGCTGTTGCCCATTCTGGACACCGTGTTGGGACCGCTGGCGATCGTTGAAGCCAAACTTGCCGGGAACAAAGGTATTCGCCATGCTAAACTGAGGGTTCTGGCCGAAGTTGGAGTACGGTCCACGGCTGCGGTTGGCATTCCGGCCACCACGCTCTGCACGAGAGTCGCCACGCTCGCGGTTGAAGTCCTGGGGGCCAGTAGAATCACGGTTCATGTCAGCAGACTTGGGGCCAGACTCAGCACGACGGTCGTTAACACGAGCAGCAGCCTGAGAGTCGACAGCTAGGTGAGCGCCCTTCGAGTTACGGTCACCAGCCCGGGCATCTTGATTCCTTGTGAACTGCTTGCCATCACGCTGGGGGCGGGAGGAGTGCTCGCCGCTGGTGACCTGCTTTCCATTTGTAGCGACATCCTCGCCACCACGGGCTCCGCGGCCACGATCCGTAGCCTGACCCTTGCGAGCATCCGGGTTGGCAACGTCAGCGCTGTTTGAGCGTCTGGACTGTGCGGGAAGGGAAGCTGCTCGACCAGTACCGGCCTCATTCCGTCCACGTTCTCCGGAACCCTGCTTGGCAGCCGAAGCCTGGGGGGTATGGCCAGAGGCAGCCTTCTCACCGGCGGCAGCACCGCCACCGTGAGCGCCACCACGTCCACTGTCACGCCCACCGCGAGCAGCTCTGCGGCCACCGCGGCCAGATGATGCTGACGGAAGAGGGGTATTGAAAACAGCAGTGGGAACGTAGTTCACGGGCATCCACTTCTCCTTGCCGTGGGATCGAGCAACAGGGCTCTTGTCTGTCCGCTCGATCTTCTCAGTCTTCTCCTGGGCCTTCTTTTTCTCCTCACCCAGTGCAACCTGGGGGGTCGGCCACGAGGACGCATCCGCAACAGGAGGGAGATTCTCGTCACGGCCCTTGCCGTCAGTTTTCTTGCCCTTGGTCCCTTCTGATGCACCATCGGCGCCCTTCTTCTTGGAGCCAGCCTTGCCAGAGTCCTGCTGGCCCTCCTCAGATTTACCCTTGCCAGCGGCAGGTGCCGGGGTGGTCTTAGCCTTGGCTTCCTGGGCCTCCTTCCTTTGCTGCCAGATGTTCACGGAGGGGAGAGGGGCAGCTTTGAGCTCCTTTGGAGGGGCAGCCTTCTCCGACTTTTCAGACTTCTCCTTCGAGGCTTCCGAACCATTCTCGGATTTGTCAGCCTTGGCATCAGGCTGACTCTGCTTCTCAGACGAGGCATCCGCGTTTCCGTTGGTGGTATTGGACGCATCACCATCCTTCGACTGTGCGGCAGTTGACCGGACGCTCGGAGACGAGGTCCTGGAGTTGTTGGCCTTCGATCGGTGAGCATGCTTGCTGGTAACAGTGGTGAACTCGGCTTCCTTGTCCACGCTTGTCGTGGTGGTCTCGGGCTCCTGCGGTGTCTCCGTTTCAGAAACAGTGGTCACGGACTCAGCTGCTGGAACACTATCGCTGGGCTCCTCGGCCTTCGGTTCGGACTTCTCGGACTCTGTCGATCCTGCCTTGCTGGGCACTGGTGTCCCAGAAACGCCCTTGGCGGCTTGCGCGTAAGAAAATGTAGCGCTCATCGTGCCTTTTGTATGGGACGAAACTCGTCGTTTTGTTGTAAATAGATGAATCCGTTTGGAGAACGGGTTCTTCCTTCGGCGAGCCTGGAGGTCTTCGTACACGCCCACGCGCGAGAAATCTCCGGCACCGGTATCACTCAGAAGAGGGCTTCAACCTTCTTGTAACCCCACCAAACAGCAACTTCCCGTTCACTCAAATGTCTCCCAAGCTATGTCGGTGAATTCCGGCAAGATGGGAAGAAACGGCGGATGTGGTGGACACGGGGAATGCGCTCAGTCTGGAGAGAATGTGCGGATGAATCGTCTAGACAACAAATCGCATTGGTAGCGTCGTTGGCAGCGTGTGATGAGGAGGAGTGGTCTTAATGGCTATGAGCCACAGGACGCACAGAACCACAAAAGTTTGGAGAACGGAAGGGTGCTCCCAAAAATTCCAACAACAATGAGAAGGCGCTACCCTGTCAATGTCGTATACCACTGTGAAAGAACGAGCTTACGGGCCCGAACAATCAATGCGCCTGGGAGATGGAATTCCGCAGAAACGTTTTGTGTACAGGTCCACCCACGTTCGGTTTCTCGAGGTAGATCTTAACGACAGAGCGAAAAGATCCCGGGGTTCGACGAAATCTGGAAGAGATCGTGAGCAGGGGGGCGATACGCAGTCGAATGTCGTGTCGGACAGTGTTCTGGACGCGAATGCGGACCCCTTGGGACAAGGTTGAACGGAGAGACGAAGGCGTGGATCGCACGGGGCTGCGACTTCGGAATCGATGAGGATGAAGGAAGAGGTCGGCCAGTCTGTTGACTCTGAAATCAGGAGGACGGAGAGGTGCCGAGCAGGTCGGGGAAGGAACTCGTGTGGGAAAAAGTGTCGCGGGATCGTAGTCAAACCCACGGAAGAATTCCCGAGGATGGATGGGCAGGGCTGTAGGTGGTAAGACACGGTGAGTTGGAAACACGAAACAAGGGCGGAAGGAGGGGGTGAGGGCAACGCACGAGGGGGAGGGGTGGAGGTGAGAAAGAGAGGGGAGGAGTGAAGGGTAAGAGGAGGAGGAGGAGAGACGGAGCAAGAACGCAAAATTATTATTTGGGTAATCAGGGCAGGTTGTGGTAGCGGGGTGGAAGCCAGCCGCAGCGCGAGCCCACCTATAGTCCAGGTATTTAACAAAATAGTTATGATACTTACAGCACAATAATTGCTTTGCTGCAAAAAGGCCAATCAAATATGAATGAGCTGTCACCTTTTATTTTTTTCTGACGCGTGGGACTTCAAGAAAGGAAAAATCTCGACTACGGAGACCTTGTGGAATCCCTCGGTGCCGTAGCCGTACGCCCGCACGGAAAGATTTGGCGTGCACACACAAAACGAGAGGGGTCCCGCAACAAACGCCAGTCGCACAGCGTATTTCTCGTGAAGTATTAGACGCCCAAGGTTTTTTGTGGGAGACCTCATGCAGTCTGTCAAAGTATGGTCTCTTTCGGCTTAGCGGTTGGGTATGAGCTATATGAGGTATATAACCCAGGAATTTAATCCTACGAGGCCGACATACTGTACACTGTGTATAGTAATGTTGGCTGCATTTATTACCGCCTGTTACCGTGGAGTTACCTGCACCCCGTCGGCATACTCTCGGCCATCCGGTCGACCTCGATATCACCATAGTACAGATGATTCAATACGAGAACCAAGGAATCGACATAAGCTTCTGATGTCTCTGCGCTACTCTGATATAATCATTATTATAACGACGGCGTCGGCCCCCCTCGAACGCTACAAATAGTCCAAGCCGGACTATGTCCGACCTTCATACCCCAACGACAAAACTTACACATGAGCCTCAAGATCACTCTCATCCAATGACAGTGCCTGGAGATGGTTTATAGGCATCACTACTGATCTCAATTTATCTGCCCAGGGTCCTTTCACAGCGGGAGGGGACGAAAGTATGAGTCGGTCTAGCCAATAGATCGGCCGCAGGCACTATACGAAGTGTACGAAACGTACCGAGTACTTCACACCCCCTTGACAGCGCACCGGCCGGTATCCGCTAGGAAGACCCGAAGAACGTTTACTGTTTCCGACCCGGCGAGAGGCCAAGAGGAATAAGATTAATAAGAACAATCCCGGCTCATATTCATTCTTCCTCCCAACGCTCTCGCGGGGCCCACCGGAGCCCCGCCGTGCTGCCCGTCCATTGGCCCCTGGACGGCTGTTCGTTGGTTCGGTGCAACGGCGCAGTTCGTCTGCTGTCTGCTGTGCAAGCCATGGCTTTGACAGGGCTCTGGATCCCCATATCCTACGGACTGTCATGACCTTAACGGAGGATATCAATATACGCAGCTATAGCGACGATGTCATTGCACCTTGCACCCATTCCTTCTATTTTACACCCACCCGCACCGTCGGCAATCTTCACAAGCCACCCGTGAAGAACCGGATGTACACCCCGGCGAGTCCTCGGGTACCTGACGAAGGTGTCAGGACACAAGTCAAGTACCGGGGCCGCGGTATCTGTAATACCAGCTTGCCTTTGAACCCGTACCAACAGAGCAAGATTGCCCCAGCCACAATTCAACTTCGAGGTGTGTACTGTATGCCGGCGAGTCTATCCTGCCCAGCTGTTCTGCTCGCTGCTTGGCGCCAGACACTACCACCCAAGCCCCAGCCCATCCCCATCATCCCCGTGGTTCTCATGTGCGACCGGAAGAATGTACAGTAATAGCCCTGGCTGGAGCCACGTGATGCGTAGAGCTAGTCCAATGCTGCCCGCGTATGCAGCAGTGCTGTGCGAAACACGACCAGACAGAGTCCGGAAAAATGGTACATAGATCGAGGCACTGTGCATGCTACATACTGTAATGCCATCATTCCTTGGCCGGAGAATTGGCGCGTCAGATTCGACAGGCGAGCGATTAGGGCTGAAAGAGGGCACGCGGAATTCATCGGAAGATGGGTGGAGATGTGTGTAATCTGAATACATCCGGCCAAGCGGTCCTGGGACCGTGGGTTGCGTCGTATCTGTATTACCCCCGGCGACACAGTCGGCGCGGCCAGCATGGAGCATGTGAGCAGGAGACGTATGGCTTCGATTACATCATATCCGGGGGTAAATCAGAGTCGCTCGAAATCACAGTAAGAGAAATATATATATAACCGCCGTATTTATCAGAATCAGAAATCGAGAGACAAAGTGGTATGGTACACATATAACAGCCGCGCCAGCAAAAGTCCCAGCCCATAAGAAACGTCCCAAATCAACGGGGACCTACACGAAACGCCTCCCTCTACCAATGTCGCACGCCGACGAGCACCTGCTCGCGCGCATCCAGTTCGATCGGGCCGCCTGGCCCAGTCACGAACCCCAGGCGCGCGAGGACGTGCCACACCAGCTTGCGCTTCAGGCTCTCGCGCACGGGGATCTTCTCCAGCGCGTCGTAGCCATTGAAGTACTTCAGAAACACCGGCCAGTACCTCTGTAGCACGGTCTGCAGATCATGCGGCGCAATGTCCGGGCTCCCCCCTCCAGCGCCTGCGCGGGACCCCGCTGGTGTGGGAAGCGGGAGACGATCTCGTCGAGCCAGCGTGACTCGAGCGGGGAGGCGCGGTGCGGGGACAGGATGAGGGATGAGTGCCGGAGGGCGGTGGACCGGTCGAGGAGTTTGTGGGAAATGCGTAACCGGGCGTGCGGATCGGGGCGTCCGGGCATTGGTGTATTGTCGCCGCTGCCGTGGCTTGCGAGAGAGGAGGATGAGGAGGAGTGCGCGTCGTCTTCGGAGGATGAGTCGCTGTCGTCGGCGACGGCGCTGGTGCTTCCCTTGGCGAGGTACCGGTCCACTTCTTCTTTTCGCAGGGCTGTTTCCACGGCCAGTTTGATTTCAGGTGTGACTTTGATCCAGGCGAAGGTGCGCAGCTGCGTCACCCAGCCACCGCGGAGAAGCCATGCCAATATGGTAAAGTAAGTTTCCTTGTGGTCTTTGCTGGGGATGAAGCTGCCGTACGGTCGAGGTGTGCCACTAAGTGCAGATAGCATCTTTGGAAGACTGGGCAGTGTGGGGAAGGCTGTTTGGTAGGCGATGGTGGCGAGTTCCAATTTGCTCAAATCGCAGTTAGGAGACACAATGTAGGTGTCTCGCTGGTGAATGGGAGGGATGGCACGGGCACGACGCCAGTAGACCAAATGGCTTGCCAACATCTGGATCGTAGAGAGGGGGATTCCTGAGGAGGCTGATATTTGGGCGAATGATTTGGTGGGCTTGGTGCATCGGATGTAATGAGCCAGGGCCGGCGCCATAGTGCCTCCAGAGGCCTCAACATCCTTGATGATCGCGGCTTCGCTGTCCAGTAGAAGCAAAGCAAAATGCTTCGCAAGTACTTGGTGGGGTATATTGCTCTCATCGGCCACAGGATCATCCGCGGATGTTGCACTGTCTGCTGTTGTCAGCCACAGACCTGGATATGCTTTATCCGTGGGGCCAGCCAGGTATGGTGTAGAAGTCAACGGAGGAATCTGCAGTGAGATAGAGACATCGGGACTGAGCGAAACAGACGCAATCTTCGACGCGGAAATGCTGCTGTAGACAGTGTACATCGCCCTGGCCAAAGAAGATTGGGTTATCAACTCTGAGTAGAGGTTGTGAACCGATGTTTCTGACCTTGCTGTTAGTGGAAACGCTAGGTCAAGAATGATGATGGTGGACATACTTGTTTCTCGTGCTTTCCTCCTCACCTGCAAGATGTGTTGCGATTCCCTCCACACATAATCCGTGCGGGCTTGTTCCCATTTGAGTGCCTTCGCAAACTTTTTGATGATATTCTCATAGATTTCCTTGACCCGCATAGAATACTCGAGTAACGGAGGATCCATGACAAAAACCACATTAAACATGGTCATATGATCTTTATCCTCCGGGTCAAGGCTGTCATCGGGCTGCTTCCCAAACTTCCCACTCGCTGTCGAAGCCCGCTTGTATTCGGTCGGTGAAGTCGTCAGCGTCAACTCGGTAATCGTAGCAACGCTTCCACCCAGATCAGGTGAAGTAGCCCCATCTTCGCCTTGTGCATCTTCCGCATTCTCATTGTGTCCCAGTACCCCGCCATCCCACTCGGCACGGGGCTTCTTTTTCTTCTTTCGGCGCTGCTTGCGCCAGGTTCCATCCTCGCGCACGAAGACCGGCCACCCAATGAGCGCGAGGTCGTTGATCCCGACCTCGAAGCGTCTCTTATGCCAAGAGCGAGACGGACTCAGTAGCTTTTCCCATACGCTCCCAGGCAAGCCTAGAAGCGACTCCCAGGGCGGGCGCGACGAACCAGTAGGACCCTCATCTGGCCGATCCGACCCAGCATCCTCCTCGTAATCTGAACCCGCGCCACCACGTTTCCTCAGTGACGATGCCCTTCCAGACCCCAGAGATCCAGGTCGCTGCGAGTCTGCAGCACCAGGGGACGCGGCGTCCGGCGTGAGCGTAAGATTGTCGATACCGAAGTTGCTCGCCCGTCGGCCTAACCCGGGGGTCGCGTTCGCATTTGCGTTCCCACCTACGTGGGGCTCTCGCTCCTCCTCGTCCTCATCCGAGCTAAGGCCGCTCTCGTCGCTCGAGCTCGAGTCTGTATTCCTGGAGCCTTGTCTGCTGCGCGTGCGGGAGATGCGCCGCCCGCCCTTGGTTGTGGTCTTCAGGCGGTGCTCGCTGAGCGGGTTGGGAGGATAGTGGAATACGAGGCGTGGGCCGGTGCGCGAGCGGACGATGAGGATAATCGCGACCAGACACGGGTCTGGGGGGCGTGCGATTGACGACATCGCGTGCGATGGCGATGGGCTGGGCGCGACGTTGGAGAAGCGTCGTGGAGGTGGCTCGGCGGAACCGGTTTCCCCGCATGAGAGTTTGAGCTTGGGTAGGGAGTCAAGCCCCCCATTTGGGTGCGAACATATAAATTTTTAATTTCAATGGATTAATAGGAAGATGAGAGGGGGAAGGAGAGTCGAACTGGTATATGATACAATTTTGTATGTACAACGCCCACGATGAACGCCAGGTATGAGGCCGCCTAGTGCGGATGGGCCGGTTTCTTCAATATCGTACAAGTCATCCTCCATCACTGACACCCAGCTCAATCTTTCTTTTCTACCCCTTGTGATTGTGCTGTACTTGTGGATGCGGCATTGCCTTTTTGTTGGTCGTCGTTGAATACAAGTCCCAGGTTCTGGAAGTTATCAGGCGCCATCAGGTTCCTAGCCACAAAAAAGACTCCGGGTCAGTATTACGCTTTCTTTCATGCCTTGGCCGCGCTACAGTCACTAAGAAGCAGGCAGGCCATGATGTATCCAATGAGCTCAGTGATAGGTTTCACGTACTTGTCCATCCGACAGGCAAGATATTCCTTGGCTAGCTTGCGGCACGCCTCGTCATTGGTACCTCGGTTGAGTTTGATGCATTTCAAATAACCGGAAATAATATGTTTACACTCTCCTAGAAAAGCAGATGGAATATGAGCTCCAGTTCATGTGCCTTGAATCCTGCATCCGCAGAAAGTATTCATCATGCCAGAGGAATATGCCTACCTTCGTGGTCGAGAGGGAAGCTACCGCGTTCGGGCCTATAGACCAAACACAACTGTTGTCAGCAAAGATCCGAAGAAGACAAATATAAGAAGACGGGCAGGTCCATGCGCGAGGGGAAGGTGTTCGCAGAGGTCCAGAATGCTCGCAAAGACTCACGGCGTGGGCTTGTAATTGACCGACCCGCCTCCGGGCGCTCCGAAACTCATTGTGAACGGCGACTGGGGATATTTCACCCGAGTGCAAGAGGGGACTCCGTTGAGTGTTGATTTATGCGGCGCAAAAAGGCGAAAATGATAGCGGAGCTGGATCGTCTCCGTCGAGGCGAGCTCGAAAGTCTGGAGGCAAACAGAGCAAAAGGGACAAACATGGCAGCAGCCAACCAGCGGCCGCCGGAGATGCAGGAGTGCCGCCGATGATGTAGTCCACTGCCGGAGGACAGGACTCGGGCCTGATATGACGAATTAAGTGCGTTGGAGATAGCCGGAGTTGTAATTAGTTTCATTTATCATTCGTCCTGTTTCTTGGCTTGCAGCATTCGACTTTTTGCACAGTTTATCTTCCTATCGAAACACAGGTATATATAGCCGGCCAAGGTTGCTAACTCTTGCTACCTAATTTCCCCCCGAAAGATATCACCTTGATCAAGCACAGCTTGTTGAACAAGTCTTCTTGGCAATTCAACCCTATAATATATATAATCTTAGATCCTTTGAAAGATGCCGATGTATGTATACTTCCATGTGGACACCCATTTCAGTCCACCCTCCACTTGGTACCCTCCACATCGCGAAGCTAACTGCTCCCCGCAGGAAACTGGACGGAAGCTGCCAGTGTGGTGGCATCGAATTTACCCTTCAATCCCAAACCCCAGTGCCGTATCAACTATGTGCCTGCAGTATCTGTCGCAAAGTCGGCGGCTATAGTGGCAGCGTGAACCTGGGCGGCATCGCCGATAGCTTGAACGTGCTGAAGGGACAGGACCTGATCAAGTACGACATTTCCTACCAACTCATCCCACAACCCTGGTCCACCTAATAAGAACCCTTCTGGAAAACGACATTCTGACTCCATCATGTAGAAAATATACTGCGATCAAAGATCGCGGAACACCAAACGAGGAGCTCTGCTCTTCGGAGCGGAGCTTCTGTTCAAACTGCAGTACTATGCTCTGGGTGTGGGATCACCACTGGCCGGAACTGATTCACCCCTTCGCTTCGGCTATCGATACTGAGCTACCGGAGCCGGCTGAGATGGTATGTATCATGGAGAGTTCTAAACCGACCTGGGTGCGGTGGCCCGAGGGCAAGAAGAGCGTGCATACCCTGTACGGCAAGGATAGCCTGGAGGAATGGCACAAGAAACACGACTACTTCGTTGATTGAAGGAAGATGTTTGTTGTTTGCAATACCTTCGATCGAGGTGTTGGAGTCACCCAGTTGAATACAATTAGGTAGTGCGGCTATCCTGCTTACGATAGTTTACTTGAGAACGAGAGGGGTTATGAAAAGAGTTTCATTCAATTATAAGCTGAAGTAATATCAAGACCTGCTTTGCTGATTAGCAACAGAACACAACGTATATTGAGTGAGACATTGTGTTGACAAGTGAAGGGATCAGTTCTCCAAGGTGAATATAATTTTTTATCTTCAAGATGTATTCAGAAAGAACACAGCGAATAATTGGGGCTCATCAGGTAATAGGAAGCAGGGTGAGGAAACGAGGGTAGAACGTACACAAACAAGCAGCGGGTGTCTACTAGGGTATATCGAGTCCTAGATGATTGATCGCCTGAGTCAGCAATGGCATTCAGGGGTAATGCAAGCGTGAACATCAAGATCAAAACATGGCAACTAAGTCAGGCTTTCCGCAGTCAGTATATTTCCGTGCTAGGACAAGACCGTTGAGAGTAACTCACCTCATTAAATCAGATTTTTGTATAAATGTTCATTGCCAGAATACCGAAGCATCCAGCTCAAACAGTGTGAATAACACATTCATCATAATAGATATGACCATGTAGAAGGGCAAGCAGCAAGAAAGCAGAGTAAATTACCTAATACAACCAAAGTCAGTCGGCGATGTTCAAAGGTTCGTCCAAGACGTCAATGAGAGGTGACAATGGGCAAAGTATCAGGTGACGAATTCTCAACAAGTATTCCACCTCCCATACACCCACAGAGTTTGTACGCTCTGGTTTTGGAGGGTGAAGGGACATAGATACGTTATGTCCGCCCGTTCGTTCAAGATTTCTTCATGCAAGGCACATGCCGCAACACAGGGTAGAGATTGACGAGGAATTGGAATTTACCTAGCCAGTAGCTTGTTAGCATTATATCCACATAGACACTTGGCTGGTAAAAATGGCAAAAAGAATTGAGGTGTAGTCAGACAAGGCTGAAACTTAATAGTATGACAGATTCCACATGATAACTTAAGATTGAGGAATGCCTTTGCATGTCGTAGTAGTCATCATCCAAAAGGGGGAGGGTGTGGGCAAAAAAAAACCAATTGCAATCTCTGATCTTACCTTTTATGAATACGAAGCAAAACCGGGTCGAGGGACGAACAGCAACATTAAGCATTGAGTCCTCGAGCGGCAAGCACCCGTCTTACGGGGTGCTTTGATCAGAGACAGCCGAAGCTGCTCATGATCGACGACTGAAAGTGAAAAACAAGAGGAGCGGAAAGCTCCCTGATGCTGGACGAAAAGTCGCACGCACGGGAAGATGAAAAAAAATTGTGGGTGGAGCGCGAAATATAAATGGAGTTGCCGAGTACGGCAGGCGCGGTGAGCTCTGAACGCAGTTTGTTTAGGCGGCAAACATTGCTCCACTCGCCCTTCTCTTTTCTTCCGCTGCCTTCCCATCCGCTGAATCTGGTTGGAAGCTTAGAGCTAGCTATACTTCCTTTAGAGGTGAAAGCCATCGAAATATGGAAAAAGGCCCGAACACATCCATTGAAAATATTGGGGAAAAATTAGAAGCCATTGAAATATAATCTTGATAGTTTGAATAATTCGTCCCAATATCAGTTAACCGAAGAGTCCTCTCACCACACCTAAAGCTTTGTCTCTGGCTGTAGTGCTTGTTGAACCTCCTCTGCGGCTCTGTACCCAGCAGTGATTGCACCCTCCAGATAACCCTTCCACTCAAAGGCCGTTTCACCGCCAGCAAAATGGATATCTCGAAAAGGCTGTCGGAGCTCTTGACTGTGCTTTGAGAGCAGCTTCGGTCCTATGGCAGATGTCGGTGCACCCCAGATATGCTCTTCTTTGGTCCATTCCATGACGTTGATTTCCAAGACATTAACTGCATTTTCTGCCAGTTCTCGGCCTACCAGCTCGGCAAGATGGTCCACCACGGCTTCCTCTTGCTGGAGCGAGGGAAGTTGGTGCCACTTATAAGCAATGTCGCCCGCAATGAAAATTGCGAGAGAGTACTGATTGTTGCCTGGGTCTGAAGTGTCCCAGGAGAAACAGATTGGGCCCTTGAAACTCGTGAACTTCCCCACAAGTCCAGCTTCTCTCCACCAGGCTGTTTTGTACGAGACAATCACTTTAGCATAGTGCCCCGGCTTTGTGCGAGAGACGAGCGCCCTCTTCCCAGACGGAAGCGGAGGTGAGAATCGGATGTTGGTATACGTATTGGTAGGATTAGCCATGATCACCTTTCGAGCCTTGAATGAAGCTCCAGCTGTCGTGGTGACGTGGCAGCACCCGTGACGCTGCACAATACTGTCGACGGGACTGTTCAGCCAAATAGATCCTGGCTTCAAAGATCGCCCGAGAGCGTACGCGATCTCGGACATCCCCTTCTTCACCTTCAAGGACTGGGCACCCATTTCACCTTCGGTTATAAGGCTGATGAAGCCCAAGCCGGACTTCACATAGTCCAGGAAGTAATGCGCTCCTACGACATCCGAGCCGCGCCCGACAATTGCACTGCAGAGATGATTGGCGACATGTTGGGCATGATCTCCAGTGCACCAAATCTCAGTCACCCATTCCGCAAAAGTGACATCCTCTTCAGCGGGAAAATCATGCCACTTGCGGATATTTAATGCCTCCGGGCGCTCTATCAATGCGCTAGCCAGGATCTGCTCTTGCTCGCGATCTTTCTCGGTAGGTCCCTGATACAAAAGCTTAGTCAAGTTTATTCTGCTTCCGGCCGTTGCCTCGACTCAGATTGCCCAGAGTCCCGTCAGGACAACGAACAACCTTGCCATCAACTCCTTGGAAGACCTCATCGCCTTCAGTATATTGCTCGGCCGTCTCCAATCCAAACCTCCGAGTCAATGCGTAGACCTCAGGCTGGGTGGTCTTGTTGATCCACGTCGCTCCCATCTCAACGACACCAGAGCCAGAGTCCAGGTGATGGGACCGACTGCGGCCACCAATGCGCGATTTAGCCTCCAGCACAACCGTACTCAGGCCAGCATCGTGGCATCGAGAAGCTGCGGCCATGCCAGAGAATCCACCGCCCACCACGACGACATCAACCTCAGCGGGAGGTGCAGAATAGCCCTCGCTCTTGGAGTCTCTCCATGGCTCAGAAGTGCCTCCGACCAAAGCCACCGCCTCAATCTCAAATTTTGCTTCCGGATAGGCAAGCTTCGGGACCGGTACCAATGTAGTCAGAGGCTGGTGCGGGGCTCCGTGCTTCTCAGAGAGGAGGCGCAAGATCGGGCCGACGAGGTCTTCGGCTAGATCCATGGACCAATCCACAGGGTAGAATACGAGCTTCACAACATCCCGTGCAGACGCACCACCGGCATCCAGCGCTCTGGCTAGGTTATCCACCGCTTGCTGCACCTGTTCGGCGAACGTGTGCCAGGAACCATCTTTTCGTTGAGCGGTCTGGCCCGAAGTCATGACCAGGCGTTGCTGACCGCGTGCAGATACGGCAGTTGAAGACCATCCTGGATCGGGTAAATGTGAACCCTTGACAAACGTTGTAGATGGTCTTATGTCCCTCCGAGCCATGCTAGCGGTTTGTGGCTAAATGATATTGGATATATGATGTTGGATATTTGATTTGATAGACCAGACATGAGCTGCGATGCTTATTGTAGGTCTTTTATAGCAGTCATTGTGTTCCTTTAAATCACACTCAGGGCGAACCGATGGATTACAGTCACTGGAAGTCTGCTCAGTGAATGGTATGAGCGCGGTTACAGATAAGGAAACCCCCGCCCAGTGGGCTTTCTATCTGCATCCGCGCGGCGCGCACAGGGACAGAAGCACTAGCCCCATATGTAAACACTTGGACTGTTGGCTGTTGGGAAATAATTTCAAGGCGCTGTTAAACTAGACTCTGGGAGCATGGGGCCTGGTAACTTAAATGTTGACTGTCTACAGACAGACGCAGCCCCAGCACCGTTTCCTCTTCCTCTCTTCTTCTCCCAGCCCTCTTTCCCACCTTGTTCACCAGCTATATTTTCGCTTGGCTCAATATACTTGCTCTATATAGGCACCTTGTGTTGTCTGATTCTGTTCAACTGGATGGGTATCATAACTTCATTTAGGCGCCACTTCATATAACTCCATAGTTATACTTGTGCTTTTCCATCAACAACCCGAGCCCATGTGGTCCAATAGCATATTCATCAGGATCAGCCCACAGCAGCTCCAGCAGCTGGCAGCCTTGGAGCGTATGTCTCATCATATAGTGGTTGTGGTTCAAGATTTCTTTCATGAACGATCGCTGTTCTTCTTGAACCATGCAGGACCCGATCATCATGAGCGGCCACATCAGAATGCACGAGTAATTAGACGCCATAATCGGCGGCAGATATACCAGTGCGACATCAATATGAGATTGTATGCGTTGGATCCTCCCCAAGTGACATTTGGAAAGAGAGGACAGAGCGGCTTCCAAGAAGATCAATAATGCGTGCCGACATACTTCCAGCATTGCTCGACAGCCGGAGGGCCAGTCCACTTCCGCGCAGTCAGTACCCGAGGGGTTCCAATGGACTGTGGTGCTTTTCAAGTTGTTGTATATGACCAACCTTTCCGGATCAAGGTCACTCTTACATGAACGCATGAGTTCCTGTTGCGCGGCAAAGAGAGATATTGACGAAATGATCTCAAACAGACCGTGGCCCCCACCGAACATAACGCCAAATGCACCAAAATCCTTCAAGTCATCCAATGATTGGAGGAATGAGTCGTAAATTAACGCTCGGTTTTCATTCATCCCGAACGGGGTGATACCGTTGCACAGGACGAAGTAGGCGTAGAGCTCCATCACGAACCCATACAGCTTCCGTTCAGCATCGGTTTTGATCTGGTGTCGCTTATTCCGTAGTTCCAACACAATGTGGCGACTGGCCCGGAGGTGGGTGAAGAAAGACCCATCCAGGCTTCCGGAAAGAACCTACTTGTCCAGGACTGTAAGGAAAACACTCGCAATAAAAAATTAAATCATAAATTATACGAGCCCATGTCAACGTACCTCATAATGACAGAGAATGACTAATGTCAAAGCAACCCGAAGGAGCGCAAAGGGATCGCTCAGTAAATTCTCGGGTTGGGATATTTGACGAAGAGACTTCAATACTAAGCAATAATGTTGGTAGACTGCCTGCTTAATCTCGAGGGTCTCCGCTCTGAACGATAAATGGGCCCCACTTAATGCCAGCACACTGTGCATCACCAGGTCATCATTGTAGGCTATTGGCATGACCCATGATACAAATGGCGCACTCTGAGCTGGGGCTGTGGCTAAAAGAGGGCCCGTCATCTCGAGATAGTGTGCCAGCAAGGTTTGCGAGGCTGGTAGCAGCAATCCCGCCCTCCGGGGGCTCAGGAATGTGTTCAGGCCCTTGGACCATGCAATAGCATAACCTCTTGTCGTATCTGCATGTTTTTCATGGCTTTCTACCACTTGCAGGGCGCGTGGGTCTCGGCCGGGTGGAGACGCGGATGTTGCGATGGAGCAATCGCTTGTAGATCTCTCAGTTCCCCAACGGGCCCGCCTCTCGGCATCACTCGCATGGTCCGAGTCGAGACCGAATATTCGAATGATATGCGGTGGCCACTTGCACTCCAGTTTGTTCCGGGCGCAGGCCACGCAGTGTGGCTTTGTCTCGTCGCATTTCTTCTTACGGCTTCGGCAGGTTAAGCAGCCCGTCCGGGTGCGGGGAAATACCCGGCTCATCTTGATTCGGCCACTAACAGACTGCTCATACCTTGATGAAGCGGATGACCTGGTGAAGTGTGTCAAATCGAGTGCGGTCCTCTCGGGCCTCCTGAACAATAAAGAGATGAAGGTGCAGGTGGCGAGCGATGGCGTGGAACCCCGACTTCTAGTCAGCACGAGGTTGCAGGGGTTTCTTTGTCTCGCCCTCCGCACTAACTATATTCGCAATTAACTGTGCAACCCCTGAATGCGCAAAATTCGGGGCAATTGTGTCTACTTCTTGCCAAATAACGAGCTCGTGATCCTTTATGGGCTGTTTACATCGTTTTGCTAGGCTCCCTCCTGCGCTGGGGCTTGATCTGCACCAAAAGACACGATTAAGACCGACGGATAACAGCCACGAGCCCGATCGCAAGGCCATTTGTCCTGCGCTACACAAGGCGTCAAGCCCACCTCTCTTCCCTTAGGCCACTTGGCCCACCAGCCCATTGCCAAGGATGTGTCTGCGATCGCGTGTTTGGGAAATGGAATGTACTTCATTTCAGGGCGGTTTGTGAATCAATTGGAACCGGACTTCTTGATGAAATGGTCTAAACCCCCAAGGGAAGTGAGTTTCTGTAGAGTACGCAGGGATCTGCGATGAGCAGACATTGGAGATGGAACAAGTCCTTTGTGTATGATTGACAGACGGCAGTTACCTTTACTTGTTATATAGTTCTGTTCTCGATCTCCGGAACCCAAGAATCCCTACTTCAGGGGGGTGTTCAAATTGGCTAGAAGGCTGACGGGAGTATATTGCCGAATGGTTCGGTGGGTACCATCTAGCACTGTGATAAATTTGCAGTTTGCATGAACGTCACCAAAACGCGAGGCGTGCCGTCAGCACAGGGCACCATAAGCGCGGCTGGAGATAAAGTTGGGAAATAACCCCGCTTGACCCATCGCTCGGCGGGCCGATCCACGTATTCAACCAACCAACCGCCTTCTCTCGATCAGCTCACAATCCCTTGTGAGCTATAAAGGCATTCTGACAAGTATCCAACCTTTGAACTGACTCGTGTCTCTATCCTCATTTGTGAACCCCCTTCCCCCCTCCACCCCTTCCAAGCCTTTGGTGCTTTGTTTTTCTGCCCAAGCCAGAATGACATCCAAAAAAGTGTATGACGTGGTCGTCGTTGGCGCTGGCCTGAGTGGCCTGCAGGCAGCCCATGCAGTTCGAGCTGGTGGGTTCAGCGTCTGTGTTCTGGAGGCCACCAATCGCGTTGGTGGGAAGACACTCACCATGAAGTCCTCCGAAAAAGGATACAATGACCTAGGAGCAGCCTGGATTAATGACACGAACCAAAGTGAGATGTTCAAGCTCGTTAAAAAATATGGCATGGATACCGAGGTCCAACGCGCGTGTGGCAATTCTCTTATTCAAACTGCGGACGGTGGCTTGGAGAAGGTGCCCTATGGACAGCTCCCGGTGAGTTCTGCTTTACTCCCAACTAGACTCTGAATATAAAACATGAGACTCATAATCTGGCATCATGAAGGGCAACCCTGAGCTGCTCCTACAGCTCGCGGAGATTTTTAGAAATGAATCCGCGGTGGTGGATTTGAACGATCCTGTCAAATCACCCGGTGCGACAGAAATCGATCAACTGACGTTCGGGGAGTTCTGTGTTCGAAAGACTCAATCCGAGCAAGCCATTAGATTTGCTGATTTGATTTCCACCGCACTGCTCGGGGTGGAAAGTGCTGAAGTGAGCGCTCTTTACATGCTGCATTACTTTAAGAGCGGCTGTGGTATCGACAATCTCTTGTCGGATGGAAAAGATGGGGGTCAATATCTGAGGAATCGACAGGGTAAGCTTTTTCATTCAACGTCTTGTTCTATCAGATCGCAGTCGGCCCGTGCTCTTCGCAAATGCTGATAGACCAGGTAACCAAACAATTGCGCAAAGGATGGCGGACGAGCTGGGTCCCCACTGCGTTTTCTTATCGAAGCCCGTTGCTTCGATTGATCAATCTCCAGGCCACCATAGTGTTGCTGTCTTGACCCAAGCTGGGGAGTCCTTCTTCGGTCGGCATGCGATTGTCTCCATTCCGACTACCTTATATCCGACTATTACGTTCAACCCTCCTTTGTCTAACAAGAAAGCAGCCCTGAGTGAAAATACCGTTTTGGGCTACTACAGCAAGACGGTCTTCGTTTTCAAGGAGCCTTGGTGGCAGACTGCCGGCTTTTCCGGCATTTTTGATTCAGAAATTGGTCCCATCAGCTTCACAAGGGATACCAGCATACCCGCAGATGATCAATGGTCTATCACTTGCTTTATTGTTGGCGAAAAGGGGAGAAAGTGGTCAAAGTTATCCAAGGCAGGTCGTCACCAGCAAGCCTGGGACCAGTTCAGCCAAATCTTTGGCAAGTATGTGGATGGCATCATTCCTGCGCCGATAAACTCACTAGAAATGGAGTGGACCAAGCAGGCATTCTTCCTTGGCGCACCTTGTCCAGTCATGACACCAGGTATCTTGACAGCGGTGGGCACCGAGCTTGCAGCCCCTTTTGGGGACGTTCATTTTGTGGGCACTGAGACTTCCAATGTATGGCGAGGATATATGGAGGGCGCTGTGCGCTCGGGTCAGCGAGGAGGCGCTCAAGTCGTGAAAGCACTGAGAAGAGAGCTTTGAGCCTAGCTATAAGATTCCGTGAGAAATGAAGCCTATCATGGTAGGAGAGAGACTGTCAGGTCGAGTGCCAGTTACGTGTCGCAAATGCCAAGATACATGCATCCTTATGAAACGCTGTGCGAGAGAAAGAACGTTCAAAGCTATCTTCGGCCTGACATGATTGCACCTATGCAGCTCTACACCACACGTCTTTCGTGCAGGCAAACACGTGCACAACAATCTGAATTTGGTAACGGCCAGGAATGTTGAAGCGGGCCACGGGTGCGCTATACCAGCAGGGCGATCTAGATCATGTAGCTCCACTCCAAGTATCTGTAGCCGCCGATCTGCAGCCGCGCGACCGAGTCTCCAGGCTGGCCAGCCCCCGAGCACCCGTGGTCAGCGGGCCGCTCTACCGAGCCGCGCCACCAATTGACCTCTTAAAGTTAACTGCAATCGATATTCAAATGTGGGGGTCGCTTCCTGAGACTTTAAGGTTGATGAGCGCGGTCAATCAATGCTTATCGTCTCTGCCATGCAAGAAGGCAAAGTCGGTAACCGACACGTATCTAGCACTAGTGATGGATGCAGGTTGCAGGGTTCTTGGGCGAATGGCCCATTAAGAGAAGAAGGACATGCATGCCCATATCCCATCACACTCAAATTAGACTAGCAGCGCACCAGGTGGTGACAGTAGTATAGTGATGATCGCGTATATTCAGGGGGAATTAGACCGCCCCTTCACTTGAAGTTCAAGTTCAACAAGACGACAGTGGGGAAATTGACCCAAGCAATATTCATTGAAAAACTAGCTGCTCCCTTCCAGCTCTCTTTGCCTTCCTCTGCGCAATTATTCTGATGATAGATACAAGCGATAACTATCATAGTATGAGAATGCCCCATGAACCTACTCTACCCCTTTACTGATCCATTCTCTTGTTAGATGGCACAAAATTGGCCGAGAAAACACACCATATGCCCGTTACAGGATCAAATTCTTCCGTAGAAAACAGTGCCATCAATTCACCAAAACGGGGTGCAGTTTAACGCAGTGACTCTCTTATGCATGGCTTTTGTAGTCTGCAATAGCTGGGCTGGAGTTTCAGCCAGCCTTCAGCTTGCACTTCTGCAGGGAGGTCCCGTCACTTTGGTCTATTCTATCATTATCAGTACAACAGCATATTTTGCGATCGCATCCTCTCTGGCCGAATTGGCATCGGTCTACCCCACGGCCGGAGGGCAGTACCACTTCGCTTCAATTCTGTCCCCTCCAAGATTCAGGCGCGGGATTTCCTACGCAAGTGGTCTCCTAGGGATTTTCTCATGGATTGCCATCGGCGTGTCGGTGACGATGATCATTGCCGAGACTTTGATGGTAGTGGTTGCGGCTACTCACGATGGATTTGTCGTCCAAGACTGGCAGATATTCTTGGTTTATGAGGGAATGGCGTTGTTTGCTTTTCTGTACAATGTGCTCGCTTTGAAGCGCGCCCCCTGGACGCATAGTATTGGATGTAAGCAAAGCAAGCGATCGCACTTGCGTTTCTTTCGTTGTCGACACTAACGAACCCGGGAAACATTTTTTATGACAATTTCCATGTTCTTGATTTCTTTTGTCTCACTACTTGCCCGGTCGCACCCGAAACAGTCGAGTACCTTCGTATGGGTCACATTTATTAACGAAACCGGCTGGCCTGACGGAGTTTGCTTCCTATCCGGACTTTCTACATCCTGTTATATGTATATCGGCCTGGATGCCTCCATGCATATGGCGGAAGAATGTACCGAGCCAGAACGAACAGTACCCCGGACGATGTTAGCGGCGATTGGAAATGGGTTCGTCACTGGGTTCGCCTACACCGTTGCGTTGCTCTACGGAATTACAGATATTGGAGTAATGAACGCGGACGGGTGAGTCCTTCCTTGATGCTCTGCTGGCGGACAACTTTCTGACCAATAGTTCCACTAGATGGATCCCTTATCTTCTCAATGTTCAGATTTTGCGATCAACAACAATGGCCAATGCATTTTCAATACTCATGGTGATCGTGGGGGTGTTTATCATCATTGCTGTGCAAGAGACCTCTATTCGGCTGGCATGGTCCTTTGCGCGTGATGAAGGCCTTGTCTTCTCAAAGTACCTGCAACGGGTTCATTCCAAACTCGATGTCCCTATTTTTGCACTAATTCTCACCTGGTCTCTGGTGTTTATTTGCGGTCTGATCTATCTGGGCTCCGCCACAGGTAAGCTGCCTACCTACGCTGCTAGAACACGAATATCCTTCTATCCTTCTCCCATCCAAGCAAGATAGGTATCCAGCGACTAATACCTCTTCCCATTCTGCTAGCGGTGAATGCGCTCATTGGATCAGCCGTCATTCTTCAACAGCTGTCATTTGTGATCCCTGTTGTACTGCTGCTATACCAGAAACTGTCGAAGCGATTTTTGCCGACAAAGCGAGCTTTCAAGCTACCTGAGATCCTGGGTTGGCTGGCCAATATATACGTTGTGGTGTTCACCATTGTCACGCTCATCTTTTTCAATTTCCCCATTTTCGTCCCAACCGACTCTTTTTCGATGAGTAAGTGAGCATTCTATCTATCGCACAATTCGCCAAAATAAGGGAATATCGAGAATGAAGCCGAAAATGTCAAGTAGAGTCACAGCTGACAAGTGACTGCAGATTACACATGTGTCATCCTTGGAATTGCTTTTGTGCTTGGTGCACTCAACTGGTTGCTACATGCACACAGATACTATAATGGACCAGTAGAGGAGTTTTACAAGCGCAGTGTGAGGGAATAAGTCAAGGAAAGCGTGAAGCTAGGCTGTCTTTGGGTGGGGGGCGTTAGCCAAAGACGTGAAACGGTCGGCAAATAACAGACGGAGCAGGATAAGCTCGGCAGTGAGAAAAAAGAAAGATATTTTCTCTCTCTGTTCACTCGGGAGTAATAATGCCGTCTGTAGACATATTTGTTCTTGCCGTACAGCAATTGGCCGAATGAGAAAGATATTCCCAAAATCATGGCCCCTAAAATGTTCGATGATGGTTAGTTGACTAGAATGAGATGCTTTTTTACAGAGTAGCTAGCTTTCAGCTTCCGGCCTCATCCGGACGTCATTAACGCCGTCAGTTTGACGTTGGCGTTGGGTGGGTCACGTCAACCATTTTCTGTGCGACCGGTGTCCTCCACCTTCTGGATTTCTCTCAGTCATCGTGCCTATTGAGGATACATCTATCGAGATGACTACCAGATTTAAATTGAATACCGGAGCAGAGATCCCAGCGATTGGCTTTGGGACTTGGCAAGACGAGCACGCTCAGGAAGATGCCGTGGTCAACGCGATCCAGGCTGGCTACCGGCACATCGATACGGCGCGAGTGTGAGTGGAAAATTTGACATGGGACGTCAGGTCTCCTCAGACACTGACTAAACAATGCAACAGCTATCTCACCGAGAAAGCTGTCGGTAAAGCGATCAAGAAAAGTGGTGTTCCGCGCAAAGATCTTTTCATCACCACCAAGCTCTGGAACAACAAGCACCACCCAGACGACGTGGCTTCAGCGCTGCAGCAATCCCTTAGCGATTTAGAACTAGACTACGTGGATTTGTACCTGATGCATTGGCCGGTTGCCTGGAAACGCGGAGAAGACCTATTTCCGAAACAGAACGGCAACTACATCTTGGAGAACATCGATATCGTTGATGTATGGAACACATGCGATTATATTTCTTCTGCTGATTACGCTGACTCTTTTTGTAGACCTACAAAGCAATGGAAGCGCTGCTGAAAACCGGGAAAGTCAAAGCAATTGGTGTCTCAAACTTCTCCAAGGCTGAGATGGAGCGGCTCCTACAGAACACCTCCGTTGTTCCGGCTGTCCACCAGATGGAGTGCCATCCCTGGCTTCAGCAGAATGAGTTCACAGCATGGCACCGTGCTAAAGGGATTCATGTTACACACTATTCTCCCTTCGGGAATCAAAATGCGTTATATGATGACAAGGGTGTTGGGAAGCTGATCGACGAGCCCATCTTGGCTGAGATTGGCAAGCAATACGAGAAGAGCCCTGCTCAGGTAGCCCTCGGTGAGTCATATAGCAAGACTAACAGGAAAATTCTAACCGTGCGATTAAATCTAGCCTGGGGCGTCACTCAAGGGCACTCTGTCCTTCCGAAGTCCAAAACTCCGTCGCGAATCAAGTCGAACCTTGAAGGCGACTTCAAACTGGGTCCCCATGACATGGAGAAAATCCAGTATATCAACAAGAAGATCCGATTCAGTGATGCTAGTGGGGAGTTTGGCCGAGAATTCTTTACCGATCTGGAGGGAAAATAACAAAAATGGCGAAGTGATCATGTCAAATTGATGATATGTTGCGGTTGCTGATTTCCTGCACTGGATTTACTTTAATGCTACCGAAGAATGCGCTCCAAATGCATGTGCACCGAAAATAAATAGACTACGTAATAACTAGAAACTGTCTGTCTGAAGAGAACGATGCAAGCCGCAATTCCTAGACTAATTTGTGACAAAAACCATACCGTCGAATCATTCTATAATGGTGCGAACCCCGAAAATCCCGCGATCGCCGTGTTTCGTTTCAGATCTACGGTGTCTGTTGAGATTGATGTGTCGTGCCCTGTATCAAGTCGGCTTGGCCCTTGCACGTCCGAGTGAAAGCACCAACTTGCAGGTGACGCAGCATAATCGGGATCTAGGCCTGGTGGATGTACGTTGCCTCGGCATCAGTGTTCGAGAGACGATCAGTGCTCATTGGTGAGACCATGTGTCGAGCATTCGGCAGGGGCAAGGGGGCTGGAAAGGCTGGAAAGCCAAGGTTGCAGGGGCCGCGAATTCCGCCTTCCTTACGAGGGCGCAGCGGCCCCGAATTGTGATTCAACATACAAGTAGAAAAGCAAGCCTACAGTACGTTCATAATACTAGGTATCTACCCACAGACGTAGAATTAAACAAATCAAGCTGGTTCGAATTAAGTTTTAGAACCGATTACGTCATATAGCATGAACATTTGAACCGAGCTGTTGATCCCCACCCGTGTTTACTCCAACATCCAATATCAAATCAAAATTGGCATGGCGTCGGCTGCGTCTGGATTTGCACTGGTGACACCTGCATCGCGTGGGATTGGCTTCGCCCTTGCCCAGACATTACTATCTCAGACTAGTCTCCCTGTGGTGGCAACAGCGCGCAAGAACTGTGATGAAGTCCGAGAAAGGCTCCTTTCTAGCAAGGGGCTACCTTCCAATGCAGAAAAACGACTGCGCATATTGGAAGTCGATGTCAAAGGTATGCACGGCCGAACAAGAACAATAACCCACACTTGTCTAACTGTGATCACAGATGAATCCACAATATCATCAATGGCGGATACCATCCGCAGAGAATATCCAAACACACCACTGCGCCTCGCTCTAACGGTACCAGGCATTCTCTACGTTGAGAAATCGCCTTCTCAAATCGATGGCGCCAGCGCATTGGACAGCTTCAAAGTGAACGCCCTCGGTCCGCTACTCCTTATGAAGCATCTCTCTCCATTTCTTCCAAACAAGTCTGGGTCTGCGTTCCCGGTCACAGACGACCAACTGAAGCTGCCGTCGCATGCCGTCTATGCCATGATGGCTGCCCGCGTCGGGTCGATCTCCGACAATGCTTCGGGTGGCTGGTACTCCTACCGCGCGAGTAAAGCTTCTGTATACCAGATTGTCAAGACGTTTGACTTGTATCTGCGTAGTCGATGTGCTGAGAGGGCCATTGCAGTGGCGCTGCATCCTGGTACTGTGAAGACGGATTTTACGAAGGAATTCTGGAAAGGTAGAGATATGCTGGAACCATTGGATGCGGCGGATCGGTTGTTGAATGTTATTGCGCGACTCCCATCCGACTTTGATGGTGGGAGGGGAAGGTGTTGGGATTGGAAGGGGGAAGAGGTTTCCCCATGAGTGGTTCAATAATGTTTCGAGTTTTGTGTTTGAAAACGATGAAACACCTCGGAACCTTATACGGGGAAGAAAACAGTCACACTGGTAGAAATCGATATATATTTATCTAGATATTAATCCAACAATAGTACTGCTGATCACGTCCTCATACTCAATAGAATATATCCATGAGAATATGATAGCAGTGGCATACCCTGGTGGCGCAAGGGCAGCAGGGGAAACGAGCGAAAGAAATGTAGTGTAACGAAATAATCGCAGAATCTCTAGCTAAGGAAGGAGAAGAGAAGAGAAGAGGGAACATACCACTGGCAGTGTGCGGCGTCACATACGGGATCTGAAGCATCCCAACTACGAAGACGTACGTCCGTCAGAATAACATGGGAGTCTCAAGCAATCATCTCTCACAGCTTAATCCACCTTCCCATCCATGTCTCAACAATAGACTTGGCCTCATCAACTAGCCCCAGATCCAGTAACAATTGAGTCGTCCCCCGTACGGCAGAATCCAGCGCCGAAAATATCCATGCGTGCGTGTAGCTCGTATGCTCGCCGATGAAAATGGTCTTGAATTCCGTCTGATAGTATGCCGGTAGGTACAGCTCCTGCTGCCCGACAAGCGGATCCGCCCACGCACCGGCCTGGTGTCGGTCGAACTCCCAGCATTGGCGGTCGTAAATGCCAGTGAACTGCTCAGCAGCGATGTCACCGTGTACTTCGACCATTGCGCGCTGAATGAGTGCGACGTGCTCTTCAGGGTTGAGAGCTGCTGCAGAGCGCGCTAGAGTGCCGGAAATATATGAGGAGAGAATTACCCCCGGTCCGGTGCCGTTCATATTATACGATGGGTAGCAGACGCTTCCCACGCCTGATATATCCACAGCGCCGCAGCCGCCGAAGATAGGATTCTCCATGTGCTCCCAGAAGCGAGTCTTGTACAGCAGAGCCAACTTGCAGGCGGGGTCGTAGTTCAGGGATGAGATGGCGCGGCTGAGGAGGGAGGAGTATCGGGGCAGATCCCAAAGCCGGACTTTGCTGAAGGGCACTGCAACAACTGCATAGTCAAATTCCGCCGTTTCGGGAGTCATCTTCAAGGGGTCGTCCCGCCAAGCAACCGAAATTTTGCCAGTGGTCTCATTGTAGATTAGACCTTGAACGGTACGGTTGAAAGTAACCTTGTCCGCGACGTGGGGGTAGAAGGCGCGCGGCAGGGACTCCAGACCCTTGTCGATGGTGCGCCATTTAGTCGCAGTAAAGTAGACACCGTCGTAAAAGTCCCCCCAGATAGGAGAGTCAGTTGTCCCTGCCACATAATCAGTGATGTTGGCGTTATTACCCAGGGCATAGCGCAAGTATCCGGCTTCAGACCAATGGAACATGCCATCCTCAACAGCCTTTTTATGGGCCTGGTACATGTTGGTTGCAATTGCACGGATCGTAGCTCGGTCATCCAGTGCGGTGTAGTTTGCATAAGCGGCTTCGGCATCAGCAACGGCCGTTGCATTGGACGATGCGGCCGTGTAGACAAGCGAGGAGTTGGCTGCGACCTGAGCTACGGTGGGAATCCGCCCATCAGGTAAACGGTTTCCACCTGAGGCGGCCGGGACATTTGGGCTGCTTTGGACCCAAGGAATGAAGTTGACTTGAAGATCGGGTCTATCAGCATTCATCTGGTTGAGCACACCGGCAAGCTGGAAGACCATGCGGTGATCCATGATTTCGAGGGTCTCATTGGTATCCGCATAGGTTATGCTAACGGGGAATCTCATCGGGCCCATCTCCTGATACTGGTACTGATCTGGGCGAGTGTTGTTCAGATACTTGGTGCGAATACGTCCGCCAACGCGCTCGGACGATTCGAAGATGTGCCAGTTGTGGATCCCAACAGACTCGAGCAAGTGGCTTGTCATGAGCCCAGACATGCCACCTCCGAGAATGGCGACCGATGTGTTCTTCGCCTTGGAGGCGAAGGTGGCACTGTTTTTCTTAGACTTCATGTAAGCGACCCCATCGAACCAGGGGCCCATTGTGTCGGCCACATCTGCAATGCTCTCGCGCTTGGCAATGGAATAGGTTACTGCGATTGGCGAGGATCGGCCAAGCGATGTCGATCCGGAGAACGCATGAAGGCAGTGTGCATGAGGTGCATCGGCAGGGGTTATCCAGACGAATCGGTCTGGCCTTGCGTCCCGTTTGATGAACATGCTGCCAACCTCATGATGTCCATGAACAGGGCTTTCAATATCGCACCCTCCATAGACAAGCTTCAGATGTCCTTCGAAGGATTCGTCAAGGAAATCCACATGGACGTTGTGCAGGGAGTCCGCTGTTACGCCTCCAAGGTCATGAAAACGGAGGACCTCAACATCGCGCTGCACAGCAGCGGCCCATCCAAGGCCCGACACGCTTAATCCGACTAGAATGTGGCGAAGATAATCTCGCATTGTTGGATCGGATCGGCTAGAGGCGACTTATCTGAGATGATAGCTCAATGCTCAACGCCTTTTCATCGCTTTGTACTTAAGCATTTTACATTGGACCTAATTAGAATCCCGGTGGAACCGGAGTCCTATTGCTATCATCGCTCTGCATTGCATTCCGACCCGTGTCCCTACATTATCCTGCTCTTATCACGCCCATAGCACCAACCAGACAGAGCTCTGTCCGGGGTAGAACAGTTGCATTCAACGTCGTCAGACCCAAGCCACATTGTGGGAGATGCGGAGCGTCTGATAGTTACGTAAATGGGGGAAAAGAACGGTGAGCAGTTATCGCAATCAACCATCACGGCCGAGCTCAGCTTTCCAGAGTGGTTAGGATTCGTCCACGCGGCCGACTAAAGCGTTATCAAGGGCGGGGGACAATCTATCTTATCAAACATGGGGGGAGTTTGCTCAACTAACGATTACCAAGCGTCTCGCTTGGTGACTACTGCAGGTCGGGGGTGACCGTTCCGGGGGTATACTTCCACCCCATGGCGGCGGGATCGACCCAGCCACCTTCCCGATCACGTTAGTATCAGCTCACATCTCCGCCTCATAGGCACCCAGCTTATCGTGAACACAACTGGCCGGACTGGCCCAGTTACGAACGCGGCTCGGCTTGGTCCCGGTGCCTTGGCAGGGATGGCTTATCACAAAGTGGAAGGATTGAGGGAGTTGCGCCGCCAACAAGTGCCGCGGTTGCTTATTTAAGGTTGCGCGGGGTTTCTCCGGGTAGTCCGCTGGCTGACGGAAGGAAGGGGCGTTATGGAATCAAACTCAATATAGAGTATAAAGACCAGTGCCCGCCACTTCGCTGAACTCTGTTACTCAAGGCTCATTCGGAAGGTCAATAGATATGCTCTTTAGTAGGAAAGATGCATATTTCCTCACGCAAATACACGCCGATATGAACAAGATTGGTTCATTTAGGAACCTCACCACGCAGTTCACAAATTTGTGCACATTGTAATGTTCCGATGCACGCTGTGCACATCTGTGGTCGGAGTTGCTCCGCAGCATGGGGTTAGCTGGTAAATAGTGTGCAACAACTTGCCTTGGGGACCCGGATGGCTAGCATGTTGAGAAAAGGGGCTTATTCGTTCATGATGAAAGGTTTCCTCCGCAAATAAGATGGGCCTGTGCACAGAATAAGATTTCTACCTTGAAGGTCGAGACGGAGACCGAGGCCCCTTTTCTCAACGGTATGGGCAGGGTGGATGGTAAATGCCACTAGTGCGGAACCACGAGTATATGGCTCAGGAGGTGAGGAGGTGAGGGCCCCGGAACCACCATCGGCAGTCTCCCATAATAGACCTGATTCTGGAGCATACACACAGCTCCGGGCATAACATCCATAGAAATCCCCCCAAGACATGGTAAAGTAAAGCTTTTAAATAGATCTTACTCCAACACCACCAAAGCCAGGGCAAGTCTGGGCTGTGCAACCTTAAACCTCCGTAGGACCGAACTAGCCTAGCCACTCACAACCCCCATGAAAAGGAGGAACACTCCATGCAGCCGACTGGACAAACGGAAACCTGCAACTCCCTCGGGCTTCTGGGGTTATGTTGCGGGGAAGGACCCAGTCTGGGGGCAAGAACTGATTATCCCCGCACTACTTCCCCACAGAACATGTGTATTCGGGACCCGCTTGCCTCCGGGGCTGGTGCGACACCGAGTCATGCGAATGAGAGTCCTCAATTGACCCCCTAGCTATGCCCTGATTTCTTGCTGCAAGCCATGCAAGACCCCCTAGAATGGATCTGTATCGAAATTTAGCTTCAGGCGCCGGGATCTGATTTGGAGTTACCCCAGGCGGTGGAATAGGGGCCTAGATTGGAGTCTGGGGTTGGGCAGATGTTGCGTACGGCATGGAGCATTGGTTGGGACTGTGAGTATGCGGTGGGTTGACGGGAATATAAGATCTGCTTCCCGCGGATGATTAGGGTGAAATCTGGATATCTCATTCTCCATTTTTCTCCTACGGTGTCATTTGCGGTCCGCTCTATTGAATTCGGAGTTCATCTATCTACACGATTGAATAACTCTACATTTCCAATATGTCTGACGATAACATTAGTGACAAGAAAGACTCTTCGAACGTCGAGATGCTTCGTCGCATCCAGACGGCCGAAAGTGTATTGCTTCCTATTCCACGCGATGCATTTGAAAAGCTTTATTTAAGCCCGAAGTTGCCTACGGCGGGCAACTTGCGTCGCACATTTGGTAACCCGACTCCCATTTCGCTGATGGGTTTCTTGCTCGCTGCGACGCCAGCTGCGATGGAGACAATGGGTTGGCGAGGCTCAGGCGGAAACGGTGGGGCCATCCTGTACGTGATAACATTGTTGTTTGGAGTGCCGACAGGAAAAGAGTGCTAATGTAGTCCATCACAAGACCCGTCTTCATTTTCTTTGGTGGTATGGTACAAATATTGGGGGCTGTGGGCGAGTGGATTATCGGGAATACTTTCTCGTGTGCCCTTTTCTTCACATACGGTAGTGCCCATGGGGTCATCTCCAGGCAAAGAGGGGAGAGCTAATACGATACACTATGCTCAGGAACCTTCTGGGTTGTCCAGGGCACATCTCAGATGCCATTCTACGCAGTTGGAACCAATTACTCGCCTACCGGAAATTCATTAGAGGGAATGCAGACTCCAGAGTTTGCCGCGACTACTGGTTTGTCAACACCAATTCCTATTCCGTCTGGGGTGGTATGATTTCCTGACCGTCCATTTTATCCAGGCCTCTATTTTGTCTGTCTCGCCGTTCTGACCTCCATCTATGTTATCTGTTCCATTCGTACAAATGTTTGCCTCTTCCTTGCATTGTTCCTGCTGGTCATCACCTTTGCATTGTTTGCCGCGACATTCTTTCAGCTTGCCCTGGGTAATGTTGCCTCGGCGGCTAGTTTGCAGAAGGTACAGAGTCCAACTACTAACTACGTCTGTAAATTGTCACTAACTATTCAACCAGGTTGCTGGAGCCTTCAATCTAGCACTCTGCATACCAATTTGGTGGATTTTCATTGCCCAGATCTTCGAAGCCGTCGACTTCCCTTTGACGATCCCTGTCGGCGACTTGAGCACGATTGTGCTTGGAAAGAGCCAGAAGGCGAGGAAACACGAAAGTGAACAGCAGTGACGGATGCCTGAGCGCACTGTGCTGACATCGGGGCTTACAAGGCACGGCTAGTGCTTGGGCTGTCGGTTCAGGAAAGCCGATCAAATCGAAGATTGAGTGTGATGAGAAGACTTCTATACCAACAAGATGACCAATCGTAGAATTTGAAACCAGTCAATATATACCTCCAAACGCTCTGGAAGCGCAAGATTTCCTGATGTTATGTATAAATACATGAAAGATTCTGGATAGTACACTTGCTATACAATGCAATGATGAAGGATCATGTAAATTCGGAGGCGGCATAGCATCATGATGGGACAAAATTGGCGCCCTCTATATAGAACCAAGCTGGATTAGCAGTGCCTGTAAGGTAGAAACAGTCATCAACGCCACCCTCCAACCCTCCCCTCGTCCCAGCGCGCCTTCGCCTCCTTCCTCGCCGCCAACTTGGCCGCTTCGGCCCTAACCCGCCGCACCCAATCCGTAATCTCCTTCTCCGTCGCCCGCCCTTGATGATTCCCATCAAGAAAGCTCTCCTCCACCGCCTGGCAAACCGCCTCCTGCTCCACGATGGCCGCGCTGAGCCGCTGGTACAGCGCCTTGGGTGACCACGGCGCCAGCGCGGCATCCATTTCGGTCTGCTTCTTGCGCCATGACACTTCAAGGGATTGATGGGTCATAAGCATAGTCTCCGTCTGGGCGTGCAGGTCCGACACGTGGTTCTGGAGGTCGATGAGGCGGGTTGCAAGGTCTTTGTTTACTTGGATGAGGGACTCAAGGTTCTGTTGGCGGGTTGTGTGGGAAGGGTGTCGGGCCGAGAGGGCGGAGAGGAGCGTTGGGTCTTTGAGAATTGATTGGAGATCGATCGTTCTGGTGGGTTCGTTAGGAAGCGGTTCTCTTTCTCGGAGTGTGCCGATCTTACGATTTGTCCTTCACGATGTCTGGTAACCAGCCCTCTTCGATGGAAGGAGGTGCTGGAAGAGGGGCTGATGGAGAAGTGATTTGGTATTGGGCTTGGATGCTCGAAGCCGGGGGATCGGGCCGGTGCCCAGGCTGTGCTTGCAGGGGCGTTGACATTGAGGATCTGTTTTGGGGGGTGCCTCCTCGGCTGGCTTCATGACTGCTGGGTTTAGGGGGTGGAGGGGGAGGGGTGTCGGGATTGATGGATGGGTTCATTATTGGAGGCGTTGAGTAGAAGGATGATTGGGTGGGATATGGCGAGGCTGGCTGAGACATGGCGAAGGTGACGTGTAGAACGTGCAGAACGTGTGGGGTTCGGAGAGTGGAAGTTGGAGATGCGGGCAGCTTACCTTAAGCTTGGCTAGTCGCCGCCACCGATAAGCGCAGTCGATAAGGCGTTCGTGATGCAAGTGCAACGGAGATACATAGCACTACGTGAAGATTCATGGATTCTTGGATGTGTCATTCATTTCATCGTATTCAGTACAGCGCTGAACCCTAGGCTGGGCAGCATCATGTTTATCACGCTTGCAGGGCTGCATGGGCCCGACCCATCGAGTAGGCAGGTATGCCTCGCCAGCAGAACCATGCCAGGCGGACAAGAGGGGTATAGGAACAAAAGCCAGAAACCAACATTCAATGCATCTACTCCTTCCTCCTCCGGGTTTCCCGATCCGCAGTCTCAAAGCTGGAGCCCGTAATGGCATCCATGACCAACGCACGCAGCTGCTCTTGTGTGGCCTCGCTGTGGAAGTCCTCGCGAGCAGCCAGCTCATCGATTCGACGCTTGAACTCGGGATCAACCTCAGTTTCGCCAGCGCTGGCCTCCTCTTCCGACATTGTACCAATGTTCACCTGCATGTTGCCCGGAATGGGTGGCGGGGCATTCAACGGGCCTGCAGAAGGGTCTGCAGCCGCCGCGGCAGGGACTCCAGCGACTTCGCGGAGGTAGGCGACCACCTGAGGGAACTCGTCGTCGGCCTCCATCTTCTCATAGGCCTTGAAACCTTCGTCGTTCGTTTTGTTATAGTCCACGCCAAGGTCCTCGACTAAGCATCGGGCGATTTTGGTAGTCTCGGCCACGAACAGGCAGGTCTCGCCGTCTTCGTCGAGGAGGTTGACATCGACATGGAACTCCTGCACCAGGGCACGCAGTAGGTCGACATGGCCGTAGGACGCGGCGGCGTGAAGCAGGGAGTATCCGTGTTCGTCCTGGGAGGAAGCGATCCCGGGGTTGGCGCGCAGGAGTTCGAGCAGAGCTGACGGATTGTCGCAGGCCAAGAGGTAGGGATTGGACTGGGCCATGATTGCGCCCTGCAGTGAGTCACTGAGTGAAATGAATAGAAGACGAAGCAATGAGTCAGTGCCGTAAAAAAGTTGCAGTGAGGCGGAGCTGGAGAATTTCGGCGGGGAAAAATATGCGATAAGGCTGGCCGCCTTGCCTCTTTGGCTCCCCGCAGGCTGAGACTCTTCGCCAATGACTCAATTTTTCGTGAGCTTGCGAGCTGCTTGTTTCACGGGCTTGACGCAGGTGCGATCGACTGCTGGTTCTTAAGGCAATTGCCTGGCAACAATAGAGCGAGTAACAGCCAGCGCGCCTTCGCTCTTTGTTCTTCGCTCCTTGACCTCGCACCCCACCTCGCTTTCCCCCTCCATCCCGCCCGCCGTTTTGATTCCCACTCCACTCCCGCGAAGATTCCTCCGACCACTAAGAAAACAAACCTCCACCAACCTGTTGATATGGCGACACAGGACCCGTCGCAGGTCGCACAGCTTGTGTGCGACCTAGAAGAGGCCCGGAAGCAGGACAAGGGTAGCAAGAAGCGGAGCTACACGTGCAAAAAGTCCACCTTCACAGTCGAGGGCACTAAGGGTGTCACGGTGGACTCATGGAAGTTTATGGACTGGGATTACAGGCGCCCGGATCTGCCCACATATGCCCGAGGCCTGTTCACAACTCGACGGAAAGATAACACCCCCGAGATCGCGGTGCGCGGCTACGACAAGTTCTTTAATGTGAACGAGACCAGCGACACAGAGTGGAGGAATATTGAGAACAAAACCCGAGGTCCGTACGAGCTGAGTGTGAAGGAGAACGGTTGCATAATCTTCATCTCGGGCATGGAAGACGGTAAATTGCTGGTCTGCAGCAAGCACTCCACCGGCGTCCGCTCCGATACCAACGTGAGCCATGCCAAGGCTGGCGAGGGATGGGTGGAACGGCATGTCTCGACTGTGGGCAAGTCTTCCAAGGACCTTGCCAGGACTCTCCGCGAGATGAATGTCACGGCCGTTGGAGAACTTTGCGACGACAGCTTCGAGGAGCATGTTTTGGCGTACGACGAAGCTGCCGCTGGCATCTACATCCATGGCCTCAACTACAATCAGCCTGAGTTTGCCACAATGTCCGGAGACAAGGTACATGAGTTTGCGGATGCATGGGGGTTCAAGAAGGCGAAGTACGTGACGTACGACGACATCGAGTCTGTGAAGGAGTTCCTCGAGGGATGCGCCGAAACAGGAACCTGGGACAACCGCGAGACTGAGGGCTTTGTGGTCCGATGTCAGATCAGCGACCGCGATAGCGGCTACCGGGACTGGTTCTTCAAGTATAAGTTCGAGGAGCCGTACTTGATGTACCGCCAGTGGCGGGAGTGCACCAAGGCGGTTATCTCCGGGAAACTGCCCAAGATCAGGAAGCACGAGAAGATCACGGAGGAGTATCTCCAGTTCGCGCGAAGAGAATTCATCAGGGATCCTAAGCTCACACAGGAATATAATCACAACCACGGGATCATTTCGTTGCGCGAGAAGTTCCTAAAGGAACGGGGATTGAAGGGCTCTGATATTATTGCCATGCAGGAAGACGACCACAAGGGCAAGGAGACCACTAACAACGTTGTCATTGCGCCCGTTGCGTCCTTGGGGTGCGGAAAGACAACCGTTGCACTTGCTCTTGTGCACCTCTTTGGATGGGCTCATATCCAGAACGACAACATCCCCAAACAGAAGGCCAAGCCGAAGAAGTTTGCCTTTGAGATTACCAAGGCCCTGGCTATGCATCCAGTCGTGATCGCAGACCGAAACAACCACCAGCGCCGCGAGCGAAAGCAGCTCATGGAAGACATTTTCCCCGTGATTCCTGATACCCAATTTGTTGCCCTCCATTACGTCCATGAGCCCAAGCCCGAGCTACTCCCATCCATCAAAGAGGTCACTCGGAAGCGAGTGCTGGATCGTGGCGACAACCACCAGACTATTCGCGCCGGTACTAAGAGCCGGGAAGAAATTATCGGCATCATGGACGGATTCCTGGCCCGCTTCGAGGGCATCAACGTAGATCGGGATCCGGACATGCACTTCCAGCACGTTATCGGCCTCGACGTCTGCGCCTCCTCCCGCCAGAACCTGGAGACCGTCGTCGCCGCTCTACATGCTGCATACCCCCGCCTGGTTCCAAACATGCCTTCCCCAGACGACCTCGACGCCGCACTCGACGCCGCCATCGCCGACTACGAAGTCAAGGAAGACCTGAGCAAGGGATACCAGAATGTAAACTCCATGGACAAGAAGAACGGGCCGGCATATGCACCACAGGCCTCGCAGACCTGGACCAGCGGCATGGCCCCCGCTACTCTGGCCCGTAAAATCGAGTACTTCAGCATCTCCGTCCCACCCTCCGACATCACATCCACCCTGCACGCCCTCTTCGCCAACGCATCCCCAGAGACAGCTCGCCTCTACCACCAGCTCGTTAACTCGCGGCGCATCCAGCCTGCCTTCCATGTCACACTTATCCACCGCGCCGCGAAGAAAGACCACGCCGCCGTTTGGGACCGCTTCGCGAAGCAGTACATCGACGTCCTGACCGCGGCCCCCGTGCCCGATGCCGTCAACAACCCGCCCAATCTCGGCCGCGCCCAGGTGCGGCTCGAGCGGCTTGTTTGGGACCGGCGGATCATGGCGTTCGTCGTGCGCATCCTGCCGGGCGAGGGCGAGGGCGCGGACCAGGTCGCGGAGGCGCTCCCGTGCGCGAACGCGATCCCGCATATCACTGTTGGAACGGCCTCGCAGGATGTCAAGCCGAAGGAGAGTAACGATTTGCTGCAGCGGTGGCATGAGTTTGGATCGGGTGGGGAGACAGGCATATTCGAGGCGGAGGTGCCGGGGGTGAAGCTTGTTGATGGATCGGTCGGGTTGGCCATGATGCGGGGCCAGTACTGAGATGAGAGTTGGATCGGGGTCGTGTGTCTTGAGGCGTTGTGTCAATATCGTTTCATATGCGGGTTGCCTTTGCATTGGCATCATAGCCGCGTACTGCATTCGCAGATGAATCGGCACTTAGATACGGTCTACCAAACGTAAAAACAATGAAACGTATGCTGTATCGCCGGTATGCATCAATGATCACTTCTCTTAATAAGTAGAGAGTGCGGCCATACGCCTGGCGCCCGAGAAGGACAGCATGGCTAACACTCTCGCATCTATCTACTGCGACTCCTACATATACAAGCACCAAGAAGAAGAACCAAGGAGGAGAGAGGAGAGAAACAACACCTGAAGGTGCCGGGCAAAGCATTACCCATGTCGTCCGGCTCAACATCCTTCCCGCGCTGAATACTATGTTCAACCACTCACCCAAGCCGACACCCGCGAGGCACCGAATCGGCCCATGTACTGCAGCCCCGTGCTGCCCATGGGGAAGTAGCTGACGAGATACCAGACCAGGGCGGCGAGCTGGAAGATCGAGGAGATGAGGGTAAGGAAAAGGCTTTGCAGCTGGGAGGGGTTAGCCGGTGATTTCGCAGAAACAGAAGAAACGCAAGCAGCAAGACACGGGGTAGGGGGGATTGGGGATAGGGGATAGTCTCGACACTGCAATGGCGATAGGCACGAGGTCGCGCTCAACCACAAAGACAGGCTCGGGCAGTGCATCAAAGGCCACGGACAGCGACAGGGACAGGGACAGTGAGACTTGTCTCGAGGATGAAGCGTCCGCCTCCGCGTCTGTGATACAGCGCCGTTAGGGCAATCTGCTTTTTGGTCGTGCCCGTCACGCAGGATGTCGATATGGTTGCATGGGGGGCCGGTGGGCGAGGGTCGAGGTGAGATCGATATCACCGAGACCAGCGGCCTTAGCCATCCCGAGCCAAGGTGCCTGCACCGAGAGCGCTAGGCGAAGGGCCATACTGCTATCGAAGTATCGGCGTGACAGGTGCAGGCACGTCACACTGCAGGATTCCCCCTTTTTTTCCCGAGCGCGCCGTGCAACCATCGTACCAGTACGACGACGGGCGACCAGTGATGCCGGGAGCGGGGCGTGGAACAAGATAGATCGACAGCCAGACAGATGGTGAAGATGGTCGACAGCGAAACGGCAAAGCGCAAAAACACGATGGAAGCCACAACAAAAACCAGAATGATCTCGAAAAATACAGCAAGAAGAGAAAACCAAGAATACATACCCCGATGGCAAAGTACAGCGTCAGCGCAATAGACCCGAAATACGCCGCCGTAAAGGGTAACCGTGATCCCGAGACCAGATGCTTAGCGTACGACCAGGGTCCCATGAGGACGGCCCATGATAGCAAAAACAGGGCCGAGCCGACAGACCACCTAGACAAAGAGAAAAAAATAAGTAAGTGTCGCGAAGCTGAACATGCATTGAGGACGCGCGCATCTTGCGTGGAGGGCGGGGCTTGGCATGCGGCGCAGGCGGGCGCATAGTTCGGGGAGCCGGCGAATGGGATACGTCGTGCGCGGCCACACGAACTTGCACATGGCCTGAGCGAGGGCTTGCAGGTGACCGGGATCATGGTGCGGGATTTGGTAGTGAGTGGAGGGGAGTAGCTATGCACGGCAGAGCCCGGAGGGGAAACGGGAGGGTTGGTATGGGCAAGGTTGGGCATGGGCAATTGCACGAGGAAGTGGGCGGGAATGAGAGGCTAACCATGCAAGCTACAGCTGCAGCAGATAGAACTGCGGGTAGGGTAGAGCAGGACGGGGTTTGGAGAGGTGGTGCGGACACAGATATACTTACAAGATGGCGAATTTGCGGGGCTTGAGCGTGAGGACGGGGAAGAGGAAGAAGCAGATCATGAAGCAGACGGCGGCGCCCAGGTTGCAGGCGCCGAAGATGAGCAGACGATCCCATCGACTCACTATTGTTGTCTCAGTTAGCCTACGTTATGTGTCAAGGTTGCGAGCTTGTCTCCTGTCGGATCTCCACCGTGAAGACAAGCATGGCATGGCAAAGGTGGACTCCTTCCCGGCGCAGGAACTGCGTCCTCGTCACCTGCATCACATGTAGGGCATCATGGATGGTACGTTCGTGGATTAAGGGTCACGAGTCCAGGTGGACGGAGATCGCAGAAACAAGGAAGAAAGAAAAGGAAACAATTAACTTACGGGCAAAGAAGCCCTCTTCTTCCTCTCGCCGAGTTGCTGCCGGCAGTGGTGCGCCGGGGCCTTCATTGTGAGTGGGAAGTTGGACGTAGCCTCCCTGGCCGAATGGGTTCAGCGACTGCAGTCGCGAGAGAAACGGCGTTTCTGCAGACGCATTTGTGCGGACGGGAAAATCCGGGTCTCTGCGCGACCAGCCCAGTGAGTTGACTGAGTCGCGGAAAGAATTGTTCGCCATAGTTGCTCAAAGCTAGTCTTCTAGTGACGACCGCTAGACACACTCCGATAGCAGATCCCTATTGAACGGGAAAGGAATGGCAGAACGAAGCGGGTAAGACAGGGCAGCGTGCACGGCCTCGGTCTATTTGCAGGCAAGGTCCGTGGCTCAGGAAATCAAAAAGAAAAGTGGACACACAGCAAGAGCAGTACTGCACGGCTCCAGCCAAATGAAAACGTCTGCAGGGACTATGCACGATGGAGTGCAGGATGATCTGCGCCGGATGATGAGCAGCGGCCCAGAGGATTGGCTGGGCAGAGGGAACTAGAGACTAGCGCAAGCCTGCGAGAGGCAGATGACGCCCTCGCCGAACGTCGATTTCGGTTTCCCTAGGAACGGCACTTCAGCCTGACTTTGCCTAGCGGTCCTGACCGGTACCCCAGGTGCTCGTGCCGAGAGAGCAATGAACGGTTGTTGGCGACGCCCAAGCCCTAACCCGCGGCGCGATATGGGGGCAGATGCGGATTGGTAGGAGGCCGCGCAGCTGGTAGATGATGCGCAAGCCTATCGAAAACCTTCCTGGCGGGCGATCCACCCGATCAGCTCACGGTGAGTCCCTGGCGGTTGCCTTCTTCGATGACTTGGGGCTCTCTCGGGAGCCTGAAACAGCCGGGTCTTTCAGCGTACAATCCCCACGAGGCCCTTCGGAGTATCTCTGCCCCGGGAAAGGGGGTTGCTGAGGGGGTGCTGGGGGGCCCTTGTTCTGAAAGCGGCAGGGGCGGACCGAGAAGCGTACGACGTCAACGGGGGATGGACGCGCCGGAGTCACTAAGCGGAGGGAAGGGACGTTGAACCTTCGGAGCACGACAAGACCCAGAGGAGGGGTCGGCGATCACGGCTGATAGGGGAGCGGTGGTGATTGGACCAGGAAGCGCTGCGCTATGGGATCTTATGAGGTGTGGTCGAGAGCTGAAGGGGGGGGGGAAGCGGATGGGCGGATGACGAGATGGCGTGGAGCTACCGATGCGACCAGCTTGGATCGGCCTGGGGGTGGAAGACGAGGTTGTCAGATGACGGGTCGTTTCGGACCGAGCTAGGGTCTCAGCGGGATTTGCAAATGCCTGCGATAACTGCGAAGGCTGTTGCTGACGGCCTGGTCGAGAGTCCCAAAGGTGAAGTTGGAGAGTCAAAGGGGCTAGGCCGAAGTGGGTGGGCACAGACCACTCCGCATTCCCGTCACCTGCGAGGCCTCCACCCTCTAGCGTGTTTAGCGTGTTTAGTGCGCAGTCTCGCAGTATACTTCGGAGTATGCTTCACTCATGGCGGCTTCCCTGTGGACCGCGATGTACTTCCACTCTTCGCTATGCCTATCATGAGGACGGGCGCTTCTACTGCTTTGCTTTTCTACTATCCTCCTTCCCAGCCGGTGTCCATGGTTGAGTCTCGAGCATCTCATGCGGCCAAGTCCACCTGGGACTTCCCGCAAAGCTTCCATATACAAGCCTATCCACACTGGCAAGCCAGTCCACTATGCCACTATTTCACGATCATGATCATGATCACCAACACCACCAGTCTTCCACAGTCGGCCTTTTCGACCATGTCGATCACCGCTCTGGCCGGTGCGCACCCTGTGGCGATCGGTGTGAAAATCGTCCGTGAATCCCACTTCCCCGCCCCAGCATTGGCGGAGCCCACTCCTCCCCCAAGTTAGTCGACTTAGTCTGCAGAAGCGCATCTGGCCGATAGAGTGCAAATATATTGCGCCCCTCTTTTCTGCCCTCCCTTCCTATTTCCCCTCTCACCGGCGGCTCCATTGGCCGATGCCCGTATCGGAAACGCTCCCTGGAAGGAACAAGCTAGGCCAGCGAGTCTAGCTAGACGCAGGACTAAGCCCTTAGTCGATGCAATGTTGCATAACTTTGGCGTTGTGGCTACCCGACTGTGCGACACTGGCGAATTGTCCGATAGCCCAAAAGGTCCTGCACTCCGAACGGCGGGCCCTTGGGTAACATCCCCCCCCTTTAACTGCCCTCATTCTTTATCTTTTGATTCGGGCGGGTGGTTGCGTGGAAGGGACGTGGTGGATGCCTCCGTCGTATGTCCGACTCGCATGAGGATTGCGCGGGCTCCAGAAACAGTAGAATCGATGTACATCCCGGCACCAGGGGTCTGGTCTCTGGAGGTGCGGCATGGCCCGGATGCAATCGACGTCATCTCAGGGCCCTGTGCACCGATACGGCTGGGTTTATAGTTTGGGTGTTTGGGTGTTTGGCATTGGCGGGTGGTTGGGCTATGAATATACCGCGTGGTGGAGTCGGGGTATGGAGAACAAGGGTACTACGTACATCATATGCCGGACTGCGTAAGTGCATATCTCCTATCTCATCCACGGTCGATGCGGGCCTCCTTGCGTCAACCGTGGGAGTCTCGGCGATACTCTCCGAACCTTGACGGGACGGGACGTGGAGGAGATCCACGGTGCCATTTTCTCCTCCGTACACCACGGAGATCAGGCTATCATGCATGTTGACGAATATAGTCAGTAGACTCATGGTCGAGTCGAAGACGATCAGGATGATCTAGGGTTTAATTTCTGGTCTAGTCGTATACTAGCTACACTAAGGACACTAGTCTCGTATCCTAGTGCCATCGCTACCTCTCCTATCTCCTGTGTCTCGCATACTTCTCCCCGGACATAGGGTGGCTTAGATGCATTCCCAATGATGCGCATGGAAACTCTCCGGTCGCGTTGTGGCTCAGTCCCGCGTCAGAAAGACCAGTCGCCAACCGGTTTTTGCATCTTTCGGCGGTGCGCGGGCAACGAGACAGTGGAAGGTGTGGTTGATGCTCGTCATTCATTGGCCGCTTGTCTCAGACACATTCCATCCCCCCCATCGTGCCGCCACATTCTTGAGATCCGTTTCGCACGGTGATACTGCTGTTATGTATGGATTTTCCCAGTGGTGTGTGCGGTGACCTAAGTGGAGGGTTGATCTGGAGAGGGAAGGGGGGTTGTTGAAGACGCGACGTGGCTTTGGATCTCGCCTCACTCAGCCCGGCGACAGGGCGAGGTTGTCGCTGGAGCCTGCGGAGGGTCACGGACCAACGTGAGCAGGAAGGCGAGGAGGGGTGCAACAGGCCCGATCGGGCTAGAAGGAGTACCGGGCAGGGTGAGCTCTCCCGAAATCCCCCCAGGCTGCGCCTGCACGGCACGGGCCAAGCTCCCCGTCGATCGCCTCCATGATCGCCACTCCACTGCACGACATCGCTGAGCAGACGCACTGAATGTCCTAAGGGTCGACAGGGCTTACCTGTCCTTCCGTCTTGGCCTCCGAATTCACTGTGCTGCAGCCTGATATTCTCCGGTATATGCGCCATCTTCGTCCCGTGTATGCCCCATGGACGATACAATATCTATTTTCACCCATATCACCCATATCGGGCCAGGCACAGGCACAGGTACAGGTACAGCCATCCAAGATACACGATACGTCTGGATATTCCGCTTCGTTTCCTGCGGTGTCGATCGCTACTATCTCCGGGGCCCTTCCCCCCCCCCGCCAGCTGCAGCACTTCTGCCTCATACTCTCTTCGCTCTAGTGTCCTTCGGTACGGGTACATCTTCTGCATGCTTGCCGGTGATCTTACCGTGCCCATCGTTCCCATCTACCGTCGACCCTCATGGTTTTATTGGCGGATCTCACTCCTGCTGCTCTCCTCATGCAGCCGTCCCCCCCCCTTCTCTCTTTTCGCTGATCTCAACCTTGGAACCCTCGGGGATACTAATGCACCTTGATCCTGCTGGACGGACAGAAATAGGCTTTCTTTTCCGCCACAGATGATGGGGCCTCGCCTTGGGTCCTTGGTCGTGGTGGGGTCCCTATCTACAATATGTATCCGTACAGAGGAATTGTCTCTATGGTCATGTCTCTGGTATGCCTGTAACCCTAAACCCCATCCGGGGGCCATCTGATACATTCCGGCTTGTGCTGCCAGGACTCTCCGAGCACTGAGTCATGACTCGTGCACAGGTGACAAACACCGCCGGTATCATGGGATGGATGCTGTCTGTTCCGGCTGTATCACCCTTCCCCCCCCCCTTCGCGGCTTTCCGTTTTAATCTTTCACGGCCCTGGTCATTTTCGGTTCATTTTTGGTCATTTGGCGTCATTTTCCTCCCAAATGATCTACCATCTTACTGATGATTACTGATGTCTTCTTTGATTTCCCTTTCTATCCCTCCTCTGCTTTTGCACTGGAGGCTCGGGGTTAACGGGTTGCCACCCACTTCAGCACCCCCCCAAGAGCATCACCCACACTAACCCTAACCCGATGCACTTTGTACCGTTGACCCAAATCACTTCCCCCCCCCCACCCCTCCATCGCGGACCCTAAAATAAATAAAAGAATAAAAGATATTTGAGAAATCCCGGCTAAATACGACATATACGACATACAAAATACCACCGAAATAGCAAATGCTAAATCCGAAATTCTCCATCCATCCTCATCTCCTAAAACAGCCACAACCCACACCCACCCTCCATCTGATCCACGCAAAACAAGGAATATGGGGACAAAAAGACAAAAATAATAATCCGAATAATCCCATCAAGCGCATATCTCCTAAACAAGCGTAGTATGTCCGATGCCGAAAGCCGGCAAGCCTCATCGATTCCCACCGATCGACGGGCTGCATGACCGATGTTGTAACATATCAAATGAGAGGTGCAGGAGGGGCGTGGGTTCTTAAAGTCTCCATCGTCCTCGTTTCATCTGCGCTTCCTTTCCTGCACCGACACTTGCTGAGTTGGCACTGCATCACCGAGAACCGCCCTGCGCCATCGCCCGTTCCACGTCACCTTGCCCCGCGCCTCATGATTCGCACGGTTTATCTGGTGGATCATCTAAGCTGTTCGTGAGATCTCCCCGGGATCCTTCCCCCATACATTCTGGTCCTAGTGTGCTGGTGCGTTGGCTGTTCCTTTCCCTCCTATTCCCTCTGGCCGTCTGTTGTTCCTGCATGCTGCCTGCGCGAGGTACCCGCCACGTGCTGGGGCTCTGCGGTTGTTGACGTGGTGATCTGTCCTTACGATCTTGTCTACTCCTTGCCTGCATCTTCCATCCCATTGTCTTTGACTGTCTGGACATGGTGGGGGTTGGTTGTTCGAGTCACTTGAACCGTATACTTCCAAAAGCTGCCACACCTCTCTGACCTTTTCCCAGTTTCTTCGTCCAGCAGACCCTGCTCGGACCCTCGTCTCAGTCTTGGGGAAGAAGGTCATCCAATTGGTAAGCCCTGCATACTTTCTTGTCACCTTCTACATCCACCATCTTTCCCCCCGTCCTCCCCCCCCCCCTCCTTCTGTTTCTCTCCTTTCCCTCCGATTGTCGCATGTATCACCCATCGCATCGCCTATTACGGACCAGACCAGAGAAAAAGAAAAGAGAGGAGAGTGTGCGATTACGTGGGCTTCGTATCACATTGCAAAGCGAACGGCGGGGCCTCTCTGCCACACGGGCTCTCGGGGCGCCAACTACGTCTGGGAGCTGTGGAGAGGCTGAATACGCAGGGTCAAGGCGCACTCTACGATACCACACGCAAACCCTGCTGAGCACAGGTGAGAGAATAGGCGAGGGCAGACACCCTTGGTCAGCCAAGCAGCCAACCAGTCTCCGTCTCAGTCTCAGTCTCCCCATCTCCGCGGTCACTCAAGTGCAAGTTCCCCACGCCCAACGCCAAACGCCAAACGCCAAACCGGCGATCGCCACCACTCACCGCCCGCTCTCCACCGCTTGTTCTTCCCCCGCCTCTCCACTCTTTTTCTGGTTTCATCTGGCATCTGGCGTCTGGCACCTGGCACCTGGCAATCATCGGGCATTCTTCCCCTCCAGCATTGAACCGGGGCTCTACGGGATCGGAGAGTGGCACACAGGGCACTCGTCCTCTGTCTACTCACCACATCCTCCAGCTCAGCTGTGTGCTTTGCTGCTGCTCTTGCGACCCCCTTCTGCAATTTCCCTTGGGGGCCCGCGCTGATCTGCACCCGCCCTTTCTTCCCACGTCCCCCTTCTTTGTGACTCGCCACGTTTCCGCATCTCTTACCCGTCTTCCTGAGGCTCTGATTGCTCACAATTGGAGTGTTTGTTGCTTCTAGACTGTGGGGTCCTACTTTTTGTTTCTCTCACATTGCTGCGCGATCGACTCGGCGTGCTTCCCGATCCGCACATCCCCGGGCAATTGCCCCCCGAGGCCGTCGACTCATCCCACCGGCCTTCGCCTCGATCTTTTTCCGACCATCCCAACGCGCGCGCATTACGACAATAGACATCTTGTCACTACCGGTACATATCCGACTCGAAGGTAAGCACACCTGCACATTCCTCGCATGCTCTTTCCCCCAAGCCAGTTGGTCGCCTCGGTTGCCTGGTTGCGTCTGGCCGGAGCACGGCAGCGCATTGTCATTAGCCGATCTGGTCCTTGCTGTCACCTAGTCCTCTGCAAATCATGGCATGGCGAGCTAACCGGCTTTCTCGCGCTCGCAGATATCTCTTATCGTCTACGCCTGCCACATACCAACTTGGTTGATCCCGCATTGACGGCTGCCTTGACTGGGCCGATCGCTATTGCTAGAGAGGGTCAGTACGATTTCGGCACAGACCGTCTCTCCCACCCTTCTTCGCCAACTCCACGTGGGTCTCTTCATACTATCTACTGGAGCAAGATTTAGCCTGGGCAATGGCAGAAGCAAGTCTCTTCATCAAACACGAATCTGACGATCACAGCAATCCCTCCATGATGTCTCACTCCGGTTACATGGGTAATAACTCCTTTGGGAACCCCAACGATGGGGTAGACCCCTCCGACTTGACAATGCAGCAGAGCGGCTTCATGCCGTACTCCTTCGGCTCGCAGCAGAACATGTCCTCCAGCTTCAACTTCGGCAACTCCGGAATCGACACCGACGAACTGTTGGACCTGGAGATTAGCGGACAGAACGGCGTTCAGCGTGGGGACAACATGAACTACCTTCAGGATCAGTCTGGTGGCATCGCTATGAGCCATCAAAGTCAAATGTCGCATCTGTATTCGAATACGCCCGACGGGCCCCCGATGGCCAGCCCGTTTGTCAATAGCAGCTTCAACTACGAGCAGTTCCGCATGAACCACGGGCAGAATCATCATTTGCAGAATGCAACCTCCTTTGATCAGAACTACTTAAATGCCAAGTCTCGCCCGAGCTTACAGGCCATGGACCGGACTTCGTCGGATGCGCGGAGCCCGATGACTCCCAAGACCCCCGCCCTGGGCTCCCTGAACCTGGGTACCCCAGAATCTGGCAGCTTCCCCGGCCAGCCGATCCGGACTGGTGGACTCCAGCACCGTCACCAGAAGTCTCTCTCCAACCAGTGGGATGGGACACCTGGCAGCGCCCATTCTTATATCGAGTCCCCGATTGGTTCGCCTAACCACCACTCGCAGCAAGTTGGCATCTCAGAGATTCTGAAGTCCGGCAAGCATGCATCATTGCCTGCCAAGGTCGACACCCATCTTCCTGGCAGCGCCCAGGACCTAGAGTCCCAAGAGGCCAAGCGTCGACGCCGCCGAGCCTCACACAACCTCGTCGAGCGGCGGCGCCGCGACAACATTAACGAGCGCATCCAGGATCTCTCGCACTTAGTACCGCAGCACCGCCTCGAAGATGACAAGGTCCGCAAGCAACTCGTGAACAACACAGCCCTCTCCATGGCCGGCGCGGGCAGCAATCCCGCAACCTCCCTCCTAGCTGGCGGTAACGGCCGCCGCGCCACACCAGGCAACATCACCATGGGCCTGCCCATCGAAGAGAAAGAGAAAGGCCCAAACAAGGGCGACATCTTGAACGGCGCGGTCAGCTGGATGCGCGACCTGATGTGGGCCCTGCACGTCAAGTACCAGCAAGAAGCCGAACTGGCCGAGATGATTAGCAGCCTGGGCGGGACGTGGCCGTTCGAGCCGACAGAGGAAGAGAAGCGCATGCGCAGCGAGATTCTCGACGCCCTCGAGAAGAACGACCCCACGTCCTTCGCCTACACCCGCGGCCCGGGCAGCGGGCTGCGCGTGCCCAAGCACACCAATCTGGCCGGCGACACAGTCCAGGGCGGGAGCGATGGCTTGACGCCGCCGGGTCTGAGCCCCTCGTTCCATAGCGGGGAAAGCAGCGCTAACGGTGCCGGCCAGGCGCAGTATTGGAATAGTTCTGGCCATGCCGCTATGAGCTTCAAGGAGGAGGATGAGTATGGGATGGAGATGAGCTAGGCAGACGGGGCTGATGAGCCTGGCTGTGCTGTGCTGTACACGGTTGGTTCCGTTTGGCCTGATTTATAGGATGGCTTCGTTGCATACTCGGCGTCTAGGGGAACCGATTTCTCGGCGTACCGGGAGTGATGGGGGTCCGCGGGGGGGGGGAAGGCATGTGGCCCCTCTGAGGGTGATGTTTTTTTAAATACCTCTATGATTTTTCTTGCATTGAGTATTGTTTCAGTTGCATTTCCTTTTTCACCCCTTGTTGATGTTTGTTGCTTGTTCTTTGTCTTTCGGGATCGTGGCTGGAATTCGTGGACCGAGATTCGCTTTATTTCCATCTCTTCATCTCACCGGACCCGATCTGATTTAATGGCTTCTTATGTCATGCTGATCTCAGCTCTGATATCTTCTAGTTGCCTTGTTTACTCCTTGCGTTTCTTTATGCCATCGATACCCTGTTTTCCTTTCTGGTTTTCTCGTTTCCTCTCAGGTTTCAATTTGAGTTTCCTTATCTATCGACATGGTTTTCGTTATTACACGTGCTAATATATGTTCTTCATCAATGCTTGCGGCTACTGACTCCCGTTCTGCTTGATTGTCCTTTTGATACGGAACTTGTCTTTTCCCCCCCCTCTGTTCTCCTGGCCCTGTGGCATGGTCTGTATTTTGGTTCACAACGTGCCTTTCGCGTGGGTGCCATATCCCCTTCATTCTTCTTTTCTCTCCTTTTCTTCTACCCTAATACATTTCCCTACTTTCTCCCATGTCGTTTTCGCATTCAGTTTGGCAGTTCCGTGGTTGATTTTCTGGTTTTTGTGCAGATAGCAATCTATTGGCCGTGCCACTTTTCTCGTACCTGAGTTCAGCCCTATGTTTCCCTGTAAACAACTCTAAGGCGAATGAGTCAGTGTTCGGGTCTCTGCTCACAGTATTTTATTTTGGTACTTTTCTTTCTCTTTTTTCAAGCTGGTCAGGTCTTAATCTGCACTGGTATGGGGACGGGTATAGGTGTAGGAAGCTCGGATGTTGATGGCTCGGGGGTGTATACCTCGAGGTCTCGCCCGTCCACAAGCCTGAGTTAGTCGGGCTCTAGACAAGCTAGCTACAACATGCTAGAAAGACGTTATAGTGCAGGGATGATCCCATAGACCTCAATCTAAGCAACTTGGTCCACGGCAACATCCCCATGACTGCCCGGGTCCATGACCCTAGACCAGCATGTTGAGACAGCTTCTTGTAGCGGGCACCGTTGTCAATATTCAAGCATATACCTTGCAAAGTTTGTTTTCCTTTGCTTATTTCGACAATCTGGATGTTGACACACCGAGCCTCGTTCTTCCTGGGGGTCCCGTTGGGATATCATACGTCGAAGTGTACCCTAGACCACTTCCCCCCTCCCCGGTCGTAGGTATCTCAGCGCCACACGATCGATGCCTACTGGCCTTTCATCTGCCATGCGCCAATGTTGAAGAAAGAACAAATGCCAAAGGATTGAAGAGGGTTACACGAGCCCCTGGAACTTGGGCCCAGGAGGGGAAACATGATCCACTTCGAGACCAGGGTATGACCACGGGTGGCGTTTCTGCAGTCGCTTACCCCGAGATTGACCGAAGTCGCAGCTTCGGCTATCGATAATATCAAGTGTTGGACAACGAGCAGATGTAGGCAAGAGCTAGCCAGCTCTGCGACACTATAGACATCCTAGTCACAGTCCTCCGTTGCGGGGTTCCGATGGCGTCTAAGCACTTGTTGATCGCTGCAAAGCTGACGGGGACCTGAATTGTGCACGGGGAACTAAGAGAGGCTCCACGTTATTTGGGGCTATCATCTATCTACTGCCTCGCGCAGGGGTGGGCCAAATCCACCATCGAGAATACTGAACTATTGGGAATTCCCAATCCTATTGGTTCTTTGTGTGCAGTGCTTTCTAAACATTTTGTTTTTCACACTATGTCGGTCACTTTATTTTCCACACAATGGCAGTTTAAACACTCATGTAGTGACAATTCTATTCCTTATTTAGATTCCAACCGAAATTGGAGAGCAAAGAGCATCTGCGCTTGACATTCCCATTTCATTGAAGCATGCTAAGTCACCGACAGTCGTCGGCTTTAGGGCGTCAAACGGCAAAGAAACTCAGTCACTAAACTAAAAAAGAGCGGTATCCAGAGGGGATAGTTTGCGATTGTTCGAAGGAAAAAGAGGGCAAAAGAGGAGCTTGCACCGGAAAGGATCTGCAGCTACACGAGAATCCACAGACCCTGTCTGTGTGAGCAGTCAGTTCAACAGATAATCCCGGTAAATGGCCATTTGTCGTGCTTCAGGTAATCTCCGTATTGGTTTGGTGGCTCGCGTCATGCGTTTAGCCCACGATGGGCTGTTCAGCCCAGCCACCATTGGCTTGGGCGGATGTTCCGACATTTGGCTGTTCGTTCCAATTGCCTCCCCAGCCAGTGCCAGCACCTCGACCTGCGCCGACATTTGGCTGTTCGTTCCAGTTGCCCCCCAGCCCGTATCAGTACCTTGACCCGCTCCAATATTTGGCGGTTCGTTCCAATTGCCTCCCCAGCCAGTACCAGTACCTTGGCCCGTACCAGGAATGGACTGCTGGCCACCGAGAGGGACCTGGCCGAAAGGCACATTATAGTTAGGCTGCTGAGTCTGGGAACCGTAAGATTCTGTCGGGCAGAACTGGAAATCCATGCAGGCACCGGTGACAACGGCACAGTATTTTCCGTTGAAAATCTGGTTGGTAGGACAGCGAGGCTTCGTAATAGAGATGCAATTCTGGCTGACTTTGTCATAGGTAGTTTCCGGCGGGCATTGAGGAGGCTTCTCAGAGCTGCATTTCCTGCCATCAAACTTGAAACCAGATGGGCAATGGGCATCGATCAATGAGAAGCAGTTGTCGCCATCAAGGTAGGTTCCCTCGGGGCAATGGGCCTTTGGACCGACACAGGCTTTTCCGTTGAACGTCAAGCTTCCACAGTCAGGGGCAGCTCCAGAAATGCATTGGCCGTCCTTAAGCACGAAACCAGGCTCACAATGCTCTTCAACGATGTGAACACATTTTCGGTCCTTCCAGACAAAGTTCGGTGGGCATTGGGGAGTTCCTGTACTTTCGCAGCGTCCGTTCAGGAATGCCTGGCCGGACGGGCATTTGGCGGCACCGTATACGCAGTTACTGTCCTGGAGTTTTGTGTCGGGGGGACATTTGGGGGGAATACCAGTAATGCAGTGGCCAATTTCACTGAGAACGGATCCAGCAGGGCACTGAGGAACTGCCTTCGAGACACATCGGGTGCCATCAAATGTAGCGCCATCTTTGCATTCCGGCGGGCTTCCAGTGATGCAGTAATCGCCCTGGTGAATGCCCTGCTCACAATGAGCGCGACCGTTGATGATACAACGTTTACCATCCCATTTCGCAGGTTCGTCGCATGTCGGCGGAATATAACTGACACATTTGCCACCTTCCAGATTGTTGCCCCCGGGACAAGTAGGAGGACCTTGGAATATGCAGTCCCCTCCGACCTGGACCAGACCCTCCGGACACTCTGCCTTTCCGACGACAGCACAATGCTCGCCCTCCAGATAGGTTCCTGGAGGGCATGTGGGGGGCTGTTGCAAAACACACCGGCTACCCTCGAGGGTAGTATTTGCAGGACACCGGGGTTGAGGATTGGAGTGCTTCTTGCAGAGCCCATTGACCGGGGGACGATCGTCGACACACTTCCCGTCAATTGGCCTGGCCACGCATACCTCCCCGTCCCAGGCCATGTTGGATGGGCAGCAACGAGACGTTCCGTGAGCGTTATCGATCGAAAGAGTCATTCCCGGCTGACACTCCAATGGGCCTTCATAGACGCACTTCTTGTCATCCAGCTTGGATCCAGGAGGGCACTGGGGTTGCTCGGAAATAGTACATGATCCAGTCTTTCGGTTGAAAGTACCGCCCCCACGGCATGCCGGGGGAGTGGTCGAGAAGCATTGGCTATCTTTCAGGACCGTACTCTCCGGACAACTTGGAACCCCTACAGAAATGCATCGGAAGCTTTTGTTGTCAAATGAGGATCCCTTGGGACACCCCGGGGGCTTCTCATCGATGCAGAGGCCGCTTTCGAGCTTGGAGCCATCTTGGCATTTCGGTGGTTGGATGGAGGCGCAAGATTTTCCGTTGAATCGTTCGCCGTCGAGGCAGACAGGGGGCGCCTGGGAAACACAGACGTTGCCCTCCAGGAGATATCCAGGTCCACAGTCGGCCTGCCTTTCGAGAACGCAGTGACCGTCTTTCAAAATAGTTGCAGTGTCACAGACGGGAGGCTTTTCAGTCACGCAAAGTGTGTTCTTGTATTCATATCCAGGCTCACAGAACGGCTTTGCGTGGAAAATACACTTGTCACCATCGGGGGTGCTACCTTCGGGGCAAACTGGACCGGCAAGGACACATCTCTGGCCATCAAATGCGGCGCCTTCAGGGCAGCATTTCACATGCCCAGTAGCCTTGTCGGTAGTTGGTACGATGTCATCAAGAGTGTATTTTCGGATGGAGGTCTGGCCAAATGGAGCGTTCTGGGCATGGGAGGAAGAGAATGCGATGAACAGGGCTAAAGCCACCCGTATCTTTACCATAATGGCTCGGAGATGCTAGTAGCATACACTAGGTGAGTTTTGTCAGTCCAGTCTTCCAAGACGAAAATTTAAAGAGATATTTATAGCACTAGGACTCAAACTCCCTGTACTTGGCCCGCCCAGTAGGGGGCTGTCCGTGACATGACTGACCTCTCGCTATGCTGTGCTCACTGTTTCGATGTGACCTATCCTGTGGCAATGAGAAGGGTGTAGAACGTATGAAGCGAAGATGTAGTAGCACCAGATGCAATAGATGTCCCAAAGTCGACAGTCATGTGCCTTCGTGCGCCCTCATTATGTCTCTCCGTATTCTTAGGAATGGCAGTGTGAAGCGCCCCTTGACAATAAAGGCGCAGCCTCTGTGGCCTTACAGCCAATTGGGTCACGAAAGAGGACCAATATCTGAGGATAGACCCCATTCAATGTTATAGTGGCAGATCCTGGCCGACTCCTTGGTGCATAACCTCGCTCGATCTTGGGTCTGGTGATTCTCCACTTTTTGACGGTGCATAGCGGCTCGCCTTCGTCTCGCGAAGGTTGGGTATTCGAAGGTGGATAATATATCCATTCAGCTCTAGCCAAGTGAAACACTGCAGCAAGCCTCTTGAGGATACGCATTGACTCACTTTCTATTAGGTAAAATATTGGCGAGCAACCGTCAAAAGTGCGCACAGCAAGCGCAGTATTGCCTCCAAGACCGGATAGGATAATCCCTCGTCAGTAACTCTTGAAGCATTGCAAGCTGCTGTTGAGAAAAGACTTCTCGATGCATCCCCATTTTCATTTTTGCTTTACCCACTTCCAAGTTGTACCACTTCACCCCTGCATTATTTCCCCACTATTTGGTAGCAGAAGCTGGCTTTATACGAGATTGAATACCTGTACTCCGGGTTCTTTTATTTGTTTTTTGACAACTTATGACTAATGATATTGGATCAGAAGTCTAGATCGCCGCAAAGCTTGATGCTGCGTTGGTGCAGAACTCTTCCAGTGTGGGAAGATGCGGAGAATGGGGACGGGCCGATGCGATAGAGTGTAATTGACGTTATGATTGTTTCCTTAGGGTTCTTAACATAATTTTTAACCCAATGGAGAATGTGGGAAATGGGAGCTTGATGTTCAAGTGTATACGTACTAGCTTTGTCAGTTGTTGCAGGCAAGGATGTACGTACAGTATAGTCGGTGCATACATGTACCCCTATGCTGGTGAGTGTAGATCGTCTCTATTGTAGCACCGATGGGTATGGACGGGACAGGTATCTCGATTAGAAAGAACTTGGCTGAGAAGCTGAACAAGTGATCCAAGATCGAAGATGCATATGCAGTTGTCTCGTACACCAGTCAATGCATCTCGTCGTCATGGGATTGTGATGGCGGGGGATATCTGCAGAGCGACCTATATAATGCAATATTGGAGTGATCAACGAGGCATTTACCTCATCTAAACATCAATGTTTCACATAGTATCCTCTTGGTCAGTACCTGGGCTAGCAATCGAAGCCAGAGGGTCTTATAAATAGGTCGCCATTGCCCCAGCTATTCAGTTTTTATCACCATCAATCTAGTTCATCTCTTCCTACTCAAAGACAACTCTTTCAATCCGGTTTATTCTTCCCAAAGAAAGCATCGTGCGTATCATCTTCTACGTGTTCCAGACTCGTTCTGACTTTGGCTAGAACCACCAAAATGAAGTTCTCTGTCGCTGCTCTCGCTGTCTTGGCCACCGCTGTCTCGGCTCAGTACGACCAGCCTCCTCAGCAGTACGGTCAGCAGTCGCCTCAGCAGTACGGCCAGCAGCAGTATCAGCAGCCTCAACAGTATCAATACGGCCCTCCCCCAGTACAGAACAAGTACTCCCCGGCTGAGGCTCAGGCTTGGCACAACTGCGTTAACGGTCTCCTGGATCAATTCAACCTCGGCCATGATAAGTCGCAGGCTGGTTGCTCCTTCTGGACTTGCCTTGAGACCACTGCCGGCCAATACAACCGTGGAGGTGCCCTTGCTACGATTGGCCAAGGAGTCAGCTTGGCTTGCAAGGGTGTTGGTTTCCTCCCTGTCAGTCAAATTCGGACCTTCTTAGCATTAAAAAATAGCTAACATCCAATTAGGGCAACTGGATTTAAGCCTCTTCTTTAACGGGCAACTACATTCATTTTCCTTCTCTCGCAGTCTTATTGGTCAAAGTACTGTCAATCCTCGACCTGGGATTACCTATGGGCGTGTAGGTGATTCGTTAGTTCGGGTGATCCTGCCAATTTTGTAGCCTTGGCACAGGTTTTTGTCAGATAAATACGTCTGTTTTCCCTGTTCCTAAATGTGAATACAAAGGCTCTATATCACCATCCTTTCGTAATAGTCTATTTCACTACGATAACGCTAGTCTTTCACCGTCTGGGCTAGTTTCACATCTGCTCTTGATGCGCAATTCATGCTTGAATATAGTAAATCATGTTGTGAAACCAGGCTATCCCACTGAATTAGTTGGGTGATAAGTACTGATTTGGAGCCAGTAACTAGTTTAGTAAGACAGGAGCATCATCCACTGGGCATGTATGGACCCTCGAATATCAAACATCTGTCCAACATCGGGGGCAACGTGACCGTGGTAAACAGATAGTTTTTGCGGAGTTACGGCAACCGTCAGAACCGATATGAGTAGAAGCAGGCACGAAGTTAAAATTATTACCTTCCCAATACGCTGATTCTCTTGACCTGGGGGCAGATCAATTTCGCGACGGCAGGGATGGTGTAAGACACGGCCTTGTTGCCGTCTGCTTCTATTCAAGCTAACTATCCTCAACGAAACAGATGTCTCACTATCCAACTTGAGATGTTCCTTTGCTTTACTTGCACCCTGCTACAACCTATCTGGTAGGCTTGGTTGCAGCAGCTGCCCAAGGAATCAAACGGAAATAGCAACTTTACCTACCACATATCACGGTATATATACTTGGAGTGGGGTGAAGTCTCATCCGAACCAGAGGGTGTGTAATAGATAATTCGTTCCAGTCGTATAATTATATTCCGATTGCTACTCGACAGGCGCCACACTACTGGCTTCAGAGGAAGTGTTCGTGATAGAGACACTTTCAACACCTTCAAAAGAGGCAGATTGCCTGAATGCACACCTCGATTCTATGACTCTCTTTTCTTTCCGAGACTTTAATCCCGATATAATATCCACGTCGTACGGCTCCCGGATCTTGAGTATTGTGGATACTGCAGAATCTGGGTAACTGAGAGTGAGCTGGTCCAGCGACTCGATATCAACATGAGCCAGAATCTCCTCGGGGGAGCAAGTGGTGACCGAAGACCCGCTGGGAGCGCCCAGCCACGTGGCCAGGAAACAGGCCGAGCCGTACCTCCGGCCTAGTTGCTGAAGCGCAAGGATGCACTGCGACAGCCTTCGGAAGCTGGCCAGGCCGACGGTGGGGTCTCCAGAAGACATATCTTGAATATGAACAATGCCGGCGCGTAGAATCATGGGCACGCTTGTTGTAGGGAGGTAGTAGATCAGGTGTTTGTGGTAAAGATCCTGCAGGATCACAGTGACTTCAACAGCGCCCCGAAGAACTGGACACTCTGGGGCATCAAGAGATAGCGGCTGACGTGGGCTATACTTGTCGGATAGAAAGTCAAGCTGGCGATGAAGCGTGCTGTATATTTCCAAGTATACCATTTTGAGCCAGGCGCAATGAGAGTGGAAAATCAAGTCCGCCTTATGAGCCGGTACGAATGGCCTTGGATGAAATGATATGGTTTCGGGCAGATCCTGAAGCCAATCGTCGAGTTCCAGCTTCGACATCCATAGACTTGCCCTTCGCGCTCGCCTCGCGCCGACGGGAGGGTGTATCGGTTGGCAATCCCACGAAAACATATCCTCTTTGATGCATCGGCAGAGCTTGATCTTTTCGACAAAAATACGTGCTAGGTGTCTCTCATGACAGCCATAACAAGCAGAGGCGTATCTTTGCCTGGTTATGTCCAAGTCATCAATTTCGAGCATCGGGATCGACGAATGGACTTCATCCTTGATCACTGGTGGCTGCTGCAAACCCAAGGCAATCAGTCTGTCCCGGGTAAAGGCACTCCACCAAAGCATATTCCGAAACTTGTGGGACGGCCTGTGAGTGTCTATATGATCAAGGTGAAGTCCAGTCTTGCATGCAAGCGATACGCATACAGTGATCCAGTGTCGACCATCTTTGTGTCTGTCGGGGTTCTCGTACCAATAGGTCATGAGAAGAAGGCTTTGGATCACAAACAGATTGTCGTCTTCCACATCGAAATCATACAGCAACTGCTCATATTAGCGTGCCCTTGGTTTATAATGCCGGTTTTCGCTTACCCGTGCTCGTTGGAATAGCGTGTCTAGTGCATGTCTCCGAGAGAGATACCCGGCAGCATAGAGGAATTTCAGGTCCACGAAGATCGCGCCCGCAAACATAACAGCTTGAAAAAGCAGCAAGCTGATATAGCCTTGGATACCCTGTTCATTGTCAAAAATAGCTCTCGAGAAGCTATCCAGATCCAAAAACGGGATATGTGGATGAATGTGCCGGATATACGCTCTGAAGATCTCTCGCGCAAATTCAGGCTCGGGGAGGTCTAAAGCACCCTTTCGTACTAGAAAGTCAAGATCTTCCTTTTCGAGCCGTGAGGATAGCCCATTTAGGTAAGGTGGTAAGAGGTTATTGTAAGGAGGCAGCGCCCACGTCGGCCCCAGCAGCCGATGTACTTCGGCTACCAGGTTGTCCAGTGGGATCGTAGACAGCACCCCCGGCTTCTGGGTCATCCCCCGAGCAGGCTGGCGTGCGAGGGCCGTCCGTTCTTTCATTATGACTCGGTGACTCGGTGTTCTGTGATGGTAAGAGACGGCGTGAATCGTGGTAGACCATAATTACAGTTGGCCTTTTGATATGCGGCCGGGCCTCGGCGTCCTTCGGCACAGCGTTTCGGTGCGGGGTGGCCGGCATTCTCACTTTTTTGAAACTCCGTCCCGCCTTCCTGCTGCTAGTTTCTCATCAACTCTGGTATAAGCTGAGATAGTACCTACAGGGCAACTCGTCAGACCGATGGTGTACTATGGTGCCTAAAGAGCACAGGGTCTACTCCTACCCCTCGTGAGCCTCTACGACATGCATGTTCCGTGATATCTTACGGAGCAAACATTTGCGTTTATCGTATCCATTCGTTAATTCATTTAGCCATAACATCTTCACAGCTCTTATGCACATCACAAGATCCACCCCAAACACACCAAACTAACAATCAGCATCGTTCCAATACCATTGACCCCAGCTTCATTGCTGGTTGCCAGTTCCTTAGCCACAGTCGTAGTCGCCGTTCCTGTCGCAGCACAAAAGCTCGAACCACACGCATAGCCGCTCGGACAGCAGCCCCCGCCGACTGTATCCGCGCAGCTGAACCAGCCGTTCGCACATTTCCCTCCCGTGCGAGAGGAGCCTGAGGATTCTGTTGTGACGGGCACAACAATGGTCCTGCCATCGGAGACGAATGTCGTCGAAGATGTGGTGGGGCATGAGGTGGTATCACAGTTTCGGCCTGTCTGGCAGCAGCCACCTTGATAGACGGCTGAGCAGGCGTAGAAGCCGGTCGGGCACCCACTGACTTGATGAGTTACTGAGTGAGTAGCTGTCGTGACACTTGTCCCCCGTGCCGGTGGGGTGGGACTGTCAGTGCTTGTGCTTTTGCTTAAGCTGGATTTGGAGCTGCTGGAACTGGAACTGGAGCTGGAGCTAGTGGAGCTGGAGCTGGAGCTGGAGCTAGTGGAGCTTGAGCTAGAGGAATGTGTCGAATCACTTGTTTGCTGGGAGGTTGTGTGTGTTACTGTCGAGATTGTCACCGTCGAGTCGATTGTCACGGTGACCACCGAGATGTAGGCACCTAGCTCTGATCAGCCACATAATGGCGTATCATTCCGCTGGTATACTTACAACCACCCTGAACACATTCGTAGCCAGGTATACAACATCCCCCGCCTAAGGCTTGCGAGCACGTCGAATATCCGACCTGGCAAGATCCTATTGTACCAGAGCAGGTTTGGCCACTTGGACAACAGCCTACATCTCCCGAACCCGTGTTTGTGACGATTATACAGGTATCGCCGGTGCTGCAACACCGATCAGATCGGTTGATAGATGTGCACGCGTTCGTTCCCGTTGGACACTTGAAATCCCGGGACTCCAACAGTCTGCCCCTGCGTCTAGATTCGGCCTCGAAAGATGGCTCGAGTGCGTGTGATCTTGCGAGGAATCGTGCCGGGGAGAAATCAATCCCCATCTCCTCGTTGTTGTCGTGCTGATCCGCCGCGATATCAAAGTTAGGAGTGTGGCTCGTTGCATTCGCTTCGCCCAGATTTCGCTCAGGTAAACCCCCCTGTTCTTCTCCAAATTGCCAATACTCAAGAAAGAACTTTTCTCCCTCATCATCAGTCATCTTCCTCACGCCCTGGGCAGGTCCATCCGCTAACTGGGATTCGATCTCGGCATTGCGGCGGAGAATACTATCAAAGTTGTCTGAGTCTGTGCTTTCATGGCCTACAGCCGTCGAAGCCAAGACCAGACTGTAGACACTGAATGCTGGCAATAGCCGCATCTTGAGACAAATAGCTCCTGCAGGACTTGTTTTATCGTCGCCGGGCTGGGCTCAGATGGAAACGGCCGGAAGTCTGTGAGATCGTCAGTCGGGGCTGCGCCATGTAGATTGAGACGGAAGATAAAATTTTGGCTGGGTCGTACAGAGACAGGATTGAGCTTTGGTACTTTGGGCGGCAGTCCTGTTGGAGGCTGATGCAGGCTTGGCTGGCGCAGATGCCTTGTGGGAAGTTTCCCGAGTGTGCTTGTTGTCGTGACCGAGACGTCTAGGCAGCTTGAGGTATAGACGGGATTTCTGGGAGATGTAATACGATGGCGACGATCCTAGGATGATCGAATTGGAATTAGAGCGAGGGTGCGGGAATAGTAGCTGGGTTGGTGGTGGGCGTTTGGCCTAAATGAGATGGCTGGGGACGGAGCGGCTGAGACAAAAACCAAGCGTGCCTTGAGAAGTACTTTATTACCCACACGCGTTTGCAAGGTCCGAAAAGCAGATCCACCGCGTTATATCGTGTCTTATTAGGTAGGAAATATTTGGCTGGTAAGCAGCCTACGGGAAACGTGTAAATAAAACAGAAGTAGAAAAGAACCCCGGATCACGATCAAAAACGTATCTAAACTACCCGGACCAACTCCATGCTGCAGATACAAGCCAAGCATCGGAAAATAAGGCAAGACAAGATGAGACACGACGAGAAAAGAACAAAATTAAACACGTTGAATTTAGAAACAAGCCACTGGAGTCAAGGTGGCAGGGTATCGTCAATAAGTGACATGGCATAGGGAATGCAAGTTGCAAGTGCGGAAAAAGTCATAGATGGTATAGGAATACGCCAGTGGTATAGAGGAAATATGCGAGGGAAATAAACACGATAAAGATCTTCGCAAAAGAGAGCACGCGTGGAAACAAGAATAATCAATATGGGATCATCAGTGTGAAGAGACTGCGTCTCAAAGAGGGTAAGCCGAGATGAATCCAGGCTTGCTCGAGGGGCCCGATTAGCTGATTTCATCAGCGTTGGCATCCTTCGTCTCGACGTCTTCTGTCGGTGCAGGCTCTTCTTGTTTTCCCTCATTGGGGATGGTAGGAGCTTCATTCTCCGGCACTGCTCCAGAGTCGGCGGCTTCATCACCTTCGGGCTTCTGTTCGGCTAGAGTGGCAGCTGCAGCTTCGGCCTCGGCCTTCTCCATCTCCGCGTTGCGAGCCTGCTGTCTGTCCCAAACTTCCTTGCGGATACGATCATCTTTGGCGTTGCGCAGTCGCTCAGCTTCTTCCACGCCGCCGCTCTTCTTCAACTTATTTTCTTGGACAAAATTTCCAAGCTCTTTCTGGAAGAGGCCAATTCTCCGGGTTTCGAGCTCCTTCTTCCGGTTCTTCTCTGCTCGCTCGATGGCTTCCAGGCGGCTTTCATGGTTCGGCTGCAGTGCGCGGACTTCACCGAGAAGGTCGTCCTTGGCTTTCATGGGATCAACGGTTGGGTCGATACCAAGGGTCCGTGAGGTAGCACGCAAAGTGACACCACCGTTGGCAGCCTTTTCCATAGCCTGTTCCTTGGTGGCTTGCTCGACGAGTGCGAATGTCTGGGCAGCTTTCTCGAGATCGTCTTGCAGATCGGCCGCGAGGTCCTCCTGCATGGTAAGCTGGTCTCGCTCTTCGCAGACCAACTGCAGCTCCTTCTCCCAGATCTTGGTCCAAGTGGGCTTCTCGCGAGCCAGGAAGTCCTGCATCTTCTTGATCTCCTTCATGGCGGTGCTGATATCGCGGTTGACACCCTCCAGCTGGCGTGGTAGGGGACGAACACCACGCGTGACCACGTCCTTGCGGAGGTCCTCTACCAGATCCTGAAGGTCATCGACGCGGGCGACAAGTCGCTCCGATTCGTCAGCGAGCTCCTTCTTTCCGGTGTTGACACGCGCACGACCAGCGTCACCTTCATAGGTGGGAACTGCGGCATTCCCAGCGGCAGACTTGACCTCGATTGCCTTGGCGCGGACGGCGCTCATCGAACTGGTGATATCAGAAGTAAAGTTGGAATAGGTTTGCCGGAGAACGGCAAGGTCACGCCGCAGACTCTGGAGCTCAGCAAGCTGGGTTACACTTCCAGCAATCGCAACCTTCTGAGTGCCGCTAGTGCTAACCGAGCTCGTCGTCGTGCCAGGCGGAGAAGCAGCCAGGCGAGCCATTTCTTTGGCCGCTTCAAGTTGACGATCGGAGACCCGCTGGATGGCTGTTCCTTGGCCTGCGAGGGTCGCTTTAACACCCTCCACCAGACTGCGCACGCCACTGAAGCTCTCGTCAAAGTGCTTTTTGACCTCGTCCAAAGTGTCTACATTTAGGACAAGGACCGATCGGTCCTTGACATCGTTCAAATCCTCTAACTCATGCCGGATCCCAGAAATGGGATCTTGGATATAGATTTCGGGCAGGTCGGCACCGTTGTTGTGGGTATTCCAGGCAAACTTCTCAATGAAAGCCAACTGAAGGCGTCCGATCGTAAGGTCGGCGATATCCTCGGGCAGCACGTACTTCTTAATCTTGCTCTTGTACTGTAAGAAAAGAGTCAACTCCTTGCCGGGGGAAGGCTGGTAGACGGGGAATTGAGGCACAGAGGGAGGGGTAGAAATGGTGGCGGAAGCAAAGAGATCCGCTTTTGGTGTCTCGGGTGCGACGATGGGAGCTTCCGTCGCCCTCTTCTCCGGATCAAAGGCATCACCAAGAGACGGGCCCTTTGGAGGTTGAGGGAAATCTGGTGCAGATTCAATAGCAATTGGCCTTTCGGGAAGTTCCTCTTCAAATGAAGGAGGAGGTTGATCGGCCAAAGGTGGAGGGACCTTGACGCTCTCAAGTTCTGTCGCAGCGTTCTCCGCCTGGGTGCTTTGTTCTTCTTCCACCGCCTTGGGAATGCTTGCTGCCGCCTGAGCCGGTCCGCTTTTAGCAGTTTCCTGGAGGCGATTCGACGAGCGTTGTCTTGTGTGGGTATACGAGCCTCGCAGGCGAACCGCATTGAGAGACTCACGGACGTCTCGACCCCGGTTGGGGATAGGAGAGTTCTGTGAAGGAAGAACGGGGACTCCGTTGGTCGAGGTACCAAGGTGTTTCTGGATCTGGTAAGCTGAGAAACGGCGAGACGCACGCCGTTCTAGCTCGCCGCTTCGTTGCAGGGCGCCTAACGCATCATCCTCCTTGGGAGGGGGTGGTGGAGCCGGAAAGGCCGTAGGAGTTGTCGAGCTAGAGGAGGCGCCCGTTCGTGGAGTGGGGGCGCCCTGCTGTGAGGGCGGCTGAGTGAGCATCTGCTGCGTCTCCCGCCTGGATGCCTCTCGCTCCGAGTAACTTGTGCCTCGCGGGTCACTGTGAGTGGGGGAGGTGCGCTGTCCTGCAGGAGAGTCTTCGAGGGACCCGTTGCTCCCATACCGACGAGCTGACCGTTTAGGCGATGTCACGGCGTCCTCCGGCATCGTGGAGGCAGCCGCCTCGTCGTAGAGTTGCCCAATAGTCGATGGGCCGCTGGAAAGGCTTCCGGCACTGGCCTGCCGACCCGGCATGCCACCACGTCCATCCTCCCGCTGCTGCCGGGACCGCAGACGAGCCTGCTTCTTCTTCAGGCCATGAAGAAGGTTGATAATAATATCGCGAATTTGGGGGAGGTATCGATCAAGGCTTTGTGAGGATGCATCCTGGCTGAGTGTGTCCTCGAGGATGCTGCGCAGGACGTCAGGGACGGGGCCCAGGTCAGAAGTTTCGACACCGATGGCGTTGAAGGCGCGGCATGCCAGGTTAAACTCGTAGCCCAGGCGCACGTAGACATCGGACACGTCGGTCTCAGAGGCCTGTTTTCGGGACCACTGGGTCAGGGTTTCGAGCAGTTGTTTTGTTGCTACGAGGAGGTGTGTGACGCTCTTTTCGATTTGGGAGATTTGTTTATCGGGCTGGGGAGAGAACCGCATTAGCGTACTGATCGTTGGCGACTGCGTTGTACCACCGAAAGGGATTCTGGGTGCGAATCCACGATAAACGATCAACGACTTACCACACTCTTGGCTGATTGGGATCGACCTGAAGCGGCGGAGGAACTGCGACCAGAAGCGGAGGCCATGGCAGAGTCGGCGACAGTCGTGGGACGTTGAGGAGAAAGGCCAGGGTCTCCGAAGGGGTGATGAGGCCGCGCAGTTGGGGACTGCATGAAAGGTGTGGTAAGCGAAGATGGGGGGAAAGAGTTGGATGCCAAGCAAACAGATGACGCCCAGCCTCCTGCAGTGCAGGCCAGCGCGTTTAGCGTATGGAGGGCTGAGTATTGAGCGTACGGATACAGTTGATACCCGTGATACGGGTCCCGCACCGGGCCAGCACAGGGATTCACCCGCGGCCGGAGATCTGCAGTAACGGTAATACGGTACCATCACCCCTTCGCTCGATTTGACAAATTGACATGTGCCGCTGGTTACGCAAAAGGCTCGGGACTATCAGCGGCGCCATTGGATCTGTACCACTCCTCAGCTCGAATGCCTCCTACGTCTTTACTGTCCTGCTCTTCTCCAGACTGCTGTAGGTCATATCCCGCCCCCCGAAGTCGCTCGGCTCCTCCCGCGTCTATCCACTTTCTGCAGGTCTAAGAGGTCGTCGTGATCTGCGTAATGTCCGTACACTGTCTATACAGACCTATAGAAACTAGTACCTATACGACCCTAACTCAGGGTACCCTGGATCGACTCAAGCTTCGACCCAGAGCAATTGGGCTTCACCGTCACGAATCCTGACAAGCCATCGAGTTTCTGAGTAGCCGGTGTTAGACCGACTATTCTTTACGTCGACACCATCTGTAGACTTTCAACGTACAGTTGAGCCCCTAGGGTCCAATTTGCTAGCGGGTGCAATGCCCTAGAGTCCAATGAAGGCGCTTGTGGTGCCGGTCGGATTGGCCTAGTTTCGAGATATGTGCCCTTTTATCGCTTCTGTTTTTTTAGCTTCTTCCCTCCAAAGTTGATAGATGATAGGATCGACAGACTGTACAGCACTGGATCCATCATACGTTCGGATATTAAACCCACCCTTCCCAAACTGATCATTAAAATCCTAAGTCCTACTATATCTACTTGGAGCGAAGGATTCTTACACCATCGTGGGCGGGGGCTGTAGTAACGCACATATCGATCGATGGGCACAGCCGTGTCGATATAATACATTAACAACCAGGCCGGGGGTAAGTATGTAGGGTTGTAGGCCCAAGCGGAAAGGATTGCATAGGATCAGATAGAAGAAGACGGACCAAAAGACCAAAGGGATCTCTCGCATCATTCGTCTCAAATCGAACAGATGGAACTCCCTCCATCCCTGCTCCTAATAATCTTGACAGATCATCACCCGTGGTGTTCTGGCTCGGCCGGCCAGTCTAGACACCCGCACCTGTCAACTAAGGCGACCAAGTCAACCAGGGTCGCACCGTACAGTACGATTACCACTCCTCCTTCCCCGTGACTTCCACCTTTCCCCAAACAAATCCCCATTCGCACCTCACTCGAAAGTTCTCCCCCCCCATCCCCCCCCTCCTCCTCTCGCTTCCTTCCCTCTTTCCTTAACTTTCCTACCCCTTTGATCCCGCTCGAGATTGCGTCGGCGTGGTGGTAGTTGAAGGCTTCCCTCACCTCTCGCTTTCCTAGACTTCCTGTTTGTGCAGGCGGTGTGTTGCGGTTGTGCCCATCCTCGCGGCTTTCCGCCGTGTAAGTTCCACAACGCCAGCTTGCCCTGACTGACGCACCCCCGAGTCGATCAATGGCTTCTACTTTGAACTCCGTTTCGGCTGCGAACAGCTCCTCCGGCAATGCTGTCAACAACACAGCGCAGAATTCTGGCAGGCCCTCTCTGAGATCCAGCGGCAGCACCAAGGGGGACGGTCGCCGCCAGTCCGGCAGCCCTGGGGATGGTGGTCAGCGGTATGTACTTACCACGACTCCCCTCCTTCCCCACAGCCCCGATAGCCTCTCTCTACCCTGATACATGCCCTCCCTGCCTCAGACTCGAGCCATTTGACTGCTACTTTTGGTTCTGCCCGCACTCCTCCCCAGCCAGTGTGTCTCAGTGCACGTGCCTTGAAGCTGGACGAGCTTGAGCGCAGACGGGCAGGGAATTGTGTGTCAACCAAGGACCAATTGAATGCCTCGGATTTGATGGCAGCTGAGCCCTTTCCTATTGACGGTCATGATTGTCGGTTGCACCCCACTAACACAGACAATGTAATACTGCACAGGCGCACAAACTCCCACAAGGCTTGGATCCAAGGGACCAACCCCATTACTCAACGCTCCTCGTACGCATCTCCGAACGGCAACATGGCTCAACGCCATTCTGGCTCCCCTCGCCCGGGTCAGAAGGAGTCCAACACCCCCGATAGCCACGCTCATGACCGACTAGTGTTTTTGTTTGCCAGCTTCATCGTAAGGACAATCGGATAAGTGTCGCCGTGGAATTGCAGCTGATGCGGTGATTTTGGTTTCCAGGGCCTTCACACTACCATTACTACAAAGAGCGGAGAGAAGTTTACTGGCATTTTCTCTTCCTCGAGCTTGGAAGCGACTGATTCGTCATTTCTTCTGAAGATGGTGCAGCGCACCTCTCAAGAGAACCAGGGAAAGGCCAATGGTGCGAGCGACACCACGGCCTCATACCTCGGATCCGCCCCAGAGCACAGCATGGCTTTTGATATCAAAGAAGTTGCAGATATCGCTGTGCCCAATGTTTCCCCGGCTGAGGTATCAGTCAAGGAATCTAATGGTAAGCGCTACGCCCAGATCAGTCGGCGTGAATATGTGTATTGACATGGCTTTTCATTATTCAGGTGCGGCTGGTTTCCGAACCGACGCTGATATTTCCGGAAATTTGGCGATGCGGGAGCGTGCCTTGAAGCGCTGGGAGCCTGCCGAGCATGAGGTAGATATGTCTCTAGAGAGCGCGGCTGGTGGCTCGACTGGTTGGGATCAGTTTGAGACGAATGAGCGTCTCTTCGGCGCAAAGACCAGCTATGATGAGAACCTTTACACGACTCGCATTGACCGTTCTGATCCTACCTACCGCCAGAAGCAAGTTGAGGCAGCTCGGATTGCGGCCGAAATTGAAGGAACTGATGTGGATAATGCGCACATGCGTGAGGAGAGAGGTCTGATAGCTCCAGACAATGGTGATCAGGATGAAGAAGACAAGTACAGTGGCGTCCGACGCGAGAACAAGACTTTTTCGCCCTTGGTTTCTGGGCAACCCAACAAATACACTCCTCCTGCTCGCCGACAAGTCGGAGCTCAACCTGCTGCGCCAGTCAAGCAGCCCTCCACTGCCTCTGTTCCTCCTCAGGCCCCGGCCAAGGAGACTCCTCCATCAGAGAAGCAACCCCCTGCGGCGGCTCCCAAGCCCACCGCCGAGGCTGATCAGAAGGTCGACTCCAGCAAGACTGCTCCCTCTGCTCTCCCCGCCAAGCAGCAGCGGGTGGTTCCCGAGAATGCCACCGCCAATGTGGAGACTGAGGTGCTCGACCACTTCCGTCAGTTCGCCAACAGTGAGAAGTTGAAGATGCAAGAGCGCCGTCGCAACCAGGCATCCTATGATCGGACCATCAAGCTGAATGAGCTGATGAAATTCTCGAAGAACTTTAAGCTCTCAACCCCAGTGCCCAAGGATCTGGTGCCAATCCTGGCTAAAGATCCCCACAAGCAGGAAGCAATTATCAGCCGCGCTCATCTGCCGGAGGACAAGCCGTCCCCCAAGACTGCTGCGCAGACACCTGAACAGAAACCCCCGGCTCGCGCTGTTGGTCCCACTGGTGCAGTTCCTCCTGTGGCTCCATCTGATCGCCAGAACTACCCCCGTGGCCGCCAAGGATACCTGCCTACTGGCCCGCTCGCCGGTCCAGGTGGCCGGTTCCCCCAGCAGCCCATGCAGCCAGGTCGCCCAGGAACTGGTATGCTCAGTCACCGGCTGGCGGACAATCTCCAGCAGCGTAAGGGCGCTGGCATGGGACCTGTTCCCGCCCCGCTCCCCATTCAGGATGCTGATGCCCGGGTGCCCCCAACTGGTCCTGCGAGCGAGCAACCTCGTATTACGAGCCCCGTAAAGGCCCAGACCCCCAACGCTGCCGCGGCGTCGAAATTCAACGTCCGTGCGATGGAGTTCAAGCCTAACCCGGCAGCCAGCACGTTCACCCCTGGTGGTGCCGCTCTTGCTGCTCCCGCTGCCCCCGCCGCTGCTGCCAGCACCGCCAGCCCTCGGCCTTTCTCTCGAAACCGCTCTGTGTCGCGTGCAACCACACCGTCTGCATTCTTTGGTGCTAAAAAGCCACAGCCAATCTCGGAGCGACCCTCGATTGATGATCAGTTTAACCCGATCAAGCGCATGAAGAAGGAGAGTGCTGAGTCTGCGGACAAGCCCTACCCATCCAATGGAGGCATCCCCCCCCTTACAAGACCGCTCCCACCTGGGATGTTCCCGCAGGTAACGAAGAGAAGAACTTTGAGCAGATGTTCAAGCAGCCGGGTGGAGTTCCGTCCGTCTCGCCTCAAGGTCGATCTGCTTCAAACAACCCCCATCTCCCTCAGCAGCACCAGATGCCCTTCCAGTTCCAACAGAGCAACCCCGGCATGCCTCCTTCGTCTGGCCCTCCTAATGGCCCTCACCTCCACCAAGGCCCTCATGGTCCCGGTCCCCACATGGAAGATCACCACCGCATGCAATTGTCTGCATCATCATCTCAAGTGTTCCCCTCACCTCGCATGGGTCAGAGTCACGTAGGGTATCCCTCACCCATGGCTCCTCATGCTCAGCTGGCCTTTGGGCAACCGATGCCGCAATTCTATGGAGGTCCTCAGCCTGCCCACATGAGGCATTATCAGGGCGCTCCTCAGTTCGCCGGACCGCAAGCTGGAATGGGCGCTCCTATGATGGTGCAGAACCCCTCCAATGGTCCCTACATGGGCGTCCCCCAGGGCATGTCTCCTTATACCCCGCAGATGCAAATGTACTCCCCTTCCCCTGGTCACGCTTATCCCCAGCATGCACCTCCGCCTCAACCTCATAGCGGATATCCCAGTCCCAGTCGTGGCGCGCCGATGATGATGCACCAGAACTCGCAATCCGGACAGCTACCACAGCCGATGATGTTTATGTCGCCCGGGCAGGCAGGACAACCGGGCTATGGAGCTCAACCTGGCCACAGTGAGTTCCCCCGCCCAGTATGGATTGCGTTCGCCGCTCATTCTCCTCATTCAGTGCCTGCTGGCCGTGGCGGTTACCCGCAACAGCAACCTCACTTCTCATCTAGTCCCCACCAGGCACACCACTTCCCTCCTAACCAGCACCGGACGCCTAGTAACAACTATAACCAAGCACCTCAGATGGCGCCTCAAATGTCATCCAATACCCCCGCCAACGCTGGCGCCGGCTCGCACGCTGCTGAGCCCACCGACGAAGGAAAATGAACTGCATGAAAGCATGATGGAATTTTTGGAGCGCCTGCCCTGTTCTGTGTTCGCTGTACATGCATGTCACTCTGCTCCACCGTGACTCGAAAACAGCAACCCACGCTCTTGGCAACGCCATCCGTCCAACCTGCCGGGCATGCGATGTGGTTCGGCCTTCATCTTACCTGTCATCTTTGGCATTTATGCCACGATGTACTGTGTGGTCAAGTACATGTCGGTACGACACTTGGCGGGTAAGACATGGTTCGGCCCCCAATCATGACAGGGGTTTCATACTCATATGAATGGCAGATCCGATGAGTGGACGTATTTGCCGTGTCTAGTTATCACTAGGGTATGAGCTTGGCGATATACAGTACAAGTAAATTCCTTGAATTGACACGCGTTTCAGCCACTGCCCCTGACGTCCTACGATCGCCACGTTCGTCGTACGTTCCCATGGAGCTTTCTCAGAAGGATTTTTTTCCACTTGCCAACGTCTGACAAACATCTGGGCGCCGTCTTCTGTCGGGATTCCTCGTTTCCTTCCGGTTTTTCTATTTTTTCTCGTGATTTCTTTCCCTTTTTCAACTGTTGATATTGAGCGTATCTGCGGTTGCCGATGATTCATCTGCTTTTTCCTCTTTTTGTTTTCCCAACTGTGCCCGCTTCAGGTGTGCACGGGGAACTCTGACGGACTACATTTTACGACCGGACAGGAGTGGGTGATGGGATGATCGGCTACCGGGATGAGTGGGGAAGATGAAGAAGCTGTTGCGCGTGCTAGGGGGGCGTGAGGGCGAGATGCAGTGGCAGAGAGATGAGTGGTCTTTAAGGCCGTTGCTAGCAGTCTTGCGGGATGCAATGAATGACTATTCTACATATCAAATCCCCATACTCCAAAGTCCAAAGTAGCCCTGTTTTCAGAACTAAACCCAGATAGATGTCCAAAACCGTAGACTCCTTACCACTTCCCGACCTCAGAAATCGATACTGGAACAGAAGGGAATCAGCAGCCGACCCCTCAATCTGTTTAAACAACGGTGGCAAAATCCAGTGCATCTCCTCAGGTCTTTTCAGTTGAAAGTTGGTCGTCATCCAAGTCCCAAAACCACACCCACCACCCGCCCACCGCGGTGCTTCAAATCCTCCACCAACACAAAACCTCCTCGCCTACCACACCAGACACACAGAAGCCCCCAGTCCACAAAACCCCCGGCTCTCCCTCAACCCATACACGCCCAACAAGCCCAATCCACCCATGGAAAGTCCCTTCAACAAAACCCTCCCCTGATCCCTCAATCATCCGCACTCGCACACAGTTGCAAACAAGCCCACTCTCGGCCGTTGCCATTGGTTCCTACCAGGCCCTCATGGAGACAAAGTGGGCCCAGGAACCCCAGAAGACGGTCGCGCGCACCCAAGGCAGGCCATAGGTGCGCGTGGATGTACGCACGGGTAGATATAGACAGACACAGCCGTCTATATCGCTTCTCCCAAGGTCTCCACAGCATCGCTCAAGTAGAAGAGGGACACTGTGCCCTGTGGTAGGGGAAGCCATGGTCTTGGGCTTAGACCTTCTTGCCTTGGCCGCGTGTCTGCGTACGAGTGAGGGTGTATCAGGTTCGGGGTGTGTAGGGTTTGGTATCGAGAGGAGTGGATGGGTGCTGGGTGCCTCGGCTAAATGATAAATAAAGCTGAAGGTCAGGTTCCCCCCTCCTGTTCAGAGTGGGAGTGGGAGTGAAAGAGCTAGACGCGTGCGGAACTGGGTCCTTGCCCTGACGATGTCTGGTTTGGCTAGGGTCATATTGAGAGCTGGTGTCGGTGGCGAGACGAGTACCTTCGGCTTGTCGGGCGGGGGGTTGTAGGTTTCCAGGCTGCGCGGTCTGACCTTTTACCAGGTTCGCATCATCGGAGAGGGCGCGGTGTCGCCCGTGATTGTTGGGACAGAGAATGGGGACAGAGGATGGGGAAAACGTACCTGGCTCAAGCTAACCCAAGCAGTGCCCAAGTAACACAAGAACAGGGTGATAAAGTCAATAGCCAAAACTCCCGTCGCGAGCTCACATCATTGCCGCAGGGAAGTAGTGGAGAAGGTCCCCAGCCAAAAACCAAAACCAAAAACTAAATAACCGTGGTGGACCCTTCCTGCCTGAGGCCGCCTGGCACTTCCGCCGCGATAAGGCGGGGAGCGCATGAATCACCGCAAAGCTCTCATTCAGCTGGCCCAAAAAACACCCAAAGCACCGGCTGCCAGAAAGCTGCCAATCCTTTCGAATCCTCCGGCGGCCCATTATTACAATCTTCGTTTTTTCAACACTCCCCCGCCAGCCATTGGCCGCCTGCACGACCCCGCGGGCATTTCCAAACAAACAAACCTCGGAGTGGAAGTGGCCAGCGCAGCCCTACAATGGACTTCCTCAAGTCGGCTGTCGCGTCCGCGATCGCGAAGGGGAGCTCGTTCCCTTTTTCCTTGGGTGATAGAGTTGATATTGGCGATTCGATCTGGACGCTTCATAATGGGACGAGACGGGTAGGTGGCTGTTTCTCGCTTGCCAGCTGTTTGGGGATGTGTTTGGGGGCTCTTTCGCAGATTGGATTAGAAGCTAACGCTATTATTTTGTGCGTATAGGAGGATAGCTCGGTTTGCAGTGTGTTTACCTTCGACATCGCGGCGAACAAGGCCCGGCTCCCGCTGGCGAAGAATGCGGTGCGCAAGTCGAGGACGTTGCGGCATCCCGGTGTGATCAAAGTTTTGGATACGATTGAGGTATATATACCCCTGCCAGGCGACGGAGTCGGTTGCTTGAGATGGGGATGTGGATGTTAATTCTTATCAGACCGAATCCAACCTCTATATCGTGACTGAGCGAGTCGCCCCGCTCGAGTGGCAGGTCAAACGACGGAGTTTGAGCGAGGAGACGGCGAAATGGGGGTTGCACACTATATCGGTAAGTATAAGCAGACACTGGGGCTGCTTACTGGGTTCTTTATTGACCTGAAGTATGTGTCCAGTCTACCCTCAAGTTCATCAACGAAGATGCATCTTCCGTCCATGGCGCTGTTCGCGCATCATCCGTCTACACGAGTGAAAGTGGTGAATGGAAGCTGGGAGGGTTTGATATTTTGAGTTCCATGAAAGAAGATGATGCCACCATCTATGTAAGTCGTTGTTCGCAATTACTCGACTGGCCAGTACAATGTACTTAACAGCTTCTCAGACATACGGAAGCCTCCTCCCTGACGCAGCTCGCTACACACCCCCAGAAGTCGTCAAGGGCGGCTGGGATGTCATCAAGCGTCATCCGCTGGCAGCAGTGGATGCCTATGGACTCGGTATTCTCATATTTGAGGTTTTTAATGGTCATTTTGCTGGCGGTGATCAAGTCGGAAAGACAACCAATATTCCGCCCAGCATGCAGCAAAGCTATAAACGTCTATGCACTGCAAACCCAAAACTACGGCTGAGCCCGGCGCATTTTGTTGATCAGGGCAAGAAGCATGGCGGATTCTTCCAGACATCCCTGATCCGCTTGACGGAGGATGTGGAGAGTTTGGGACTGAAAAGTGACGCTGAACGGGAGGAGTTTATTAAGTACAGCCCTTGCTATGAAGATACCCATTCTGTGATACTAACCGTAATTGAAGTGAACTTGACAATCTCTCCGACGATTTCCCCGAAGACTTCTTCAAAATGAAAGTTCTCCCCGAGCTGCTCAAGTCCGTCGAATTTGGCGGTGGTGGGCCGAAGGTCCTTAGTGCTACGCTGAAGATCGGCTCAAAGCTATCAGCAGACGAGTTCAATGCCAAGTTGACACCCGTTATTGTGCGGTTATTCGGCAATCCTGACCGTGCGCTGCGTGTGTGCCTTTTGGATAACCTACCGTTGATGATTGATAATCTGCCGCAGAAGGTCGTCAACGATAAGATCTTCCCTCAGATGGTGAGTCAATCAGTAATTGGTATCATTTCTGGCCCGGCTAATTCTAGCTTCTAGACCTCTGGCTTCACCGATATTGCTCCCGTAGTCCGTGAACAGACTGTTAAGGCTGTTCTGTCCGTCATCAATAAACTCAGTGATAGAGTTATCAACGGAGAGCTACTCAAGTTCCTGGCACGCACGGCGAACGACGAGCAACCTGGTATTCGTACTAACACGACCATTTGCCTGGGAAAAATTGCAAAGAACCTGGGAGATAGCGTTAGTGTGTAACCTGCGTTTACTCGAGACTTATGATGTTAATTGTTCTTCAGACTCGATCCAAGGTGCTTATCGCCGCATTTACAAGATCTATCAGGGATCCATTCGTGCACGCCCGAAATGCAGGCTTGCTCGCGCTGTCTGCTACCATCGATTCATTCACAGAAGAAGACTGTGCTGGCAAACTCCTACCAGCTATCTGCCCTGCACTTCTGGATAAAGAGAAGTGGGTAGAATCTTGATAATCTTTACATACCACCACTCCTAACCATCCTTCAGACTCGTCCGTGACCAAGCGAACAAAACACTTGACCTTTATATCCAGCGAGTTCGCAAGTTCGGCAGCACAATGGCGGACACAGTCCTTCCGCCACCCACGAGCTCAACCCCGGAGCCCAACAAATCAGACGCCCGCATCGGCAACTCGAACGACAAGTCCTGGGCTGGGTGGGCCATCTCCTCCTTCACCAACAAGCTCGCAGCCGCGGACGGCGAAATTGTACCCACAGAAGCCCCCAGCAAACCCGCTGAAGACATCGCCCGCCCAGCCTCCGTCCCACACCCCGCCAAGTCCTCTCCCTCCGCCCAACTCGAACTTCCAAAACAAATACTCCGCCCAGCAGCGCACCCCTCTCCCGATCCCAATCAGACCGACCCGTACCCGTCGTCCAAGACGAATGGCACGACGCTGAGGAAGGAGACGATCTTCTTGACGCGTGGGGCGCCATGGATGACGACGATGAGAGTAATGTAGACCCCTTCACCGCAGCCGTAGCCTCTCCCACCACCTCATCTCCGGATCCGGCAGCTAGCAAAGCGCCCGCTGTCCCCTACGACGATGGCGGCGAACCTGATTTCGCGGGCTGGCTGGCTGCGAAGAATCAGGCGAAGACAAAGAATCCTTTGCCTAAGGGATTGGCGAAGAGCACGCCTGCTGCAAAGAATGCTGCGGCGAAGCCGAGGGTTGTGGCTCCGGCTAAGAAAATTGATACGAAGCCGAAAGATGAGGATGCTGATGATGGGTGGGGGGATGCTTGGGACTAAGGGTTGGCATTGAGCTTCCAATTTTAGACTTGGGTTTGGATGTTATTTCCATCTTGCGGGGTGCACATAATGTACGGAATTAATGAGCAGAGTCATCCTCCTAAATAGCTCTGTATATATATATTTCAAGTCTGACACGGGTATTCCCGGCTATCGATCCATGCTTTGGAGAAGGCACTATATATTTATTGGTGGTCTGTTGATGGATGTCCTGCCCCATTCGATAATTTTTAGAAATATTAAGCCACAGAAATTGCCTGAGTTCACTAGACCAACTGAGTGATTTCTACGCCTTTCATACTTATTTGAAATGCCAACAAACCACCTCACTGTCATCCATAGCCTTACCTACTGTAGCTACCGTATCATTACTGTCCTTGCAATAAACCTGGAATTGGCCAATCACAATATACGGATCACGTGAACTCAATAGACGGCGACAAAGCAAGATTGAAGTGAGCGTATGCGCCAATACAATAGATTTCCAAAGCCCCAATAGTCCATCTCTTATTTTTAAGCTTCGTAGTTATCGATTTCATCTTAAGATCCTTCATACTTTTACTCACTTGTACTTCTGCCCATGGCGTATGTCAGGCGAGGCACTGCCTGAGGCGGTAATTCTGCTGCCTTCGAATTCCCCCTCCATGCTATCTTATCGTCTTACTACTACCTGAGTATCACCGTCTCACTAGACGGGGGAGGGCCCGCTTTAAAAGGCTACCGGGTGTTCCGTGATCTTTTCTGATCCTTCGCTTTTAGTCAAATTGATTTTCTCTTCGCGTCTGCTCGACGATCCCACCAAAGCCCCCTCTGCCCCTCGCCTCTCGCGAAATGGACCAGGAGGAGGCTCCACCGCCTTACTCGGCCGTCGACCCATTAATTGCGCCTGCGAATAGTCGCAATGGCAGCGCGGCGCCCCCATTGCAAGGGAATGTCTCAGCTTCGCAGGCTGCCAGTAGCTCGCAGCCGACTGAGCAGCCTGTCACAGCCTCGAGCCCGGCCGTTGTGCCTGCCCACTTTACTTCGGCGGCGGCCTACTTCGAGGAACGGCCGCCAACGGGCTTGGATGAAAGCCGTGCCCTGTTGCACCACCATATGACCATCTATCCCCGCAGCTCAGCCAAGGACTTCCCACGACGGCCCCGCTGCTGGGCCTCGTGCATGGATGAGGTCGCCCAGCGGGACTGGGACACCTTCCTGCGATATCTGTTTCCGCCACAATTGGGCTTGGCTGCTGCATCACAGCATCTGCCCCGGCAGCTGAGAGCCGAGATCCAGCGAGATCGTAAGGATCGCCCCCAGGAAACGGATGAGCAGCGGCAAGCCCGGGTTGCAGCTGTTGTGGACGAGTGGAATCAATGCTTTTTTGAGCCGCGGGCAGCTCAGATTATCTTCGTGTATGTGGGCGAATCCGATGCGGCGCCTTCGTCCGCTCTTTGTCCTCGGTGCTACCCAGCTGCGACAAAGGCAACGCAAAGTCCTAGTCCTAGGGGGGTTGTGGATGGTCAGCATGCGAGAAATCCGAATGCTTTGTCACCGGTGGCAGGAGGACAGCATACACCATCACCCACTGGCTGGCCTGTACCTCCAAATCCGCTATACCCTCACCACCATCAGCAGGGCCACTATGGGCCATTTGGAGGTCCTCCATTTCTTGTACCTGGTGCACCTCCCAACCACCAGCCTCCCCAATACTACCCCCTCCCCCTCCACCGCCCCCGGGTGTTCCGCCATGGCAATGGAACCACTGGGCCTATTCGCAACCGCAATTCGGAAATTCTGGCACCCAGAAGAGTGGAGGTACCCTCGGATGGATCTCTTCACTCACCTCCCAAGCACAAAAGTACGGCGAACGCTTTGCCGAACAAGCGCAGCATTATGGTGACCAGATCAGTGCACAGGCCATGCACTATGGCCGACAAGTCGAGGAGCAAGCATTGATGCATGGACGATGGGTTGAGGAACAGACACGGCTTCATGGCCGCAAGCCTGGAGCATATCCATCTGCCCCATACATCAGCTATCAACAGTCTACATTGAGCCATGGCCAACCATCAGACGTTACGGAAAACACATCAACGCCCCCAGCCCAACCTGAAATCGGAGATCAACACCCCAACCAAAATCCAAGTCAGAATCCGAATCCCAGCTCGAACCCGAACCCAGACCCGGTCCAGCCGCAAAGTCAGAGTAAAGCTGATCAGAAGAAACCTATCGTTGACCACCCCCGTCGGGCCTCCATCAGCTCTACTTCGTCCGAATCATCTCTTAGCTCCATCGACTCCCTCTCCACAACATCTGACCTCAGCCCCTCAGATCTAGCCACCGTGCGCACGCAGCTCCAAGGTCTCCACGATAGGCATGACCGCATCTTATATGATGCGGCCGTCGATCTCCGGCGACAGCTGGACGTCCTCCAAGAATCCCGCCGCGAGGCACGGGCATCTGGCCGTCGGAACTGGCGGACTGGCTGGCGCCAACAGCAGTCTAACAGCGCGGACAGCAGTGATTGGGGCCGCTGGGAGTCGCCTCAACAACAGGAGCGTCAATCCATGGAACGCCACGCTATGAAAGAAGAAATGCGTGCGACTAAGAAGGCTTTTCGCGATGTTGTGCGTCGCGCCCGGGATGAACAGCGCGAAAGGAAGCGCGCAAAGTGGAATCGACGGCGCCAGGCTCGTTCTCAGCGGGCCGGTGCTGATGAGAAGGTGAAAGAGCAGGTTTCACTGGATGGTCGCATGGGAAACCTTTCACTCGGGAATACCCCGAACCCTCGTCCAGTTCGCACTCAGACGGAACTTGTGTCTAAGCCGCCTCAGTGGGCTGTACCTGTGCGGTCAGATGCAAGCTCAGCTCCGAGTGCGCAGGGTATCAGACCCCCATCTTCTGCGCCACAGTCCAGCGAGCTGCCCGGCAGGAAAGCTAAGCCCCAGACTCGGTTTAAAGAGATGCTAAAGCCGCGGAATGCGAAGAAGCAGCAGAAGCCCGACTCGGACACGAAAAATGGGAAAGACTCGAAGAAGGATCCTGGCGGTCCTTGAATTGTTAACACAGTTCCCTTCGATTTGATTGTTTGTATGTATATATTGAAACGTTTGGGGCATATTACATTTCGCGAGGGTATTTATCTCTTTCTACGATCAACACGATCAATGAAGTTACGAATTTTTGGCTGGCAGGATAGTATAGGTCTCGTGTCGCATACGTTTAGCATCATGTACATCGATTTATTTTTTGAGATCCATAGATCAGTCCCGTAGGTATCAAGGAGATTGGACACCACCCACATCTCGAATCCATACTCACTCAATTCCAAGGCCCGGATATCATCCAGAGCAGAGATGCCATGCAAGCTCTCATGATTGCTGGCTCTCATTTCTCTCCACCAGATCACCGACACCCAGCCCGCGACCAACCTTGACTTTCATCATCTTCTCCCCAGTCTTGCCATCCTCCTTTTTACCCAACTCACCCACCTCGTCGCCCTCGTCGGCGTTCTCGTCGTCTTCACCCTTCCCTTCGGCCTTCTCGTTCTCCCGGTCCCTCTTCTCAATCGCCTTCCAGTCCAGCCAGTGCTTCTGCAGGTTTAGGTGCATGGCGTAGGCATCCTCGCCATCTGCGTAGTACTTGCTCTCCACCTTCTCGACCTCAAAACCCAGCGTGTCCCGGTACAGGCGAAGGGCGGCGGTGTTGGAGACACGCACATGCAGAGAGACATAATTGGCGCGGTGGGACTCGGCCATTGCGAGCTCTGAGTTGCAAAGAGTTAGCAAGAATACATAACAATACCACATCATACGCCCGCTTCAAGCAAGACATAGCAAAGGCAGGACGAAAGCTTCTCCAAACGAGCAAAGAAGGTCACACTCACGACTCATGCGCATCAAGCGCTCTGCAATGCCCAGCCGCCGATGCGTCCGCATCACTGACAAGCTCGTAATGTGTCCATGCTGCAGCCCATCCGAAGGTTCCTCCTCCATCTTCGCAAGCACATACCCCACCACCTTCGGATACTGGCCGGAGATATCGCCAGCAGCGCCGGCCCCGCCCACCCCCAAACCGCTCTTATACCCGTTCTTGGGCCGGACCACGGCGACAAAGCTCAGTTGTGGCCATGTGAGGGCGTGGTAGAGGTAGTATTTCAGGAAGTAGTTCTCGGGCAGATTGGTGATGTTGCAGGTTTGGATGGAGGGGAGCAGGTCGATATAGGAGGGGTAGGAGGAGAGCGGGACGATGTCGACCATTTTGCTGATGGTTGGGGGTGGTTGCGCCCCGGTAAATGTGGGTGAAGGGTGGAATTGAGATAGGCGAGAAGGTGAGTGTTGAATTGGGCGATTTTGGGTGGCCGTTGGCGGTTCGGAGTTTCGTTCGTTGGTGCTGCGATGCGGCGGGATATCCGGTCATGTGATTGGTGGTTGTGGGCCTTTTGTGGCCTTGGCCGATTGGGCATATTTCGAGTCAACTCAACCGCTTTGCTATAAATTGATCTCACTGGGAGATGAAGAAATGTCACAACATAAAATCTGAACGTTGATTGTTAGCAGAGTCGGCTACCGCGCTGAGTCGTCATAGTCGAGGAAGCACCAAATTCAGATTATGATAAATTTATCCCAATAGGCTAGCATTCAAAATCCTTCCAATAGTTCAGCTATATGTGAACTCGATGTGTCTTTGAAATGAACGATCAATATTAAGAAGAAATGTGGCTCAATCTAGATACAATATATGTGCAAGGAAAGAAAAGAAAGAAGCTCCTCGCGTTCAGGGGAATCCGGAAACGTTATGTAGGTCCCTCCTATCGTTTCCTCCGCATAATTTGCATAGTTCATGTATTTCCTTGGCAACACCACGTTCTGTTGGCAATAGGCTGTGTTATTGGCGGGACCCGAAGTAGTTTCAAGATACTGGTACATGTTAGTGCGAACGAGGCCGCTAACGCGGAACCGGACGGCAAGTGCTGTGGCATTGATCAAAACAGGTGGTAGAGGATCTATCTGATAGTGAAGCATACAGAGGAGACGTCTGTTCTCGAGGTCGAGTCAATGCATACGCAGTAGTAGTCAAGTCTAAATTATCTATTTACACGCAAGTCCAACGTGTCCAGAAAAACTAGCGCCAATGAGCAGGCAATCGCGCCCAAAAAAATGAAGCCTAGAGCAGGGGAAAAACAAGTCGTGGGAGTCGTACAAGATCAGAATGCAGACAGGAGGAGTTGTACACCGGTTGCGATCACCAGCATCGTTGAGACGCTGGATGCCACCATGCCCGGCAAGGCGGCGGACGCTACGCCGCAGCAGGTGCGGCTGTACGTGACGTTGTTCATTTCGGCAGCGACTTCGAAGACGGAGCCGTTGAAGTTACCGTAATTGTAGTAGTCAACCAGCAGGAAGTTGGGCGGGCGATTCCAGTCGCCTGTAACGGTGTTAGACTGTTGCATTTATGATGTTGATGGGTAAGGAAAAGAGGGAAGTAAACTCACGGGTGCAGTTGTTTGCCATCCACCCCAGACTCCCATTGCCGTTGACGGCGTTGGTCTGGCTGATCGTGGCAGTATTGGGAATCAGCAGGCTCAAAGAACCCAGGTTAAGCTCCAGGTTGAGATTATGGTTTGCCATATACATGCGACTCTTTGCATCCTGCTGCGACAGATTAGGAGGGCGTTGCTCCGTGCAGGGGAAGTTCGCATCCGTCGGCGAGAAAGGCGTCTCCCACATCTGCGAGAACTCGTCCATCAGCCACGGCACCGCGGTTTGGTTTGCCTGGTAGTCCATGAAGAAGACGGCACGCTTGCCGGTGAGAATCATCTCCGACAGCGTCGGCCAGTCGTCCAGGCCCATGGGGATTTTAGAGGGCGTGTACGCAAGGTCGTACAGTCCGGAGGCCTGGATCGGCGCCGTGAAATTCTCCGGTGAGACGTAGTCGTAGTTACCGATGAGCAGGGTGACCACGTCGTAGGGATTCTTGCGCATCCATTGGGCGACACTGATGAGGTAGGCCTCGAGGGTGCCGACGTTGAGAATGCTGCAGGAGGTGTGGCAAAGCATCATGGTGCCATTTTGGTAGTGAACTTGAAATTGGACTGTCCGGACGTTAATTGAGGTTTGTTTCTAGAGGAGGGCATACAAGTTATGGGGACCGGGGTGACTTACGCATGCGAACGCCATCGTCGAGCTGGGCTGTCACATCCAATGCTTGGTTGGCGGCGGCATTGCCTGCGCGCACGAACGGGCTGTTGTGGGCCGCAACCATGGTGATGTTGGAGTAATTACGCCCGCAAAACTCGGCATAGTTATTGCACGGGCGAGTATTGACGACGGGTGTCTGGGTGGATGTGGACGAGGCGGTGGCTGTCGCATTGTGCATGGTTCCGTTCCCAAGAGTTGTTGTGCCGCCACCACCGACCAGGATGGTCAGCGAGTCGGAAGTGGTGGTCACGATGGTCTGGTTCCCCGTGGTGGTGGCCGTCGCGTTGGCCGCGGCCGTCGTGGATACCAGGACGGAGGAGTTGCCATTGTCGAGGGTGATTGTGGTGCTATAGGTGATATAGTCGCCGGACGGGACGGCCACGGTGCTAGGGTCCGTCACCGTGGATGCAGTCGACAGGTCAATGCTCGTCGATGAATCCGAAGTACTGGTGGTGCTGGTCGAAGAATCGGAGGTAGTGTCCGCGGTGGCCACAGCCAATCCGGCGAGGAGAGCCAGCAATAGTGATGGCCACCTCATGATGAAGGGCGTTGTGTGCGAGGAGAGGAGGGAAATGCAGTGCTCAGGCTCAGGACTCTCCGTGAGGAAGAAAGCGAGTGATGTCGGCACATGCAGTGGATGTTTTTTCTCTGCCTAGCGAGACTCCCGAAACTCCGCTGCTTCGCCCAGTCGCACTTGCACCAGCACCAGCACCAGCACCAGCACCAGCACCAGCACCAGCACCAGCGTCGAACCAGGAGTACGGGCACCCACCTTTTTTTAGCCAACCAGGGTCTGGTGGGGAAGGGCGCAGCATTATATGACGTTGCACCCCGCCGATGCTGGGCTGATGGGCCAATTGGGTCGAAATCGCAGCGCTCCACCGCAATGCGACGAGACATGGCTGGGAGGCGGGCCGTTGGGTCGGCGTTAAGGAGAGTGCTGCTCATACATCGACCACAAACTTTACCCGGTCATGGCACTGACGTCGTGGACCATCTCCCTGGTTCCTGACCGGTTTTCCTCGACACTTTCAACTGCATGCAAATAGCCTCTCGGTCGGCGCCCGCATGATCGTCACCACTAAGAGCAGGCTAGCGAGAAGCCACTGACGATCTCACGGGAGCTTGGCGCCCAAGGGTTTGGTGGATGTTGCTTCCGATTCTCAGCGGAGCAGATCGACCTGGGCCCTGCTGCAAGCCACGCCAACTGGAGCTGCAGGGAAAAATAATCTTCGCCGAGACACTCGTTCTTGTGGCTGGCTTACTTGACTTGGGCTTCCTTTTCTTCACGGGTGCCTAAACGCCCATCTCTCTCTTCTTCCACCATTTCGTACGACCACACTCTCCCTTGACCTCCTCACTCTCCTTCCCTTACTCCTCATCGCTCCGTCCTCTTACGCCGACTCACGATGGTCGCCGGGACGGATGCTCCCGTCAATGGCAAGCGGCACCTCCCTCTCTTCCGCCGCGTCTCGCCGGACCGGCCCATCGCCGGTCGGCGCCAGTCCACCCTCCACTGGCATCGCGCCCTCCGCTCGCTGCTATATCTGCTCGCCTGGATCTTTCTCCTGCTGGTGGTGATTGGCAATTTGTCGAACAAGCCGGTGCTGCGCAGCCTCTACTTCCTCTACCTGGACCTTTCCAACATTATCCCCTTATCCGTGCCCAATGCCGTCCTGATCAATTCCATCGCCCGGTCCATTGGACTGCACGATTTCTACCAAGTCGGTCTCTGGGGTTTCTGTGAGGGCTACGATGATGAGGGAATCACACGTTGCTCGAGCCCGAAGACGCTGTATGCTTTCAACCCGGTTGACATCATTCTGAACGAACTGCTGGCTGGCGCAAGTAGTATGTTTTTCTCCGTCTCTCCACCTCCCCTTTCGATATTATCACGAAATGTCCAACTGAATGCTAACCGCTCGCTGCTCACCAGTCGCCCTGCCCAGCGACATCCAAAGTCCCCTGCACCTGGCGAAGATCGCATCGAACTGGATGTTCGGCCTTTTCCTTGCAGGAGCAGTCCTCAATTTCGTCATGGTCTTCCTCAGTCCATTTGCCGTCTCCTCACGCCCCCCGCAGAGCATTAAATCTTGGGTCTCTGGCGACCAAGTCACGCCCTCAGGACGCCCACCCCACCGGCGCCGTACCTTCGTCCTCCTGCGCTCGTTTCCTTTCCTCATCCTTGCCTTTTTCGCGGCGCTGACCACCATCGTCGCCTCGGCCGTGGCAACAGTCATGTTCGTGATCTTCGCGAACGTCTTCGCCAACGCCGACCCCAACCTGAACATCAAAGCCCATGTGGGCAAGAAGATGTTGGCATTCATGTGGGTTGCTTCGGCGTTCAGCTTGATCGCGTTCATCATCCAGTTCGGCTCCTGCTGTGCGTCGTGCTGCGGTGGCCACAAGGCGCGCAAGCAGCTTAAAGCGCAGGGCATCGATCTACGCGAGAAGGGCTCTAAGCATACTTCGAGTTCCCCTGATACCCCGGTGGATTTGCATAGCCCGCATGCCGTGACTACGGATTAATTATTCAGTTTTTCCTTTTTCGATTTAGATATCTTTGGGGCTCGACGTGATGTGCCAGTCGAGCCGGTGCCATATGTTAGATTTCTCATTCTGGCTAGGTATGCCTTCGTTTTTCTTTCTCCGGTCCCATAAATCGACTCCGTCAGGTTTTGTCTTGGGTTCTTGTTTGTTTTCACGACTCCCGACTCGATCCACGAGCGGATGCAAATTGTCATGACTTATACATAGAGGAAACCATTCAACAGTACATTTCATACCATCCAGGCAGTAGCAAACCTGCCAGCGTCGCAAACCGTGAAAGCGGACATAGTCACAGTGAATGCAGAGGATGATGCGTGGCTTTCATACCACTTTGTTGCCGTCTTCTCTCCCCACACCATCTCTTCCTATTATCAGCACCCTGTTCTTACTATCAAACCTATGAAAACCTAGTATATCTGTATCCCCGAAATCCCTGATGCTTCTCTGCTTCTGCAATACCTCGGAATGCTCCCAGACCTGGCCCACACGCAAGGCACATACTATCCTCCCCCCTTTCAAACAGATACTCGCGGTCAAGTTACAAATACTATACGTAGCTGTACTATGTTGGAATCTACCCTCAAATGATCTATATCATCCGACCTAACAGAGCATAGATGATGCCCTTGGTTCTTGGGACCTACACTCCCTACCGCTAAGTTTCTCTGCCATCGTGCAGATCATCATTTGCTGTATCAAGCAAGACGAACATCAAATCGAGCCCATTGGAAGAAGATCCAGCTTACCTAAACAAGAAAGGGGCGGACGGGTGTGGCGGCCCACGAACCAGAGTACAACTGTGGGGGTGGATTCGGGAGAATAACCTCAATATCAACCGGAAAGAAATCCCCCACAGAACCGATAATAGCGCCCGGCCAAAATAAGACCCGTGGAAAAACAATTTTCAAATTTGAGAATGGTACAGGTTCCCTACTGCCAAGGCGACCTGCAGGTACAGGTACAGGTACAGGTACAGGGACGGGCCTCGTCCTGGCCCTGAGCACCCAGTTGCGACGATTGCAAGGCCTCGCGCCACTTAGGGCCAGGATCCTTGTCTGTTAAAAGCAAGTTACACCAGGTAATTTGAGGTACCAGCAAACGAAGCGCTATCCCGTTAGGCTAGGCGTGGGTGGGGAGCTTGGTGACAAATTTGGGACTATCAAAATCGGAAGGGAGCAGAGGAGGATCAGACGGTTCGATTGGGAAGGTGTCCATTGTGCGAGATCCGGTCGGCGCACTGTGGCTCTTTGTTTCTCCAGATGTATCTTGCACTGGCTTCTGGGTGCCCCGGTTTATGCTTACCCTCGTGTTCTGGGATGTCGGTAATGAGGATGATACATGCAGGATATGACGACGGCGGTGGAGTTGAATGTGAGAGTTGTGTCATTCGTGTCTCGTATCCTTCGACAAGGTAGGCCTTGGAGATCCCTGCTCGTTTTTGACAGTATGGGAGTACGAATCCGACTATGGAATACTTCATATGGAATAATTGGGAAGACAACAGGATGTGTTCATTTCTCTGACCTCCATTGTAAAATTTACACCCCCTATCAGCTCGTCCAATCCACACTCATAACTATGTTTTGACAGGACTCGCAGCAGCTCTCTCGCAGAAACTCCACTGCACAACACCCACGTTATGGCGAACGGGTCTGCGGCGGTGTAGGGTTTTGTCGACGCCCCGTTGGTGGGACGATGCGAGTATTGTTTGACTGCCAGTGATATGCGTGGTTGCCATAAGGACGACGCCGAGTCACCTGCGCAGGGGGAACATGACTGTGATTACAGACTGTGTTCAAATGTTTGGATCGGGGATATGCATGAGAGCACGCGGGTTCAGAAGGGAGTGAGGAGCTATGGAGTGGGGCAGGGGAATTGCGCATGGGAAAGCAGAGTATTGATATGCGTTGGCGGCGTCACTCTCAGAGGCCCTTCTTCTTGTCCCCTCCTCAGACGACAACCGCGCACTCCACGCCATCGGCAGAGGAGTCGGAATCAGTGGCGGTGGCGGCATCTGGGGCTCTGCCGAGGGCGTGGGACTTCTCCATCCGCTCGGCGAATTCGTCATGGTTGGGTGATACGCTATGGAGGAGTGTCGCCATTGGCGACGGCGGGACTGGGGGCAGCGGACCGGAGGAGGAGAATGAGGAGGACATGGTGACTGTTGTGACTGTGGTGGCAATGGTGGTGACAGTCAATGGACCGCCAAGCGCCCAGCGCACGTGCTAGTCGAACAGTGTGAACAAGAAAAGGCGAGATGACTAGGGTAAAATGGTAGGGTAGGATGAATGTACCTTCTGCGCCTGGACGTGATTGTAGCACTCGCCGACAGTGGTCTCGACGAACTTCTCCCCGCGCTCACGCTTGCGCTTGCGAGAGTTGAGCTTCTGGTAGAGGTGCTCTGCGATCTCGCCGTCCTTCTGGGGGTTGTAGCTCTCATGGAGCCATGACAGCTCCTTCTTGCGGAAGCGACGGTGGAATTCGGCTAGCGGGCTGCTTGATGGGGTCAGCGAGGTTGGGGGTTGGGGGTTGGATCCTTGGGAACTCACCTCAGCGTCTGCGTCGTCGGTCAGATCAATGACCACAACTTCGTTGGGAAACGCAGTGGGAGCAGAGGCAGCGGCGGCGGGAACAGCCGCGGCTGCAGGGAATGGGGCGATAGGGCACGTGCCCGGCATGTTGGCAGTGGTGCCAGCAGCTTCGACGCGGATGCCGGCGCAGGAGAGGAGGTAGGCCGCGTACTCGGGCGTGATGATTGGTGGCGCGTAGCCGTGGCGGCCTGAGAAGGAGTAGTTGGCAGCCATTTGAGCTAGCTCGCCAGAAGGAGGATGAGCAGAAGGAGGAGTGAGAAGATCTGTCGAAAGATCTTCGTGAGGACCAGTCGGTGAACACGTATCTGAACCAGCAGAACGAACAGAGGCCGGAGCAGGAACTGTGGAGGTTGATGTAGGAGAAGAGATGGAGAGAGGCGAGGCCGGTGACGGATACAACGAATTTGTAGCTTTCACGTCTGTGGGCTTTCGAACGTAGGCAGCGTACAGCGCATTGAACGCCTGGGACAATTGTTCGTACCTGCCTTGCCATTCGTCCTGCTGTTGCCTCCTTGGTACCTCCACTGCAGGTTGGAGGCCAGGATTGGCAGCCTGCAGCTGTTGATAGTCCCGAATTAGGCAATTATGAGTCGTAGCCACATTGACATACTTCTGCCTCCAGTCTTCAATATCTGCCTTGTATTGCTTCGCCCGTTGTTGTTGAGTTGAGCAGACACGGCGCAATGTTGCCATTTCTGCCTCCAGAAGGTGGATACCCAGCTTGCCAGTCTTTTGATCCACACACTCGTATCTGAGCAGGGCATCGCGGTACTTGTTACGCTCTGCTACGAGGACATCGATGCGGCGCCTAGAGCTGTGCAAACGGTTTTGGAGAACCTCGTTTGAGACCACCTCCCCGCCGACCCGACAGTGCAGATTCGGTGCAGATGGATAGTACCCAACTCGCGCATAAGGTGAGATATGCTTCGGACTCGACTGGGCTTGACCTTGAGCGAACGCCTCGAGAGCCGCGTGGTGCGTGATGCCCTCCTTGCCAACGGCAAACTTATCCTTGATGGCAGAGCTAGCCGAAACAAAATCGCCCGCTGCTGGCAGAGGCGAATAGGATGGAATCGAAGGAATCGAAGGAGTCGAACGCAGGCTGATGGGATTCATACCTGGTGATGGCGCTGTTGCCACCGAAGGGGCCTCCGCCTCGTGGTTCTGCCTCTTGCTGGCAGGAGACTTGACATCACCTGCAAACGCCTCATCGCTAGTACGTTTGTTGGAGCCATCTATCCGATGGGCCAGTTGATCGAAATCGGTAAATGGATCGAAGTCGTCACCGATACCAAAGAGGGAATCCATATCATCCATGTCCTCGTGAGACCAGGGCGCGGACAGCTGCGGCTGCGACCCGGGGAAAAGTGTGAGCCCCAGATCGTTATGTGCAAAGCTGCTGGAATCCAAAGAAGTCAACTCACAGTGCTCCATGATATCGTCCATCTTAAGAAGAATCCAACAGGAGCTATTGCCTCCTGCGGTGTTGTAAGAATTAGGCTGTCTGCCTTGCTCTTGTGAGCATAAAGCTCTTGAAACAAGAAATGGTTATCAGGAAAGATATGTCTGTAGCATTCCGCCTGTACATAAATGTGAAGACGGTTGAAGTAAGGTGGTCGGAGGTGGTGACGATGTAAGCAGGTTGACAAGAGTAGATCACCTGCCTAATCTTTTTTTGTTTATGCCCCGATTGATTCTGCCATCGGAATCAAGCCGCCCTTTCAATCCTAATGTTTTCACCATCTCACTCACCGCCTTCTAAAGGTTCACATTTACCGCTCTTTACACCGCCCTCTGATGTGAGCATCGAGCCCCACCGCCCCTATATCACGTGCCAGCATGGCAGAACATGACCCTTCCAGCTCCGAGGTGGGAGAGAGTACCAACAGCGGTTCCTCTGTCCGTCCTCCTGATCAAGGGACTGACACCGCCCCGATCGATATTCCTCGACCTTTCAATCGGAAGTCATTTGGCACAATTCCACCCCCCGATTCTCTGCAACGTCATTTCTCTCGTTTAACTTACACCCTGGACAGCATGAGCGTTATCCTGTGTACAGGTAAGTTGGCCGTCTCCAGTCGACTTGATATCCCCACATTCTTGACGTGTCTGGACTAATCTTTGCTGTCACGTACTGCAGCGGGGTATGACCATACTATTCGGTAAGTCATAATCCTGACGAGCATTATTTTCTCCGATCTCAAGCCACAATTGTCTCCTTCACATGCTCTGTCCCTTGCGGAGGCTAATCCGAATCATTCCTCAGCTTCTGGGAGGCACTGTCGGGCATCTGCTCGCGGACTATTCAGCATCCAGACTCGCAGGTCAATCGTCTCTGTATCACCCCCGACAAGCGCTTCCTTGCCGCCGCGGGCCACAACAATGTCAAGCTCTTCGACATCAAGTCTACCAACCCGAACCCTGTGATGACCTTTGAGGGTCACACCAACAACATCACCGGAGTCGCGTTTCACTGCGAGGGCAAGTGGATGGTCACTAGCTCTGAGGATGGAACTGTCAAGGTCTGGGACACTCGCACCGGCAGTCTTCAGCGCAACTACCTCCACCGAGCTCCCGTCAATGACGTCGTCATCCACCCCAACCAGGGCGAGCTCATCAGTGGTGATCTGGCTGGCATGGTTCGCGTCTGGGACTTGGGTGAGAATGTTTGCACCCACCAGTTGATTCCCGAGGAGGATACCTCCGTCCTGAGCGTCAGCGTTGCGAGCGATGGATCTCTGCTGTGCGCTGGAAACAAGAAGGTACTGTGTACGTCCCTTTCGCCGTATCTGAACATTGAGCGCTAACTAAGCTTCTACATAGGGGAATGTCTACATCTGGCGCATGGTTCAGACCGACGAAGCCACTCGCATCATCCCGATCTCCACCTTCCAGGCTCACAAAGACTACCTGACTCGGGTCCTCCTGTCCCCCGATGTCAAGCACCTGGCCACCTGCTCCGCCGACCACACCGCCAAGGTGTGGAACCTTGACCCTGAGTACGCGCCTGCAAAGGCCGCCATCAAAGCGTGGAACGAGAAGCAGGAGACGCAGGCTCAGAATGGACCTGCGGAGAACCAGAACGAGGCACCAGCCACCCCCGCCGAGGCGAAGACTCAGGGTCACGACCTCCTGCGCATTTTCGATCAGGATCGTCACTTGCTGCGCATCACCGACAACTCTCCCCGCGAAGAGACCCCCCAGCAGACGTTCACCGCGCAGCCCGACGGTCCGCCCATGGACCCCGCCAGCAACACCTTGTTTCTGGAGACCACCCTGGCCAATCACCAACGGTGGGTCTGGGACTGCGCGTTCTCGGCCGACTCAGCGTACCTGGTGACGGTGTCGAGCGACCACTACGCCCGTCTGTGGGAGCTCAGCTCTGGCAACATCATCCGCCAGTATAGCGGTCACCACCGTGGTGCGGTCTGCGTCGCGCTGAACGACTACTCGGAGCCCCGCTGAGGAAGTCGCCTGCGTGATTTTCAAACCAGTTTTCGCGGCGTTTTCGAGGACATAGCATGGCGTAGGACGGACGGGCTTTGCATTTTTATTGGAGCGACTGTGCCCGGGTCGCTTTTATGATTTACGGAACTGGCGGAGATACCAATTTTCTGAGGATTTAGTGGATTCTTTACAATATCAATATCTCTTATGCGAAAGTTGGTTGCCTCTCAACGTAGCCTTGAACTTTCTGCTGTATTTGGAAGACAGTGGTATTTCGATGACTTCTTGGCCTGTATTATCTGTGGTCTTGAGAACTCCGCCTTACAATCTACCCTTGTACACGATTCAAATACTTGTCGGAGCATACTGAGTACCTGATATTCGAAACAGTAATAGACACAGCACATCGCTCAACAAGATAACATGAAAACAATAAATTGGGTTTCAAAATACATCGCAAAGGGTACATGGAGAAATACAGACCGAGTGCGGTGAGTAAATCAAGTCCATATAAGAAATACCCTTCCAGTAGGTAAGAATAGACAAGTTTCAAAGCATCCAGACCTCCTCGTATAATTTTACCAGGCAATCCCGGAAGCCACTCCAATAACCAAGGACTATCAGCTGCTTAGTTCACAGCAAACCACGTCACGCTAACGACAACATCCAGCCCCCGCTCCTCGGCGCCGGGGTACTTGAACGTCCACATGCCATCGCGGTTGACATCCCAGAAGGCGCCGGAGGCAGAGTGCATGCCGCGCTTGCCGGCATTGCTCTGTGTGCCGTCCGCAGCCGCGGTCTTATCGATCACCCCCTGCTGCACGATGGTGCTGTTCACGGTGAAGCGGTAGGGCGCAGGCTTGGTGGAGTCGGAGGGGGCGGTGGAAGAAATGAGGGACTTCAGGACGGTGTTCTAGAAGGTTGTTAGTGAGATACTGATCCGAGGGGCAGGCCTTTGTGGGGTGAAGGTCGGGGGGTAGGCTTACGATGATTTCTGAGTTCCAGTTGCCGACCTGGCCGTGCTCGTACTCGGTGGCATTCTTTAGCGCAGCATCGCAGGCCTATTGGGAGATCTTGTGAGTATAATTCCGTGCTAGCAAATATCGTTCGGCCTCGGTTTCGATTTGGCCTGACGGCGCACGGGCTGGGGGTTGTAACGTACATCGGAAGTGATCTTGGTCAGCTCCGGGATGGGAACGGGCTGTAATGAGAGCATGTTAGTACTAATACTTCATCAGAGCCAATGAAGTACATAATCCGAATATACTCCACGAAGCACAGGGTGTGATAGAACAATTCGACATACCGAAGCGGGAGCGGCTTCGACAGCCATTGTACTTTGCTTCGTGGGGGAAAATGACCGAGGCACTAGACAGATATAACAGGTCAGCACGCGGACCCTTCAAGACATATTTTGGCAACGCGCAGCGCCCATTTGTGGCTGAAATTCGCAGCCAGAACATGTACAGGGGAGGCGCGTCCCGGAGGTAATGCGGGGACAGTCAAAGGTGATACCCGCGTTCTTGGGGGGGGCGGGCCCAAAATAAGGCAGAAAACGCGGCAAGAGTACTCACAACTAAGGGTTTCTTGAGGGAGAGTCTTTCTCGACTGGTGAAATGGGCGATCGGGGCGACTGGTAGAGCGGCTGATTGTTTTGGAAGAGTGGCATCATCGCGTGGGCGATGTCGGCTCTGGTTGGTCGGAGCTAGCGCAATGATTAGTAACCCAATTTGGGCTACACCGGGGTTATCGTGATATAGTTGGTAATTTGAAAGGGTAATGCCGAGCAGGTTGTTCTAATTGCTTTTATGGCTATGATGGCCATTCAACCAGGGTGCCCTAGGTTTAAGGATGGAGACCGCATCCGATACCTAGACCATGATCGGTATAGGATATTGACTGGGTTGAGCTTTCTAAAGCTCAAGTCGGAGATGCCAGTGGCCGGTCCTTTTAGTACTGCGATCAGCGCTGCTTGCCATCCACCCAAGGATGAAAATTTGGACACTGCGATCCTGGGTCCAATGAAATGGGGAGTGACTATCGCACCACCAGCATGGGCGATGGACAGTCTTCACGTTATCGACAATAAAGGGCACTGTAGCTTCAGGCATTTGAACACTATGAAGCCCACTTTGACGAAGTTAAATGCTCGAATGGGCATTATGAAGATGTGTACAAAGCCAATCCTACAAGGAAATTCAACGGTCGCTGTAGAATAATATCAGAGACGAGTATCATGCCTTGAATCCACTCCGTAAAATGATTCTCGATCTTTCTATCTAGATATCATTTTACCTAGTGTTAAATCCACTACTTAGGTTTGGGGTGTCTGAGGGGTTTTTTTTTCTACAGTGAGCATGATTGACCAAACTCAACAAAAAAATGGCGCAAAGAACTGAGAAGAAATATGACCAATTTATTCCATTCTGCTTTTACTGTATCAAGTGAGAATAACCTTCTTTGTATTGCAAGCCTCGAGTTGAGTGGCCATTTAGTACGCGGCCTTGCCGTCTTGGCGGAATATGATACCCGTTTTGGTTGAATGACACATACATTTTCGATCAAAATGATTTCCAACCACATTTGTTCCCTTAATAAACTTGAGTAAGATCTGCCTATGCTTGAAATTTTTCATGTCATCTCTCTGCCACCGTAATGGGAGGTGAGCTCCACGCATTTATATAAATAGCTTGGTCTTTCTGTCCCAAAGTGCGAGGGCCTACACTTGGAAATATACTCCCAGAATCCTGGTTGATACTTTTGCTACATCTGAACTTGAGAAATTTCGCTTCAACCGCGATGGCTCCTACTCTGAACGTGACACACATCGGCACTGCCACTGCTATTTTGGAGATCAACGGGGTCAACTTCCTGACCGATCCTTTCTTTTCCCCGGCTGGCGCCTCATGGTCTGATGGCCAAATTACTCTGACCGTATCTGAAAATCCTGCTCTGCGCCTTGATCAGCTGCCCGTAATTGACGCGGTGCTATTGAGCCACGAAGACCACTTTGACAATCTGGACGACCTTGGTCGCCAACTTCTGAACGGGCGCCGTGTTCTCACAACAGTCGAAGGCGCCAAGAATCTGGTCCCTCGCCCCGCCGTTCATGGAATGAAGCCGTGGGAGACCATGAGTATCACGATCGCTGGACAGAATTTCAAGGTGATCGCCACTCCAACCCAGCATCTTCCGGGTGGTGAATGCACCGGCTTCATCGTCACCGGAGAAAACTTTGGACAAGGCCGCGACGGTCTCCCGAACGCAGTATATTTCACTGGTGACACGGTACACATCAGTGAACTCAAGGAAATTGCCAACCAGTATCATATTAAAGCGGCAGTGATGAACTTGGGCAATGTTATTGTCCCAAACGTTGCCGATCCGACTGCTCCTCCAATTCAAATCACCATGGACGGCAAGTCTGCGGCTAGACTGTTCCGCGATATCAAAGCTGAAGTTTTGATTCCCATGCATTATGAGTCTTGGGGGCACTTCACTCAGTTTGGGGCAGAGCTCCGGCAGGTGTTTGAAAAGGAAGGCATCAGTGATAAGATCTGCTGGCTCAAGCCAGGAGAGAAGGTCTCGGTTTTCTAAACCGTAGACATCGTATGTATGTATGCGCGCAAAATAAGCAGATTAAAGCGTGGCTCAAACCCAGTTCAGCGTGTCTCGCCAAGGATAAAAAGCGGTGCAGATTGTAAACCTTTTTGAACAAGCTCGTTGACTGTTTGCTTAATGAAATCGATTCCGCCTTGATAGTGTGCTTGGTCCCTTTTGATCCACTCATATGCTGTTTGCAGGGTGAATAGTGTGGATGCTGGCCCGAAAAGTTTCATATCGTCTTGGAGTAGATAGTTCATGCTCGAACAAATCATGATCGCCAAAAGGTCAATTTCGGTGTGAATTCCATGGCGATCAAGGTTGTGAGATACTTGCTCTCGAGTCTTCGTGGAAAGTGGTACACGTAACATGACCTTTTCTATTTCTATAAGACATATAAGTCGGAAGGACCAGTAGTGGGTAAAGCTGTTTGCGATGGAGATGTTGGGGAATGATATCGGAATTGTTTTGAACTCAAGAAAGTTGATGCTGTCTCTCTTTAATTGGATAAGGTGGGAGAATGAAGTCACAGGTGCTAGACATGAATTCTTTTCCCAGCGTGCGAGGCGGCTCAAAACATCGAGGAGAGCGTCAATCACCTCCTCCGCAGCAGATTGGTTGTTCAAGTTCGATGATTGAAGGAGCATGTCGGTCATGTGCAGGAGGAATGGTAAATTTGCAACTTGGGTAAAGAGGGCTTGAGTAAGAGATGGAGCTATCGGGGAAAATGGCGCCTCGACCCAGGTTTTGGAGGCTAAGAAGGTAGATTGACGATTTCTCACAGCTTCTGCTATCTGGAAATTACGAAAGTAAGCTTTGAATACGGCCCATGGACGCTGTAAGTGGAAGACTCACCAAAAGTGGCCGAAAGCCCAAGAAAAGCTTATGTGGTATACCTGACCGGAAAACCTCTGGGCCGCAAGTTTCAAATAATGTCCCTACCGCTCGAAAATGTGCCTTCAGAGCGGCAACCGAATCTGGAAGCATAAGCTGCTTTTATTAGTGCTAATACTTAGAGCAAGCATGGAATCGAGGGAATTAGCATACTTCGACTAACGTGAGACACATTATGGCAGGCATCAGTTCAAGGGAGAGACCATTTGCAGCAATGCTCCCGCGCATTGTATGAACAGCATCATGATAACTTTGTGACGTTTCGACATCGCATGCACGTGTTTGGCCTCTATGTGACCAAATTGAGATTGCTAGTGCTTTTGTAGCTTTCGACAGGACAGAGGTGTCCGAGGACAGACATGGGAGGTTAGGAAGTACCTCAACCCATGCACCACATATTCGAGCTTCTCCGTGGAGAAGATGATTACTCGTACTGTCGCTTTCAGGTATATAGCCATACTTGACTATTTCCGCGACGTCGTTCATGGACGGGCCTCCAAAAGGCCAGGATGTCGATAGCAGAGGGCTATACGAGGCACGGTTCATTTGTTGAATATGCTTATCAACTGACTTAGGAAGGCAAACAACAGAAGTCGATTTATCATTGCCGAGTGAGCCTTTGGTTGGATTCGGGTTCGAGGTGGAGGTGTTCCGGAGTTCCCCCTGTGAAACAAATGTCCAGTCGCTTTGATACCCACCGCAGGCTCTCCCAGTAAGCACGCACTGGCTGCATCCCGGCTTTTTCCCATCGCACTGGGTCAAGTGTTAGCTATTGAAGCTTAGCATATAGCTATTGCGGTCTTACGCCCAGTTTCCGGGTTCGACAATTTTGACAAACGGATCTTCGCTTGACTTTCATCTCACTATCGCAAGCAAGGAATTCGGAAAGACTTGGCTTGCGCAGCTGACTTGCATAGTAAAAGTTCAGATTAGGCGTTTAGGTATGAGTGCTACCAGCGACCTATTCTGCTGTTTTGATCATGACTTGGGGGCTGTGAGAGGCTGAAGCCTGAGTTATGCTGGGCGTGGCGATTGATCATCGAGTAAATATGTAAGCACCAACAATGATGTCAAATCAAAAAGTCTTGGCGGGTTTTAGTTCCCGATACGGCAAGTTTTAACCCACATACGGCAAGGCAATAACGGCATCTACGAAAATGAAACTTTTCCTATGTAGAGTGGTACCCTGAAAGTTTGGAACCATGGGATAAAAAGTACAAAATTTCATAGTCCAGCTGCGCCTCTTTGTGATGTCTTTTGGTATAATCAAAGTGAGCATGTGACGCTATTTAGCAGTAGCTCCTAGGTACGGTGGACATAAAACCAGATCCAAAAAATTACCAAGAATGAACATCTTGAAGACATAATGTTGCAGCGAGACAACTACCCGTGCCAAGTAGAGCGGTTATAGCTTGGCATTCTCCAAAGTGGTACGCCTCCATTCGAGGCAGTGCTCATATTTTCTTTGCCGTAGCATAAACCAGATCGAGTCAGAACGAATTTGGCTTGATCATACTCCATTCGCCCGATATGCGAGCTCTTCGTTGTGCCATCATAACGAGGCGAAGTACTGGAAATGGCAGCCTCGTTGACCGCCAAGGACGGTGACCAAACTGGGTATACATCACGACCTATTGAGAGGAGAACCAAAATGCTCTTCAAGGTTATGAGATCGCGGCCCTAAGCCTCTTTGGGTGGATTTCGCCAATAGTGGACCTGTGTTCTTGGCCAATAAGATGAAGTTGTAAATGTGGGGAACCATTACTGGTCGCTGCGGATTAGCCCAAAAGGGATAGCTCTGCGGACACGAACTGCTGGCCACCAGAGAAATCATTTAAGATTCTTGACATTTTCCCTTTAACTTGATTGCTTTCTAATAAACTATCTCTCTATTCCCCTTTTTATTAGCAATAAAATACCTCTCTTCGACAGCGTCGATAAGTCGAACCTGGCCACAATGCAGTCTGCACCGCAACACTATAGCGCCCCGCCACCACCTTATACAGAATCATCGCAGTACCCCAGTGAACATTCAACACAGCTAAGCTATCAGTCCATTCAAGGTCAGCAGCTAGATTATGCAGCCTATGAGCGTCGTGTCCAGCCGCTTCCCCACCGGACTGAACAGCCCTTTCCACCGCGACCTCAGTGGCACGGCTCTGCTCCTTATATTTCTTACGAACATCCGCAGCAACAGTATCAACAGCAATGGGAACCACTACCTTATGCTGGTTCTTTAAACAGCCAAGCCTGCATGCCAGCACCTCAACCAAATACCCAGCAGCATCCTTCTCAACGGCGACCATGTGTTATTCCTCGTAAGGGCATCTGGATGTCCGTTCAACCTAATTGTATCGATGCTAATCAACGCGCACAATGCTCTAGAGATCACAACAGTTTTTGACGGTGCACACTTGAGCCCCTTCATCCGCGCCCGTGTCCCTGAACTCGAGCAACAATATGGGCTTTCCTCCCGCGTGATGCTGGCATTTGTCGACGGGCTTAACGAAGCATTCATGGCCAACCCCACTTTCCAAGTCACGAATCATATCGGAGATATCTTGGGATTTGTTCCACTGCAGACCACACAAATTGTCGGTGCCAGCATTAACCTTGCTGCTGGCCTGGGAGCTGCGGGTGTGTCCATTGTTCGGACAAAGCAATACATGAAGAAGGCGAACGAGAGGATTTTCAAACCCAAGGGTTTGCATGCGCAGATATGTAAGACGGGGAAGATGCTTGGCCAGGTTGGAATGGCGAATGATACTGTCATTTTTGCAAAGACCCAGTATCAGGCGCCGGTGAGCAGTGCGCGGGCCAATGAGCCTAGTGGGAATGCTATTACGAGGAGGATGGAACCTCTTGGTGATCGAGTCATGGCGCTGTCGTTCGACAATATCAGCGCACCTGTGTCCCCAGATAACTGGATGAAAAAGGTCGGTGTATACGCCGTTCAGCGCGCTGAGAAGAAACAGCTTGAGAAACTCGAGAAGCACCAAGCTGAGGCTGAGAAAAAGTCTGTCAAGGCTGAGAGAGAGATCGCCAAGGCTGAGCTAAAGAGGAGTGGGGCTGATGATGAGATGGAAGAGATCACCGAGGATATGAATGACGTTGAGTCCCAGATGCAATGCCTGGACCCTAACCATCCGCGCTACGGGAGGCGGCTGAGAGAGCTTCGGCGGGAGTACCGGGAATTGGACCGGAAGCTCAAAGAAGTGGACTTACACAGCAAGTCTCGTAAAGCTGACAAAGTCGACAAGATGACTCGCAAGCGCGGTGAAAAGACCAAGGAGCGAGAGATTAAGGAGGTTAAGAAGGTCAAAAAAATGTACTGGATTTTGATCACCACCCAGGAAGAGAGCCCAGTGGGAGAAGATGATTGGGCCTCGGACGACTCGTCTGACTCAGCTGAGAAGTCAGTCAAAGTATGACCAGAAGAGTTCACGAGTTGTGAAATGCGGATATCGTGATATTGAGGTTGTGCTTTTAGATGGCCGGGTTTGTTGCCTTGTGTACCTGTAGAATACCTTTATCGGAATTTTATATACAGGTGCACACTGTATCAAACTTTGTAATCCGTTACAAAACCTAGAATGAAGTATAAGTGATGAGAATAAATGTATTGATGATGATTCCCGCCGAAAGGATTGCTGAGATCACAAGAGAAATCTCTTGCACCCCTCCTAGTAAACTGTGAGCTAGTCACAAGAGACGGGATGTGTGAAAGACGAATTTTCGTGATTTCAAAACAGATCAGCCCTCAAAGCATCTTTTACTATTGCTTTTGTCTCTGATGGCATACTCTACAGCTGCATTTGCGTGGGCTTCTCGGACGTTTCCATCAACGACAGGAGCTTCTGAACCAAATCGAGGCCCTCTTGTGAAGAGTCCGCACAAGCGTCGCCAGTCAAAGCTCTGAACAGCTCGGGCTTCGTCAAGCTCAAAGTCTGACTCGCTCTTCCGCCAAAATCATCCTTACTAACAACCTTCCTATAGGTTAAGGCGCCATTGTTAATATTCACTCGCCACCGCTGCTGCTCATCTGCCAAATGAAATTCAATAGAGAAACATTCCTCGGCCGCTCTGAGGCCATCAAGTCGAATTGATAACAAAGTCAACCACTGTTCAACTGACTGTTCTAGCCTGAGGCCACCGCTCAAGCTCTGCCGAGGATTGGCGCTCCCTTCGGCAAGCAGATATTCGGCTCCAGTCAGATAGAAGTTGCGCCAGGTCCCATTCTCTGACGCTTGACCGAGTTTGGTGAAAACAGATGCCAACGCCTTCTTCGCACCAGTATGCGATGGGTCAGACGTGACAGCGTGGTCCAGCAATGTTGCAGCAAACCGCAAATCACCATCTGTGACAAAGCTCTCTGCTTTTTGCACAACCTTGTCGATTCCACCCATACACTGCACGTATCTCTGTGCACTTTGCTTTGGAGGGTGTTCCCAGAGGTGAGCAGGATTCCCGTCAAACCACCCCATATATCGCTGATAGATACCTTTCACATTATGACTAACAGACCCATAGAATCCCTGTGCAAACCACGACTTCTGCAGAGAGGGCGGAAGGCTCAAGTGCTCTGCTATCTCAATACCGGTCATCCCATGATTCATTAAACGAACAGTTTGATCGTGGAGATATGCATACAGATCTCGTTGGTCTGCAATGAACTTGGCGATTTCCGCAGAGCCCCAGGTAGGCCAGGCGTGACCGGCCAGCATAACCTCCGACTCTTTTGCAAAAAGAGTAAGGGATTCATCCAGATACTGAGACCAAGCCTTTGCGTCCCGAACTTGGGCTCCACGTAAGGTGATGATGTTATGAAGCGAGTGTACTGCGCATTCAGCAATATACAGTGCTCGATGATCAGGGAAATAGAAGTTCATCTCCGAAGGGGCTTCCGACTCGGGTACGAGTTGGAATATAATGCGAACCCCGTCCACAACTTGTTCCTCGCCGGTTCGGTGGATGGTCGTATTCGGTGGAACGAGTGAATTGACACCGGTGGGAACACACATGCCAAGCCCACATCCGATTTGCCCGTCGGGGGCTTTTGGAAGTCGAGTTCCATACATGTACACAGCACGGCGACGCATCGCATTTCCAAGATAGAGGTTCTCGCTGGTTGCTTCCTCCATGAACCCTTCGGGGGCGATTATAGGGATCGAGTGGTTCTTCGCCATCGGAAGTATACCCTGAGCACCGCCAAAATGGTCGACGTGCGAGTGCGAGTAGATGACTCCTGTCACTTTGCGATCACCACGATGCTTTCGGTAAAGAGCCAGTGCTGCAAACGCGGTTTCTACTGCGGTGAGGGGGTCGATCACAAGGACACCCTCCTTACCCTCCACGATGGTCATGTTGGAAAGGTCAAGCCCACGCACTTGGTAAACCCCTTCGGTCAACTTGAACAGTCCTTGGATGGACAATAATTGGCCTTGTCGCCAGAGCTTCGGGTTGGCGGTTGGGGGACATTCCCCAGTGAGGAAGTCATATTCATCATTATTCCACACGACTCTCCCGCCGGAAGAGCGGATAATGCATGGTTCCAGGGCATCAATGAAGCCCCGCTTTGCGTTATCGATATCGGTTGTATCGGTAAAAGAGGGTTGGAATTCTTGGTTTGCCATCTTTGAAATGTCGTGATTCTAAGTGATGCTGAGGGGAAAATTCAAGTCTACTCTGAAGTTCATGCCATTTATATATCCTCGAGCCAAACCGCGGGTGATGTAAATTCGCCGTCGCTAAACATGCTCCATTTTGCCTAATAGGTTTGATCTCCACCCAATTATTAAACTAACCAATATCGTTTCGCCTCCTTCTCCGGCTGCTGAGAGCCCCCACTGCTGACAGACTTGGCGATGCCCTATTAAACGCCGGTGGGCCGCCATGACGACTGCGGGGTCGGTCAAGTAACCTCTTCAGGAAATGGTTTCGTGGTTTACTTCCGACCGGGTCTTGACTACAACGTGGGAAAGAGTAATTATCATTTGTCTGTACAGTCAAGGTCTCTTTCTTCACGCAGAACCTGAAAAATCCAATATCCATTTTGTCACTCTCTCTTATCTCTGTCTCTGTGCCTCAATAGGTGTACTGGAATTCCGGTAGATTGGCAATGATAAGCTGCCCACAGGCTACCTTTCTGTTTAAAATGTGAAATCAAATCGACAAGATTTGCGACCAGAAAGTTTATCCACCCTCATAGTCCAACACAGCCAGAATACCAAGATGATGCGTCGGGGCATCTTGATACCTGTATACTAAAGATCCCGTGATGCCGCCTAAGGCCCCTAGTTCGACAAAGATAGCACTACAGATGGCTCGCTTCCATTGGCTGCAGATATTGTTTGCCTGAAGGTTCTAATTAGACAATATGAAATGCGTACTTGTTAGCATGAAAAAGGTCTCCTACCTCGTATGCCATTGCGGCTGGGACCTTGGATTTCACCCATGGTTGTCAAGAGGGCCTCAATAAGGCGAGTAGTAGTATTACCTTTGTATATCCCTTTTGCACGATCAGCTTCCTTTCCACTTCTTACTAATTATGGGGCTGCTTATCATCAATTGGAGACTGATTATTGTGAGCAATGCGTTGAAAATTAAAATTGGACCACGAACGTGATATCAATCGCCAATCCAAGATGCTGCGTGTACGAGGATGCCAGCAGCAGCATATAGCGAGGCAAACAAACACAGTGGATTGCTCATTCCTGAAAACCCCATTCCCTGTTGGTAAATATTTGGCAAAAAGTAGGATATGGCATATGCTATTATTGCTGTCGGGTAGCAAATGAACCCGAAGGTCAAATCTTCATGTTGAGCCCAGAGAGACCACCTTTCTTCAGATTAAAGGGTTCAACTTTCACATCTGGCCGAGGTTTCCGGATAGGCCAAATAATATATTCGTAGTGGCGCAAATAAGCTACATTGGTTTCACGACCTCATTACCTGATGATGACGCGGGATAGTTGGCTAGAGTGACACACCACATTGCGATGCCCGCCATAAACACCGAGTTTATAAGTAAGAAAGATCACGAGCAAGAGGACTTTCGCTGTCTTAGTTTCTTGAACAACTGACACATTTGCCCTAATACCAAGGGGCAAGCTCCAAGAGGTTCATCTCGTAGATGCAGAATGCCGATGAATGGTTGACGCAAAATTGGAATAGTTTTGTTCCAGTGCATATGCAAAAAGTCTCCTTCGTTGACATCCAGACACCCCAGAAAATTCTTGAAATTATGTAAAGATGACTTGAAGGAACCGATTTCCGTGGTTCAGCCAGAGAGATGAGTTTCAAATCGGTAAATGCGCGCATGAAATCGGGAGACAATCCGTTGCAAAAGCGATAAAAGCTCCAACTGTGCTCTTTTTCGGTCTTCCTCAATCAATCGAGCGGTAATTTGAGATACGCTCAATGATATCATCCTTGACAAGAGTATCATTAATATTTGACGGAACACCAACATAAAGTTCCTCTTCTGCGACGATGAATGGCCCTCTCAGAGGTCAAGGTGTGTTACCTCTCAACGAAGTAGATGCTCTAGAAGAGACGCCGTCGTAATTCATGCTCATCTCGCGGTAGTTTTCGATCGCTTGTTTCTCTAAGGAATCCGACTTCCAAGCATGTTCTCATAGCCAGCTCAGCACAATCATATACCAACCACTCGAATTGAGAGTTGCACGCGAGTTGTATGAAACGAGTAGTAGCATTGCTTCGATGGCCGGAAATGGATAATGATTCCCTCAAAGTTGGATCGACCAACGCAGTGAGAAAACACAAGCTTGGCGGAGTCAATTTATATGTGTTGGTCATTTGACAAATTACACTTCCGATCGCATAAGCCAGAAATAGTTTGAATCTTCCGAGCTGCGCTTCTGGCGTGTGGTGGGGTGGTTGGCGCCTTTTTGCACGCAGACTCAGAGTCTTCATAAGATCCAGGAAAGGTCCTGCAATACCATCGTCCCACCTGAATTGTGGACTATGCTACTGACATTTTCTGAGATAGAAAATTCCGACGATGGTCCGAGATATGCCGGCTCTCCATTCCTCTCGTGGGCTAAAGACAAGAGGCGGATCACTCCTTCCAGTTGATGGTTTGGGTCTATTTTGGCTGTTCGCTAATGAAGCGGGCCCTGCGTCCTTCGCGCCACCGGGAACGTTTCCTCCTGAAACAGCGGCCAGATGTGCCTCTATAATCTTGATCCTGTGGGCTGGAGATCCTTTCGACATACTATAGTGCCATGATGGGCTATGGTGCCATGATGGGGGGTCGTCGGATCGCAAGCAAGGTTGACTAGCGGGTTCGCAATTTGAGCATGAAGCAGACCCGACGCATCTTTGTTTGCGTCGGTGACAGTGTTTGCAGGACTTGGGTAGTTGCTTGCGAATTCTGGGTTCTGTATCCATCGTGTCGGTGCAGGAACAGACTGGGGGGGATTAAGGACGAAAATAAAGCTTTTGAGGTTCCCCGCTGCCTTTTTATCAGCGCCGAGGCACACTTATCGCTCATCGGAGCCGGTCCAAATACGCCTTTTTCTACCCGGCGTGGATACGACCAGTACTTAATGATAAGTGCTTATATGCATTACAACTTATCGCCACTCGCAGTTCAGGTACCTACAAAAGGATGTTAAGTTATTTTAATTTATCTCATTTAGACCCGCGATTCTTTTCTCACGTATCGAGGCTACGAAAACCGCCCTAGTTAGTAACTACCCGTTCATGCACCGCTTAGCAAAGCGTCACAAGTGAAAGCATGGAATCGAAGGTAAACATCACCTATCACAAGCCGGGGTTGATTCCTAGAGAATTCTCATCGTAGCTGCGAAATGCGATGAGAAGAGAGAAAAAGAGAGAGGAAATAGCCACCCGTCACTTTACGATTCGAGGCAATGTCAGGTGACGAATCCGTTGCGGTCACGGGCCAAACGCCTTGAACTCTTAGGGACCTGCATAGAAATGTCGAGACTTTGACTTCTCCCCGTGCCCATTGCGGCGCCTGGGCCGCAATGGGTCCCAACCGTTTGTCCCGCAGATCTAGCCGAGTCCGTCTACAGTTTAGACATTTCCGCCAATTGAAGGGTGCCGGTGGGGACCGCCGCGGATAGCAGGTTTTAGAGACTTGACTCGCTTGTGGGCACGTTCCAGGAATTTATTCCCCCTCGGCTTTACTCTCGTCACAGTCACCACCCCCCAGGACATATGTGCCGGTTTGCAGGAATGCGCGGGGGTTCACAGTTATGGATCAGCCAAGGTCTCCAGCCTCCCATCCGCCTCCATGTAATGCTGAGCGCGAGAGAATCCGAGAATTGTCCAGGTGAGATCTGCTGAGATCGATTTCCCCGCCGATCCCCGGGCTGACCACTACCGAATAGGTATTACTGTGCATTAGGTCGCTCATCATCAGCATCGACACCAACCAAGGATGCTGATGGAGCCGGGTCGAATAATGACGCTCCCCAGGGCGACGAGCAGCCATCGGCCGGGAATCTTTCGACGGATATCGCCCTAACGGCGTTGGCCCAGCTGGGAGTGCATCGCTTAAACTGCAACCGATCCTTCGTCTCCATAATTGACGGCGCTAATCAACACATCATCGCCGAAGCTACAGCATCAATATCCTTGCGGGACAGGGACCAGCACTTACCCAATGATGGCATCTATCTTGGAGCCCGAACTTTGGACTTGGTATGGGGGGTATGCCCTCATACCGTCCATCTGTTCACCGGACAGGACATGTCATGCGCGCTTGATACCAGCAACATTACTGCCAATCAGACTCGCTATATCATCCGAGACTTTACCCAAGAAGATAACTTCAAAGATCGCCCGTACGTTCGCGAGTGGCCGCATATGCGTTTCTATGCCGAAGTCCCATTGTTCAGTCCCTCTGGCTACGTCCTCGGAACTTACTGCGTGGTCGATGATAAACCACGCACGGAGTTCAGCGATGACGATGTGAATGTGCTCCAAGAGGTCGCGGATGCCATTGCACAGCATTTGGAAAACGTCCGAATTGTTCACTACCACGGTCGCTCCGACCGTCTCATGAAAGGGTTAACAAATTTTGTCAAAAGCTATGCAGACTTTGATCCACTCGAGGTTTCAAACGATTATCGGCTCGAAGCAATGGCCATCGCTTCTAATACCAACACCACACCCGTCGACGGGAGAAGGGGGTCTAGTGAAACCACAACGAACCAGCAATTTGATTTCGTCACATCACCCTCCACAATTCCCTTGGAAGAACCGTCTTCCCTCTCTTTTACCGAACCTGCATCCGGGCCCACCAGTCCTTCATCCCTCAACTCGTACTTGTCCGACCGCCGATTGCCCCCAGGCGGGGAGGAAGACCTCAACGAAGTTTTGAGAACGGGTCTCGAATCGTCAGCAAAGGGGCAAAATAATGACTCCCAGGCCTTCCTCGCAGAGAGCATGCCATTGGCAGATCGTATCGGGCGCATATTTCACAGGGCCAGTGTACTCCTCAGGAATTCTATGGACTTGGATGGTGTAGTTTTCTTCGATGCAGCTCCTAGTAATCCTTCATTGTCAGTCGTCATCGTTCTCCAGAAGATCCAAGCGAAGTGCTGATTGCCTACAATGCAGTTTACCCTCTGATGATCTCGGCGAATGGGAGCCGCTTCCCAAGACCGCCGTGCCAGAAATTCCCATGGCACCACATCCCAGTCCATTGGGACATTCTCCTACGGCGTCCAAGAAATCAAACATATGTTGCGATATCCTCAGCAAATCACTAAAGGAAACACGAGAGAACGACTTCGATTCGAAGACCGAAATCACCGTTCGAGAAGATCTCCTGAACTTACTAGTGGCCTCCTTTCCACAAGGTCAAATTTTCAACCTTGATGGCTCTGCGGACAGTGATGAATATCTGTCGCATGACTTTGGGCTTAACGATCCTGAAACCCAACGCAAAATCATACAGATGACTACTCGGCAGCTCCATAAAATTCTTCCTGGCGCCAACTCGGTCATTTTCTTTCCGTTGTGGGATTACCACCAGTCCCGTTGGATGGCCGGCACTCTTGTTTGGACTCAAGATAGTCACCGTGCTCTGGGGAGTGAGGAGCTTCACTATTTCAAAGTATTTGGTGACTCTATTGTTTCTGAAGTTTCTCGGGCACATTGGGCGACAATCGAGAAATCCAAGTTTGACTTCATATCTTCAATCAGCCACGAACTTCGATCGCCGCTCCACGGGATTTTAGCTAGCGCGGAGCTATTGCAGGCGACTTCTCTCGAACCAGCCCAAGAGGAAATGATGAGGATGATTGAGGCATCAGGCCTAACATTGTTGGATACCACTGATCATTTGTGAGTCTCAAATCAAAGAACTGCTCGCAATTTGAAGCACTGACCTTCTTTCAGGCTTGATTTCTGCAAGATAAACAGCATGACCCGATTCAAGAAATCAAGAAAGAAGAAGGACTTGATTGAGGTGTCGAGCCTAGTATCTGAGTTTCATCTTGGACATTTGGTTGAGGAAGTTGCCGATATATTGTATACTGGCCAAAAAGCACCGGGATTGGTCTCCCAGGCTTCTCCCAGAACGTCATCTAATCATAGACGAGCTGTCTCTAGACCCGGTGGCAATCCGGCCGATGACATATCAGTAGTTGTTCGAATTGAGCAACGTCACCCCTGGCAAATTCGATCCTTGCCGGGGGCATGGCGGAGAATTGTGATGAACCTTCTTGGCAATGCAATCAAATGGACAAAGTTAGGCTTCGTGGAAGTATCCCTATCACGAATGAGGAATCAAGTCGAGCCCCACAGACCAATCGCGCACCTCTCAGTTACCGACACTGGCAGTGGGATCGCACCGGACTTCCTTCGACACAAGCTTTTCACACCTTTCGCTCAAGAAGACTCCCTTTCGGAGGGCGTTGGACTTGGGCTTAGCATTGTTCGCCAGCTAGTAAGCTCACTTAATGGCCACGTGAATGTCAGGAGTGAGCTTGGAATTGGAACACAAGTCGACGTTTACATTCCAGTCGAGTATACCAACAGCCTGGAATCAACGTCAGCTCTTCAGGAGACTTCTCAGTCAGCCCAACAGAGCTCTACAGCGCCACTTCGAGCTTGTCTGGTTGCTTTCAATGGATATCCTGATTTGCAAGAAACGCCCACCGGGGTTTTGAGTCTCGAGGCAAAGCGAAAGTTGTCTATACAGAGCACACTTGCCGATGTCTTTATGTCCCATTTTGGGTGGACCGTTTCCCTGGCAGAAACCCTCGGCGAGGCACGTGGAGACATTGCAGTTTTCGAAGAGGCCGTCCTGAAGAAAACAACGGAAGGTTTCTTTTCTTTGGATCAATTGATTTCTATGCGTGAGTTCAAGTACTTCATTGTATTGGGAACCAACACCGCTTTCGTTGAAACCTTCCTCCCACCCAATTTCGTATGGGTTTCGCAACCGTAAGTCAAGAATCTCCTTGTATTTTTGTTTGGTTTGTGCTGACAAAGAAACAGATTTGGACCCCAGAAGATCCAAATTGCCATTCAAAAGCTTTTGGACCTGGAAAATTCACAGCCTGAGCCTACGCCAGTCACAATTCCGGCTATAGACCTTGAACCGTCGCTGGCGATTTCCGAAGCTCAACCTTCTCCAGCCAGCGACGATACTGTAGTTGTGACACCACAGACCTCTACCGAGGCCCCTAGCAATCTCACACTTTCCGATGCCTTGCCAATCCGCCCTTCTAATGAGTTACGGCCCACTCATGTCCTCGTTGTTGATGACAACGATATCAATCTCAAGATTATGACCACATTTATGCGCAAGGTTGGCTGTACTTACGACACCGCAACAAACGGACTGATTGCTTTGGAGAAGTACAAGGCCTCAGCACAGCGATTTGATTTCGTTCTAATGGGTTAGACCCCCTACCCTGTTCAACTCACTTGCCGCGGACCCCAGCTGATCATTTGCAGACATCTCAATGCCCGTCATGGACGGGCTCGACTCCACACGCAAGATCCGGCAGCATGAGAAAGAAAACGGTCTCAAGCCCTCTTCGATTCTGGCTGTCACCGGTATCGCCTCAAATTCCATGCGACAACAAGGCATCGCAGCAGGTGTTAATGACTATCTAATCAAACCCCTTTCACTCCATTTGTTGAAGAAAATTATGAGCATTGCATGATACCATATTGTTTGGCGTTGAGTGAATTATGACAATCTCGGTCGGATCATGGTGTTTGAGTGTTTGGATTTTATATGTAATGTACACGTTAATTACTTATAATCTGTTAGTCTGAGGCCAATCTCCTTGGTCTCGAAATATACCCCATATGGAGTAATGAACTCTTTTTATCCCATTGCATTCCATCTATAGTCAGCTTTGCAATAGGGCCTCCATTGCATTCACAAATATCGGCTTATTGGCTAGCACAATGTTTCGACAAGGTCGATTTGCGAAATCCTCCTCCGAGGGCTCCAAGCAACACCGAAATATACATTCGAAAAATTGCAGTTCCAGGGTGGTGGGCAAAGGCTGATATTCCAGAACAACGACGGAATCATCGAGGTGTTTCACTTCGACAGTAACCTCAAGTAGCAACTCACACAGCGTGTGGAAGATAAGAGACATAGATCCCCTGACTTCAACATGATCATTCAGGACAGCTTATCATTCCAGATGCGGATGGGGTCATGAGGTTTTGGGAACTTCAGGGAACCGTATTTCTTGTACTTCTCTCTACTACTCCCACGCATGTTGAGGGTATACTATTCCCCTTTTGAAGCAACCATTTAATTCGAGAATTAGAACAGCTTGCTCCGGAACCTCTGCATTCCAGAATGTGCCGTTCTGTTTTACAATTTTGTTAACTGAGAGCTGGTGGAAGGGAATGAATAAGCGTCTCTCCAAAGAGGGATGGATCACTTAGCCAGGAAGAGAGACGTTAGATTCATGAAAATGGGGTTTATTTTGATCCAGACTGTCAAATTAATGCTTCTTCGTGTTTCTTTATGCCAATACATCCTCTCCCGACGACCTGGCATTTGTCCTCATTTGATACCGTCGTTTATTTTCTTGACGTTAACGTTATTCCAGTGTTGAGGGGTCAGAGTCCGTCATGGTTAACTATTAGAGTAATAAAAACATACTTAGACCGACAAGCTACGAGCTTGTCTCGTTTCAGTGCGGATACACACCCTCATACAGTGGCATTTCAAGGGTTGGAAACCAGTGACCTGAATCGGCCCAGCATTTAATGGTCCAGCAACATCTCGTTGGGAATGTGTTTAAATATCTTGCTATCCATCCTTCTAAATATCTTATGGATAAACATTTGGAATAGTCCTGAGAGCATTCTCCACGGCCACCTGAAGTTTTGTCGGCGGTTTCAAACTTTCGACCTGCCACTGTATCACAAGCAAGCTTGGCAACGCCTCTGGCGTTTGCGCACAGAAACCAAAACGGGGCAATCGGCAGTCCTGACCGCCGAACCATGCCAAGCTATCCCACCAAACGCCCGACACTGGCGCATGCCCTATGGTCTCAAGTGGGAAGTAGGATCCCGCCAAGTGAACCTATCACGAGTGAAGGATAACCTCGCGCCGAGACTGCGTTAAGGCTGACGGCGCTAGAGAAGTCCCAGCGCCAAACGCAGTGCCTGCAGGCGGGTGCGTGTCGCGAACCACCTGAATATACAGTACGGATATGCTACTACCAGGTATGTACGGTGTACCGTACCGAATGTCCATGGAAATAAAGAGGCTGAAGCGGTACACAGACACAGAGAATACAAACCCCCGGTCTCGGCGGGTGTAAATTGAGCAACACGTGCACGGTTCGGTTGACACGATGATACAGAGAAACAGTCCAGCTCAGCTCAGGCCTATATACAGACAGACACGACCAACAAAAGAAGGAAAAGGAAGAGTCGATGAGCTTGGCAACAAACTGCGCCACCAAAGCACGCACGAGCACGGAAAAGCCGAGCAAAGCAAGCACGCACGAACAAGCAAGCGGGCCGAATCAATAACGAACATGCATCATATGTCCACTGCACCTAGCCCCGAGGAGTGGGCGGTGCACCGGGGTAGAGCACTGGAGGGAGAATGTAGAACCGGAGCAACGATCGGAAGGACGGCGGTGTGGTCCATGATGGAATAGGGGCAATGAGTAACGACAGGGCGGGTGGGATATATGGAAAATATGGCATTGAGGATGGAAGCAAGAGCGGGATGAAAAGAGTATTGGAGAGAATGAGAGAGTGAGGGTTCGCGTATGGTTCAAGGAATGGGTATAGGGTGGAAGAAGAGTTACGGAGCTAGGAAGGAGGCAAGGAAAGTCCCGGAAGAATAGGTCTGCAATGCATTGCACAGCGGCGCAGAATAGTGCTGGGATTTCTCTCTATTCCTGTCCGAATCCGAGCGTTTCCTCCACCGCGATGGACATCTTGTGCTCCAGGGCGTCGTGGGTTTTGTACGGCGGCAGATCGAGACGGTTGAAGCTGAATTGTTGTTAGTATATGACAATAAAAAGAAACGGATTGGCTGCCAAGACGGCAAGGGAACGTACCAGGTGTGAGACTTCGGCAAGGCTGCAGGATCACCTGACTTCTCGATCGTAAACCGTCTAGGTCCATCTGAGCCCTGCAGATCCTTGAATCCATTGACAGGAATACGCGAAGTACCAGTAGTAAACTGGAGCAGACGCGACTTCTGCTCGGCATCCCAGCTGCGGACAATCTTCCAGAAGTTTTGGATAACTTCATCCTGCTCCTGGTAGCCGCGGTAGTCGGTGTGCTTCTTCCAGTCGTCGACGTCGATGTCGGCAATACCACCAATAAGTAGCTCCAACTCGCGCTCGTCGAAGACGTTGACCAAATCTGGCGGAATCAACTCGTTGAATCCGGACATGAATGCATCGAACTGCTCCTCCACCCGCTTGACAATCTTCCACTCTGTAACCAATTCGATGTACTCTGCCTTGTTCTCGTTGGTGACATTGATGTCCCGGCCACCAGGTTTCAAATCAATAGTGCGACGCTCCCCAAACTTCTCATCATCAACAGAGAAAGTAAGCTCGACAATGCCTTCAATATCATTATCCCTGGTACACAATGTTAGCATTAGGTTCAAACATCCAACAAATCCGATTTCGGGTGGCATGACTTACAGAGTCCACGCTAAGTTGCGATGTAAGTCCTCATCGACACCCTCCATATCTTGAAGAGTCACCTTCTTCCGCAACATCATCTTGTAAAAGGCTCCGATGAAGAAGGAGTCCAGGAAGCGGCGATGGAAAATCGCCAGACCGACTACTCGGCCGATGAACTTGAAGTAGTTCAGATGCTCGGGGTTGACGCCAGAGTGGGGATTAATTTGCAGGGTATAATTATCGTGGGCGGAGTATTCGAAGAGACAGTAGAAGGGATTGAACATTTCGTGGGAGAGAAGGAAGAAAAATTCACTGTGTAGAAGTCAGTGTTTGCCCAGAAGTCAAATGGCAAGGGTATCATTCTATCATACCGAGAAAGACCACCGTAGTCCAAACCGTCTTCACCGTCGAACTTAATCATCAAGCGCTTCTTCAGATCAGACGCGCTCTGCCGCATGATCTCGGCGTACGAATCTTCAAAGATATTATTGCGGCGGACCTTGACGTGGCACTGTCCGGACATGATCCGCAGCGCGGGCTGCGAGCGGAAGTAGATCAACTTGCGACGGAAGTCACGCTTGTACTGTGGCACTCCCTGATCCAAGGACGAAGGTAGTCGAGGATCATCCCAGGTAGTGGTCTTCGTGTTGTGATCCACAAAGTACACCCGAGCGGTGTTGGTAAGACGCATTTCCCAGCCGCTCGGCAACGGTCCAAGCTGAGAGACTGGCTGTTGTTGGATGGTGGTGTTGTTCCCGCCCTGGTTCTGATTCTGGCCGTACATACGGATGTACTGTTGTCTGCGGGGGTCGACCCAAGTCGTGGTACGAGTGTTATGATCCACGAAGTAGGATCGTCCTTCGGGGGTATGCCTTTGTTCCCAGCCTGGCGGAAGCTCTCCAGTGCCTGCAGTGGTCGCTCCCGTTGCCATCATGGAAACCGCGTTGGCATGAGATCCCGTGCCGCTAGAACCACCCGCTGCGGTCGCCACGGGGGAGGACCCCCAGAGCCCGGTGACTGCGTGACAGGCTGTTGGCCATCGGGCAAGTTGGGGGAACTGGCGCCAGTTCGGTCTTCCGGCAGCATTCGGCTCTGGTGAGCCCGACGCTCTAGCTGCATGTTGGCTTCGCGCTGAGTGCGTTGGGTATGTTCATTGTAGTTAGCCGACGGCCGCGACCAGGTCGTCGTACGTGTATTATGGTCCACATAGTACGTCCGTCCCAAGTTATCCTCCCGACGTTCCCAGCCCGCAGGTAATCGGCCCTGACTGTCCTCAAACGAACTCAAATTGGCGCGCGACGGGACATTGGCACCAGGGGGAGCGGTCCCGTTAGGGACCGGGGGAGGGGGTTGACTTGAAGGAGTCCGGTTGTTGAGCGAAGAGCTGGACGCAGCAGCAGGCGACATGTCAAGGAGGCTCGGGCCGGCCTGCGGCGTCGCCGTCGATGCCGCGACTTGTGGGACGAGGCCACTGGACGTAGAGGACTGCGCATGCTGACGTTGGAGACCATTCGCCTGGTTCTGGGCCGGGGCAGCGAGGTTCGTCGACAAATTGATAATCAGTTTGCCATGAACGACAAGGTTATCGTTCGATTTTTTAAGGTCGCGAGTGAGCATCTCTGTTACAGGCGTGGCAAGTAGTCAGTTTTCGCGTGATTGTCACTCAAGGCGATCGGATCGGTAATCATCCCAACGTACCATCACCACCCATCGAAAGATCAATGACATCGCCGATGCGCACATTGATCACGCCCAGGAATCCCTGATCCTTCTTTTTGAACTTCTTCTGGTCGAAAATTTGGATTGCGAGAATACTGTCTTCGTTGACTCGCCTGCATCGACCCGGTTAACAAACACATCCCCTCGATCTCTCTATTAAAGTGGGGCAAACGATCACGTACAGGTCGAACGGTTCATTCCAGTACGGATTCAAAGTCTTTTTAATCACCGAGGTGGTATGGGTTTGCTCGCCGCCCACAGTGGCCACAGCGAAAGGATCGGGGAAACCTAAATCATGAAACTGGTCAGTTTCCGACCCCGCCTGACGCCTTGGGGCGATCCGAGGGGAAACCACGTACGGAAAACATCACGCTTGTAAAGACCGTCTGCCGCGATAACTGGGTAGAAAGGGGCAGGTTAGTCTCATGTGTCGAGGGTTGAGGACTAGCCCCGCAAAATCCCGCCCTGGGATGCAGGGCGAAAAAGGAACAAGGCAATCTTACTCGTGACCCGGAGATTTGGCTGGCTGCAATTCGAGATATCAGCATTGGGGACATGTGCAAATTTTCCGGTCGGAAAGTCAAGCTGATATGATGTTCCAGTGGAAGGGAGAGGGTGCTGGGACGTACGCTGGCAGATTAGATGCCATGATGGTAGCCCTGGTTGCTTCACGAGCACACCGTCCGGAGCGAAAGGCCGATCGATCAAGCCCAGGCCGAGAGACGCGGGGCGCACATCCACGAGGGGGGAGTCGCGGCAATACAGTCACAGGTCGCAGATGTCCGGGGAAGGAAAAGAAGGTGGGAGGTGGGAGGGGAAGAGGGGGGTGGTGCGAGAAGAGGTGGATGTGCGGTGGTGATGTTTGATGAAGATCGAAGGAGGAGAATGGACGAGGGAAGGACTTGGCCCGGTTTGGGTGGTGTTAGTGCTGGTCAGTGTACAGTACTCAGTACCAGTCGGTGGTACTGGCAGTACTGGTACTGGGCGGACTATGGGCAGTGCTCCAGTAAGCGTGGTAAGGTATGGTTCCCAGCTTTACCATCTGGTCTCCCGCAGGTACTCCGCCTACGTATCGGCTATGTACGGCCTACGTATGGGGTACTTGCGCGGTACTTGGGGACTGGGGCTGAGCAACGGGAGATCGTCTCCGGGCTGGACCATGTCGGTCATCTTGTCATTGAGACCCGGCTAAGCCACACTGTTCGGATCCAATATGCTAAAGATTTTGGGATCTGAAAACCGAGTCTTCGCACTCGTACTCGGCACTCTGTCTACATCCAATTCTCCTAGCATACGTAATAATCGGTGCTGGCGGGTGCGGGCGGGGAGTACCAGTGGCAAGGCCCGATAATAATAGAGCAGATGCCATCATGCAACGGCCGTGCTGGGTCTTTCCGGTTTGTGCCCTTTTGCACTAGTTCGGGCATGCCAAACCCCCAGGCAGCGAGATTAAATCCACCCTGCCCCATTCAGACCTTGATATGCCGGATGCTAAGCGCCCCGAACCACGAACAGATTACTGTGTATGGGAATAGGCGCAGTATCTCCGTACCTCTGGTACCTAGCCACTGTAGGTCCGGCCATTGAGCTCACTAAAGTACGTGATTAAGTTCCCACGTATCCCCACGCATATCATGATATCCGAGCAAAAAAAGCACCAGCTGGTACGTCTGGTTGTAAATTGTCTGAACAAAAAAATATCCATGATTACACATTTCACCCCGAGCCCTCCCCAGCATACGAGGACCTCGCTCGATCTGCCCGGCGGTTATTGTACATCCCATTGACCCCCAACTCCAAATCCACGCATACACAACCCAAATGGACCCGGTGGAAGAGAGGACCAACCGACTCATGTTCTTTTTGAGGAGGGATATTCGGAAGCCAAGTGCCGCGGGACATTCGGAAGGGAGTTGTGGGGTTCCTCCCCTCTGTCCTGCTGATCTCTGGCATCGAGAAGGGACTTGTCGAAAAATAAGCGGCGCTGCTGAGCCACGCGCTTAGTACGGGGCATAGCCACGACCACGGCCTCGATATCCACCTCGGTAGCTGCCACGGAAGCCACCACCACCACGGCCACGGCCACCACGGAATCCACCCCGTCCACGACCGCGGGTCATTCCCGGGAGGTTGGTGCGCTTGGGAGTGACCTAGATAAGGAAAGGGTGTAGATGTCAGCTTCAAACGAAACAGCTATGATGTGGATATGGTAATAGAGAGGGTTCAAATTCACCTTCAGGTTGCGGCCACGGAAAACACTCTCGTTCAGAACCAGAGCCTGGGCCACCAGGCTAGGCTCGGCAAATTCGACGTAGGCATAACTGTACGGCCAGATGTCAGCTTCTGCAGTCCCGCATTATGCGTTGTCTCTCTGTCCGTAATATAGAACCCACCCCTTCGGCTGGCCAGTGAATTTGTCCAACAGGATAGTCACTCGGTTGATAGAGCCACAGCTCTGGAAGTGCGCCTGGATTTCTTCCGGCGAGGCACCGTAGTCGACGTTGCCGACAAATATACTCCGAGCATCGATATCCTCTTTGTTCTCCTGGAGACCCTCGGACTGCTGGTCAATTGAGTCTTGCATCTCGCGCAACTTGGCGGCCTCGGATTCCATCTCTGCGACTCGGCGCTTCATCGCGGCAATCTCCTCCTACCAGAAAACCTCAGTCGTTAGTCGTTGGTGTTTCAGGCTCGTCGCAGATCCAGAACAGAGCGGCGTTGCGCTGGATCTTCAGCGGAGTGCCCGTTTCCACTTACCTCATCGTCGCCGCCCTCCACCTGAGGGGGAACCTGCTCCTCCTTGAGCTCGCTGCCATCGGTAGCCATGCTGACAGCGGAAGTATACGGGATGCGTCGACGATCTGCTCGGCGGTAGGAAGCTTCCCGGGTGATGAGGAGCGCAGTCGGAGCTCTGGGGCGGGCCGATCGAGCGAATGTGTTAGGCCGCAGGTGAAGAATATGCTTGGACCAGGGAATGGAAGGGACAGAGGGGGGGCGCCTAGAGCGTGTTAAATAAAGAATTGTCTGACACAAAGAAGATCCATGCAATGGGGATCTTTGCGGGGCGGAGGGAGATGAGGCGCGCGGTGAAATTGAGACTTGGAGGCTTGCCGTTTCGGGACTAGTGCGGTTGGCGTGCGCCCTGGCGAACGCCTGTCCTACGCCTCGTCTGATATCTAACTGTGAAGTTGGGATGATCACCACCATAACAGTATAACTATAAGGAAAATCTCGTGCAATTGAGATTTTGTGGATTTTCCAATTATGGGGACCCTTTTTATCTATTGTCGGTTCAGACGGCTGCCCGCAGGGAGAATAGACTCAAGAGAACTCTGGGCTCCTCAACCTATGGCCAGCTACGAGTATAGCCACAGCTCATGAATATCGAGATGTTATCAATCAAAATAGAAGATAAATCTATAGAGCTGATGTATTGTCCTAGTTCGAGGTATCAGGAAATCGAATTGAAGCATGGAGTCCGAGCGTGCTAGAATCACAACAAGCATAACAAACATGAAAGGCGGTAAGAAGAAGGCTATGTACACGACGCGGAGGGGGGATATGGGAGAATAATATGACGCTATGATCACAAATCAGGAGACCGGCACTGTTGCTGGTGCCGGAGCGTGGTTCTTGCGGAAGGAAACCTTCTCAACCGATACGTTCTCGACTCCATTGGCGTCTGTCTTAAGCTGGTAGACGTATAGCACAAGCACATCACCTTGAATCTGTTGTTGCTGTCAGTCAGTCCTTCCTATCTAGGTCATAAGCAGCACACCAGACTTACGTCCATCAAGCAGAAGCTCGGTGTAGGCTCCTCGCCCTCCGGCCAGAAGCCCGAGCTCATGGCACCAGTCGCGCTGCCTGGATTGATAAAGAAGCGGCCTTCCATCTCAAATGCCTCGAACCGGTGGGTGCCACCCCAAAGCAAAATATCAACGTCCATCTGCCGGGCCGCAATCAGCAGCGCGTCTGCATCGCCGGGTGGGATGATGGTGTGTCCATGGGTAAAACCAATGCGCAGGCTGCCATGGTTCACGACCTTAGAGAGTGGGAGGTTAGGTGAATCGACATCATAGTCACCCTTGACCATCTGCAGGTCCGGGGCGACCTGGCGAAGGAACTCATAAGTGTCGCGGTCGGTCAGGTTGCCCAGGCAGAGGATCTGGCCGATCTTGCCGGGGGTCAGGAGTTTGCGGAACTAGCAAGGACAGCTGGGTTAGCTGGCTGTGAGGCGATTGGCATCAGGGAGGGGGATGTACCTTGGCCGGGAGGTCCTAGGGACGGGTTAGCTGTCATCTCCGGGAACTCTGATATCACGGGGGCCTAGCTTATGGAGTGGACGCACAGGAGCTCGGTCAGGGATGAACAGGTCACCAATGACCAAGACCAGACGGGCGGTCATGCTGGATTGTGGGGCAAGAGGAATTATCGGAAACTCAATGGGCCATTCCAATCCGGGGTCCAAGTAGGTCCAGACAGGAGCAGCGGCGCGATAGCCACTCGACGGGAGCTTCGCGGGGAAGCCACGAGCCACGCTAGCCCTGAGCCCTAATTTAGGCCCGAATCAGGTATGGTGTCATCCGGTGGATGCGCTCCGATCATCGCGAAGCGTCCCGATCTCTGCAGCGAGACATTGGTTCGTCAGGCCGAGTCTCTCGTACGACTGCTGTTCGGTTCGATCAGTCCAATCCAATGGATTGGATTTGTGTGCTCTAATGTCGAAGCTTTCCAGTGCGGAGGTCGCCGTGCCGCTGCACGAAAACTAGTAGGGTGTGAGTAGTAGGGCACGACAGTGTATACGGCGAACCTTATGGGCTGCAGGAGTGCGTCAATAGCAGTGAACGTCATGTCCTCTTCCACTTTTGAGCATCTCGAATACTGTATACACACTGGCCAATGGATAAGAGTGGAATTCGCTATATACATGCTCTTCATGCCCCGTACATATCTCTTTTCTACTCCACTCTACCAAAAGTAAAGAAAAACACGAAATATCTACAAGGAATCAATGACAATTATCTCCAAAAGAACTGAGTACCTCAGATTCACCTCCTCACCGGGTGCCCCTCCTAGAATAGTGTCTACCGCGTAGGGGGTGGCATGTCGAAGTATACCACGAGAATCGCCGGTCTAACGCGACTTGACGGTCGGTAGGGTCCGGCCGTCCGCCTCGGCCGCAGTGAGCCAAAAACTGTTAGGATGGCAAGACCAGCCTGCGTCGTGTCTTCTTAAATATGCCCCCAAGCTCCTCATCTGCAGCTTGATCTCCTCTTGAGCAGCAATCCAGCTTCGCCCCCGTCCCAAGTTGATAGCTCCCCCATACCTGCTAGACATTCCAGACCTTTTCTGCAGCCAATCGCTGTTCTCCCCCTCCCCCCGGTCCCCTACCGGCGGCGATCCCCGAACCTTTTCCCCGAACCTTCCCAGCGTTTCCCTCGGGAATTCACGAGCAGGCCAATCCCTCCTACCAGAATTGACCCCGCGGCACCCCGCCGCGAATCGGAAAAGGTGGCGCCCACATCGACGACGCAACGACTCAGCCTGATCTCCAGACACCTGGACCAGCGCCTGCCGTTGCCCGAGCTCAACACGCCCTTCTCGACCGAGAGAAACTCCCTGGCTCCCGACGACGTCGAATATAAACCCCTTGATCTCTTGATTCCCCCTTCCCCCACTACGTCCAAGTCGCCCACCATGTCTGCCCAAGCCCCTCACAACACCCTGCTCATCCCGGGCCCCATTGAGTTCGACGATGCTGTGCTGCAGTCGATGTCTCATTATGCGTGAGTCACGCCCCCCACCCTATCCCCTGGAGATGTTGGTGTATCAAGATCAATTGGGCTAACAGCTATTCTCTTCAAATGCAGCGAGAGCCACGTCGCCCCCGGCTTCGTCAAGGTCTTCGGCGAGACCTTGACCCTCCTCCGCAAGCTTTTCCAGTCTACCAACCCCTCCGCCCAGCCCTTCCTCATCTCCGGCTCCGGCACCCTAGGCTGGGACCTGGTCTCGGCCAACCTGATTGAGAAGGGCGAGAACGCCCTCGTCCTGAACACTGGCTACTTCGGCGATTCCTTCGGGAACTGCCTGGCGACCTACGGCGCCGAAGTAACGCATCTGCGCGCCGCGATCGGCGAGCGCCCCTCCTTCGAGGAAATCGAGGCCGCGCTGAAGCAGAAGCCCTACAAGCTGCTGACTGTCACGCACGTCGACACCTCAACCGGCGTGCTGAACGATATCAAGCGCGTAACCGAGGTCGTCCGCCGCGTCAGCCCGGACACCCTAGTTGTGGTCGACGGCGTGTGCAGCGTGGGCTCGGAGGAGATCGCCTTCGACGAGTGGGACCTGGATGCGGTGGTGACCGCATCCCAGAAGGCCATTGGTTGCCCGCCCGGCCTGAGCATCGTGTACTGCTCCGGTCGCGCGATTCAGCGCGCGCAGTCGCGCAAGACCCCACCCTCCTCGTACTATGCCTCCATCGCCAACTGGTTGCCCATCATGCAGAACTACGAGGCCTGCAAGCCGTCGTACTTCGCCACCCCACCCACCCAGCTGGTCCACGCCCTGCACACCACTCTCAGCCAGATTACTGCCCGCCCCATGTCCGAGCGCTTCGCCATCCACACCGCGGCCTCGGACAAGGTCAAGGCCGCCATCGCCGAGCTTGGCCTGTCCCAGCTCGCCCCCAAGCCCGAGTGCCAGGCTCACGGCATGACGGCCATGTACCTACCCGACGGTCTGACCCCGCCAGACGTTCTGCCCGGCCTGCTGAAGCGCGGTGTAATCTTCGCAGCTGGTCTGCACAAGGAGATTGCTACTAAGTACATTCGCTTCGGCCACATGGGTGTCAGCATTACGGATCCCAACCGCAAGGATATTGATAACGCCCTGGCGGCGCTGAAGGAGGCTTTGGCTGAGGCTAAGAAGGCGAAGGGTCTGTAAATAGGAGGGATATATACCATGGATTGGCGGACCGTTTTTATTCTAGGTTACCTATCAATAGAATACAATAAACAACTTCACTATAGACAATGGGTCTATGTGGAAACTCAAGTGGTTCTCAGATTTTCTGTGGACTAGACGATGTATACCATGGTCCTTGGCGGCGATGGACGGAGAAAGTAGAGAAGACAAAAACCCTCTGGACTATTGTACAGGCAAAGGCGGCAGCTACCCTGCAATATTAAACCCTGGCTCACTCGAGCAGACTACATCTCTGCACAATAATTCTTTACACTGGGGACATGTCAAGTGGGATCGCCAAAAACATTGCACTATCTCAAATCCGTTCAGTGGGGCGGTTTTTGATTATGAAATGATATTTCTATGAGAAAGACGGTTCCCAAGGTCTCACGTCCGCGTTTTGGATCGTTGTGACCGCCCATGAGCTAATTCTACAGATCAAAAATGGATTCTCGTCTGACCCACAGAAGAATCGTGTACACCAGGGAGCGCATCGGAAATCCAACACTAGACTTGTTATGGCATCTTGTTTGTTCAGGTGTGGCGGAATAGGGTATAGATCCGGTGATATGCCAAAATAAAAATAAGTAATAGAAAACTCACTACGGTTTGATGATCCATAACAGGCCGTAGAAGTCTGTGACTTGGGCAAACTCCCGTTGTAGAAGCTTTGGGAGTGGAAAAGCAAGCATGGCGTTGGTGATTCAATTATTTGCAGCATTCAAGACCGAAAACTACTATTCAAAGGTCTCTCACCTGTAGTTCATTCAACCATTATTTCGTTTTCTTCCATTTTTATACCTTTCGATCCGCTCCCGATGTATCTGGTATTTCCACAACTACCAGGATAATGGTGGGAGTCAACTCAAGAAGCTTGCCAAGATATCCGGCGCCTTCAAGTGTATGTCTACCTGTCTCCCTACACTCTCCAAGCAATTAAACATTATAAGTAGCTGTGGCTTGGTTTAAACCCAGTTTCCTTTTGGACGCAAAAAAAAAGAATAAAGGCCGTAAAAATCCAGATTTCAGAGCCCACCACCCCACTTGAAAAGGTAGGTATGGGAAAATAGGGAACCCACCCTATGGTCCGTTCCAGCCTGATAGCGTCCTCCGCCATACTCCGCAAAAAGCTAATCCTTTGTACTATATAACTAATAAATTTAGTTTCTCGCCCCACCCACTGCTGGTTTAGTCTCCCGGAATCCAACGGCAACTTTGCCCCTCTCAAGATCCCTCCGGAAACCTCTGGTAATAGTACTCCCACACGGTATTCCCCCAAAATATCAGTGGTGTTGCGCTATCCAAGCTTGCTTTCAGACAAGGCCAAAATGCTTTATCTTCCACCTGGATGGTCTGAAGAACAACTCCGGGCTGCTGCAGTGGAAGACCTGCGCCAAATACCAAATACCTAAGATGTAATCAAATAAACAGCCTTTAGCCCTTGAATTAACCTACACATCGGGCTAACATATGGACCCCAATTTTTTGGTTCTTTCTCGGGTATCTTAACATAGACTTGATCCTAGTCGAAAACTTGGGCGTTCGCAAAATCATAGGACCATGAAGGTCAACGATTGGAAGGCGAAAAGCAGGGCCTCCACCCTGCTCCTCCAAAGTTCATCTTTGAAGACCCGGTTGATCCGGCAGTGGAGGTAGTGGAAAGGGCTGGGTTCGATGACGTCGGGTTCATCGTCGAATCGAATCCTCAGATGAGCAACACGAGGAACAATGGCAGAATGATTCTGTCAGAGACAGGTAGATGCGTTGGAAACGGTTAGTGGGGGTAGGAGGCTTGAAAACAAAGTTCTGATGTCGATTTTTTGTGACAGTGATTTGCATTGTGCTGGCCTCGCGATTATCCAAGAGCATGACCATGCTTCCTCACCAGGGTATAGGAGATATACTTTTGAATAGCTGTTGAATTATTTTGCGAAAGGACGTTCATCAGTTTTCGTGAGAATCTCATGAGAATTCAGGCATCCCTCCAGGCTTTCACCGTGGCTGGTGTCTCGTTGTGTACACAGATAATATGGACAGTCTTTCTGAGCCCTGTTGCAGACGAAGAGCCCTACACCTTGGACGATTCGCAACCCTTGTATCAGTATTACGGCCTCGTCAAGGAGCTCCAGTTCGGTCATAATGGGATCACATCAAGGGGTGACCATCCCCTGCCTCTCAAGCCATATTCTGCGCCTTATATTTCATAGAACTATAATTACCAGGGGGGATTTCTACCCAAAATTACCCACTTGGTTGAAACTAAGCATACACCGTCAAGCTAAGCGAATGTACCAAGAAGATTGCGACTCGGCCTGATCATGACTAGTACTATTGGCCCGTCATTTGCTTGAATGATATGGACCTAATCAATATAATTTTCGAAAAATAAGCAGATCATAACGCGGCTTCAACATTTGCAATGGATCTTTACCAGTGCCCTTTAAAAATCTCCGCCAGCCAGTCAGTCCAGCCATCGCTCATGCAGGTTCGACAATCCATTTGACTTAACCCAAGCGTTCGGCAACAAAGAAATTCTGAGGTTGACATTCCCTTAGTTTTCTAGTGGCTTTGTTATTGGCTGATCAGACAGGGGCAAGGATGCTTCGGTGATGAACCCCCCAGACTCCCCGAGGAATGTATGCAGCACATGCAGCCCTCTTCCGCCATGTCTGCTTCAGACTTCAATCGGCCGACGGCCTCGGGAAAGTATGTTTGAAAGTATTTTCCTTATCCTTCGGCTAGATTGGCCCTTTCTACAAAAAGGATTTCCCACTATACTAACTTCCCCAGCCACCCCTGGCAATTCCTTTCCGGTCCTCCAACTCTAATCCGCAAGCACAGGCCTAGTTTATTCACACGTAATTCCCAGCAAGCTCCAGATCCGGAACACCCAAACTAGACAACCATGTGGGCATGCCCCTCTCAGGGGGCCGCCCCTGCTAAAAAGTTGTGCCGAATTGAGCGCAGGGTCGCCTGAAAAGGGAAGCCACACGTTCATGTCCATCGAGGAAGAATGTAATGCATCGCGCTGCCCTTGGAACCATGAACGAAAATGCTATATCATTAGGCTATTCTCTAGACTTGTGCCATTTTTGCATCTTTTGTGTTCTCTCTGGCATCCGCTTCCCACAATCTCATCCAATTATCTATCTATATTTCCCTTTTGCTTCAACTCACGTCAACATGCGCCATATCTCCATCAAGCTCCCCCTCCTCCTCGCTGCCTCGGCTACTATCGCCGTCGGCCAAGAGGCGACGACTACAGGGAGCAGTGCTGTTAAAACAGGCGGTGCGTATAAGTGCGCTGCACAGAAGTAAGCCTTCCTTTCTAGAAGATTGTGTAATAGCTAGATCAGAGGATGCTAATACCAATCAGGGTCGTCGACGAATGTGTCCGGAACATGAAGTTCCAGCTCGAAAACTGCGCCATGTACGACTGGGATTGCCAGTGCACCGGCAGCACTAATGTCGTCGGGTACGTGCCACCCCCACATCTAATGAGATCCCCCCATCTCCATCTCCACTCTCCACTCACCACTCTCTTATCCTGAATCCCAATTGTGTTTCGATCCCCCAAATCATGCAAGACATAACACTAACATACCTTCACCAAACACAGCTGCTACAGCAACTGCCCCGAGAACCCCGACCGCCTCGGCGCCCAGCAAATCCGCGAGCAGAGCTGCGCCAACGCCAAAGCCTACGACACAACAAGCTCCGCTTCCGCCTCTGTAGCCAAAGCTACCGGGATGTCCAGCAGCATGCCCAGCAGCATGTCCGCCAGCTCGTCCGCCTCCGCCGCAGACACCACATACGCGCCTAGCGGGCTGAAGAGTAACAGCGACAGCTCTGACGCTGAGCCGACAAAGTCCCTCAGCGGATTAGAGAAGAATACGAGTCCGTCCGAGGGCGCTGCGGCTGTTCGGGCTGCGGGCGGATGGTTGGCATTTTTAGGGTTGGCATTGGGGGTTATGTTCTAGCCGAAGGGGCTTGCGACGGAGTAATTTAGAATGGGTTTTCAGCATAGCGTTGGTTTAGTACTACCTATTAATCATAATTGAAATCATGCATTTAATTTGGGCTTTTACGTGGATCAGTTGACTGCTTGGCAGTCGCGCTGTCACCCTTCTGTGTCCTTTCGTTCACAAAGCTCTCGCATACATCCAAGAAGGTATCTTCTAATTTGTCCTGGTCCAGGAGTAAAGACTGAATCTGGTTTGCCTGAAGACGATGGCCAGACACAGGAGCGTACGCCATTCGCCGCCTTCCTGCCTGCCTGCCCAGCGCGAAAATACACGGCCGGTAGACTTGCAAGTTGGGCAAGATAATACGGCATGCACAGACATTAGGACAGGTCGAGGGCCATGGCGCCAATCGTGTTGCACAAAAACTATCTTCCTCCTGCTGCTGAGATGGGGGTCGACTGCGACTGGTAGCTCCCCAAGCGACATGAGGCATGCTTGATCGATCAAATTGGCAAATGCAGTAGATGACTTTTGCGAGAAGAAACCTTTTACCGAAAATCTTCATTATTTCCATTGACCCTCACAGGAAGAACTATAACTAGTTGCTGTCTGTAAGGGGTCAAAAAAGCTACACTAGATACCATTTGCAGCATCTCCGTCCCTGTCACTCGATCCGGTGATATATGAGCAGAATATGATGGTCGAAGAGGCTGGCGAATTATCAAGACCCTTGAATGAATGGATGGAGGATATGGTTGGGAATGCCCGTACATAGGACCCAGACGGCTACATAGACGAGCTTTTTCAGCGCATTCCTACCTTATGATCCTACGGAAACCGGAGACCTGGGCAGTCGGGAACAAGAGAGGCAGAGAGGCTGATAAACGGACATCCACATCGCAGTCTGCGTATACATAGAGAAACTATATACAACAAGAAAGATCAACACATATACAAGTTCCACGTCCAAATCCGCATCCATTTTCATTCATAAAGCTCATCACAGAATCAACTTTTACGCAATCTTCCTCCTCTTCGCATTCCTCCCCCTATTGACCGTCGTCTCCTCCGTCTGCTTCGCCCTCTTCTCCTCCTTCTCAGTCTTCGTCTGCTTCTTCACAACAAGCTTGTCTTCACGCGCCGCTGTCTCATCCAATGTGTCTGCTTGCGCCTCCATCTGCAGGATATCCTCCGAGGCTTGGCTGGCGAAGAATCCGGAGACACCGATGTTGGACAGCACGTAGGCGACTTTCTCAATATCGCAATGCGAGATGCGTGACTTGGACTGGGACTCTGCGTCCATGTCACGGTTCAACCTCTCGTGCAGCTCCCAGCTTGCTTCCCAAAGCTTGCGGTACTCGGCGATGGTGTATCTGACATTCAGTTCGCCGTTGGGCTTCCTGAATTTGGAGACTGTCTCCTCTCCCTTCCTCTCTGGTTCGGGGAAATCCTTCAGACATAGCCAGAGGTACACGTCGTCGCTGTAGAACGGCACCTCCTCGCTGGGGTTGCCCTTGGCGGTGGCGATGGAGAGGATGAGCGAGGCGGTGGCTGGGCCGACGCCGCGGACGGGACCGAAGGCGTCGATGCTGGGCTTGGGAAAGGCCTCGTTTGGTGCAAGTATGGGGTCTACTTTTGTGGGGAGAGCAGCGAGGGCAGCGGAGGCGCAACTCAGGACAGTTTTGTTTTGGTTGGCCTTTATCATGCCCATTAGGGTTGGGCGGTAGACGCCGTGTTTCCTGAAGTGGGGTGTGTTAGTTCGTTGGTCCATGCGTGCCGTAGTAATGTAATCTTGAAGTAGTCGAGTAATGGAAAGGCGCAACTTACATCTTCCAGTCCATAACAGTAATCAATTCTTCCTTAGTCAAAAATTCGCTTTCCCCCTTCTCCCGCCGCCGTGCTACGATCCCGGGCATCTTTTCGTACCGCCACTCGTCCAGGGTAAGGAAATTCTCCGTCTCCTCCTTGATATACTTTTCCTCGGAGGGATCAAACTCCGTCTTCTGGAGCAGCATCGCTCCACGAGGATTTGCGAACGCCGAGCCAGCCTTTTTCTCAGCGGTGCGTTTCGAACCTTTGGCCGGTTTGGGCTGCAGCTTGAGCATGGCTTTGCGCCGGCGCACTTGCTCAACTGTTGTCAGGTAGCAAGAGAGCAGGCGTCGGAAGGTGGGGAGCGTGATGCGGTAAGGATGGAAGGTGGATTCTTCGGAGGCGGAGGCATCTGCGACTGCCTGGAGCGAGCTGGACTCTTCTTTCTGCCCGGCCTGAGGGGCGGTTGTGCCGGCGTCCTTGGCCATGGTTGCTTGGAACTGAACGTTTCGAAGGTCAAACAGTCTCCTCGATACTAAGACGTGATGGTGTCGAGCGTAAGGGAAGCTGTAGACACGAAATTGATCGTTGCGCGCAGCTCAGCGGGCCTGGGAAGCTCTATTGCTGAGACTTCCAAGGGTTCGGGTCGTTATGTTGAGACTTGAAGCTCGGGCGTAGTTGGACTTATAGTCCCAAAAAAGCGAGTCGTTCAATTGACCGCGCCACGGTTGCGAGGGAACTGCTAGGTCGGCGCGGGACTCAGTCGGTGCGCGTCGCAGTAAAGAAGCAGATAAGATGGTCGTTATCGCGATAAGCTTGGAGAAATCGATGCAAACGCTGCAAACGCTGACAGAAGAGGAACGGTGAGCTAACTTAACTTTATGAAGTTAGTTAACTACCGAGTCAACCAGCGAACTATCTGTGACATGCAGACATTTTGGCGAAACCTGTCAAGCTTCGTTTTTGGGTTTTCTTGTTTTATCGCTATCGGACAAGACTGGCATATTAAGTAAGAGCTTGATAGGGTCTCCAGTCCATGGAGAATTGGCTTGGTCGCTTTTTAGTGTCATTTCCGGTCTGTCGACTCAAGAGAACGTCAATATGGGTAGAATAGTTCCACTATAACAGTTCTACACTAGCTCCTAGGCCATGTTCATCAGCAGGCAGCAGAGCGAAAGTGGAAAAGTCATGGTAGAAAATCTCTCTTAATTCTATACCTTAAGCCATCGCATTTTTGGGTCTTCTTTCCATCGCGAACTCTTGACAAGAAAGCATGCCTATATACAAAACCAGCCCACCCCAGCCCGATTGCCCAACCTCCCGAACCAGAAACCAAAAACCAAGCCGGCCGTAAAACAGGTCTTCATTAAAAAGAGGACAGAAGGTCACAAAGAAACCAAGAGGGGAAAAAGTGGAGCACACAATATCAAATACAGGCGTATCATGAAGAATAGAGGCAGAGCAGCCAGGAAGGTCATCATCCATTTCTCACACATGGGCTCTTGCCATGCCAGACAGCCACCGTCAAGATGGGGTGTAGCAGGGCAAGACCGAACAATCAACAAGAATTAAAATCAGTGGGGGAATAGGGGGTGTAAATGGGATGTGTTTGAATGGAAAGCTGAGGGGTGGCCGTGGACCTATTACGGTCGTGGTGCACACGCAGCGCAGAGAGGGGGAGTTTCAAAACGACTCGATCATGTTGAACGGTATCGTTGGACAGTGGGCACAGGCGTGTTGGATAGCATCAACGGCTTGACGGTGCAGGCTTCTGCCCATTCGCGCGCTTCATCTTAGCCTCCTCGCTGCTGGGTTGCACAAAGTTCACGTGCTCACCATCCCGTCCGCGATCACCGAATGGCGGAGCCATGGATAGTTTCTTCGAGCGGCTTTGCTTCAGCGGCTTGGACAGCGTGGGTGCGGTCCGGGGTCCGGGATTCGTCAGCGAAGGACCGGGCTTGGCCTCGGCAGCCGCGGCAGACGGCGTACCAGTCCGCTCGTCATCCTCCACTTCGATGTGCCGGAACTCCTGGTCCTCGTCGCCAGCCTCAGAGGAAGTAGGGCTGTCCGAGTCCGAGGCGGCTTCGTAGTCGTCTTCGTCATCGCTGACCAGGCTGGGCGCTTGGTTGGACTCCAGGGTGTTCGGACTCAAATTCGCGGGGTGATCGAAACAATCCGCCTCACGCGGGGTGCCGGTCGGTGAGTGGTGCGCACCACCCTGGAACGAAGACAGATCGAGGAAAGACTGCTGGTGAGGTGGGCGAGATGGAGTCCTGTCCGGCACATCATGGGGACCTCTGTCAAGGCCTTTTCGAGCCTCGGACCGCTGCGAGGCTGCTTGTGCGGCAGGGGTGCGCATGGGCTGGCGAGCAACGGGGGCCCCTTGTTGGGATGGGGTTTGACTGGTCTCCTTGGACGGATGTCCGGATTCGTAATCCGACTCATCATCAGAGAGACCACTCAGATCCACGGGTGTCTTGGCCTCTTCCACAAGCTTGCCCAGGTTCAGACCGAGGCCGCGGTCGCGCATGAGGGCAGACAGATGTGGCATTGCTGGAGAAGCCAGGAAAGACGGGTTACTAGTGGGCTTGACCGGCATCGACCGGCGACCGGGCTGCGGCTGGACAGTCGGAGGTGGGGTGGCAACTGCTGCAGGCACATGGGCGGGGAGAGGTTTCTGAGGGGTGATCGACTCTTTTGAGGGAGTAGGGAGTGGAGCAGAACGAATCAACGGGTGCACGAAGCCAGGGGGCTGGACAGCACTGCTCGTGGACTCGCTGCGACTACCACCGACCACCGCACCGGCCTCGTCGACTTCCACCGGTTCACCCGAGGCCATCGCAGCGGCATCATGGCTGGCGAAGTTGCGGTTGTGCGCGATGCGGCAGTGATTGATGAAACCTTGCGTGCTAGAGAAGTTGTCTCGACGGCAATCGAGGCAAACCAGCTTGACCAAGACCTGATCCGACTTCCGCCGGATCAGCATCGGCCCAGCCTTTTCCTTGACGACAGGGTACCCGTTCGACAAGGACTGCAGCTTCGTTTGCAGCGATGTCCGCGACGGTCGAGTCTTGCCCGCCAGCGAGCTAAAGTCCATCGGGTTCCCACGCGTCGACCGACCTTCGGACAGCGCCAAGCTGCCACCAGAAAACGCGAACGAGCCCATGTCAGCCTCGCCGCCGTCAAAGCGGGGATCCGGTAGAAGCCACCGCGCATAGTGGCGCGCGTAGGGACCATCCGTGACGCCCCAGGGCGCGGGTGAGATCGGTGCTGGGCCATTTCCAGGCAGCAGCACCGAAGCGCCCGTCCCCGCACTCACATCGGCCGACGAGCCGGCAACCGCAGACCCCGGGTAGGGGATCTCGGCGCAGCGTCGAAGCTGTTCTAGCGCAACCTGACATTTAGCAATCTCCTGGTCGATCAACCGTAGCTCGTTGTGCTTGAGGAGGACCTCGAGGCTGAGCTGGGCGGTGATCGTGTCGCGCAGGCGGTTCACGTCTGGGCGCACACTGGCGACCGGCGCCGGCGCCGGCTCTTGCACGGTCGCGACCGGTGAAGGAACGGCGGGCGACGCAGCGGGGGCCGACGCGGGTGCGATGGTCGGCGCAGGCGTAGGCAGGGTCGGAGGCGCGACCGGGTTCTCAGCGCGAAGCTTGGTCGAGGCGGGAGCGTCGGTCACGGTGGAATCGGAGCGTTTGCGCTTCAGCATAGGCGCCAGCGATAGAGCGTTGACGTTGACGTTGACGCCCGGAGCGCAGCTGGCCGGGGCCAGCATCTTGACTTCCTCCGTCATTACCTTGTTCCCTCCGATCGGAGAGGGCCAGGGTAGCAGGCGAAACATGCCATGCGAGGTGGGCAGGCAAACCGGGTTGGGCAGGGATGGGCCGAACGAGGGCGGATTAGTGTCGACAATAGAGGGCCAGGTCCATGCGCGAGGAGTCGGTCGGTCAGACAGATTGGCGAGGGACGGGTGGTTTTGATTGCTGTGACAAAGGGTTTTCTTTTTCTTGGGTGGTGAAAACCGCGTTGTATTACCGGAAGTGGTAAGGTGGTGGGTGCAGAGCGCGTTGTGTGGTGATGGAGAGAGGGGGAAGGAATGGACGTCGACGACGGGGATGTGTCGCGCGACCGTGTCAAGTTGGGCTGGGGAGGTGCCCGGTGGAGTTAGGAAAGCCCGGGTGTGGAGGGGATTACGGAAGATGGTGGCGAAAATCGAAGATCTATTGGTCAGGAGAGGAATAGAAGAAGAGGGAACGAGAAGAAGGAAGAGAAGGAGAGGAGAGACACAGAAGGGCGTAGGAGGGGGGGAGGAAGAAGGTGAGGCAAGGAAGTAGGAGAGTGTGGACAACGGGTGTTGGGTAGAAGGGGTCGAATGGATCGAAGGGGTGGAAGGTGGACGGAACGGGGGAGAGAAAGGGGGGGATCAGGACGAGAGACGCTGACGAGGTGCAGCCGGTCCGGGGTGGAGCCATGAGGTGATTCTATCGGGGACTGAGGACCGGCTAGTTGACTAGTTGGCTACTGGGCCTTTCTGACGTGGAGGACCACCACGAGTTCCGCGACACGTCATGCACTTTCACGATACTTTGAAGAGCATCGCGGAACCTCCCTACTCCCACTATCGCAGTTCACTACCGGCAAGGGATGTCTTGATGCCTACTATGGAGTAATGAATCGACCACCAACACTTGGGGAATGATCTATCACAATGCAATTCATTCCGTCCGGATGCGTGCGGCTCCCGCGTCCAGGCTGCTGGATGTATCCAGTTATCCAGTTATCCAGTGATCCAATGGACCATGATCCATGATCCAACGATCCCGGATCCAATGATCCAGTAACGATCTCCCCCCATCTCCACCGGACGCTTTCCTGGCCCCAAGACCTGCCAAGGATAAGGTGTGGTCTGGGCCTGACCTCGGCGATCCCCGCCCCTGATTGGAGGTGCTCTTGTCTACGCCCAATGAGCTAGCGGTGCTCCTCTGCCGTGCGGGAGAATCCCTCGCAAATCAGATACTGCCAGGCCGACCGGGGCGTGGAGAGGTTTCATCGTTGTCTCATGGTGAATGGACGTCCACGGAGTACGAATAGTGCGTGCACGGAGCTGTTGGGCGCTCCGATCAGTCCAACTCCATCCATCCACTCAGAACCTTGGTCGGGGTCTGATGGAGCCTGGAGGAAAGCCTGCGAACCACATGGAATCAGGTCGAATGCGCTGGACCCTGACGCCGAGTCAAGGAGCCCTCTCTGTGCAGGTGGCCAGTGCTCAGGCTGGACCTGGTTCTCGGCCACCACCGGAGACTTGCTGACATGCTGACTGTGCACTTACTGGAGCTCTCCCCGGAGAGATTGAGATTAGATAGCGGGTAGATTTGCCAGATCGACAGCCGAGTTACAAGATCAACCCACCTCCGCCTCCCTTCCTGTACCCCAGCAGCTCCCACTCATTCCCATAGACATACAGCATTTGAGGTGGCCCACTGTTTCGATATATCTCTCTGCGTCGACCAATCCCCAAACTCCTAGGCCAGCAGGAGCAACACCATGCATACTATGCACCTAGCACCGAAGTGTTCACTCAGGGAATGCCCACCATGAGCCTCATAACAACACTGGCAACTGACAGAAAGAATCCGTTCTATGGGATCCCTACCTCCCGGCGCTTAGGGTTGTGGGTCGTGAGTCTCCGGTTAACCTGCCGCCATCGGGCTGTCTGGGGAATTGACGGACCCCAGGCCCACGATTCAAACACTCCTTGCAGAGCTGTACGGCATCATGTCACTTGCAACCCTCGTTAAAGTGGATGTAAATACCGCCCATGCCAACCACCAAGCGACTCCCGATCTCGCATAGCCACTTTCAGCACATCACTCGCTTCAATTTAAACCCCCTCTCGGAGTTCCCGACCCCCTCGGCTGTTCCCATCCACCAACATCCACCTCCCCCGTTGCCCGTGCTGTCGCTTCTGGGATCTCCGAGCGAATCAGCCACGCCCTAGTGAAGATATAGCATATAGCCGGTCCTCCACAGACCGTGCCCACGCCGTGCCCGCTAGCTACTCTTCCCGCCGAGTGAATGCAGCTCTCGCACGTACTCCTTTGGGAAGCTGGAATTTCCGAGGCCGCCATATTGTCTCCGCCTTTGCGGAGAATCTGGGGATGATGGGCCGGGATGTGGTACTAGTTCGGCCAGTTTCATCTGCCGAACGGACTCATAAGGGAGTAGTATAAAAGGGTCAATATGCAGGGCATGGCCATGGCTGGAAAACAGCCTACTTTGTCCAGGAGATACAGCTCGAACCTCCCAGCACGCCCGTGTGAGACCACTTCGGTGTACACAATATGCACGATATGCGCGCCTTCAGCCTCCTCGCCATCCTATCCTCCCTCCACCCCTCCACCTCCTCGCCCGTCTCCTCCGCCCCGCACTCCCAATCGCTAGATAGCAATGCCCACGACAAGGCCTATACCAATTGGCGCACCTTGACCGGGCACGGCGTCAACCTAGGCGGCTGGCTAGAACAAGAATCCACCATCGACACCGCCTGGTGGTCCACCGTCGCGGGCAACGCCTCAGACGAATGGACCATCTGCGCCAACCTAGGTCCCTCCTGCGCCCCCGTCTTCGAACGCCGCTACGCAACCTACATCACACGCGCTGACATCGACACCCTCGCCGGCGCCGGCGTCTCCATCCTCCGCATCCCAACCACCTACGCCGCCTGGGTCCGCGTGCCGGGCTCCCAGCTCTACGCCGGAAACCAGCAAGCGCACTTGCGCCGCATCGCCGAGTACGCCATTGCCACGCACGGCATGCACGTCGTCATCGACATCCACTCTCTCCCCGGCGGCACCAACGGGCTCGACATCGGCGAAGCCGTCGGCCACCGCGGCTGGTGGCACAACGAGACGGCGCTGGAGTGGTCACTACGCGCCGTCGACGCGCTCATCGCCTTCGTCCAGGCCTCGCCCCACGCGCACCGCTACACCATCGAGCCGATCAACGAGCCGGCCGATAACCCGGATTTCGCCGCATTCGGCACCCCGGCCGCGCTGTCGGAGGCGGGCGCCGCCTGGCTGCTGAAGTATTTCCGGGCGGTGATTCAGCGCGTGGAGGCGGTGAACCCGCGCATCCCCGTGATGTTGCAGGGCAGCTTTAAGACCGAGTCGTACTGGGCGCCGCACTTTGACGCCGGGGCCAATATCGTCTTCGATTTGCACCATTATTACTGGCAGTATGCGAACTCGACGAGTGCCAATTTGCCTGCGTTCTTGTGTGCGGATGCACGGGCGTCGGCGGGCGATGGCAAGTTCCCTACGTTTGTGGGCGAGTGGGCGATGGAGACTGGCAAGGCGAATGACTTGACGCTGCGGACGAGGAATCTGGTGGCCGGGTTGTCGGCGTTTGCGCAGTTTACGCGTGGGAGCGCGTATTGGAATGCGAAGTTTGAGAGTAACGTGAGTGTGGCGGGGCAGGAGGGGGTCAGGGGGGTCAAGCAGGATTATTGGAATTTTGAGGCGTTGATTCGCCATGGGTTGCCGGAGGGGGATGTTCAGGTCAAGGCCTATTGTCAGTAGAAAGGTGAGGGTGTTAGGGAATGTGATACCCTGCAATTGGCCGAGCCCTGAAGCGCGGGGTTGCAGGGAGATGGTTACACTTGCTGGTTAGCTATCACGGCAACATTGAATGCTAATAGGAGGAGAAAAGCTGTGAGCGGCATCAGCCAATTCAATTGGAACATATGGGCGGAACGAGCTTAGTGACACATCGCATCCAATGAAACAAGTGAGCTCCAGAGGCGCAGGAACCAGAGCGCCGGAAACCCCACCCCCCTCCTCCTCCCTCCTCCCGGTGTGGATAGACGAACATCATAGACAACAATAGTAGCAGACAGCATAACAAGGAGATGGCCGTGAGCAGCACGGCATGATAAGGCAAACGAAGAAATCCCAATCACGCAATAAAGGGGGAAACGAAAATGTAAACGCTAGGCAGAGCGAGGTGAGGCGAGATCAAAGAATAGACCTGTAGTGATATCGGGTGCAGGAGATCAGTCATAGACAAAACAAGACCAGCGGATGAGCATGGCAATTGCAACAGCTACAGCAACAGCAACAGCAACAGCAACAGTGGCAGCAACAGTGGCAGCAACAGCTTAACCTTGGTTAAAGCTCAGTTGAGCTGAGTGTCGCGGATACGCAGGATAAAGTTGACAACGACAGCCGCCAACAAGGCAATCGCGAGGATCGTCGGCCCAAATCGGTCGTCGAAGCCGCTCTGTCCGCGCCGCCGGATACTCTGCGCCCGCCAGTGGAACGTCACTACCGCGTAGATCATGGCCGCCATAGCAATGATGGTGAACAGCCCCGCGGAGATACGGCCGATGCGGTCGCCAAAGTTGAGAAGGCCCACGGCCAGACCACCCAGGATCACGGTGAAGTTCAGCCATGACAGGAAGGTACGCTCGTTGGCGAAGAAGACCTTGGGCTCGACGCGGGTGGGCAGGGCGATGCGCTTGCCTGGGACGGGTGTTGTTAGCAAGGTGGGGATCTTTTGTCTTTCTTTCTGAGAGATAGAGAGAGAGGGGGGGGGGCAATTGGGGGTTGAACTGTGCTGGGAAATGCAGGGGTAGAGCTTACCCGGGGCAGTTTGGAGGAGAGGCTGGCTCGACATGATGCTGGCGAGGGTTGAGGTTGGAGGCGAAAACCGGAATCGGCGACTTTCGCAATTGAGGTTGCAACGGAGATTGGATACCACGAGCGGGAAGACGAGCGCACAGATGAGGGTGTCAGAGTCGTGTCGAGGGTGAAGCTAAGGCAGATTTTTTTTTGCAGCTCTTGGGATTATCAGACAGTTGAGGTGAGGTGGACAGTCGAGAAAAGAAGTGCTCGAGTAGCTTTCGGGCGCAGCTGCTCTCCGCCCAATGACGAGAGAAGTCGGGGGGTAGTCGAGAGTTGGCGCTAATCAGACGACGCTACACCCATTTAGGCCTAGTGCGGTGCAGCCCGACCGGTGGACGAAGCACGTGTTTCGTCCATTTGCTGCTGTACCACGCACTCTTGATGACAACTCGGACGTTCCAAAGTGTGGTCGCGGAAACTCTATTACGAACACCTACAATTGACTCTCCGTTTCTTCCACCTGAATCCGCCCTAGCCACCCTTCATTCGTTTCTGTTGGCTAAACGATTCCATCATTCTCTCCGGTCCTTTCTCGTCCTTTTGCGGATCCGCAGCGTGCTCGTCCCATGCCGTTCGTTCGACGAGATTGGTCAATTGGCCCGCAAAAGCTTTCAGGCAGTTATTTAGACTCGAAACTAGCTCGAACCAATCGGAGAGACCACGGCTAAAACGAGCCCTCTGCGAAGGCAAAAGCAACTCTTGAGCCACTACGGCGGACTTGCCGGCTAGGAAGAAAATTCAGCCCCAAACCCTACCACCGGATCGGCCATTTTTAACCAATAGCTTCATTTTACCTTGCGACGCGCCATAAGGCTGAGCCACGCCCTATCGGATGATTCCCATCACCCGCTGGGCGTTGCTTATCTTCTCTTGTGCTATGGACGGAGGACGCCGTACGTTCTCCCCTCGAGGTCCCCGTCCCCTCCACCCGTCTGGGCATTGCTTGTCTTCACTTGCCTTGTGCATTGAGTACAGTCTCCCACCCCCAGAAGGAGCGACAGTAAGACAGCCCGCAGCCCGCCCAATCATCCTGCTCTCAATTGAACCCCACCAGCCGGAGGATGGGTCTGAGACACTCCCCGGCCGCGTCGCTTTCGGTTAACGCGCCGCATCGAGCGAAAGTTGTCGGGTGGGGAGTTTTTCTGTGTGCGGTCAGCTGGTAGTTCACATAAACAAGCTGGTTCCCAGCCGGCTCCTACAGGCGCTCGCACACACAGGGCTGGAACTAGGTATGCCGCAGGCCGTTCGTATATGTAGGTTGTACATTGGGCATTAGCTGATTTACACTTGGGGCACTGTAGAGTTACGGGATCGGTTGAGGCTGTGCAGCCTGGCGATCGATGTTCAGAGTCGCAGATCCACCTGTGTGGAGCATCGGCACCGCCGTGAGATGGCTCTAGGCCTTTGTATAGTGGCCTCGCTTCGACTACCCTGCCAGCACCGTAAATACTAGGCTTGCCACGCCGGTAGGAACTGAAAGGCTCCTCCGTACAGGCCCGCAAGAACCAGAATCATACTCCAGTTTCTTTTCCAATTTTTTTCCAATTTTTTCCATGCTAAATGCTACCAACTTCATTGACCAGCGAAAATTGGCTCTCCCTGGCTCAAGCCGTGCTCTCCACCCGGCAATCACCGTCCCCACAATTAGTTGTTACGGTCACGAGCCCTCTTTCCCAAACTGGCTAACAAACCGAAACCGAGGGCGGACAGACAACACAGCACGCCCGTACATGACTCAGCTTAAGCCATCGCCTCCTTGAGAGGCGCAAAGTCCCAGTCTTCCTTGATCAGATCCGCCGCCTTCTCCGCCACCGCGTACACGCTGCTGACAATGTTCCCGCTCACGTTGTTCGGGAAGATCGAGGCGTCTGCCACACGCAGGCCTTCCACCCCCTTGACACGCAGCCGTGAGTCCAGCGCGTCGCCCATTGCGACCGAGCCGCAGATGTGGTACTCACCGAGCACGGCGTCGTGCACCGCCTCCTTGGCTGCGGAGAGGTTGGCCAGGTCCACAGTTGGTTCCGGGAATGCGCGGTCCGTCAGGGTCGAGTTGACGTGTGCCGATTGCCGGACTTTGTCGACCCAGCGGAAACCTGCGCCCAGAAGAGCGATGTCCGCGTCGTGGCCGCCGTAGTTGGGTTGAATGACGGGGGGTTTGGTAGGGTCTGCCGTGCATGGAATGTTAGTTTCCTCTATCCTTCCGTCTGGTGCGTACTGTTGGGCTGGGGGACATACCGGCACTTTCAATGTGCACATAGCCCCGGGCTACCGGGTACTGCAGACAGATCGCAAAGCTCACACCAGCAGGCCTGTCGGGGGAAGCTGGCGGGAAGATGTGTCGCTGGTGCTCGATACCATCGATATTGGCCGTCGCAGGAATCAGGACCATCTGGAGGTTAGCAGAGACGTCGCTCTCGATGTGAGTGATGATCTGCTTGAGCTGCCTCTCGTGGAACTGGCTCGTCGGCTTGATATCCCGGATACTCTGGACCACAGCCTCGATCTCGGCGTCGGACATGACCGACTTTGCGGGGAAGAAGCCCTGCATGGTGGACGTGCAGCTCAGCGGTCCACCGCTGGACTCGACGTACTGCTTCTGCGCGTTCTGCATTATCTCGGGGTTCTGGTAGAAGGTGTCCAGAGTAACGGTGCCGGGCTTGGTCTCGTAGACGGCCAGTGTGATGGAGTGGTCCTGGAGATTTGCGCCGACGGCAGGATTCACAATCTTGCACGGCACACCTGCGGCTTCGAGTACAGCAGGGTCGCCGATACCCGAGAGCTCGAGGATCTGCGGTGACTTGATGGTTCCGCCGCAGACGATCACCTCGCGTCGCGCGGAAACCTCGTAGTCCTTGCCATCGTGCGAGATGCTGACGCCGGTGGCTTTGTTGCCGTCCAGAACGACCTTGTTCACTAGCGTCGAACAGAGTACTTTCAGGTTCGGTCTGGCCTTGTTAGCCTCGTAGTAGCCGCGTGCGGCGTAGCTACGCTTGCCCTTGTTGGGACCGGTCCGGATGATGGAGCCCAGACTGTGGAAGAAGCCGATGTGGTCGCCGCTCCAGGGGTCGGTGGGCTTCTTTGTGATTCCCGTGGCTTCATCGCACGCTTTGATGATATCATTCTCTATGGGAAGAATTGAGTCGTTGAAGCTCGTTCGGACGGGGCCGCTTGTGCCGTGAAACTCGCCGACCACCGGCATCGTCGAGCGATCATTGATTGCGGCATCGTAAGGCTCGAGAGTCTGGTCAAATGATATCAGTTGGGACGATACGGCATAATAGGGGGGGGGGGGAACGGCTTACCTGGTGCTTGCGCATATAATGCTGCATTATATCCGCAGACCAGCCCTCGTCCTCCGCCAGCTCAGCCCAGTCGTCATAGTCCTGTAGCGAGCCCCGGACATACATCATATAGTTAATGCCACTAGAGCCGCCAAGCAGCTTGCCGCGGGGAATATGGTGAACTCGGCCTCGATTGCCTTCCTGTAGAGCCAACCTTAGTGAGTCTCTGAAACGAACGGCGTGTTCCATAGATGGGCTTACCTGTGGTGCCGTGTACATACACCAATCATACTCGGGATCCTCAAACATTTGGAAGAACGCCGCGGGTGTATCCACCAAAGGATCACCAATACGATACTTTCCAGCTTCAACGATTCCGACCTTTACATCGGGATTCTCGCTCAGGCGTGCCGCGATAGCACACCCCGCAGTCCCGCCACCGCAGATGATGTAGTCGAAAGAGGTACTAGTAAACTCCTCGACAGAGCAAGTAGGCGACTCAACGCCCTGCACGGCACCCGGTGCCGCCATTGTATCGAGTATATTTCGTGTATTTCCAAAATGTGAAGGTACGGAAGAAAAAGGCCGGTGAGATGGAGAGTAGGAAGTGCAGTGGCAAAGCGGGATTTCCCAGCTATTTCTACATTACTCTCATCTCGCCTGTGCAACCTGAGCTCTCAACCGGGGCGGAGTTGGCTCCCGGTGCGGGGGGAAAGTCAAATGGGCCCCAGACCACCTAGACCCGTCATTGTTGGCTTGTCAGAAGCTGGGGAGGCCTTATTCTGTCGATATTCCCTCCTCATTGGTGGTCTGTTGAAGCTATTTGCGGCACTCCCGGCACTTCCCCGCACCGCCGGCCCTCGGCAACGTCGGGGCGGGCAGATCTGGAGCTGAACAGCTGACCTCGGGATTGCGGGGAAAGTCAAAAATAGATCCTCACTTTTACGAGAGCGTGTTGTAAATGGGGTTTGAATCTGTGAACATTCGCAGATACAATATTATAGATTGGCAGCGGGGATGCCACCACCCGAAGGGCCGATGTGGGAAACCCCTGCATGCCATACGTAGCCCGGTGTTATTCAATTTGACAATAAAAAACCATGCCATCGATCACCCAATTTTGTATGTCGCTCTGGCTACACCAGGAAACTACTGGAGGTGCATGATGTTGTACCTGAAGAATTGATGTCAGCTGCGGTGGGTGATCACCATGGATAGAATAATTCCTATTTGGTCGTAGCTATCATGCCGTTATGCCTGCTTCATTGATTAGTAGAATCAAGTTATGTTCAGAGTTTTACAACAGGTACATAGACGCAGAGCACCCCCAGTATACCTTCTTGGCGCTCGTAGGTTTTCTGGGGCAACATCATGACCGTCACAGCATGATTGTATACCGTCTCCGGACGACTGCGCGCCGCCCTGACTCTGGTCCGTAGCAGATGGTCAAGGGCATATAAAGCAGCAAACATATGCATCCCAGTGAATCATTTGCGGGAACTTACGAGGGAGAGTGACGAGAGCAGCATCTCCGACGAGCGCAAGCTTGAAGATAGCATCCTCAGCAATGCGAGAAAATTCTTGAATATCAAGATGGGAAACCCTTGTATCTTTGTAGCAGCTGCTCCTGGCTTGCGGTGTCCAGCCAAGGTGAGTCCTTGCCGTTTTGTTCCTCCTCAGACGGATAGATGCTAGGCAGTTGAGCAAATCACGCCACGGCCGGTGTGAACCACAAGGCACATGTCCTCGGAAGTAAATGTGTGAGCACCATCCAATACTTCTCCCAATTTTAGACTTCACTGACGAGTCGCACTTTGCGATAATTCCAAAGCATACCCCATTTGGCATTTGAAACCCCCACCCCCAATTCTCTCCATATTGTATCACTGACTGCGGGTTTCCAAATCAAGTCGTCATCCTCGATGAGCAAAAGCGAATGCTACCATGACAGGTGATGTTCCATACTCAGGTCTAAGCAATGGGCTAAATCTCGGTAATCTCTCTAAATAAGCTATATCCCGGCCATTGAGGTCGCAATGGCATCCAAGATCATCTGTCTCGGTAATGGAGGGCAGGAATGATATCGTTCCTTTAACGCAATTCCTCCATTCGAATCTTCCATAAGCCGGCCAGTTCTATATCTCGCATGCAATAGACCTTCGCCCACAAATCAACTGACGAGCTCATCGTATCAGGGAAAGAGTTTAAACCAAATCTCAAGAACACAAATCCTTTTGATTGGGCTGGTTCGTAGGCGTGGATGATATTAGAAGCGGTATTCAGCGTTGTTTGCATAGCACTCATTGGCTTGAGTTGTGACAACCGGAGGTCATGCAGGTAACTGGGGAAACCTCCGGTATGGAAACTCTCGTCGTTGTTTGATGGCCGGGTTGTTATGCCGATCGCCACTGCATCGGGCGCAATTTTCCTCCGTGCCTAGCAATCGTCAAAAGTAGTAAGAACTAAAACCTCTTATAGAAAGGCTCGGTGCTGTCTTTGATTAGACGTCAACTCCATACCAGTATCAGCTAAGAACTAACCATTTTACATTACGTGAATGAAACCCTCCGATTTGCCAAGTACTGTAGAAAGGCCTCAGAGAACGGTCGTGTGTGTTCAGCACTAGATTTTAATTCAATGAACCTCCTCGTTAATTTAGCCTTTAGCCCGCTTAAACCCACCATACCTAAATTTGACGGCGTACACGATGTTCATTTGGATCTTCAAATCGGAACAGTTGATGTGGGGATACCTCTCCCAGCTCCGATAAAGCGTCTGAGCAAATTTTGTATTGATTCTCCACAGCATACCCTCTCATATTTCACTGGATTCATGTTCGAGATCATGACTGTCGGTCGGAAGATCTAATCTCAGATCAAAATCTGCGGCCCCGAACCCGGCCCCACACAAGCGAGGCTCGGGTAGGGCAAAAAATTCCAAAGTTCCAACCGTGGGCGGCAACCGACAATAAGGTTGTTTTGCTACATGGTTATAGTATTTTGGAGCCCCTCCTACAGCCGCATGGAAAATAAGGCTAGTTCAAAAGCTTCAGACCTCCAGTTTTTTATTTGTCATAGCTCTATTGGCTTTTGAGCACTGCATGGTACCCCGAAAGAACACTAGAGTCTCAAACCGGGGAAAACAATTTCCCCGAGATTCTTTGGACTTGGCATCTCGTAACAGCTTCAACTCTTTTTTTCACCGATGAATCACGCCATGGCCCCACTTGATATTGTTCTGTAAATTTTCCCTAGCATTCGTGTAGTCGCGCTGTTTCTTTCCATGACTTTTTTTAAAAGTCTTGCTCACTCTTTGCGGGTAGAATCTTTCGGCTACCGTGGTCCGTCGACGTCATTGCGATAATGGCTGCCCAAGCTTTACACCCGGATGCAGAGGATAAGCATGGCTCTCACTCAGTGGTCGAGTCATCTCAACCTAGTACCCGTTTTTCGTTTTTTCGGTCAATTCCCTTTCAGATCGCTATTGCTAGCGCCGTTTCTTTCACTGCTCCAGGCATGTGGGATGCCCTGAACAACCTGGGAGCAGGTGGTGCAGCAGAACCGTATGCTGTGTCGGCGGCAAATGCTCTGGTCTATGGATTGTTCGCGATCGTGTGTGTCGCAGCGGGAGCTATCAACAACCGCATCGGCCTCCGTTATGGTCTAACACTCGGAGCTATTGGTTACCCCATCTATGGTGCTGGCCTTTACACAAACAACAATTCGGCCAACACGTGGTTCATGCTCTTCGGCAGTGCTCTTTGTGGTATCTCTGCTGGTTTCTTCTGGGCAGCAGAGGCTGCAATTATTATTGGATACCCTAGCCCTCACGAGCGTGCATTTTACCTTGGTACGTTTTCTCAATAATCCAAACTTTCCGAGGAAGTAATATCACAGCGTTTGGAAACGCGATGCTAACATCTTCAAATAGCCATCTGGCAAACCGCAAAGGCCGCCGGGCCAATTGTGGGAGGTGCAATCAACTTGGGCCTCAATGCACAGACTTCTACCTCAGGATCCGTCAGCTCCAGTACTTACATCGTGTTCATTGTCATCATGTGCCTTGGACTTCCTATCGCGCTCTTTCTCAGTCCAGCTGAGAAGGTGCAGCGCAAGGACCGAACTTTGGTGCTTGTGCATAAGCAAGCCTCCTGGGCTGCTGAATTCAAGGCAGCTATTTCGTTGATTGCTAGTCGTCGCGTCCTGCTTCTCCTTCCCGCCTTTTTCATCAGCTACTTCTACAATGGCTTCCTCAGCACGTGGCTCACCACCTACTTCACCGTTCGAGCTCGCGCATTCTCCTCCTTCTTCACCAACTTCGCCGGCATTGCCTCGTCATTTATCATTGCTGGTCTCCTCGATCGGCAAGGTATTCACATCAAGACCCGCGCCAAGATTGCCTTCATTTCTATCGTGGTCCTTCTGACGGGCACCTGGATTTGGGCTTCTATTCTCCAAAATCAATTCTACAATGCTCCCGAGTCCCCCGTTTTTGACTGGTTCAAGGGTGGGTTCGGAAAGTCATACGCTCTCGTCTTCTTCTGGACCTTCGGCGGCCAGGCATTTCAACAGTTCCTTTACTGGCTCATTGGTCAATACAGTACCGATATCTCGTCGCTGTCCTATCACTGTGGTATTCTCAGAGGGTTCGAGGCTCTGGGTCAAACCGTTGCCTGGGCCATGCAGTCGGAAGGTGGTGCCAATCACTTTGTCAGCATTGGCCTCAACTTCGGAATTACCCTTCTCAGCGTTATTCCAACTTGGATCGTTTTGTCTGAGCTTGAACACAGCCATGAGGTTCAAGTAAGCGCAGACTATGTAACATCCAAGATCCAAGATGAGACACAAGCTTGAGATATCTATTTACAGGCGGATATTGCATGATTGCACATGAGCGAAGAGCATTTATATAATTTCAACATAATTAATGAACGTATTCAACATAATAATGCATCTCCCCGGCCCGTCAAGGGAATTCATAATACTTTCTACACAGTGTTGAGCAGTCTAGAATGTTTACTTGTTGATAGAGTGCTTTAAGTAGTCTTGTCGAGTGAGAATTCAAGGTACTATCATCTAGGGATGGCCTTGGGCTGCAGTTTATAATAAACAAGCACCTTCCACGTCCGGCCCGAATGGATTAGAGCCTCGTTGAGCCCGTTGATAATTTCCACAAATATTAGCATAGATCCCTCACAGTTAACCCCAGCTAACTTTCCAGGGAAATAACGCTTCGCAGGTCACCGTCGGATGACTTCCATCGGCCACTTCATCAATTGCGCGAGTCTTTCATCCCCAAGACCGACAACAAGAGTATTTATTTTGTGAACTTCGATATCACAAGTCTTACCAAAATACCAAATATCTTCGAGAATAGCGATAGTCAAGTAGAGGTGTGCCAGGATGGTCAAGGTAACTCCATACAGACTGTTAGAATTCCTGTGGGAGTCAAGAGAAGATATAAACTCCTCAGGAAGAAGATGAGGCCATGATGACAACGCTGCATCTTCAAGGTCGGCCTGAATCTCGAGGTCGGATGAAGGCTGAGGATCTAACCTCTTCATCTGCAGAACATACAAGATCCTCATATAGATATTCTCCACCACGTCTATTGCCCGGTTGTGCGCGTCAAGCAAGGAAGCAATGGGGCCATTTGGGCTTTGGCAAGAGTTGGGGGTTGCAGTCGATGGCGGATCATCACAGCCTTCTTCAGAACTTCTGGCTGAGCTTATGTCTGCAAAAAGGTCCCGTAGACCTGAGACGGCACAAGAAGCTCCTGCTGCGAATCCTTGAAGCCTCTTTGATCGAATATCTCCATTTGCGGTGATGTTTGTACACAAGTCCTTTTTAAAGGCCTTCCAATCTTCGTTGGAATTATTGTGGAACAGCAGAGACCTAAGTCGGCTCTTTCTCAAGACCCACCAAAATTGTTCTGTGATCGATGTGACGCCGCGTACAAGACGAAGCCATTGTACCTGGGGGGTCTCGAGGTCGGGATGAAGATGCAGCGGTGATATACCGACGTTTGAGGACTCCTGAAGTATGCCGATCGATGGATCTAGGTCTTTTACTCCAAGAGATGCAAAAGCAAACCCGACTACCAGCATTGACCCAGCCAGTAAGGCTTCCGCGTCTGGTTCAGTGGTCGCACACAGCTCTTCCTGCAGTCCAGCCAGCCCTTGTTGGTGGTGTTCCACAATTAACTGAATCTGAGATGCACTTCGGGGCGCAAAGGTTCCAGAAGAACCTAGGATATGTTGGTTGCGTCTATTTTGAGTATTCAAAATATCTAGGCCAGCCAATGCTAAGACCAAGTGCATCAGAAACTCGTTGGCCGAAGCCATTTCAGAAATGACACACTCCCAGACCACTGTTTTGGCCTGGTTTAAAGTCATTTTCTTTGAGGTATGCAAAATATAATGTTGGAGGAGGTTTAGATCATTCATGTTGAGGCTGCTTTTCGACCGGTCGCTATCATTGTGCGGTGTTCCAATTGAGGCCACATGGAAGGTCAACGGGCGCAAAGAGACTTCCCTTGTGTCTTCGCCCGGTCCAAGATCAGCTTGTTCAGACGACGGTGTCTCGAGATGGAAGGGAGGCCGTCTTTGATGCAGGTCACGTGTACCTCCTGGATTTGGGAAGACACAATCGTCACCTCGGACACGACAAGCACTGCACGTTGGGCGTTCTTCATCGCACTGGCCGTGTCAGCTATATATAACTAATGATATAAGCTCCAGAGGCTCCGATACCTTCACACGACGCTGCTTGCAGGTATAGCAGCCATTGCGGGACTTGGTGTGACTGATTCTTTGCTTTGGGCGAAAGCGCGATCGTGCTGCGGTACGCGATGAGTCCGCTTGCATCGGGTGTGGCGTCATGATCAATGGTAAGAAATTGACATAACCGTATCAATTCATGGCATGTCCTTCAAACTGTTCTATGGGTGGTCGGTGAAAGTCTGGCGCGGGCAATTCAGGAGGAAATTCAAATGAGGTAAAAGCGAAGGCGGCTTAAAGTTTCACGACCCTTCGGTAGTACTGCCAACTATCTTTCACGGATTGGACTCCTCTCGGAAACGTTTAAAACATTAGGATCTACTTTTCACGCTAACTCCTAGATTTATTTTCAGATTGAGAAAGCATATAAAGTCACTCTACTGCAATAAGGTCTAAATACAATGGCCCCGTGGAACAGTGTACCGCCATAACAACATTCCAGTTTAGTTTTAAGCCTCCGAAGCGTTCGTGGTCTGGATTACACTGTCCGCATTTGTTGGCATCAGTCGAAGCTCGCTATCTCTTTTGCTTCGAACTCGGTCTAGAAAAGATCCAGGGTAAGTGACCGCCAGCACAACACCTGCCAATGCCATGAGACAAGCGTCAAAAATATATAGCAGATACTCTCTTCTCATGATAAACCCATCATTGCCCTGAACAAATTCAGCGACTCGGAAGATCGATCGCACCAGAATGAGCAAACAAGCAGCATAAAGAGCCCACATTATAGATTCCCAGCTCCTGCTCATGATCGGAGAATTTGAATGTAGCGTTGGAGAGGGGAAGCTAGTTTGCGACTTCTTTACGCGCCAGTGGAATATTGCGGATACAACAACGAAGAACCCGAAGAAAAGCAGTTGGACGGCAAGACCACCAATAACAATATTGGCGCCGATGTTCAACGCAGAAATCGTTCCAGCGGCCATATAGCCACCACCTGGTCAAAGTTAGCTGCCTAAAGTTGTAGAATGATAGGTCTTAGGGGTAGAGGACATACCTCCGCATTGAAGAAGGAAGGAAATCACATCTCCCACAACAAATACCTTCGTCAAGAAGCGAACTGGCACAATTGATTTCCTGTGTTGATCCAAAACGACAATAACCCTACCTAGAGTCATATAGATTGAGGCGGCGAAAAGCGGTGGCGCCACCAGAATGAGCATGGTCTGTACAATATATGGGCCGATCGCATTGGTGTCAAAGTGGGAAAAAATGCGAGCGATGTAGCCAGCAAACTCGACTGTTGCAGTCCAGATTCTTGATTAGCGCGCTAGACCAGCTGTAAATCATTGGGAAATATTCTCACAAAGCAGGCCGATGATAAACGGGACAAAGAAATGCGTGCGATATCGCCACAGCCGAATACAGTGCAGAATAGTCAAAACCATGAAAACCGCTGCAAATATTGCCGCCGCCGGAATTGAAGGTATATAGCGGTAGAGTGCGAAGTCAATTGCTCCATTGTTGCTGGCGGTGCTCATAGTAGGCAGTTTGTATTAAGCAGTGCAAGTCAAGTAGTGGGGGCGCGGGTAGGTGAGATGAGAACAATCGCTGGCTTTATATATTAATTTTGAAAATAGGCTATGCAGAAAGCTCGACTTGAATTTCCCTCTCTTCTGTCGGACTTTGAAGCATCTTGTGCGAGAATGCGAGAATGCGAGAATACGAGAATACGAGCGGGTAAATACGAAAGTACGAGTGGGGGTGGACTAAAACTTTAAAGCTGCTAAAGCTAGAAGTGGGTACGGAGGTTGAAACCCACTTAGAATCGATGAAATATCTTACATGATACTTATTACTTATATTCTGTCTACGCCTTTATGTTTATAGTTAGATACTTATATGCTTTTCGATTGGGGACCTATTAATTAAACTATTTATTTGGGTACTCTATCATTGAAGGCCTGCGTGATTCTCATGACTATAATTTTGTCCCGGGGCTTGCTCTGGTCAAAACCCTCGCAATCTTGTGGATTATCACGAGCAACAAGGACATTCCATGTCCGAAATCCTAATCTTGAAGCCCTTGAGTTAGCCTGGGTTGGTAAATCGTATTGATCTAGTTTATTGGTGGACTTAATCTGATTTGTCGATGTAAAGGGCTGTTGCGAAACTCGTCAGCATGGACGCAAGGCATAAAGCCTAAGTCCAGGAGAAATGCATAGCTGAATAAACATGCTGGAATGGTGGCTTAATTGAACAATGATATTCAGGGGAGTGGGTTCTTAATACACAAACCAACCCCTACTGGGTGAGAGGCGGGCTTTATCGTAGAATGTATGTGTGAGTAACCCCTGCGAGGCTCTTGCTGGGGCCGACATGAGGAAGCGGTATTACTTTCCACGTTATCGCGCAACGCAGGGCTGATCCTGTAGTGCATTCTAAACTATTATAGCACACTTTGGTTGATGGCATACATACACAGTCGATCAGAGTAGTAGAATTGGGGTTTGCCCAACTTGCAGCATCCCTGCAGCCCACTTTGCAGCCCCTCCAGGGCCGAGAGTTCTTGATTCGCTACAACCCAGCAATTTGCAGCCAAGTTAGCCTGCAACTCAGTTAGGGTCAAATTTCCTCCGAAGAGGCCTCACCCCATCGCCGTGGACCCATCTCGGGGGCCAGTTTCTTTGCACTGTCTCCCATCCATTTACTGCCACCCCCTGTATGGCCTCAGTTTTTTTGTCCTTGGTTCTAGCGGCTCTTAATCAGTGCGCCGGCCCCCAAAGCTCGCACCCGACCTGGGGCGCTCGTCCGTGGCTTTTCACAGCGGTACGGTTAAAGAGGTCAATTGGGAACTTCCTCACATCAGTAAAGATCACATGATATGGAAGGTTCCGGCGGCGTCGTAGTAGTAAAACAGAGAGCTCATCTCTCTTTCTCTTTCTCTTTCTCTTCTTTTCCTTCCTCAGAATCGAAATTTTCGTTGAACGGACCCTTCCTCTGGTGACTTGCCAACTGTAACAACATCGCTATTTCCCCTACTATTCCCTGCCAAAAGCTCTGTTCAAGTGTCGCGGCCGAATCGATATGGGTCTTCTCGATCTCCCCAACGAACTGCTGTTGGATATCCCCCAATATCTGGAATATGGCTGGGATCTGACGGCCTTTGGCCTAGTCAATCGCCGACTCCACAACATCATCAACACATATCTCTACCGAACATTTCTTCCTGTTCGGAGTGACGAAGCATTGTACTGGGCGGTCGAAAACGCCAATGAGAGTGCACTTGCCTGCCTCCTTGAGGCGGGAGTTCTAGAGAATGTGCACGAATACACTGCCCATGAAGTGCTGAGGAGCGCAATCAGTAACGGACACGATCAGATACTTGAACGCCTCATTGGAAAGGGCGTCACTTCTATCCACCCCGAGGAAGAAGAACCTGTCAGTGGTATTGAAGCTTGGCACCGCTTCTATGATACTCCACTTTTGAGTGCTGTGAACGCGGGACACGTCACAGTTGTCCGAACCCTACTTATGCATGGGATCGACGATCCAAATTCTGGAATAAATGTGGGTCTGCTATCGTATGCTGCCAGTTGTGGCAATCTGGCCGTGATGAAATATCTCATGGACGAGGTTGGGTTCGAGCCGAATGAACCCAGTTACGACGGCGGTACAGCATTGGAATATGCTGTCCGCTCAGGCCAGACGCAAGCTGCTGAACTCTTGCTCGAAAGAGGCGCAGATCCAAACCTACACTCCGGGGATAACGGCTCGCCCCTTATGACTGCAGCACAGCATTGTCATCTCGAAACTGTTCGCTTGTTGCTCGCGCATGGCAGTATCGTGAATCCCACTCCGACTCAAATGAAGCCTCCAATTTCCTCGGCATTCACAAAGGAGCCTGGAGACAAAGCAGCCATCATAAGGCTCATAGCCGACTGTATGAATCTCGATCTACTTCGAATAGGACACGAGAATCGGGAACTACTTCTGAATATTGCGTCCGTATTAGGCAAAGCTGAGCTCGTTCAAGAGCTGTTACAACAGAGCGGCTATCCGGAAGATATATGGTCTGGAGAAGAACACCAGTATGATCTAGTCCCTCTGGGACCGCTGGAATGGGCTGTTGAGGCAGCGCAGGTCTCGGTGGTATCTATGATACTAGAATTCGGGGTCAATGGGGGTGGCCGAAAACCTTTGACCATTGCTATCCAGAAGGGACACGCACAGATTGCTAAAGTTCTACTCGAGAGAAACTCAGGGGAGTACCGAAGAACATCCTGGTTTAACGGCCTTCTGCTCTCCGCATTTGATGAGATAACCTGCTTCGAGCTCCTTTTGGAATACGGCGCCGATCCTACTGATGTTGTGGATGGAGAGATCTCTCTAGTCGAATATGTTCTCATGTGTGGAAATCTATCGCTAGCTCAAGCGTTGGTTCGCCACGGGTATCCTCTTGAATTCCTCTTCCCGACTTACTGGATTAGAGGAGCGTCTTTCTTGTCATATGCGTGTCGAGGGGGTAAGAAGATGCGCGAATATATCTTCCAGAATGGCTTTGATCTCGATAACATCAAAAACGACGAAATACAACTGGTAACGCGTGAAGCAATTCAAAGAGAAGACGGGGCTGTTGCCAGTTTCTTTCTGAATAGAGGATACACAATTCCCCGCGATCATTATCTTCCGGATTGCATCCACCTCGCCGCTGGCCTAAGAAACTGGGACAACCCCACTGAGACATTACTCGATGTGCTGCTAAGAAGTGGCGTAGACATCAACGCTCGGGATGAAGACCAGCAGACCTGCATCTGGTATGCGGTCACTAATCTCGGCCATACTCAGCTAAAACTCCTTCTCGAAAGGGGCGCCGATCCCCTGCTTCTGGACTCAAATGGACACAGCCCTCTCTTACATGCTGCCACACAATACTCCGGCGCCAGGTGCTGTGTGGAATACATTCAAATCATATTTGAATGGATTGATCTCCACTGGGCCGAGCTATCGCGAGAGGAGATACACCAGGAGCTTTCAGAGGCAGAAGCTGAAGCAGCGAAGCGTACTAATTCGAAGATTGCCCGAATCTTGCAGCGTTATCGACGCATCCGGTTTGACTCTGTGTGATTAGATGAACATCATCCGCTATGGTGCTGTCTGGTTTGTGGAGCAAATAGAATCAATGTGGCAAGCGATGTCTAAATGAGGATTTCTGTAAACTGCGGCAGGGCCTGGATTGAGACTCACTCGCTTCGCTTCCTGCTTTTACAGACTGGGTGACGAGTTGAACATGGCCGAGTCATTCAACGCCCAGTTCGGTAGCTGACCGGCTGGGCCTTGGGAATCTTACCTGTTGAAGCTCCATTTGATGAGGGGATGCTACTGTATTTGTTCTCGGTTTCGGATTCCCTCATCCACTCTCTCTTCCGTCGGACTTTGGAGCATCTTGTGTGACAATGCGAGAATTCGAGGATTTGAGCGAGTGAATACGAAAGTACGAGTGGGGGTGGACTGAAAGCTTTAAGCTACTAAAGCTTGGAGTGGATGCAGAAATTGAAACCCGCTTAGAATCAATGAAATGTCCGACATGATCTCTATCACTCGCATTCTAGATATGTCTTAATGCGAAAGGACTTATATGCTTTTCAACAGGGGACGTGTGAATCAAAGTAGTAGTTGGATATCTAAACGAAAGCAAGAGAGCAGGACGAGAGGGGAGATAGAAGACAGGGATGGAGAGGATGGAGTAGAGTACATGCAGAATTTTTCCAGAGATGACAAAATAATGGTACACTCGCAGGGGTCACCAGGCCCAGCAACAAATTAGCAGGCTCTTTGCCACGCTAGCCCCTATCTTTCGGTGCGCCTCTGACAGATACTGAGGAACGGCGAGAACCCTCCGGCCAAGAACAAGCGATGCGTTTGGGAATCATGTACTGCCACTGTTGACGTGGGGAGGAACTCAGCATCTCTGTCTTCAATGACCTTGATGACTTCGTAGTTCCCCCTTCCGGACTGGTCATTTCTTTGATCTTGCTTTCGAACCATCAGAACACCCGCCGCCGCAACACGGTTATATGGGTCGTCTGCGGCCCGCATAAAGCCGTATGGATGAGGAATAGCAGCAACCACGATGTTCCCCTCCTTGTCAACGGAGAGGTTATCGGCCGGAACGTGAAGCGGAATCTTCTCAATCTCAATGATGCCATTCTCCGTGGATTTGTGGACGGTGATAACCCCCGCTGATGAATGGAAAACATAGAAAAGTCCATCACGCCCGCGAACGACGCCATTCGGGAATGAGCAGCCCTCAGTAGCGACGAGATTGCATTTTCCAGTGTCCGACCGGCAGTAAGCCAAGCTTCCATCTCCAAATATCATGCCGAGATCACGAAACATGCCAACCTTTGTGTTGTGGTCATTTGCCACTAAGAATCCAAGTCCATCACGGTCGACCGCAAGGTTGTTGGGGGAGACAAGCGCTTCGCTCGCGATAGTCTTGACATGCACCAGTGTATTTGAGGGCGCATCGAGATCGAATATTTCAATTGTGGAGTTGGCGCCGACCTTGGTGGGGTCAAGAGGTTCTCCCGTGGCAGGATCCACGGGCGGCCTGTGGTTGATGAGCCAGAATCGCTGTCGATCCCCGACCTGATGAACGTCAAAGCCGTGCAAGTCCAGGTCTCCGGCATAGTCAATCTTTAACTGATGCAACCCGTACAGTCCATCAGGGCCTGGCTCATCAATGTTCAAAACGGAAATGTGATCCGTGCGCGACCTCGCGGAGAGATTGTACAAGTTTCCGCCGGGGTTCCACCCTGTCCGAGAGGTGACGCTGGTGCACGCGCCGTAGAGCTTTCGGTTGTTGTAGTCCAGCCAGATGTCTTCGCAGCCTTCTAAAAGCGGGTGGTGAATGCGCTTGCAGTCCCAGGGAAAGTCCCCAATGGGCTGGATCACTCGTCCAAAGCCAAATATCAAGGAGAATGCGTCGTGGAGATAGATGCGGTATGCAATTCCAGTGATAAGTACCGCGGTCGCCCAAAACAGTGACCGAAGGTTCCCACGGGGCTTCATGCTGGTTAGTACCATGATGAAGATGATGGATACTCAAGCCAATTACGCAAGCTTGAAGCAGTTGAAGAGGAGGTATAAAGGTTGCGACGTGCCAACCCTGCTTTCGGATTTAGGGATGTTGTGTCCTCCGGAGCCGACGCGCTCCGATCGGGCGGATCCCGTGCAGCCCCCACCAACAAAGAAAGATGCGGCACGTGTAGTGCGCCTGAAACATGTTTGTCTTGCTACGTAGTTGGCGATTATAACAAGAAATAAAAACCTGGAATACGTGAGAGACTCGTCATAGGTGTCCATTTTCCGTGTGGGGCAGGAAGATCAAGCTACCCGGGGAATAGGCTCGAAACAAAATTATGGGCGCCATTGACTGCACCGCACTGTAAAGACAGTAGAGTTGATTGAAAAGTCCACGGTGGGAATGATTTCTGATTGGATATAGAATACTCCAGACACAAACTCAGCGCTCCTTCTAGACAGGGGTCCCGCCACAGATCTTGACATGCAAATCCTTGGACACTATTCAAAGTTAGGCAGGCTGTTGCTGGATCTCAACAAGTAGAACAATACAAGGAATAAAGTCGAGCCGGGACTTACTCTTGACATCTGCTGCATCACATCTAGCCGATAGGCAGGTGTTGAGGGCAAGCACAAAGGTATCGCTGGTGCATGTGCAATCAGTGTTAAGGTAACTGCCACAGCCTACCTCCTCAGCTGCTTCGACGTTGCAAGAAAGCTGATCAAGTAGCCTTGCGTAAGAAACAGCTTGAGCTAGAACGGCGCCACACGGATATCAGACTCGGGAGACGTACCAAACACGGTGTCATACCCTGGGGATTATTAGGGTCAGGAATATCAGCCATTGCAACGGAAAGCAAAGCACCAAGGGGGGCAAGGATCAACAGCTTCATTTTGAGAATGGTCGTGAGTTGGAACTGTAGGAGATATAGTTAGAAGTTTCTGCCCTGAAGTTGACGGTGGTGATTGCAGCTGTTTAAATATTCAAGAAGTCAGTAGGCTTATGCGCGATTTCCCGAATCTACCTTGAGAGGATATAGCCAAGTTACGCAGTACTGTCATGCTTTGCAGCATCCGCCCAAATAGGAATGGATTGATATAGATATCTCACCCCGATATATTCCGTTGAAGATAAGTGGAAAGCATCCGGAACCTCGTGTCACCATCCACATTGTTCTGATATTCAGCAGCAAGGATACTGTTTCCAAGTAATATAATATGTGTCAAAGCATGGAGCGCTAACTTACCGCTAGGAGACCAAAATTTCTTATGATTTTGTAGGTAATTCAGGCTTACCCATGAGCGCGAGCGTCCTAAACGTCGAGTGTGGGTGGTACGGGCCATTGGGAAGCTCAGAATAGCGCCCTTGGCCTTCTTCCTCCATCAATCAATCCTCCTGTCATCCTCATTTGATTCTGCCTGATCTTAGTCATGAATGCATACTAGGCTATACACTTCTGGCTTACTTTGACCGTATGTTAATCGCGCAATTTCGAATACTGACTATACAAGAAAAGAACTGGCACTCGCGATAAATAATATAGTAAGCAAATCCTTCATCAGTACCCTACGTCTCTACTGTATTTTCACCGCTCGCTACGTACTTGAGTGACCAGGACAAACCTCATCTGAGAGCCCCGAAAGGGTACAGAGCAGCTACATAACATGGAATTCATTCAAATGTCTTCGATGCCGATCATATTCAAATTTGGTGTTACCATTATCCTCTCTCAGCATCATCATGCAAAATGGCAGACCCAGGCGCAATGAGGTGCACGTAAAGCATCGTTCAATGAGTTTTATACACTAACATTGTACAGAAAGACGTCCTGACTGAACCGTAGAGGTCACCTCCAGGGCTCAGGAATTTTGTAGTTATTCGTACGAGATGTTCTCAGCCCTCAGTATAATAAAACTAGATCTATCTAGATTAGAAGACTCTAATCTTAAATCTAAAGACTATAGTTACTAGTATCTTCACTAATTATCTTAGTATAACAGAGAAAGAAAAGGAAGAAGTCTTCTTTCTAGGTAGATAGGAGATATTTTTGTACTTACTAGATCTAACTAAGTTAATAAGAAAAGAGAATTTTGTCGTATTTTTAGATTTCAACTTCAAATATATCATCGCCTCTCTAATGGTCCATATTGGGACGAAAAGCGACACATCGAGCGGCAATATACTAATTTCTAGACGCTATAGTCTCTAAGCTGGGTTTGGAGGCTGCAGCGCAAGATTCCGAGCAGACAACGACTACAAGGGCTTTGTGCAGACCTTCCCCTAGTAAAAGACACTCGCTGGATGTATGGACGAAATCAAGACTATTGGGCAGAAAGGGACACGTTAAAGATGATGCCATAATCAATCTGGGCCGTCTAGAATTTCGCAAGGCAACTTATAGCTGACCGCCAAACATCATCCCATGGCTAAGCTAGCAGGTCAGATGGTCCTTCAACAGTAGATTGACAGCGACGCCTACTCTTTGATGTTCCTGAAAAATCGGAGCAGAGCCATGACTTAACATGGGCGACTACCTGGTCTACCCTTTCCTAGTTGCCATGGCATACGCCTTGCGAGTTCCCTGCCAATCAGCGCGGTGTTGTCGATGAACAGGATCAATAGTGCGCCGTGAATCTTTGCAACAGGGGGCTTGCTAGTGGGAATGCGGCCTGTACGGATGTGGCCGGTCATGGTGAAGTCTTTGTCGTGGTTTCTGTGAGAAAGCGTGCAGACCCGAGTTGAAAATTGTCAAAGCTGTTATCGTGTTCGCCTTAGAGACGAGACGTATGGCTGCTGAACGGTTCTGAGGAATTATGACTGACTGTTAAAACGTCGCGAGATCGTCATCTATCAAATGTACATACTCAAGGGAGCATTGCACACTAGCTAGGGGGCTGCATACGACCCAGGGTCGTGAAAAGCCTGAGGAATATAATAATAATAATAATAATAACCCTTGGGATCAAATCCAGGCATGGCATTCGACTACTTTCAGAATTCTTTCTCCCCTCCATCTCCATTTCCCCCATCAGGTTGCCGGCCTACTCTTGTACAACCCAATTCCCCGCCACCTACATTTCCGCACACCCCATCAGTCTCACGCTCATGTCCCTTCCCTCCTCCCTCGTACGATTCACCAAGTCATCGCACTGATGCCTTTGTTTCAGGCATCCGTGTTGATTAGTTCTCTTCTCTCTCTAGTCACATTAGAGGTCCGAGTGCTGGAATCTGCGTCGGGCTAGGCCGAAGACCAGGAAACTACGCTAAGGCATGATGCTTTCATGGCCCACATGGAACAGCTATTAAACGAGAAGCTCTGAGCTTTCTGCAGCGCAGTCAAACTCGGACTCCACGAAGCTCGGGGCTTTCAAGTATTCAAGTTAGTCTGCGCGGTCTCTGTCGTAACAATATTCCGCTAATAGACGGAGGTCAATCGCCCTTACGACAATGAACCAAGAGATAATCCATCCACGATCCATGTAATCGCTGGTGGGTCCTTGTTCGCGTAGTGCGTGCCGATCAGAAAAGGGGGCCAAGAAAGTGCGTATTGGGCCACTCCAACCAACTTTGTTCGTATCCCATGCCCCTCCGCTGTTCTTTCTGCGTGTAGAGGTGCTTGCAAGTTCTTCTTCGTGTTATTCATTACCCATTTTGGTAGTAGGTGGTGCTTGTAAATAGTCGAGGAATGAGAACTCGTTTTTCATTGCCAGTTGGACCGCGGTGGTGTTCGGGGTAATGCCACGGCCCCTCCTAATGTCTCGCTTTCACTTTTTCCTCGCTGCTCGCTTCCATGGTGGAGACCGTCAGTGCAGATAACCCAGGCTAAGGCGATTAATTTTATTTTATTATTTAAGGGGGGGGGAAAGAGACTATACTAACTCGTGAGAGACTATACTAACTCGTGCCAATCTCGATTATTTAATAATTTTGGAAACCTCTCAGCAACCTTTGAAGTCTGGTTAACAAAGAAGAAAAAAAGAAAATCACAACTAAAGTACCAACAAAAAAAGGACCACCAACAATGACGGATGCAAAGGACAAGAAGATGTCCCCAACAACACCAATGGCAGGTTCAGCCTCAGCGTCGGACACAAACGCAGACGAAACCATGCGCCTTGCCATCGCCCGCTTCCGTAACCGAATGGCCACCGCGAACCAAAAGTTTCTCCAGGACCGCATCAATGAAATCGAAGGAAAAGGTCTAGCTACTGAAGAGGAGAAGCGCCGCCAGTTCCGCCAGTATAAATGGATGGACTATCTCCAATGGGACGATGAAGACTCCGAGACGTGTGGGAGGCGCGACAGGATCCGGATCCCACAACAGACTCCAGTCAAAGACCTTCATATCCCTGCTGTTCTCAACGCCCTGCCGTCCTATGATCCGACGGACGGTGTAGTCCTGCCTCTGCTGCGCACGGAGCAGTGGCGGCAGATGTACCTCGACACAGTTCAGCGTGTGTGCCAGCGGCAGGCGGACGCGATCGTTGCCGAAAACGACGAGGAGATTGACGTCGCGTGTAACTTCCACAAAGACCACAGGTCGATGACTATCCCCCGATGTGACGAGCTAGCCCTGTTCCTAAAGTATGCGCAGGGGGTGGTGGACGTTGATTTCCGGCGCTCGGGCATTGCGCCGTTCATACCGGCTTGGTCGATCGGAGTCACCAATGAGGAACTGGACAGGCTTGATGAGGGACAGAGATGCGATAAGTTGGCGGATCCGGAGCTACTGAAGCGTGAGCAAGAGGGCTTACAGCGGGAACTGGAACATGAGTTGTCGAATGACTCGTTGAAGGCGTGCGTCGACGAGGACCTGGAGGTCAGGGCTGGATTTATCACTGGTATTGGATGTAACCAACTGTACGAATGCCCAGAGTGGTATAGTGCGTATGTGTACTGCCGGCTCTGGACGGAGGGCGACGAGGACGATGGCAAGTACAAGGATGAAGACATCCAGGATGCTACCAACATCCGAGACTGGGGGTGGCGGGTGGTTGTCTTCCACGCCGAGATTGTCAATCCTAGCGTTCTGTACGGCCGGAAGGCACGCTTTAATTCTATTCCAGAATTTCTGGATTGGTATGCCAGCTGGCTGGACCATCTAGATGCACGGGGGTTGCTTTCTCTGCGGCGCCACGCTGTAGGCTGTGAGACGGACTGCGAGTCAGACTGTGAGGACCATGTCACAGGGCCCTACTACGCAGAGAATTTCTAGACCAGCTTTCTCTCTTGTGCAATATTCAATTGCTCCGTGAATTTAATGATATACCATCCCCACTTTGCCTCGATCTCTGCAGGCAGTTCCCCTGAATGCGCTTGCTCATAAAATATCTAGAAACCTTGAAAGTTTTGAAAAAGAGGCCGATCCATACGTTCCTATGTCGGGAGTGAGCAAATAATTCCTTTGAATTTGCTTCAAATGTTTAAGTTTGATTATCCCTCCGTTGAATGATACTTCTAAACCATAAAACTAGCTTTCTTGCTACGGGGAACCAAAGCGACGTGAAGTTTGAAGACAGCAAGCATTTCGTTAGCGTCTCACGTAGAAGATTAATTAAAATGTATGCGTAATTTGAGGCGCCACATGATTAAGAAGATACAGCTGGAAGTTTTGCAAATGCCCAGGCTATTCAAATACCACGAGCCCTTTCGTTAAGAGATGTCTTCACCCGATAATGTTCCCCTCCTTCATGCCGTAGTGGGAAGGTGATCCCAAATCGCCGCTGGCCGAATGCCCCACCGACTGCTGGACCCATACCAACGAAAGGGTATCCTACTAGTTCGGCATTAGTGCCTGGCTGAGACCCTGGACGTTCCACAATCACACACCCTTGGTTCCCACTTCGGATGCTACAGTACTGGCACTTGATGTGGTTTGACTGATAGCCTGGTTAGGATACCTTAAGCTAGCTCCGATGCCGCTTTTCGAGATTCAAAATTAATGCCTTCAGAACTTCACCTCCATAAACCTAACATCATCTACGAAATCAACGACGGTCATCCATGCCATGCCCACGGCAAAGTGGCTATCCCAGACTTCACCACCTCGCTGCACAGTGTCAGCCAGGTAGTAAACCAGATAGAAAAGCTCTATCAGCGGCAGAGACCTTTGGCGAGGTACTGTACGTCCAGTGGGGCCGACGAGCTACCGTTCATCCGACGTTCCCCAGTAACTCATAAGCTCAAGATCGTTTCATGCACTACTTTCCAACTTCCACCACATCAAATTTTGCAATTGACTCCTTTCAAGCAGGGCTTCGATCGAAAGACAGGTCCGTTTCGGGGTATCCCCACTTACGGGAATGAGAGGCAGGTCTTGTAGCCACGCCCTACGTGGAGCGACCACCTTCAAGAAGGTGCCTGTTGGCAAGTAGTGCAACCTCCTAATTTCTCTTCTTTAGATCGCTTCTTTTTCAATTGTGACTTGGTCGCTGGAAAATGTCAGGCCGCACCCGCGAGTGGACAAGCCGGAGGCACGTAGATTCGTTGGTGTAAATTCTTGAGGTTGATTGAAATGGTCAAGGAGTGAAGAAGTATTTTAGATTGGGCAAGACCGGCACCAAAGTGGTGTGGTCTTTCTACAAGCCGCTTTGGGTGCCTTCCACTTTCTTCTTTTCTTCTAATACAAAATCTTCGGATTGCACACGAAGCTGCTGTCTGAATGCAGATAACCATGCCGGGTTATCGGCAATGGATTGGTTCCAGGTGTCTTCCGAATCATAGAGCAACCGCCTCGATTCCTGCTGAAACATGTCATCGGTGGGAATAATTCCTAAACTCATTTGTTGCCGAGCATAACGGCTGAGGTGCTGGGTCAAAATACCCGTCAAGGTATTCAAAGGCACCATCATCTCACCAGTCTGAGCTGGTGGGAACGGATTTTCTAACACAATCGAGGTGCCATTTGGGGCATCGGCGCTCGAATTGGCAGCAGCCCAGTCTGCCCGCTTGGATATCTGCGCCAACTGGTCTTTGGCGCTCCCATCCGTCGCTGAAAAGGGCACAAATGTCTTTGATTCCCAGCCGAGAAGATATGGCGGTAAGGAATTGGTAATTTTGGCGGCAACATCTGGTGGAAAGTCATGATCGCCTCGCCAATCATGCATGGTCATTCCCTTGCGGAAATGGGTTGCCAAATGATCCGCTCGTTGATCCCAGCTTTCTAGCCTCTGGTCACAGAAGCCACATCGTGACGTGATTGTCTGGCCGCCAATTTTCCAGTCATCAAGCAAGGGAAGAATTTCCATACTGTGCACCAGCCTTAGGTGTTGAACGAGGTGATCTTTCCGGCGAAAGGTGCGAGTCACGTCAGAGCATTGAGAGTGATTATGCTCATCGAGATGTTCTGCAGATGGCTCCAAGCAGTTGCAGTAGGCACAATGTATTCTGCCAGTCACAGGAGAAACTGTCGCGCCTCCATGGGGGGTGCATGCCCAACCACCCAAGTTAAGATGTAGTGATTTTTCATGGCGAGACCAGTCAAACTTGCTTTTGAATGTATCGCAGCAGAAGGTACAACAGAAAATCCGCTCTTTTTCTAAACCACTTGGCCCTTTTGATTTTCTTTTGCTCTTGTCGACTCGCGTTCCACCCGCTGGTGACTGGACTGCTAGTGGATTTTGCTGTTTCGACACAGCAGATCGTGTTGATGTCGAGGATTGCCAGGACGATGCACTATTCCCACTGTTGGAGCTAGCCAGTGAGGCTGGCCGACGATAAGCGTCGCGAATATTATGTGAAAGACCTCCACTGCCGGGCAAGGCTTCTCCGATATTTTCTGATTTGTTCACCGCATGCATGATCGCCGACAATGATGCAGGTTCATCCTCTGGTGGAGACTCTTGCCATCTTTGCATGGGATCAAGAGCAGTCGCATTTTCCACAATATACCTGGGGATCATGGACTGCCCTAGCTTGCAGAGAGAGTAGCGGCTTCTTCTCCTAGGCAGACCGGGGGGACGTTTCAAATTTGGTATTGGAATAGTTTGCGCATTTGGGTTCACATCGGGCATGTGAAATGAATCTCCACGGTCCAGGAACACCTGTGCAAATGTGCTCTCATCTTGCTCGGTTGTCGGCGTGTAGCAGAGAGACGAAGGCGAAATCGTGGGTTGTGGCAATCCAGACAGGTCAGATTCCACCCCCTGGTAACTGGGTATGGACAATGATGCCGTGATGTGCTCCGGGGCAACAGAACCTGTCAAGTCCAAAAGACTCTGTGGATCGCCAAAAATCCACGGGCCTGTTGACCAGTCCGATGTCGCTCGGAGCCTCTCGTCGACAAACTGATCGACTTCGGGATCCGCGACATGATGCACAAATTCCAAATCCGAAACGAAATCTTCAACCTGAAAGCTGTCATGTCCAAAGTCATTCTCCAATACATTAATGTCTATTCATGTGAGTACTTTGGCTTCCCATTTTTAGCGGGCAACTCCCGGGGGACTCACTGTGTGCCGAATTTCCTAGAAGATCTTCAGAGTCCAGTGGCGGGAAAGTCGGCGTAGGGGCTGCGAGGTGCCAAAGGTGTGCCATTTCAGGCATATATTGGTTTCCAAGACTGATCACTCTGCGCGAAGGGGCAAGGGTTTGATCCCCAGATGTTGACAAAGGTACGGTTGCCGCAGTCGGCGGTCCGATCGGACCCCTCCACGCCTTGCCAGTTGCCAGCAGTGGGGCGACCAACCGCTCAGCAATTTCTATACTTAAGTGCTCCCTACTTGTGTTGTCAACATTGTCGTCATACTATGCTTAGCACAGTAGTTCCTTCCCACCTTTTCTCAACACTGCCACTCCGGAATTCAGCTAATGCATATGCAAATCCGCTTTGCGGGGTAACGCATTGAGGAGCCGGAGAGACACTTTGGGCCAGAATCAGGTAGCCTTCCTGTTGCTATGCTTACTGACTTTTGAGATTAATCAGAGCGTCTTACCGCAGAAGCGGCCCAATTTGACACGCCCGTGTACCCTTCACTAGCGCCTCGCCCAGGTAGTTCCTCCTGGATTTGTACTGGATAACCAGGGAAAGGATTATGTTTCTTACCCTGATCGATGGCATTCCCTCTCCTGGATCCCAGCCGCTGGCGTTCATTCTGTGTAGTAGTTCCATCGGTTTCTTCTCCTCATAATACTTCTTTTAAGCTTTCTCTCTTCTTTGAGTATTATTCTTTTTCTCACTTATTGACTGGCATTTTTCTAAAGTAGCGCTTGATATATACCAACCCCCCGCCCGGCGTAGAAGTGGCCCTGCCACCCAAGCCTCCTGGTCGATCATGACTTCACTCTGTATCGCTTAACATTTCCTTCATCATAGCAGCAAATTGCTCCTTCATTTTCTGGTACCCGCCATCAGATACAGATTCAAACTTGACCATTCCGTCATGGTCAGCGCCAATGAAGATATGCGCTGAGAGATCATCGCTCAGGTCATTCTAGTGCGTGGCGAAGAAGACGAGTGATAGTTAGTGATTTTCAGTCATGGCTCACTCACTTGCGATAATACATTCCGCGTACTCACCGAGCTGATTTGTTCCCTTGCAATCACGATTTTAAATCTATTGCTGATACCGGAGAATTCCTCTAGAACACGTAGCATCCAGCTTGCCTCTTGATAACTGTCATTTGACTCCTGACTGGATCCTTGATTCATTGCCAGGTAACTTCGGAGCCCCTCTATCCGTGAGTCTAACTCTGGCGTTCCCATGAAAATCAGACCGAATGTTGATATGCTAATACTGCGAAGATGCCTTGAAGTGCCGGCGTGTAACGCGTCGGAGTAGATGATAGCCTGTTTAACGTAGGTCAACACATTAATAAGTGGTGCGGAAAAGGTACAATAGCTAAGTACATTTTTCACCACCGTGCCACCTAAGCTATGTGCCACGAAAATTATTGGTCGAGCCTGGGTCTGCGAAAGGTGTCAGCCACCATATATCTTAACAAGGCGAGACATTCGGCTATCTGTACATCTGTGCACTTTCTTGCTTTCCACAGATCGAGAACCAGGTTTTCAGATACTCTCTGTAGGCAGATTCTGCCATCATTATTTTGCTTGCCTGACACTGTGTAACCCCAGGTATAAATTCTCGAGTTGGGTAAATCAGTTGGGAGCAAAGTTTGAAGCCAGTTGGTTCCATTGGAGGCTGTCCACGACTGTTTATAATGGCCATTCAGTCCATGAACAGCAACAATACTATCAAGGATCATCAGTGGAAGCTCCCTGCCAGGGGAATCCTCTCTCTGTACTCTACTTGCGGATCTGGGCCTTCATATAATAGTTTCAACACGTGTTCGTGGTGCACCTGAGAACAGTTCCAAGGCACTATGAGTTTCGAAGTCAGTTGAATCACTGTGCCCGATCAACGCACCATCTGTCCTCGGTTCGAACCGCTTCGTCTAAACGGCCATCGCCAAGTACCCGGCATTGCCTTTGTCGCTATTACATGCGCTATTTCAGGATACTCAGGTGCACGAACGGTTTTGATGAAGATAAAAGCATATAAATCTGGCTCCGAACAAGCGCAATCTACTCCGATGACTGGAGCTCTGGCCGATATAACCTGCGGGGGTCTCGAAGTGTAGTTTGCCGTGTTTTAGGGGAACGCTGGGGCACCCGCAATCAGGACGCCAGTCTCTTATGTAAGCGCATCACGGCCGGACATCAAAAATTTCCCTATCCCGGTCCTTCATTCACGTCATCTTAAAGGCCGGGTTCAATCATGTCTCCGAGTACAGACCGGGCCGATGAGGCCTCCCAGGACACTTCGGTTCCTGCCGACTCCAAGATCAACCACGCCGCCTCCATCAACTACTGGAGCAGCCTTCCCAGCACCACAAGCAATATGCTAGGCATGCTCGGCACTTACCCGTGGTATTCGCGCATTGAATTGCAGGGATCTAAGAACTTTCTGACTAAAGTTCGCCGACTATTACCTGCGCTGCAGCCTAATGGAAAGTTCAATCTTGGAGTGGATTGCGGTGCGGGCGTCGGGCGCGTCACCGAGGGCTTTCTACGCCATGTTTGCGCAGTGGTAGACGCAGTAGAGCCGGTGTCGAAGTTCACTCAAGTCCTCCAAGAGGGGCAACTCAAAAAAGACGGCGTGGTGGGAGACATCTACACCGTTGGCCTCGAGAATTGGTTCCCGGAGAAGAAGTACGACCTGATCTGGACTCAATGGTGTGTGGGTCATCTCACAGACTCGCAATTGATCCAATATGTATCCCGATGTCGCAACTCACTGACAGAGAGTGGAATCATGGTGATCAAAGAAAACCTATCCACCGATCCTGGCGATCAAGATATGTACGACGACGTGGACAGTAGCGTGACTAGAACGGACGCGAAATTCAAGCAGATCTTTGACGCGGCCGGAATGGATGTGATCAAGTCAGAGATCCAAACGGGATTTCCGAAACAGTTCAAACTCCTACCTGTCAAGTCTTACGCGTTACGGCCAAAAATCTGAGGGTCCACACTGCAGGGACTGGTTTTCATGCCTTCAATAACGCGTCACCCTTTGGCCACTCACTTGCCAAGCCTCTTGGCAAATGAGCCATGCTCTCGTCTTCTTCGCCTAGTCTTTAAGGCAAGACAAGCTGGCATGCGAACGAATTTGCAAATCCCGCTTTCAGGCCAATAATGATCAATTGATCTCATGGACCTCGGTCGGGAAGTCCAATTCTCTTGATGTGCACTTTTCGTCAACTCTAGCGATGCGACCGCATGATGAGCAGCAATACTATAATCTTCAATGCCGTTGCAGTCAAAGGCAACTTTCCAGTACACATAACATTCGTGCACAAACTATCACCAGCGTATCCCGCCTTGGTAGTCGAAAAAGCAATAATCGGAAAATTTCACGAGTTGATGGTCAGATGCAGGCAACAATTTGGACTCGTGTCATTCGGTGTCACTTGAGGTGCGATCCCTGTCATTTCATGCTAGGCATGGAATATGAGATGTGAAAGCAGGTTTCACCCGGGACCTTGATAGGCCGCGTGGATGTCCTCTTTTCTCAATTGTGTGGAGATCATGAAGATCATGAACGCGTGGTGCGTCGACATGGCCATTCTTCGGGACTTGGCAAACTTGGGACTGTGATAGATAGATTGGACCTGGCCACATGGTGGACACGTTGATCCAGCCCAGAAAATGGGCTATCAAGAATTTCTCTCCCGAAGAAATATTATGAGACCAGGAATAGATTCATTTTTCTGGTAGAACTACCATGGCAGTCCAACCATTTTCGGTTTGGGGGCCCTGCAGATCACCCGGCAGTGTCAATAATTTGGCTTATCGAAACAACCCAAGTTGGCAGATTTAGTTCTTCTTGTTTTGGGATAGAGAACGCGCAATAAGGCATGAGACCCGGTCCACTTTCTGGCTCATTTCCGATCCCCCTGGATTGCTAGCCCTTTGCCCTACGCTCACCACGAAAGAGCGGATGGGCGGGCTGGAGCGTAAGGTTAACTAGAGGCCGCTGGCCCCAAATACCTTGCATCATAGCACAAGCCCCTGCCGATGATCATCCCGAGCATCTCTGATGATCAACAGAATTGTGATCTTTGGCAAAGATCGTGAGTGTCTTTCATCAGCTATCCACATTAACCGTGGTGTAGTATTTAAACATCCATAGACTGTACAATATCTTCATCCTCATTCTGGGCTTCAGGACTGTCACTACTCTTACGATCATGGGCCGGCCGTAAGTAACCACTACACCAAGTAGTATCCGTGGTAGAGATCTCACCAGTTGCCAGGGTTGAAGGTTCGCCGTTGAGCTGGGCTGAAACTGAAGAGGCCGCTCCTATTATTCGCAAATGGGCCACGGAGGTAGTTCATTCGCGCTCCCATCAAGATTCTTCGCTAACAATAATAGCAATTGCTGTGCCTGTGGCATAAACAAAAGAATCGAAGTGATCCAACCCCACTGTGGGGAGATGAAGTAAGCTTGAAGACATAAGGGTTGAATCGGAGAGGTGTTCTAACACATACCTCAAGATCGAATATGCCTTGGTCAATTTTGACAGCGAAAATTCAAAAGCAACATTGCTGTTGGACCAAGAGAGAGTGATCCGGCAATGGGAAACGAGAAAATGCAGCTCGGACGATGCGTAAGCTCTCCATTTTTGAAACGTCAGGATGAACATGCAACTGACCAAAGACTCCAGGGCTACATTACAATGGGAGTGGGCAACGTATGTCGTTGAAACCACCCCTGCGGAGCCGTACAGTGGGCGGGTGTCCGATCTATTGGAAGTGGAAGCAAATATGCGGGAAAGGTACTTACTTTCTGAAGCCTTCACTCTCCTATCTCGCGACTAACAACTGATGTAGGAGAAAGCTGATTAATCGATATCTCTCGCCCCATCAGCAAGCCATGTCTCTGTGTTCCTTTCCTCGAATCGGCGTGACAGAAACATGGACAACTCCTGGCCCAACGAGCGGTCTAGTTTGCCCTCTACCTCGGTACCGTCTGCTTGCCAAAAACGTCCATAGCCGTCCTCAAGGTCGAATGAGGACCTACTTTCCCATTTATCGAGACCACTTAACTTCTGACCCTTTTCACGATCACCCGCCTTCGGGGAAAGGAATTTTGGACCACCTTTGCATCGATGAACTGGAAATTGGAACCGGGTGTTGCAGTATCCAAACTACTTTCCAGGCTGCCAATGAGAGCGAGGCTCGGTGGCTATACGATCAACTCATTCCGCTGGGTCATGTTCTCCTTGCCATGACTGCGGCGACGCCAATCTGGAAAGGTTATCTGGTCGAGACTGACATCAGATGGCAACGATTTGGAGATTTGGTAGATGACCGTCGGCCCAGTGAAATGGATTTCGTCGTAAGTGACATTTGAACTGTGGGAAGGTCCATGTGTGCAGAGCTGACATTCCCAAAGCCCCCACGCTGGACCTGGAATCGGACTTATCTCTCACGCGAAAAGCCTGCGATGCTGGGCGGAAACATGTCTCTCCAGCCTATGGATAAAGGTATCAAGAATCGTCTACTTGAAGGGGGCATGGATGATGCACTTGCAGAGCATTTTGCATCAATTCTCGCGCGCGATCCTCTCCTGTTGACTCGTGCGGATCTGGAACATCTCAATAACTCGAGCACCCGGCTCTTCGAGCTTCTTCATGGCTGTGTCTGGCATCATATTCGTTTCAAGCCGCCTCTCACTGACAGTGGTCCTGGTTGGTGCGTGGAATTCCGACCGATGGAGGTGCAACTCACAGACTTCGAAAACGCCGCGTTCGCGATTTTCATGTATCTGCTATCGCGCGCGATCACTACCCTGCATTTGAACTTCTATTTACCGCTTGATATGGTCGGTGAGTCTTGGGATGTTGCTCAAAAGCGCAATGCTGTGCTAGAAGGACGTTTCTGGTTCCGGCGAACGGGATGGTCTTCCAATTCCCATCAAAACCCCAGCTTCGCCAAGTCCTTGTGCAAAGACGACGCTCATCTCTGCGACCAGGATCCAGAATATGGATTCATGACAGTGGATGAGATCATCAATGGCGAGGGCACCCCAGGGGATTTTCCTGGCTTGTTGGCCCTGGTTCGGTACTACCTTGACTATACCAATGTTCCTCCCGTTGAGCAAGCGAGAATTGCTCCCTACTTGGATCTCATTCAGCAAAGAGCAAGTGGTATAAGCCCGACTCCAGCATCTTGGATGAGAGAGTTTGTTCATCAGCATGGCGATTATCATCGCGACAGCTACGTGAGTGAAAAGGTTTGCTACGATATGATGGAGGAAATTGCACGTTTAAACAAGAAGTAAGAGGCTAGTATAAATTGAAATCTAACTTTCTGCATCTACTTTGTGTGGTCCGCGTAACTACTTGCCGCGCGAAACTTTTCCCCGTATTTCCATAGGATGAAAGGAATGGGGCAGCCAACCCCCAACGCCAAAATTGCCAAAACACTGTTGCCCCATCCATATCCCAAGGCCGAGTACATTGTTGGACTAAACAGAGGAAATCCAAACCCGGTCAGGCCCCGCAGAATATATACTGCACCATTTGCGCTGGCAGCATACACGGGAAATGTATCCAAGAGATACGCACTGACACACTGGAAAACGATGGTAGCACCCATGAGTGGCAACGCAATACCAATATCGGGAACAATCCAGTGGGTCTTGTACTCCGCGCTCCATCCAAACCACAAAAGGCCAATTGGTACAAGCAAAGACGCTGGGACCATCATCGGCAGGCGAAATTCAGGCCTCCCGACGCCGTTGTTTTTGGCCACTTGGAAACGGTATACCCGATCGGTAAGAAAAGCACAAACTGCTGCTCCGAATAGGTAGCCCAGGCAGGGGGCAATATAGTTGAGTGTGCCTGTGCTGAGCTTCATGTGGTATTGATTTTTCCACAGATCGGAAAAGCTGGAAAGAAGCAGGTACACAATGCCATACAGGTATCCATAATAGCACGCCAGTGCCTGTACAATGGGCTGAGTGCAGAGAAAGTACAGCGACCGGAGAAGCGTTCGTTGGTAGCGCTGGGTGAGAGTTTCATTCTCCTTTTCATACGGAGTACTCCATACTGGCTCAGGTCCCTCCTTCGAAGTCTTTCCTGCCATTTGCTTCTGCTTCTTGCGCTGCAGTAGAACTGGTGCGTATGTTTCGCGGGCTATGATGAAACACAGAACCGAAAACGCTCCGGATGCGATTGATGTCGAGTAGAAAGCCCAGCGCCATGTCGAGTAGTCGGTGATAAACCCACCAATTATGGGACCGAGACATGATCCCAAGACAGGGCCCATACTGACGAGAGCCAACGGAAGTCCTCGCTCTTCCTTCCGGAAGACGTCCCCAATCATACTTGCTCCAACCTGAAAAAATATCAGCATTGAAATATTCACTCAACTGAAAAAAAGAAAGGATACGTACTGCCAAAGAGGCACTAGCGCCCATTCCGCTCAGCAATCGAAACACCAGAAGCTCGGACATGCTTTTTGAGAAACCCGCTGCAAGGTTGAAGATGAGATAAAATAAATTGCCTGCCTGTAGCACTGGCCATCGTCCAAACAGCTCAGACAAAGGGCCTAGAATAATAGGGCCAAGGCAGTACATGAGCAGAAACAAGGACAGTGCTAGTGGGCCAGTGATAGAAGAAGTGACATCAAACTCTGCCGCGATAGCATCGACCGCGGGAGTGGTGATGGTCGAAGAAAGCGGCATCAGGAACAACGGAATGGCCACAGTAACCATAATAAGCCATTTTCGAGATTGGGGCCAGTCTTGAGGATGGTCCCCCTCGAAATCAATGATAATCAGGTTTTCCTGGGATGACATGGTAATAGTAACAAGTCTTAGAATGAAGAAATCAGAGTCAAAGTGATGGCGGCCGGTTCGTTGGCAGATTGTCGAATAAGTGGTATAAAGGGAAGCTGAAGCTGGAAGCTGGGACAGCCTCCCTGATCAAGGTACATGAAGGTAAATAACCGCTCTCCATTCTCCTTGGATCTTACCCGGTGGGTAGAACGCGTAAACCACCAAGGAACATATCTCTAAGGGTGATGACTTTTGTCCGATCGACACGGATCTACGATCGCGAAGTCGGGATCTTCCTCATTATGGGTCCGAATAAAAAGGAACCGGTATTATATTGGGTGATGGGGATGGATGGACCCGGTGTCATGCACCCCCTTTTATGCCCCTACCTCCCTCTTATACTCCACCGTCCGGCTATGGCTCTATTGCGGAGCCTTTGTCTCGGCGAAGAAGCAAGGATTGTAAGTATCCCTTGAGTTGACGCAGCCACAACGTTCTCCGAACAACTAGTAAGTCCGTTCTCGCATAATAGGTAAAGATCGACATTCTTCTAACAAGCTTCGAGAAACGCAAGTGATCAGACTTCGGGCGGAATGAGATTTCGCGTCCTAGCCACCAAAAATGTTCAACTTTTGCTAAGGGTTCAAGAGACAGTCGTCTACTTTTTGACGAGGTTGAATTCATTCCGAAGAGGCGAGAGCGAGGGTAAGCATGCTAAAGTTTCAGGATGAACGGAAAGTCTAAATAAGCAAATAGCAACTAGAGGATCAATTGGACTAATTGTGACGCTGCAGGAACCGTGTCGGGTGAAGATTACCTTTCACCGAAATGCGTATAGTTGATCCGGCCACGGAGAAACGCTGGATGAGTCACCAGAAGATCTGGCGACAACATCCAAACAATGTAACAGAAAATATATCCTGAGATACTCAATTTCAGCTCAACCTCTTCGGCTTGGGGTTATTCAAGCACCGGTTATGGCCCATTATTACCATGAGTGAAGGCCAAGTTATCATTGTCGGGTAAGCAAAGATCCGAGGCGTTCTCCAAACCACAAACTAAAACATCAACCGCTTTCCTTACAGCGCAGGTGTCTTGGGCCTCAGCTGCGCAGTCCAGTTATCTCGATCAGGCCACAGCGTCACTGTCATCGCCCGAGATCTTCCTGGCGACTCGCACATCGACTATGCCTCCCCGTGGGCCGGTGCCCACTTCCGCCCCTCCCCCGCAAAAACACCCGCAGAGCAACTCGAGCAACAACTGATGCGTGATACCTATAACGAGCTTGAGGTTCTGGCACAGGAGCAACCTGAATCCGGCGTGAAGATTGTTCCGGCAATCGAATACTTCGACGCTGCCCATGCGGACTCCTTCCTCGCCACAGAAAACGGCTACGTCGACTGGCCCGATTTTCGGATTCTGGAATCGGAGGAATACCCCGCTCACCATGAGTCTATCCAATTGGGTGTCACCTACCGTAGCTGGGTCTTGAACTCTCCTGTATACTTGCAGTGGTGTCAGAGGCAGGGTGAGAAGCAGGGTGTCAGGTTCGTGCGTGCAAATGTGACATCTATGGAGGAAGCGGTCTCCCTATTCCAAGATAAGCACCGACAGGGTGGCGCCAGCAATATCCGAGCTGTTGTCAATGCGACTGGGCGGGGCTTTGATGACCCAAACTCGTATCCATCGCGCGGTCAGTTCATTATCGTGTCCAATCAGTGCGACAACACTATCAGCCACCATTGGGCAGATGGCTCGTCGACTGTGATCATTCCTCGACCCTTAGGTGGAGGCACAGTCATCGGTGGGACAAAGGAGCCTAACAATTGGTCCGTTTTTTCTATTCATGGCCAGTGACTGATAAGCTTGAAGATACTCTCCTTTTGCTAACTTTGGACCAGGTCCGAGGACATATCCAGTGCTGCGACGGACACGATCCTAAAAAGGGTCGGGCAACTCTGCCCTGAATTAGTCAACCAGGAGACTACTGCCACAGACGATACCCATGGCTTTGACATTCGCGAGGTCTATATCGCTCGTCGCCCGATGCGACGAGGCGGTTTACGGTTGGAACAGGAGAATACGAGTCAAGGAACTCCTCTGATCCACTGCTATGGCGCTGGTCCGAGTGGCTTCAAAATAAGCTGGGGTGTAGCGAAGAAGGTTGAGCTCATGGTTTCGAATGTTCAAATGCTTGTAAATGACCCAGTAGACGTGTCTCCAGACTAATAGACTTCCTACAATGTTCTACTAGCTCAACCCCCTCGCTGCTGTTTCACGAAGTTTGACAATCTATTGAATTACTTGACGGGCTCTAAATCCATATGCAGGGTCTCTAGCGTCTATCAATCTAATGTACACAGAAAAGAACAGCTCTCTATAAATGCGACCAAATTTTCTCGAAATGGCAGACCACAGTCTAGTTTTGCTTCTTGGATCCATCTTCCGGGAACTTCCAGTGCAGCACTCCGTCCGAGTTGACATCGGAGACAACCTTGCAGGTGGTGAAGGTGTCCACAAAGGACTTCAGGAACATGCCTTCATCGAGGTGGTACTGGTCTCCAAGGTAGGGGACGATGGCATTGGTGGCCTCCTCGGCGTGGTAGAAGGGAATCTTCGGGAACAGGTGGTGAACGACATGGTAGTCAATAATCTCGTGGAAGAAGTGACGACCGATAAAGCCAAACCGCCGGTCCACGGTGGAAAGGGCACCCTTGACAAAGGTCCAAGCGTTGGCATCGTAGTGGGGCACCGACGGGTGGGTGTGGTGCAGATAGGTAATGGCAACTATGATACGTTAGAATTGGAAATGAAAAATGAATCAACGGTTCAAGGACACTCTTACTCAGCCAGTGGTGGACCCAGAAGTAGGGCACAACATAGAGCAGAACGACCTTCAGGGCGCCCATCTGGGTGGCCAGGTAGTAGAGCGAGCCACCAACAATCAGGAGACCAAGATCAGTGATTGCAATGAGGGGCGCTTGCGAGCTGGTGAACAGAGAACCGAGAGGGGCAAAGTGGCTGGTGCGGAGCTTCTGGGAGCTGTTGGGCTTTTCGGGCAGACTCTTGCTTCCAGCACTGACGTTGAACATCAGGTACACCTGCCATCCAAAGATCTGGTGTCCGAGGAGAGCGACGGCGTTGTAGAAGGGGGTTTCTTCGACCATCTCCTTGAGCTTCTTCAGCATGGTGGGCTCCTTGTTCTGCGCATTCCCCTCGACCGCAGGAACAAACACGGTGTCCTTCTCGATATGGCAGTGGTAGCGATGGTGTCTCGCATGGGTGATCTTCCATGAGAAGTACGGCACCATGAGAAGCGAATGGATAGCCCAGCCAACGGTATCATTCAGCTTGGGGTGGGCAGAGAAAGCACCGTGTCCGCACTCATGGCCAATGATCCACATGCCCACACCGACGCAGCCCTGGAGGAAGCCATAGGCAATCCAGGCACAGACTCGGTGGGTTGTAGAAGGCAGGAGATCAATCTTCAGAGCGGCCCAGACGAGTGCAGACGCGTAGATGATGTCCCGGATCAGGTAGGCGAATGACTTGATCACAGAGCGGTCGAAACAATGCGCGGGGATTTTGTCTCTCAGGAACCCGTATGTAATTTCCTCCGGCTGGGGACGGTCAGCGCGTTGCAATTGACCGTGTCGAGGATCTGGAATTACCTTGGCTTCGCCCTTCAGGCGATATATCACCGGTTCGACGGTCTGAATCGTTGACGATGCCATCTTTGGATAGAATGCAACGGCAGGTAACAAGGTGAATACAAAAGAAAAGCTCACCCCCTGTTAAGAAAAAAAATTTATCTACGATAAAGGCATGGTCCAATGATTGGTTCCTGAACTACCCTAATCATGGAGCCCTATGCGGAGCCCCCTTCTAGCCATTTTCCAGATGGTGGCGGAGTCCGTCCATGGATGGGGGTTGAGAACGGACCAACACGATAGGCAGGCTTGAGAACTTCCGAGACGGCGTTCCAGATTCTCGCTTACTTGTCCAACCGAACCGTTGAAAAGTCGTTGGGTCTCGCGGGACTACCGTGAAGAGCCATTTGGATTTCTGAACTTGGCGCTTGTTTTAATTTCTTTTCTCGCTTTTTGATAGGCTCCGGGCAAGCTAGGTTTGAGCCTAATCGCTAGCCTCCTGTAGCGGCCCTCGCAGCGTTGGTTTTTCCTTCTTCCCCTTTCGCTGGATGGAGTTTAGTGTGTTTTGCCGATCATGTATTATTATCAGCGATTGACTTTCATGCTTTGTTCGGGTTTGAAATCTGATGTCCCTTGAACCGTGTTCCAGATTACCATCCGATCTCGGTCTCGACTGGATTTCCCGATGCCGACACGGGCCGCGGCGGAAGAGAAGAAAAAGAAAAAAAAAAGAAAGAAAGAAAGCAAGAAAAAAAAAAGGAGGCGAAAAAAACTCGGACAGATGGATTCGTTGAGAATCCCAGTGGAAAAGGAAAGAGTCCCCCGCGGAAGCGCTCCCTGACATACGGGGCAGCTAATCCGAATGGAGATTGTGGGCCATGAAACCCACCTCAACAAATAGAAACGGAACCGAAAAGGAAACCGAAGATCAACTGCATGTGAAAGGGGCGTGAGCCCGGGAGCGATAGAAGTTGCGACATCCAGCGACACACTTCGTGATAATCGGGGACGCTGAGCATGCAACGAGCATGCAACGAGCATGCAACGAGCATGCTGGGTCTGCTTGTCATACGCACAGTGGATGCAAGGGTAAGAGAGCCAGCTGTCCTGGTTGGGAACAAATCGCCAAATCAGTCCCTGAGCCATCTCTGAATGTCGTGCTAGAGGCGCAAGCCGAGGATGGATCTTTCGTTGTTTTCGTTGTTTCTGACGAATCTGTTATCTTGCCCCCCTGCTCTCTCTCGTTTTCTTCCGCACGCCGACGGAGCAGGGAGATTTGCTTGCGTCGGGCTTGATCTACAAGGGGAATATCTCAGTCTGGTCCTCAGCCTTCTTAAGGCTACATTAAACCTCTTTTCTCTTGGTCTTGGCCTTGATATCCTTTTCTGTTGTTCTAGAACTTCTTCGGGAATATGGCAATGTCCCCTACTGTGCCATTACTAGTTAATAATCCATGAAGAAAGAACACTCAAGTGGCCTGAGATTCTTCCACAGGTATGGCTTCCATGATAGCCAAAGTTGAACGCGCTTGTGCCTGCAGAGGATGAGAAGAGCCCCGAGACAGTCGCAAGATCATTCATATTTGTTCCTGTTCTTGTTGTCTGGCTCTTATCGCCGGTATTTGTCCCCGTTCTAGGTGCAATATCAAGGATCCACTTCCAGTTGGGATCCTCCAGAGAAACCGGGGCATGTCGGCGTGTTACCAGAATGAGACGAGCCAGTACTTATAGTCCATAAGCCCCTCAATTGGTCCCCGGGGCCCGCAGACATAGACATCGGGTTCTTTTGGGCAATTGTAACAGGAATAAGGCTCTTTCCCTCTTTTTGTAACTCCAGTAGTCTCAAGGCGGTCCGAGTATCATCAATTTCCCTTAGTGTTGATTCGGGAATACCGAGATTCTGCGGCGTTATTAGCCGCGAGGATCGAGCGAGACACTACTACATAATCATTCTGATGTAAGAACGAGTCCAGACAAGAGAAGTGAACAAATTCGTAGAGAGCATCAGCACATGCATCACCAGCCCAGGGCAGACTGGCACTCTTTGGCCCCAGCGAGGTGAATATCGCTTATTATCGGGCCGTGCCTGATCCTGGGTTTGCAGCCTGGGAGAGCCGCATGATGCTTATTATGCAGACCAAATGCATTAGCCAAAGGGGAGCCCAGATTGCCAGGCACTCTGTGCTCAACAAGAGATTCGTTGTTACAATGGGGCTTATATGGGGGGCTGCCGTTGCCCGGAAGGACTAGACGGAGGCGAAGCAGGGCGGTTTGATGTCGGTTCCCGTACATGTGTTTGTCCGATTCAACAAGAACGTTTGTGCGGAGCCGCGAGAACCATGGCTCTCATAAGAGAGAACAATATCGACAACACCATGCAATGATAACTTTGCATGCTACAATAGACGCAAACTCTCGGATATGAAATATGTACGGTGCATTTCATCGCCAATAAAGACACCTCATGCCATTATGAATAAACTGCGCTCAGATGATATAGCTCCATTCGTCCGTATGTCCTCGAGTCCGTACAACCAAAACATTTTCGGTCGTTTTGCTCTTGTTGAAAAGACGTGGCTTCGCTTCTAAAAGCATACTTGCAAAACTCACAAAACTCCCTTTACACCTACGGGCGCATCCATGATCACAAAAGCGCAAAAGAAACGGCGACGGCGATTATGCTTCAATCTCACCGCGGCGAAGGGCTAACAGGGCCCGGACGTCGGTGACATATTGCAAAGATTCCAGCATCGGGACGAGGTGGAGAAGCCCGTTATCCGTCGGGTCGTTGATCCAACCTTCAATGGGGATGGCGTTGTCTAGAAAACAGGGTTAGTGAACTGAAATAAGATGAAATATCCGGCATGGCGTGCTACACACCCTCATGGAAGAGATAGCTCATCGGACTGTTATCCAAAATCATGACCTTGCTCAGGTCCGGTTCGACGGAGCTGAGATCTTTGATGTACGCGCCGTTGCGAAGCGTGCAGTGCTGTCGGTAGTAGCGTGCTTGAAAGTACTTGCGTTCCTGCTCGAGCCAGTCGATCACAGGGTCGGCATACTCTTGTACAGATGCTGTGAAGATCACAAGCTTGTACCACTTGGAAATCTTTCGCAAGAAGTCGTCACAGTGTGGCCGTTTGTGGACATAGTACAGAATCGGGTGCTGCGGACCCAATGCAGTCGGCGGCCCGCCTGGGCTCAGAGCTGTGGTCACGGGCATGGAGAGCTTGACCTCTACCATATGGCCGCTAGACATGCGGCCGCCCTTTGCGAGCGAGTGGATGAGCGTCTCATCGAGATCCAGCACTAATGTTTTCTGGGGGAGCTTGGTATTTCGCGGTGCGCCGGTGTATGAAGGCAGTCGTTGTGGGAGAAGAGGACGTGGTGGAGTTGGAGAGTGGGGATACTTTGTAATGCGATGAACGGATGGAGAGGTGGGAGACTTCAGGCTATCCAGATTAACGGCACCCTGGACTCGAGTCACGCCCGCAGGCATCGGTTGCCCCAAATCCGCACTCCGGGTCCGCCGTTGTTGTCTCTGTCGCTTCAAAGATTCCTCGTTGTGCAGCTTGATTCGTATCGACCGGCGTGGTACGGTTTCGTCCTGGACAAGATCTGGATCAGGGCCCTGGTCCTTGTTCGATCGACTCTTGGCGCTGGTGAGACCTTTGGCAGCTCCGTGGTCCGTTTCTGATTCAGAGGTATTGGAATGAATGGATTCACGAGATGTCTGGGGGCTAGGCGTGCGAGTGGAGCCACTTCGTGGACGAGGTGCTACCCGAGAGGTCCCGTTATCCGATCGGATCCTTGTATCGGCAGAAGTTCTCCAGATCCTTCTCACTGGGGCAAGAAGCGAGTAATGCCCGTCATTATTTTGAAAGCACTGGGCCAGGTACATGCCAGGGGCAGCAAGCGTAGACAGAATGAAATGGATCGTCTCCGCGATCGCGTTGAAGAGCCGCTTGGTGATGAGCCGCCAGGTGCTCTTCGTTGAGAGGATGCCATCTTTCTGGATACCGTGCAGTAAGGTGGTCTTCTCATCAAATGATGGATGTGTGCCCTCGTATTCATCGTCCTCCACATATGGCCCGGTGCCGTCGTAGCTCTTCTCCAAGGCGATGCTCGTCCGGAAGTTGTCCTCGCTGTAGGACCGGTGCTTGCTGAAGTCAAAGTTGCCTGGCGCAGCGGCGCGCCGCTTCTCGCCTTGGGATTGCGATCGTGGACGCGTAGAGCTGGAAGACTGCCCGATGACTCGCGAGGAGAGGATGTTCAGCGAGTTCATCTTCCAACAAGGCCCACGGGAGGCAGGGGCCGCTTTAGATGATCTAAAGGACAGGTTTGATCGTGAGCGACTCGTCAAAATCACTTAGAGCGGTCCATTGGGGGAGCAATCGTAGGGTCGTGGAGGTTCTCAAGGGGAAAGGAGGGGTATCGCAAGGAGGCGTAAGCTAGATGCACGACTCGCGGTTCTACAGACCTCAATGCGCCAGTCTCACCCGGGCCGCGGAATTACTTTCGCGCTCAACTCCAGGCCGGTTGCTGCCGCAGATGCAGAAGGCGACTGCAAGGGACCGAAGATGGAGGGAGATATTAAAGTAAAGAAGCAAAGAGAAGCACGCCACAGACGCGAAAAGGAGAAGGAGGGAGGGCCGTGAAGAGTAGCAAAGTGTGGGGAAGCGGACAGGCGTCGAACGGCAGAAAATCGGTTTCTTTGTCGCCCACTTTGCCCTCACTTGAGCGTCAGTCTCCTGCAGGAACAGATATCTCTTTATCTTCACCTCAAAAATTCAGAAGGTAGGTTACTCTACATCATGACTCTTGGATTCCACCACTGGTGACCTCGAAGAAAGCTCGCTAACCTCCCCTACAGACTGCCCTGCTTCGCTGTATCGCATATCCCACTTCCTCATGCCATCCACGTCGCTTGCCCTGACGCCGGGCTTGGGGTCCTTCCTCAAATCGCTCAAGACCCACCCGGTCGATACCTCTATCGAAAACCTCATTTCGTACGCCTCCTTCCATCTTCCTGGCCCGGCCCACCCGCGACGAGCGATTTCATTGCTAATTTGGACTCATTCTGTTCAGATTGCTCAAACGACGTCAGATTCGCCATTCGCGATCGTGCGCTACAGCAACTGCGTATCTGCTTCGGCATGTTGTCTCAGTATGCAAGACATCTGACCCGGCAAAGCTCATTGAGCGGGTGCAGAGCGTGGGGAGGCGGCTCATGGCGGCCCAGCCGCGCGAGATGGTGGTGGGCAACGTTGTGCGACGGGTGCTTGGCCTTATTCGCGATGAGGCGGAAGACGACCGTGAAGCTGAGTTTACTTTGAGTGAAGCTGGATCAGAGAGCCAACCCCAAACTCCTCGAGCCTTTGACGGTTAGTCCGCAGATCTCCATGACTCACATCCTTCAATCCGGCACTGACCCAAATTTGAACAGATGCGTCACTGCCCTTGGATAGAGATGCGCTTTCGCTGCGTGCAGAAGGCGCAGAACGCTCATCCTCCCGCCCTACACTCCAGTCCATGTTCAGCCTCCTTTCCCACCCCGATGCAGACCACTCGCTACCCAGCACACCAGGTACCCAATCTCCAAATGGGCGGATACCCGGCCATGGCCCTAGCAGCAAAGATGTTAAGGCCGAAGTGTTGGAAGGCATTGGTGAGATTATCGATGAGCTGGGTCAGGTCGATGATCAGATTGCTTCCTACGCGTTAGAGCATATCCACTCCAACGAGATCATCCTCACACATACTTCATCCACGACTGTGCAGAAGTTCCTCGTCAAGGCCGCTTCCAAGCGCAAGTTCACTGTCATTCACGCCGAGTCATTTCCGAATAACCACGAGGCTACTCACGCGACTGTCAGCGGCAACTCCTCCGGTGACGATGAGCACCTGAGCTTCGAGTCCTTCCAGAAGCCTCTTATCGCCCTCGGCATCACCGTCATTCTCATCCCAGACTCTGCGGTCTTTGCTCTGATGTCTCGTGTCAACAAAGTCATCCTAGGAACTCACTCTGTCCTCGCAAACGGCGGCCTTGTTGCTGCTGCCGGCACCCGGGTCATTGCTCGCGCCGCCAAGGTCCACCAAACCCCCGTCGTTGTCGTCAGCGGTGTTTACAAATTGAGCCCTGTCTATCCATTTGACTTCGACTCGCTCATTGAGTATGGCGACGCCAGTAAGGTCCTCCCTTACGAGGACGGCGACCTCGTCGACCAGATTGACGTCCAGAACCCGATCTATGATTATGTCCCAGCGGAGCTGGTCGACCTCTACATCACCAACTTGTAAGTTCCATGTCGAGTTCCTTTGCACCCGTATGTTTGACTAATGTTTGTTTGTTCTTCATTCCAGAGGCGGTCATGCCCCGTCATACCTCTACCGTATTGTGTCCGACCACTATCGGAAGGAGGATATCAGCTTTTAAACGAGGGGCTAGTCAACAAAAATTTCTTAGTGGGCAGTCTACTGACGCTGCCACTGGCAGGAGGGCCCATGTTGGAAACGATACCCGAGAATGATGTGCGATGAACGTTATGCGGGAGTCTTGTCAGGGTTTTCTATATGGGATCGGTGTGCGATAGATATAGAAATCAAAATATTCAGGATTGATGCGAAAGAGTTTTGCTGTGCATTCTGATTCAATACTACGCATACAGCGGAGCTTTTAACAGTCCTATATGGCACTTGCTTACAGGTTGATATTATGAAGGAATCAAACGAAGCCGTCCAAGGTTGATGTATAGCGGTGATAGAGCTGAGGCAGGAACGGGCAAGATGTATATCTACACGACCGGCTACATAGGTGACTCTAGGCACCAGATCTCCTCTGTCGGATGGGGCTTCCCTATTTTACCTACCGCCGCTTTTATGAGGGCGCTCGGAGTCAGGGGATGACCGGCACACTATATTATTCTCGCCTAGGTACTTCTTAGGTTATAGCAACCTCATTTTCGAAATGATACCCAATTTGGCACCATGTAAAAGATATATATATTAAACGACAACAAGGCCGTAGCTACCAGGGTTGAAGCTGATAGAAATGTACAACGGAGTTTGAGGATAGGTACATGTTGTGTTGGATAGAAACCCAACCACCTTAGTGGTCCTATTAGGGTGATTTAAAGAATCTGGGCTGGTGAATGGGTTGAACTACCTACGTCTGCCTTGAGCTACGTAGCGCAACGCTCGAGGCTGTCTACACATTATTAGAGAACCAACGAGGATACTCAGTGAAGGATATTGAGAGGAGGACATCAAGTCCCCAAAGATGAAATATCATAGCGCCATCTTTTTGGAATTTGTATCAAATCGTGTTAATTCGCACACATGAATCCAGACGAAAGCCCGCCCGGGTGGTTATTCCCCAAAAAAAGTTCTCATGAAATCCAGGCGCTGATGAAGACGGGCTTTCTGTCCGGCACCGACCCCACAACACTCCATCACCCTGTCCACCGCATTTTGCTTTTGATGGGCTCCTCTAAGAGCGGGGCTTCTCCTTCTTCTCCTTCCACAGAGCGGCGAGACCGACACCGGAGACCTTGACGACCTTGAAACGGACACCGGGAATATCACCCTTGGCCTTGCCCTTACGACCGAAACCGGCCAGGAGAACCTCGTCGTTCTCGTCGATGAAGTTCAAGCAACCGTCATTGGGGACTGTAGAATGGCTTCAGTTAGCGCAATGATCCTGTTTGTAGCAGTCGACTGCCAGATGGTACATGGTCGAAGCGCTCAAGTCGCTCGACATAGCCAGGTTTCGACCACATAAAGATTGATAAGGGATCACCCACCGAAAGCAGCGACCTTCTTGCCGTTCTTGATCAGCTGGACCTTGACACACTTCCGGATAGCGGAGTTGGGCTGCTTGGCCTCAACACCGACCTTCTCCAGAACGATACCCTTGGCGTGGGAAGCACCACCGAAGGGAGAGGACTTGAAGGCGGTACCGAGCAGGCGCTTCTTGAAGTGGAGATCGGCCCAGCGCTGCTCCTTGCGGTGCGCCTGGAGCTTGCGGGCGGCGTTGAGACCACGGGGCTTTCCTTTACCCATCTTGAATTATGCTGGTCGGTCTGAGGCGAGAAAAATGAATGTTAGTTTGCGGTCTGATTTTGCACAACGGCGAGTGGGTTCGTGTGATGGGCTCGATGGGTATGCTGGTGAGGACAAGGACGAGTCGGGAATTTTTGTGCGTGCAGCCGGGATGGTTGACTTGAGAGTTGGGGGTTGATGTCGAGTCGCTCGCAACCACGACAACACACAAAAAGAGATTCCAGGTGTTGCTTGTCCGAAATAATATCACAGGGAATGCTCAGGGGTCGATACGTACCGACTGAGAATGGGTGTTGTCGCCAAAGGCTGAGGGTCGTGGGGTGTCGAAAAGTCGAAGGTTTCGGATTTCCCTTGAATGCCGGCGCACTCGCTTGCTTGGGACACTCCCTCACCTGACTTTGTGCGCTTTGCCCTAAGCGAGTCACGGGATCGGACAAACCCCCCACCCGCCTTTTAGGTAAGCATAGCCCCGATAAGATAACAACCTTATCGCTTATCGGGATTCACCTTGGACAGCTCCGGACCGCGCCAGTAACGAACTATTGCCTGCTGTTATACATCCTTCCATCCACGCGGTAGTCCCCCGATGGATTCCTCCAGGAAGCTCCAAAGCTCTCAGCGGCTTCCACCGCCAGCCCTGTTCCAGGGTCCGCCATCACACAATGCATCCAACATTTCTCTCTCCGTACCTCCTGCTGGGCCCGCACTCGTGACTCCCTCCGGCAGCCAACCTCCACCCCTCCATCGCAACCAGTCTAATCGGGGCAACGATGGCGGCTGCGCCGACAACCGTAGCCTGCTCTCTCCATTCATGTCCCGACAGTACTCCAAAAACGATGTGGACGGGTCAGACGCCATCTGGCAGGAAATGCAAAGTGCACTCTCCGAGGTGGAACTATGCGCAGTGACGAGCGAGCATGTCTTTGGCGAGAAGCACGCGGAGGCGCTAGAGGATTTACGCCTGAAGCAACTGAAGCTGGCTCAGGCATGGGCCCGCAGCGAGGCCGACGATGAAGTTGTTGGTTCTAGCCGCAACACTATCGACGGCGAGAACTCTGCTACGGGTGCAAAACGTCGAGGCTCGGGGGAAGGGAAAAGTGCAGACGCCACGACGAATGAGCAAGCACCTAGCAAAGACCGGGTCTCCCATCGAACCTTAGACGAAGAGACCGAGAAGGATATCATTCTTGCGCGCAAGCGCCGCGAGGCGAATGACCGATACTTTGACCGAGTCAACCAGGGTGTGCTGGACGTGGTTGCCAAATTGGAGGATGTCTCCCAGGCTATGCGCACAGTCGAGAGCGAAAGCAAGGATATTTGGAGTGACTCGGAGAGTGGGACAGCTGCACCGTCGTCCACCAACTCCGGTTGACCAGCGAGCCCCGGTCTGCATTGGAGCCTTAGCCTTTGATCACCCAGCACATCTTCATGGAGGGTGCTATTAACGCCGCTACGAACCCGCGCTGGACGCATCTACAACTTTGCATGCGATGCACCAGCCATCTGGAGCTATAGCCTGCTAATACATGTACATTACCCAAAGAGAAAGCCAGCAAAGACAACTTGTAAAATTGAGCGCATCAAATAAATATGCCTGGGGTATCCTAACGCCGCTCACCATGCAAGACCAACCTTTATAATACATTATACAATCAATCAACCAGATACGGCCCAGGGTTCAGTCCTTCTTCACCAACCGCAAAATAGCCTTCCAACCCTCTGATGCGGTCTCCCTCACATCTTCCCAGCGAGTCTCATGCGCCTTGCCGGCAAGTTTCTCAATTTCTTGATTCCACTTGTGCTTCAGAACCTCTTTCATTGTGATTTGGTCTTCTCTCCGACCATGTTGCTCTTCTGGGCGCTGGGCCTGGTGTTCTGGAAAGAAGCGCCGGTCGTAGGCACCGGCAGAAGCGGCGAGCCAGTTTATTTGATCGACTTGTTCGCGGATCTGTCGGCGCTGTTCGAGGCGTGTGGCGCGATGGACCGTGATGGTGATGTATAAGATGGAGGTGGTGAGGGCAAAGCCACTGAACTGTTGATTGTAGAGAGGAATCAGACCACAGTACTCAGATATCGGACATATTAAGTGTTAAGCAGGACGTACAAATCCAGAGACGAAACCCATCGCGGTCCCGAGATGAGTGAGGTTTTGTAGGCTCCGGCGGCTTCAATCGAGCTGAACGCGTCAATTTAGGTGCAGAGTCCACGGACCAGGATATGGTCTAGGTCAGTACTGCCTTTCACAGGGAAAGAAGATTAATAACAGAGACTGAATGTATGGTGAAGCCGTCGCTGCGCCCGGAAAAAGGAAGTCGGACAAGGCGGTGGAAGCTCTCCGATTGGGCGGGCCCCCGACGAATCTTTTGAGCCGAACTCCCTCGCGACCTCCGGCAGACTAGCATTTGCATTTCTAGGGAACAATTGAGCCGTCTGTCCCGTGCTTTTGGTCTCAATTGTGTCTTGATTTCCTTTTCTCTCTCTTTACACCTCCCTAACCCACACGCACACACCCACTCTCTCTCCCACCATGGCTGGCGGCGGAGGAAAATACCGGCACCTGGGCCGCAAGTCCTCGCATCGACAGGCCCTGCTCCGCAACCTGGTTACCTCACTCTTCGAGAATGAATCGATTACAACAACATGGGCCAAGGCCAAAGAGGCGCAGCGGTTGGCGGATAAGTTGATTACACTGGGCAAGAAGAACTCGGAGGCCAGCCGGAGACGGGCATTGGAGATTTTCTATGTACGTGATTGTCCTCCCCACGGTTCTCCCATTTTCTCCATCCCCAAAGCCGTATTCCGGTTATAAAGAGGAAAATACTCTGTGTCCCGATATAGATTGGCTGCTAATAGTTCCCTCAGAAACCTCACGATATCCTCCCTAAACTCTTCGGCCCCCTTCGCGAACGCTACGCCGATCGACCAGGCGGCTACACCCGTGTGCTCCGTGTCGAGCCCAAGGAGAAATACGAATACTACTCCGTCCGCAAGGCCGACAAGAACGCCGTGCCTGAGCGCAAGCCTGCCGACCAAGCGCCGAGTGCGATCCTCGAACTCGTCGATGGACCCAAGGACATGCGTTTCGCGATGACGGCGCGCGCAATCGCGCGCCAGCGTGAAGAGGGCTTCACCGAACACGAGCTTACCACTCTGAATAAGAAGAAGGTCACGCAGTTCCGAAAGGACGGTGTCGATGCGCTGGAAGCGGCTGTCCAGAAATTGCAGATCCGGGAGTCCGAAGCCGAGGTTGTGCCTGTGCTTCCTCACAGTGAGGAATCGAGGGCTGCGCAGGAGGAGGCTCGGCGGAGTGAGACTCAGGCTGGTCGTCTGGCTCAGGAGGTTGATGGGCTCAAGTCGGCGCAGTGAGTGGAAGTTTCGGTGGCTCGTGTGCGTCGCGGATTGATGCATAATGGTCTCATCTCCAGTGGATTGGTTATTCCTGTTTCAACGCCGGTGAACCGTGGATTTTCCGTTTCTTGTCTGTTTTCATAGGAGTTTTGCTGCTTCGGGTATCTAGTTTTCCCTCCGTTGTGACCGCATCCATGTGACATAGCCTGTGTACAGTATAAAATATATCTATACCTCTTCTTCATCTACTTCACATACTACACATAACTCGCAGCCTAAGCATATCTCACTGGAAGAATTTACTTTGCATTGTCAGGAGCAACTAGGATAACGGTCAGTGCCAAGTTTGAGAACAAATATATTTTTTGCGGAAACCAGTCAATTTGCGGACCAATAAAGAAAGATAGAACCATATTTTCCTAGATAAGGTGGCCGGCGACTAACAAGTTTTAACTATAGAAAGGCTTTTAATGCAGAAACACCGAAATAACCCCTTATGTGTTCTCAATAAGGATGTCGACTACAATTTCACTATCACTCAGATCGGAAACACAATCCGCGGCAGGTTGTAGACATTGAAATATGTGATTTGATGGCTAACGACGCGTTACTCTTTGAGCCCTCAGATCGCTATGCAGCTTGCTAACTGTACAAGCCAACCGGGCTGATACACACATGAAGGCATAAACGCCTCTCCACTGCTACCATCTCCACTAGCACGGATTGCATGCGCAGAGACAAGTGCTAAAAGAACAAGAAATTGTTCCCTTGTTCGAGTCATCATCCACGAATCTAGTCCGTTTTTGAGGGGAAGGTTCCCCCTGAAACAACCAGAGGCCCGTTCTTGATGCCAGAGATGCCGTTTCTGGCGGCTGCCGGAGTGGGCAAGCCGGTACGATGCTTCAGCTCGAAGTCGGAAGGAACTTCAGAGGGAGGGGGTTTGGGAGGGAGGTGGGATGGAATACCCCATTTTGCGATGGAGGTTTGGGTGCTTGTATTCGGAATGCGAGATGCGTTGGCGGCTGGCGAGTGGTCGACGGTCTGGTTGGGAATAGACTCTGGGAATCTAGACAGCCAGTTGGGCTGGGTGGTGTTGGGTGGTCGGTTACCGTACGGCTGCATTTGCTGCTGCGCGCCCTTGCTTGGGTGCCGCTGCATCCCAGCATCCCCCGGGATAAACGAGCGGGTCTGGGGATTGAAGTGGGATCCGGGGAAGTTACCTGCCATCCCGGGGTTCCCAGGGTTCTGAAGACCCAGGTTCAGGTGCTGCCCAGGGTACTGGGTGTAGGGATAGGCGGCTATGTTGGAGGTCATTGACTGAGCAGGATAGTTGGCCCAAGGAACAGGAGGTTGGTTGCGCTGATGCGGAGATGGCTGGAAGTTTCCAGGGAAGGGTCCTGAGTTCCAATTATGAGTCTGCTGGAATTGCGGAGAATGTGGGGTAGGGAAGTTGTTCATGGCTGGCGAGGATTTGGTCGATGGCTGTTGACCCAACAAACCAGGCTGGTTCATTGAAGAGTAGCCAGAGAATGGCGACTGCTGCGGCATGTTTCCTCCTTGCCAGGAGCCACTAGAGGCCATTTGTGGTGACATTGCCATTGGATACTGTGGCACGTTGTTCATGCCCATCTGCCCCGGGTACATCGCGTTGTTCTGGACAGCAGACATGTAGCCGCCGGAAGGGGGAGACACACCGGGCCCAACCATGTACGGAACTTGATTAGCGTAGGAGCCATCCCCCCAGCCGCATTGTAAGCCGGCGAACCATTGTTATTGTATTGCAGTCCCGGATAGTAGGGGTTGAACTGGGAACGAGCTTCGAAGCCGTCATCATGAGGAGTACGCTGTCTCTGGTTCTTCTTGCGTCCACTGGTCGAGCTTGAGCGGGACATATTCAGGTTCGAGTCGGCGCTAGCCTCTGACTTGGCACTCTCGGGGAAGTCGCGGAAAATTCGCTCACGCACTTCCTGATACTTGGCTTCGCGTTCTTCTCGGGTCATAGCCATACGGTCCTTGGCAGACATTGGGCCTGTCGAGCCGGTACGGTCTCCATCATGGCCCACATCACCAGACTCTGAAGCCGCCTTAGACGGTACAGATGAGCTTGTTGCTACACTACCTTCGGCGGAGGGCTGTTCTCCATCTGTACGACGCATGATTTTCATGGCCGGAATAGATGCCAGGGGTTCATTGGTGGCAGGATACAAGTCGGACAACGGCGTGGGGCTAGCCAAGTTAGTCATTTCAGATCCCACCGTGTCGGATCAAGGCAGTGGACTTACAGTCTGGAAAACGGTGTTCGGTGGAGGCGCACTGAGGTCACGTTGTTGTCCACGAAATGGGTTAAATGGTAGTAATCCCCTAGTCTATGCGCAAGAAGTCGGCCAAATGAATTGTCCGGTGGCAGTTCCAAGGATTGTTCACTGCGCCGAAAGGTTAGTCTTGGAGCAATACCAGGAAGCTAAGTATGATCTCTCTTACCTGGAAAATTCGATGAAGTAGCGAATTTTCTCCTCTATTCCAAGGATCATCAGGCGATCTTTGATGTTTTTCATCGCCGTTACGAGTTTCTCATCCGGCTCAAGTGGGAATGGATGAATGCTCTGGGCATTCGGCGGGTTCTCAGGACTGGCCGGGAGCACGAAATTGTTCGCAACCGAATCTGGAGGAATAATAGCAGCCCCTCGCGGGTTGCCACTGTTGAAAAGAGGGCTAGGCAAAGGAGGACCCCGCGCGGTCGTGGAGCATTGTTGTCGCGGAAGTGGTCTCGGAAGTGGTCGCGGAATGCACGTCCACCAGCCTCAGAACCCGTCACCGAGTTTGGAGCACCAGAGGCAGCCCCGGAAAGAGATTCCTCTTCATCAATGGCTTGAACGCTCGCACTGTCGTCAGGTCGAACTGAGTCTTTCTCATCCATAGCAAAGGTCGTCACTGACGCCAAGCTTTTGGAGTCGAAATTGGTCATTTTGGTGGAGGAGGTTGAGAGGTGGGTACGATCATCCTCAAAGGAGTTCTCGCGCTTGAGCAGGCCATTGTCCTGACCATCCATTGAAGATCCTGAGCCTTCACGGACTTTCCGCAGGGTGACATCGACCTCCTGCACGGCTTTCGTCAGATCGTCGACGTCGGGATCACCTGGAGGGATCTGCCGCTTGATGGTGTTCAGGTTGTGAGGACCGGGTACGGAAGCTCCAGTTTCAAGTAATTCCGCACATGAAGTGATATCGACCGGCGGAGCGCTGCCGTTCTCGTCGGATGCCGCCAGCGATTGGGGGTTGGAGGGTGCAGACATAGCAGCAACCTAATAAACAATTAGGCAGTGAAGCCAGTAGATAGGCGTGAAGCAGCTTACCTTGGTAAAGTAGAAGTGTGCGTCCCCAGTGGTCGTCCTCGGAGATGCCATAGCAACTGCACCCAGCGATTGTTGTCGGGGTGGATGTTGCGATGAGGTTTCGAAGATTGCACCGATGTTATAGAAATCAAAGCCACACCACAGCGGCACTCAACACGTCTCCGGTGTCAGGCAAATCGAAAACGACGATTGAATCGAAAGTAGGTCACTGGAGTATTCCGTTTCACACAAGTCCGAAAAGAAAGACATTTCTCTGATAAAGGACCTTCGCCATTAGGGAAAGCTGTGAGCAGGCAACGAGTCAGCACGGTTTCATTCATGTTGCCGGAAGGACCCGTGATTTATGTATTCGTACGAGGCAGCGCTCTATGCGGAGAAATGGACTAGGAAAGTGGGCCTCACACGATGTCAAAGCTGGTTCATGGTAAAGGCAATAGAGACCTCAATTGGAGATGGGTGGAGGGTCCAGGACGGGGCGAGGAGGGACCAGGCCTAGAATGCCACTATATGAGCTGGCCACGGGTATACGCCACACCGGGGTCAAAGAAAGCCGAATGGATAGTGCCGGAGAGAAGGAGCGTTGGGGAGTCGTAGTTCTGATTATTCTTCAACGCCTGAAGGGTTCGTGGGCGCCATTTTGCCGCGCCCGACCGCTTTTACCGCGCGCCTACAATTTCCTTTCCAATGAGAACAACCGCGGCGGACGAAGCGCGTTGTGAACCGGCCGGTGCTACGTCTGAATATCGAGCTTCCACCGTCTTCCTTTTCGTGCAAACCATCCTGCTCTGACTCCGACGGGCCTTATCCTTACTGTGCTATGAACCGCTATCGAAATGCTCCGGGGCTCCGAGCCGGGCCTAGCAAAGCTTCTGCGACAACTTTATGCCAAAAATGCTTGAAACGAGATATGTGGCCCTTGCCTTGTTGCCGATTGGTGCTCGACTGACTTCTATGCACGGCATTACAGCTATGAATGCAAAGCAACGGCGCAGGAACGCCCATATACGGCTCGGCCATCACGGACCCAACAATTGCAGAACCCTCGGCTGATGCCTAAGCTCACAACCGAGGTGCCTACTGATTTACAGAGGACGTATGTTGCTTGTGTTTGCCTCTTTATTTGTTTTCTCCCCCCTCACCCAAATTGGGGACTAACGTGGAGATTAGGACCGGCGTGGCGGACGAGATACTCGCAAAACGGGAGGAGGAGCGTGGCCGGAAGAGAGATCATGACAGCGAGGATATGGAAGGCCGCCATGGGCACTCTCCGAAGCGAGCGAGGTCTCTATCATCGGATTCCGCAAACTCGATCTCAACAATATCCACCAATCGGTCCGCGTCAGCGTCGCCAGACCGCCACAGTAAGCATGGCTCCCATACCAATGGCCACCGCAGTTCAGCATCACCACCTCATGGTGATACTCGAAAGAGAAGATACAGCGACTCTTCGGACGGCTACTCCGCAAAGGGGTACTCTTCAGGCGCCAGGCACCGATCGAGGTCCAGAGAATGGACCGATGACAGGAACATCCGACGACGACGCCAGGAAAGCAGCCCCGGGCAACGTGGAAGAAGCCGTGATTCGGAAAGGCATGATTCTCGAAAAAGAGACCGGCGCAGCCAGAGTGTGGACCAGAGTCGGATCGCAATAGAACGGCGTTCCATGACACCAGATGCTACCTACGACCATTCACAAAAACGCTCTTATCGAGATCGAGAACCGCTACAAGGGCCTCCGCAACCATCGCAGCCTGGACGATCCAGGCAGGAACCCAGGGCGCGCGCAGGACCACCTCGGGAACGAAGCCTAAGTCCATATAGCAAACGTCTTGCATTGACTCAGTCTATGAATCTGGGACGGTAGATCCGGACAGTGTCTAAAAGCGAACGGTTTTTTTTATTCCAGATCTTATGACGGGTAATCTGGCCATTGGCGCAAGTATGGCTCGGGCGAACAGACATGGCCAACTTCTCGTTCCTTAGCTATCACTGGAACATCCTGTATTAATAGCATATCCATACATTCCGACGTGCAAAACATTTTCAGCGCTTTTTTTGTGTCTGTAAAGTACCTTCGACCCCAATCAGACGCCCCAGACCAACAGAAAAGAGACGAGCCGGACTTAATGGACATGAGATAATCAAAGATCATAAAAGTTACAGTAGCAGAAGGGTCAGACAGTGACCGCAGTTCTGCAGTATAGGGTATCACTTCAAATCGTATCCTCGTCGTTGTCTTCCTGCTCCCGGATATGGATTCCCTCCACCAGAGCATCACCTTCGATGCCCACTTCCTCCCCTCCGTCGCCATTCGAAGTTGCGCCCCGTTCCTTCGCCACGCGCTGTGCAGTCTCTATTCGCTGTCGTACCAGGCGGGCGATAGCATTCTCCGTCCGCACGTTGAGAGTAGTCAGCTTCTCGTCCAGATCCCGCCGCAGATCCCAATTGGGCTTCTTCGGCTGCAGCTTGAACAGGTCGATGGGCTGGTCGGCATCCTCGTCTTTCTGAGCTTGTTCCTTCACAGCCTCCGCGATCTCGGCGGCCTGGGTTTCCACCGTCACTTTCCCCTCTTGCGGACCTTGCTCGAAGCCCAATTTCGGTCCGCGGGTCTCGGCGTCGTAATTGCGGCCGGAGAGGAACGTCGTTGTCACATCGGGGCTAGAGTTGTCTTTTGCATCGCCACCGGCACCGGTATCTGTCGAGTCCTCCGGCTCGGGTTGCTTGCGTTTAAGCGCGGCGAGCTTGGCCAGGCGGGCTTTGCGGTCGTTGGAGGCCGCATCCAGCGAGGCGTGGCTCGACGACATAGTATGAAGGTAGGTTGAATGTAAAAGGAGGGAAAGAGAAGAAGCTGAAGATTCGGATTAGGTGGAAGATTCACAAAAGCGACACAGAAGAAACCCCAACGTCCTCCGCTCCTTGAAAAAGTTGGAGGTGGGTGATGATGTTTGAGCGATAACGATGGGGCGCGCCACACTTTCAGCCACAGCAAAATCGGGCGGTCTCTATCTTGTCTTCAATCTTTCCGATCGACCGCGTCGCCAACACTGAACTTCTCCCAGCAATTTGCGCCCTTTATTTTGCCCTCGTCAGTCTTCGATGCAAGCGATCGCGGGTCCCTGAATGTCATTGTGTCCGCATCAGCTGGTCCGCCCCCGCCTCCAGGCTCTGTTTTCGGCACCATGTAGGAGCCCCGGCCGCTGGCAGCGGAGCTTGCGGACACCGAATACGCGACATGCATTTCAATATGTGTCGAATCATACCTCGGCGGCCTCACAACCCGGCGGAGAAGGGCACACCTTTGCAGATCTCACCGTCGAGCAGTTGAAAAGCAACCGCGAGCAACCCAAAGGTTCAGACTCGGACTTGAACAAGCGACAGAATCAAAATTGGAGATCGGGAAGAACAAAATCTCAACGGCAGTTCGGCCGTCGCAACTCCATCGACCAAGAAAATGAAACAAATCAAGATACGAACACAGATAGTCGGAATCGCCAGCCCACCGGTCGCCCTCAGCGTCGTCGCAACGATACTAGCCCGCGATTAGTGTCTAAAAGATCTGTCAAGAGGATAATGACCTCGGATGGTCTCAACACTAGACACGCAACCTCTGTACTTCACAGACTTAACAACGAGATTCAACGTGAGAAAAGAGTTCTCAACAAGAAATCGGTGGCTCTGGCGACAAGTATTCGTGGAAGGGCGATCTATTCTTCAAAAGGCATGGGGCTCTCGACGTGGCACCGTGCGTATGAAGAGATCTATAAGGCCAAACATTACCAGCGTGAAGTCAACGACATGAGCGTCATACCGTCATTGGACAAGGATGGGCTAGCCATGTTGGCTAAGATTCAAGAAGATTGCAATGGGCAGTTTCGAGAAGTTTGGCAGGCTAGCCATCGAGATGTCAAAGCTGCGCAATGGCAAGCCTTGGCTTTCTGGCTACTTCAGAATGATCCAAAGCTGTTTTTGGATTTTCTGGTGGTTACAATGAAGGGCAAGGAGAAGCCGGACTTTACCATGGTCACGGACTGTCTTCTATATGTTGACAACTTCTACTACGCAGAGCTGAAGAATTGGGAAACTGGCCCTCGCTCACATTCATACTCGTGGATGATCGAGTATTGCCTGCGTCCGAGCACTTGGCCCATAATCGCACCGCCGCAAAAGGGCATTCGGCTCTATATTCGACGAGCCAGGCCGTACGGTGTCCGATTGGCTTTCCGTACGATGAAAGCAAGGAAGATCAAGTGGAAAGCGGAAACACAGCTGTGCCTAGTGAACCGGTTTACCCAGCTTGGAGATGCTGATCGAGCGTTGAGTGCTCTGAAACTCGTCCCAAGGCTTAAGGATCCTGCCTTCACAATGAACTCTCAGGGAGTTCTTCGCCACTGCTGCAAGCTGTTGACTTTGGACACCGTCGAGGACAGCGAAGATGGGCGCAACTTCCGGATCCTCCCACAATTGCTGGAGATGGGTGTTCGACCTGACCGGGACATGATGAACGTCGTGCTCTCCAACGCCTTCAAAACCGGCGACCACCAGCTTGGCGCTGACATGCTTCAATTTATGACCAGCCAAGACTACACTTTCGACTCTTATACCTACGTCACTCTTCTGACTGATGCGGTTTCCCGGGGAGACCAAGCCCGGGTGCACGAATTGATCAACGAGGTCGATGCGCAAGAAGAAATCCGCAAGAATCCATTCGTCGCCAACAAAATCTTCCACTCCCACTACGTCTTTACGGCTAAGCATATGGATGTAGATTCTGACCCCTCTGGTGTTTTCTACTCGATGCTTGATATGTACAACAAACTTCATGATATCACGCCGCTCAAAGAGCTCCTCATCATACCCCCTCACTACAAGCCTCAGGATGAAGGGCCAAAATCACCCCCAACTCCTATGGCCCTGTACATTATGATCGCCACATATTTCCGCTGCCGGAGCCGTGTCTCGACTGTGCAACGCATCTACCACCGATTCCACGAGCTTGTCTGTCAGGGCCATCCTACCATTGCCCCACTGGCTGCGACTGATCACACATACAATGAGTTCCTAATTGCCCTTCGCAAGAGCTCGCGTGCTCTGCATTCCTGCGTCCGGATTGTGGAAGATATGCTTCATCCCCCGACTGGCACGGCCATCGAGCATACAAAGCCGAGTTACCGTACTTGGGCGATTCTTCTGAGCGTTTTTATCTGGCACAGGCGAGCGGCTGCAGCAGAAAAGATCAAGGAGATGATGGCGAAGCACAAAGTCCACTATAACGACGTGACCTGGAACCTCATCATCAACGGCTACGCCAACGCACAGAAAGTGCCAGAGACTGCTGCCGCCATGAAGGCCATGGAAGCGGAAGGATACGCCCTCGACTCCTATACTATGAAGTCCCTGCGCTACCTCCGTGACCCGGAGCGTCTCTGGGTTGCTGTGGACGAGCTTGATAATGCCACCCAGGAGGCAGACACTGTTCACTCCTCTACGCCACACCGTCCTGCCATTATCGAAGATGTGTTGCGCGAAGAGCTCATTGAGCAAGGCTTGCAGAAACTTGGCGACAAGAAGAAGTCCAAGGCGTGAGATCGGATACCCTTTGATTTTGTTCATTTCTGTGTCTTGATAGTGTATTTTGCATGTGGCCCTCGTCGGCCTATCTGGGAGCAAGCGTTGGTTTTGCCATTTGTGTAAATTTGGCTCTCATGTACTATACATAGAATCGTTATGAATTTTGGAATTTCCCGTGCGCTTGAAGCAATAGGTCATCGCTGTAAATGACTGGAGAACCCCCGATCCGTTAACATCTGTCCTATCACGCTTTGGATAGATAAATAGGTCTGGCCGCCTCTCTTCCTCTCATTTCGTTCCGTCACTCTCATAACCAGGGAAGTGAGAGCAGAGCGCTCAGCCACCGAAGAAGATAGAGCACTGCATGAAACATCAACCGGTTAGTATATATTCTAAGCGACTGACAGGTCCGCGGTAGTCTTACAGCCATCAGGAAGCAGCATATGCTGACATATGGACTGAGTCGTTCTCCTACTCGAGCACACTTCCAGAATATCCCAAGCAGCCTATTCCAACCAATCAGTCTTTTCGTTCCCCGCTTCTATCACTCCGATCACCCTGGGACGGAATCCTACCCATTCTGGTTCCGGTCCATGATACCGGGCATAATCGAGTGGGCATAGGTACTCGTGCAGATGATAAGAAGAATCACTAGGAGCAGTGATTGGAAGTTAAACAGAGCCGACTAAGGTACGTCTCACGGTTAGCCATGATGTCGTGGATGCGAAAGTACACAGTATGCCGACGTGGCTACATGTGCCTGAACAGCCGTTGGATGTCCCTCTCCAGGAACTTGTGACATTTTAGAACTCACCATGTTGAATTGCAGGTCTACCTGCTCCGCGAGAGAATCAAAGGAGGCAGAAGCCGAGGCGCGAGCGGGTGTTGAGAGGCAACAGCTGTTGGCTGAAACTCACCCTCGCCCGCATTCTGCCCGCCATGTCCGCCAGGCGCACGGCCCATACGCCTTGGGGCGCTCCTCAGCGCCTCCGCTGGCGCCCGTCGCCAACTACGCAAACTTCAACTCCATCGCCTCCGCCTCCTCCTGGACAAGCGTCGCCAGCTCCATTAACAACCTTACGCTTGTCTGAGTCGATTCATCTTCATCCCGAGCTCAGCCCGCCGTGGCCGTGGAGTCCACACGAAACAGAGCTTATCTGCGCGGGCTATCATCCCGGCTATAAACCGCCGGCACCGCCAGCGCCCACATCCAAACCTGAAGCTTCCTCAAAGAAACGCGCACGCAAGCTCGGAATGGCAGAACCTCGTGCTCGTGCCGCTCGGCACAAGGGCCAGATGAACTTTTCGTCTGAGCGTATGTCTTCCAATCATTCTAAGTTCTATCCTGACCAGTCCTGCTAACATACATACCGCCCCAGTCCGCCTTCTCCTCCTCGCCTATGGCGACCCCAGCCCACACCCATCATTCCCCTCCGAGCCCCTCCCTGAAACAGTTCGCGTCCTCGACGAAATTGTGACAGACTTCATTCTGGAACTCTGCCACGGCGCGGCGCAGGTCGCGCACCACGCGCGCCGACAGAAGATCAAGGTCGACGACTTCCGGTTCGCGCTGCGCCGCGACCCCAATAAGCTCGGTCGTGTGCAGGAGCTCCTGCGCATGGAGCGCGAACTCAAGGAAGCGCGCAAAGCATTCGACCAGAATGATGATCAGGTTGCTAAGGACGCGGGGAAGAAGGGTCCTGCTCCGGTGGAAGATGATGGCGCGGAGAGCGTGGCGGGTACAACAACTGGGAAGAAGGGTAAAGGGAAGGGGAAAAGGGCAGCGGCGCCAAGGAGGGGGTCTGATGCTACAGAGGAGTCGGTTCCGAAGAAAAGGAAAACTATCGGGTGAGAATGAGTTTTCTGGATACTCTTTGAGTAGTAAAATCATTATCGGCGTTGCGGGCCTGCTTCTTTATTATTCTATCTGGAGTTATGGTGGTCATATTACTTGGACAGACAGGAAATACCCATGGATAATACAATGACAAGACTTTTCTTAAAAATTGTCTACAGGGCAGATTGGACCCCTCCAGAGGCAAATAAATCCTACAGCTCTGCATATTACAAGCAGTTGGGTTGTATTTGGCCTTCCTCGTAGGATCACCCTTCAGCTAGAACAAGCTGTATAGCACCATGATGGAGGTACCTATCTTTTTCCACAGTAGCATTAGTACCAGGCATATAGGCATATTTCCCTGTTCCCCTGCGTGGTATGGTCAACCACTTTTCTTGGAGGAGTATGCTCATCTCGCACATAGAGTAGAGTTCATGGGTGTCATGATAGTCACCAGTTTACGATAAAACCAGAAGGTCAGGACTGCATACTGTATTCTTCCTACAAGATTCTGCTAAACTGTGGCTGGAAGGGTCAACCTGCTTCTCCCTAGCTGGACCAGGACCTCAGTTCTATAAAAAAAAAAAAAAAAAGCCACGACATAAGGTTAGGAGCATGTATCTACTGTATATATCAAGTAGAAACGAAGCTTTTTCGATTTGGGGTAAAAAAGGGCAAAAAGCTAAGGTCCTACCGCGATTCGAACGCGGGTTGCCTGAAAGGGAGTGGCCCGGTTTTCTGGAAGCTCAAAATCAGGAATGATAACCTCTACATCATAGGACCGTACCATCCGACCATCGGAGATAACGCTCTAGATGCCCGAATATTTGTGCTATATCAAACAAACCACCTCATTCCTAACTTGTCCTATACCGTTTAGGAAGGTAATTGTCGACACGGTCAGTGTAAGTAATCGATCGGTACATTCCAGAACAAATCATGCCTTGCAGTTGGTGCCTGAACCTTGCAGTTGCTATTTGAATGCCTCGGTGCCTCACCACGAGGTGGTTAGGATCCCATCCCTTCTTTCAGATATGCGGCACAAACCTGGGGTTTCATGTCCTCATTCCATCTACAAGGGGCCAGAAACTGACCCTGAGTCTCAGGGATTAAAGCCAAAGCATTCGCACGAATTTGGACCTTTTTCTACGTATTACAGAGAGCGTCCTTGATCCCGAATAATTGCCGACTATGCGTCAACTTTCCATGTCACTTTTCATCAAAAAGCTCCGTGCCTCATATTCTAGAGATGCTGATAGCTCTACACCATCGTACAGCGTTGTGGATGATGACCACAAGATCTATGCCCCAAGCTCTTGTGAAAAGGGTACCACAATCAAGCCAGAGAAGCCCAAATGCGAACTATCGCTCCCCTCAGCTGCAGGTAGCGGCGATGAGAGGGCGGTAAGTTTGTTACTCGACAAAGGTGCCGATATCAACGGCAAGGATGAACGAGGAAGAACACCGCTGGCAATAGCTGTCCAGGAGGGACATGAGGCGACAGTCAAGCTGTTGCTGGACTGCGGCGCCAGCCTCGAACCAAGAGACCACCAGAGTCGCACGCCGCTCTTTTGCGCCCGAGACCCAACGATTGCCAAACTTCTGCTTGACAGAGGTGCCAATCTCGAAGCAAGAGATGAGTCCGGCCGGACGCCATTATCGGTAGCGGCAGAGCTGGGGTATGAAGGAGTCGCTAAGATCCTCCTGGACCATGGGGCCAATCCTAACCACAGGGACCTGCAGAACTTGACACCATTGTCATGGGCAATCGACCAATGTCAAGAAACGGCCATCCAGCTGCTTGTTGAGAACGGTGCCGATATAGAACAGGAAGACAGCTTTGGGCGAACACTATTGTTGGTGGCTGCCGAGACGAAACGAATGTGGGCGGCGAAGATTCTTGTCCATCACGGCGCCTTTTTGGAGGCTCGAGACCAGGAAAACCGAACCCCACTGCTATGGGCGGCCCACAATGAGCATGCAGAAATGGCAAAGTTTCTGATCGACAAAGGTGCTCATATAGAGGCCTGTGATGAGGCAGGCCGGACCGCGCTGCTGCTGGCCGCAGAAGCAAGACATGTTGCGATGGTGCAGCTGCTGGTTGAGACGGGCGCTTTCCTTGAGATCGCAGATCAGCATGGGCGAACACCACTGCTATGGAGTGTTCAGTATGGGGAGTCTAAGCTGATTAAGTTGCTGCTGGAGAGAGGCGCTTGCTTGGAAGTGGAGGACCATAAGTACGGGCGAACGGCGCTGGGATGGGCTGCGCGACGAAACCACGTATCGGTGGCGAGACTCCTACTTGATAAAGGTGCCGATGTGGAGTCTGAGGACTACCATGGCCAAACCGCATTGTCGTTGGCTGCGAAGGCTGGCAACGAGGAAGTTGTTGGGCTTCTTCTCGAGAAAGGCGCTTGCATAGAGACCGAGGATCATCACGGTCGGACAGCGGCATTGTGGGCCGTCATAAGTGGTCACGGGGGCGTTGCAAAGCTTCTTGAAAGACCAGCCATTGCTGATAAGACTTAAAAATAATAAGCTCCACGTGGGGAAACGCAGCTAACACGGTGTGGATTGAAAACTCCAAAATATAACTCCGAACGGCTCCTCAAGCACTTTGTGGCCGACATTTAAGTGTGAAATGTACATATATCGATTGGTTTCAAGGCAATGCTCAGAACCGAAGCAAACCATCCAGTTCCCCAAAACAGATTCCCGTGCCATTATTCCCAGGTAATGGACGGTTCGTCGGGGCGGATATAGAGGGTTTCGACGTAGGTAAGACACCAGAGGATGATGTTCTATGACCTGCCTCGTGAATCATGGTATTGGGAGTTTGTTGAATATCGGGGGCTTGTGAAGCACGGCTGGACGAGTGTTTGTTGGCGGGACAACTCTTTTTCCGATTAGGGCTGTGCTCGTCATCTGTAGAAACAGCACGCTTCCGATTATTCTTAGCCTCATTTTCTTCACCTTCCCCATTTTCCCCAGGAGGAATCAGCCTCATCATTTCCGAGAACATTGAATACACTGCGCTCCATCGCGGCACCTCATGGTCGATTCCATGCGGCAATGGCAAATCATATTTGGGGCGGGGGGGCTCATCGGAGGCCTCATCTACGTATTTTCGCACCCGTCTGTAGTTCGACAAAAGTTGAACAGTTAGCGTCATTGGTTTATTGACCCAGTAGTAAACCGGAAAGCGAAGCAATACCTGACCGGTCGCTCCCTCGGTACGCAACGTTGGCCTTCTCTGAAGCAATAGGTGCATTGATGATGACTCGGGCTCATGACACATCGCTTTTTTCGAGAATAGCAAGCTTCACAGGCTTGAAAAGCTGCATTTCTTGAATGCGGACTGTAAGCGTTGGTGGGTGGCGGTACCCCATGGGGTTTTTTGAGTTCCCGCATTTGTTTGTGGGTTGTCTGCATGGCTGGAGGTGGGAGGATTGAAGAACTGGGGAAAATGGGGAAAGATCCGGGGTGCAAATTTATTGCTGGGGGACTACGTTCGAATTAATTTTAGAATGTGGAGTAGAATATGAAGGGAGTCGAGGGTCTTATCGAAGAAAATAGGCCTGGGCTGCCCGACTAAATAGTCTAGAAATTACCGCGGGTAGCGGGCCCGCAGAAGATCCATCCTAGCCGCAAACTTCCGAGTTTCCACTTGCAGAGGGTGATGATTGGCAGGTAGGTGGAAGCATAACGTGGAACCCGCCTCCCCAATGTAAATCCGCTAAACCAGACTAAGACTTCTGCGGAAAGTCTATACAGAGCACATCTGTGGATTTCGATAAGAAGCCATGGCCTTTCTTGAGCACGTGGCGAAGTAGGCCTCTTGATTAGCACCGTGGCGATAGTTCTTGTATTTTCTATGTCAATGTCATCCAGCAATGATCATCGTGAACTTGCATCTTTTGGCTTCGTCGTACGCATAGTTCAATAAGGAGTCCTTTGAACTAAGCGATCTTTCTCCCTAATGCTCGAAGGCCTGCCACTGAAGCGGGTGTTCTGTCCCTGCGTTTGTCCGAACTAGACGGCTCTTGCTCTAAAATGATCGCAATACTCGCTCCTGCTTGTCCTTAAATAGGATACAATAACTCGGCAAGTACGGGGAGCAAGAGGTCCGAATGTTCGCCTAAATAAGAGATCTTGGTGAGACGTATTGGCGTGCATAAGATAATGTGAATTTCGGTCTCTTCGTGCTGGGGCACTCCGGATCACCTTGTGATAGTGACCGTTGAGTTCAAGCTTCCCGTCGACTCGCTCATAGTAGATACAATTTTTCTTTGTCCAAGGCTATTCCTCCAAGAACACTGGGGTATAGTATGTATGAGTCTAGATAGGCTAGGTCGGAAGACACCTCTTCCGTCTACTTCCGCTATGTGCGAGCGCCAAGATTTAGCGGCATATTATGAACTGTCTGAGCGGTTTGAAAACAGTGTCGTTGGTCTCGGACCCGTGTAAAAAATGGATGGCAAGGAGCGGCTCTGTAAAAGTCTGGTATGGTAGCATTTCCTCAAGCGCCAATGAAGAGGTAACTATTCTGCTGTTAGGACATGCCCGACAGCAGTCCATAGAATTCAACCTTGCATTTCCTTGAATATGTGGCACTATAAGCAGGCCGATTCCATCCACACAGACAGAAAATGGGTCTGGAGGTTGGAGCGAATAATGTGCACCAGCTTCTCAAAGGATACCTGGATGCTTCCATACGGGGCTTCATCGGTGGAATACCAAGGTATTATTGATAGACTTGGTTCATTCTGTACATCGGATAATTGCCCAAAAGAGCAGTCCCAATGGTGGAAAAGGGTTCTCGTTGCAAGGGAGAGTGTCCTCACCTTGCATCCCAGCAGGAAGAGGGAGCAGAAAGCATGGGCAAACGATGCAAAGCTCTTCTAAGTACTTGAACACATGGTCGATAAGAGCAAGCTGTAGACGATGTGCAGCCCCACGCTTCCATTAGAAGTCTCTAGCGTGATCAAGGGCCCTGGGTTCTCTCGCTTCGATGACAAGTGCAGCGACAATGACTCGTTCATCTTTAATATAGTCCCACTTCGGGTATTTCTGTTCCCTGCCCCATCTTCTAAGCCGAATTCAAGCATAGCTAGATACGCACACACAAGCATATTACCGATGTCCAACAGCCAATTTGGAGGACAGCTGTTCGGCCACCCGTTTTATTGAGCGGTACTAAACACGGTGAGCGCCGGGGGAGGAACTTTTCTAAGTCGTAGACGAATATCCCCTGCCCGCTGAGAAAAAAGGCTCACCACGTTGCCAATAACTGAATAGCTTACCCACCAGCCGGTTTTGCTATCAAAGAAGCAGGATGTCCTTTTCGCCAGCCCACAGCAACACCTAGACTATCGAGGCGCACAAAACGGCACCGTTGGAATTAAACCAGGAACTTTGACGGCATATTCGCCGTTGATTGGAAATACGGCACCGAGGTTCTCCACTTGGACCAATATAATTGGATTCACATTGTCGGCCGTCACCGTAGCCAAAATGGGCATGAATGACCTGAATCCTTGAAGTGTAAGATTTCCAACGCCGACCTACGAGGTAACTTGGTTTGATATTGTGGATGTTTTGGATATCGAGCCCGAAATTGATACTATGGTTGGCATTGAAAGTCCATGCTTCTTGCTAAAGAGTAGGAAACAAGCCGTATGGCGCTAAAAGTGATTATAGAGATTCGAAGGGAAGGTGGAAGATGAGTGAGGAGAACGGGAAGGAAGGCCTACATCTGTGCTACTGGTCAAGCTTACCGACCGGCAGAGTGGAGTGCGTCAAGGGACCACGTAGATTGATCCATCCAGACGAGGGAAACAGTTTTTGCCCGCAGCCAATACGGTGATGACGATTGATTCCATTACATATAGGAGGATTGGTGCCGGTAATTCCCTTCAACAGTTGAACCAAGCACCCACGGCACTCTAAGTAACTACCATTAGGTATGTCTGAGTGATCGGCAGCGAGCATTCCATCTCCTCATTGAAGAACAATCTACGATATACGAAAAGCACAGCTCAGGCTCTAGCGTTTTTATGTCCATTTCATCATGACTAAACGCCGCGCCTGGTAAGATGCGACTTCGTGAAAACCGGGTCTAAACTGCCCGGGTTATCCTGACTCTCGACGTGTCTTCAGCGGCAGACCAAATCTGCCTCGTGCAGTACTCCATCGTCTCAGCCTCCAAACAGCCGACTCTATCTGAACAAAGCCAGATCGACTCCGATACGCCACATTGCTTTTTTGTTTTTCTGACCAGAACTGTCTGGGCGTCAGAGAGCCTGCGGAGAGACAGAAATGCGGGGGCAAATGCTGTGTGCTCGAACTTTTTCTTTCCTGTCTCGCAAAGGAAAAGAAACGGTGGAGAGGAGGAAGAGCATAGGAGTGGAGGAGATAATAAAGGGGAATGAACAATGGTAGATAGAAACAAACGAGAAAGCGAACCCAAAAGTCGGAACAGGGAAGAAAACGAGACATAAGAAACATCAACGGATAAGGTTGTAGCTCCACGGGAAAATCGGTCACATCATGCATCATTTCTCCGTCGTTATGCCCCTTTATGCGCGGGCCTCCTCGGGGGCAGCGCGCTCCTGGCGCTGCTGGCGGCCACCCTTGCCGCCGCGCTGGTTGCGCTGGTTGCCCTCGCCAGTAGTACCGGTGGCCTCGCCGCCGCCAAGGGTGAGTTGGGCGGTTGCTAGCCGGTTGGACAGCTCCATCTGTGTGCGGATGGTGTTGGCCAGGTATGAGACGACCAGAACGTCCTGGATGTGGTTGTTGCTGCAGGGAGTCAGTAAAAAGCGGTCTCAATCGGGGTTCATAAGATGAAACGTACAAGTCCCGCTCAACGTCCGCGGGCTCGACCTTGGGAGCCAGAGCCAGGGCGTTCAGCAGGAACTGACCCATGGCAGTGGAGGCGGGGGTCTCCTCGTCAATGACCGACTCGACATATCGCGATACACGGTCAATCATACCCAGAACCTCCTCAATCGCGCGCTCGAGCGCCTCAACGTCGGTCATCACGCTGGTGGAGCGCTCCTCAACATCCTTGGCGTTGGCAATAGCCTCAAGACCGCTCTTGTCGGCCTCGCCGTATCGGAGCTCGTAGGGGACGGGAATGAAAGCGGCGCTGTCGGCAGCCCGTTCAGCGGTGACACCAACGGGGGCGGAGATGTAGGCCCGGGTCTCGAGGTCCTTGCCGGCCTCAGTAGACACGGTCAAGTGGACGGCGGGGTGGGGCCATGTGCCGTCGCCCTGGCCGCTGTAGAAGTTCTGGATCAAGGCGGAGAAAGTGTTCAGCTCGGAGGCGGTGGCATACCAACCGACGAGAACTTCGCGCGGGTTGGCCTTCAGGTGCAGGGCGAGCATCTGCTTGTGGTACTCCATGTCGACCTCGACCTGGTCCTCGGCCTCAGAGTGGCCCACGGCGAACGCGGAGCGCACTTCGACCTCACCTCCATCCTCCGATCGTGTTCCCAGCAGGGTACCGATGACACGTTCCTGGTCGGCGTTACGGCGCAGCGAGTGGTCAAGAATGGAGAAGATGGCCTAAATCCGACGAAGAGAGGTTAGAGATTGCCCCTCTAGGGGATATATGCTTTGCTTTGATCGTACCTGCGGCTGGATGACCACGTTAAGAGGGGCAGTGGTCGGAGCGGTCCCCACAGAGACCGGGCCAAGGGGGCGGGCGAGGTGCAGGAAGGAATCTTCGGCCATGGTGGATGGGGAGGGGAGGGCGAGGAGGTTGGAATTGGAGGTGATGAGAGGCTGAGACTCTCCAAACGGCAGACTCGACTTCGGAGGGACAATTTTTCCAGCGAGGAAAGTGGAGAGCCCGCGCTGATTCCGCCGATTCTCTTTGTGTGTGGGAATTTTCGCGCTAAGATAAGATAAGCCCACCCGGTCACTTTTGCAACCGCAAAAAAAAGATCTCCGCACTTTCAACTTAACGTTTCACTGCGCAATGGCTCCCCCACGAGGACGCGGTGGTCGTTTCATGAGAGGCCGGAGAGGCCGTGGTACTGGCAGAAGAAATGACTTTGCGTCGTCGCGGCTGCAGGAGGTGGAGTCAGTCAACCGTTGAGCGCGCGAATGGAAGGGAAGCTAACTACAATACAGGTCGGACGAATTATCCGGCGCCGATGCGCCGAGCAATCGGAAAGAAGAGGTCATTGATATGGGAGAAGATACCATGATGGACGATGCTTCTTCTAGCAGCGACGAAGATGGGGAGAACACCGGCCGTCCGTATAACGAACTACTCCAGCTGCTGAACGCCAACTCCGACTCGAAGGGGCCAGCTCGGAAAAAGAGAAAGCTTGCTAGTGATATTAAGAAGGACGAGGCTCCACGCACCATCGCAGTTGACGAAGATGATGAGCAAGCCAACGATGCTTTGCAAGACCAAGCTCCGTCCGACGATGAGGAGGAAGCCCAGGAAGTGGACGATGATGATGACGTTATGGGGCCGTTCGAGAAGCACTTCAATGCCCTTGAAGGAAACGATCTTTCTCAAAAGATTCAATCTATCGAGTCGAATAAATGGACCTCAGCGAAGAAGGAGGTGGACGGGCTGCGGCTGGTGCAATCTATCCCGGAGGTGGAAGGTTCCGAGAAGGCAGTACTACTTCCAGCGATGAAGAGCACTGCCAACCTGAAGGTAGGTTTCATACTGAGAAACAATCATGGGAACGCATCTGCTAAAAATGAACAAATTCAGCTCAAAAACAAGTTAAAGCCTCGTGCTGCAGAGCTCCTGCCCACTATCACTGGCTCCGCCCAACAGATTGCCCCGTATATATTCGACTACCAGGACGTTCTCTACGGCGCGCGTACCGCATCCACCGCAGAAGACATGCATGACATTATGGCTCTCCACACAGTTAGCCACCTTATCAAAACCCGAGACCAGGTGCTCAAGAACAATGCCCGCCTGGCGAAGGACCCTGACACCGACATCGAATGCCGCGACCAAGGCTTCACTCGCCCGAAGGTCCTGTACATTCTCCCGACTCGCCAAGCCTGTGTGCGGGCAGTCAATGCAATCACTCGGTTTTACCAGGTTGAGCAGCAGGAGAACAAGAAGCGATTCATGGATACGTTCTCTGCCCCCGAGGATGCAGGATGGGAGAACAAGACCGAGGATTTTCGCGAGCTGTTCGGCGGTAACGACGATGATATGTTCCGAATGGGACTTAAGTTCACCCGCAAGACGGTCAAATACTTTGCGCAATTCTACAACTCTGACGTGATCTTGGCCAGTCCACTCGGCCTGCGGACGATCATGGACCAATCCGAGTCAGTCTTTTCTTACCCTTCCAAGTGACCAATCCAAGCACCGCTAACCCTTCACAGTGCCAAAAAGCGAGACTATGATTTCCTTTCCTCCATAGAAGTCGTCGTCGTCGACCACGCCGACGCGCTCCTCATGCAAAACTGGGACCACGTCTCCTACATCTTCCAGCACCTCAACCTGCAGCCCAAAGAAGCCCACGGCTGTGACTTCAGCCGCGTACGCAACTGGTACCTCGACAACCATGCGCGCTATGTCCGACAAACCATTGTCCTGGCCTCCCACATCACCCCCGAAATCAACTCGCTCTTCTCAGCGCAGATGCAGAACGCCTCCGGCCGCATCAAATTCACGCCAACCTACGCCGGCGCTATCACTGAGCTCCCGCTCCCGGTCTCAGTCAAGCAGACCTTCTCCCGCATCGACAGCATCTCCCCCGCGAAGGACCCGGACGCCCGGTTCAAGCATTTCACCACGACAATCCTCTCCACGCTCGTCAAGAACATTGCCAACGGCCGCGGCAAGGACGGCGCAGGCACTCTTATCTTCATTCCGTCATACCTCGACTTCGTCCGCGTGCGCAACCACTTCGCCACCTCTGCGCAGACAACGAATGTCTCGTTCGGTGCGATCTCTGAGTACGCCGAGGCGCGGGACGTCAGCCGTGCGCGCAGCCACTTCATGAATGGCCGCCACTCGGTGTTACTGTACACCGAGCGCGCGCACCATTTCCGCCGCTACCAAATTCGTGGTGTTCGCCGGATTATCATGTATGGATTGCCTGAGAACCCAACGTTCTATGGTGAGATCGTGGGATACTTGGGGCTGGACCCTGCTGCTGTGGTCGAGGCTGCGGAAGGCGGTGTCCGAGCACTGTTCTCGAAGTGGGATGTGCTAAAGCTGGAGCGTGTTGTTGGAACTTCGAGAGTTGGCAATATGCTGCGCGAGAAGGGTGGTGATACCTTTACTTTTGTATAGAATATGCCTGTCCGGATGAGTAATTACCGGTAGTCAAGTCCATCTTGGCAGAATGTAATTCATATGCATCTATATATCATGATTTTCCTCACCAAGGGGAGAAACATTAGCAAATTCTTGGTTTTGGCTTGTAACAGTGGACGTACCACAGTGCGGCGCTACCCTCAAGAGCACCTACAATCCCTTCGATGGCTAGATTGTGATTGCAAGGCACGAGACATAAACGTTAATATTCCTATTTTGTTAAGACTTATATAAACACAGACACCCTTTTAATCCACCATCTTGACCCCCCAAGACCTTTAAGAGTCCAAGAAGATCTTGCACCATGAACAGATACCCATCGGTTGCCTGTGGAGAAAGAATATTTCTCCACAGTATCCTAAGCCACAGACCCATGATGGTCGACACATCATCAAGATGAATGTAATCATGAGCGGAGGTGAGCTGCTCGACGGAAGCAGTGGTGACAGCCTGTCCCTGCCCCGAGTCGAGAAATGTCTGAACGGAGCCTTCTCGTAGCCCATCCAGGAAGACTAGATCACCAGTTCTCGCAGCATGGATTTCCGATCCACGCAGCGCATATGCTTCAAAGGGCATAGGTAGACTTTTCGTTACCACAGTGTGGGCCTATAGGCATATGGCAACATGGTACACTGCAAGAGCGTAAAAATTACGCAGAGAACCTGGAGGGAAAGTATACTTATTGCCGTCCGTCGGGGGTAATTCTAGGTATTGTTTCGGCATGGATGAATTGAACATAGAAGCAAAAACAGTCATGCAAGGATTGTTCCTCGGAAAAACTGGATATCCACTATCTCCTATTCTACCAGACTGCCATCGAGTGTTGCCCCTCTTCAATAGGTAATAGTTCACTGCTTGTGGGTCATGCCGTGGCCAAGATCTTAGATAGCGCGCTAATAATGATTTTCGTGGCATTGATGTGGAGTGGGGTGGAGTGCCCGTGGTACTTGGCCACCAGAATATCACCTTGAGGGAATGACTCCTTGAATGACATAACATTAGTTAGTTAACTAACTAACTATGTCCCTACCAAAAATTACATAAGTACCGGGCTTGGCTTGGCTTCTTATCTCTCCCAGCCTGGCAGAAATACTGTCTTACGCTGAAACAGGCTAATCATGTCCGGCATTTGGGAAGTTTGAAGTTCCCGAAATCCCAGAAAAGAACAATGCTACGAGTCCATTTATTTGCGTGCAGCACAGCCAGAATGAATTCAGGATATTCATAGGGCCACCGTAGCCCAATTCGAACATCCCAAATTACTGAAGTCATTGTTTGAAGCTTGCAATCGTCTAGCTAGAGTATCTGGCCGGGTTTTTTTGAAGTACTCCCAATGAAGTCCACTTTAAACTCTCATAAATTCCATTTTAACATCCTCTTCCTGTATTTGGACATCATGTTGTGCAATCTTCTTCATATCCTATGTTCTAGGACTCACCCATAGACCGTGATACCGCATATATTTCCCTAGGATACTAGTCGTTCATAAGCACCGGTGACAATACTAGATCATACTGGAATAGAAAGTGTGTGCGGTATGGCCCACGCTTTATAATTGGTGCATGTTATGAAACTCCTTGGCAATGGCATAGGCCAGATACCCCACTGTTATACCTACATTATCAGACAACTAGGTAGTTCGATATAAATTGTTTCAAGGGGGTTTCTGGGCTTAGGCTCCTTGGCATGAGAGACACAAACGGAGAAAAATATGCATACTGGGCATGAATATAAATAGCCAGGGTTCTCCGTAGCCTGGCGAAAGTGATCTGAACAGTATCGCATTCTTTCTGTTTAACCCAAATACTGCTGGCAGTAAGTCTTTCATTAATTGCTTGTGCTGTTCCCTCTTTTGTTTCTTGATCAACATGAAGCATTTTGCCACTTTCATTGCTACCGCCGGTGTGCTGGCCCACTCCGCTTCGGCGCACTACATTTTCAGCAAGCTTGTGTTGAACAATGAGGTTTCCGAGGACTGGCAGTACATTCGCCAGACTACTCGCGACAAGTGCTATATGCCCACCAAGTTCACCTCGACATACGACAACCTGACTCCCAGTGACAGCGATTTCCGTTGTAACCTAGGCTCTTTCAGCAATGCCGCAAAGACCGAGGTCGCGGATGTTGCTGCTGGTGATACCATTGCCATGAAGCTCTTCTACGACGGCAGTATTGCACACCCTGGACCTGGTCAAGTTTGTACGTCTACATTTTGCATCGTTAATATGCAGAGTGCTAACTGAATCATCTACCTCAGATATGTCCAAGGCGCCCACAGGCAAGGTTCAGGAGTATGAAGGTGATGGCGACTGGTTCAAGATCTGGGAAACAACCATTTGTGACGATAACGGTGACCTCACCACAGATGCTTGGTGTGCATACGGCCTGTCGCAGTTTGAGTTCCAGATTCCCGAAAATACCCCGGCTGGCGAGTATCTCGTCCGTGCTGAACACGTTGGACTCCATGGCGCGCAGAACAATGAGGCCGAATTTTTCTACAGGTAGGTTCCGCTGCGGCCCTTTCCCCGTGAGATATATTCTCTGATCAGACTATTCAGCTGCGCTCAGATCAAGGTCAGCGGCACTGGCAACGGCTCTCCAAGTATCACTTATCAGATCCCGGGTCTTTACACTGACAACATGACGTTGTTCAATGGCCTTAATCTTTGGACGGACTCGGCCGATCAAATTGAATCAGACATTGCAGACACTCCGATTGGTGATGATACCTGGAGCGGAGGCAGCAGCAGCGGGGCATCCTACCCTGCCAGCTCATCCTCGATTAGCTCGTCCATCTCATCAGCCACGCCTGAAGCTTGGAACAAATTCACTTGCGGCACGCACAGCAAGAGATCTGCCATCCACTGCCATGCCTAATGGCCATAACAAATTTAATTGCTAAACTGTATTGGGGGCCGCTTGTATTTCCCAAGATTCCTGTGTGCCCTCTTTGAGTTAATAGTATCCTGGGTGGACAGAACCAAGGCGCATGTTTTTTAGAGCATCCCGAAACTCCTGAAAGTGTTTCAATTAAGCTTATGGCGCTCGGATAGAAAGTATCTAAGTGATGTTAGCTTTACTCTTGTCCATAGCTTCGCTGTGACCCTTGGAGGGGCACTCTCAATATCAAGTGATTTTCCTAGCATACAGTGAGGAAGTATGCTCTCAAATACATGAGTAAGATAGAATAGCTAATAACACAGTCTAAGGCCTGCCCACTGTGGAGCAGAAAGAGTTTTTGGACCCAGAATTCAGAAAGGGAAAAGAAGTGTTATTAGTCTAGATATATGAATTCGATTAAAGAGGAATCTGTTGAGCCGATCGACGGGAAAGATGGCGAGTGCGGAGAGCCGCGCACAGACAGCCGCCATTCATTGCATCTGATAAAAACCAATCTACGCATTAGCGCCCCCCACTAAAAGATAGCGTACAAAACTATATGCGCACTCATCCGATCGCTGACTCGATTACGATCTCGTGCGTATAACACAGGTCGCATCCCTCGAGCACTCACTCGTTCGCAGGATAGTCAGCCCAGAGCCGGTTAGCGGGTCAATCCGGCTCCGCTCCACTCCGCAATCCAAACTATTTTTTCTTCCCCATGATTCTCCGCTCTGCTGTGCAGCACCATCCGTCTCCAACGGCCTCTTTTCCTTCTCTGTCTCTCATTTTCTTCCCTATGTATTGCATTTATAGAGCTCGCCTATAGATAAAGACAAAAGAGACGCTGATACGGCAAGCCGGACATGCCACATCCACCATCGCTGCCGGAGACACCATCCGTCCCGCAGATCGCCCATCCCAGTCGAAGCCAGCCTCTCACCACCGATGCCGACCACCCCGATGCACCCCTGCCAATTGAGCAGCCCTACCGCGATGACACCAGCCAGCCACCCTACGACCAGCTCGTGCGGTACGAGCCTAGGCCGATCGACGAGGACGAGGATGTCGCAGCGGAGGCAGCGCGGCCCCGCACGGCGTGGCGGGCCAAGCTGAGGGTGTTTTGGCTGCAGAATAAGGGCATGTTCTTGGTGCTGATGGCACAGATGTTTGGGGCCAGTATGAATGTCATGACTCAACTTCTGGAGATTCATAGCTCGATGCACCCGTTCCAGGTACGTTTGGTGTCGCAGGTTCATGACGGATTTGATCGTGGTGATTTGAGATATGCTGCATCCCCAGCGGAGTCGAGTTATAACTAACAAGTCATTCTGCTAGGTGCTCTTCGCCCGCATGTCCATCACAGCCGTGGCATGCTACCTCTACATGTGGTACGCCAAGGTGCCCGCGCCGTTCGGCACCCGCCCAGTCCTCAAGCTGCTCCTCCTCCGAGCAGTCTCCGGCTTCCTCGGCGTCTACGGATTATACTACTCTGTGCAGTACCTGCCGCTCTCTGAGGCGACGGTGATCACCTTCCTCGCCCCGATCCTGACCTGCTACGCGTGCTCCCTGCTCATCCCCGGTGAAACCTTCTCACGGCGGCAGCAGCTCGCAGCCATTGTCTCGCTGATCGGCGTCGTGCTCATCGCGCGGCCGTTCTCGAAGCGCGACGGCGCCGGCACAACGGCCGACGACGAGAGCCCCGACGATGCGGACACCTACCACCACGTGCTAGCGACGATTGTCGCGTCCGTGGGCGTGCTCGGCGGTGCGGGCGCCTACACGTCTATCCGGATGATCGGCCGACGCGCGCACCCGCTCGTCTCGGTGACTTATTTCTCCAGCGTCACGACGGTGATATCGGTAGTCGCCATGGCCGTGCTACCCGGGGTGCCGTTCCGGCTGCCGTCGACCGTCACGGAATGGAGCCTGTTGACCGGGCTGGGCGTGTGCGGGTTTCTGCTGCAGTTCCTGCTCACGGCGGGGCTGAGCTATGTGCCGCCGGCTTGTGTGCGGGGGTCCCGGTCTTCGAGCCAGGGCTCGAAGGCGACGAACATGGTGTTTACGCAGATGCTGTTTGCCTTGTTCTATGACAAGGTCGTTTGGGGCAGTACGCTCGCGCCGGTGAGCTGGGCAGGGTCGGTGCTGATCCTGGCATGTGCGGTTTATGTCGCGGTTGCGCAGGAGGAGCACCAGGCGGAGCATCCGGCCAAGACAGAGGAAGGTGATGGTGATGGTGAAGATGATGGGCGGTTCAAGGATGGGGATGACGAGGAGGCGGAGGTGGCTGCACGGGAGTGAGTCTCGATCGCGGAGATCAGCGTGAGAGCGGCCGCGGAGTGGTGAAGAGCTGCGGGTGGAGTGCATTGAGTTTGACCGTTGTGGGGGGGGAGGCCTTGAAGAGCGTCGCCCATCTGATGGGTCAATGCACGAGGTCGTGTACATTTTAGTATCTTATACTGTCCTTATGACTATGAGTATGGCTATGACTATTATGCTTATGAACAGTACTTCGTACCACTGACTATCATTCCATTCCAGGCTCCCAACCTGCCTAGCTGCAGAACTCGGTCCGAGCCATCTTGCACATGCATTCTTACTGTCTCTCACCTGTTTGTTGATCCAGTCGATCCAATGCAGCCAATGCAGTCAATGCAGCCAATGCCGGAGCACACTGCTCCCGGCCGTCCGCCTATACCGCATCCATCCACCACGCATCTTCGCCCGACGTCATAAGGTTGCACCCCTTGGCCCCCGGGATCGCCCGAGGCTTATCATTGGCGAGACGGCTGCAGCCGTGGATATGCCAGCCGATGTGGAAAAAGGACGCTTTGGATGTACATCTCACGCCTGAGGTGGATCACGCCAGCGACTCCATAAAAGGCCCGCCGGCCCCAATTTTCGAGTGGGTTTCCCCCGGATTTTCGGCTCTATTGTCTTTGGTATTGCTAGCTGCTGGTTGCTGGTCAATTGGCTCTTCGGGCCGCGATCGGATGCGACAATATCGAGGCTTGATACTCTACTGCGATCCTGCTATACCGAGTACATACTCTGTACTACATTCCCTCTGCATGGACCAGTGACGAGCTCGCAAAATCCTCGAGAATCCCGGCCAGAGATATACATCGATACATTCGACCGCCACAAAAGCCAATCGCCAACATGCGCCACTTCGACGCCTGGGTCGTCCGCGACCCCTACTCCATCTGGCACTACTACGCTACCGGCCAACGCTGGAAAGACACCGTCCGCGACCTGATCCACGACCGCAAGATCTGCGCCCCATCCTTACCATCCTCATCCTCCAGCAACAGCCCCTCCCCGTCCCTCTCCCCCTCCACCCCAAGCAACCCCCAGACCTCCTGCTCCCTCCTCACCCGCCTCCCCCCGAGATCCGCCATATGATCTGGGGCTTCGTCTTCGGCGCCGACACCCTGCACCTCGTCACAGTGAAGGACAAAGTGCGCCACGTCCGCTGCAACTCCGCGTCGCCCTCGCTCACCCAGCACCGCCACTGCTGCCCGACGACGCCCGCGCGCTGGCGCGTGTCTGACAGCCGGGTCCAAGGCCACTCCGACGGACTGCTGTACCCGCACACGCACGCCCAGCTCCCATCCAGCCTGAGCGACGGCAATGTCGCGCTCCTGCGCACCTGCCGCGCCATCCACGCCGAGGCCGCGACCACGCTCTACGCACAGTCCACCTTCGACGTCGACGACCTCTACACCTTCATTGCCTTCGCACAGAGCGTGCCCCGCGCCGCACTATCCTCCATCCGCCGGCTGACCGTGCAGTGGATGCCCGTCTGGACTCCCCTGACAGGCCAAGACCACAAAGGCTCCATCTACGCGCATACGCACAGCGACGTGCTCTGGCTGCAGTTCTGGGCGGCGGTCGCGTCACTGCCTGCCCTGCGGGCACTGAAGCTCAGCATTGACCTTGGCCGGTTCACGGGCACGGTGACGGGCGGCGGGGCCGTGCTTGTGGCGGGCCAACGCATCCCGCTGGTGCTGAAGGAGCCGTGGTTGTTGCCGCTGCTGAATGTGCGGGGGCTGGAGGAGTTTGAGTTGGCGGTTACGGCGAGGTGTGATGTTGCGGCGAGGGGGGTGATTGAGGGGGATTTGTGTCGGGATGCGGGGGTTTTGAGGGATCAGTTGCGGGCTGTTATGTGTTCGCGACGGGGGGTGCCGCTGGGTGCTCTTAAGGAGCTAGGGCTTGACGTTGACGGCGTCTGGTTGAGGGCGTTGGAGGAGCTTGGGGAGGAGTCGCCGGTGAGGAGGGCCGGGCCTAGATTGGCAATTATGGCGTAAATAGGAGAAGACCAGTTCGGAGGGACTGGACTGGACTGGACGGGACTGCTTTGGGGGTCCACCGGAAACTCAACCTTTGGGTTGAGGAGGTGTGGCGTGATGCTTGCTTTTACTTGGTGATACCCATCCTTTTGGCCGTTGTATTTGGCTCGGTTTTAGTTTTGGTTTTGCATTTGCATGTGGGTGGCTTGGTTGCTAGAGATAGACCACGAGGGGAAGACTAGCCCTAGGTAGAGAGAGATTCCAAGAATGATATATACATGGTATCAGGTATGCTCGATACGCTATATACTTGGTCTCCCGCGTGCATCGTTTCAGGTCTATGATAGGTTTTCTCACTAGATTTGGAAAGTCCAGTACACCTAGTATGAGTGTCAGTCTGGACATGCCTTATAGAGGCAGTTCCTACTTTGCTCTTGTGATGCAACGAGTATGTAAACTCCTGATTGCAATGTGTGCAATAAATTTTGAGAGTTCTCCGACGAGTACCGAAACCGCACAAGTCAGGGGCAATCTATCCCATATATCCATTTATATCCATGATACCCAATATCCAGCAACAAGCAACAATCGTCCAGATCCAGGGCCCCAATCAAAAGCAGAGGCGTGATCCTCTTTTGCGCAGCCGACTTATCATATGAGAACCTTCACTTTTGTGATTGCACGGAAAGCCAACATGAGGCCTCCCAGCATATCAAACAGGCCAACCAGCCAACTAGCTGATCAGCAAAAACAAGAACCGAAAAGAAAGCGGACCTCATAACCAAACATCATATCAAGGCGCAATTGGTGAATGGTGGGCGAGGTCGTGAGCAGGGTAGAGCAGGGTAAAGCAGGGCAGGGCAGGGCAAGAGAGAAGATGAGGGATTCAATTTGCGGAGTATTAGGGGCATCAATTTTGCGGTCCACAACCATGTATTTCATCAGACGAATCCAGTCGAGAGTAACATCGACAGCGTCGACAGCAATACCATAGGGAGAAAGTATAATAAGCAGACAACACCAAGCGCCAGAATAAAAGAGAGAGAAGGTCGCCTGCAATTTGGGGAAAAGGAGGGGGAAAAGCCACAAGTAAGGTAAGGTAAGACAGCCTAGAAGTATAAGACACAAACCGAATGCAAGATGATAGGTGAGATGAGGTGCGGTGAGGTGAGGTGCAAATGCAAGAGTCCATCCAGAACCGATCTGAGGACCGAATCCAAGCCAATATCCAATATCCCAACCCGATCCGCCGGACCGATACACATCAAGCAACACAGAGAGAGTAGCCGAGTGCATCAGCGTCTGCGGGAATCTACTACGCTGCGGACACGCCCTTGCGGCCCCGCGACTCGTTCTCGTCATAGCCGTTTTGCTCGGACTCAGGGTCTTCGTCTGTGGGCGAGTGCGGATGGCTGGGCGGTTCTGTGAGGGAGAGGCGGCTGCGTGCCATCTGTCCAAGGGAAAAAGAGCATGATCATTAGCGACGAATGCGATTTGAAACCCCCGAACCACGGGATACGTATTCAGGGAAGGACGGAAAGGACAAAGGACATTTACTCACCCAGGCGCGCACTCCACCAATCAATCCCAGACTATATCCCGTCGCGAAATCCTCATTCCGGCCCACGCCAGGGCTATCGGGCCGAGTAAGCGCCTCCACGCGCGAGAGGTGCGATTTGCTGCCGCCGGTCGGGCTTGTGAGCGGACCGCGGGCACTGCCGTAATCAATGCTGTTCCGGGCGCTGGGCGCAGGACTGCCAGGGCGGCTATTCTGCCAGATCTGGCGCAGCTCACGGCCGAGTTCCTGACCGGTCATGGTCCAGTTGCTGCGGATGTTGTCGCGGATTTCGGCGACATGGCGCTTGATTTCGAGCTCGTTCTTCTTCAGCCACGAGACGTTCAGTTCTTGGCGCGAGGCGCCGCGCTTGAACTGACGGGAGATGTACTGGTCGTAGTCGCGAACGATGCTGGACACAACAGAAAGGGATTAGCATATTATTTTGTTGGAAAGGAAGGGCAATGGGTCGATTTTTTTTTGGGGGGGGCGGGTTCGGGGGTTTCATACCGGGTAATGATGCCAGTTGTGCTAACGCCCTCGGTCCGCTGCGTCACCAGGAACTTGCCTTGTGCCTTGATGGGCTCGTAGATGTCGTCACCCTCGGCAGCCTGGTACGGCAGGTCGTCGTGCGCGACATAGTCGATCTGGTGCTCGGACAAGAATTCCGGCGTAACCACCCACGGACAGTTCGGAATGACCTCGTCTACCCACTTGCAGTGCCGAATGGTTTCCGCACGCTCCGCACCGCTAAGCACAGTCAGACCTTTGCGCTGATGCGTCTCCTCGTCGCCCGTGACTCCAACAATCAGGAAGACTTCCGGGAACGCCTTCTTGGCCTGCTCGAGCTGTCTCATGTGGCTGCGTGGGCAATTAGCATCAACGAGCTTGCGGGTTCGTCCGAGCTGGACACGTGTCCTGGTTGTCGATATGGGACCTACCCAAGGTGGAAGAGATCAAAAACGCCGTCCGCATACACCCGCACCGCCCGCCCCTCGGGCGGCGGGTTCGTGTGGTATCCGACCGGGTCCTGCAACCCTCCACGCTGCGGCGGCAGCATGGCGGCACGCCGCTCCTCCTCTGCGTTAGGCAGATTAATGTGCAAGCCCGGACGACTCCTGGGCCGGCCCTCGATGTCACTGCTGGCAACCGTAGTCTCGGACGGCTCGCCGGGGTCTTCCATGTGGATGGCGCCATTGGGTGTCACGGTCGGGCTCACATCGCCGGAGCTCTTGCGGGCCCGCTTGGAGGGTGGTACGGGCTCGCTGGCGCTGGCTTGCTTCTTGTGTCGGGAGATGGCGGCATGGGCGGGGCCGGTCGAGTCCTCACCGTCTTCGCCGGACGCGTCGCGAGAGGACGGCTGGAGCTCGGCGGTGCCGGGTTGTGGTGCTGGTAGGTGCGAAGCGCTGCGCTTGCGCTTGCTGGAGGGTGAGGAGGGGGACGTCATTGTGGTGTCGGGGGCGTGTGAGAGAGTGTTGGTGACCCGGGAGTGGTGGGAGGAGGAAGAGGGTGGTCCCCTAAATAAGATGAGCGATGTTGAGCTGAAACGAAAGGGCCGCGGTGGCCCGAGTAGTTAGGGGGGCAATTTTCTTTGGGCGGTGGGGTCCTCCGCCGTAGCTGGTTTAGCTGGTTTAGCTGGTATTGGCATCGTGCACTGACGTCGTCCAGGGTCTTGACAGGCTGGCCAGGGGGCTTTCCCGGATTCGGGGCAGATTCGGTGCTTGGCTGTATCTCGTACTCGTACACCTATCAGTATAACTCGCACTCCATTTCGTAGATTCACCTATATAAGGCGCAATGCGAAAACTAGTGACTCAAAATGACGGAATGTTACACCCCGGTCTCCATGCTATAGCGGCCATAACCTGAGATGGCAGCCCAGATGGCCCCCATCGCCCGGAACTCCACTGTTAGAAAGCCGAAAAACTGTCTACCATAGTACAAAAGTACCATTCGAACGAGAAATGGAAATGCTCTCGCAAGCAGGTTACCGAATACACCATTGGATGTGCGGAAGAAGGCCAGCAGCGATCCTGTCCCGCATTGCCTGGGTTCCTATCGCTCCAGGTTGCTTTCGTGCTTCTACCGAGTCAATGGCGTTCAGGACGGAGGATATTTATGATGCGGTTAAGTAGGGGCCATGATCATGCACCATCTCGTGTCTCCGAGAGAAAATGAGGTCAAAGATCCAAGATCAAACACCGGGGAGATAGAAGGCAGGAAATGTAGTAGTCAAGGGATGAGGAAGGGCAAGACGGCGTGTAAGATGTAATGGTTCGTCAATAGCGGGGCATTTCCTGCGGTATCTCGTGTGGTGTCAAAGCATAAAAAAGAAGACATTCGTGCGCATGAAGGGCCCAGTTGGCACCCGGCGAATTGGGCCTTCTTGATTCCTCCCCTCGACGCCCCGTTCCATCGCAAAACCCCCCGAGGTCTGTCTCGCCCTCTCTTTCACGTCTCCGTCCCCATCCCACTCTGACTCGGACAAATATTCCATCTCAAGGTTCAAGGAGAAACATAGTACGGACTCGAAGAAAGGGTCCCAGGGATAGCTAAAGAGAAAAGAAAAAAAGAGAGACGAAGGCAAGGACATAGATCGTAGGATCAGGGCGACAAGGGTAGGGGGGAGGGAGGAAAAGGCCGTTCACAAGACAAACAAGGAGGGGAAGACGGAAAAGATAAAGAGAAAATCCAAACAGAGGGGAGGAGAGAGGGAGGAAGGTAGAAAACATCCAGGGCGATCAGGAACTACGCACGCGTGGACTTCTCCTTATCGTCCGTGGAGGCGGGGGATTCGGATATTTGCGCGGCGGTGCCGCTGGCTTCCTCCTGCTTGCGCTGGGGACCGGGGGTGCCCTCACGCTCATTCCGAGTGGAATCGGTCGGATGCACCTGGTTGGCCAGGTCCTGCTGCTCCTCCGTCTGATTGAACAATTCGTCCTCGTTCTGGTCCGGGATGACCTCGGTGCCGTCGCCCAGGAGAATAATCCGGCCCGAGCGCACGCTGAAGGCCCGCGAGCGCTCCATCTCCAAGTCATAGTCATCGGGCTGATCCTCGAATTGGTTCCGGATTCCAGGGCCGCGGAACTCGGCTGCTCGCACACTTGACCGTCAGCACGACGAGGGGCTTCCTTCGGGTTCCTCGTGAGACTTGCCATACTCGGGCGGAGCACAGGGCCCGTCTCCGTTCGCAACCCTCTCTGCGATCTGGTTGTACCACTCCTCCTTGGTCTTGCCGTTGAGCAGGCCGATGATGGTCATGGTCATGTTGTCACAGCCAACGCCGCCGGTCTCGCTGTTCGAGGCCAGACAGTTGTCCATCATGTTCTCGCAGATCCGGGAAAGGTCCTGCTTGGCAGCGATTCCCCTCCGCACAAATTCCACCACGGCTTGGGAGGACTGGCAATCCCAAATACCTATATAAATATTGTGAGCATGCGTAACCCAGCTTTCTTCGCTGCTGTATCAAGATCAGCGTTCGAGGTAGTCAAGGGAGACATACCGTCGCAAGCAATAACAAGGAACTCGTCGTCATCGGTCAGCTCGTGAACAGTCACATCGGGGTAGGCGGTCACGATCTGTTGCTCGGGGGACAGCTCGGGGCTCTTCTTGAACTCGAAGTCACCGATGGCGCGGGACAGGGCAAGGTTTCCGTTGACACGGCCGAAGTCGACAAAGCCACCCGCAGCACTAATACGGGCCTTCTCGCCTGTTGGTGGGGAATTAGCAGGCTGCCCTCACGGGGAAAAGAAAGAACCCCTTGTTTGCTGGCGGCGCGTGGGGTGTTGGGGTTCAGGGAATAGGCACCAACCTTCATTCTGCGGCTTGTGGTCAAAGGACAGCGGCTTTGCGCGACCCTTGACACCCAGCACTGATCGGGAATCACCGGCATTGGCCTGGTTGTGCATCAGTCACTCTAGAGCTCCTTTAATTCTCGCCATGCCTCCGGTTTTCAACGTACCACCCAGATCTTGTGCTTGGAGATGATGCTCGTGGAAGCAGTGCAGCCGGACACTTCCTCTTCATATTTCGGATCTGCAGCAATATCACTTGGTCAGGAGGGGGGTTGTCCGACGATTTTTCTTCCTTCTCTCTTTCTTTCTCTGGGGGAGAAGGGGGGAGAAGCGGATGATCTCCTCTTCTCTTTCAACAGGTGGCCACGAACCTTCCAGGATTGCCCGATCAGTGGCCAAAAATCCATCCTTCAGCGCCTGCTCGATGTCTCCCTTGGCGAATGACTCCTGTTTGGACACAATCTTGTGGAGGTTTTCCCCAGCGAACAGCGCTACCTTGTCTCCACCGTGGCCATCATATACACCGAAGAAGGCCAGACGCTGCTCCGGATCGGTCGGTTTCTGGTCAGTAGGACCCGTGTAGTTTGCGTGAAGGTCGAGGATGGCTGCGTGGGCATCTTCCATGCTGATCCGCCAGCCCTGCATGGCAGACACACCATAGATGCAGCACTCATCTCCGCCTTCGGATGAGGTCTAGAAGATCGAGAAGATTTCAGGTCAGTTTGGGTTCGATATGGATATCTCCGATAAAAATCGGCGGCTCAGGGGTGCTGTAGGTGGCTGCCCGCGGCCGGAATAGCCTCCTTTCCACACGAGTCCTCTCAACCCCTCCCCGGGTCAGCTGGACCCCGCATAGCCGATCACCACGTCTGAGAATCTCCTCCACCGAGCAGGAGAGAGGCATCCAGGTGAAAACGAGCATGTAGCAGGGATGTTGAGACAGACAAGGGGTGGCAGGGGGGTGACCGAGGTCGTGGAAAAGGGCAGGGCATTCGAGGGCTGCCATGATGTCGCAGTGTGGGGAGGGGCAAAGGCCAACGGAACAAGAGGAAATTTCGGCGACTCACCTTCTCGACCACCGGCTCCGACAAGGTCTGACCCATAATGGTATGGATTGAATAAGTATTGAGAGGAAGAGGGGGAGTGTCGGAGTCAAGCACTAGATGACTGATAGAAGGGGAGGAAAGGAAGGAAAGTCAGGTGAGGGCGCAGGCCTTTCAGCGCGTCTCGTCTGGTCCCGCGATAAGTCGCCAGCCAAAGTGGGGAATCAATGACGATCTAGTTAGGGCTCGCCCACCAGATTGGCCTATGGAGGGATTGAAAGGGGAAACAGGGAAGAGGGAGAAGAGAGTACAATTAAAAGGCAGGTCACAGACTCAATTTTGTTGGCACGGTGAGATATGAGATAGTCGGCGAGGCAGAGATTTCCCCGTAATCTCGTTACCTTGTTACCTTACGCTTCCGCTCGTGTGCTCTATAGCCGTCACCTGACTCAGACTTGGCGATGAGGTGAGCATTCAGCTCGGCGCGACTCTGGCAAATGAGACAGACGGGCAGACAGCCAGCAGGAGCGTCTATCTTGATGATTCCAAAATACGCTGTGAGCTCATCTTCGCTGCTCTGTGTAATGTCTGACGGTTCATCCAGGCACCGGCCGTCCCTGTGATCGTCACGCTGTGACCCAGAGCGAGGCTGGTACAGTATGGTACGAGGGGGAAATATCCTCCCCGCTTAGCGCAGTCGGTGAAGGATTTCATCGATCTTAACTCCGACCAGAGGAGATGCCGGCTTCCTTGCTAAAAGTCCACTACCTCCCACCTGCCAACTGTCCGGCTTTTTTGTCACGACTGCACGTGCCACTTGCTGCCCTGGGCGGGGACGGTGGACGCCGTCCGATGCTTAGTTAAATTGCTTATTGAGAAAAGTGGCATGGAATATAGACGGAGAATGGGTGGTCTGTGAGCTCCATGGCCCACCCGGTAGTGGGAGATCAGATCTGGCATCTGAGGTACTGAGGTGTTTAAACCTAGCCAATGTCAATAGGTAGTCAAGAGACCATGATCAATCGGAGCTAGACAGATGCTACTATATATATTGTTCGCCCGGCAGCATGATTGCACACAGCAGCAGAAATGAGATGATCAAGGAAATCTTGAATCAGATCAGATCAAATCAGTTATGATTTATTTGGGCCTCTTAAACAAATGAGAGGCCCCTCCCCCCCCCCGGAATCCTGAGCTCCACACTTAGTTACTCCTCGCAGCCTCTATCCCTCCACTGGCTTCCACCTCCACCAATTATGAACCCAGAACCTCAAAGATACCTAATAACATTACCCTCCATACCAACCGTATACAAGCTCAATTGCCACCTGGACTGGTCTCCGGTGCTTCTCATCTTCAATGCACACACCATCACTGCAAAAACAAGCGGACACCTCGCCACGTGGCGACCTGTATCGTGGAGGTCGTGATCTCTTTCGACTATTTTGTGTTCTTGGGGCTGATCCTGCAGCCAGACTAGAAATCATCGGAGCTCCGGAGAGGATCCTGACGGTGTCAGGCCGCCGGCACAAATCAGAATGTTGCTCTCGGAGACGGCTGGCTGGGCGTTATGCTTGCTGGGGACGCAAAACGCAAAAATGACCGAGACAGAGTTTGCGAGTGTCTGGGCTGGGAAAAGTCCTCCCCCTATGTAGGACGTTTGCGCAAGAAAAGTCCGTGGCTGGACAAGGACTCGCTGCCAAGTACCGGGCATGATCGTTTGAGCGAGGCGTCGAGACCTGTGCTGCGCTGGCCAACCACGGCCATGGAAATATCGGATGCACTAAAGCCTGGGCTACGATACCTTACCGCTACTCTCACATTTGAAAGATGAGAGTTCGGAAATAACTTCTGTGGAAAGTGTGTACTATGTCGAAAAGAATCAACATATGTGCTCGGTACCCTGGTATACTTGAAAGCGTGTCGACCGCTCATTTGCGGTGGAGCCGCGCAGGCAGAGAGCCCTCCATCTGGCCACCCCACAACACACGCCGCCCGAGCAAACGCCCGACAACCAACCAACTGCACTCCATCTGCAAATCGGTCAAGGCACGACTCCGTGTCAACTGTATCACCGGTCACACATAATGCCCTCTCAAGCCGACGACAAGCGCCAGGCTGCGCGCGAGGTCATTGACATCCTGCACGAGATCTCCATCCTGCTCGTGCGTCCAACGCCCCCAATATTTCTTTCTGCCTGGCCTGGGATGAACAGAACCTGGAACAGAGAACAGATCGACTAACTATCCACAGAACACACATCTCGACCGTACGGAGCTTTCGCTGTGCGTGTCGCTGATTGAGAACGGGGTGAACCCCGATGCACTCGCGGTACGCGTCTCCTTGGCCCCCCCGGCGTGACTCGCTATATACTAAGACGCGAACTCAACTGATGTACTCATTCTCTGCTTGCAGGCCGTGATAGAGGACTTGCGCAAGGAGTCTGCAAGCTTTCAGCGCCTGTCGAATGCGCCGGCGACGGCAGACTAGCCGAGTTAGTTGCCTCTGTTTGGTGCCGTGGCTCGACGGTTAAGCGTATTCCGACGGGGATACTAGGTGCATATTCTGGTTTACGGCGTTCAGTGGTCGAATGACCTTTTTGATAGATACCCACTTTTCTGCTTGCTTGGTACGGTTTACACCTGTTGGTGATAGAAATTTAGGGGTTATTTGGGATTACTCGCTTCGGGTTGACACTCTACTCGCTAGCATAGACAAAGGTATAACCACATGGGGTAGTATGGGGTTGAAGGTTAGTCTGCGAGGAACGTCTCGCACCGATAAGCTGAACCGTATAGAAAGTACCTAAGACAGGCATGGAATTGTAGACTCGAGGGGGAATTTCAGGGCATGAAAAAGCAACCACAACCATTACAGGACCAGAGCGAAGTAAAATCAACACACGTCGTCCGTCTGATTTATTTCGAAGAATCCTCCGTCTTTTTGTCGTCCTTGGAGGAGCCAATCTCGCCGGACATTGCCTCGGCGGTGGCCATCTTGAGCTGCTCGCTCTCCGAAACAGTGTTTTGCTCTCTGGCCTTCGTATCCTTCTCATCATCACTGTCACCAAGGCTGAATGGGTCATTCTCCGCTACCGGGGACGGCTCGACTGTGGCTAGAGGCTGCCACTTGCTCGACTTGGCGCCTGCTGGGGCGTTGCGCTTGCCCGGGGTGGATGGATCGTACAAGTTGTCGATTTCGGTGGGAGGGCCGTCTTGGAAGGATACCTTCCGCCTATCGGGAGAAGGCGATGCGGCTTTCTTGATGTTGGTGCCAGGGCGGGGTGGGCGAGGAGGAGCTGGTATTATGGTTAGCGGGTGCGGGACCAAACCACCAGGTCCAGGGTACACACCTTCACCGTCCCGTAGATTGAGTGCAGAGAAGTCATCACCTAGCACTTGGGGGTCTGCATCATAGCGCTCACGGTCTCCACTGCGGCGACCCGGTTCGCCGCTGCGCCGTGGGCGTCCAAACGCCGAGGTCTGTTGCTCATATTGCTGGCTGGACCTCCTTTCCTCCTCGTCCTCATCCTCGCCATTGAATTGCTTCTTCAGGTTCCCAAACCATGAGTTAACCTTCGTCTGTGTCTCCAGGAACCCTTTGCGGAAGTTATCGCGGATCACAGGTAGATCATCTGCAGATCACCACGCGGTCAGCACCCAGCACACTCTCGTCAAAGGGTCGATGGATTGTTACCTTCGAAGAAATTATATTCCTTCTCTTCCGAGTCCTCGCTTCCCCGTGGTTGGCGATATCGAGGGTCGTTCTCCCACCCAGGGGCCGGACCCCGGCGCCCCCCAGCATTGTAGTGTTCCGCCAATTGCCGCGCATATTGTTCGTCGGCTTCCAGTTGTCGCTGCGTGGTGGTGGTGGCAGGCTTCGACGGGCGAGGGGGCTTCGGGGGAGGCACCATATCCTCTTGAGCGGTGGGATCGGTCATGCCTAGAAGCGGGGGTTAGCTTGTTGTCCCTTTCGCAGTTCGGGGGTGCCTGCACAAACCTAGAAGCGCATTGAATGCGCGCTCGACATTCCAATTGCTCGCGTTCAGAATAGCCTTGATCACGGTAGGCTCGATTGTAGGGAAAGCCTCCTTGAGTGTGTTCACCGACTGCTCTCTAGGGCTCAGAGGCCTCGGCGGCTTTGGCGGGGCAGCTGGGGGAGCCTCAGTGGCGGTCTGTTGGGTCTGTTGAGACGGTGCGGCGTTGCCGCTGGAGGTGACTCCAGACTCCTGCGGCTCATCGTCGAAGTCCAGGGGTCGCGCGGTAGTGGGCGACTCAGCACGGGGGCTGTTCGGCACAACCGCAGCCACGGGCTTGCTGGGAGTGGACTGTGAAAGTGAGCCTCCGCTTAAAAGCTGCATGTCGGGGCTGTACATACAGTCTTTTCCCCCTCCGACATCTTGGTATGGTTTTGCAAGGGAGTTCTACCAGGGAAAGCGATCGTAGATAGGATCGAAGGAAAGGTGTTGCCTGTAGAAAGAGAAGATGAGGTGAAGCAGGCAGAACCCATCGGGGAAGCTCCAAACAAGTGACGTGGGGGTGCACGTGATGCGCGGGTAGCTTTTATAGAGCCATCCTGCGTCGCCGTTGAACATGAACCTCCCCAGGTCGATCCGCAACTGACATGCCGATATAGCGCAAAAAATTTCAGAATGCAGCAGCAGCACTGTTTTGAATTGCCCTTTCCATGAGCCAGGGTTTCAGTCCTGAGAAGAGCCGAGCCATATAGCCCTCCGTCTTCACGCTCTTTTTTTGATCTACAAGATGGCTTCTGAGCTGGAGCTTTCAGGCGGCTTTATCCCTGCACTGTACAAACCAGCGACCCTGTTGCCGATCGCGCGACATAAGCAGAGTTTGCTGTACCTGGTTGAAACCTACCAGGTCACCATAGTTGTGGGCCAGACAGGGAGTGGGAAAACAACACAGCTTCCCCAATACCTCGATCAGGCTGGTTGGTGCGGCGATGGCAAGGCCATTGCTGTGACGCAGGTAGGCTTCATCTGATGACATCATAGAAAGGATTCATGACTGATTTCCAAATTACAGCCTCGGCGGGTGGCTGCTACTACGGTTGCGACTCGAGTCGCAGAGGAGATGCGCTGCAAGGTCGGCGAAGAAGTGGGATATTCAATCCGCTTCGAAGACGTCACCTCTGCGGCGACCAGAGTCAAATTTTTGACTGATGGAATGCTGCTCAGAGAAGCACTGGTAGATCCTCTGCTATCGCGGTATTCCGTGATTATGGTCGACGAAGCCCACGAACGATCTCTCAGCACCGACGTTCTGCTTGGGATTCTGAAAAAGATCATGAAGAAACGCCCCGAGCTTCGCATTATTGTGAGCAGTGCGACACTACAAGCAGAAGAATTCCTTCGATTCTTTGTGGGCGATGAATACAAACCAGACGCAGACGCAGCTGATTTGGGTAGCGGGATCGGGAGGATTATCAGCTTGGAAGGCAGGATGTATCCTGTGGATACGCTGTTCCTCGAAAACCCTGCTGAGGACTATGTTGAACGGGCAGTTAAGACTGTCTTCGATATCCATACCCAAGAAGGAGAGGGCGATGTGCTACTTTTCTTGACTGGCCGGGAAGAGATTGATCGTGCAATTCAGTTGATGTCGGAGCGTGCCGCATATCTCAACCCGAAGTCCCCTTCACTGCTCACCCTGCCACTTTATGCAGGTCTTACTACGGAGCAGCAGATGTACGTTTTCGAACCGGCACCGGAGAACACGCGGAAGGTCATAGTGTCAACGAACATTGCAGAAGCATCGGTCACAATCGATGGAATTGTCTATGTGATAGACTGTGGCTTTGCCAAACTTAGGGCTTACAACCCTAGTACGGGCATTGAGACCTTGACTGCCGTGCCGATATCAAAGGCATCAGCTACGCAACGCGCTGGACGTGCGGGTAGAACAAAGCCTGGGAAATGTTTCCGTCTTTACACTCAACAGAGCTATGAGCAACTACCTGCGGCAACCGTCCCCGAAATTCAGCGGTCAAACCTGGCACCTGTCGTCATGCAGCTCAAGGCATTGGGCGTTGATAATATTGTTCGCTTCGACTTCTTGACGCCACCTCCAGCAGAACTTGTTATCCGCGCCTTCGAGCTGCTGTATTCCCTTGGCGCAGTGGATGACTATGCTAAACTCACAAAACCACTGGGCATGCGAATGGCTGAACTGGCCGTTGACCCGATGATGGCCAAGGTCCTTCTTGCTGCGCCTTCTTTCAAATGCCTGAGTGAGATGCTTTCCATTGCAGCAATGGTGAGCCTCCAGGGGACTGTGTGGGTGCAGCACGATGGGGATAAAAAGGCCGCTGAGAATCACCGGCGCAAATTTGCTGTGGAAGAAGGTGACCATCTCACCTATCTGAATGTATACCGAGCATTCGTGACCAAAGGAAAGAAGGATTCGAAATGGTGCCGTGATAACCTACTCAATTACCGAGCTCTACTCCGCGCCGTCAGTATCCGTGGCCAACTTAAGCGGTACCTTGAACGCTTTGGCATTCAAATTGACGAGAGTCTCTCAACTCATCACAACGGTGCCGGCTTAAGTACATCACCAGAGCAGATACAGCGGTGCCTGACAACTGGCTATTTTGCTCATGCGGCAAAGATGCAGCCGGACGGCACATTCAAGACTGTCAGTGGGAGTTTGACTCTCCATGCTCACCCTAGCTCTTTGATGTTTGTAAGTGTTCCCGACTCCTCTACCCTCACGGTATATATTGCTAATTTATTGGCCAACCAGAACCGAAAAGCGGACTGGGTGATATTCCATGAAATAATGCAAACCGGCGACAAGATCTATATCCGTGACGTGACGAAGATTGAGAAGAGCTACCTCCTGGAATATGCTCCTGAATATTACCGGGTTACATGATCTGCGCGACTTAACTGCTTTAATGCGACGATACCATGACATAGGATATAATGCTTCATTTGTTCTCTTCAACTCTTGTAGGACAGCTCACCGCGAAAAGACGATAGAAGCGGATCACTGCGGTTCCAACTCATAACAGGCTATATTCAAATAAACTTGTCCCCTGCGCTTACTATCACAAATCACACTCACCATCCTGATTAACATCATATTGGTAGATAAGGTCAGAGAGACACCCGTACTAGCTCAATCATTACCATTATAGAAGGGAAGCGTCATTTGATTTTGCAAAGTATGGCCGGTAATTAGGATGGTGAAAGTAAAAGACCTAAATCACAGCCTACTCTGATTACTTAGACTGCGCAGGAAACTCTGATTACACCTCGTATCTTTGTTTATACTTCTTAACTGATCTCTGGGATCGACGTCACGGGGTGCGGAGAGAAGCCGCGCGGATCCCTCCAAACTTTCTCTGTGACTCTTAGGATTGTTTGGCCCCGCGCCTTCGACTCTTCCCCTACAACTCCGCGGTACCTTTACCTATTACCGACCAAGAATCTCGCCCATCATGTCCCGGCACCATCACCACCACGGTGGTGAGGGGCACGGTCACTGCCACGATGAACACGACCATTCCAACGATATCACCCCCGCGATTCAGTCGCTGCTCTACTCACAAATCGACTTCGATTCAATTACCACCTTGAATGGTATCCTAATTCATCGTGTGCACAAGGCGTTAATTTCGCCTCAATTCGCATCTGTGCTGACAACTAGAAAATAGAGGCGACCCCTAAGGGTGGCGCCGCCATTGTCAAGAAGACCTGGGCCGAGCGACTGAATGACCAGCCTGAGCTTGAGAGCGATGCTGATGAGCAGCTTCTCATGCACATTCCGTGTGTTTTCCCTGCTTCTATACTCTGTTGATATATTTTCCCCTTCCCGCTTCGCTTTTGCTCACTTATCGCAAAATTTGACACCCCCACTATATGCCCCTCATCGTATCGGGATGGAAACAAAACTAACGCAAACCTACTATCAGCTTCACTGGCCAGGTCAAAGTCCACTCAATTCTCATCTACACCGCACCTACTCCCTCCGCCCCAAAGACCCTGAAGCTTTTCAAGAACCGCGACGACCTGGACTTCTCTACTGCCTCGGATCTCTCTCCAATCCAGACCATCGAAGTTCCCCAGCCTGTGGCTGGCGAGGATGTCTTTGAAATACCGCTGAATCGCGCACACTGGAACACCACTACTTCCATTACCATTTTCGTGGAGGACAACTGGAGCGACGGCGAGGAGGATGTCACCAAGATAGGCTACATCGGGTTCAAGGGTCAGTTCCTGGCGCTAAATCGGGAACCGATCAGCTTCTTGTATGAGGCTGCTGCCAATCCCAATGATCATGTTGCGATTCCTGGGATTAGCGACACCGGAGCTCGTACAATGCCTGGTCAATGAGCTGTGACGAAGTTCCGGGAACAATGATGACTCCAATATGAGCATAGCGAACTCCAACGTATTAATGATCTCTACATGAAGAATAACGAATCATGAGCAAAACGCATGTCACAAAATGCCACCAACGCCATCCAATGCTTCCGATCGTGTAATGCAAGTGATCGATCTGGTTTGAAGTAAATTCAACAGAGTCCTATCAGGCCGCCAAGACAGGCGTTCGAGCTTTGGTCTTAGCCTTGGCCTCGGTTTGTTCTTGTGCTGGCTCTTGAACTTCGTCGGGATGTGCGGGGAGAGGCGACTGGGGAACAGTGTGGGGAACAGCCGGCAGGTCGACAGGTCCAGCAACCTCCTGTCGTAAAGCCTCCAATTCGTCTTCGACATCCTCCTCGTCCTGCGTCGACAAATGGCCCTCCAGCATCTGGCTCACCTCCTAAAATAGACCGTCAGAGACTCCCACTCGAAGAAACAGATTGGTTGCTTGATGTTTACCTCTTGATAAGCGCGCGCCTCTGCTGTCTCCTCCATCAGCCGGTCCACGCCTTCAATTCCGCCCATCTCCTTGTTGATCGCCTGCAGCACCTGGGTACCTTGCTGCAGCCCAAACAGCACATCCTTCTGCACCAGCGCGAATTCCACCTGCCCCGTCAACTGTTCCAGTTGAGCGAGCTGGCTGTCAGTTTTGGAGAGTAGCGATTCCTGGTATTTCTTGCGCCGCAGAGCGAGCAGTGCTCGCCGCCGATCATTGCGTGCGAGGCATTCCTTCGCGATCGCAGTCTCTCGGTCGGTGAGGACGGTGATACGTTTCTGGTATTGGTATATTTTATCGCGCTGATTCTTGAGGTCAAGAATCGCCCTACACAATCATGAAGAAGAGAATGTCAGCCGAGTCAAGGGCGCTTTGCTGTAGAAGCCGTGGGAGGGGCCTGGTCGTGTGCGAGGGGAAGCAGAGGAAACAGGCCGCAGATGGTGTTCCTGGAGAAGATCTCCATGTATGTCTTCTTCGCAGGCTATCCACAAGGGGGTAGTCGACTCACCGATCCTGCGCCGAGATCTTCTGTGAACTGCTGGAGTTTCCCATCGCGCATTCCGGTGTTGATGAGACCGCAGTCCAGCCGACGGAGGGTTCAATTCGGGGATGACGTTGGTCGTAACGCGGTTACCGCCCGATACACGTATTTTTCGCCTTCTTCCGCTTCCCGCATTTCTTTTTTTTGCGGACTTGCGATATCGCACTTCGCAAGACACACCATGGCACCCAGGAATCGCGGAGGCAGACCGACCCTCAGCCAGGGTCTGGATCGTGAGGTAAGGATTGCCATTCAAGAGTTCTCTTTGGATTTTCGCTTATGTTCTGTGCAGGTCTACCAGGTTGTGCTCAAAATTATCGACGACCAGCCCGACGGGGTCGACCGTGACCGCCTTTCGGTCCCAGTTATCCATGAGAAGATTCGGCGATCGAACTCGAGCCTGAACCGGAAACCGAAGAAGCTGTTGGAGAATAGTCTGGAGCGAGTTCTGGAGGTGGTTAGGAGTGATCTATTCGGCGACGAAGAAGAAGACGACTCTGTGGAGGGTGACTTTGAGGGACTGGAAGAGCCTCCCGTCACGGTATGCAATATCCAGACAAAAGCGACCCTAGTGGTACTGGTATCTTGACCGGGATTGTTTAAATTCTAGGAGCCCAATGGCGTGAATCAAAGCATCGTCGGCGCATGGACAACCACCACCAAATCCACCCCGTCCCAAAAAGCCGAGTCGACCAGTACATCCAAGACCGCTTCGAAGCGACGACAGCAAGGCAGCGAATCGGCGTCCAAGCGGCGGAAGGGAGACAGTGCGGTTGACCGATCACCGCCTACGCATGTCAGTCTTGCCGATCTGGGTGGGTTGGACGATGTGGTCCAGGAATTGGGTGACATGGTCATCTTGCCCATGACCCGACCACAGGTGTACCTTTCGTCCAACGTGCAACCTCCGCGCGGTGTTTTGCTGCACGGTCCGCCCGGTTGCGGTAAAACGATGATTGCCAATGCATTCGCGGCAGAGCTGGGGGTGCCGTTCATCTCGATCTCAGCACCCTCCATTGTATCGGGCATGTCGGGCGAATCGGAGAAGGCTCTGCGCGAGCACTTTGAAGAGGCTAAGCGTCTTGCGCCCTGTCTGATCTTCATTGATGAGATCGACGCGATCACCCCCAAGCGTGAAAGCGCGCAAAGGGAAATGGAGAAGCGGATTGTCGCTCAGCTTCTCACTTGTATGGACGAGATTGCGCTGGAGAAGACAGACGGCAAGCCCGTGATTGTTCTTGCGGCCACCAACCGCCCAGACAGCCTGGATCCCGCACTCCGTCGTGGTGGGCGTTTCGACAAGGAAATCAATATGACCGTGCCCTCGGAGCCGGTCCGAGAGCAGATTTTGCGAGCGCTTACACGGAAGTTGCGTCTGGCGGATGACCTCGATTTCACAACGTTGGCCAAAAGAACTCCTGGTTTCGTCGGCGCTGATCTCAACGACCTCGTCTCGACCGCAGGCGCAGCCGCTATCAAGCGGTACCTGGATATCCTCAAATCCAACAGCGGCGAGGAGATGGAAATTGAAGAAGAGGACGATCTCAGCCCCAAAGTCCGCGAACTGCGCCGTCTGATCACGCACGCCAAGGAGACCCCTATCGGCGCAGAGGTTGAAACCGTGCTTGTCTCCAACGCAGACTTTTTCACCGCACTCCCCAAGATCCAGCCTTCGTCCAAGCGGGAAGGCTTCGCCACGATCCCCGACACAACATGGGCCGACATCGGCGCTCTCAGCGGCATCCGCGACGAATTGGCCACCGCCATCGTCGAGCCGATCAAGAACCCCGACATCTACGCGCAAGTCGGTATCACGGCGCCCACCGGTGTCCTCCTCTGGGGCCCGCCAGGTTGCGGCAAGACGCTGCTGGCCAAGGCCGTGGCCAACGAGTCGCGCGCCAACTTCATCAGCGTCAAGGGCCCCGAGCTGCTGAACAAGTTCGTCGGTGAATCCGAGCGCGCCGTGCGCCAGGTCTTCGTCCGCGCCCGCTCCTCCGTCCCTTGCGTCATCTTCTTCGACGAGCTGGACGCCCTCGTGCCCCGCCGCGACGACACTCTCTCCGAGGCGTCCGCCCGCGTCGTCAACACCCTCCTCACGGAGCTGGACGGCCTCGGCAGCAGCCGCCAGGGTATCTATGTCATCGCCGCCACCAACCGCCCCGATATCATCGACCCGGCCATGCTCCGCCCCGGCCGTCTGGAGACCCTGCTGTTTGTCAACTTGCCCTCCCCGCTCGAGCGCGTGGACATCCTCCAGACGCTGCTGCGGAAGCTGCCGATCGAGTTCACCGAAGATATGCGCCGGCTCGCGGAGGAGTGCGACGGGTACAGCGGTGCGGACCTCGGCAGCTTACTGCGTCGTGCGGGTTATTCGGCTATCAAGCGTCGCGATACTATTCGCCTGGAAGACTTCGTTACGGCGAAGTCGTTCATTCGACCTAGTGTTTCGGACATGAGGAAGTACGAAAGGCTTAAGCGGGAGTGGGGTTCGGGCGTGGTTTGAGACCGCGCTCGTGGGCAGGTGACCTTTTTATCGTTTAGAGCTTTTGTTTGTGGGCGAGTTCGTTAGTTCGTTTGGTTCATTTGGATGGATACATATACCCTCCCATATCATAGAGATCTGAGCCGTCACCCTTTCTCTCCCGATGATTTCTTGATTGATAGTAAATATGCTTCTGATGATGTGGAAAGTGTGATGAATATGCTAGATATGTCGAACCCCCCTTCGCTCAAAACCAGATATAGTTCAGCATTGCTCCAACTCCAGTAACAAAGGTCATCAATGCAGCATGTTCGGTGGTTGGCGCTTCAGGCCCCCGATCCCATCAGTGCAAAAGCCATCAACGCTCCCCACCCTCCGACGAGAAGCACCGTCATGATCGCAGCACCTGCCTTGTCTCCACCGGTAATTGGCTTAGGTGCACTCTTTTTATTGTTATTGTTATCCAGGCCCGCGTTGGGATCACTGGTACTATTTCCACCCGTCTTGGACGTAACTGGTGCCACCGCCTTGCTCTGGACGAAGGGAAGCAAGTTGGCACTGAAGACCTGGCTGACGCTGATCTGCTCCTCCATTCCGGTCCATCCATCCCACTTAGATTGATACCAGCGAACGCCACAGGTATTGTTGTTGTTGCCGGTGCAGGACTGGGCAGCCGCTACGGCCGAGGCCTGCAGCTTCGGCATGATTTGGTCGTATGTGGACGGGACGACGAGGGCTATATAGGAGAGCCATGTCGACAGAAGACCTTTGAAGAGGACCTCGTTGTTGTTGCAGATCTCCTGGGGCTCGCATGTGATCTCTTCCATGACATATCCGTTCTCTTTCAGGAAAAAGGTTTGGAGGGTCTTGTTCAAAAGACCGTTTGTGGCTTCGAGCCATTGTGGATCACCAGTCTGGGGAGTTCCCATGGTTAGTGCTGTTCCCTCCCCCACGCTTTCGTGACCGCGAGATCATCCACTATGACCAGGAGCGCCGGACGGAACTTACATAATTATACATATAGGCAGCACCCATGAGATATGTGCCATAGTTGTATGACCAGGGGATGTTGGCTCCATTTATGCAACCGTCTGTGCCTTCCGTGGAATCCTGCACCAGCCAAGTCTGATTGTTAACCAACGGCGAGTTGATCGACCAGTCCCAGACTTTGTTCGCCCAGGTGACGTATTCCTGGTTCTCGGTGTATCGGGCAAGACGTGCAGCCAGCTGGAAGAAACCACCATTGGAGATGGCATTCTTCATCGTATAACCGCCTCCTTGGTACGGGAACATCTGCCAGCGCATCCCTCCGCCGCACATTGTCGTGTCCCATCGACCCTTTTGGGAGTTGAAGACACCCTGCGCAAGTGAAAGCCAGGAGAACCCATCCGAAACATCAGGGAACTTCAACTCGGCAGCCGTCATCGCCGCAAGGCCCCAGAACATTTGATCGTCATTTCCCTGCGCGAATCGATTAGCCTCCCGGCGTTCTGGTGATCATGGGTAGGCCGCAATCTTCTCACCAGGAAGTGGCTGTAGTTATTGGGCAGATAGTCTCCATTGGTGCCCGACTGCCATTCCAATCCCACGCTCAGCTCGTCGTTGTATGTGTCGTCGCCCGTGAAGTGCCAGTAGTTGAGCAACGCATAGAACAGGGCGGATCCTTCCCACCACTTGTCCGGGAAAGCCCCCGGGATCTGCCCGGTCTCATTTCCATGATACCATACCATCATCCCGTACGTAGCAGTCGCAGCGGCATCTTTGATGGATTCTGGTCAGAGGCGGCATGCCCGGTTAGCCAGGCGACTCCAGGAGCAGAGCCTAGATGGACATTGAACACGACCAGGACTCACGTTCATCCTTGATATCGAGATTGATCGCATGCGCCTGGGAGACTAGTGCCAGCGCATAGAGAATGACTGCACATAGTGAGCTCGTCCCGCTTATTTGCATCGCCGAGGGACGGTGTCGAGTTGGGGCCGACCGCTTGAAAGAAGTACGTCAACGGCGGTGGGTATGAGGCGGGCAGGTTCGCAGCAAGGGTCTACTCGAACTATGATCTGGCTGAAAGTGTTTCAACCATTTGAGTCGAGGTCTCAAAGGATAGTTTGCGCGGTGTTGGAAACTCAGATCAACTGCAGGGCCGGTCGCCTGAAAAACTTCGGGGCCTTGTTATGTCATTCCTCTCTCGAGATTAAGATGGACAGCAGCATTGGGCCTGGAAAAGTGGACACCGGCAGGGATGTGGAATCATCGCAGCCGCAGGCGCAGCAGGGTCCGAATCGCCCCACGCAAGATGGGGAATGGTGGGGTGTGCGGTACCCCGACGCGCCCCCGACGATGTTCGGGGGCTGTACGATCACGTCAAATGGAACCAGGGACAGGCGACTTAGGGCGGTCCGCAAGTCGTGGACGGATGACGGGCCACCGTGTCTCACCTTCACGGCCGTGACAATACGACCAGAAGCGCAAGTAGAAGCCGGTGCTCATTGTCTGACCCGAGTGGGACTGCATGGATCCAATGGAAGGGACTGGGAGGGTCGGGGCCATGCGACGACCCTGGCTCGACAAATGCCATGTTGGGAAGGCGAGGCTCGAGCTCCACCATAGTTGATTCTTCCGGCTGGTCAGCAACTCAAGCTCCAACGCCCTTGGGGCACTTTCTGGTTCATCTATTTTTGTATCGACGATCAATCCCCTTATGGGACAGACACTCTTGACATCATCGGGGACTAGTCTTAGCGCCTGTCCATTACGCGTACAGCCAGCGCTTCTTCTCTGCGACACAGCTGTTAGCTGGAGACAGCTTTGATCGCTCTAACAGGGGCCCGTGTACCGAAGTATCTGTACTTATGTCGCTGCCTAGCTAGCCCTCCCAATGTACCCGTCATAGCCCACGCAGGACTGGATATTCAATGATCGGGAGCCGTGCTGCCGAGGTGGACAACAATCCAATTTCAAGGATGAGCCTATGATGCGGCTGATTGATTAGAAATGGAAAGAAAGGTTGCTGGAAAAGGAACCCCCCTATCGTCACGGAGAGGCAGAGGTTCGGTCTTCACCTCGCATCATTTCAACAAGGTAGTACCCACAGAGCTTGGCTCGTGGTCCACATGGCGTCCTGTCGCATCTGGCTCTATCAGTATCCGCTAGTGCGGTAGATGTCCAATAAGACTGCCTTGATAATCAGATTGATGGATAATGATCAGGGGGAGGCTGTTGAGAACTCTCCCAGGGCCAGCGTGGCCGATATCAGCGGTTGTACCGCTCCAGTTCATGCGTAATCCATAATTGCCTACAAAAACATAAGAAAAGTGGGCACTTGTATCACCCGTTCCGGTGAGTTACCACTCCATAGACATAGACCTGAATTATTTCATTATCTACACTCTAAATATCGTAACCTATAAAGCTCGCCATTGTTCCGGTACCTTTGAAGCCCGATGATTATAAAGCCGACAACACCAAATCACTGGACTGCCTCAAGAGGGGCAAGGCATCTCATCACATGATAGCAACCCCCGCAGCCTCTGGGCTGACAATCTGCTTTGAATCAACCCTCATAGCTAGAGCAGAGCACGATCTATAGTTCATCTCTTTTGCTGGCGCCAGAGTCTGTGAGGCTCATATCTAAATCGAATTTCCCATACGACCATCAACATGGCAGAACCAGGATCCCAATATCACCACTATATTCCTCAGTTTATTTTGAAACAATTTGCATTTACAACAGTCAAGACAAAAAAGTGAAAGTCTAATCATCCCAGGCTAAAATTACTTTCTAATAAAGACACAGGTCCCCGCAGGAAGGTCTCTTACATGTGTTCGACGTGCTCAGTAAAACATTTTCCCTCGGAGAAGTTAGGAGGACTTGCGGCAAGCAAGACCTGTACTACAAAGCAGATGAGCAGGATCCTATGAGGATCGAGCACCTGCTCAGCAAGCTTGAGTGCAAGACTAGCTCGGTTTTCAGAAAAATCTGTACCGCCATCACCAATGGCGCAGCCCATGTGGACGTCCTGGAGAAGGATATCCACATTCTATTCAAGTTCATGAACATTTCCCTTAGACGGTCAGAGCAGTATAGAGATGAGGTCACAAACCCTTACCGCGAAAACGACTTCTTGTTTCAACAACTTTTTGACGATTCGAGGAGGAGTGGCCGATCGGCAGATCCGAGCGACGTCTGGCTTGAGCACCTGCTCTACCTTCTCGAGACTAGCCACGAAGACCTGCTTGTAGATGCTGAAAAGATCAATGATAACTCACATAATAGAGTTGCACAAACCTACAAGGCGTTTGTTGAAGGATATGCCCTTCAGGTTTGGAAAGCAGCTGATGGCTACGAGTTCTTCCTCAACGAAAGCCTAGTGGACTTTGAGGGTGATAGAGAATCACGCTTGGGGATGGAAACAAAAGAGACAGGGCCTCAGCTTATATGGATAACTTCAGACGACATGAATCATCTCATTCTCCCAATTAGCCCTGATGTTGCAGTTGTATTCTGCAACGAAGCACAATGCTGGGAGTCACCATTCGCTGAAAGTATGCACCGTCTTCAGATTCCATTCCCGCAGAATAGTTTACTGAAAACTGCACCACACAAGGACGTTGTCAACATTGATGTCCCAAGCAAACCACGGGGCAAGAAGACCTGGCCGCCAACGATCGCATGGCGTGTGAATATTGGAATGCTTTCCCCACGCCATCATCAAATAATTACATCCTACATCCTTGGCCATGCTCGATCGCTTATCATAGTCCGATCCCGAGCGCGATATGAGAGAGCCAAAAGAGATCTAGAAGTCTTTTCGAGAGAGAGAGCGGAAGCATGGACGAGGCAAGGATTTCGATCCGACTACCAAACTGGGCACCCACAGGCCAACGGAAAGACACATGGCGGGCCGGTGCTTGAGAGAATGGTCGACGAACACATGTCTGCTCTTGACGACATCATTCGTATAATAAGCACGACCAATGAGCCTCTACCGCGCAACAAGGATAGTCTAGTCAAGTCCTGGCTAGCAATTCGCGCCATTCACTTCGCAAAGGGCAGCTCAAGTCACTCATCAAAGCCCGACGACTTGTCTATCATGGATCCTGCCATCAGAGCAGCTCTTGAAGCTGCCTATCCCCCCAAGCACCCAAACCATAGAGATCTTATCACCATTGGATTCTCTGAGTTCTTCCATAATGCCCTCGGGGAAGAGATGTTTGCAAATCTGTCGTTCGAAATATCAAAGAAGATCTCGGAAGTCGTCAATGCAGACACCTTCGAGGTGCATTTTGAAGCCAGCAAAGAAACGTTGGAATTTCCCGATACTTTCCTCGGCCAGCAAGTGAATGAGCACGACAAAGAGAAATCCAAGCGTATCCAAGATGAATTGATAAACAAACCCTCATTCAAATCGGTCGTGAGAGCGTCTCAACTACTTGAGACTCTGATATGGATGTTCAAGGAGCGCCAAGATATTCTGGCAACTTTTGTGCAGAAAATCGCAGTACCTATGAAGGATACACGACCCAACGTCATTCGACTTCGCGGGAAGCGGGAATAATTCCGACGCAGTCCGGTCCTGAAATAGTCTTACTATGAGATATGGGGTGAATTCTGCCTTGAGTATTGGTTGCTATTCTGGCCTAGGGTGTGCTGATCCAGAGTTGATGAGTGTGAGTGGGTTTTCAACAGGTGGCAATCGAGCACTGGGTGTTGCACAACCGAGGTTCAGTGTCAAAGCTGCAGTCTTACTTTACACCCCCGTGAGCCATCTTGTCTCCTAGCGTGGGTATTGTAGGCCAATATCGATACTGACTGGATGTTAGGCTGAGCTTCGTTGAGATTTTTACTGGGGACCTTGGTGCACAGACCGAAATGCATCCGAAATCACCGATTGATGATATTCAGATACCGTCTTCCAGCCCAATTGCGCTCCTTGAGCTCGTTGATCACGTCATCGAATTCTAAGGATGTATTGATCCCTTCTCGTGTAGATATTGCATCTTAAGTGTAGTGTATCAACTACAGATTAAATGATATTATGTCGCACTTGATAATGTTTGGAACAACTTTTATTGGAAGTATGGGCTATACAAAGAGAAGATGCACACACACACACACACACATACAACGAGAACGCCTGAAAGAGTATCATGCAAAACAAAGATCTAAAGAAAAGATTACATCCACAACCGACAGGTACCATCGGCACCGGCACTGACAACCCAAGCCTCACGCGGGTGCCAATCAATATCGAGGACACCCAGCTCGCCGGTAATCTTATGGCCCTTGAGAACCTTGAGGGGGACGATGCTGGCGTTGCTGAGCATGTCGCCCGTAACACTGCCGTGGAAGATCTGCAGCGAGCCATCGTCACTGGCGTCAGCGAACAGCGGGTAGCGACCACCGGGGTGGAACTTGACGGCACGGATAGCCTTGCGGTGGTACCGCAGAGTCTTGTAGGGGCGCTGCGACAGATCCAGATCGTGCCAGAGGAGGCGGCGGTCGTAAGATCCGACAATGATGTTGTCACCACCCGAAGCAGAGGACGAGGTCGGATGGATGTCGAAGGAAGAGATCCAGCGGGCACCAGGCTGGACAATCTTGACCAGCAGTTGCCGAGAGAGATCGTAGCCACGGATCGAGCGTTGGTTAGCCACGAACAGGATCGGTTTCGAGGGGTGGAAGTGGGCTGTCTGAGGAGGACCACCGCCCTTGAGGCGTCGGCGGAAGGGATACTGGGTGAGATGCTTGGAGACAGTGTGGATGGCGATGGCCACCGAGGCAGGGGTCGATGCACCAGAGCACACCGTGACGAAGTAGTCACCGCGGCGGTGCCACGAGATCGACTTCGGAATGTAGCGGAGAGGGATGAGCACGCACACACCGGCATCTGCGAGCTCGGACGAAGGACGGATCCACTGTGGTGGAACGTTCTTCTTGTTTGCTTCCGCAGCGCTCGGCGGAGGGTTAGACGCGGCGTAACCCCAGCCAGCATCGATGATGTCTAAGCTGGCCTTCTCGATCTCCGGGTCGGCAATCGGAGGCACTGTAAGGAAGAGGTCGTCACCCGCAGCAGCGGCAAGAATTACGGCGTCCTTGCCGGGCCGCCAGCGGACCACGTTGACCGCATCCTCGTCACTAAGCTTAACACTCCACAGCTGACGGCCGGTCAGAAGTTCCCACACACGAACAGATCCATCGTCACCACCAGTTGCAAGCCAAATTCCAGTAGGGTCCACAGCCAGGGAACGGACACGGCCCTTGTGGCCGCGGAACACCGTTGCACAAGTAGTGGGGAAAGGCTTCAGTTCCTCAGGGCTGGGCAGCTTGGGAAGCAGGCTCTCGGGGTCGATGTTCAGCTTGCTCCGGCGCACACGAGGAGCAAGGTACAGATCCAGACAACGCTCGAACTTCTCCTTAATGAAGTTCTCGTATCCGGGAACCTTGCGAAGAGAGCCGAAGTCATTGGGCAAGAACTCATGCTCGCGGTCTTCGGGATCGGTCTGTTCCCACTCCTTGCGCTCCTTCTTATCGGGAAGATACTCAGGAGGAGGGTGATAACTCTCCTCATAACCGGGCGGCGGCAATTTGGGCGCAGGAATGTGCATAATGTGGTCGGGTCGCCCGACCTCATCGGCCCACAGATCGTAGCTGATGAGAGCTTCCTCCTTCTCTTCCCGCTCCTCCGGGGGACGATAAGGAAGAATACGGCCCTCGCGGATCGCCTTGACGATCTTCATCACACGCTTAGCCTCATGCTTAGATGGGACGAATCGGCGCTTCGGTTCAGGGGCAGCACTGAGGGGCATGATCTCCAGCTGGCTAGAGAAGGATTCCACCAAGGGCTCGTACGGGTTGTAGCCATCGACAGTGGACTCATTCATCTGGACCTTCTTCAGCAGCTCCAGCTCCTCCTGGCTCAGCTGCAATGGCTTGCCAGTTGAAGGGTCGGTGAGACCAGTCCAGCCCTTAGGGACCTCAATGCTGTCGAGGAGAGCATCCAGAGCCTCGCCCTTCGCCGGACGCATAATCTTCTTGCCATTGATGTCGTAGCCAATGTGAGGGTATTGATCGTAGAATGACAACGGGATGTCGCCAATGGTGTTGGCTTTCTCCTCGACATCCGAGTAGTCCGAATTGTCGTCCGGGTTGATCTCATCGTAAAGGTAGCGCTCGTTTCCGTTGGCGTCCTTCACGACGCGGAAGTTAGGCTCGGTGCCGTTAGGCGTAATTTCCGCAGACTTTTTCGGCTTTTCATCCTCGCCATCCGATGGGATCTCATCGCTGTCCAATTCATCTTCATCGTCCTCGTCGCTGAAGTCGTCAATCAGCTCGATTTCGGAATCGCTATCTTCTTCCTCGCTCTCCGACAGGTCATTGTTGTTGTCCGAGAGAGCTCCATCCAGATTTTCCGCACCCAGCTCATCTCCCGAAAAGACACCAGCTTCTTCCTCCACATCGCGAGTAACCGCCTTGCGCTTCTTCGAGGCCTTCCTGGCGTCCATGGTTGCTTACCGTTGAGCCTGGGACTGTTGTCGATCTCCACGATTTTTTTTTCTTCTCCGTTCAATTGGGCTCACCGCTCACATGACTTACCGCCCCGGCTCTTATCGCCTATCGATGACGGCCAAAGCGGCCCTCGATTATTTCGAGTGCAGTCGCTACTACTCTTTGCTTTCTATTGTGGAATGCCGGTAAGGTGATGGCGGCAGTTATGGAAGAACCCGTGGGGGCTCTCTTGCCAAATGAGCTATCTGCCTCGGCCACAGAGCCGAAAAAGCATGCCGCATGCGACGAGTGCAGTGAGTTTTGTCCGACCCAGTTATGGCTGATCTATGCTGATCGCATACTGCTTGTCAGGGAAACGAAAGCTCAAATGCTCGGGAGAACCCAGCGGCTGCTCCCGCTGCATAAAGCAGTCAATAATATGCAATTATTCAGTACAGAAGCCTATGGGTCGACCGCCCAAGAAACGCGCGCGGGCGGCGGACGATGCGGGGGAATTCTCTATACACCGCAATAACATCTGGCCCAGTCCAGAAGATACTCCGCCAGATTCTTGTCCTATGGGAACGGATTTGGCAGTGGCAACGGATGCGCAGCATCTCTGCCCGCAATTTTTTGTCCACCATGGTGGTCCGTCGCCGCCGGCACAACTCGATTTACTCGCACGAGACGAGGACCACAACCATACTTGGCGCCCAGAACGTTTGAGAAACCCCAATATTCCAGTTCCTGTGTCTTCAAGTCCCTGGCCGGACTTCACCGCCGTGTCTGAAGCAACAGCGATGCCTGTTCCACCGCCAATAAACTTTCTTAACGCACATTCCCTCCCTCTTACCCCTCCAATCACCAACCTCTCCGATCCCACCATTCCTCAATGTACATGCTTGTCATATCTTTACCTCTGCCTCAGCCATATATCATCGATTGCCTCCTTCCCCGTCAGCTCTCATACTTTATGCTCCTTATACATCGCAGCCAGAACCGCGCAGGACGTGATCCGCTGCGAAGCCTGCCCCAAAAATTTCGCTACGGGTGTTCAGAATGTCATGTTCACCGGCACCCTCCTTACTATCGTCGCAGACGCTTGGCTACGAGTTTTTAACAGTGACCCTGTCGAACTCGGAATACAGTCAGCTCCACCAGAATTTACGAGCAAAGTAATGCAGTGTGCCAATCCTGCAGAGGGCTGGAAGATCTGGCTCCGTCAGATCGTTCGTCGTGCTGTAGTTGGTGGCCACCTCCCGGCAGAGGCTGAGACGCGTTGCACAGGCCACCGCGACCTCCTGTCCCTGATCAAAGAAGTCGAGAACCGCCAGCGGCGCTGGCATGCGCCTGGGCAGCACCCGTGCACTGGATACAACCCTATGAGTTCCACGGCTGTCAGTGATAGCCCGAATGGAGAAGACAATCCTCGCGATGAAAAGGAGCTTTTGTGTTTACGTGTCGTCGGGAGCGCACGAGCGGTCCTCTCAAAATTCAACTTTGAGCCTCATGATTTTCCCGAAGGCGTTATACCAGACGATCTGAAGCTCAAGTCGCCCTAATGATCATGACGACGAATAATGGCTCATAGTTGGCCGCAGGATTTTGTGCTTGGTCTAGCGGATTCAATAGCGGCGTTTAATATAGGCGATTAACCGTTCTATTGCTCTCAATGTCTTCCACGGTTGATCCCATGGGCTGTACATAACCTAATGTAGGATTTTGATACCTATCTTCTTTTAGTTTCAGGCGGGTAAAGTGATATAGCAATGGAGATGCCCCACTTCTTTCAGAACATAGTTACCTTCTGATATTGATCCACGTCGCACTCCAATTCTGATATTAAATCCAGAGGTCGTCGAATATAGTTCGGAGGATAGCGAGGGCCACCAAGGAAGCCCAGTAACGATAAATTATATCTCCCTTTCTACTACACCCACTGAAATAACTGAAGGTATTAATGGGCAATCCTCGACTCATACTAAGCTGCCCCAATTGGAACTGAAAAAGGATGGGCTCTAGACAAGAAAGAGCATTTCGAAAGACACTGTTGGATGCTGGTACTAATGTCAACAAACTCAGAAGGCATCTCAAGACAATACCAGTGATGATCGCCGTGAGATATTACCTACCTAGCAGCAATCATGAAGGTCCTATTCGATGCTGGTGCAGATGTCATGAATAAGGCGATGCCGGCCGTGCGCCACTGATGATTGCCATCGATGAAGCTTGGGACGAGCACACTCAGCCGCGCCTTAATCTTATCGGTCTTCAAGTCATATCTATTCTTGCGAAAGCACACGCAAGAACCAACCCAAGCAAGTGAAGAGGGTTCCAGGAAGGATGGTGGGGTTTCGCTTTTCAGGTACGTTCTGTTATATATACCTGTTTTTATCCGATTAAGACTACTTCAATTTTGTACTTAGTTCGAGAGTTGATCATTGATCATTTCATTATTTTTGTTAGAGCTTGATAGATGAACTATGCTAGCCTCGAAGTTGAGCTATAAAACAAAACCACTATCCCACAAGAATGCCAGCCCATGTAAATGTGACGCCCAGGCCATGTTCAGACCGAATTGAGAATAAAAGAAAAAAGCAAAGGAAGTCGAATATATTTTGATCACTCATCCTCGTCATCATCATCAACCACGTAGCGGTTCTTCTTCCGGGCTGGCGGTGTTGCCTCTCGCGGCGCCTCCTCCTTCCGGGCTGGCTTGGAGGGAGCAACTTCATCGTCTACCTCTCCTTCGGCATCCATATCCTCGTCCTCGAGCACCTCCTCATCATCATCGTCAGCTTCCTCTTCGATATCCTCATCACTGCCGACCAAGAAGCCGTCGTCCTCGTCATATTCGTCTTCGCGAGTGCGGCCACGGCCATAGTCAGACTCCTCGTCTGTCATGATTTCGCCGCGGCGGTTGGTGCGGCGGGGTTTGGCGCGAGGACGGGTTGTACGAAGACCATCATCCTCCAGACCGCCAACGCTGAGACCGTTGGCCATATGAGGACGGGGCGCACCCACACGGCGGGTGCGGTCTGCCTCGCGATCAGCCAGCTGCTGGCGGCGGCGCTCCGCGCGCATGGCCTCCTTTTCCATGAGCTCTGCCTTGCGTGAAGCAAGTTCGGGATCCTCCTTAAGATCGATGAGAGGCGCTGAGCCGTCGGCAGTCTGTTTGTTGCCGCGAGCGGCGGCGGCCAGGGACTCCTGCAGCCTTTGCACGGCATCGTCTGATTCCAGGGCCGTTGGCTGGACAGTAAGACCGTATGTGACGTGCGACGTCAGTCGGAAGAGCTCGGCCTGTTCCAAGCCAGCCCCGAGGTAAACGTGCGAGTCCAGCTTTGTGGAGTACTCGCCAGACTTGGAGAGAGGCGCAAGAGGTTTGGACGAAATGCGGTATTGCTCAAGAGGTGCGGAGGCCAGTTGGAGTGTGATCGAGCCATCCTCCCACTTGACCAAGCGTGCATTTGACTGCAGCTGGTCTTCGTCGGCTGGGTCTTTGCGCCAGCAGAGTGATGTCGCGGCGGTGGAATACGGAGGCGCAACGTATGTCTCGAGGTTGAACTCTTCTGCTTCGATAGAGAGGAAGTCAGGTACGCGCATTGTGTAGACCTGAGGATCAATTAGAATCAATTCAAGAGCGCCAATGCCAAGATACCCCGTACCTCGCCGTCAGTAGTTGCTGGCACTGGCGCGCGCGCAATGGTCATTTCCGCAATGGTGACACTCTCGGTTTCTCCGTCAGGCGCCTCGTCCATCCGGTCATCACGTCGGTCATAGCGGTCTTCATCATCTCCCGAGTCGAGACGCTCGTCATCCAGGGTACGGTGGGGTCGACTAGCACAAGAGACGGTCAGTGAATGCTTTGAGTTTTGGTAGCTTATAAAGTGAGAAGTACTCAGTATCGTCAAATCCACCCTCTGAGCCATCGGACCCGAACAGATCCGCGTCATCATCCTCATCCATCAAATTACTACCAGCGCCATTGTTCTCAGCACCGGAGTCAATGCCAGCATCACTCGCGTCGGGACTTTGGTGGCCGGTGTTGCGGCCGGGGCGGCGGACAGCCTCCTCGTCAGAGGAGGACATGATGCTGGGTGATCGGGGTGCGATGGAAAATAATAGGAAACGCTGAGAGACTTTCGGAGGAATTGGAGAGAAGGAAAGATCAAAAGCCCATGTTAAGTGCTCGCTAGAAGCTCCCAAGGCAGTGCCGCTTGCAACAGCGGCCGACTTCACCTTCACTTCGCCGGCCGGACTAACATGATGATCCGGCCGGGCCCCAAAGGAGCTAAGTGGGCGGGCCAGACCAAAAGGGGATTCCCTGGGGCATCTTCACCGTCTCGTCCTCCGCTGCTGCTGCTTTATGGTGATTTGCATTTTTGTCAAGCAATTGAAGGGTATTTGTGTGAACAATGGCGACTTTCTTCCAGAGCGTGTAAGTCTACGGTGCAATGGAGCCTCATGGCAGCGCCCTCCCTGTTTACGTCCTCTTGACCCTTTTGCCTTTACCCCCTCCCCCTCTCCATACTGCATCCAACAAGCAGCACGCGGCGCCACACACGGAAAGCGGCATTCCAGATTCCAAATCCCTTTAGCCGCCTTGTGCTTTGCCCTACCTCTTTTCATCCCTCACTCCATTTTCATTTCACCTGCCTCGCTTTGAAACACCCCTCCTTACCCCTCAACCACCATGTATGGTGCTAACCCGCCCTACGACAGTCGCCAAGGGTTTGGCCGGGGAGGAAACAACAAGAACAACCCCCCCAAGAGTCCTGCGCAAGCTCCCCAAGCTCCCCAGGCGGGCGCTATGTCCAACTCCCCTTCGCTCTCCAACAGCCTCGCCATTGACAACCTCGCCACGAATGACCCCGATGCCCCCAAGTACTTCTTCCAGGAGAAGTACGCCCCGCTGAATGTGAGAGGCAACTTCTTGACCCTGTGTGCTTGTCCGAAGAATGTGGAGCTGGGCGAGTGGCTGGCTCACCAGAGTAAGCTATCCCAAGGGCGATGCGAGGTGATGCGCGGTTCGTGATAAATAGGTCGGTTGCTAACTGGGTCTTAGTTGTTGAACAATATCGCCTGCTCCACGGCATGCTTCAGGTCATCCAGGAGGTCAACGGTGTGACTGGCCTTCCGATTTGCAATGAAAACACATGTCCGACCATGTCGGCGGGAAGGTAGGTGGACTTTGGCGGGGTTCTGATAACATCTGGGGTTGCGGGCTAACGGCAATCATCAACAGGTTGACTTACACTTGGCTTGTGGACGGCCGCGCAGCGAAGATCTCCGCCCCCAAATTCATCAATCGCGTCGAGAAATGGATTGTCAGCAAGATCCACGACCCGGTCATGTTCCCCACCGAGAAGGTGAATGGCACCCCTGAAACGGCATCCATGAGGGATGCTAGCGGTGCCCCTGCGGCTGCATCCTCCGCGACTCCCACGGATCCCATCAGCCCAGCTGGCACAAACGGCAATGCCGGCGCATCGACGGATGAGTGGATCGGCCAGTCCAGCGGCTTCCCCCAACATTCTACAAGGACTGCCAGGGTATCATGAAGCAGATGTTCCGCTGCTACGCCCACCTGTACCACGCCCACTGGCTGAATCCGTTCTGGCACATCAACAAGCATGATATCTTGAACATGTGCTTTGTGCACTTTATCACGGTCGCCAAGTATTACCAGCTTGTCTCGGACAAGGAGATGGAGCCGATGCAGCCGCTGATCGACCTGTTTATTAAGCAGCAGCGGGTGCCCCCAGAGGCCCTGAACGGTGGCCACTGGGCTCAACAGCAGCCGGCCAACTGAACCGGGCCAAAAACGAACCCTACATGAAACACTCCGCAGGTCCGGGAGTACAGCGACTCTCTCTTCTTTCTACACTTGACGACACATGGCATGTTCTTCAACCGGGCGTTGGGCCGCGCAGCTGTCTTATGTTCGTGTTTTCTGCTTTTTACTGATGCCATTCGGGGAAATGGACAAATCAATCTGCCACTGATAGCCAATGATATGACTCAGATCCGGGGCTTTGAGCATTTAGCATGCGGTGTGACCATTTTTTTTCGTTTTGATCGTGTTCATTTTCATTTTCTAGGTCATCATGATCTTTGCATATCTTCCATCCATCAGTCACGGTTACATGTCCCCGCAATTGAATTCTATCTTCTGGATGCACATCGGCCAGTCTCCGGGGTGTTTGCCCTAGATTAGACAGATTGGTGGAGTGGCTGGAATATGAGCATTAGAGCTTGAGTAGACAGGGTTTTAGCTTCCATCATGGAGGGTATCAAGTCTTGCTTCTGCAGGCCAGCCACCTACAGGCGAAAGCATTATTTCACGGCATGCCTACTGTTCTTCAGACAAGTGGCTTGAGCCGAACATGAATGTACTCAACTCAGGAACCGGACATCGCCCTGTCCCATACCACCCTCCAGAGTGCAGGGATAGGAAAGCCAGCGATTCGGCGGCCGAGCATCAAATTGACCATCAGACTGTCAGGGTCTTTCGTCACTTCATAGGCTCATAAATCATAGCAGTGATCGCTCCTTCACACCTCAGAGATGCACTCCAACGTCATCGCCGCTTCCACTCTCACCCTGTTGCTCAATACCACCATTCTGACCAGTCCCATTCGTAATCGGCGCCGGCGCACCATCGTTATCCCTGTCCTCACCATTCTTCTCGACATCGATCCATCTCTGCCCACGATTCTCAACCTCAACCTTCACCAGTGCAATCCGCTCCTTCATGCTTCGAATCACGCCCTCGTTCTCGGCAATATACCCCTCAAAATCCTTCACTTCGTCCTCCGTCAGCTCCGCTCTGTCCTCCTCTTGCTCGGGGTTGAGAAATTCCTCCAGCTGGCGGTTTGAGTACTCCAGCTTCGCGATGCTGTTGTGCAGCTCGGCGACTTTCGCGTACAGCGTGGATAGCGTGAGCTCTTGGATGACTTCCGCGAAGGCGGTGAGGTTTATGGGGTGACTTTCGGCGGACATAATTGTCAGGGATGGTATGTCGAAGAGTGTAAGGTAATATTTGGGGACTGGGGTTGGGAGGGAAGAAGCGAGTGTTTGGATTAAATTTCGGGTTGAGGTTCGGTAAGGTTGGCTTTGAGAAGTTGAAGCTGTTTGTTGCCCGCGTTGGTGAATTGGGCTGGGCCATCACGTGGGATGTATATGTCAGGGCAGCAAGCACATGATCAGTTCGCCATTCTGTTCATATTCGGTTTATTAGGATTTAGCAATTTTGCCAGGGTGCTATAAGTGCTCTTATTGGCACGGGAAATTGTTGGACATATATTCTTAGCTGCCAGTATTTGTTGCAAATTGCTCAAAATTAATACATCCATCTTACATTTCTCACTTGCCTCATACTGTAGACTGCTGGCCGACGATCCGTATACCACTGATTTAGGACGTTAGTTGAGCGGTACCCTTCCACTCCCGTACTTCTTCTCATTGAGAACAGTACCACGACAGTCGATTATCGTCCATGATGGTATCTTCTGCTTAGACTAGCCCTTTACATCTGTCCCACCTTACTATTACTCAGTGTTTCTGCCACTTCGCTCGGACAAGCTCTTAGTGGTCAGCTATCCCAGTTACAGCTTTCTGCCTCATTTCTGAACCTCTTACTGAAGTTGCATATCGCTCTTCTACCTTAGCATAGTAGCTGTTACAATTTCTCTTTACGATACAGTAGCGCCAGGAATCGCCTTCCATGTCGGAAACACGGAGATGCTCTTTCAAACCCTAATCCCATGATCACCCAAATCCAGATATGGTTACTCCCGTACTTTAGATCGTGTTTCGATTTTGAACCGTCAAATTCAGACGGACGAGAGCTGTAATGTTATGCGTTTTGACTGATCCAAAAATAACTATGCCCGCCATATCTTCGTCCCAACTCCAAACATCCCAACCCAGGCAAGAATCAAACCCTAAACCGTTGCAAAATTGCGCGAAACCTGAGTCCCTATCAGCGTAAGATGATTTTTGTACAGATGATAAACAGCAAGAAAAGACTGACTAAATCACAAATTGCCAAAGTGGCAAAGGGTAGCTAGCATTCAATCATTAACATACGCAAGAGCATGCGGTTGCTCGGCAGCTCCAATTCTTCCACAATCCCTCCCGGCCCGCCACCAAGCATATTATCCTTTGCTGCTAATATCATTCGATATTTGTTGCACGCAAAGAGAAAAATGAAGACTAAGTCTAGTTTATACCATATATTGATCGATTAGCACGATTCCGCCATCTTTTCGAACATAGAAAAGCGTAAGCCATCTTCTCTAAGCCAGCCTTGACCAAACCTGTTGCATTTGTATTGAATCGATTTACCACACAACAATTTGAGATACACACTTTTCATACACGTGAAAGATAGATAACTACTGGGACTTCGGACAGTGAGGAATCCGAATCCCGCTGGGAATATCTAGATTACAGTACCAGGCAGGGCTTGAGTGGTTGAGACTTGTATGGCCTAACCCATCTATAGGTGGCAGTTAGGCATGGTTACCACTACTTCAAGGCGAAACGGAGGCTTCCCCCTAGCTCGCGTTGAAGCCCTTCCAGATCAACTGGCCTGGGCCAGTAAATATTCACATTGAAGTTTGAAACCTGTTGCACGGCCATTAGGGGTTGTAAGAGCCAGGCCAACCCGTCGATATCGGGGTGCCAGGACGCCCAGTAATTTTCTCGAGTCAAAGAGATTTTGAGATTTTGAAGACCCTGCATTTTTGAAAGAACATCACATGCCCCTTTCCAATACCACAGCACATCTGTAGGCCATTTCAAGCTACCGTGTTTGGTGTTAAACGATGGATGAATTGCCTCGGTATCGAGATGGAGAGAAGAGATGGAATTCAAACGATGTGGCACCATCACTTGTTCCATAGCCGTTATTGCTCTTGTTGATCTGATATTTAGGGTACTTCCTGTGTAGAGCAGGTCTACAGATTCAGAATACCTGGATGACTGTCAGAGAGCAGAAGTAGTAGCATAAAGTAAAGGCGAAGTGGCTCACATTCTCCTACAAGATCGTAAAAGCCCAAAAATCCCCCTTGAACAAGAAAGATTAGGATCGGAGTGTTTGATTGAGCGACCACTCCTATCGACCGGTTCCCAGCAGTTGTGCTGCCACCCCCGGTGAGAAGAATCCGGTTCACCACACGGGATGCCACACAGCCGGTAACCCGTTATAGCCACGTGAAGATCATCTCCATCAGAAGGCACAATCACCTGATGGTATATAATTTCCCGCAGTTCCCGGGGTAGTCGGAAGAATGGGGATTGCGATTGGTCAAATGTCTTCTGGCGCCAACCCGAACTGTACCAAGGCGAGGACGATTCAGGTAATGGAAGTGTCAACGCACGTTTGCGATCACGGGGTAAAGGTCGGATGGGCTTCTTCATTTTATGTTTTCGATATGCAATGGAAGGGCCGTCAATGATATACCAGGCGCCTATGACGGGGTAATAGGCGATGAGGGCAAGTATAACGAGCCATGGAGGCATTGGGATTTTTGAAGTCATCTTGGTGAGAGTGTCTTTAATGATCGACTCTTCGCCGATTTAAATTGATATTGGGGATGTCAAAAGCAAAGGAAAGGAATTCATCTCAGCGCATATATGTATGGGGGCCAAGGCTAACCCCGGGGCGGAATTGACAAGTCAGCAGGAGTCGGGCAGGCAACAAGATGATCCTTCCTGGCTCCGCTTTGAATGAGGCCCAACCATGTGGGTCCTGAGGCAACTCTGTATTGGTATATCAATGATCTGAAGATCCTCTTGCAGATATGATGCTACACGAATCCGCTTTAGAAGGTAACTAAGGACTCCGGTCTGGGTTAGTCAGCATCTTACCCAACACTCAAACAAACTCGTTCTTCCCTCATTCACACATATGACGTGATTATGGGGAGTTGCCAAGCGAGGTGTTCAAGTACTCAAACTGTTGCAGCCATGCTGGCGACCGAACAGGTTGCGAGATATTTATACTTCAACCCTTAACCCAGCTGTGAGTCCTTTCGAAATAGCTCATTGTTAGGAACTAAAGCCGCTTGCTCCTTGAATTTACCAAGTCCGTTGTCCACTCTAGAGAAAGCCAACGTGTAGATAAAAATAAAGTTTTTTTCCTTTGTTCGGATATGGGTCAAGTCTGTCTAACATTGCTTCGGATTTTATGATCAACAGGGTCTTGATTCAATCAATGTCTCTTTATACCTAGAGAAACAGTGTTCGAACAAAGGTCTATTCTATTGTTCACGCACGAAATACCCACTTATTTACCCTCCGCAAGTTATCTTCCTTCCATATACAAAGCTGTGTTTCAATCTCGAACACGGCTCTTTCTATTTTGAACAAAGGAGCAAGACGCAGAACTCGATGGATTCCCAGGAGGGACAACAACGCTCTTGTACTCGCTTAAGGTTACGGCTCGCTTCCAAGTTATGCGCTCCTCGACAACGAAAATATTGTCTCTGGTACTTATTTTCGTCTTTCTCCGGAATTTACCAGCAAACCGAACATACAATCTCCCCCCGTGGTGGATATAAAACCACGAGTGTCTACTCCCTGTCCATCAAAGTAGCTTCTGTCTGTAATACGCTTTTTGCATCTGTCTCATCTATACTTATTCAGCGACTGTGCAACTCGGCTGGTACAAGCTTATAGCAGCTACTTGTCCCAATTCTAGTCTACCTTTTCTGTTTAATACTCCTGTACCGGGTTTTCATCACCCGCCTTGCCTTATCATCGTAGCTGTCAACAATGGCTACTCACAATCATGAGGAAGAAATGGAGCAGGTCTTCATTGACCCAGTGCCCAGCATCAACTGGGGTACCTGGGTTGAGCCTCTTGATATGTTCCCTACCCAGCCAGATGCCTCGCCGCTCATGCGCGACGGAGAAGGCCAAGGCACCGATGCATACCGGGCATCTCGGCACCCCTGGGACGTAGTTGACTACTATCTCTACCTCAATGCCGTCGAGAAGGGTTGCCACGATTGGGAAACCCGGTTCTATGAAAGCCAGGTGGTTGATAGTCACAAGCGGCGGGAGAAGGAGAGTTTGGGGCCTACCATCGATTCAGACGATCCGGAGACCCAGCAGCACTGGGAAGAGCCGCTCATACTATTTGCCTCGCTGCCCGTGCCACACGCGCACCTCCTCCCGCACCGCAAGTTCATTTTGGGGTACAATTCCCGTCATTGCCGCTTGAGCGGCTATCTCTTCGAGACCGCACCCGACACCCTCGCCAATCTAGGAGAGGTGTGGGACCAGCGCAAGCTCATCATCAACATCCCACTAGACCGTTTCATTCAAATCCTTAAATATGCCGCCACGCGGAACCCGGCTGTCCTGCAAACAGGTATGTTCAACTTCTTCCACGAGACCACACGTCACCTCCATGCTGGCATGGACATGGTGCTAGCCATCAAGTGCGCCCAATTCATTAACGATGCCGTCTCGGGTGCAATAATTAGCGATCCCAGCCATATAGTGGTGCCCTCGGACATGGTCGACATCGAGGAGAAGCTTCGTGACATTCTCTGTCGAGCGTCGCACAATGCCTGGTTCAGCGCTCACAAGGGACAGACGGCGGAGCAGTTTCGCGAGCACGGGCTCGTTAAAGCTGCGTCATCCAATCTGTTCAGTGACCAGCTCAGCCCGCCGTCTATCGTTAACGATGAGGCAAAGGCGAAGCCGGGCTCCTGCGCACCGGTTGAGCAGAATACGTCTTCATTGTTATATAAGATTGAGCTGCCTCAGCTAGGTCTCACCACCTTGGAGATCGTCCGACAATGGACATTTGACAGTGTGCTTTTGTTGATGCGTTCTTGGTGTAGACTGTCTGAGCCGTTTTTGAAGCGCTAGGGAGACCACGAGATGCCATTCTGGGTCCGCAGGGTGACTGGGCAGCGTTGGAATCAGGCGGGTGGGAGGTTTGGGTGGGATAGAGAAAAGCCAAGCTGAGAAGAGGCAAGGGGGAATTGGTTGGCTTGAGTCATGTGTTCTGTACAGCGTAAAGAGTATCTTGCATTTGCATGATGTGGCGCATAGACGTCTTATTTAGCTTGATATGTCAAGAATTAGGAAAACTGAATATATTGAAGAATGTGGCATGCGGTTGCACGCAGTGCGTAAACATCATCTGGTTATTACTGGGTTAAGCTTCATCTAGAAATCAACCTTGTGTGACTCGAACCGGCGTTGGAAAGTTAATCTGAATGCGACAGAAATCCCGCGGAACGGATCTCTGCGGAACTATACACTAGCGCCCTATGATGGATCATATTTCCAGATCGCCGATCGGATTTGTAAAGGCACTCGTCAGTGGTTGTAGCTTCCCCTACGATGAGAGATGGACTCACTTATAATGGTGGACTATGTATAGCAGCACACGTAGCCATGCAGGATCCTCCGCTCATCTCCGAACTGGTGACATCAAAAGCGACGACAACGCAAGGTCCGTGGCCTACAACCTGCACGATCGGAGCTTCCTCTTGCACCGCCACGCTAAGTGTCCAATCGCAGCGCAGACAAACCCGGGATCTGTGGCGCTACGTGGCGCACACCCTGCACCCGTCTCCATTCCCACCCAAATCCTTCCAATTGCGGACGTCTAATTGGCACACCTGCGCTCTCCCCGCGGGCGGCGCGGCTTGGCAGCGTCATGTCCGCAGAGCGATTGGCACAAAGTCGCGGGTACCCAGCGGAGATTCCAATACAGCGAGGGCTGGTCAAGTACCCAGTACTTCGATCTGCAGCCCTCAATCTCGCTTGGCCTCAGCCCTGCAGCCCTACAATGTGCTCTGCTCGAACGGTTTGGAGTCTGCCTAATCTTGCCTTCCTCTTGGTGTTATTCTTTCTAGATTTCCCCCTTTCTTGAGTCTCAATTGCGCTCTCTCAAAGACTCCGCCCTTCCGCCCCCCTCCCCGTGCGACAGTCTGCCGCGCTCCGCTCCATCGAACTCCACCCCCTTTCCTTTCTTTTCCTTTGCTTACCTGACGCCTTCCGCGAGATCGCGCCGACTGCGTAACAATGGCTGACACTGCTGTACCAGCGGTCAATGGTATGTGGACACTGCAAAGCTCCCCGGTGGATGCGACCAAACCAACAAACGGCTGGTATGCGCGCATTGCTGACCAGACGATGCTACACCAGGGGTCGTCCCCAATGGCGAGACCGCCGCGCCGGTGACGCACGGCGCCAACGACCGCTTCGAGCTCATCTCCGGCCCACTAATCAATCTCAAGAACATGCACTATGAGACCTCCCCAGTCTGGCATGGCAGTGTGTTGATTGTCACCAAGCCCGGCCAGGACCAGCCCCAGCTACACCTGCGCCAGCTCGGCCCCGTCACGTCCGAGGGACAAGCCCCCCAATCCCAAACAAATCAAACGGTCGAGGGTGTGAAACTCTACCAGGACCTCCAGAAGGCATTCTGGCGCTTTACGCTGTCCGTGCCGGTGGAGTCTTACGAGGCGCGCTGGGAATATGATATCCCGGGCCTTTACAACCAGTCCGGCGAGCAGGTCCAGGCACCGTGGGCCTTCGTGGTGCCCGCGGCGGACCAGTCAATGCGCATTATGTTCCACTCCTGCAATGGCTTCTCTGTCGGCACCGACATGGATGCCTGGTTGGGCCCCAACCTGTGGAACGACGTTCTGCGTATCCACGGTGAGAGGCCCTTCCACGTTATGGTCGGCGGTGGTGACCAGATCTACAATGACGGGATCCGCGTGGACGGGCCCCTCAAGGCGTGGACAGCCATTAGCAACCCGCACAAGCGCCGCACTCACGATTTCAACGACAAAATGCGCGCCGACTGCGACGACTACTACTATGCCAACTACGTCCGCTGGTACAACACCGAGCCCTTCCGCGCCGCCAATGGCCGCATTCCGCAGGTCAATATCTGGGATGACCACGATATCATTGATGGCTTCGGGTCCTACACGGACCATTTCATGAAGTGCGCCGTCTTCCGCGGTATCGGCGGCGTTGCGTTCAAGTACTACTGCCTGTTCCAGCACCATATTGCTCCGCCCAAGTCAACCTTTACCACCGATGCGCCCCAGACCATGCACGCGGTGGATGGCACCGCCGGCACGGACCCGCGCCAGGTGGAGAACACCTACGTCCTCGCGGACCAACCCACCGATGATAGCTGGATCATGGGTAAGCGACCGGGACCGTACGTGGAGGAGTGCAGCCGCAGTTTGTACATGCGCTTCGGCAAGCGCATCGGTTTTGTCGGTCTAGATGCCCGTACCGAGCGCACCCGCCACCAGGTCAACTACCCCGACACATACGACCTGATCTTCCAGCGGCTGCAGCGCGAGATCGTGGCCGCCAACGGCGACCTCAAGCACCTGATCGTGCTGCTAGGCGTCCCGATCGCCTACCCGCGCCTCGCCTGGCTCGAGAACATCCTCACCTCCCCGATTATCGCGCCGATCCGCCTGCTGAACAAGCGCTTCGGCATGGCAGGCGGTCTCTTCAACGAATTCGACGGACAGGTCGATCTGCTGGACGACCTGGACGACCACTACACGGCGCGGCAGCACAAGCGCGAGCGCAAGATGCTCACCCAGCGATTGCAGGAGCTCGCGCGCGCGCACTCCATCCGTGTGACCATCCTCAGCGGCGACGTGCACCTCGCCGCCATCGGCCGCTTCTACTCGCACCCGAAGCTCAAACTCGCCGGCGAGAATGATCACCGCTTCATTGTCAACGTTGTCAGCTCCGCCATCACCAACAAGCCCCCGCCCAAGGCCGTCGCCAACCTGCTGGCCCGCCGCAATAAGATCCACCATCTCGACCGCGACTGCGACGAGACCCTCATGCCATTCTTCGACAAGCAGCCCGGCGGCGTCGAGAAAAGTGCCATCTGGAACAAGGTCACCATGCCGTCGCGCAACTTCGCCACGCTGACAGAGGTCGTGGCGCCCATTGCGAACGGCGATGGCCCCGCGGCGGAGACCGCGAACCTCGACCGTCTGCCGAAGGACGGCCATGCACCCCTGCACAAGGGCGAGGTCCAGGCTGGCTCGACGCATCGCGCGGCTGATGGCTTTAGCACCGAGAGCGGCATGTACGGGGGGTCTAGATGTGGCCGTTCGCGTGGAGATTGATCCTCACGATCGGCAGGGTACTACGGAGGGCTATGGATTCAGCAGTAAGTGCCATTGTATCCCGCGGTTCCGATCTCGATCTCTGTATCACCATACCACCATGGTTTCGTCGCTCACCGAATTCTCTTCTTCCTAGTCCCCCCTCTGGTGGCCATCGAGGGCCCGCCCGTGTCGTCGCGCATGAGCATTCGCTCGCGCGTGTCTCGCCAGTACTCGCGCCAGGAGCAGCCGGGGCGGCCATCAACGGCGCTGTAATCGTAATGTTTTTACTGCTCTATAATGCCTCATATTCTTCCCCCTGTTTCCTCCTTGTTCTCTGTTTTGATAGGTTCAATCCCCCGTCTTTGATACCTCTTACTTGACGTCATTCTCTCGCTGGTGGCCGTGCCCTCGTGTTCTAGTGTTTCCCCACATTTGACTTAACTTGATGTCCTGGGCACTACGTGCTCTTCAGGATAATATCTCCCTCCTGTCGTCGACTTTTTCACTGCAGATATGTCAATGCCCCCTTTAAATAATATGTGGCAGCCGAGATCACCCCGGCGATCTGATGCGGCGAGGCTTTTGCCCCGGTACTTATTCTTGTGTCCTATGTTGTATATCTTCCCGGATCGTTGTGCCAAGTGTACTTCGCAACTACCCCTCGCAAGGAATTCATTACTTGTTACGGTTTAGGACGGTGCTTATCACGCCCCCCTGATTGACCGATTGCCGCTCCATGCTTGCTCCACAGGAGCTGCCCACACGAGCTGCGGCTTTCTTTCTATCCCAACTCGCAGAGGAATGCATAACCGCGAGCTGCTATCTTCCCTTCTTCACCAGCGTGTATCTAAATACCGAGCTGCTATCCCCCCTGCCCTCGGGCCAACCTTCCCACTAGCCGAGGGGCGCTGGCATTGGCCTCGCCGATAATCGTCCACCCCCAACCACCCCTGCAGGGGCGGAGCAGGGATGTCGAATAAACTAACCGACTAGCTCCTGTCAGCAACCTAACACCCCCTCCATCCCCAATCCAGCAACTCTCTCGCCCATTTCCGAATTCGTACACGGGATCCTGCAGCTGCGGAGCTGAAGGCTTCGAACCCGGTCCCTCGCTTTCACCTGCTTATCTCCTGCTGGCCGATGCGATGGGCCCCATAGGCTCGCGCTCGCTGCCTCGGCCCTGGTGGCGTGGGTGTGGCCTGTGCGACCAGTCGCGGTGCAGCGTGGTGGAAGATTCTCCGCAGATGAGTGTTGAGGATAAGGGTCAGGATGCCGGGGTAGGGTGCTGGACGGGATTGATGACGGGCTACATATAATACTCGATTATCGGGTCAATCGGAATCGCTGGTGTTTGCTGCATTCTGCATGCCGCACGTGTTGTGTAACTGTCGCTGCATCTGGCTGTGATTTGAGTTGTTTATCTCTACTACCTGCCTTAGCCCCGAGAATATACAGCTTATCACCTAAAGCTACACTATACCCTCCCGTGGACTTTGCATATCGCGGTGCGACGACTCTGGCGCCGACTGACAACCAAACAGCCTGCCCCTCCCCTTCCGCGACGATGTCGCTCGAGATGCCTGTCGAAAAGCCCACACCTCTCGGCAGCGACTCGCCGGGCCACGACCATGAGGCCGGCGAGATCGCCAGTATCGGCGAGCGCGACGAGCTACACCACCTTGGCTACGAGCAGGAGATGCGCCGCAATCGCTCTGTGCTCACCCTGCTCTTCCAATCGCTCGCCATCGCAGCCATTCCCTTCGGCGAAGGCAGCGCCCTGCTCAGTGCTATCTACGGCGGTGGCCCGCGATCCATCTTCATCGGGTGGATTGTCGTCTGCGTGCTGGACCAGTGCGTCGCAATGTCGCTGGCTGAGCTGGCCTCCCGCTATCCCACCTCGGCAGGGCCATACTACTGGTCATTCCAGATCGCGCGCAGCGGCAAGACGACCGTATCCTTCATCAACGCCTGGATCTGGCTCATTGGCAACTGGACCATCACGCTATCCGTCAACTTCGGTTTCGCGTCCTTGCTCTCCGCCACTATCTCCATGTACCATCCCGACTGGACCGCCAACTCCTGGCAGCTGCTCCTCATCTTCTACGCTGTCTGCCTCGGCAGCCTGGTCATCTGCACCTTTGCGAACAAGTACCTGCCGCAGGTGGACATTGCCTGCGCAGCCTGGACAACGGTGACCATCGTGGTCATCCTAATCGCCGTCTCCATCAAAGCAGACGCGGGCCGCCACTCCGCATCCTACGCCCTCGTCCACTATGACACCTCCTTCGCCGGCTGGGGCGGCTTCACCTTCTTCATTGGCCTGCTCCCAGCCGCATACACCTTCTCCGCCATCGGCATGGTTTCCTCCATGGCCGAAGAAGTCGCCCAGCCCGCCATCAAAGTGCCCCGGGCCATCTCCCTGGCTGTCCCCGTCGGCTTCATCGCCGGCCTCTTCTTCATCATCCCGCTCACCGTTACCCTGCCCCCACTCGAAGAAATTATCAACGCCCCCGGCGGCCAAGCCCTGCCCTACATCTTGCACCGTGTCATGGGCTCACCGGGCGGCGGGTTGGGCCTCATCTTCCTCGTGCTCGTCATCACGCTCTTCTGCTCCATTAGCATTACCGTCGCCGCCAGCCGCGCCACCTGGGCCGCCGCCCGCGACGACGCTATCCCGCTCGCCTCGGTCTGGGCGCGCGTCCACCCGCGCCTCGGCGTCCCCGTCTGGGCTCTGGTCCTGCTCACGCTCATCCAGATGCTGCTGGGCCTGATCAACCTCGGCTCCTCCAGCGCATTCACCGCGTTCGTATCTGTCGGCGTGATCGCGCTGGCTGCTGCGTATGCGGTGCCGATTTGTCTGAGTCTCATCCATGGTCGCGAGGAGGTTCAGCAGGCACCGTGGAATTGTGGGAAGGTCGTAGGCCCGATTGTGAATGTGCTTGCGTTGGCGTGGATTGCATTCGAGTTGGTGCTTTTCAGTATGCCGATGGCGTTGCCGGTGACGAGGGTGTCGATGAATTATGCCTCTGTTGTGTTTGTTGGATTCATGGCCATTTCGGCCGTGTGGTATGTTGTTTATGCGAGGAAACGTAAGTTTGAATCCCCCCTTCATTCCTTCTGCTTGGAAGCTGTCGGCTGTCGGCTGTCTACTACAAGTATATATATACTGACCAGGAGACTAGACTACAAGGGCCCACCGGAGTCGGATGCGCTGTGAGCAGCACGGGTGTTGGTTGATTCTACACATTGGACATTATTGGACTTAATCGAAAAGAACCCAGTGGTATCAGACACATGGATCTCTCTCTCAGCCTCCTGGTAGACCACCCGGTGGGCTTGCACGTAAGCCTGCCAAGCATAAGAAAGGTTCCCGCGACCAATTCCCTATTTTCAATGGTACAGATACCTCTTCCCGCCTATATCTAACACATACGACCATAGGGTGTGGAGAACAGGGCTTCCCGTCCGCTCAGCCGTACTTAAGCCACACGCCGGCCAGTTAGTAGTATGGTGGGTGACCACATGCGAATCCTGGCTGTTGTATGTTTTTATTTAGTTTTATTTACTCTTTGGTTTCTGTGATTTGTTAGGAGTGTGTGCCCTTGCCGCTATACTCTATAGACCCTTCAACCCCTTCGCCTAGACGCCCTGAATACCCCTGAAGCGCTTGCTTGGCCGCTTGGTTAACGTTTTTCTCCCTCCCTTCTACCCTCTTTCTCGCCCGCGTCCTAGTCTTTTCCTTTTTGGGTGGCTTAAACTGATCCTGACGGAGCTGATCATAGAGAAATAAATTCACTGTGGCTATAATCGTCTAGTCTAGTCTTGGTTATCTTTTCTCCAAGGACGTAGCGAAGATATTAACTAAAGAAGTGGTGTAGAAACGGATAGCTCACTCCTATAGAAAAAACCATAATTGAAAAGCTCTCCCGTGGCCGAACATATAGGGTATCTCACCAATAAAAGTAAATCAAACCAGCGAGCTTTTTCTATTCCTCCGGGCGGACTACTACCGTGAAGGGCCTAGGGCTCCATATCCGGGGAAAGGATCCACGATTCGGGGCCTACTGGGTCGTGGGTTCCATCTCGCGTTGTCCTATATAGGGATCCGGTAGATATAGGAGTGAGTGTATGTGTGAAATTATTTATTATAGCCCCTCACGAACGATATACAGGCTACCACCACTGTATATATCCGTGGATGTATGTGTATAGTGTTCTACTTCCTGAAAACTGACGTTACGGCCTGCTATAACCTAATTACCGCTCCTACTGTTAGGGCTGCCCTTGTGGCGCGCGACTACAAAACCATCATGACGCCTTGGCGAAGTCCAGCACGGTCTAGACTTTCCTGGCTCTTACGCGCCGCCAGACCAGTGATGATGCGCCTTGACCCATTTGTATGTACCCTGGGCGCGTAAAGCCTCCAGAATCCAATCAGTTCCTTCGCTATAATTAATCTTATATTTATAGAATGACCCAAGATTTTGTGTGAGCGCGAAAAATTGCGTTTGAATCTTCTTCTGCCATACAACACCATTTGAAAAAGGTCAATTGAAACAATAGCCGCCGATGCCGTGCGCGGTAATTCCGCGGCCCCGTAGATGAATAGACAAACAATGAGCCATTGTCCTTTTTTTATCTATTGGGCCCTTAGCCCCAGTTAGCAGTCGGTATATATACCTTTTATTTTCATTGCGTCTAAATTTTAAGACTTGATTATGTGTCCAACTTGGATCTATCCTTAACCAGAACTCCAACGATGAGCCACTACGATAAGTATACCGTTGGTTGGATATGCGCTTTATCACTTGAGATGGCGGCTTCCAATATCATGCTGGACAAGACACACAATGTTTTAGAACAGCCTCAAAATGATCCGAACTCGTATATATATGGAGAAATTGGCAGTCATCACATAGTGATTGCTTGCCTACCAGATGGCGTTTATGGTACTATCTCCGCCGCAAATGTGGCAGCTCAAATGACTCGAACCTTTCGAAACCTCCAATACCGTTTCATGGTGGGAATCGGAGCAGGAATTCCAAGCGAATCAACTGATATTCGACTTGGCGATGTGGTTGTTAGCAAACCGACCAGTACATTCGGGGGTATTGTGAACTACGACTCGGGGAAACTTTTCTCGTCCGAATTTCAACGAATCGGCACCCTGAACAAGCCTCCGCCTGATATGCTAATGGCGCTTTCGAAATATCGGTCTCTAGCTGAGGTTGACCGCATTCACGAAAGCCCCATCCAACAAATCCTCTCAAAAGTTAGGGGCCTGAAAAGTGGAAGGGGAGAAAGGTTTGCTGCGCCTAGTCCCAAACACGATAGACTGTTTCAGATGGACTATGAACATGAATCGAAAGACAGCTCATGTCATAAATGTGACTCGGGAAAGACAGTATCGCGGCCCCAAAGGAAAACAACGGATCCGGTAGTACACTATGGGATTATTGCTTCCGGGGACACTCTACTAAAGAATGCCACAATGAGAGAGCAACTTCGTCTTCAGTATGGTGCATTATGTGTCGATATGGAATCAGCAGGTCTGGTAGACAGTTTCTCTTGTCTGGTTATCAGGGGCATATCTGACTATGCCGACTCCCACAAAAATAATTTGTGGCAACCATACGCCGCAGTCGTGGCCGCAGCTTATACGAAAAGTCTGCTCCAGTCGATTCCACAGCGCATTATTACTGCTCCTCTACAACCCGCCATAGAAATTGGCGACGGATGTAAGCCACCTCTCTTTAGCCTCTGCAAGCACTGTTATGATTAATGGTTCCACAGGTGTTGTGCTGGCACCTTGGGAGAAATTTCTTCGGAGCCTGGAAGAACATAACCCTCTATATGAAAGAAACCGAATTCAAGAGCAAAGTGGAGGGGTGTTGAAAGCATCGTGCGAATGGATATTGAGCGATCATGGTTACAAAACCTGGGAGACAAGAAAGCACAACAGCCTACTCTGGATTCATGGGGAGCCTGGAAAAGGGAAAACTATTCTCTCGCTTGGTATCATTGAACGACTATCCAAAGAACTCCCCTCCGGATACCTGGCATACTTTTTCTGCCAGAATCCCCGGTTTAACCAGGTCACCGACATTCTGAAAGGGATTCTTCATGCTTTGCTTTGCGAAAACCCATCTATTGAGCCTCAGGTATATGCCAAATATGCCCGGGGTGGTGCCTGCACCGACTCAAATGAAGTTTTTTTTCTCGGAGAATTTTTCCTGTTCATCCTGAACAGCCTACCCGCCATGCCAACATTTCTTCTAATCGACGGGCTAGATGTGTGCCAGAAGGATTTACAGTATCTATTTTACTTAGTCCAGCAAACCCTCAGCCAGCTTCCACATGTGAAATGGTTGATTTCAAGTCGAAACGATCATAACATAGCAAGGTCGGCCAGCAGAATAAAGCCTATGACCGAGATATCTCTTGAACTTAACGATAATCGAGTGTCCGAGGCTGTTGAGTCCTACCTTGAATGGCAGACATTTGAGTTCTTTAATGCAAATGTGTCTATGCTCAGCCGAGGTCAAATGCTTGCGTCCCTGAGATCGATGTCCCAAGGAACCTATTTGTGGGCTCAGTTCGCTTGCAAGGAACTCCGGTCATTGCCATACGATGAACAACCCCGGTTCTTTACTGAAACGCCTACAGATCTGGAAGATATGTATAGAATGATGATTCAAAAATTGGAGGAAACTTTGATTCCAGAAGATTTGGAGTTCTGCATGCGAATACTCGCAGTAGTGGCCGCGCTACACGAACCAGTTCGAGCCACTGACTTACCCTCCATACTGAAATTTCCACACCACACACAAAAAGCCCAGATGGCTGGGTGCGAAAGTGCAGCCCACTACTCATCATTAAAAGCGAGACAATTTTCTTGATTCACGAATCAGCACGAGCGTATCTTCGCAAGAAGATTCTCGGGACCATTTCTGCCGATATGCACGCTGAGATAGCATCTCAGTCTATCTTTTACCTCTCTGGTAACTTACAGAGAGATATTTGCAACCTTCGGGATCCCAGCATTAGTGTTGAACAAGTATCTACCAAGTGTGAAAAGCTGAAAAATATCCGGTATGCCTCCCTGTACTGGGTCGATCACTTGAGTCAGGCAGATGCTTTGGCAGAGAATCGAGCAGCTCAGGATAGGGGCAACGAAATCGAGAAATTTCTACAAAATTTCTTTTTGCCGTGGGTTGAGTCGATAATTCTGCTTAATTGTTATTCAAAGGGAATCTGCATGGTCAAGACACTTAAGAGAATTTTGCAGGTAATGGACACTCCCAATAAAGATGAAACCCCCCTTCCCAATCTAACGCTATGTGAATTCCAGAAACATAGGTTCCCGGATCTTTATGCCTTTCTCAATGATGCGGAGAAGTTTATGCTTTGGAGCAGAGATGTCGTTGAAGAGGCACCTCTTCAACTTTACATATCTGCGCTTGCCTTTGCCCCGAGGAAGAGTATTATCAAGCTCGTGTTTCAGGATCACCTCCCGCCATGGTTTGAATTTTCCAATGACCTTCATGATGACTGGTATCAACGCCCGTTAGTCCCAATGAGCCCAAACCCTTTCAGGGACAGTGCCAATTTTGTGACCTATGCGTGCTTCAGTCCTGATAGTAACAAAATCCTCTGTGGAAACGAGCGCGGCCAAATCCAAGCTTGGGATGTTGAGACGCTGAGAGTTCTTGGCTACTGTAGCCTTCACTCAGAGCCAATCATAATGATCAAGTGCTCTCATAATGGACAACTTATTGCTTCGATCACAGAGAGTCAGATCCGCGTGCTATCGATTTCGGACTTTGAATCATGCGTGACTCTCGACGGATATCCCAAAGCAGCCAAGACTTTGGTATTCTCCCAAGACAGCAATTTAATTGCAATCGCCTGCACCGATTTCCGGATTTGTGTCTGGTGCACACGGAGCGGAGCAATTCAAGCAGAGCTTGCCGGGCACGTGAAGGAAATAGATACATTGGAATTCATTCCGTGCTCCCGGCGACTACTGAGTATATGTGTCAGGAAAACAGCCATAATGTGGGACATTGACACGGAGGGCCAAATTTGGGCCTTGGAGGGATATGTGAAGCCTCACAAATTGCCTGCCCCTTCCCCGGGAACCACTTGGCCAATTTGCACACTCAAGAACAATTGCGTCGGAATTCACGATCCTTTCACGGCTAAAGCTCAGTGGAGCTCAACATCTCAGCTCGAAGTCAGATTTGTGTTGTACCGCCCATTACAGCTCTTGGTGCGTGTCTTTTCGAACGGGTCTGTCGATGTTTGGAACCTAAGGTCATTTGATCTTGTCTTCAACACTCAAACCCGATATCAATCCCATGTGTTTCTTCCTGACGAGGTTGCCGTTTCACCAAATGCTCGATATTTAGCTCTTGGGTCCCGGGATGGTGTGGATATATGGGATTGTTTCACTGGTACTTCAAAGCAAGACGTCTTGAACTGGCGGGAAGAGTCCCCAAAAAAATTTCGCCCATCTATTAAATATCTTCCAAATAACCTGAGTTATGTTGAACTGTACGCAGATTTGTGGAAGATCGACCCGAGCAAAATTCAACCTGACCTCCCAGTGGTCCCGCAATCGAGCCAAGATCCTTTTGAGCAATTCCGCGTTGCCATAATACACAATCGAAACATTTCAATAAGGGATCGAGGGAATCCGGAAAGATACGTGTGGCTGTGTGGACATATCTCGAATGTCAAAACTGTTACTTTGTCAGAGTCTGGAAGCTTCTGTCTTTCGACTTCTGAAGACGGGGCAGCGTATCTCTGGGAAGTTCCAAGTTTGCATTTAGAGCCTAGTCTCGCAGACCCAGAATTATGCGCTTCACCTGGTTCATCAAACGGCCATTCTTTCTTCTCACCGGACAATAAGTTGTTTGTTACCATCGCCGGTGACATTCGAATTGATAACGTGCAACAGCGCAAAAGGATATTCCACCTCCGTGCCCGGGATATCGAGCACGGGAAGTTTTCCAATGACAGCAAATATCTGGTGTTTTTTGCATCTTCCAAGTACTTAGGTCTATGGAATGCAGAAACAAACATCCTGGAATGGGTACTACCCTTTGAAGCTGGACCACAGGAGGTCGTGCATAGTCCAAGTTGGGCTTGGCTACCTAAATGCCGGATTCTCCGATGCTGGGGTGATGATGTCAACAGAAAAGAAGACGGACATGCCAAGACTATCCATACCATAAATTTCTCGGCGAACAATCGATGGCTTATGACCAGCGATGGTGAGACTATTCGACTTCGTGATCCGGCTACCGGAAAACTTCAATCTTCTTTCGAAAGTGCTTCATCCTCGCCTCTCCGCCACGCTTTATTCACTTCTGATGGCAAATACGTCATATCACTCGAAGGGGAAAGATCAACACGACTTATAGAAGTGGAAACAGGCACGATTGTGTGGACTGAACAGATATCTACGACATGCAACACTCTTCACCCTAATAAAGGAATGGGTGTTGTGCCTGTTGCTGCCTTGAATTCATCATTACCTTGTTTTTCGCCACCCTTTTCCATCATTGATGGGTCTACATCGAAGGATTATGGCCCATCTGCAGTCCTATCTCCTCATGATTTGCTAGTGGCGGTGCGTATGGGGGCCGAAAGTATCCACATTCGCACTGTCAAAAAAGGAGAGCTGCTATGTGAGTTGAAGTTTTCCGGTCAATCTATCCTTGACTTTACATTTATCGACGAAGGAGACAAAATCTCTGTGTTGCTTGAATTTCATGACGAAAGAGAACTCCTGATTTTCAAGTCTCGGGCAGGACAACTGGTTAGCTATGTGGCTGGGCCTTCCTCAGTTTCAAGAAACCAGTGTCTTTTTCCCTCCAAACAGACACCCACCAACCCCTTCAGTCTATCTGTCTCTGAAGAGGGTTGGGTCGTTTCACACGGTCGGAAGCTTATACGCCTCCCTGCGGGGTTTCAACACAGTTCTTGGACCGTTCATAATAATCTTCTTGGGATAAACTTGCGTCTTGGACGAGCTATATTCATCGAATTTTTACCCCAATCAGGGGCTTTCTATGTGCCGAATCAGTCGGTGAATATTTCTTGATGTTCATAGCCCGACTTTCGTTTCCTGTGAGAGATGCTCCTCGTGGGGCAATGAAAACTAATCTGTTTTTGGTGGAGTTTGTGCAAATATTCCTCGAAAAAACTATAAAAAACGATCTCCAAATCTATCTGCATTGTAGAGATAATACTTGTTGTCAGGCTAGACCTATTAACTAGGCAAGAAGCTTAGATGGAAGGGGAATACACTTGATTCAACCAGTACTATGAATACTATGAACAGATCAAAAGACTGATTCTTGAAGAACTTCAAGGATCAGGGCTGCTTTGGCTTAGGGCATTCATCCTTCAAGCACATAAGGTTCTTCACCCCATCGAGGTCAAAGCAGGCTTTGTTCTCAGATGGCTTGACACCAGCAGTTACTGACAAAGCCCGTTCATCTTGAGGGTTAGGAAAGTAATGAGAGTAGAGTCGGTGCGAGAAATAGAATGAAAGACAGTAGAAGGAGCTACTGAGCGCAGCTAATAGGGAATTTAGGCTCGTTTATTCTTTCCTTGCTCAAAATGTGAAAATGTTCCTTGTGTCATGTATTCAGGCGGGGCACTCTGGCAAGTGAGCCGTACCAAGGCTCTGCCTGATGGAACACGGGCTGAATAACGGCGACGAGCCGTGTAGAGTGAAAAGTGGGCGCTAGTGACTATCGCCATAGAATGGCTGTTGTATTTTTTTCAGCTCTTTATACTTTTTATTTTCTCAAGTCTTGTTCACTCACGCCTACTCCGTATATTAATATTACATCCCATTATAGTCGATGCTTAGGTCTAGATCTCTCCAGTCTTTATCATCGGTATTGTATATTTATATATTTGCGCTGGCCAAGAATCCTTCTACTACAATAAGACTATAGCTAGTTTCCTACATAAGTACATAGACGTACATAGACCCGGTGTTGGCGGATTACCCCCTGCTCCAGGGGTTCACTAATACTGGGTAACACACTAAGAACTTTGGGGCGGACCTACGTATTCTTAACCTGAAAACCCTCCCACTTTCCACGGAGTGCACCATTTAACCCCATTGCCTTCCTGCTCTCCCTCTCTCATACACCATCGTCTAAAATTTATCATGGACGCGAAAGCCCCTTTCGACCTGCCTCCGGTATCCCCTCAACAAACACCTGCCTTTGAAGACCCCCTAAGTCGTGTACTCAAACCACTGGGGTTCAGCACACATCCACTCCGGTATGTCTCCTTCTCTCGTTCTGATATAAACTGCTAATCCGCATCGTGGAAGTTCACGATTGGTGTTGGAGTATTGGTTGTTCTATTTACCATTGTGTGTCGTCAATATTGTGACGCAGATTCATGTCGTTATTACCGTCAGAATATCACGAACGGCCTAGGTCTCTTTGCCCTTGTTTATGGGGTATTGGTTAAGGTCGCCAGAGACCTTGCGGTGCAAAATGAGGGGCGGGCGGCTCAAGTTGAGAAAGCATAATTGTCTGTATTCTATTCAACAGAGAACCTTAAGGAAGGAGGCTGATACAGGGGAGGGGGTTTTGTGTGTGTCGTTTACCCTGACCCCTCGCTGAAAGCGATATGCAGGCTACAACAACTTTGTCAATACATGATAAATGATTCCATTGCGTTTGTTCCAAAATTCCTGAACAGTAAACTTGGAGCCTCACCTGGTAAAGCCTGTCGTAACCTTGTTGCCATTTATGGTATCAGGCTGCCCTCATCGCGCGGCTGTGATGAATTTGCGAATGAGACGGACAAGTGTCCGATTTTGGCTGCATCTCGGCTACGAACCGCAAGAATGTGGGCCATGCTGAAGTCCAAAATCTGGACAATGACTTTGTTGCGGATACGGTTTTGTTACGAGTTCGACTAGCTGAGTGTTTCCTTATCTTAGTCTCGAGCTGGAACGGTGATAGATTATGGTGAATCGGCGGTAAACATCTTCTATTGTGAGTATGGGTCTGGTGGACAGGACAGGTTCTCGGGGTTTAGAAATCGTTTGACGTGAAGTTGTAGTAGGGTGCCGGAGGACCGAAGCATAGGTTGGCTGATGGCTATGGGTTGAGAAAGTGATGGTTGGTGTCGGATGGGGAAGCTGAGGAGAGTAGGTTGGCGGAGGTAACTATGATTCTGGGTTGGCTGTAGCGGATGGCGGTTGAGTACGGAGTCGAGGTTAGCGTTTAAATATTCCTCTGGTATACCTAGTAGATACTTTTGGTCTTGATTTAGTTTATATCTATACACTGGTTTCTGTGGTTGTCTTCCCGAGTAATTTACTGTTCGAAAAAATATAGGGACCAGGAGCTAACTGTCTAGGCGGAGGGGATATGTTAGTTAAGGAGAGGAAGAAGGGGGGGTATATCGGCGGATTCGAGGGATTGCCTTAAGTCACTATGGATAATCTACTATATATAGTCTACCGTGCGAAGTTGTTATGTCTTGTGGAAAGACGCGCAAGAAGGTATCTAGGCGTTTGGCCAACGTATAAGTAAAGTAGTACACTAAGCTGCTACTTAAGAACGGCCGGCGGCGAAAGCCGTTCTGGCCCAGTTGAAGCGGGTTACGCCATTGAGCACTCCTCCTTAGAATGACAGAGCTCTGGCAGCGATGGTGGAATAGGTGGGAGATGAAGAATTTCTCCCGGACGGTACGTTGTGGGGTAGGTCGTTCTAGTGGAGTGGCGGAGTTCACGGGTGTGGATAGAGGGTTGGGAAAGGCTTCCTGCCCGTCCCGGGGTGTGGAAGCTAAGAATTCATATCTTTCTATAACTCTATAACAATATTCGAAATTGGCTTCTATATTTTACGTAAAGAAAACTGCAGTATCTCAAGCCCCACCACCGCCCACCAGGACGATCGCGAAACCCTAGGCCAGATTTGGCTAGGCTACAGATACTGTACTGTAGTCCTTGGGTTGAAGAGTCTTTCCGTATGGTACGGAACATCATCGTAATACGGACGGGCCCGTAAGGTACTCGTTTATTCGAAAAAATAATTAAATTCTTGAAACTTCCATAAAAGCAATGGCTTTCTGTTACTCATAGGCTCTAACAAGCTCCCTTCTATACTAATTGAAAATGGAAGAGTCCTATTTTTTTGCTGAAGAAGCGCAAGACGGTTCTGCGCCTATGATGCCTGCTATGTCAACTCAAAAACTCACTGGACATTCAGTATCAGTGGAACTGGCTGAATTTGGTCCTCTTCTTTGGTTTCAGTCGGTGTTTTAAGGAGCTGGGAGGATGATGAGTTTTTCCCTCCTATGAGTAGCCAAAGCCTTTCTTTCCTTCAATGCCATCCGAAGTAGCCACCCCTGGAGCACCGCAAAGAGAACATTATCCACCAATGCCCAACCAAAAAGTTGATAACATGCCACTAATCCCTTCAACGGAAAGGACAGAAACATCTTATACGGAATCGCAAGAAGCCCAAGCCAGGAGATCGGCAGTATAATGTGGATCGAAATCTGGCTAGCGAGTCCTACGACGCTCAAGAGCGACGTAGAATCCGGCCTCGTTTCGCTGACTGAGTCTGAAAACACGTATGTTGTCACACATATTACCGCAGGGTTGACGCGCATCAATAAATTGAAAAAGCCGAATAAACTTATTTCCATCGAACGGCCGTGTCCGCCGCTGGCGAGAGGGAGAAGATTGACAAACTCGCCGATTAAAAAGAGGGATATGAATGTCATCTTTCTGATGAGCGAGATGGAGGAATAGCAGATGAATGTCAAAACTCTAGTTATGTTAATTATTATTAGCGTGTTTCTTGGAACCTACTGGACTTTTGATGGTGAGGATGGTTGGTCGCGTACAGAATTGAAGAGACTAACAACCATGCTGCAGTTGCATAGAACAGATGCATCCACTCGGCAGGCTTTTGGGCCGTTAAGCTATACTTTTCTGTACTCAAGGAAAAATTGTAACAGAGGTTTAACTGCTGTACTGCGCTGACAACATTGAAAAAGAGTAAGATGAAAGGTGTTTTTGAGTCACTTTTCAATCTGCATATTTCGCGAATCTGTGGAATGAATGACAAAACATTCAAAGCCACCAACAGACTAAATAATTGAATGGATTGTTAGAGGCAGTTTAAAATAAATTGGCACAGAGTTATCAGACCTGCATAGCCAGACCGACATCCTGGGGCACTGTGTTTGCGAACGTTGGGTAATGAAGAAATAGAAATGGGAAAGAAACCGGAGGGAAACGGAAATTGTCTGCTAATCACTAGATCCACACGCTAATCTATTTTTGAGCACAATTATCCACATATCACGGGGCCAAAACTAAGTGGGTCCAGAGGGTCCGAAGCACCCGAGAATCACTGGGGGTCTGTATGAATACTGTAGACTTCCTCGCCCGAGAGTGAAAGCCACGTGCCCGGATCATGAGAAATCCGCAGGTCGCTTTTTATTCAGGCAGTAACGCCACAAGAATTACCAAGTTAGCTAGATGTTTTCCTCTCTCTCTAGGCTACATTCAGAATGAACTGGGTCTAATGAGAAGGCCAGATAGAAAGTTTTTCAACCCCACTAGTATTGGCTTTATGCATTTGAAACTTCAAGCTTTTGATAAAGAACATCATGTTGGCCTAGTCAGCTTGGATCAAGTTTCCCTTCAGCCCTGCACATTGTTCACACAATACATAGTTTCTATCTGAATACATTAGGTACAGTAGCATTCAGGAAGTACCTCGTGTCTAATTTAATTGCCAGATTGCAAGCCTATGGGCAATAACCCTTGGTTGTACAGAAGTTTAGAGTTCCTTTCGAATAACAGGGTACTGTAACTTGCGGGCTCGTATTACATCCGATGTTCCGTATGTCAAGACTGTTCAAAACAAGGATGATCTATAGTTTCACCATCATCTTGACGGTGGGTGGGACTTCAGATAGTTTCTGTCAAGACAAAAGAGGGCCAAATCCTAGGCAAAATGACAAGTAGACCAAAAATGCATTATAGGCAACATTCTTAGTCTATACCGTCATTTATTGCTCTGACAGTTTCTTTGTGTAAAACATGGAAGCCAATTTCGAATATTGTCAGTCGTATATTGAATTCTGCAGATGAACTATGGGGCGGGAAGGTTCGTGTTGTGCCGATCACGACGTCAGAATCATATCGCAGTGTCTCCTCCGCTCAGCAGGGAAAGGATCGTACGTGGGTCAACACACGCTTTCAGCTGCCCCACAACATGGCTTTGTCTTCAAATCAGAAGCAGCTTCTCCGATGGACCGCGGTTCTTGGTGCTAGCAAGGTCGCGAATGATTTGACTTAAAGCGCACCGAAAGCTAACCCCAAACTGAGATGATTGACATGGCAGACACGAACGATGATGATCGCATACAAATAAATCGACCAACGCAGCTCCCTCTTCCCCCTCCTCCCGCTACGGTCGCAACGACACTCTTTCCTCTACCCTACCATCATGGCGGGCACATCTCAAGCAACACCAGTCCAAATCGTCCTTTGTTTCGATGGAACGGGAAACACCTTTCGGGTCGACGGCACCGAGACCAACATCCTGAAGATTTGTCGGATGTCGCCACGGTCTGACCACCAATGTAAGTCTTGCTAGTTTACTGCTGTTGTCTTGGCTAGGGAGAGGAATGCTCTAACACTCTGCCAGTGGTTTATTACCAGCGTAAGACCGCGCCCAACCTCACAGCTGTATCAAACTCTGGGATCCGTATTAACAGTGCACAGCGGGAATCGGCACCGAAATCACGGCAGGCTCACTAGCAGCCACGACTCTGAAAAAGAGTAGTCGCCTGGGCAAGAGCAAGACTCTCAGCCAGGCGCTGGGCAAGTCATTCGATCGGCATGTCCTGGGTGGCTACCGCTTCCTCATGCGACACTACCGCCAGGATGGCAACATTTACATTTTTGGCTTTTCTCGTGGAGCCTACACGGCACGTTTTCTGGCGGAGATGCTGGACTACGTTGGGTTGCTGGGCCCGGACAACGAAGAGATGATTCCCTTCATCTGGGACGCTTTCTCCCGGTGGAAATTGACTCGTTTCAACGGGACGGAGCAGGGAAGAGACGAGCAGAAACGTGCAATGGAGTTTTTGAGACATTGTCGAGAGACCCTGTGTCGTCCGATGACTAGGGTCCGATTTGTGGGCTTGTTCGACACCGTAAATAGCATTGCAGACTTCGAGATCAACAACGATGACAGATCTAGTGCTCGCGTGATACGGCATGCTGTCAGTATCGATGAGTGCAGAGTCAAGTTTCAGCCGGTGCTGCTACCACTGCCTCGGAAAGGATCTGGACGAAAGCTGGCTGTACCCGCCGACGATGCCTCCCCCGACAATCTTGGCGGTACCGAAAACAGCGAGCACGTTCACAACGGTGGCCGCAGGGCCTCCATCCAGAACTCGGATCCAAATACGCTTTCTAAAGAGCTAGACGAGGATGAAGAGGGCCAGGATGTGGAAGAGGTGTGGTTCCCCGGCAGCCATGCCGACATTGGCGGGGGATTCAGTAAGGCACCGGGTGAGTTGTGGCAGCTAAGCCACGCTCCGCTCGTCTGGATGGTCCAAGAGGCCCAGCGTGCTGGGCTCGAATTTGATCAGCAAAAGCTGGAGACTTTCAATTGTCTGGGAGAAGAGCACCTAGATCCCTCCTCGGCGAGCAAATTCCGCGAGGCTCTTCAGATATCGAGCGCGAAAGGTGCGCTGCACGATCGTCTTGATTTTGGAACCGGTCTATCAGCTGCTTCTGTTCTAGCCTGGCGGTTTATGGAGTACCTCCCCATACGCCGGGCAAGCCTTACGCCTAGTGGTTCGTGGAAACTGGTTCACTGGCCACTGCACCGCGGCAATCCTCGCGACATGCCACTGGATGCACAAATTCATGGCTCTGCCATCCACCGAATGCAGTCGGACTCGAACTATCGCCCGGGGAATCTCATTGTGGGTGGTGGTGGTCGGTGCATCAAACACGCTCCAGCGGAATATGGGATCGGTGACTTGAAAGTCTATCGCTATGAAGGGGATCCGGTCCGGCAGACGTACGTTCAGAGATCATCGAAAAGCGCACGCCCTTCCTCTTTGAGATGATCCAGGCCTCGCGTGTGATGCCCCACATTACGTGTGGTTTGTGCCTTCCCTTCCTGCTATGCTGCGATCCTCTCCTCCTTTTCACCTTGTACTATTCCCAGCTATATTCGAATTAGCCCAATTCACCTTGCTCCTTTGGCTTTTTGTTATTATCTCTGTGCGCAGTAGCGAGCTCCGGTGCTGTCAGAAGAAATCTCAGATTGCACATACGAAGGCTGTAAGTGGCAGTCATCCACCTATGCAGATCCCATTCCAAAAGACCCTGATTATCACGAGATAACGGAGATTCCTGTAGTCCGTATTGTGTAATGTGCTACCTGTCACCTCAAATTTTGGAATCCAGTCACTTAGGAAAGACCAATGATGCGGTGGTTCATAATTCTCAATTAGAGATGCCATTCCCTATCCTTACTACCTAGTTTTGAAGCTATTTCTTCCTCTTCTCTTCTCTTTCTGGCACATACGACCATAGGGTGTGGAGAACAGGGCTTCCCGTCCGCTCAGCCGTACTTAAGCCACACGCCGGCCAGTTAGTAGTATGGTGGGTGACCACATGCGAATCCTGGCTGTTGTATGTTTTTATTTATTTTCTATCTGTTTCTTTATCCCTATTAAGCCTTGTTCACTCATGCCTACTCATTGGGTCGGACCACCGCAAGAGCTCTCTTGCCATACCATGCTCTTCGAAGCGACGGGCAAATTTTTCCGATCTTTGTATAGGGGAAACTATGTATAGATTAAAGCAACCTACCTAACTATAAAGAATTTCTTAAAAATATAGAGGAGAGAAACTATAGAGTCGAGGAATAGGAGCATTAGTGCAATTCTTCCCAAGTTAGATATATATATACCTGATTTATACCGAATCTTTTATCCGAGTTTCTTAGTCGAAACCTTTCACCTAGACGGTGAGGAAGAGTGAGCCAAAGGAGAACAACTAAAGGAAAATAAAAAATGAGTTTAAATTATAAATTTTCAAATTTTCTACATCAGCCACTTGGCATAGATCGTTCGATGGAAGGCTTAATGGTGAGCTATGACAGCCTTAATTCAATATTGTTTCTCTGGAAGGCGAGTAGAAATTCAAATTTGTCGACTGTAATACTGGAGCCGGTGGGAGTATATGATTCCCTCCTTGAGAAGACGTAGGACCTTTGACATGGTACAAGCAACGATCGCGCAAAAGGCGAACAATCTCAGCACCCTATAACATGATCGTGGCTGAAACGCACTCCCCAGGCTCCCTGCCCGAGAGACACATGGATCTATTTCCCCCGTACCGGAAAAGCAACAAGATTGGGCCGCAGAAGGTTTCATTTATTGGATGGCCTACGGAGGTGGGCCAACCTGGACTCAGCAGTCATTGGGTGGATCTAAAAAAGGTGTTGCCACGGCCCTTCCCCATCGTGCCGAACCCCCCCAAAAAAAAGGGTCTGCTGGCCCGAAACATCATTAATCGGATGGTCAATGACAGTGGTCGCAAGCTTGTTACCACGCCCGCCTCACCTTGCCTATCCAAATGGAAAGTTAAGATTGGCTTCACCAAATTGTGGGTCCGCCTACTTGGTCGAAAGCACCTCACGGTCTCTTACCGGCTCACATCACATGATCACGGAGCTTGGCTAGGAGGATCTTCCGGTCGCTACCCAAAGCCACTTAAAACTAGTTAACAGTGGAGCTGTGACAGTCTCCCCCTCCCACCCCCTAGCTCTTGCTCTTACCCATCATCCTAGCAACGCATGCGAAATGGACTTTGACAATCTCGCGCAACAGCAGTCAGATCGAATATTCCGGGTTTGGATACAAAACCTACTCAGGAATTCACCAGAGGATTTGGCGGGCAAGCTCGCTTCCCGGCATTGCCCTGGTACGCCTGTGACAGCGTCGCGACTATCAAACGGCGCTTTCAATATTTGCTACCGGGTCACCTTCGAAAATGGAGATCGCGTCGTGGTTCGCTTTGCGGCCCTTGGTCGTGTCATCGCTCGTAACGAAAAGGTTGAAGATGAGGTCGCCATAATGGATTATGTTGCTCAGCACACAGCGATCCCTGTTCCAAAGGTCTTAGGGTATGGCAAGTGTGTGGTGGGTCCGTACATTGTTATGTCTTTTATTGAAGGGAATCAGTTGAGCGGATACCTCAGAGATTCATCTCAGGAGACAGTCACATTGAGTTCGAATATCTCGATGTCTGTCCTAAGGAAAGCCTATTTCGGGATGGCTGAAGTGCTGCTCGAGCTGTCAAAACCCGAATTTACGTTCATTGGAGCTATCAGACAAGACGAGTCAGGTGGCTGGACTGTGTCAAAATGTCCGCTCAGTTTTAACATGAATCGGCTTGCTCAATTTTCCAACATTCCACACAGTATCTTTGAGCGACGGCATTTCAGCAACGCAGCGGATTATTTTGAGGAGCTCGCTCAACAACATTTCTATCATCTCGAGCATCAACGCAACGACGCAGTTACGGATGAAGCCGACTGCCGGAAGAAATACATTGCACGTTGTCTTTTTCGCAAACTTTCGCGTGAGGTATCCGGAGAACATTGCAGTGGACCTTTCCGGCTCTACTGCGATGATCTTTGCCCGGACAATGTCCTTGTTGATGCATCAAGGCTTGTTGTCACTGGGGTGGTCGACTGGGAATTTGCTTATGCTGCCCCAGTTGAATTCACATATGCTGCTCCATGGTGGCTCTTATTGGAGCGCCCGGAGGACTGGGAACTCGATCTAGATCAGTTTTTGGTTCGTTTCATGCCGAGATTTCGCACTTTTCTTGAAGTACTTCAAGATTGTGAGGAAAGAAAAATCAAAGGCGGATCCTTGTCCCAGTCCCAGCGTCTATCGATTGCTATGGAGAAATCATTGGAGACTGGACTATTTTGGATTTGCCTTGCTTCAAGACACAGCTCCATGTTTGATGAGATCTATTGGAACTTCATTGATCCAAAGTTTTTTGGACCTTTTACAGTGCTTGAGGATCGACTACGCCTGTTAAGCACAGAAGAGTGTGCGGACATTGACATTTTCATTGAGAAGAAAATACACCAGGCAAGTGAGGGTAATTTAGTTTCACATTACAGCATTGACGAACTAGTTGATCTGTAAATATATATCTCAGACCTTGAGTCACCGGTGAGGTAAACGAATGGTACTTTCGAATTTCTGTAAAGACAGTGGCGCATATCAGACAAGTGCGCGCGCATTCACCAAAGCTCAGCTCACGCTTCCTGTCGGCTTATTTGCCCCTTTTTTGCTTCCTAGATCGAAGACTCGCTCGTGCCGCTTGGGTCATAAGTTCCTTCTCGGCGTTGGAAAGGTTCTCGATGGCATCTTGTGTCTTTAGAGCCTCGTCTAGAGCTCTCTTTAACTCTGCTCCTTGTTCTGCGGACGGAACATCACCCTTCCTCACTCCTATCTGGATTTCACCTGAGGAGACCCTTTTCACAAATTCAGGGGCTTCATCAGCCGGAACATGTTTTTCGTAATAGCTGAGGATAGATGCGAAACTATCACGAGCCTTCTGTGCTCCAGAGTTGCTGCTCTGGCCGCTCATTGTGGCGGAACTATAAATGCTGAAAGATTTAGCCTCTTGGGTCACCGTGGTCGAAAGAGTACGTACGTATAAGACCAGTGGATTGACCCTGCAGCCTTGTAATAGCAGTTGGCTTTCTAAGCCGGCGACGAGTGAGGGTTTTCGGTACAAAGGCACGTTGATGTGTGAAAGTGAGACTGTCGAAAGTGAGATGTCGAAGCTGAAGTTTTTGTAGATTCGAATTCTGGTTTAGATATGCGTAACGCATCAGGGTTGTGGGATCTGAGTTACGATAAAAGGTCCGAGAATGGTCACCTAAGCGCCTAGGGAATGGAAACTACCTGCACGGTAAATGAACCAGCAGTTGCATTACAAATAGAATTCAGGCATTTGCCGCTTATTGACATTTGATCCATGAGCCGCAGCCTAGCTGTTTCAAATTGCTAAAGGCGCCCTCACAGAGCAGCAAATTCCTGAGATCGTCAGAGGATCAGATCTGCCTTATATGCATGTAACTAGCGTAGGAATGAATGACTGGATGGGACCGGGCCGAGGTTAGGCCTTGGGTGGGCGCTCGGTGAGCGGTAAAGATAAATTAAATCCCTGCTCTGCAAACACGATCAACTCCCGCCAATAATTTTGCCACCTGTCCGAATTGGTACGGTACCGTTTTCGGTGTCGCTCATTAGTCTGCCTGCTCTTTCCCCCCAACCCCTATTTGACCTTACTATATATGGAATATGGAGGGATATTGCTCTGAGCAAGGGATGAAATACGATACGGTTTTTGGTCCACTGCGTCTAAGCACGTACTTATTTCTTCTTCTCCTGGGAACTTCGATCTGATATCTTCACGTTAAGTAGATTGCTTTGAGTGTAGCTCAGATGGGATGACTTAAATTGAAGATATAGGGAATACTATTGAGCAGTGCATAATAAGATTTATGTGACCCAAGCTGGAATATGAGCATAGAGGATACGTATGGTGCCAATAAGTAATCCGAAAGCATATCTATTTGCGGACATGAAGATCTAAATTTAGACACAGGCCTATTAAGCGCCGCTCAGATAACCACCACCGCCACGCTGTTCAGAAAGCAGGTGACATTGGGAAGGTTGTCAAGATAATTGGCCCAAAGAAGCTGGCTAGTTTCTCTAGAAGGATGTGTTTCAGGTTATGCAGGCGAAAACGAGTCACTGGCCCCGCAGCGACGGGTAGGTGATACCTCTTTGAGGTGCTGGAAGCCATTAGCCTGACAATTTTTTGCGCCCATCTACGACTGGCCACAACATTCCGAAATAGACAAGGCTCGCGCCCACCTTAATATGCTATACGATGATGAAAAGGTCCAACTATACATTAAGAGCCCCATTTAAAAGTCGCGATGCTCCTATAGGCGTCAAGCTTGCCCACCAAACCCTCTGGTGAATTCGGAGTAGATTTCGGATCCACACCTGAATAATTTGATCAGACTGCGTTTTCGTGAGATTTTCGCAGTCTATCCCCAATTGCGTGTAGTGACGAAGGGTGGAAAAATATTTATGGTAGAGAGACACAGGTCAGGAGGAGCCTGCCCGTTTTATAATCTATCCCTCGTCGCTCTCTATATCGCGGCGCTCGCGAGATCTTTCCCTAGACAGAATATGCAAATGCTTTCTTTGCCTGCGTCCTCTGCGCCTTTGGTGGTCTTCTGTTGATGAATATTCAGGTGGGTGAACTGCCGCCTAAAGCGCACCTGAATAGTGGCGAATCACCCACGACCGAAACATGGGCGCTAGGTGAAGCCGGCCATACCTTTGGCTGTTTAAGTTTATTTTATTTTTATTTTTGTTTTTATTCTTTTTCAAACCTTTATGCAAGTCTTATCCACTCACGCCTTTTCTGTAAATAGATAACCTTTATTCTAGTATAGTCGACGTCTAGATCTATACTTCTCCAGCCCTTCTTAATATATGTTGGCGCTAAGGCTAAGAATACCTACATATAATATGACAAAAGCTAAGGAAAGAATATGAATCCGTGCTTCCTCTAGCCTTGAAGAACAATTATAGGATTTCTTAGGCTGGTTTGTAGCACATACGACCATAGGGTGTGGAGAACAGGGCTTCCCGTCCGCTCAGCCGTACTTAAGCCACACGCCGGTCAGTTAGTAGTATGGTGGGTGACCACATGCGAATCCTGACTGTTGTATGTTTTTAGTTTTCTTTTTGCTTTTTGCTTTTTGCTTTTTGCTTTTTGTGATTCGTTGGGACCAGTGCCCTTGCCGCTTTACTCTTCAACCCCTTCAGGCCGCTTCACCTAAATACCCCTGAAGCACAAGTGACTTGGCCCTCGCCGAAACTTTCCCTCCCTCCCAGTCTCCCTCCCGTTCGCGACCTAGTCCCATCTTTCCTTTTCTATGGCCTGAACTGATTCTAATCAGAGATGATCAAAGAAAATAGATTAACTGTGGCTGTTACTACCGTCTAGCCTTGGTTATCTTTTCCAAGGATGTAGTGAAGATTCTGACCAAAGAAAAGGTGCAGAAAGGGATGGCTCCCCCCCCCCGGAAATAGCCACAATTGAAGAGCTCTCCTCCCGTGGCCGAATACATGGAGCACTTCACCAATTAAAAATGAATTAAGCTAACGACCAGATTTTATTCCTATGCTTTGACTTCCTGTCTTTCGCAAGGTCTTTACAAACATAATTCGACTAGTCTCTCTTGGTACGCTCAGGCGTCATCTCTTCACCATCACTCCACTCGTCATTGTTTAGATAATTGCAACGTTGCTTCAATTCTTAGAGCTTAGACGTGCAATAGAAGGTGCACTGGGGCATCTGAAGAGAATCCAACTTAGACTGAACTGTGTTATTTGGTATAACACGTGCGTATAGTATGCACTTGCTTAGGTACAAGAGTATGTAAAGACCAGTGCCCTGACCTCGATACTTTGACGAGGTCTATTAGAAGGGTCCTGAGAAAGTGGCACGAAGGAACAATGAGGTGCGTCTGGTCGTCTGTTAGTCACTTCAACTGCTGTCATTGCATCTGAGTACGTACATTTGGTCACATCATCATCCGAGTCAAAGTTCTTGAACATTGCAACCTCGTTATTTTGCTGTTGACTCAAGTAGTACCACGTTTGTCCAGGTTCTTCAAGAACAAAAGTTGTGCCTCCCGTGTATTTTCGTCTGATGCGGTCCGCCTCTACTCGTGCATCAGGCGAGATCGTTCGGCCATCACATAGCGCAAGTGGGAAGCTCTCCACGGGGCCATTTATTGGACGCCATAAGCTAGTTTAGGCATTAACGTATAGGGGTATATCAGCTTGGGTGGTTAGTAGGAAATGGAACGAACTTGATCAGACGAAGTCTTCCTTGCAATAGTTCCTCCGCCTTGGATGGCAGCTCGAGATAGACCCTGTCTACTGCGCTCTCGAAGGTTTGATCTACGCTCAGTCAGGGTTGCGCGAGATCCAGATGACGTGGTAGAGAGCATGTTCTTACCGATATGGGCAACCCTTGCGGCCCCAACCCGCGCCAGAGGGTCATTTATATCCACCTGTTTCCCTTCTGCGGGCACAGAACTGGTGTCTCGCACCTGCATAGCATCGTGAGATCAAATTGCTTGCTATGAAATAATATATCTGAATCATACCAGCCAGTTGAAGAAATGAACCTCATCAACACCATCGAGGATATGCCGGAGTAGGACTTCGCACTCCGGTAGGTATTTCGACTGAACCATTCCCTTATCCAGAAAGTGTCCAGGTTCGAGGCAACTGTCATGTTGAAGGTATGTGAATCCATGAGTATCAATCTCGGGGCCATGTGTAATGCCCCGGACATCTGTGATGTCTACCTCAGGTCCATCGTAGAATTCAATATTTGACTGTCGTTTATCTTCGGCATCATTGGGCAGATCAATAAGGACCTGAAACGGCTTCTCAATAGTATATAGATCTTGCCATTTAAGGTAGCGAAATGCACCTCTCTCCATGATGACCTGATGGGGCGGTTGCTGGTAGACTCTCTCGACGATTGAAATGAGAAGACTGAGATTGAGGAATGAGAAGGGGGCGACTGCCCTTTATAACATCGCATGCTGCAGTCTCCGCAGATTATGAGGAACTAGTATATCTCAAGTCCTACCTGCCTACTTGGCTGAATTCAATGTGAAAATTGGCCACAGCTCTAACTGCTTCTTACTAACACAATTTGCGTAGTGCTCAGAAAACTGCATGATACAATTTGGTATGTGCTAGATAATAGGCCTCGGCAGAAAACAATTCTCAAACCGTCAATCACAATGCATCTCAATTTCCATTCTCGGCATTGGAACAGGAATTCCGGCAGTCGAACCGGATGATGTCAGCGGCCTGTGGGCACAACATATTGATTTCCTGGCCGGCAAAAGAAGACTTCCACGGCTGACGGCGAGCATCTTGGGAAGCCTTGGTCATGATTTGCTGGGCCCACGGTTTGGGGTCACCCGTAGTGCGCGCTTCGGCTGTGGCACGTTGAGCCTAGTATTGTATCCGTCAGGGCTGTGCCATGAAGCGCCATGAGGCTGTTGCTGTTAACCTATAACGTACCTCTTGTGGGTGCATGATTCCGGCGTCAGTAGCTTTGATGGCGAATTCTGCCTTTTGGAGGATGACGAGCTCTTTTAGGTAGAACGTAGCAGAAGGAATAGCTTCAAGGGCTGATGGATGCTTGGCTGCTAGGCTGACTCTGCCTTGTACCGCTGACGGCTCACTTTTTATCAGTCTTCGGTAGCTAGCAGGTGAGGCAAAGTAGCTCTGATGTATCTCACCTATGAGGCTCAACAACGTAGAAGTGGGGAAGCCCATGCTATCTAGCAGAACCAGACCCTAAGAAATACGACAGGTGCCATGATGAAGAGGTGTAGGGGGGGAGAGATGCCATTGGGGGACATATGCTTGCTGAATGTGACGCCGACAAGGATGGATGTGATAGTGGCGCTCGTCACCTAGCCAAGTTGCCAAATTAGGCTATTTGGCCGGCATATACTTGAGGTAGGTGAGGCGAAGCATAGTACAGCAAGGCTATTACCCTGGGGATGGAGGTCAGACGTCAGACGTCGGATTATGCTGGCGCTCGACATCTGCGCCTCGTCGCCCGGGAAAGAACTCTTTACGGAATCTCAAAGGCAATCATTGCTATAGATGGTATTTAAGCAGCTTCGAAGTATGCAAACTCCGGACTCAACATCAGTTCACGGTACTAGAGACGGTTCTAAGCCGCCATACTAAGTACAATCATGTCGAATATTACCGACTACCGCTCAGTTTATGTCCGTCATATCCAATCTTGTTATCGCTGCCATCCCGAGGCCATCTCCTTCTACGATCAGCTGGCCGACTATCTGCAAGGATGTTCTGGGAGGCGAAAGTCGAGCCTCCAAGAAGTACAATTCTTTGAGCTTACCCCGCTCTCCAGCATTGACACGTATCCAAAAGCGTCTCCATTTGTCAAGGCTGAACCCCATGGCAAGCAGCATGGGCCGCGGGTCGGGGTGCTGGAAGGGTTCCCCTGTCCTGACTTTATCGCATTTTTGGGAGCCGAGTTTGCCGTTCGACCCGAGTTTTTCATCGAACATTTGCCTATGAGCCTCAAGAAGAGGGTAACTGGTGGTGTCTATGAGCTGCCAACCCTGCCGTCAAGGAATGACAATGTGGTGCGCGTGCAGTTCTCCTGCCTCATCAGATCACTGTCCCCGTATTCGGACCAGCTTGCCGGGCAAACATCGAAATCCATGCAACAAAAGCGAGCTGATGTGGAGGATGCACGGTTAAAATTCGAGAAGGGACTGATCAAGTCGGGGAAGTATGGAGCCACGCATATCCGAAGGATAGTCGTGCATGACCATGACATGTGCAGTATCGAGGGAATGATATCCTTCACTATTGCGACGCAGTATCCTCATTGGCATGGTGAGTGTTTGTTTGCTTTTAGCCTCATGGCTATCACTCGATGACGTGAGAAAGATCACCAGGCCTTGGAAATTTCCTAATTAAGCAACTCGCAGGCATATTCTTGACTGATAACGGCCGTATGAACATGGATCAAACGGGATTCCCTTGGTCTAAGACGCCCCGGCATGACCAACCCAACGGAGTTGTTCCCTTGATTCCCTACAATCTGCCGGTAGAGAGGAGCGCCCCAGTCCCCGTATCTCCACAGGCTGATTATGGAGTGTCTGGGTATCTTGACCAATTTCACCCCCTCAAAAATATCGTCTTCACGGACGAAGTCGATGCCCAATTGATGCAGGAGGACCCGTTTTTCCTTCTCGCCACTGTTTTGACAACATCCTTTCTTTCCTGGTCACAGACCCTGAATTTCCTTGCCAGAAGTATCGCGGAATGTCAGAATCAGTTGAGATTTGACCAAAATCAATTACAGTTTCAATTGGGACAGTTGAGGCAACATGTTGTAACGATCAGCCGCGTGAAGGAGATTCTTTCGGAGAACGAGCACATCATAAAGGAAGGAGGCTGCTCGTCATGGCCTAGGGCAGCTTCTGACTCTACATTGAAACGGAAGAGCCTCATTCAACGACAGTTACTGGCAGACCATACTGGCATTATGCAGCGCTGCTCGTTGCTAATTGACCAGTGCGAGTCCGCCACCACCGTCCTGGTTAGCTTTGCACAGCTTGTAGTCTCGGAAAAGGGAATCATGAATGCCAATGAGGTTAACCAGTTGACCAAAATGGCATCAATCTTTATTCCCATGAGCTTCATCACTGGTGTCTTTGGGATGAATGTACGGGAATGGGACCCACTTCCTTCATGGAGATGGCCCTTCGGGACTGGAATCGTACTATTCTGCACCACAATCTTCCTGCTGAACAGAAAGCGTTGGTTACGGAAGGTTGCCCAATACCTTCATATGGCTCATTTCACGAGAAAGACACGTTAGTAATCAAGAAGAATCGATCACTCAAAGCCTACACAACCACGTAGAGAGTGTTCCCATCCATTGTGTCGCTGTTTCCCAGTACCTAGAGATCATCCGGCATCCAAACTCATCTTGTCCAAAACTGAACTATATTGTCAAAGTCCTCCTCCCCATTTGCAGGCTCCCAATGTCTTGGTGGGACTATTTGCTGTCGGATTCGCTCCGCCTCACGGATCAAAGCCGCGCCCTCGCTGTGGTGTTTTGTGTCCTGTTTCAGGCAGCCCATTTTGTATTTTGTCCGAGCGATTTCGTTTTGGAAAAGATGCGACTGACATGTGTATATGTCCAAGGCTGTCTCTAGCATTTTCCTGATCAAAAGGGTCAGCGGTGTACGAAGGTTACTAGGGCAAGAAATAAGAGCGTGAACTAACATCGCCTTTGGATACTCTTGGCGTCTGTGGAAATGCCACCCAACCTTGTACATCGCATCTGCAGTTTTGTGGTGTCTGGCCCCCAACGTAATCGTCCACAATTTGAGGACCTTAACGTGGATATCCATTGCCTCGGCGAGTTTTGCTTCGGCTTTCTCCTTATCCCCTTCTAGGGTGAGAGTTGTGGCCTGGGCGATCTGAATATTTCCAAGGGAATACATCGCCATTGCTGTCCTAGAGCACGGTTAATTCAAAGCAAATATAATCAAGTCAGCATAATTAATATACCTGAAGTTACTAGTGTCATTCTGATCCTTGATGACGGCCCGTACGACTGCTTCTCCTTCGTCTGGGCGGCCTTGCAGCCACAGGCACGTTGCAAGATGGGCGTGCCAGATTTTCTGGTCACCGGGAAGATCACCCCATGCTTCCAAGGCTCTTCGATAGAAGGTTTCCGCTTCTTTGTACTGATGCAGCCCATGACAACCATTACCAAGCCTTCCTAGGCCAAAAACCTCCCAAATACTAGGTTTTTCAAGCTCCCCAGCTTTGAATGCGAGCTCAAGGTATCTCCACTCTTCGGTAAAGTCGTCAAACGCTCTCTGGAACTGATTCGACTCCGTGCATAGAGATCCGAAACATCCATATATGTCAGCTAAAAGACGGTATCCCCCTCCACCAGCCAGATGGTGGAGGCAGTAATCTTTGGCTGGCTTCAGCAGGTCGGAAACGGATTCCAGCATGCCGCTCTCGTAACAAAACCTGTATGAATTGAGTATCTGATAAACATTACAGACTCGGATCTGACTTGAACTTACCAGCCTGCTTCGTAAAGTACAGAAGGAAAGTCCCAATTGACCACATCGTGTGGGATAAGAGGCTGGTGTTTTCGACAAGACGCTACGTAGAACTCGCACAGCTTTTGAACATGCGGGAGCAGTGCCCTTTGACTTTGCCACAATGACGGGTTATGCACCTCTGACCGATGCGGAACGGGCCATACCTGCCTGATCAAGGATATTGCATTCTCAAAGCTCGCTTGCGCTTCTTGCGCCGTCATCTTCAGCTGGCAGTAAGCTTGTACGAGACGGTGCATCCGAAGCTCGCCTTTATGCTCATTTTGTGAGACTAGAGAGCTGCGCAAGAGTCCGGCCCGGCATTTGTTCACTTTGTATGCTGTGTTGATAAAGTGTAGGTTTGGATTCGTGCTCCCAGCTCCTCCGTCAACTAACAATTTCATCTGAATCCGATCGGGGTCAAGGAAGGCCATCAGCTTGAAGAGAGCTTTGTGATCACCACCAAGCTTCTCAAAGTTCATGTTCCAAACCGTTCGAAGTGAGTATTTATAATTGGTGCCCGATATCAATCGGACTTCGGCTGAGTCCTCGATGAGCTCTTGCAAGTTGTATGCTTCGAGAAATTCGACAAATGAACACGAGTCATTCATGATCAGGTTTGCCGCTTGATTGATTCCAAGCGGTAAGAACCCTACTCTTTTGACGATCTCGGTGGCAGCTATCCCTTCTTCTATAGACACCGTGTGGGTCATATTGGATGTTCCCGTGCTAGTCAGTCTCAGGAGGAGATCCACAGCATTCTCTGCCCTGAGCTCTCTCAGACTCTTTCCGCGATATTGCTTTGTCAATGTCTGGTCACGGCTAGTGATCAGTATTGACCCTTTATCACCATGGGGCCAAAATTCCGCCAGAAGCTGGACTTTGTCATCACTATCGGCATTGTCGAAGACCATGAGCCAGTTCACATCTATCTCCACCACTGATCAACAATTTTACATCTGAAAGTGTTCTCCCAAAGGGTCTTACCAACGCTCGCCAGGTAATCCTTTACTGTCTGCTTAGCTTTCATGTGCGTCATCCCTTCTCCCAGACCGAGCTCAGAAGCAAACAGAGAAAAGCTCTCTGAGAGTTTCGACTGTCCGTCTGAGTGTGCCCAAAGTACAATTTTGTATACCGTGTCCATGTGTTGGAAAGCGTAGCGTACTGCAATCTGAGTCTTCCCCATCCCTCCTAGGCCGGTAAGCGCGAAAACCCTTTGTCCGGCACTAGCATCGCTGGTTGGGGCGAGGACGTTGTGTATCTCAGTAAGTGTATCCTCCCTGCCAACGAAGCTCGGATTCTCTTGATACGGCGTCGTGACGAAACAGGGTATCAGGGATTCCCGGACTGTGAGAGGTGTGATCGACTGGTAACTCAAAATTTCGTCTGAAGAGCCAGCGGGATATATTCAGCGGCCTTCAAGTGCATTCAGGGTGAAATTGCGATAACATACCTTCTAGTTGGCCCGCTCTGCCGCCTGCGTTAAGAGCTGTGCCTTCCACCAGGAGCCAACTTTGGCAACCATCGGGCTCAATTTTGGGCCATATCTGCTGCGTGGACCTCGGGGCGATCTCATCAATCATCTCAGAGAGTATGCCCATGAATTGCTCAAAGTAGCCATCCTCATCGCTTCGAAGAGGGTACATGGTCAATTCCGCATGGTCTTTTTGAACACCCACAAGTTGCTCGTTTGCCCAATCCAAGGAGGATACTCTTAGAGTGCAGAGCTTTGAACGTGATTAGTTAACCAGCGAAAGAACTATAGAAGAGGCACTCGAGGAAATACCTGTTCCTGTCTTGATTTTCTCATGCCTCGTGTTCGACGCGGGATATTGGTCGGCTTGAGCTCGTAAATATTTCTCACTGGGAACTGGCAATTTAAGATGCGAAAGCTTTCCATGACATCTCGAATGGTTGTCCAGTGTTCAGAAGTTCGTAAGGTGTCAATCATTTTGTTCTTCATGATAATCCCAAGCTCCACGGCGGCACATTTGAGGCACAAGTCCTCGAGCTGCGGATTCGTTTCATCGTTTAAGCAACCAAGGAACACTATGCCTCCTGTCTTGTCCAATATGTTCCGAAATGTTGGATTCTCCTTCGCGGATAGTAAAGCCTTGGAAAGGGGGAGAGTGAAGTGAGCCATGAACAGCAAAGACCAGATAAACCAAGGGCCATGCCACTTACCCTTTTGAGAATGAACGCTCCAAAGCTATAGCAGATAAATAAAATAGGTCGATCTTGTGTGTCCTCACGTCGATTGATTAAGCTGTACAACAGATGATCGAACTGCTCGAACAGCTTCGCCCAGGGAATCTCAGATGAATCCTTTGCGAAATCATACTGAAATGCCATGATTCGCGCTTGCGGCACCTGGTGACTTAATACCTCTCGAAGCCATTTCGTGTGGTCCTTCAACTGGTAGGTAGGATAATAGGTTGGGAGCCCGGGAATTGAGACGATGCTATGACACAATTAGGCCGCATGTCGAGAAGCAAAACTGGCGATAGGAGAGAAGTTACTCAATCTCAGGCTGCCTGACCCCATCATATACAACTGGAAGTGGATGCATCGCAATGATGAAGTCAAAATCACAATCTCTGTCTCTCTAGTTTAGTGTTAAGTTAGACAAGTAATGATTATAGTTTGATAAAGCGCAACTCTACCTCAAAATGTTCGCTCCTTAGGGTAAACACCTGGCAGAGCGACCTTTAACACACACTATGGCCTTCGCCCAGGTCAGATCTTCTGGCAAAAGGGGTGGGGGGGAGGCCTGAGAGCTATCGTATGACGGGAAGAGCAAGCCGCAGCATTTGTTGAGCCTCAACTTGACCCTCAGGCCCTCCGCTCGGGCGCGAGGAGAGTCATGGGTGGCTTATCCTGGCAATTTGCAGTTGAACTGCATGAATCGGGTGCGTGGCCATAACTATCCAATGAGCGAGCGCTGATAGACGCTTTGGGCACTGATGCTTCACCAAAGAAATTTGTCTAATGGATCCTGGGCCGGTCCGCAGAATCGCGCTATTATTGAGGCTGTTGGTCAACCCCAGACTCAACTATTATTGGACACGGGGAAATTGCGCTGCGCCGATAGCACCATCGATCATAATCCCTCCGATCAGCCCCGCGAGGCAGAATTCTTCACCCAAGCAACGCCCTGGATTTATGCACTCTGCTTCTATCGAAGTATACGTAGAACGACTCCAGTCGGCGCGAGTTATAACTGAGTTTGTATTAAGACACCAGATTGGAACTACCTAAATCACCACTTGAACTCCTTTTTCTTCAAGTGCAACTGCAAGCCAAGATGGGGTTTGACCAGGTCATCACACCTCTTATTGCGGGTACTAAGTACCTTGTCCACCCGCAAGCTTTGGTGAGCATGAATATCTATCGCAATCAAGCGCGGTAGCGAATCTGACCCATTCAGGGGACCGTTTTTGAGGCAATACCGATTCAAGAAATCACGCCTGTTGTACTCGTGGATGCAAAGGGAGTGCAAGAGAGCATCGAGAAACTTTGGCAGCAACTTGATCTCTTTCACCAAGCAGACGATATCTACTCCGAAGAGTTCGCCCAATCTGTCGTACTGACTGGCAGTCCGGAGGAATTGGACCATGGCAGGTCTAACTTGCAGTCGCAAAACCTCTCTTCCGTATACACGACCAGTGGAGTTGACTTACCACCGGGCCCGTACTTCCTTCATGGCCCCAACATTCACCAGGCCTGGCGCCTCTATCCAGATGACCTTGATGCTTTCATCTTCGGAGTGATACCTGAAAATGTCCTCCAACCTCAAAGGTCTGTTCTCAACCGCTTGAGAGAGGAAATTGGCAAATAGGAATGCTTCACTAACAATGTTCATCAGGTTCAAGACTTTGAGCTCTATAGCAGATGATGGCATCTGGAAGGAGATCGCTGTTCCCAGTCGCCTTTACTCGCGTCCTTCCCAAAATCGCCCGCTTGCGGGTGCTCGAGTGTGCTTGAAGGATATTTTCCACCTCAGTGGAACCAAAACAACCATGATGAGCCGGGCGTACTCAGAACTATACCCTGAAGACGAAAAAAGTGCCTCATATGTCCAGAAGTTAATTGATAAAGGGGCCATCGTAATTGGAAAAACGAAGATGACCCAGTTCGCATCCTCTGACGAGCCTACTGACCAGTGGATCGACTTTCACTGCCCAATCAACCCTCGCGGAGATGAATACCAGAGCCCTTCTGGAAGTTCATCCGGCGCTGCAGCTGCACTGGCTGGCTACTCCTGGCTAGACTACTCGGTTGCAGGAGATTGTAAGTAGATTGTCAGAGCTCAGGAAATATCCCTCCAAGAAGTTAACCGTCGCTGTGTAGCCGCTGGGAGTGTCAGAGCTCCCGCAACATGCAATGGGCTGTTCTCTATCAGGCCCTCCACAAACTCAACATCCATGGACGGCATTATTGTGAATTCACCGTACGTATCCGCTCTCGATTTTGGAATTCCATATCTTATTGATTATATGCCAGTCATTTCGATGTTGTGGGATTGTTCAGCCGCAGCTTGACAGATCTCCACCATGTCATCTCGAATACCCTGGATCTGAGCGACAATTCTACCACATTCCCATCAAAAATTATCTACCCCTTGGACTTTTTCCCTCATAGTAATCCAAAACATCAGGCCATGGTGGAAGAATTCATTGAGGTCTTGGAAGACTTCTTGGGGACCAAACGTGTCGAAATCAGCCTTGCTGAAAGATGGGAACAATGTCCACCGTCAGAGGCAAACGGAAAGCCACTCAAGGAGTATTTGTCTAAGGTTCGTATTCAACAGCTGATCATACAAAAAGTCATCCATTTTGACATTGCTATTTATAGAGCGCCTTCTGGTCAATGTGCCACGACTATTATCACGGCTTCGATGACTTCCGTGCGCGCTATTCAGAGAAATACGGCAAACCTCCCTACGAAGGCCCTGTTGTGAATTTCAGATGGTAGGTCTTCCGACATATCCAACCGGTATAGCAGCCTAGGACTGTTCTCATTTTTCTTTTCGCAGGGGGATCGGCAAAGAAGTGACGCCGGATGAGTACAAAACCTACCGTGAAGAGCTCAAGATCTTCCAAAATTGGTTCAACGAGAATGTCTTCTCTCACGACCCCAGCAGCATGAGTGAAGCCATAATGATTATGCCATACGGATCTGCCAACCCAAAATATCGGGATTCACCAAATGAGTTGTTTCCCCTTCCATCAATCTAATCAAGCCCCTCGCAGAGCTGACAAAGGCGTAGGAACCCATCGAGCTCTGGGACCATAGGGGAAAAATTCATATCTCCTGTCCTAGAAATGCCTCAGCTCGTTCTTCCTTGTCAGTTTGCTCAAGTATAATCAACCTCTATAAGAGTTTCTGATTTGCTAATTAGTCATCATCTAGTTGGTCAAATGCCCTACCATTCGCGGGTCTCAGGACGCCTTGAGCACAGGCCGATTGGGAGCACAATCCTTGGAGCAAAGGGTAGTGATCTCGTGCTGATCAAACTGGCCAATGCTGCTTTCCAGGCTGCATCGTGGCCCACAACCATCGCCACGGGTCGATACATGTATCCTCTCGGTGACAATATTCGTAATGTTGCTCTCGTTGACAAGGATGTCTCCAAAGACGAGGTTTTGCACGTCCAGACTCCCCTCAGCATGCTTTAAGGTCACGTCTGTATTGCCAAATGATCCGCCGATCCCAGTTTTCAAAGCTTCAGAATTTGATACCACTACCATCAGGACAAAATCTTCCTCACAAATATGCTGCGGAGTGGGACGACCTGATGGCTGTGACGATCTAGCGGAGTCAGATGAGTTCCATATTGGCAGACCATTCGTGTCTTCAGACCATCTCATCCCTTCCTTCTCCTTTCTCTTTCCATGTTCCCGGATTTTCGTCTGAATGCGCAAGTTAGTGATTTCAATTTGATTTTCTTCTTCGCCCGTGACACTGAGGGTGAGATTCCCTTATGAAGTGATTTTTAACGCCAGTCAAATTCTGAAAGTTCTTTTTCTCGCATCCAGGACGGGAATAGAGAGCTGTAGTTATCATATTCACAAATGAGAATTGAGTTGGATTTCAAATTTCATATAAAATTCAGACAGAAGACGTCGGTCACAAAGCAAATTTGGGACCCCTCACTTTCTTATTTTTCTGCCCAATATTTTGACTGGTCCCCATGGCATACACGTAGCCCTTTTCATGCATTACATCACGGGCCGGTATTGGTAGGTACAGGGTACGGCATACAGGGGGTTTGAATGTCACACACGTGCGATATGCTGACAGGAATGAGATCGCCCGAATTCTCAAATCCGGCAAACAACCAAGGTTAGAGCTTTTTAAGAGCATCATGGACTTTCCCATCCAATAGTTCAGGCATCACCTGGGGTAAGCAGCGTAGCCTACACTATTCTGAAAGATGACCGTGGGATTTAAACAAAGCGGAAATTGGAACTCCGGTCCAGCTGCCTCGTCTCGAGGGTATGCAGAGCACCTCGCCTGTTTTTTTGGGAAATAGCGCCGACAGTCGGCGCACAGGGATCTCAGTATAAAAACGTGCCCAGCTGCTTCATCCAAAGATCACAAAGAGACCGTGCGGCTGCTAATTGAGAAACGGTCCAAATAACTCCCCGAGATGGGGACAACCCGGCGAGCTGCCCACGTACGGCGGCCGATAGCGGCCACTGGGAAAGTGCACAATTTGGGCATATTCTAGACCGCCCTAGGGACCGCTCTGTAACGCAGGAATCGTTCTTTACACTGTCTTTCCCATACAAAAATAGATTCTCCACTTTCTACTAGACCCCATATTGACCGCTATTTCTCACTACTAATCCTAGGTGGTAAGCTGAAGCTATTTATACCATATAATCTGCTAACTCTCAATATCGCTAGGCGTTGAATACCCTCGCTATTACCCTGCTATAGCTGTCGCTGTGGCCGTCGCTGAATACCCTCGCTGTTGCCCTGCTGTAGCCGTCGCTGAATACCCTCGCTGTGGCTGTCGCTGAATACCCTCGCTGCTGCCCTGCTGTGGCCGTCGCTGAATACCCTCGCTGTTGCCCTGCTATAGCCGTTACTGAATACCCTCGCTGTTGCCCTGCTATGGCCGTCGCTGAATACCCTCGCTGTTGCCCTGCTGTAGCTGCTGAATACCCTCGCTGTCGCTGTCGCTGTAGCCGTCGCTGAATACCCTCGCTGTTGCCCTGCTGTGGCCGTCGCTGAATACCCTCGCTATTACCCTACTGTAGCCGTCGCTGAATACCCTTGTAGTTACTATCGTTATACGTTACTCTATAATAACGCCTCCTATCCCTCTTAATACGTATAGGCAGGAGATCGAGGATCTTGTCTAACTTAGGCGCTCTGCTAAAGCTATTCGTATTACCCTACTTAATAACTATAGTATTAGCGTTATAAAGCGTATAATTAATAACTACCTATAATTATAGAATATCTACCTAGCGAATCCCTGTCGAACGGCTAAGATAACCGAAGCTATAGATAAGCTTATTTATAAGCTTCTTCTCCTCTCTCTAAGTACTTAAGAGATTCTCTAAGTACTAAAAAGATAGGATATACCTATATCCGAACGCTCTCTTCGTAGAGCTCGTAAACGGCTTAGAATAAAACTTCGGGTCGACGATCCTAAGGAACGTAAGCGGTAGAAAGCTAAGATCGAGGCTATTCTGATTATAGAGGATTATATTAGAGATATTAAAAGCTATAGCCGGCGGCTATAATACTATTTCTTTCGTAGCTAAGGTCTTTCCTATCCCCGGTAAGTTAAGGTCTTTCCTATCCTCGATAAGTAGACACGAAGCTAATACTAATCTTTCTCTAGAGATAGAATCTAGGAGGTCTACTAAATAATTAACCCTAAAGCTATTAAACGTTATCGATTAGACCTCTAATACCGGAGAAGAGCTTACACTTACCCTAGGCCTAACTAGATATAGTATATTAATAGTTATATAAAACTAGAACCTTTTAGATTCGAGATATATACTACTATTAATAGATACTCTCGACTTATTATATAGATATATATAGGAATCTCTACTCGGACAGCAGTAAGTATACTTCGTTAGTATCTCGACTACGTAACTTCGAAGGGCTTTCTACTATATATTATATATACTAATCTAGGTACAGAAATAATAATACTTAGTAATACGTATCTAGCCCTTCGCTAGTTAGCGTTAGATAATAAAGATCTTTAGTAAAAAGACTACTTCTTCTACGGCCGAAGTACTAAGAATTAACGGATTAAATCCTAGTAAGGATAGCTCGTAGGGTTAAACGTCTTCCTATTCTACGAATATTTCTATATACTACAGTACGATAGGATTTTCTTAAAGTAGTATCTTCTAAAGTAAGTATTACTTCTTACCTATCCTCTGAGCTCGTATCTACTTATATATAAATAGATATCGCTTCTTACTATCTATATACCTATTCTCTGAGCTTGTATATACTTATATACGAATATTTAGAATATATATCTAATTCGGCGATAGTCTTACCGGCTAAATACTATCCTAGGGAAGCTAGTTATAAACTACTACTATCCTAACGCCGACGTCTATAATTATTAGTAATCCTTTAACTAAGAGCTCCTTCGAAGACTATAGTAAGACGTAGAAGAATAGGATCCTTTAGAATATCTCCTACTAACGACCTTAGTATAGTACCGCTTATAGCTTTAGTAGATTAGGTAGTAACTTATAGGCGTTAGCTTTAACCCTAAAGATCTACTACTTTAGCTCTATAGGGAAAGAGACTAGCTATACCGAGCGGTATATAAAGCACTTCGGCTTCGTATATTATACTACCACGAATCTAGTGAAAAGCCTATCCTAGGCGTCTATATAAAGCCGTATAGTATATATTTATAGTCGCTAATAGCCGAGATAGCTAAGATAGCTAAAATATAGTTCAAAATTAAATTTACGTCTTATATTAAGCTTAAAAGCCTCGAGTAGTTTATTAAGGGCCCCGATTAATCTCGAATCTCACTTCGAAATAGTATCTCTATAATCCTCCCTATAGGACACTATAGCTACTACTATCCTAGCTATATTATCTTCTTTAATAGTACTAGCAGCTTTATTAATAGTAGTAACTCTAACGCCTATACTATTAATACCGATACCTTTAATACTAGTAGCTATACCTTTACTAGTAACTATAGCTTTACTAGTAACTATAGCACTAGCGTAGCTAAATATACACTTTTCCTCTCTTTCTAGCATAATAAGTATAGCTAGAAGCTCGTATCTATATTAATAAGAAAGATATCCTCTACTATTACTACTACCGCCGCCGCCGCCGCCGCTACTATAAGAGATTTATATCTCTATATCCTTCTATCTCTAGGAGAGCCTAAAAGAGATAGAGCGGCTATAGGGTAAGTACTACTACTACTAGAAGAAGCTAGCTAACCTATCTTTTATCTATTAGTATCAGTTTCTTATATTTCCCCCTCCTCTAAGACTATTATCGATATCCTATCTTTCGCGAGAGACCTCGTCTTAAAGCTCGATCGGAACGTACTCTAGTAATTAGGATACTAAATAAGACTACGAGATTAGTTCCTTCTAGCCGAGGATATTATTTATTAAGGTAGAGGGAAAGGGCCGTTAATCGTACACTTTCTCTCTAAGTAGAATCTCTTCCTATTTAGAAGCCTTAGTAAACTTTACTAGCGCTTCCGGATAGAGAAAGGAAAATATTAGATATATATTATAATCCTACGGTCCTCCGAATAGGTAACGCTACAATAAAAAGAGGAGGATAAGCTATTTATAGAGCGGCTCTTTAACTATAATATAGATTAGGGTACTACTTCTATAGTAGTAGTAGAGGATACTACTCCTATAGTAGTAACAGAGGGTGCTATATCTCTTATAGTATCTTCCTTATCGAGGAAACGAGTAGCTTCTCTATTACGACGAAGCTAGCGGCTTAGGCGGCGGCGGCGATAGTAGACGAATATAGACTAAGATATACCATAAAAATAGTTTCAATATTATTATTATAGCGACAGTAAGGTAAATAACCGTTGAGATAGTACCTTACCACCTAATATCAGCGGAAATGGCTAAGATGTACTATAAAAATAGCTTCAGTATAGCGATAGCGAGATAAATGGCTATTGAGATAGCACCTTACTACCTGATATCAGCGGAAATGGCCAAGATACACTATAAAAATAGCTTCATTATAGCGACAGCGAGGTAAATAGCCGTTGAGATAGTTATACATGATTTAATATGGGCGTTGTAATAGTAATTTAGGTATCTAAATCTTTCTGCCGGTCTTAGAATATGCATAATTGTGCACTTTCCCAGTGGCCGCTATCGGCCGCCGTACCCCCTACCTGAGGGCGCTAGGTGACCACCCCTATACAAATCCTGTCGTATGGTTTGTTTTATTTTTACTTTTGCTTTTCTTTTTCTCAAGTTTATTCACTCACGTCTACTGCATATATTATTATAGTCGATGCTTAGGTCTATATATCCCTAGTCTTTATCATCTATATGCATATTCTCGCGTCGGCGAAGAATCCTTAAGGCTACTTTTAATGAGAACATAGTTAAGATCAAGGTATGAATCCCTGTTACGCTATACTCTAGCCCTTCACAATCATCATGGAAGTTCTTTGCTATATATCTAGCACATACGACCATAGGGTGTGGAAAACAGGGCTTCCCGTCCGCTCAGCCGTACTTAAGCCACACGCCGGCTAGTTAGTAGTATGGTGGGTGACCACATGCGAATCCTGGCTGTTGTATGTTTTTTTTCATTTTCATTTTTGTTACTGGTTCTTTTTCCTTTTCGATTGGATTGCGAGATTTGTGCCGCCGTTCTCAAGCAAGGCCCTTCTCACCCACATGCCCGGAAGCCCTTTATTTTACACCCCGACTACCTACACAAGACCTCAAGAGCTGACGCGTGCTCCATATTTGGCTATAGAGGCCGAAGGGGCTAATAGTCATACATCTGAACATGCTTGCTAACATCACTAGGTAGTGCCGAGTAAGGGTGAACGTTTTCCAAGAAACTTCTGAGTCAACCAGAATATAGATTGCCAGATATGGTGGACATCAAAACATCATGTCAATTTGAAATCTAATTTACATTTGTCCTTATCACAGACCTTCTCGCCGCTCAATTTTATGCTCAGAATCCAGACAGGTCGCGCCATAATCTTTGCAATTGTCACATATATCGAAATTTCCATCGTCACAGATAGAACAATGGTAGGCATTGCTTCGTCGTATACGAGCATTGCATATATCACAAAAGTGGTGCTCGAAATCCAGTAAAACATCATGTGTGGGTTCCCCAAAAAATCTGATGAGTGCAGTAACCCGATGATCTTCCAATAATCGCTTTGTGATTGAGGGTTGATTTCGCGCGATAGATTCTGTCAAGGCACTGCGCCCAAAGAGATCCGTTGCATTGACATCAATGATCTGAGATTGTAGCAACGTAGATACCATGTCGTGGCTGCCACGGACAGTGGCGTGCATCAATGGGGTACGGCCATATTTATCTTGTCCATTTGGGTCGCTTCCATGTTCCAGCAGGAACCTTACTATCGTCGCTGATTTTTTGAGGACACCCATGGATATGGCAGATTGACCATTCTGATGTAGGGGATTTGGATCCGCTCCATGCTCAAGGACTAACCTCACAACTGTTTCTCCATCTGCCACAACGTCACGTCGACCCAACAACGAGACACCCCTGCAGACCCTGTCTACCAAGCATCCATCATGTTCTCCCAAAGCCCAGAGTAGTGGTGTATGGCTTGACATTGCGTGGCGATTCGAACTTACTCCTCTGTCTAGAAGCGTTTTGACTGGGGCATCAAGTCCCCGGGCTGCAGCCCAAAGTAACGGAGTCTCTCCATATTCGTCCAAAGGGTCCGGCTCTGCTCCATACTCCAGTAACAACCTGATCAAGCTGTCGTCCCCATTCCCGGCTGCAAAAAATAGCGGTGTCTGGTTACCCATCTTCCAGGATTTATTCCGAGGTTCCAGTTCGAGTTTTCGGTGCCGTGAGTCCACGGTCACAGATGATTGCAGATTATAACGTATGGGAAGCATCCCATCGCTTTCTGGAATGTTTGGATCAGATCCCGCCTCAAGTAGAGCATGTGCGGCTGATACATGGCCCTTCTGCACTGCCCAGAATAGCGGGGTCCGGCCATGATGGTCTTTGATGTCTGAATGCACGCGCTTTTGTAGTAAACATGTCATCATGGCCTGATTCCGATCCAATGCTGCAAGGTGAAGAGGTGACTGCCCACTATGATCAGAGGCCTCAGATGCGCCCTCGTGGCCTAGTATCAAGTTGATGTCTGTTTTCTCGTGGTCCGTAAGCGGTCGATACTCACTCTCTGGAACGCTGGGATTAGCTCCAGCTTCGATCAGGATGTCTGCTATTGCTATAATTTCCAGCTTCACTGCCCAGAATAATGGTGTACGGCCGTTGAGGTCGCGGATATGAGGATCGGCTTCTCGTTCTAGTAGGTGTTTTATCATCGCTGAATCTTGACGGATGACAGCAAGGTGTAGGAGAGTATGGCCACTGCTCATTCTGAGTTGCACATCAAACCCCTTGTCCAGCAGGATACTAACAATTGCCGTATTCCCCTTTGAAACTGCAAAGAGCAAGGCTCTTTCACCGGTAGAGACATCAATCTCCTGCATAGCAAGTAACTCGCGCACTGTTGAAGTCTCTCCGACTATCGCTGCACATACCAACGGACACGGGATGTCAGTGTATTTGTGCTGTATCTGATGTAATAGCGTCTTCGAGATCTCAGAATTCTCAGTGCGAAGTGCCAGGTAAAACAGTCGACGGCTGTCATCTTCTTGGATGTCCTTGCAAGATCCCATTGCTATTAGCGACCTCACCAGATCACTGTGACAAGATTTTATCGCCCATAACAGAGGCGTCCAGAGCAAACAGTTCGTGTTGCCGTCTAATTGCGCGGTCCTGGTTGGGAGGAAAGGCCTGCCAGAGTGCTTATTTCGAAACAGTAAGCGTTCAAGAAACCGTATGATCTCTCTTCTTGAGTAGCCCTGTACCCAACTGTGCCAAATGCGACGAGCTGCCTCCTCTTGATGTGGCCTCCAGGTATGTCTTCTACCTCGGCGAAAATTGTCATGATCCAGAGCTTCAAACAGCTGGGGGTGGTGAGGTGAGTACGGCTTGGTGCCAAGGTCAGCCCCTTCCTTGAGAAGGAGAGCTACCATAGTGCCATATGCATGGGGGTCTCCTTTTGCTGTTAAGATGTGCTGCGCATATGCCAACGGTGTCTCCATAAGTAAGTTCTTGGGATCTGGTTCAGCACGACTACTTATTAATAGTCCGGCCACACTGTGGTGTCCTTCTTTGACGGCAAAAAATAATGGCGTTTCCAGGAGCGCATTCCGGTGATGTACACTTGCGCCTTTCTCCAGCAAGACTCTTACTATATCGTCGCTTCCGCTTTCGGCGGCGAAGAATAAAGCAGTGTTTCCCGTGATATCTTGGGAGCCAACTTCAATCCCCGCTTCGAGTAGGAGATTGACCACGGATACGTGGTTATGTTTTGTTGCAACAAGTAGCGCATTCTCCCCAGACTTATTACGTCTAGTTGGGTCAGCACCGCTCTGTAGAAGGTACCTCACTGATTCTTCATGGCCCTCCCTGGCGGCGGCAAGTAGAGCAGTCTCTGAGTGTTGATCTTGTGGGTTTAGTTCAGCTCCATACTCTAGCAAATGCTGAAGTGTTTTTATCTGGCCAACCCCTGACGCAGTTCTCAACAACCCATCCATCATAACCTGGCCTACGCCTGTATTCCCATTTGCCACCAGGAGTAGCTTGACTATTTTGTCGTGCCCTCCCCAGACTGCATGGAATAAAGGTGTCGTCCCGAGATTTTGGATTGGATTTGCAGCAGCGCCCCATTCTAAAAGCAATTTGGCAACCTCTTCATCCCCTTCCCGTGCCGCTGCAGATAGAGGTGTTGTGCCGTGCTCATTTGGATAGTCCGGGTTCGCTCCTTTTTCCAAAAGAAAAAGCACAGCATTATTGTTACCTGAGCACCGTGCCAGCATCAGCGGTGTACCTTCGTCGCCCGTCTTTGGAGAACAACGTGAATTTATCTCCGCACCATTATTGAGACAGAAGCGCATCAGCTCTATGTGCCCGATACGGGCTGCATGGCATAAAGGCGAATAGCCCCACATATCCTCGATATCTAGACAAGCCCCGTGACTATACAGAAGCTCCACAATTCTCTCATGTCCGGCGGAAAGAGCAAGAAGCAGGGGTGTCCAGCGATAACGATCTGTTGCATTTGGATCAACCCTTCTCGAATCAAGCAGTGTTTTGGCAGCGTTAAACCAGCCTCCGTGGGCCGCATAGGCGAGTGGACTCATTCCTCGAGACTCTTTAGAATCCATATCATCATTGGAATCAAGATAGATCTCAAGTATGTCTGTAAGACCAAAGTGTGCGGCGAGGTGTACTTTCGTGAGTCTGCGCGGGAGCACGGATAGCCAATGTGACCCCTCCAAATTGCGGAACGAACGATACATCATAGCTTGGCTTGCAGCGGAAATATTCTCTGTCTTATCGAGAAAGGTGTGTATCACGCTCTTTATTTCTGCTGAAAATTTCAAGGCTGCTGAGGCGTGAAATCCCCAGTTCTCAGCACAGTAATGAAACAGGGGAAATATTTGCAGTCGAATTCCAAAGTCCTCTTTGTTTGAGCACCGTCCAGAGGAGAATTCGTCGAATGAAAGATATGTGAGGGACGTTTTGGTAATTTCGACTTCTGCATCGTGGAGAACATGGGTTTCTGCCAGATATTCCTTTGTCGTGTAGTGGACTAAACGGATGGTGCCACTTTCTCGGTCGAGAACAACTAATCCAGCGCACAATGAGTCCATTATCTCAATTGCAGGAAGGAACTTCTTGTTCAAGGTTTTGTCGCCAGATCTGGTACCAAGGGCGTGTTGTAACTCTTGTGCATAGAGAGCCCTCTTACTGAAGGTCAACCATGACAATGCCCTAAATGCCATTCGGCGGAAGGCCTCTTTTTGGTACTGAATCCTGCTGATGGCCTGATCATAGGCTGTAAACAGCCCCTTTTGACCGTAAGGCAACGTCGATAAGGCTTCTTCAAGGTCTCCGACGCTCGGACACCCCATCAAATGATCCATGTGGAGTTTTGCAAGCAGAAACCTTGTCAGGATATTAGCCACGTATACATAAATCAACAGATTATCTCCAACGTACATCCCATCCGCAGCCTTCACAATGCTCCTCCTAACCTGTTCTTGAACTTCGGTATGTCCCGATATATTTGAGAGCAGTAGTCGAGGCATCCGATTATTCACGTAGGTCAAAATGTCCCCTTGCTGCGCTCTAATCTCCTTTGATACGCTGTTCGGAAAAAGGCTCGTGATGTCTGAGTTGAACCGGGAAGTTGCGAAGATACTAACATTTGCCTCTTGTTGAAGTCTGAAAATAGCGGATAAAAATTGCTGCATCTCTTCCAGATTCCAGGAACAATACTCGTCGAGCGCATCCATTACAATGAACACCTTATCAGAGTCTTTTGCCAATTTTAAGAGCTCCACTTGGACTTCAGTCTGATTTGGGCGTGTATTTTGGCTGTTGTGCTGGCTGTAAAGTTTCACAATGTGTGGTGCAACCGACGAACCTTTCAAAGCCAGTTGTTTAAGGAGACTTAGCAGAAGATCTAGGGTGGTTTGCGCTTGATGTGGCTGATAGCTGCAGAATATCCACGCGATGTGCACATTCGGGTCATCTGCGAATCTCCTATTCAAATGATCAATTATGATAGAGCTCATGACTGTCTTTCCAGCCCCTGGGATCCCAGGGCAAAACAACGTCTTTCTAGACTGGCTCAACCACTGTTCGAATTCTTGAGAGCCAATAAGCCAGAGGCCTGTTCCTTCTTGTCTTCGACTGAGCATGTCATTTTGCTGAGAAACGAAATCCAGATGGGTGATCCATTGCAGAATTTGCCAAGTTTGCTCTGTCGTCACGAACTTGCTTATCCCCAGCACCTCGTCATGAACTATGTTATTAAGAAACCCAGATCGGAATGAAGGTATTCCGGGCAGAGTCATCGTTTACTGACCTTTTTTCAAGGTGTCTTTTGCTGCAGGTTCTCCATCGACGGCTTTGGGCTGAACCTGCTCAAGGAACTCTTTTGCGCAAGCTGCCGCTGCCGCTGCCGCAAATGGTTGCCAGTCATCGTTTTTGTGCGAGTCGGCGTAGTCCGAGATCCCACGAATGACGATACATGGAAAATTGTTCATGATACCTGCTGCTTCCATCTCCAGGCAGATCGCCCCGTGCTTTTCCTTGATCTCTTCTCGCATTATGGCATCTTTGACCACTGTATTGCCAGAAGCAATAGTTCCAAAATGGATGAGAGGGTTGTCATCGAATCGCTGCTCGCGCGTTATTGCTTTCGATGGGTCACATGTCGCGCATGTTGCCCCCTGGACATGCAGATAGTCATATCGAAATAACTGGTCTAACGCCTGCTCAGGGCGAGAGTATTTTCTCTTTCGCATGAACGGGTATTTGCGCAACATTTCCTCAACATAAGACAAGATTTTATTCTCTCGCATTTCATGCTCCGCTTTGAGCTTTCCAAGAGCAGTTGCCAATGATCTAGGAGGGCGATTCAATGCAGATATGCTCTCAAAAGAACCATCCGCAAGTTTCTTCCCAAAGTCGTATGTGATAACTCCTCCATTCTTTGCATCACTGCTGAGGACAACATCGCCCAAACGAATATCGTTGTTTTCATCTGGAACACCCGCTCCAATACCAACCAACAAGCCAATACGAATGTTTGGAAACGTAAATAGCATATCCCTCGCAGCTACAGCAGCGGAGCTTGTTCCGACTTGGTGCATTGGTAGACACGCTACGGCAATCTTAAACTTGCCCATGGAGCCCAATATGTACGTGTTCTGATCTGCGTCGGCTGGCGGGGTGCGTGGCTCTCCATGCTCTTCATCCATCATGCCTTTTGCCGCTGCCATCTCGACAGGAAGAGCGCATATCCATCCCACTACATACTCTTCATTGGCAAAGCTTGGGGGCTGAGAGTTGGCCATGGCGCCTCATACAGGAGCAGAAATGTTAGCTGACAGTCGACCGCTTTTGTGATTTGGCTTGAGGGTCTCACTGGTGTCTCAGAAGGCGGTTGTAATGCCCACGGATGATATCCAGATTCGAGATGAGGACTTGAGGAGGAAATGATGGATTTGGCTCCGGGAGTGACGCTTCTCAACATTGGAGGGGTGGGGGAAATTTGATCTGGGTTGGCAACAGCCTCGCGCCCAGAAGACAGCGGCGATCATTGCTTCCACGTGATTGTCCTCAGGCTCGTGCACAAAAGTCGATCACTTGTCTGATAACTAAGGCTCTTCCACAGCCTGTGGAATCAGGCAGTAGTTAAACCAGAATTAGTCGTAGGGCTGGGCGCGAAAAAAGATGTATTCGCATCCAAAAGGATTTCATGTCATAAATATTGTGAATAAATTCCAATTCTCCACAACCTCTACACTTGGGTCTCTTCAATCAAAACTAGCGTTGCAACTCCCGGCGCCGACGCTGGAGGGGGGCGTTAGCGCTATTTGAGGCTGTAACTGTGTCCAAACTACCTCCTGGCTTTCGGCACCTGTCATTTCCCTCACCTGCCATTAGGCTAGTAGATTTAGCGCATCTAGTAGATTTAGCACATTTAACAACCTGCTTCTCATCTAAGGAAGTCCAGTTAGGTCATGCTAATAATTCGTTCCATCTTCAGCGTGCGATAGTGTAAAGATCCGTGAAAAACAGAGAATTCAAAAAGAAAAAAATCGGCGGGACCTACGGGGTATTACCAAGATATCCGAAGGCGCCTTTTACTGTACAGGCAAAATATCCAGGTGGGTGAAGTCCGCCCACACCCAACCGTGGGCGTTAGGTGAACGCCGATATACAAATGCTGGTACATGTTTTCATTTATTTATTTTTTTTTTTGCTTTTGCTTCAATCTCCTTTAAGTTTTATTCACTCACGCCTACTCCGTATATTATTATTATTATCATTTCCCATTAAATTCGATGCTTAGGTCTATATCTCTCCAGTGTCTATCATCGGTATTATATATTTATATTCGCGCTGGCCAGGAATCCTTCTACTTATAGTAAGACTGTAGCTAAAATCAAGATATACATCCCTGCAACCCTATTATACTTTAGCTGTTAGGAACGATTATGAAGCTTCTAGCTTAAATTCAAGCACATACGACCATAGGGTGTGGAGAACAGGGCTTCCCGTCCGCTCAGCCGTACTTAAGCCACACGCCGGTCAGTTAGTAGTATGGTGGGTGACCACATGCGAATCCTGGCTGTTGTATGTTTTTGTCCCTTTTTACTTTTTGGTAATTTCTGTTATGTATAGGTAGGCTTGGACGCCGCTGGTGCTGGAGAGTAATCTTATATCTGCATCTTTGCATATGCCTGGATCTCCTCTTTGGTGGGGTGAGTGGATCCCACTCCCCTCGTCTAGGGCAAGTATATAAAGCACTAGAGAAGGGTAGTATCCGCTTTGCTTCTCCGCATAGTGCGGAGCCACATATAGGATGGCGGAGTATTTACCAATAATAATATACTAGAGATACATAGACCTAAGCATCAACTATAATCGGAATATATAATAATGATATACGAAGTAGGCATAAGTAAAGAAGACTTCATGGAACAACATAAAGGCAACAAAAGAATAAATAAAAACATACAACAGTCAGGATTCGCATGTGGTCACCCACCATACTACTAACTGGCCGGCGTGTGGCTTAAGTACGGCTGAGCGGACGGGAAGCCCTGTTCTCCACACCCTATGGTCGTATGTGCTATAAATCTATCCTATCAGACTTATAATTACCGCTACAGGGTTGTAGGGGGTTGAAAGTATAGGCGTTACGGGTATTGATACCTTAATCTCAGCTGCAGTCTTTTTATAAGTAATATTACTGGCCTACGCGCTTATATATATGTGGTGTCCGTCCTCCGACCTGGCTGGGCCCGGTATCGGGCTCCGAAGAGATCCGTTTCATCGTGAACCCGTTCGCCAGGGTCGTGATTGTGCTCTCCGGGCCGAAGCTGTAGTGAACAGACAGACGCCGCTGGAGTAGAAGCGAGTGGGAGGGCAATACGGTTATTGTTACTAAGGGAGATTATGTGCCGGGAAGGAGATGATTTGGAGCTGCTTAGTGGGGCGGAGGTGGAGGTCTAAGGGGGGGTTATCGGAGCAAGAGACTCCGTTGTTGAGATCCGTCGTGGCGAAGGGGACGGTTGAGGTAGGAGTCGAAGGAACTGAAATATGGTTGGGCTGGTGCTGATTCATGAGAGTGCTTTGGGCCGTGCAATTGAAGAAACAAAGTGCAGTTCTTGAGAGGGAAATAGATTCCTCGCTCTATGGCTGAGGGATAGTTTATTAGGCGAGATAGTATACTTGCATGGATACACTCGATTTTGAACCCTCTTTCCTTTAGAATCTGCGTGGCGCTCGACTTCCAGTATAATAAATAGTCACCAGTGGAACAAAGTAAAACCCATATAGATTAGCGTGCTGTGTGAAAGGAACAACCAATAAGTCATGACGAATCTAGCCAATATGGTAATCACTAATGTTGATGATGTCGAGTAGCATCACGGTACGGATGGATTGATTGATGACCAACAAGGGAATAACAAGGAAATCATTACTGAGAGCGTTATAGTGGTAAGGCAACAATACTCAGCGCTTACCACACTCCTACTACCTCTACAGCAAGACTACATCAAATATGTGACATCGTCAACCTGACATCCGATCTGTCGAGTTCTACCAGCTGCCAGAAAAGGAAAGTTTTGGCTCCAAGCTGGAGGCTGGAGAGGGATCCGAAGAAAACGGATAGCGAAGTTCATTTCAACACAACAATCGCTATTCTCTCCAACAATTCCCATCCTCCAGAGAAGTGCAGCGGACAATTTCACAGCTCATCATCTACGAAGGGCGAGAGGAATAAAACTCAAGTTTCGAATTATGAGTGAGAATTACATTATCATGAGATGTCCAGTGATGATGGTGATTTACCAGCATCCTTGAGATGGTTAAGGTGTGGGGTATCCTGTGTTCATATTGACGGTGACATGCGCAAAATCGATCACTTCTCCTCGTACCCAGAGTGCTGACTTACCCTACTAGCAATGAGTCATACTACTCTACACCACTCGTTCGTTGTAGCTAAGTCCGAGGCACAAGACGACATCAGTCCAAAGAATGTTGTATCATATTAACGGCAGGTTCTCGTCCTGTTTTCTATGAATACTTCCCCCAGCAGCAATATAAAGCCAAAGCCATCCACCATGAGAAGTAGCAAGTCTATAAGTTACTCTGCAGCAAGAGTCCCATTCTCAAAATCGATCTCACTCCCGCCACGTCGCTGAAGCGCAACACGCTCATGAGGGTAAAGGCGTGGGGCCGGAAGAGACTGGTCACTTGGTCGGCGGCGGCGAACAAGCTGGTACCCACGGTCCAGCTCGATTTCGATTGCCTCACGGACTTTCAAGGCACTGATCGCGGGCCATACGCCTCGCTCACCCTTCAGCGCCCAGTCCGCCACGCGGGCGCGGGTCGGTTGCTGGAAGAGCTTGGCTAGATCAGAGAAGGAGAGGTCTGGGACAAGGGTGAGGTTGGGGCCGGGGATGGTTTCATCGATGAGGAGGCGGCTCAGAGAGTTCGGGAGAACGCCGATGTAATCAAGTTGGCGGAGTCGGTGGCGGAGTTCGACTAGTACTAACCGCATCAGCGAACGAGAGAGGTGGTTCCAGCCGGTTTGGCGGCGGTCGAGGAGGTTGAGCTCGGATCGCAGGAAGGGAATGAGGTAGGGACGTGCTTGGGAGACGACGAAGTGGTTTACGTTGAAAAGTTCTGCGATTCGGGAGAGAGGGGATTCGCCGTCGTTATAATTGACATGTCTCCAGGGTCGGAAGACTGCCTCCTTTGTGAGCGGCCAGGGGACGATTGAGCCGGTTTCGTCTTTGCAGTAGATTGTGACTGGGGAGGAAAGTGCCGCCACGGACGAGGCATTGGAAGCCGCGGCAGCGGACCAGATCAACTGTTTGGTGCGGTTAGATCATATAATAGCTTTGCGTATAGAAAGTGAACAGAACCATACCACGTTCGGAGCAGTCAAATAATTGAGCAGATTCGGAGAACCGGTCTTACCCGCCGTGGCAATCGTGATATTCAAGATACGCTTGGACCGGGCATATGCCTCTTCAAAGGTCAAGTCGCCCACATTAACTCGAACACACTCCTCCAGCAATTCCATATCAAAGAGATGGCCCTTCCAAAGGAATCGCTGCATCCGCCGGAAGAAAGTCCACCCCCAGCTCTCATCGGCACGATCTTTGCGCCGTTGATGAAAAGTAGACAAATCAATAGTGTCCCCTTCCAACAGCGCCAGCAATTCACTCTCTGGATGGATACCCACCAGTGCTGCAATCATAGCCCCAGTCGTCGTGCCAGTGATAATGCGGGGCAGAAGGCCCTGTAGATGCAACGCCTTGACAACGCCCAAATGGCACAGCCCAAAAGCCGACCCGCCCTGTAGCAGCAGCGTCGTGCGTCCAAAAGCTTGGCGGGTATCGTGAAGTAACTCCAGCTTAGCCTGTGACGTGAACCCGCTCGTCTGCATTGGAGCCGGCTGCAAGGAGGCCACGTACTGGATGGACAGGGCGACTTGCGTGATGTAGTCGTCAATCAGAAGCTTCGTCCCGGCATATGCATGGGTGTATAGCTTAGTGGTTGCGATGTTGCCCAGATTGCGCACCAGACCGGAGCGAAGGAGATTGACCAGCGTGAGGATGTCCTCGCTCTCGCGCGCACTCATCAATGCCTCCAGCCGCCCGAGGATGAGCCGGTAGTCATAGTGTCGACTCATGGAATTCTGACGCCTGTGTGCGATTAGTTGGGGCTTTTTTCAGAAGGCTGTCTAGATAGGGCCGCACCATAAGTCGTTGCTCAGGAGCTCGTCCAGCTCAAACGCAGCCTCCTCCCACTCCTCATAGGACTGCGCCGTGGCCAGGCTGTGCAGGAGCTGTTCTTTCGGGGACTTGGATACCCACCATGAGTACAATTTCTATATATTTGTGAGTCCGTTGCTCTCATTCTCCAGGTGGCCCCGGGGCTGCCACCGGGGATGATACAATGGGCAGTGGTTGGTGGACACCCAATCCACCCATATCTCTCCTCACCCCGGCGCAGGCTGGCCGAACCCCCACGGAACAGAACTCACCTGTCTCCAGAATTGCGCAACATCCAGCATCATACTGAGGACTGCGGACAGGATACTCCACAGACCGAGCAGCCAGGACCCCATTTTGCGCGATCGAGAAACTTTCAGCTCCGAAGGGGGGAAACCTGCCGGTGGGAGCGGCGCTTTCACATGCTATTATGGCGTCACGCGCTGCGCTTTGCCGCTTGAAAAAGCAATCCGGCGATAAGAGAGTACAACGGACGGAAAAGAAGTGGAGGCGATATGTCTCGTGTCGATGGGGAGGATGGGGATGGAATTGGCATACCAGGAGGGCCGAGAGTCTCTGACGTTGGGAGGTGTCGGCCCTGCCGGACAGCGTTGAAGTCGCGCGGGTCATGCTCGCCCATGCCAGCACGGCGCCGCCTGTCGAAACACGACATTCCTGATTCTAAGGCATCATTGGCAGGATACATAGTAACTAGTCTTTCACGCTCTGCGAGGGTCTACAATTATTTCGTACGGAGTACACGGGCGCATCGTGGAATAGACGCTGCTACCCGATCCCCGTTGCCAGGATAGTGACAAGGAATCATGAATAAATCGACAATACAATTGCACCTTCGTTACATGCCTCATAGAAAAGCCTAACGCGTAAAGTGAAAGGGAAATTGTAAATTTTTGCAAGGTCGTTTGTTTTTTGTCATTTCGCTTTGCTTCCCTATATGCAAGTAGGCGAAATTAAAAAGAAGCTCTCCCGGACACCTGAACCCAATCAAGGGGTCATTCTTTACTCCTCAATGATGTTGGTCCGCTCCGACACGTACAGACCGTCCAGGAACTGGAAAAGAAGGATTAGTATACGAGCTATGGAGGATGGAGAAGGCAAATGCAGAGAGAAATGCGAGGGCAGATGCATCTCGAGCGCGATGGGACTTGTTCCACTCACCTTACGGATATCCTTGTTCCGGACACGGCAGATCTGCTGAATGTCGGCGGCGCTCTGGGAGACGTGCTCCAGAGAGTTGCCGGAGAGTTGCAGCTCATCCTTGACGTTGGTAGAGGTGATGATCTCCACGCCGGGCTGGGCAGTCACGCGGCGGACGTACTTCTCACCCAGGAAGTTGCGGATCTCGATCTCGGTGCAGCCGGTCTCGGCGTTCTTCTCGATGTTGACGTTGATGGGGAAATGGGCGTAGACGTAGCGCATCTTGTACAGGAAGCCGCGGGTGACACCAATGATCAGGTTGTTGATGATGGTGCGGACGGTGCGGAGGGTAGCGACACCCTTGCGGGCACCGTGGTGCAGCTCGATCGAGATGATGTCCTTCTCGGGGCGACCGAAGGTAACGGCGATGTGGGAGAGGTCCTTGACGAGCTTGCCGCGGGGGCCCTCGACGGTCACAACCCGCGAACGAATGTGAACCTTCACTGTAAAGGAGAAGAGAAATCAATCAGCCGGGTCTGTTCCCTGGAGTTATGCGCATGTTCCAAAAAAAATTTGTCCTCCAAAGGTCAAGTGATGGGGAAAATCCAAAATTCCTCCTCTTGCTGTTGGGTGATAGCGGTGTCGTCGCGGTCGAATTGAGGTTTTCTTTCTTTCCTTTTTGCTCCTCTGGTTCATGATCACGTTCATGTTCATGTTCATGTCTTCTCATGTCCATGAAAGAGGCGCGACCACCGACAATCTCCCACCACATTTCCCACACATCCCTGATCCTGATCGAAAAACAAGCAAAGTCGCAAGCTCACCATTGTCCGGAATGGGCAGCCGTTCCTCGGAGTGAATGTACCGCATCTTGACTGCGTGGGTGGAATTGGCCGAGGGGGGTGAATTGTCGATGTCGGGAGGATCAAAATTCGGGTTGGAGTTGATGGTGGAGCGAAATTGACCGTCACGGGATTGTGCGTCGCTTAGGACCTGATTGGGGCTAGTGTAGGGTTGCTTATCAGCGAGCTGCTATCATCACGTGCTGTGTCGATCTAGCATGGGGCAAGTTATCGACACCTGAATCACCTGGCCACTAAGTTTGTCTGGTTTGCTTCCATACAAAACGACCAGAAATTTAGAAATCTACATCTTCGGTCGGCCCTGTGATTCTTGGGTCCATAAACTAGTTAAATGGCGGTGATACTTGTGCAAATTATGTACACTCCAGCAACCCAAAAACGCCGGTCCTAGTCCCAGGACATGGTGATGACGAAACAATAATGAATCCCAAATCCGCCAACCGCAGCACCACCTCACAATCACCCTGATTCGGGGTTCTTATGCGTGACCTCTGCAATCCACTTGCCACCCAGCTGTCGTAGCTTCGATGCCAGCTCGTCACTCTCATCCAGGGCAGCCATTTCAGCTCCACCACCAATACTCTTGCCATTCACCAGGACATTGGGAACAGTGCCCCTGCCCGTATTCTCCTTCAAAAGTTGCTGGAGAGCCGGTCCGATAGGGTGCTGGTCCAGCTCGACGACGAACGGCGGTGGCGAGATGTTGTAGTGGCCCAGCAGGATGGACTTAGCTCGTTTGCTGTGTGGGCAGTAGGATTTGGAGAATATGATGACTGGACGAGATTGGCAGTGAGCAAATGCTACGCAGTCAGAATCCCTCATCACACATACCTGGGGCCCGCTTCAGAATCGAGTTCAGCTCGTCTTTTGCGTCTAGCTGCGCGGTGGTCTCCTCCTCCTCCTTCTTCCCCCTCCCATGCCTTACTCTTCTTCACCTCCTCCGGTGCCCCAGCGTTCAAGGCTGAGTCTTGCACACCCTTGTTCTTGGGCACGGTCATCTTGATCCGCCCTGCAATGGGAATTTCCTCCATATCCTCGCCCGCACCCTCCTTCTCCTTCGCGGCAGGCACCGCAGGTCGCTCGACATCAGGATCGCCAATCTTTGGGCCGACAGCGCCGGAGCTAGACTTGACGACGGGATCCGGGATCTTTTCCTTGGGCGCTTGTTTCGCCTCTTCCTTGGCCCGCATCGCCTCGAGTGTAGATCGGTAAAACTTCTGATTTTGAATCTTGCTCGCGTCGCCCTAAACCACAAACGTCCTGTCCGTTAGAATCATGCGCTGAACGGGTCGCAAAAAAGAGCCGAGGCAGAGAAGAGCTCTCTCGTCATACCGAGTAGTAAAACGTCAGGAGCAAGATCGCGATAACCGCGACCGCAAGCAGCCGCACACGCCGTTGAGAAGGCATGTTGATTCTGAGCGTTGTTCTCTCACCGAATGCTCCGCTCAAGGGGTGGTGGTAAGGAAAGCTGGTCTGGACTGGACGATCGAGACCGACCATAGAACGCCCCGAACCCGACGCGACACTAGGGTCCAATCCCGGTAGCGCAACGTGACAGGTTTCCCGGGCGCCAAGAAATTGGCCGATCAAGCTTCTACGCACCGCCTTGGCTGGGGCATGGACGCTGGCGAACTGAACTAGTTATCGGGAGGACAGAAAACTGAGACTGATCATTGAATTGAGCCAAAACAATAATCGGCTGGGTCTGGCAGCGGCTCGTGTGAGACATTCAATGCCGGGCTGGGGCATGTGGGGTTTCTGGTAACCCAGGGGCTTTTGGTCATCCCTGAGTGCGGGCGGGGACTAAGTGCCCGGTCTGAGCGCGATGCTTGGCGGAGGCCAAGCCCGGTCGATGGGTTGGGAGAGGGGATTTCCAGGGTCTGCTGAATGATGTGCTGGTTGATAGTGTTGGTTCATTGATTCATCGGCAATTAATTACCGGCTACAGGTTACAAAGTACCAATGAGAATGTGGAATTAGTATGGAAAGCTGACGTGGGTATTATGCTAAATCAAAAGGGTTTTGTCCGAGCACGACTCCACATAAATCCATAGACGGGGCGTACATCGGCCACTATTAGGTATATGTATGGTGTTGTAGGTGTAGATATGTGTAAGTAGAGGAGGGAAAAAGGTCACAGTCGGGACCACAGAGCCTGCTGCGGTAGCGGGTGGGAAAGGGATAGGGAAGATGATGGTGATGGTGGGTTTCAGGAAGTGTTTAGACGACCAGGGCGAGCATTGATGTAAGACATATATGTAACGCATAGGAGAAAGGGGGGCCGGGGGGAGATGCGGTTAAATGAAAAGAAAAAAGGGGGGGGGAGATATATCGAAGGATCGAAGTGCGGCGTTCAGTCTCTTGGATAAGGGAATTATTGTCAGATGGTGGCTGACTGATGCTCAAGTGTGAACGGAAAGACCCGGCCGTGCAGCAAGTTGAGCGTTCGCCCGACGCTTGCCCTGGACAATGGTCGTCCAGTCTTCCCACTCCTTGGCAATCTCAGTCAAGACACTGCCCATCACGCTTGCAGAGGCCATGAGACCGTGGCCTTCGCCCTCGAGGATTCGCACCTCACAGCGCCGCATCGTCTTGCCCAGCCACTGGACATTTTCAGCGGGCACGCGGGTATCCTTGCTGCCGTGGTGAATCACGGTGGCTCGCGTGATATCCACATAGCGGAACCCGATGGTTTGGCGGCGTTCCAAGCAGATCAAGAGATCAACTGCGGGGTTGGCATTGGCAGTGGCCAGCTCCCAGATAGTGTGGGTGAGCCGCGTGTCATAGTCGCGCTGTCTTTCCCGCTCTTCTTCTGGAGACTTGGCGCGCGATCCAACGGTGGCGTCGCTCGTTCTGTACGCGGCGTGGGAGATGTTCGATGGCTTCGAAGATCCCAGGACCGAGGAACCATCGGATTGTGGAGATTTGGTCTCGATGCTTAATGCAGCGTCTGGAACAGGAGGTGCTTCTTCCTTGGGGGTCTCTTTGGTAGGTTTCTTCCGGGCTCGTCGTGGGGACTTGGGGAGGCTAGTAGTGATGCTAGCACTAGTAGCACTCATGAAACTAGTATTGGCCACCTTGAGAAGGGATGTGGGAAGAGCACGGAGGATTCTCTGGGAGTAGGGAACGGCATTGGTCGGCACGGGCTCCTTTTGGGAGCCGATGCTAGAGAGTTGAGAGGGTGGAATCCAGGGAGCAAGGAGATGGATACGTCCACGAATGTGCTGAGGGATTCGAAGGGCCGTGGCAAGAGCATATATGGCACCAGCCGAGTGAGCGAGAATCGAGAACTTGGTCACCCGGAGATAATTACAAACAATGGCGACATCATCTAGTCATGTGTTAGGCGGGAGAAATTTCTTGGCGGTGCAACATCATCTACTTACCTGGCCAGCTGAGAGGATTACTGGGCTCGTCCAGTTGATGTGGTCCACTCTCGCCAACCCCAGGACGGTCCAGGGTCACCAGGCGCAAGTTGAGCGTCCGAGCAAGCTCATCATAGAATGCCATGAGATATCGGGTGAGACCCATACCAAGACAGCAAAGAACGACATGACCCTTGGGGTCACCGACTTCGGAGAACGCAATAGTGCGGCCAGAGGTCGGGTGGGCGACTTTCTGGGTCAGTTTGGGGGAGAAAACATAGTCATCCACAGCCAGATCGATCGAATCTGCACTAGACGGCCTTTCGGCATTGAGTGATTGACGGTTGACTAGTGTAGGACCAGACGGCGTGCGACGGTGAGACGGGGTGGGGGAGATGGGCTCCAGGGATCGTCGATAACGGCTTGTCTCATGCTCAAGCTTTTCGGATGGTTGCCTTTGTAACTGAGGAGCGAAGTTGGTAGGCTTGAATGATAATGGCGCCCCGGGCTTCCCGGTTCGGCTCTTGCCAGTCATGACTGACGGTGACGGGGCGCTATCATTCATAACAGAACGTTCGTTTTTGGGCTCCTTCTGTAGCAAAGGGTTGCGGTTCGGATCAATCTGACTGCTGCTGCGCGATGGCTTCGACAGCTTCGCAGGTGTGGTGGTCGTCATCGATTTAGTAGGGTTGTCATCAACTTCCAGCTCAGTTCTAATCCTCTGTTGCTGGTCTTTCAGCTCCTGGATTCTCCGGGTCACCTGCTCTGCGTCGTTGCTCGACCCTGGTAATCCATTCTCTGCGACAGTCGACTCTCTGCTGGCAGTCGAGGAGTATCGGCTGTGACGAGCAGACCTCCACTTCTTCGAGCCCGAGGATTGACTGTGTCGGTGGCGCAGAGAGGAGTCCCGCGTCGGAATGATTCGACCACTTCCAATTCCTCCCGGATTGTGGGCGGGGTCGGGGGTGTTCTGACTTGATGGTTGTTCCCTGGTCGGCGGGGTGCTAGTCACCAGGCCCTCAATTAGATCCCCCTTCAGGCCATTGGGCCCATTCTCTTCAGCGACATCTGCCATGGAATACATGGAGCGCAAACTCGCCCGACTGCGAGGAGTGTTATGCCGTAAGCTCTCGCTGTGGCTGGTGGTCCGTCGCAGGCGATCGGCCTGCGTTTCCTTGTCGTTGCTGAACTCGCGCGATGATCTCTTCAGCAGTCCAAAATGGCTCTTCAAACTCTTCGTTCGTCCGGCGGAACTGTTCGATGCGATGCTGGGGGCCTTCGACGAACGGGGGCGGGCTCCGCGCTAATCGTCCCGAACGCAGTGTCTTCCGGCGCCGCCCTTACCGACGTATAGGAATCCCTCGATTCCGGCCGGGTGGTTGGGTCGGTCGGTTTGAACGGTCTGAATCTCGGCGAGCGGGGGGACTTGGGTGATTTGGGTGACGGGGGCGCTCTGGCCATGCGAATGACGGGCGACGAGGCGGCATCATCTGGGTGCAAGAATGGGAAATGCGGGGGTTCTTCGGTAGTGGCGTGGGTGCCGAAGCTCAATCCAAAGCCATTTTGTTTGGAAGGGGGAATGGTGAAGCACGGTGCGGTTTGCGGGACCTCTGGCAGGCCAGGGTCGGAGGAATCTTTGGAGTCGATGCGCGGCACGTTGTCAAAATGCGAGTTCAGGGGCACGGAGATCGCGGACAGGGACGATATCAGCGACGAGATGACTTCAGGCGACGTTGGATCGGCAGATGAGTTGGCTCCCTGACCGCGCATAGGAAGTGACTTGCGACGGCGACGGCGATTGAGCAGGGCAGACTCCGCCTGCTTGGGCGGTGCCGGGAAGGGCTCGTCGAGATGCATGGCGTTCAATAGTTCCAGGGATGGTACACCCACCCTCTTTGAGTCAGACAACCCTCTCTCGCCCGGGGAGGATCAAGGAGATATGCAAGGTGAAAATCGAGTCGCCGCGCGCATGATCTGCTGCAGGCGCTGGATCACGGCAGTCTCTCGATCTGTCGAGCCGCAATTTGGGGGGGGGGGGGAGGGGGGGCAAACCTAGTTGTCGGTTGTTTTGGCCCTAGTGAAACCCCTTGCCGAAAAATGATGACGTGGGATGGGAGAGAACTGATAAGGAAATTAAAGGAGCGTTAAGAAAGAGAGAGAAAAGTGTGGCTGGAGGGATGAAGAAGAGAAGGGAGGTGGGATAAGGAGTGAACCCCGGAGACTTGAAGACTAACAAAAGTCATGAACTATGGTCTTTTTCTTCCGTTTGGATATGGGGTTTCTTTAGCGTTCGCGCCTTCAGCTCCACCGACGGAGCCCAATTTCCCACTCGTTTGGTGGTTTGTTTGTCGGAACCACAGCCCGTTCGGGAAGCTTTACCAACGATCCATGGGTCCGCTTTGACCAGTCATTTCTTTACGATCGCGATCTTCTGTCCTGCACATATCCTCCGAGATGAGGCACATATGTATATCACTCTATCTAGCGTGCTGTACTTCTATAGTGGATGCCTCTCTCACATCCTACATAAATTCCACGTGGAACCTCAGATCAGATTCGTCAAGAACGCGGCGTTTCTAGAAGACCCCTGATGCCGGGCTAAGTGATCGGCAGCCAGCGATCTCGGAGATGAGCGCCGCCGCAGCTTTGGAGGTGCAAAATCGGGCACGCGTAAGGCAATAGGGATCTGATTACAAACCCTTTTATGTTAGTTACTTATGGAAGAAGTGATGATGCGTAATGCCGGACGCGTGTTCTTAAAGAATGAATAATCGTATACAGAAATATACATCTACCTAGTCCCCTGCCACTGCCAAACAATCACTTTATCTCTAAATATATATACCCACTGCCTAAGTCACATCGTCCAGGGAAGACAGTCATTCCAATTCAAATAAGCCACCATTCTAAAGATAAACGAACGATTTTTGATCAGTTTGCAAGTAGGTAGGAGGGAGACGGGGATGATTTTTATCCACTCAAATACCTAGCACCCAAGTAAACTCGACTCCCTGACGGCTCTCCTTGTTGACACCCGAAACACAACTGGTCTACCCCGCTGACCGCCCGCAAGGCACCCGGCAGTACCGCACACCGGCCCCGAGCTACCCCCGGGAGGTGTTGTCCAACTTGTTCAACAAGCCCACTGCGAACATTCTCTCACCCTTGGACCAGCACAGTCCTCTCGGATTTGATAAGAGTTAAGAGCTGTGGGCCGCCTGGATACCATTGATTCATTCTCGACAAGCCCCATTTTCACTTCGACCAGACATGCGGTGACCGATTCGCGCAACACGCCGTCCGCAATGGACGCCTACCCGCTAGACTACGTCAACCACAATCTTCCTTTGGTCCTGCTCTCAGGGCTAGAGGCAGATGCTGAAGATGACCCAGGGGCTGCTGTCGACTACCCACTCCTTGCAGAGAAGGGCCCGAAAATCTTCTCCGATTTCCCACCGCTGAGCGGGGCAGTTGCGGAGGAGTTGCGGATAGTGCTCTTGGAGGAGGATGGCTCCCAGATGCCGTGGAGATCGGGTCTCACACCAAGTGGGGATGCATCATCGCCACATATAGCATACCGGATCAAGAGTTCAGGTCGGGTAGGTCTCTCCTCTCGTCGAACGGCACGTGAAAAGCGCCGAGGTGGTTTGTCTTGGCTCGAGGAGCATGCTAATCGACGAACCTACGTTCTAGTCTTATAAACTCCCACCGCGCAAAGCAAATCCCCCGCGGACCTCCTCACCGACCAGCCCTACGACCGACTCAGACGGCAGCTCTCCCGCATCGAGTTCACCATATGTTCTCCATTCGCCCATCTCCCCGTTATCTCCGGGCTCTCCGACCTTCTCGGATGGCCTCCTTACGCCGCTATGGGTAACAAAACACCAAGATCTGGTCCCTGCAGCGGTGATCAATTTCTTCCCGTTTTCTTTGGACCAGAACATGAATTCATTGCGCGACAATCAGCTGAAGATTGAGATCAACAGCTTGAAAAAGGAGTGGGCATCCTCCGGTTTCAAGACGCGATTCCTAGTTGTGCTGATTTCGGAAGAGGGTGATGGAGGCTATGAAGGTGAGATCGATGACCGTATAGCCGGAATTAGAAGGGCGACGAATCTGGACCAAAAGTCGATCTTCGTCATCCCACCGGACGCGACGTCTTCGGAGCTACGGGATTTCGTGAAGTCCCTGTTCTCTCTGCTGCAGCCATCGGTTGTAGAGTACTACCGGGATTTGTCCAAGCATGCCCGTCGCAAGCGGAATCGGAGCAGTATTCCTCCCCCGACGGCACCACCAACAAGCGGTACTTCCCAGACACTGTCACTGCAGGGGTGGAATGTACGCTATGAATTCAAGCTCGGCATCTTTGCAGAGTTCCGCCAGGAGATGGACGCCGCCTGCCGAAACTACGAGAGTGCATACGAAACCCTTTTTGGACAGGAAGTCTTTGAAAATATCGCAGGTTGGGACCCGCGGTTCAATGATGCGCGTCTCTTGGGTGATGCCCTTGCGATTCGCATCATCCGCTGTTTGCTGTGGACAAGCCAAACTACTTCTGCGACCCGCTTCTGGGTCGACCACCGAATTCGCACTAAAGATATTATTAATCGGAGAGGCAAGGGTAGCAAGAACTACGGGTGGGAGGCTTGGGAAGCACGATGGTCTCTGGTCATGGCGCAGCTCATCCGCCGTGCGGAAGTTTCTCTGCCATCGCCAGAAGCTTCGGGTGACCAGGCGTTGAGGTTCTCAATTTTCACAGCCCCCGAGAAGTCCATTCCCACTGGCGAGCGGGTCAACCCGTGGGAGCAATTGCATCACGAAGGGTATTGGCTATATCGTTCGGCTAAACATACCATGGCCCGACGCGCTCTTGCTTTGCAAATCCCCAATGAGGACCGGATGTCCCCTGGGCAATCTCCTGCCTCTCAAATCGCCAACAAGTCCTATTTGTATGATACGTATCTGGCCCCAGAGACACATATTGAAGCACCGCAGTCGGGCGAGGCAGGCTTCAACCATTCGGACTTGATATTGAGCTCACTCAAAGACGCTCTTCAAGAGTTCTCGAAGCGATCTCAAACGCGGCAAGTTGAACGTTTAAGTCTCGAGATTGCGGAAGAGTACATACGCATCGGCTCATGGTCTGAAGCGTATAGTGTTCTTGAGCCACTGTGGCCAACTCTCAGTTGGCGCAAGTCCGGCTGGTGGTTTCTGATGGAAAGCTTCGGATGGGCTTTGAGGGAAAGTGCCCTTCGATTGCAGAAGAGCGAAACGGTTCTGCGAGTGGACTGGGAGTTGCTAAATAAAGGTAAGAAGAGCTAGCCCTGAATCGGATGCCATTGGCTCTCCTAATGTTTTGCTTGTATAGTGTTCCCACCAAGGCCTGCATGGAATTATAACATCCACAAGAGCCTCGAGAATCTTCCTACTGAGAGGCCTAAACCCTCCGTGGTTCTTCGTGCGGAAGATGTCATGACAAGTCGTACGTTGCCTCTTATCTATACAACGCTGATGATTCAATAAATCTGACGGTACATCCCAGTGACTGCTTCGTTTGTATTCGAGAAGTCTGAGGGCAATGTCGGCGAGCCTCTGCAAGCTCAACTTATCATCTCCTCCTGTGCTCAGAAAGCATCTGCCCCTATCAAACTGTCTAGGGTGAAACTTGTTTTCGAGGGTTGTCTCCGACCAGTGAAGCTACAATCCGACCAGAACAACGAGGCTGATATCTCATCTCCCTGCTGTATTTCTTCATTATCACTCCGCCAACCAAGCTCCGCAGGTGACATCCAGTCCCCAACGGGTGCTCTTGCTACGCTCGTTGGAGTAGCCGACCTCACAATTGGACCATCCCAGACCAAAGTTTACAATGTTACTTGCATCCCCCGCGAAGCCGGAGAAGCCCAGGTTGCCTCCATATCGATGGTAGTTGACGAGGAGAAGTTCGATCTTGTTTATGTGATTACCGACCACAGCCCGCGAAATGCCCACTGGTGGCAGCAGACCAAAAAAGGACCGTCACGGCGAAGAGTTGGCAAGGACCGAGATACCGGAAACTGCAAGATTATGCCGAAGCCGCCCAAGATTCGCATCTCCACCCCCAACCTGCGGGAGACATACTATACCAACGAGCGCGTTGCTTTGAAAATTGGCATCCACAATGAGGAGGACGAGGGTGCCGATGTCTCAGCCGAGATCAGACTTTTCGGCAGCCCGGAATCATCAGCCAAGCTCCAGTGGCTTGATGGCAGTTCGGACGCTCTAGTGTCGGGAACAAGTTCGCCAACTGAGGGCCCGTCGCATTTCCTGAAGCAGACTGTCGGAGTCATGGAGCGCGCCTCTGACAAGGAGTTGACCGTTGTTCTGGCTGATACCCAGGACGCCGCGAAGTATTCCTTGGAGATTTCTGCAGTTTACCACGTTATTTCTGACGTTCAAACCCCTATAATGAAGACCATAACTGTGGACCTTTCGTTCATCCGGCCGTTCGAAGCCAACTATGACTTCAGGCCTTCCATCCACCCCCTTCCCTGGCCGGACTTCTTCTCCGTCAGTGATGACTTGATTAGCGACGACCCTGCATCAGCACCCGGCGGCTTGTCTCAGAGATGGTGTCTCAACTCAAAAGTGGTTTCCTTCGCGCTGGAACCTCTCGTCATCGACCAGATGTCCCTGAAGCTCCTCACCCTGACTGGCGGGGCTGTATCCACAGTCGACCCAGAAGTTCTCGTCAGCCCTGAAACACCACACATCGGCCCTGAGGAGCTGCGCGAATCCAACTTCTTCTTCGACATCCAGAAAACAACCCTCGGCGACCGCCGACCCACAGCGCTCAACATGGCCCTAGAAATAACCTGGCGCCGGCGGGCCGCCGGCAACACAAACGCCAGTTCACCTGACCCCGAAGCAGACGCCACAACCGCAATCCTCGACATCCCCCGTTTCGTCGTGCCCATGGGCGAACCGCGCGTCCTCGCCTCGTCATACGCGTCCAACTCCCTCTCGGGCCTCCTCCACCTGGAGTACACGCTCGAGAACCCGTCCACTCACTTCTTGACCTTCAACCTGATGATGGAGGCCAGCGAGCACTTCGCCTTTAGCGGGCCCAAGACTACGGTTATCCAACTCGTTCCGTTGTCTCGGCATACGGTGAAGTTCAATATCCTTGCTGCGAAGCGCGGTCTCTGGATTCAGCCGCAGCTTGTGGTTGTTGATACGTATTTTAACAAGACACTGCGCGTTCTGCCTACGGGGGACATGCGCGCTGATAAGAAGGGGGTCTTGGTCTGGGTTGATTCAGATGATGAGGTGTAAGGTGGAGGCCCGGATGTTGGGCGTGGTTCTGGTATACGCTTTGTGAGTATGTGCTTTCTGGGTGATTCCCGCCATATCCGTGTTATGAGATATGTACGATGTATGCACAGTATAATGAAAACAAGGGGATTCACGCGATATGATCTGTTGTAGATCGCGCTGGCTACTCCCGAGATGGCCGAAGCGACTAGCTACAGCAAGCGCTCGATCATAAGCATCCGGAACACCCTCTGAATGTTCGGGTACGTCCGAGCACCCCTAATCCCTGGCGGCCGACCGTATGTTATCACACCTGTTTTATTTTTGCCTAGTTCTGCCTCCGGTGATTCCCACGTAGAGCGTGCTTATTGACTTGGCGCCTTGGCGGGGGTTAGAATTACGAGAAGAGTGTAAAACGGCGAAGATGTTTTTGCACTTGGCACTGGTTACACCATCAGACTCCTGAATATACTGTGTAATTTCGTGATCATATCCGATGGTTACGGTCTCCGGGAAAAGGCTTAATAAGGTTTTGCGGGCTTAACACGGGAAGTGAAATCAAATGCCCCCTAATTTAGAACAAAATACTTTATCGACTTGTTTTAGGTTTGATTTAGGCTTGATAAAAAGGGTATAAACCCCCAGATTCTCTCGAAACTTGTTTCCGGATATCAAACAGGTCTTCTATCATGTCCTTGTTTCGGAACAACAATCATCCAGCAGTTTCAATTGGTGGTACGCCCACCGCCAATAAGTAGCTCGAATCGATGACAAAATGTGCCATTTCTGGCTAAAAGTTGGATCGACGTCATACATCTTGTTGACGAAATGAGGGTTAGATGCTATATAAGATTAGCTAGAAACCAGGCAAATCTGTATTCGATTAAACCACCTAGGAATTTTTCCCAATTTCAACGCATCCCGTTATCATGCAAGAAGAAACCGAAAGAACTGCCAGAGGGCCCCAGTCTCAGTTCCAGCAGGGTAAGCTTGTAATCTACAGTCTCTTACGCCCAGCCCTTCTCACAAAGCACCGCAGGACATCAAATCCCAGTGCAACATCACAAGAAGCCTGGTCTGCAGCATGAAATGGAAGACCCAAAGCCTACTTCTACTCAGCTTCCGTCCGAAGATAATGGATACCAGACATATAAAGCTGCTGGAAAGCTGACTGGCAAAAATGCTATCATAACTGGAGGTGACTCTGGAATTGGCAGAGCGACTGCTATTCTGTTCGCAATGGAAGGCGCATCTAGCTTGATCACGTGCTTGCCAGAAGAGGAGACAGACGCTCAGGAAACTGTGCGTCGGGTGAAGGAACTGGGCCAGAAATGTTTCGTTCTGAAGGTAGACTTGAGAGAAAAAGAAAACTGCAAAAAGGTTGTCGATGCAGCCTTGCAACACTTGGGCGGTATCGACATTTTGATCAACAACGCTGGGACCCAAAATATGATAGAAGATATCAAGGATCTGGATGAGTGAGTGAAACCTCAAAGCAATGTTTATTGTCGTATTAACAGTATAATAGGGAGCAGTGGGTGTCTACATTTGATACTAACATCCATTCCGTTTTTTATCTCTCAAAGTACGCTCTTCCTCATCTGAAGAACGGATCAAGCATCATCAATTGTGCATCAATCAACGCCTATATTGGACGTCCAGACCTGCTTGATTATACCGCCACAAAAGGTGCACTCGTGGCATTTACTAGAGGATTGTCGAATCAACAGATCAAAAATGGTATTCGGGTCAATGCTGTCTGTCCTGGGCCAGGTAAGTGACGGAATCTTAGTCACGCCTCTACTGTTGCCTAACATTGCATTTAGTCTGGACTCCCCTTATTCCTGCGACTATGAACTCATCTGCCATGGAGCAGTTTAGTGGCACTCCCATGGGTCGGCCGGGTCAGCCCAGTGAGATTGCTTCATGTTTTGTGTTCCTTGCGAGCCAAGATTCAAGCTTTATTTCCGGTCAATGCTTGCATCCTAATGGGGGTGTTGTGGTCAATGGATGAACAGGAGAGGGTAGATCAATTTTCAAGACAAGTGAATTTCATCCATAACGTGTAGAGATCCGGCATGCGGTATATGGCAATATATGACGCTGAATATCCCGCCGATCAACAATGAAAAGCATGTACGCTCAAGCCTTCCTCATCTAGTGATGATTGGTTCTAGTCTTAAATTGTAGTACAACGGAGAAAATCATACCATCGTTTAGCCACATCTTAACCCGTGCCAACCTAGACAGAAATGCAATTATAACGACGAGATGTATCTTCGTGCCAATCGCTTTAATTTGAACCAATATTTTGCTTCAGAAACATACTTTTGGATGGCGGAAAACTGTTTGACCGGCTCTGGTTGCACAAGTAAGAGCACTTTATGAAGGCTTGAGCCCATTCCAACTGTTGATCTCAATCTCGAAAGGCCCAGAGTTTCATCCTTGCCACAGCTTCCAATGTCTGCAAGCCCCGGCATCTATTTTTTCCTGCTGCCGACTAATTTTACCTCAAAGCTGTAGAACCTACGCCCATGGCTTCCAAGACAGCAGAGGGTGAGAACCGTTCGGTCTAGCGGGACCCTGGTGATGCGACGGGTTCACTCAACTACTTCGGCCTATCCAATAGGTACACCCAGCTCTTGGGATGTCAAGTCTATCACCCGACGTTGATTTCTTGGAGGGGAACTTGACAAGGAACCCGCTAAAAGACGTAAAAGAGGATAACAAGGAAGTTGAGCACTGATTTAATCGGCCACACAGTAGAAATCACTGAAATTGAAGGCATGAAGAAAAGAATATCGGGTCATGGTACATTTCCTAACCGTCTTGCCACAGAATCAGAGACGTGCAAACAACGAGACCAATATATTAAAGGTCAGTTCACTCGGTTTCCTGATGTGACCGCTAGAGGAGCCACCCGTAACCAGATTTGTTGTCTCTTCGCAACTCACAGCGATGACACTGCAGTCCTATGTCTAGCACCCATGACACAACTTTTTCCAACTAACCCGATCCTTACTTTTGCTTGCCCTCCAGATCTGAAAAGAGGTCATATCCAAAATCTTTGCTTGAATCATTGAAGCGGAGCTTCTTATCGAGCTTGTCGATCTCTTCAATATCCGAATCCTGGAGCTCAAACGCAATATCGAAGTTTTGCATAATTCGTTCCGGTGATTTGGACTTTGGAATGACAGAACGGCCATGGGATATGCCCCAAGCTGAGATATATTAGTTAGGTACTGCAAGATGGGCCTGAAAGAAAGAAAAGTCAGCCTACCTAGAGCAATCTGGGCCGAGGTTTTGCCGTATTTCTTTCCGATCTCCACCAGTTTTTGGTCGTTCACTAGCTGACCATGATCCTCGCGACCACCATAAATCTCATTCTGGTTACCAAATGGCGAGTACTGGGTCACATGGATACCCTTCTTCTGGTGGAATTCTGCCCAGTCTTTTTGTTGCAGCCACGGATGCAGCTCCATCTGGTGGACTGCTGGAACAGTTGGTGAATTCTCAAGAATGCGCTCTAGTTCCTTTCGGGAAAAATTGCTAACTCCAATAGCCTTGGTTTTTCCAGTCTTGCGAACAGCATCCATTGCCTTGTAAGTCTGTTTCTTGTCAACAATCTATTTTTTTAGGTGATGAAAAGGGAAAGCCAACCTCAACATAGTCAATATCCTCAGTTATTATGTTGCCGTCCTTATCAGAAGGGAACGGATCATCTCCACGCTTGAAGGCGACAGGCCAGTGCATGAGGAAAAGATCGAGATATTCTAGGCCCAGATCATCCAATGTTTGCTGCAACGACTGGGCAACATCGTCGGGATGGTGTTTGTGGTTCCACAGCTTGCTTGTAACGAATATCTCGCTCCGCGGCACGCCACTCTGCTTGATAGCCCTCCCGACAGCTGGCTCAGTGCCATAGCTGAACATGAAGTTAGCTTGTGTTTCCATCAATCTCAACAAAAAAGGTAAACTACCATTGAGCGGTGTCTATGTGCCGGTAGCCAGCCTGGAGAGCCACAAGAACTGCAGCCTCCTGAGCAGCTTCATCCTGCCATGTTCCAAGCCCGATAGCAGGGATATGGGCACCCGTGTTGAGCTTAAAAGTCTTCTGTGTTTGCGCCGCCATTCTTTTGGTAGTGTTGAGGGTAAAAAGTCTTCGATAGAGAAACGGTAAAATAAGTTGCGGACATGGACATAATGTCTAACCACTCCAACAAGATAGTAGACCTTTTATTTGAAGTTAAAATACCTTACATAAAATTTTTATCGCAGATGATCTGATCCTGGTACAGTAAATATTACGTTGTGATGATAGCATGCTTTTCTAAACGAATACCTAGTCATCAGTATTAGTTATTGTAACGTTAACGTCAACTTCGGTATCATGCATGCATCTCAAGAAACCAGGTTTTGAATCTCATGACATAAAACTCGCGAGGGCTTTAGGTTGGAAGCTCGAAGGTCCCAAACTGGGTTACCTCCGCTACTCCACTCAGCCAAAAGCTGACGTTGGTTCAGTGACTTCGATATGACGCAATTCATAACAACAGGTTAACACGGCCTTCCACTTCTCTCAAGATATTATATTGCAATGAACCTTTAGAAAATATGCGAAATGAGCACATGATTTTATACAAGATGTTCATTCATTCGTGATTTTTTATTTTTGTGTTGTTTTTTTGGGACAAAATAATTGGGGAGACTACCTTGAATTTGATCCAGTAGCGCGCTTTATAACTGTCCCAACTGTTGACTGAGCATGCGAGAAGCTTAAACAGAGCTACTATGGCATAGATCCCGATTAAGGGGTAGACTCCTCCTGCCGTATCCATAAATTCGGCACAGAAGAAGCTTGTGCGATAGGCCACTATTGGCGCCCAGGCTTAGAAATGGAAGAGATATCCGGAAGTTAAAAGGTGCAGCCTCGATTAGGAGTGAGACCCCACAAGACTTTGATGTAATAGATGGTGGTCGTGGACTATCTACCCAAGGGTCATCTAACAGAGAGCGTATACTAATAGGAAGGAAAATGAAGAACAGATTGAGCGAATCTCTTATTCCGGTGCGCCCATCGGAATTAGTGCACTATTTCATGTGAAAGAACCCGTAAAGAGGGTGGTCGATTGCGCGAAGAGAGCTATGGATGGTACTAAAGCTTGACAACTCGTGAATATTCGTCGAAGTCCTCCTCGCCCTACCGATGATGTCATAGACCTTGGCTGTCAAATCAAATCTAGCCCCCTCTTGATTCTAGATTCCATTCCATGCACTACCCTGACGCCGTATATTTGAGTCTAAATCTGTGAATGATCGCCTCCTGCACCTATTGTCCACCCCTTATGCTCGCTGTCCCCCGTCCTAGCGGCACAGACCTAACAGAATCTGATCCGCTGGGCTATTCTCCACATTTTTGGGGGCTGGCATTACTTTTCATTGGTTCGGATTTCGGTGTGGGCCGCCCTTGCTCACTGTCTAAGCTCAGGCGTTTGATGGTTCTTTTGTCATCGATCGTTGGCAATGAGGTCTGCCCCAGCTATAGAATAGCACCACAACGTACGGTCGCAACACCTCGTGCCAGTCCTGGGGTTGGGGAACTGGGCTGTGGACCTCATATTCTGGATCAGGTTGCCCACCACCATGGTCCTTGTGGACGAACCATTGAGCGTTGGTCAGCGGTCTGCATAAGTACCCGGGATTGAAGCCTCTGCTGCGGATTTATTTTCCACAATATGTCCAATATTTCTCGCCTTCCTGATGTATGATCTTGAATCAACGGTTATGATTCAGCATTCCGCTACTGGTCATACCTCACACAATGGATACTATGTTTGAGCCGTCCAGACCCATCAACCTTTCACAGTCAGACATGCAGTTCGCACCTTCGCCAAAAATCGAATCCACACTCTGGTCGAAACCATTTGGCATCCCACGCAGCGAGAAGGAATCTCTCCTCAAAACGTTGCACCAGCATAAAGGATCCAAGAATACGATGGCCTTCCGTCAAACCAAGGATTCAAACCCCGCCGTTCCTTGAAGCCCCCGGCACCCTGCGGCGCTGTCAGCCCCAAGAGAGCCCGACATCTCGAACGCAACCGCGCTGCTGCTAGCAAATGCCGCCTTAAGAAGAAGAGAGAGCACGAACAAATTCAGAGTGTGCTAGATAACGAGAGCACCAAACGGGACATACTACTTGCTGAGGTGGACTGCCTAAAAGAAGAGATCTGGCAGCTCACAAATACGATTTTCGAGCATGCAAAATGCGAGGACCAACAAATCAACCTGCAGCTTGCAAAGATGACTCAGAAATATATCGAATCAAGCCCATCGCAGTCTCCCCAACTGTCGTTCTCGGCGAGTACGATGTTTTATGGGTCATTGGAGGCGGGGAAGAGCCCCAATATGTCTGGCGATCTTTCGGTGAGCTGGCCGGAGGATGATACGATGGCCCTGGAAGGGAATTCCGAAGAGATATTTGACATTTTTGTCGATGTAACCAACATGTAGTGCAAACTTTTCTCTGTTTCATTTTTTCTGTTTAATATATCGTTTGCTATGGATGGTTTTGTCAATTTTTGTTCTCATCTATATCAAAAGCTCAACTGTAGCTCGAGCGGATGCTACAGTATTTTCACAAATTACCTAGTTCCAAATTAATAATGACCCTTTCAATCCCGAAAAAAAGATATGGGGCTTACAGTAGCTGTAGGTACTGTTAGTCCAGAATTGCTAGACGTGTCAGGTTGGGCGGCTCAACCTGAGATAGTTAGCACCCAGCACAACGCTGAGGGGATATCTGCAATCGCTCAGTGAATATGAAATTAACAAGGACACCGCTAACCATTTGCTGCTACTAATGTGATAGGATCGGGCTGTGTGGAGAAATGTCCCTTCATCTTTTTGGCAGCCCAAGTCACCTATCAGGTACGCAGGTCACCATGAATTCAACGAGTCTCGATGCTGCAACTGAGCTCTCTTCTTGACTCCGTGCTTTGCTGTCACGGTGACTGGTGTCATCATATGCCGTTATCATCGAAGAAATTTGACAATAGTTCGTAAGGTTTTCAGTTGTAATAGCATCCTTTTCTCCCTGCATTTCCAATACTCAATGCGCCAATGGTGGAAATAATAATGCTATTTGAATACGCCGTTCCAGTAAATCTTTTAGCCTACTATTTCAGCTCTGTATAATATGCATTGAATATGTTAAAGTCTACAGGCTCCCGGTCCAGCAGAGGCCAGTATACCGTGGATTTCGGTGTTCCTCTGCTTTTATGGGGCAATTCTGCGCATTCGCACCACCCGGGACTCTCGCGCCCATCTCACCTGTGTTATAGGTCTACGATGAGCTAATTCACGAGGTCATTCGGCCTTTGGTTGGCGAGATATCGCAAGAAAGCCTTTTGGCCAAGGAAAACTTGTCGTTTATTTTCCAGGGAAAGAAATATTGGGAAGTTGACTGTATCGCTCTTAGGGACAAGTCTAGCACATGTAGCGTGCATTAAGTCTTATGTGCTTGCCCCTCCAAGTGTTTGCCTTCTTGCTTTGGGTCTTAAGTTCTTCAGCGAGTAGTAGCTAGTCTACCTAGTAGGGATATTATTACGCAAAGATAGTAGTGAAAAAGTACTGATTGTTTGATTTAGGCACCAAAGTGAACGTATTGGGCCCACAGGTATGGCCTTCCCAAATTTTGTTCGCGGACGGTCATCACAGCCGTATGCAACGCCGTCGCGACAGCAAGGTTACCTTCTGCCAACCCACTCTCGGTGATGAGCTCACGATAGAAAATGGCGGCTACTTGCGCACAAATTTCGTCATTCGATGACCACATTGAGCCAACTGTGTGTGCAAAGCCAGCGACCTGAAAACCGCTCGCAAGATGGAGGGCTTCATCTGCCAATTCAGATATTTGGTTCTCCGCTGTGGAGCAGGCAGAAAGGTATGCAAGCCAGGCTTGCTTCATATGGGACTCGGAGATTCTCTTGACTGTAAGAGGGTCGGCAACCAAATCGGACTGCCCTTGAAGAGCCAGAAAACTGTTCGACGGATCACGCATATCTGACGATCCGTGACACGCAAAATGCGCAATACTGCAATCTTGGAGTCCCTGGAGAACGGTCTCCGCGCTAGGCTGAATCAATGCTTTCACCGTATGAGGTATAGTGACTGCTTCTTGGATTGCTTGACTCTCTGCCATTACGCCAGGGAGATCATCTTCACCAGGGGTATTCGGCATTGTAACCAGCAACACCGACTGTGCGCCGAGTGTCACGCGTGTCTTTTCCCTTGCAAACTGTAACATTTTGATTGATGGTGTATATGAGGAAAGGACGCAACTTAGAGAATTCTCAAGTGAGCCTGGCGAATGATCGCCCGCCGCATGGAAGGGAAGGGAGGCAGCAAGGCCTGTGCCAATCCACCAAATGCGAGGAAGTGCACTGTCGCTTTCCGGATAGAGAAACCCTAGCTCCTCTAGCACCAAACGAACACAGTCAGACCACAAATCACGTAGAAGCTGTTGGAAGGTATCCCGCCCTCCTGTCTCTTTCAGCTCAATCAATCTCGATGGGCTGCGGGTCAGTCCCCAGGATCGATATTGGTTAGCCTTCGATACCCCAAAGTCAGGTAATGGAATGTGCGTGATTCCAGAAGGACGAACAATCAAGGCATCGCTGCTGATAGATGTGACGTTCACAACCACAATCGGCCCGTCGGTGGTGTTTGCTTGTAAGGCTTTAGAAGAAGGGGGAAGAAGGAATCGATCAAATCCCTCTAGTCTCCGGATATCCGCTAGGCAGTCTTCTAAGCGTGCTACGACTTCTTCACGGTCATCTAACAAATGTCGGCGAGTCTCAAGGGGGTCTTCTTGGCGAATAGGCATAAAAGCCTTTTGACGAAGCCGATCAAATTCATCCGCTTCTTTGGGATGCTTAGTGGACAGATCTGAGATATCACCTCTACTGTCAATGAGGTATCCAATAATGAGTCCCCGGCCGTGCTCCAGATACTCTAGAGCTCGAGCTGGATCATTGTTTGTCCGAAGGAGTAGAGAGGATGCTTCGGCAGCTAGGCCCGACGTTTGCTGAATGGCATACTGCTGGTCCTCTCGGGCGAGGTAGCGGCTGCATACGAGAGGCAGGAGATCTAATGCTCTTCCGGCCAGCAATTGAGCTCTATCAAAATCGCCATCCGGAACAAGAAGGTCGATCGCTCGACGGGCAGCTTCGATGCGGTGGCGTGGAGCCGCATGGAAGTTATCGAGGGCTTGTGAGAAGTGCTTCAAAGCCGCGGCCTTATCATTCTGCTGATGTGTATGTTCATATCGGATTGAAAGGTAGATCGCTAGATTATTCAACCAGGGTGCGAGATCGGGATGTTCTTCTGGGGTGTTGTCGACGGCCTTTTGAGCAACTGAGATTGCCTCCTGTAAATCGGCCAAATTTCCAGTCCGATTATATCGTTTTGAGATGTAAATAGCAAGATTGTTCAACCAATGTGGTAAATCGGTGTGGTCTTCTGGTGTACTGTCGATGGCTCTTCGGGTAAGGCGGATCGCCTGCTGTATATCATCCAAGTCCGAGGTTCCAGATCGATCAAATCGGGTCGAGAGGTTGCTAGCCAGGTTCAGTAACCGATTGGGTAGATCAGGGTGGTTTTCTGGGGTAGCGGTGACGGCTGTTTCAGCCAGCCGGACTGCCTCCTGTAAATCTTCGAAGTCTCCAGTTCGATGATACCGGCTTGAGAGAAAGACAGATAGACTATTTAGCCAGTGTCCCAGGTCAGGATGGTTATCTGGGATAGCGTCGATGGCTATTTTTGCTAGCCGAATTGCTTCTTGCAAATCCTCCAAATTTCCAGTTCGGTCATACCGGGTTGAGAGGTTGCTAGCCAGATTGATTGAGAAAAGTGCCACATCAGGGTGCTCGTAGTCGTATGGAGTAGCAGAGGTGGCACTTTTAGCTAAGCGAATTGCCTGCTGTAAATCCTCCAAGTCTCCTGTTCGATCATATCGGGTTGATAGATAGATGCCCAGATTATTAACTCGGCTTGCTAAATTAGGGTGGTCTTTTGGGGTAATGTCGATGGATTTTTGGACAAGGCGGATTGCTTCTTGCAAATCATCCATGTTCCCAGTTTGCTCGTAACCGATTGAGAGGATGTTCGCGAGATTGCTCATCCGGAAAGCCAGATCGGGGTGGTCTTCCTGGGTCGTATCAATAGCTCTTTGGGCCACCAGGATTGCCTGCTGCAAATCGTCTGAATCTCCTAATCCTTCGTATCGGGTTGAGAGATGAATCGCTAGAGTACTCAACCAGGTGGCTAGATCGGGGTGATCGTTTGGGGTAGCGTCGACGGCTGTCTTGGCTAGCCGGATTGCCTCATGTAAATCCTCCAAGTTTCCAGTGCGATCGTATCGGCTTGAGATATTGTTCGCGAGATTGTTCAACAGGGACGGCAGATCGGTGTGATCTTCTGGAGTAGCGTCGACGGCTATTTCGGTCAGCCGGATTGCCTTGTTTAAATCCTTTATATCTCCGGTTCGACCGTATCGGGCTGAGAGGTTGCTCGCCAGATTACGTAGTCGATTTGGCAGACTAGGGTCGTCGTTTTGGGTAGAGTCGACCGACTTGCGGACAAGACGGATAGCCTCCTGCAAATCATCCAAGTTTGTAGTTCGATCATATCGGGCTCTTAAGTACATCCCTAGTTCATTCAACCAGTGTGCTAGATCAGGATCATCTTCTGGGGTAATATCGATAGCCGTTTGTGCTAGCCGAATTGCTTCTTGCAAATCCTCCAAGTTTCCAGTTCGGTCATATTGGGTTGAGAGGGCGTTTGCTAGATTATTTGACCGTAATGCTAAATAGACGTCGTCTTTCGGGGTAGCATCCACAGATCTTCGGATAAGGTTCACCGCGTCCTGTAAATCACCCAAGTCGCCGGTACGCAGATTTCGAGTTAACAGGTACACCCCGAGTTCATTCATCCAGTGTGGCAGATCGGGGTCGTCAGCTAGGGTAGCCTCGACGGCTGTTCGTGCGAGCCGGACTGCTTCATGCAAATCGCTCAAGTTTCCAGTTCGATCATATCGAGCGGCGAGGGTATTCGCTAGGCCGTTTAACCGTAACGCCAGGTCGGGGTGGTGTTTTGCGGTAGCGTCGAGGGCTGTTTGAGCAAGGCGGACATTTTCCTGGCAATCATCCATTCTTTCTAAAAGCTTGGTTTCATTCTAGGCGATACTAGCTTATTTGGCTGTGCTAATGATGTCAGTTTGTTTTTCAGGTGTTTTTCGGTTGCAGATAGGCTTCACTTTCCCAGAGGTACCTCCAATTCTTTCACATCCTGTAGTTCTCTATCTACCATTTCCCACAACCTTGGAGTTCAAACTTACAATTCGTGCTAGAAGCCTAGTCAAAGGAGATATGGTATCCATCTAATGGTATCCATCTAACTGTAAAGGGCTGTATACAGGTCAGGGGCCTGTCAACTGGGTGAGAAAAAGGAAGATGTATCAAGTGAAAACGACCAAGTCAGATTGGAACCAGGCTGAATCTTGAAGACCTCATAATGGCGGCCTTCAAGCTTATTATTTAGCCGATGGCTGAGAGACGATCCCATTGCCCCCTCACGATCAGCGCGACCAATGCGTACTTACGCGACCTCCGATGTCTCGATCCCGAAGGTCCCCGAAATCACCGAGTCTCGATCCGAGATACCAAGATCTTGTGGCATTTAAGGCGTTCCATGAAGCCCCGTCACATTAATAGTAACATTTCTATGGCGAAATTCGGTCTTTCCTACCCAGTCCAATACAGGTGAGCCTCCGCTATGGTCTTTTTTAATCATAGGGACCATTGACGTGGCTGACAGTGGAGTACATGTTTAGCCGTAATCTATATTCTGGGTGGCTGACTGGGAGACTCGTAATCCGGAGATTTCCCGGTGGCCGCACATAGTGGGGCAGCCAGCTGCCTGACACCACAGGAATCCTACTGCCGTCCCCATAACAGGAAAGTGTGATAACATAGCTAGACTCGGATTTGGTAGGCTTGCAGCAAATTGCTGGTTTCAAATATCCCAGTTAGCGGTTAATAAATTAGGTCTGAAATGTAATAGTCAATTATTATCAAAGTGGTCTTCACTGCCCTCGTTACTTATTCTGGATAGTCACCGAAGCCGGCTGATAGTTCACGATGCGCAAATCTGGCTTGTTCGCAAAAAAAACTGTCGCCCCAAGCGGCACCCTATCATTTTCAATATACAAGATTTTTTCAGGGCCTTTGAACACGCTGATTACGCCAAATCCTTCTTTGCGAGTCCACAATGGGAATACCGCGGTACTACCTTCACAACCCTGGTCTTGAGCTGCCAGTGTTTTCCGCGCGGCCGGCCCGGCAAAGGTCTTTGTAGAATGTCAGCCTATGCACAGGGGTATCGAAGGGATATAACAGTATACTATACCGTAGTCTCAAAGTTTAATCCTACTCCACTTGGTGAGGCACTTAATCCCATGCCCGTTATGAGGCGATCTGGTTTGTATTTCGAGACCACGACCGTTATTTCTTCTGAGTGTTGATTGACAACCCAGACACAAGGAGGGATATTTTTCAGTTTACGGACTGTTGCACCAAAGATTCCCTTGAGATAACCGACATGAGCGACAAAGTAACATGACAAAGAGAATATTTTAGTTTCTTACCCTCGGAGTGGGCTCCCTCCGCGGAGGATAGCGGGGTAAGTCTACCACTTCCACCATCATTTCCGGCTCTTTGAGATCAACAGCAGGAATTGGGTCCTGAGACTCTTCGCCGAAATCATTATCAACGCTTGTACTATCGTAGTCGTGCAAAGATTGGTCCATGGCTTCACCCTAATCCAGTAGGTTGAATAGTGAAGGAGGGAGAAGTGTATCTGCGTGAAAAGTACGAGTGTATATTATGCTATTTTATTATAAAGGATGAACTAGCCGATTTTTAACGGTCGTGACCCCGTTATTACGGATTATATTATGTAAACCAAGATTCGCTTCGGAGAATAGCGGGCCCAAGGGACGCAGCAATACCTCTTTCAGAGCTAGCTACAGTAGTAAGGCAACTTTCAGGCTACGCCATGACATATGCATCAGCTAGCAAGGTCCTACACTTGGAAACATGCAGGAATGAAAGTCCAAATGTTTTAGCCGCAGATTGGGCACCGAAGATCAGGCACCGAAGCACCCTCGTCTTGCGTACTATGGAAATCTCCCAGCGGTTTACATTGATCATGAATTGCTGTCGAACGCAGAAAGACGGGTAAAGCCTAGTAACGTGTAGGCCGATAGATCAGGAGAATAGATATTGTAGAAAATAGGGGATATGGCCAGATCACGAAGAATCTGCGCCAAGAAGCTGAGCTAAAACTGTAGGTAGCTAACGTAGTGGAGTAGCCAATTTCGACACTTGTCAACACTTCGTTGTGTCGTATTGACAGTCCGCGTCATAATACCCCGCTATCGGGAACCTCAATCGATACAGTTACTGTTGTGCGGAATACACTTTCAAGATCCACCAAGGCAAGTCCTTTGTTGGTTCAAGAACCACCTAACCTCGATTTTGGGACTAGTGCTGATGCCCCCCCACTGGGGTCTTACCCTCAGGAGTACAATCAGCAATGCGGGAATGCTGAATAATGAGCCATTCTCCCCCCAACGAAAACACGATTGACGTGGCCAAAAGGGGCTCGCACCTTCTGGCAAAATTATATGGCTTTTTACTGGCTGAAAGGGCGGTCGGCGAAGATATCACCACGCATACAGCTCTCAGTCTTGGCGGGACATTCACTCCGTATATCCTTTAGTAGACACGTGTGATCTATATTCTCGTAGGAATCCCATCACTCCCAACCACTTTTCCGTTCAACTACGTTGGTCCCTTGTTCTAGTCTGTCTCATTGACTCTTTATCATGGCTTCTACCAAACGTGCACTGCTCATTGCCAGTCCCTACGGTGATCTCCAGGGACCAGAGAACGATGTTGAGATGATGTCCAGAGTCCTTCAGAAACGAGGCTTTCAAGTCCACCGGTGTTGTGGCTCGGCTGCCACTCGAGATGGCATCCGTTCCGCTTGGAAAGATCTCATATGTCAAACAGCATCAGACGATACCGTGGTCATCTACTATTCAGGCCATGGAGGTGAAGCCCTATCATCGACAAAGGGAGAGCCGCAAGCTTCTAGCCAGCCGTGGAGGCTGCAGTTCATTGTTCCTATAGACTATCAGGATGGGGGTAAAGAGTTTCGCGGAATTTCGGAAGTGGAACTATCTCAGTGGCTGCTGGACACCACTGATAAAACTCACAATGTGACAGTAATCCTGGATTGTTGCCATTCTGGTCGTATGGTACGCGATCCTCGTTGTGGGAAGAAGGCAATTCGAAAGAATCTCCCGACAAATCGGCACCATGATATCGCGCAACATATCAAGTCACTTCGACAGCAGGGATTCCTTCGTGACCGCAATACGCCAGAAGGAAATCCTCACGCAGTGCGAATTGCTGCTGCTGCACCATGGGAGAGTGCATATGAATACGAAAATGATTATGGGGAGCGAGTTGGTGCGTTGACAGAAGCTCTTGTTCGCGTGATCGAAGAGACGAAGGATGACCATATCTCCTGGAAAACCGTCATGTTTCGTGTGCAGGAATTGGTCAATATTTCTTTTGCACAGCAACACCCACGAGTAGAAGGACCACAAACCCGCTTTTTATTCGCTTTGGATCACCGAGAATCGGGCGCCATTCTTATCACTGAAGAGCGTGACAAGACAGCCAAGATTAAATGCGGACGAGTTGCAGGAGTTCGAGAGAAAAATATTTACGCCATAATGCCACCCGGATCCGAGAAGGTTGATGAGAAGTTCCAGATCGCTACTGCTACGGTCGTCTGCGTCAGTGGATTTGATGCTGCTGTAACGCTCACCTGGAAAAATGGAGCCCACCAGTTACCTCGTGAAGGGGCACTGGCTTTTCTCATCGAAGAAGCTCTCTACAAATGGCCAGCCGTCGTTCCGGAAGGAGCCCCAGTACTTCGGAAACAGGTTGAACTATCTAAGTTTATTCGGTGTTGCGATGACGACGAGGTAACCTCGCTTGTTGAATTTCGGCAGGAAGAAGGAAAACTTACCGCAATCAATAAGGTGGGAATACAGTTTTTCTCGCAGCGGTTTTATGGCAAACAACCTCCACTCTCTGCTTATAGGGCTGCTGTACATGCCGCAGATCAAGTAGCTCGAGCGCAGCATTTTCTTGTTCAGTCCTGTGACACTAATGAAGAACAACTGCCGCACATCACCGAGGAGCAGTCACATCTTATCGCTGAAGACAAGTTGCAGCATGATCTTGAGATAAAACTCGGGCTGGTGCAAGATTCCTGTTTTGGAAGAATCATTGACGCCGCCGGTGATGATGCAATTACGGAAAATTCCAGTATATTCATCTATCTGCGCAACACCGATGAGCGGTCCAGAGTCTTTGTATCCATTTTTGAGGTGGAAGTGAATGGTCAAATCAACGCCTTAAATGGCGATGTGGGAGGTATCGACTTGCCTCCAGGACGAGATTATACGATCGGTAGTTCTGGGGGCAGACTTGAGGGACTTAAGGTCAAATGGCCGAACAACATCCCCAGAGCGCAGGCGGTGGTAGACACTTTGGTCCTTGTGCTTTCAAGTGCCCCAGTTGATTTGCGGTTTCTAATAAGCACGGAATTTGTTTCGCGGGGGACCACTTCAAATCAGTCGTCTTTAGGTGGTCGCCTCTTCCGACTTGGGCAGGGGGCAAGCCGCCTTATCGAGACAGAGAGGCCAACAGAAAAGATTCGCTATGATATGATCCAGTTGCCGTTTCTGTTGAAGCCGCTTAGCCCATAGATTCAATTCACTCATGAAAGTAACTTGCGGTATTTGATCCAATGAATTGACCATTTCGTAGAGAATAATCCTACCCTATGGCCTTGTCAGCTGGATATGAAGCCCGAGCCTATACAGGTTGGGTCTAGTTGTGAGTTGGCCAGGTCACACCGAGTTACCCCTTATGATGCAAGAAAATCGTTCTTTTACAAAAGTACAGTACGATTTTCAGTTTCTGCGATACCATCCGCGCGTGTGCTTTCGGAAGGTGGGAAAGGCGAAGTTTTCTGCAAGCCCTTGGCGTCTAATTCGCATCCCATGCCACATACAGACAGTATCAGAACTTCCGGTCCCGCTGCTTCATTATTCAAGAGTTGACAGGCGCCGAACCTTGTGAGACCAAAATAAGATGTACTTAAATTGCTTAAGGGCCAAAATGGAGAATAAGTTTGATCAAGAATTCAAACTGGGGGCTTACTGTGTCTCCGCCAATGGGATTATGGGACTAATGACAGTGGCTTCTGTGATAGTCGGATATGTTTTTGGTTGCACAAACGCAAGCAACACGGTTGCCTTCCCCGCACTGGTATCAAGACATTCAGGTACTGATACGCGATTTCTGGGGCTCTCTGATTGGCTGGAACCTTCTCCAGCTGAACTTGGCTTGGCTCTAGTGGGTACTACGGGGTGTTTTTGAGGTCCTTGCCGGCCTTGCCGGCCATACCGGACTATTTTAGTTATAGTTGTAGTTGGCAGTTGCTAACCGTTGGTCCCGATCTTGAACTTAAAAGGCAAGCGAAGATCTGTGGCGATGGATGGATACCGTCCCCGAGGTACGATCTGCGGGTACCGAATGTACAGTTCCAAAAGTCCGACCAGGGGAACTGAGTGATCGAGCCGTGACGTCAGATTGTATCAAGCCGGGCTCGGACCTTGTCGGTGCCTTGTAAGAGGGCTAAAATCAGGAAATGCGGCAATTCCATTAAGTTCACACTATGTATTTCCGCAGCCTTATTGTTAAAATGACTTGCCCGCAGGTGGCAGATAGTATAAGAATGCAGTGGTAATCTCCCCGTAGATGCGAGTCTTTTCAAAGCTATACTGCAAACCCTCGAGGATATAGCCTGAAAGTTGCTCTTAGCCTCCTGGTCTTAAGTTATACAATGACAGCCGTTCGCTTTCATGGTCGCGGAGATATCCGCGTGGAGGATGTTGAAACACCACGACGTGGGAAAGGCGAAGTGAAAGTATAGCCAGGTCAATTTCAAACGCTGCTATTAAGAATAAATCTGACTCCCGGGATTCGCAGATGAAGCCCTCATATGTGGGAATTTGTGGTAGCGGTAAGTGTCAATGAACCTCCATTAGAATACCAATATGTGACAATGGTCGCAGACCTCCACGAATATATCTCTGGCCCTGTTTTGATTCCTAAAGAAAAACATCCAATTACCGGAGAAAAGTCGCCAGTCACAATGGGCCATGAATTCAGTGGCATAATCGAAGAGGTTGGCGAGGATGTCGAAGGCTTCTCCGTTGGTCAACGAGCTGTTGTTCGACCAACAATATACGACGGGAGCTGCTCAGCCTGTCAGCAGGGATGCGAGCATTGCTGCAAAAATATTGGCTTTATTGGGTTGAGTGGTATGCTCTGAATAGCGCTTCTTCGCTGAAAGCTGGCTAACATACACAGGCTACGGCGGTGGTATGGCTAACCACATCGTCGCCCCCGCTGAACACTTCTATCATCTTCCTGAGAGCATATCTCTGAAGGTAGCAGCTCTCATCGAGCCGTTGGCAGTTGCATGGCATGCTGTCACCATATCACCTTTCAAATGTGGTGACAACGTCCTTATCTTAGGCGGGGGCCCGATAGGCATCGGGATGATTCAAGTGCTTAAGCTGCAAGGTGCAAAGACAATCTTTGTTGTCGAACTCATGGATAATAGAAAGGAGCTTGCCAAAGTTTATGGTGCCACAAATGTTTTGGATCCCCGTGAAGAGGACATCCCCAAAGCGGTGCACAAGTTGACCGACAACCAGGGCGTGGACGTCATATTTGATACCGCTGGCGTTGAAGGTGCACTGAATGGAGTCATTCCTGCATGCCGAGTTCATGGAACGATTGTGAATATTGCGGTCTGGGAGGAGGCGCCTGCTGTCAAAGTGAATGATCTCACTTACAAAGAGGTCAATTATTTGGGTGCTGCATTATATGACGAGACATCATTCAAGGATGTGATTAAGGCACTGGAACACGGTAAGTATCTGCAAATATGACGTGCGGCAGAAAGCTCATATTCCCTCAGGTCAATTGAAGCCACAAAAGATGATCACGGCGGAGATAAAGCTTAGTGACGCAGTGGACAAAGGCTTCCAACAACTACTCGACCATCGCGACCAGCACTGTAAGATCCTTATCGATGCGCAAGCATCATAGAGCAATCAGATTCTGGTTCTGAACATAATGGTCGACTTTCAATCCGCTCGGTTCAGGCACAATCTGGTTACGTAAGTTAGATTCTGGACTTTCAAGGGCTTGATAGTTTAATCATTGAAGGCACTGTTACCGGATCCTACCTTTTAACACAACTCGCAAAGACGCAGACATAGATTTCTAAATTTGTAGAGTTTCACAGCAGATCTATTGGGAAAGGGATCTAATACAGCTGACGGCAGCTGAATCTGATGTTGGCGCATAGGAAGTAGAAGGGAAAAGCGAGTGAGAGAAATTGTAGTGTACTGAGCAGACTGCAGAATCTCTACTAAGCAATAAGTAGGCTAGGAGAAGAGAAGGAAAGCTTACAGCACATATCCAAGAATACATCACAGGCCATCAGGCCTAGATCATCTAAAGAGGAAGGCGCGCATCTTCTATTGATAGCGTAGCGGCGAATTTCTTTGTGGTTTTGATATTTATCCCGACATCTAATTAGGTTGCAACTGCCAGGTGCGTGATCAGATGACCAGCGCACTCTCTGTAGTTAAATTGGTAGATTTTGATCCATAGTTATCATATCCCTTGCATTTCGTCTGATGTGCCACAGGCAGTTTTCTATGCCAGCGCGGTCTTTTGTTGCCAACATGGACCGAGAGATGATTTGAAACACGATAGCTTCTACCTCCAAGGGCTATCATGGATGTAAGCGATAAAATTCACAGCCTATCACGAGCTTGATATAGGATTCTTGTACCCAGCTTATGGCGTTCTAATTGGCCGACTGCTTCTACCGACACAAGCCAATCTTTCATCTCTGATCTGTGAAAAGAAAGACCTAAACTGGGCGACTGACAAGACAAATATAAAGAAGTGCATCTGGAAGAGCTTCGGAATAAATACCAACAGACGGACTGTGAATCGACTTCAATATTCAAGCTAGTGGACCCGAAGCTCAATCCTAAAGGCCGTCAACCACCAGATCATCAAGATTTCCAACATCAAGCTTATCATTCTGTGTAGGACAACGGACAGAAATGTCAGTGACATCTCTTTCTCCAGGAAGATCAGACAGGGAAGGATACTCAGTAATAGAGCAACCCAATATTATGAAGGACGCATCAACGGGACCAGCCTTGATTGTAATAGGAGGCTTCTAGTATGCACAAAAAATTGTTCAAATGCATAAAACGAGGAGATGCCGACTTTCCCTGGATGGTTTCACATATTCACCAGGACCTATTTATCCACTGTATGAGTGGCCCACGGGAACGGGGGTGGAGCGGCCGGTTGCATTGCATGATAGCCTTGCGGAGCCCTACTACGAAATCATGTGTCACCACGCGTCGTCGCGAAGCTTCCCTTTACACGATTTATTATTCTTACTCTGAAGTTTTTGGGGCTGAATATGCTTAAAATGACTACTGCGATTGAAACTAGACCCGCTGGATTCAACAGATAGTCAGGTCAACTTGGGATTTGTGAACGCTCTGGATCCTTATTTTGAGATCGGGCCACGACTTGTGGGCCCGTCCTCCGTCGCCTGTCATGGATGGATTATCCCGTGCGTGATGCGGGGTTCTTCCCGCCTGAAAGTAGCACAAACTTAGTGCAGCCGTTGGAGGCCTTACATCGGAAGTCTCATGCGTCATGAGCATGGCCGGTTTGACAAACGGCAGAAAGGCAGGGAGGGTTTACCCGGTCGGATGGTTTAAAAGGATAGCTTGCACTCGTGTGTCCGAGGAAGATTTGTCTAAGCAAGAAGGCCTTTTCATTTTCTGAGATCATGGCCGTCAATCAAAGCTTCTCACCTACAGAGGGTGCACCCCCGCGCCTGGCTCTGGCTATGCTTGGGGTGGGCCTAGCGATGGTCAGTACCTTTAATATGCCTTCTCAAGTGTGTTGCACCAGAAGCTAGACTAACAGGCCGTCTACTTTGATATAGATATTCATATATCCGATCAGTATCTTCATATACAATGTCTACTTCCACCCCTTGGCCAAATACCCGGGTCCGAAGCTCATGGTAGCCACACGTATACCTTATATGCAAATGATCATTAGTGGCAGGTTTGCCCAAAAGACTAAGGCTCTGCACCACAAGTACGGCAAGGTGGTCCGGATCGCTCCCAATGAACTGTCTTTTATCGAAGCCGACGCCTGGAAAGTCATCTACGGTACTCGTGTTGGCCATGGGCAAAAGCAGAAAGACCCTCGATTCTACCCTCCTACCCCCGGTGGAGCCCCCAGCATCATACTTTCCGACGACGCTGATCATTCGCGATTCCGTCGTCTACTATCTCACGCATTCTCGGATAGCTCGCTGCGGGGCCAAGAGCCCATTATCAAGAGTTATGTTGACCTCTTGATGCAGCGCTTGAATGAGAACATCGCTAGTGGAACTGATGTGCTTGATCTGGTGTCGTGGTACAACTTCACTACATTCGACATCATTGGTGATTTGGCGTTTGGAGAACCCTTCGACTGTCTGAAGAACTCCAATTACCATCAATGGGTGCACATTCTATTTGGCCACATGAGGATGAGTGCTTACGCAAATGTAGCTCGCCGTCTGCCAGGATCAGGACGCTTACTCAGGCTCATCACCCCAAAACATGTCACCTCCCAGAGGGACTGGCACTTTGACTTGACGAAAGCAAAGGTTCAGGCTCGACTCAGCAAGTCTAATGAGAGGCCAGATTTCTTTGGAAACATCTTGAAACAAAATGACACTGGGAAAGGCTTCAGCATTCCTGAAATGATTTCTAACAGTAGTACGCTCATCATTGCGGGTTCCGAAACTACTGCCACACTGCTCTCTGGAGTCACTTACCTCCTATTAAGAAACCCGCGTATACTTGCAAAGCTCCAGGAGGAAATCAGATCAACATTTGCCAGGGAGGAAGAAATCAATCTGGACTCGTGCAATAAGCTGGACTACTGCCTTGCGACTCTTACCGAGGCTCTTCGATTGTATCCTCCTGTTCCCCCCGGGCTGCCCCGTATCGTCGATGTGCAGGGTGATCTAATCGCGGGGAATTGGATCCCAGGAGGTGTAAGTACTAATAAGCCCCCAGGTGCATATGTGAAGCGTCAATTAATAGCTTATGTTTCATGAAGACAATCGTCTCCGTTTGCCACCTGGCTGCTAGCCACTCTCCAATCAATTTCACCGACGCAGATCAATTCATTCCAGAGCGTCATCTCGATGATCCTCGCTTTAAGAATGATAACAGGGGTGCAATGCAGCCATTTAGCTTTGGTCCCAGGAACTGCATTGGTCGAAAGTATGTTCTCTTGCTTAGGTATTACGCCGACGACATCTTGCTAATCTGCCTCCATGTTTAGTTTGGCGTATGTTGAGATGCGCATTATACTTGCACGCATGATTTTCAACTTTGATATGGAGTTAGCAGAGCCTGAGAAGGACTGGCTGGATCAAGATTCCTTTTTTCTTTGGGACAAATCGGCCTTGAATGTAAAGTTAACCCCAAGGAAGAAGGAATCGTGACTGGGAGAAGCATCGAGGACTTTATGTTGGGAAGGAACAGGGGATAAATTTTTGTCTAATTAGTATTACGAACTGATGAAGAAGATTGGATACCAGATTTCCTTGCCCCAGAAATGAGAAGAACATGAAAAGGATCATTTCCCCGAATGGGTGTACACAAGGGTTAGTCACGTGTACTACCCTTATCATAATTAGTCCCAAAACGGCTAGCGGTGATCGGGCGTCGCAGCTCTCCGCGAGCTTCGTCACATCGCCGCTCGTGGTGCTTTTAGTTGTCAGCAATCTCTTCAATCTCTTCAGTACTTGATACCTGACCACGCCGGATCTGTATCTTGGTCTTTTCTTCCTCATACCCGGGGAGACCCTCGATACCCTCCTCTTCAGAACCCCTCCGCCCGCGCGCCTCCCGGGTGTTTCTGAACCGACAGCCCAGTCGCAGATCCATAGTCATGGCGACCCAAGCAGCGCTGATTGCCGATACAATAGTCGGCATGAAGCGGGCACTGCGCAGAGAGCGTGATGGTAAGTGGGCGTCTTCTATGATCGCAGTGCATATGGTGTCTCTAACGTGTTGTCCTCTGGCAGATTCGGGCCCAGACGACGCCATCATCCAGCCGACGAATCGTGGGAATAAGATGAGGGCAAATGCGAAGTATGTTCGTGAAGGTGCATTGGGATACATCAATGCAGAGTATTTCTACAAGGAGGTGCGTGGTGCTTACCCCAAGACAGGGCCGGCGGGTCCTGTGTCGGCCGAGGCAATTTGGAAGACATGAACACTGACGCCTAGGGCCTTGCATGCACATAGGAGATTGACCACGCCGGGTACACGCGTCATATCTTGCAGCGGAACCCAATTCGCTATGATTCAGAGGGCGACGAACTCGACGAAGAGGATGAAGATTCTGAGGCCGACGCGGCGGCTGCTGAAGAGAATCCGTTTTCGGGGATCGCGTTAGAAAGTAGGTTATGCCCTTCATACCCGCAAATAATTGCGATGTACTCACGTTCTCGATTTGTGCAGCGCTGCTTTGTCCTCTCAAACACCCCTCTGAACTTCCCAACCATCCTTCGTTGTCTCAACCCTACACCTCACAGGCCCTCGAGCAGATGACAATAGCCGTGGAGGACAAACTGCGCCAGGAAAAAGCTCTTCTCTGGCGGGCCAGGAATCTGCACCGACAATTCCTCGGCGACGGCGGCTGGATGCCCTGTGGTATTATGGAATCCCTCGACGACCGTTACATCTTTGAGCCTCGGATTGCGGGTGACAAGACAAACGCGTCTGCTGGACAGCAGAGACAACCCGGGCCCCGGTTTGCCAGTGATGATCTCAATGCGCCTCAAGAAATACCGTCCGCGACGATCTCACTGAAAGACGGCCAACCAGCACCGAATGCGACGGAGAGCGATTTCCAGACTGGAGGGGGTGATGTGCATATGGCCGAGGTGCCAGTGGCCTCTGGGGAGACCACGGCCAGCCACGATGCCCAGGAAACGATCAAGGAGTTCAAATCAGAAGAGACCGATGCTACGGTCAAGGACCTTCCCCAGCACCCTGCAGAAGTCTCAGCTTCAGGGAGCGAGAGCAATATCGCGCCTGTACAGAATGGGCCGACTGAAAAGCAGGAGATGGACACTTCGAAAGACGGCGAAAATACCGATCACAATATCACACACCCTGATCAGCACGAGACCAACGAAGACGACAACGATCAAGACGCCGAGATGCGCGATGGCTCCTCGCCTGAACCCCCCGCCGAATGACCACTCGTGCTCAAGCCAACGCGAACAACCCTCCTGATGAAAATCAGTCTCCTTCTCTATCCGCCGATACCACCAGCTCCCTTCCCACCCCTCACCCACTCTTCCTCATTCCAAATAATATTCGCCCGAACGCGAACTTCGGCCTTCCGCCCACCGAGGCAGAGGAGACCCGCCGGCTCCTCTGGTCATATATTCAGAAGCAAGAGGAGACCGTGCGTGGCTTTGAGCATATGCTTGACTCCTTGTTCCGGGCCTGCCATATGAAGGCCGACGTGCTGGAGTGGTGCAAAGCCGAGGGTCACGTTGGCGAGCTGAGTGACGGCGAGGACTGGTACGATCGGGAGAGATGGGGTCTCGGCGAGGGCGAGGATCTCAAGAAGGGTACTGATGAAGACGAAGTCGAGACCGTCGACGAGAGTCGAACGACGGCGAAGAGGGGCCGAGGCCGACGGCAGTGATGGATCGGTTCACGCTTGTCGAGTTCTTGCCGCGGCAGATCTGGGCCTGTCGGTGTATTCTGTCTCTATACTTCCGTCTTGCTTTTCCCCCCTTCTCTCTACTGTTACTTCCTTCGAAGTCCCTCATAGCGTGGTGTTGGTTGTGTTCGGTCAAATGCGTGGGTGCGCATCTCCTCCATATACTTTTGCCCTCGGCGGATTGCCCTGGACCATGCAGTATCAAATATACCCTTTGGAGAATGGAAATAGTCATTTCACTTGTTCTAGCGCTTACAATATGTGGATATTTTTATAAATGCATATTTTATCTTCCTATCCCTGTTTGGCTTCGGCAATTGTGGAGTTGCTTTGCTTAGACTTAGTTGGACCGTCGAAGTCTAGCTCGCCCATTAATACCATATGCGCCCAGGACGCTCACCGTCACCTATCGAGGGTTTCCTCTGGCATTCTGGAACCTTGGCCCACTGGAGATGGTTGCCAGGTGCGAGCGACAAGAGAACAGAGATATACAACAAACACTACCTGGGCAGGTGTCAGCCCGTGTGCGCTGGCTTTAATCAACGGCCAGGTGCTCGGGATCTATAGCGATGGCACCCCCTTCAGATAAAGCCCAATGTGCATCAAAGGATCCCAATTTGGCCTCTCCACTCAAGTATACCACTTTTGAAAACTTAATTTCAGTCTTGACGTAGCTGCCGCCTGGTGTAGTATATGCGAAAAGTGCCTTTGCCACTGGCACGCCGAGTTTTTTCTGGGCTGTGGAGTTTGACTTCGATGCTGATTTCGCTGTAGGCAACAATCTAGTTACTGAATCTTGGTCCACGGCATCCAGATACAAGATAAACATCGATAAGACCAATGATCGTGATCTCGCTTAGTTTCCAGTGGAGGAAGCTTGCCTGCGCGTCGTCAGTACTTCCTTTTCGTGCCGCTTGCTCATATCGGCTATGGTTGGTCTCTTCACTACCGGACTGTGGGTACTGCCAGTAGTACTATTTCTTTCTGGGCGACACTGGTAGTCAGGAGAATATAGCTGTGCCTCTTGTTCTTCAATTCTTCATGGCCTTGATATGTAGGTCGCCTTTACCTCTATGAACCCCCATCCCGTCCACCTTCATGCTGGACTCCCCTCCCCAGCCCAAGCAGCAAAGAACTTTGTTCGATGGGAGTTGCCTGCAGGTACGTATGGTTGCTCTGCTCGATGTGCTGCTCAAGAACTTTGTACGGGATGTCGTTTCGCCTTCTTTTTTTATATTTCTATTCTTAATTTTGCCGTAGCCCTCTTCTCCATACCGTTGCTCTTTCTTCAGCGATAATTGGGTATTTCTGGCGACAGGAAAGCTCCGTTTACCAACAAATGATTTAACAGAAAAAGCAGGAATGGAAGAAAGTCAAGGAGACAACAAGATATGGTCTCGTAGAGGGCGAGGATGTTAAGAATATGTACCGCTATGAAGACCCTGACAACCATGCCATTATGGCCGGCCAATTAATCGGCTTCACCTGCGATTCGACTTTAGACTCGGAAAACTTTGATAATCATGATGTATTCGGGCCTGCTGACAACTTTCACTAATTCGAGAAGGGCCAAAGTGATTTTCCTTGGATCCTCTATCAATTGAAAGAAAATCAACAAATTATATGAATATCCAATACAGTGTCCAGAGTCCCTTCCCACCGCTTCATGTGCAGCGGTTCTTAGTGGTGATTCGAGCGTTTGCAAAGAAAGAAGAAAATTCCTCCAGAAGACTGTGATAATCTTTTGCGCCTGTCGATTTCTTTCTCTTCCATTTACTTCTTCCTTTCGGGGGTTCACTGCATACGCCGCCCCGTATCATTCTGGATCATCGGGTAAGTTATAGTCTATGTCTTATATAACCCAGCTCGATCAAGGTCCATCTTACTAAGAAGTTCGGCTTCTAACCTACCACGAATTCGATACATCAGAAAGTCGACTAGTTCTGGTAATTGAGTAACTTTCACCTGACCTTGTCCGCGATAACTTTCAACCTCCTTTGAGATATAACGTGAAGAACCAAGAATATTCCTATCGCAGTACTAGATTGTCTACTTATCACTGAGATATTGTACAAAAATGCCCACCCCGAGCCACGTCAGAAGATCAAGAGAATGCTTAGTCGTCGCCATATTATCTCCGTGACAGGCTAGCCATACGAGGCTATTACCAGAGCAAACCCTTCAGTCTATGCTCTGTCCAGTGTTCTGCATCAGGTAGACATAAATGTGTCGCTGTCCGCCAAGCTGGCGCAGTTCCTCCCGCTCCATCTTAGACACAGGATCCATATTGAACGGGGTTCTATCCATAAAAACCGTAATACTGCGTAGATGCGGGTACTGGTGTACATCGTACAGCAGGAAATTTGCAAGAACATGTATCGCCTCATTGGGCTTGCGGTGGGGGATAGCTGTCTCCAGGTAGCAGTCTCGCAGGACGAGTTCTTTGATTCCCGCTGGCAGAGCCCCAGAGAGCTTTCGCTGATTCGCGCCCCATCCTAGCAGCATGGTAGTCGGGAGGCGGAGGGTGCGCAATTTCTCGAATGATTTGAAGAGCCCGTGCGGAAGCTTGAGACCTTCCTGGCTGCCTGCGCAAGCTGGGGCTGTTTGGCTTGTTATTGCGGCGTAATGGGGGCCTAAGATGAACTTTGTTAGAGTGCCAGAGACACTTCTGAGGCCTGGTTCCATTGCTGCCACGCACTGCAGTTGCCCAAGACAGGTCACGTATTGCAGGCCGAGGCGGAGGTATTCTAGGGACTTCATCTGAGGAAGAAGACGGTTGATGTCCTGGACGCTAATGATGGATTGATTAAGCGACCATTGGCGGAGACGTGCGAGGTTGGAAGGCTGAGCATTCATTGCCGATGCAATGTCCTGCGCGAGACTTGGACTTTGAGCCCACATCGCGAAATACCGGAGCGCAGGCAGAAAGAACCAGCCGACGTACTGCGACCGGTCACATCCTTCGAGGCCCCCAAAGAGAGGGACATTTACTCCTCTGGCATTCTTCTGACGAAGTCGGGAGCAGTTGTTGCCATAATCTACGTATGTGAGACGCGAGAAATCCGACAGGACCCCCGGGGGTGAGCCCAGCATGGCATGGGTGATCATCAGGCCCGGCCAACCATGGTCCCACACGAAGGAGCAATCCAGCTTAAGGGTCCGCAGGCACGACATCTGGGAGATGAGGATGGCCGCGTAGGCGTGCGGATTCCCTTCTTTCACAGCCCCCTTCCATTCTCTCTGATGAGGAAAGTTGGCCAGGCGAACAATACTCAACAAGAAGTTTCTCACAGTGGGATAGTCGCGTAATATTTTCTGGCACTTTGTAGATTCGATATGTGCCCTTTGGTTGTAGACTGGCTCCTGGGGCCTGGTGTAGGAGACGAAGGAAACATTCTGGACGAGTGCTGCAATTTCGGGTCGCTCGTGGACGGTGCGGAGCAGCTTGACAATTGATAGAAAGGGAGGCTCACTGGATGAACTCCCACACCATTCCCAGTCAATTGACCGGTAGAGGATAGGTTCCGCAGATGCATGTAGCTCCTTGCACTGTCGACTGACAGTTGACACATCGCGCTGGGGAAGGAACTCGAGAACTTTGAGCCAACATTCGAGGGGAAGTCGGCTCAGGATAGAGATATTGGTGCGGAGGGGAGGTCCTGGTTCCGGCCGATGTGACCGTTGCTTTCGCTTCAATAATGTGCTCAGCTTCATAGGCGAGTTTTGGCTTGCAGGAGAGATAAGCTGATTTGGAAGGGAAACTTCACCCAGTGGTGTGAGCTTCTTGCGGCAAGGCCTCGTTAACATCTTGCAGTTGACGTAGCTGCGTGGGCAGTATTCAGCGTGTGGGAATGATAGAAACGAGAAGAGTAGAAGTGACTCCCACCACTTTGGAGAAGGGGGAAAAGTTTGTTTGCTCAGCAAGATTGAGGAGCGAGGGTAGAGAGGGAGGGGGTGTTGACGTGTCGTGGTCGCTGGAGTCGATATCAACACATGGTCTGTGAGATGAGGCGAGGTTGTAGATATCAACGGAGGAAAGATTCACGACGCCACAAAGTGAAGAGATAGAATTATCCGTCCGCGGCAATGAATCTGCACTTAAATATTCAACTTAAACCATTGAAATCGTCAGTCGAGACCATCTTCAGATATAGTTAGAGAGTATAAGTGCTGCGATCACATATATTGAATCTATCTAACCGGCTAATTGGAATGAAAGCAGTAAAACAAATGAGAACATATCACACAAATCGAAGAAATGAGCCTTGAGCCAGAGCTGCTGCCATATAGTGCCGTAAATACTACCGCGTATGAGCGCACATCTAGAGGCCACCAGCACTGCAGATCTTCTCGGCCTCGGCAACACGCTCAGCATAGCGCGTCGGATAGGCCGAGCCCTGTACCTTCTGGCAAAGCGTGCCAACGCTCATAGTCTTCCAACCGCTGATATTCTTCATCTTCGCGAAGAACTGGGCAGCAGACTTGGCAGCGTCCATATCAGCTGCAATGTTGGGGTAGAACATCGCGCGCTGCTGGAAGATACCCACGCTGTCGTGGTCAGAGCCGACCTTGTCATGGGGGTACTTCAGCGATTCGGGGACGTCGTTGTTGGCGTAGATTAGAATGCTCGACTAGCGGGATGTTAGTACTTCTATTGCTTGCTAGAAGAGCAGCCGTTAACCGCGAAAGAAGTGCATACCTCAACAAGTGCTGTTGCAATACCGGCAGTGCATCCATGACGGCCCAGATCCTCACGCTTTGCCTCGCCAATAATAGCATGGGCGTGCTTGGACTGAGTTGAGCTCAGTCCGGGCAGGTCTCCGCTGCTACCACCACCAGAGCTGCCGCCATCGCACTTCTTGGTGACGTAGCTGCTGCTGCCGGTCTTGACATAATAGTCGGTCACGTAGCAGCCATCCGAGGTTTTGTCCCAGAGCTCGTCACCCTTGATGCTGGTGCCGGTTGCCTGGCAGGTGATGGAAACGTCTTCGCCGCGCTTGTAGGACTTGACGACGCCGTAGCTAGTGCCGGGCCCGGAGCGGCAGTTGACCACGTCTCCGCTGATGGGATAGGCGCTGGCCAAAGGCAGAGCTACGGCAGCGGACAGGGCAAGGAGTGTGAAGTGCATGGTGAAGATGGTTGAAGTTGAATATTTTGGTCCGAAGATGAAAAAGATGATGAAGAATGCTGTGAAGAATGTTGTGTTGTGCTTGACTTGAATCAAAGAGAAACGGAAGCTGTGATAGTGCTGGTAATAATTGAATGCACCAAGAGGATTCGACGGTGAATTTATAGTTGTTCTCGTTCATAGATGCTGAAGCTGATCACACACTCTGTTGATCCTCAGAACGCACTCGGACTAACTCGATCAGGCTTCATTCCGCTCGATGTGGCTCACTTACAAGCATCAGACTGCCGATAAACTCGGAGGCTCGTATAGGGCAGACGTAGATTGAAGACGCAAAGTTATTTTTGCATCGTATCCGGAATTTAGCTCCACGTTCGTGTTTGATCTTGAAGTAGACACGGCAAGGGGGACGATTTTGGCCCCAAGGTGGGATTGTCAAAGCGTCCTCTCGTATGCACGATGGGTATTATGGGGGGCGTGCTGAAGCCGTCGATCTGCCGAAGCATAGGAAGTTTTTGGAAGCCTTGAATTGAAAAGACGAACTCGAGCAAAGATGTCTGGAGGTAAGGTTGACATTCCGCGATGGGGGCTCACGAAACATGCCATAGTTTGATCCCGGCGTTCGTATCCATGGGTGGCTTCCGTCACATACTCAAGGTACCACGCCCTCAGGCACAAGCAGCGCTGTCAGAATTGGGATCCTCCCAGCAACCGCCAATATCACCAAAACCAAGCGGTCCCTGAACGTGCCCCCAAATCCTCGTGTTCCTGCGTGAAGTGGCGGCATGGATGGCTCCCTAAAAATAGAGCAGGCCGCCGATCCCCCGTATTCGGTGGGCAGCACCCCCCCGCCCTTCCAATAGGGCCTGAAGAGGGCGTATAGCTTGTCCCACACCCTAATTTCCGATCAACGCTAGACGAGTGGCCTCGGCGTCTCCATACCAGATCATCCATATAGGAAACCATCATGACTGATGTGGTCGTGGCATGCCAAGTCTAAGTAGGCGCCTCATGAACAATTCTTAGTTACTCACTACTAGCCTTGAGGTAACTGGACCGAGAAGAATGGATTGATGTCACCCTGCTAGTCTAATGGGGTTCGCTTGTAATCGATTGCCCCGTTAAATAGTGTATAGCACTGGATACGAGATACACGAAGAAGGCCTCAAGCAAGGAGCTGCCCACCATGGGACGGACAGTACTCCATATTCAGGCTGTCCCCAGAAAAGAAGAACATAGGCGGAAGTGTAACCGGGAGCAAGGCGGATGATTTACAGTCAAGGGGGCACCAACAGTTTTTTACACTGGCATCGTTGTCGCATTGGGTATATCGAAAACTCTTTTGTAGTCGCGTAAGGGAAACAAACAAATAGGCTGTGAGCCGCCGGTCTCGCAGTGCTTTGGCCGAGCGCTCGCTCTCCCTCGCTCGGCCGCCTGTGTGAGATCTATCGTCTACTCTTCCCGCATCGTTGAAGATTCGGAGTGCCTCCGTGCATTGGGCAAATTTGCCAACTTCCAGCCCGGCCAAGATGTATCCGGGCTCTTGACTGCCGTGGTCAGTGGAGACTCTTCCCGTGTCTTTTCAGCTCGGTTGGGTCCCAAACTTGTCAAGCGGATTGAAGGTGTTGAATGCCCTGGAGATCTCGCTATCGCGTTGATTCATTTAATGCTTCTTGCCACCAGACTTCTTGGCGCGCTCGCGCTCGCGCTTGGCGTAGATCTCGGCAGTGAAGGGGCTGGATATATCGTGGTTAGCTGGATCGAGAGTGGCTGTATACAGGGGTGATAACATACTCCTCCCACTTCAAGGCAAACCAGTACAGTACAAACACCATAGCCGAGAGAAGGATGCCGGCCACCTTTCCCTTGTATAGAGCGACGCCAAGGAAGTTCAAGGTGCTTCCCCAGTACATCGGCGAGCCGGTCACGTTGAACGGGAAACCGGTGACAGGGGAATCCATGAGAATACCGAAGTAGTCGCCCAGATAGGTGCCAGTCACACCAAGTGCCCACATGCTGGAAAGCACCAGGACCGAGCCCACAGCAAACAGGACACCGCCGATGAGGGGCTGGTGCACCGGTGCGTAAAAGGGCTGCTCATCAAGGGCAACCTGGTACAGATGGTCACGCAGAATACCAAGTGAGAAGATAGTGAAGGCGAGGAAGTAGCATCCCTTGTAGGGGCCACCGAAGATGCGCGTCAGGATGTGGTTATTGTACTCTGTGATGGCCCGTTGTTAGCCGAGTCACAAAGCACCATTTGATGTCCTCGAGGCAAAGGGATCGACTAACCTGCGCGGGCAGCGATGCTATTCACACGTCATCAGTCAGCTATTTTATCCTAACATTGATTTTTTCCACAGACAGCCAACTCACTTCCAGAAAATCGGGTTGAACGCGATCGACGCCGCGGACACTAGCTGGGGTCAGCTCCAATCACATGCCAAAAGCGGACATGAACCAGACTTGAAGAAAGGTAGAGCTCAACTTACACGCCAGGGAGGTGGGGGAGAAATCGACAAAATCAGTCAGGCTGGCCATGGCGCAAATTCCGTCGGTGCGAGGTAGAACGAGGAAGAGAGGAGAGAGGGAGGTGGTGCTGAGAGAGAAATGGGGTCAAGCGACGCAGCTTAAGTAAACAAATGACGTTCGTCCGCGCAGTCACGGGATCTGTATGCGGGTTGTCGCAAGTCGGGCCCCGACTCGACGATCTTGTCCACGTCGGCTTACAGCCGCTCGGCATCTGTTGTTCTTCTCGAATACTTCGTCGCTGTCTTGGTTCTCCATCCCCTAGGCGACTCGCTTTCCCATTCGCCGTTTTATCCGACTATCGCGTTCATCGGCGCCGCCAATTGTCCTGCCGCGAAGCTTCTCGCTTCTGAGCTTCGCCAGGTGATCGACATGCGACGTGGAGTTCTGAAACCTGCCCGCGGACAATGGTCCTTCAACGTCGTGATCTACTGATAGCGGGTGTCGGCGGCTTCATCGCTTGGGGCCTGGTAGTACGCTGGTTGCCGATCCTCCGATATTTCGGATATGCCCTGGCGTTGGGGGCCGCGTTAGTCTCCGCCGGTTTTCTCAAACTGGTTGTTTTGACGACCCGGGACAGAGATGCCAGAAATAATAGCTCAAAGCAGGTCTCGGTCGCGTTTATTACCCCGACGAACTGGCGGAAAGAGGTCTTAAATGCGCGCAAGATCGCTCGATACCGTCCCAGACCGCTATACCCGCAATCCTTTGTCGTCTCGGAGGGGATTGACGAACTCTTGTCGCTGGTGAATCGTCAGTTTGTCTCGTCATGGTATCACAATATCAGTCCGAACCCTACATTCGCAAACGAAGTCGATCGAGTGGTGCGCGTTGCGCTGGAGAATCTACGAGATAGACTGCTGGCAGAAGATTTGCTCTCGCTGATCGTGTCGCGCGTCTTTCCAATTTTGACAGCGCATTTGCGGGAGTTTGATGTCGCGGAGCGCTCAGTGCGTGGGAAGAATCTCAACCGAAATGTGACGGAGTCTGAGGAGCTTGATCTTGCGATAGCCAACAAGTTCCGCGAGGGACGGCTTCACCCCGCGGTGGGGCTTTCAACATCGGATCAAACCGTGGCTCAGCAGGAGTACTTGCGCAAGATTGCAGTGGGATTACTCCCCCAGTTGTTCCCGGAGAGTGTGCTCAACAGCCGAATCGTCTCCGTGTTGATTCGGGAAATCATTGCATGTGCTGTACTGCTCCCAATTGTGAAAGCACTATCAGACCCCGACACATGGAACCAGTTGGTGGAGGCATATGGGCGAACGACTTTGCAGGATCGGAAAACTGTGCGCAAATTGCGGGCAGCTCTAGATGAGCACGCATCTCCTGCGCCAAAGTCTCAACGCGGTCAACCATTCCCAAAGCTTTCACCACTTGATTCTGAACGCGCTTTTGAGCGCTTCATTCGAGCGATTAGGCGCTGCAACAATCTATCCGATGCTCGCCGATTCCGTGCCTTCGTTTCCAGTCAGTTGAAGCGGGAGAGCATGGTCGAGGGACAAGACCAGGTGTATCTTAGGCGCCTGGAAACGGGAAAAAGAATCTTGGATCAAAAGGTTTCCAAACTATCTTTGCCTGGTGAAGTTGCCCCCTTGCCCCCTACTCCAGTGAATACTCGCCATGATGGCGTCTCTGCGCCGCAAGAGACATCGCTCGTGGACGTCTTGCATAAGGCATCCGGACTGTCATATTTCATGGAGTTCATGGACCGCCAAGGCCTCATGTCTCTTGTCCAATATTGGATTGTGGTCGACGGTATCCGAAACCCGCTAGAAGATGATTTTGGAGAGGAGGCATCCTCCACCTCGGTGACGTGGACCACTGCAGACAGAAATGACTTAGCGCTGATCAGCGAAACGTATCTCACCAAGCCTGAGCTCAAGGTTTCTGAAGACTCTCGACGTGCAGTCAAGAATTTCCTGAGTGCCGGCAAGCGTGCAACTCCCGAGCAATACCGTAAAGCCCGAACGGTAGTCCTAACCACACAGTCAGCTGTGTTGGAGGAGCTAGAGAGCACCTACTATCCCAAGTTCAAAGAGTCAGATCTCTACTGGAAGTTCCTTGCATCGGATGAGGCGTCAGGTGCTCAGGCACGGGTTCCTCGCCCGTCTCTTCCAGCGGTGGTTTTTGAGGCCCCTGAAAGACGACCCTTGCCGCCGCTCCTCGTGCGGACTAATTCCCAGCCCGGTACTAAGCCCGCGAAGGATCTGAGACGCGCTGCAGTATCATCCAGCGATGTGCGCAGCATGGGAAAACTCTTTGATGATGATAACTCTCCACGACGATCCATAGACTCTGAGCGATCTGCACCTCTATTTGACGACGACTACGACACCGATCATCTTGCCATGTCTACGGCCAGCCTAGGCAAGGACTCGCAGAATGGCGAGCATGATGCCACACAGAGCCAGGTCCTGGAGACCATGGAAGCAGCTCTGAATGACATTATCACCAACGAGCCGAAGAACGGCAAGGTGGACGATCTGAGGAACAGTGATCTGAGAACCAGTGACGCTGCCTCTTCTTCGTCGCTGTTCGGCCCAGAGGGCTCTGAGATGTCCCCGCGTGCTTTATCCGATGTCCCTCGCGTGGACGGCCGTCCTCAGCTAGACAAGGCTAAGAAGAGCATTGCCTCGTTGGGTCTGGTGGACCACGCTTCGCGGCTGGGTGTTTTTGACGACGATCTGTTCCCGGACCAGCAAAAGTTCATCGAAGATGAGTATGAGGAGCCAGTTGGTACAGATGAAAAGGACCCCGCGGACGAGGTTCATGAAGCTGCACCTGGCGATCTCGGCCTCACAGAAGCCATTGAAGCTCTTTCTACCGATATCGATAAGCTGACCGCGCAAGACTTGGTGGTCGAAGCGCTGACTCGCAAGGCCGAACTAACCAATAATACCGCTGAGCTACGCATCTTGCGCAAGTCTAAGGCTAGCATCCAGCGTGAGATCCATCGCAAGGAAATGCAGCGGCAGCAGTACACTCTACAAGAAAGCGATAATAGCTTGTACGGTCGCTCTACAGTTCGTATCAAGTCTATCGTGGTAGGCAAGGATGAGGATGATGGGCGTGAGTTCGCAATGTGTAAGAGCCCCCGCCAAGCCAAAATTCCGTATCAATCAGCTAATACTTCTCCGTAGATGTGGTTGAAGTCCAGCGCAACGCCGGCGAGCAAATGCCCGCCGCATCTTGGGCTGTTGCGCGCCGGTACAGTGAATTCCACGAGCTGCACCAGAAGCTACGCTTGAGCTATCCGTCAGTGCGACACCTGGAATTCCCGCGCCGCCGTATGGTCATGAAGCTACAGAGAGAGTTCCTCCAAAAGCGACGCCTCGCTCTAGAATCCTACCTGCAGAAACTACTCTTACTCCCCGAAGTCTGCTGCAGCCGCGATCTCCGAGCGTTCCTCTCCCAGCGCGCCATCCTGCCCCGCGAAGATACCAATGCCCGAGGCAGCGAGGGCGAAACCAAGGACCTTGTCACGCGCATCTACAACTCCGTCGCTGACGGCATGGATGACTTCCTCGGCAACTTCGGCGTTCTCGACCAACTCTCCACGGCAGGCCAGAACCTGATATCCGCTGCGACTGCACAAGCGAGCGTCAGCACCGCGCATGACCCTGCCCTCGCCACTGAAGACGCCGTCACCACGGCCGAAGCCGAGGCCGAGCTGAACGCCTTCGAGGACCGCGAGCTCGAGCCCTTCATCAAACCAATCTGCGACCTCTTCCTCGAAGCCTTCGAGTTGAACCGCGGCAACAACTGGTTACGCGGCCGCGCCGTGGTCGTGGTCCTCCACCAACTCCTCGGCGGCACCATCGAGCGCAAAGTCCGCGACAGCGCCCGCTCGCTCTTCCAGGATGACTCACTGCTGCGCTATCTCGCCCTCGCCCGCGATCTCCTCTTCCCCGGTGGCACCTTGCGCACGTTCGTGCCGCGCTCGCCGCCAGAACGTCTCAGGAGTCGCGCCGAGGCTACCGTCGTCCTTGCAACGCTCATCCCGGATGTGGCGGGGAATGTCGTCGGCCGTGCGAATGCGCAGGCTGCGGCGCGCCGCATCTTCGCGACACTGAATAATCGCCCTCTTAATACGCACCTTGCATTCACGGTGCTGGACGAAATCGTCCTGGTGTTGTTCGGTAGTGGTAATCGGGAGCCTGGTCGCTCCCGCTGAAGAGCTGTTTTTCGTATTTTTTCTGATCTCGGCAATGGTGTATACCGTTCAGCTCGAAGCGTTGTTTCTGGCTTTTGCGCTTAGCGTGGCGTAGCATTCCAGCCTTTCCATGTTTTGTGTGATTTTTTGTTGCATGATTTTTTCTTTCTTTTTGCCGTTGCCTCGTGAGTCCATTGTATATATCCATCTCTCACATAGTAGCTTCCATTCACATAATTTCAAGTCTATGGAGGCCTAGTTAGTGCTTTTCTCTCTCAAGTGGACTTGACTTGGTCCGCGCAGAAAGTGGAAATCACTTACTGTGTAACCTATCGAGAAGGCGCGGGTTGTGGGCCTCAGGGTGGATCCACGCTCGCTAGCGCGGCAGGGTACCCCCAACGTCGAGTCCACGTCTACACCGTACACTCCCTCAAAAAGGTCACTCCGTTCAAACAAGCAGCTACGAAACGATGAGCCAGATTTGGTCCCTTGAACAATTATTAGATTGGACATCCCCGCTGAGTGATAAAGACTGAAACGGAGAATGGGCACGCTGTGCCCCAAGCACCGGGTTCTCACCCGCAGGACGGCAGAGTACACCCACCCCCTCCTGGTAATGCGCCGGAAGAGAGTGAGGGGCATTCGCAAAGCCAGCCGGGCCATGAAAGACAAAGCAGAAATACAGGACGAAAAGGAATAGACTAGAATAAAGGCTCAATTTCACCTGCGCCATCTCTTAATCCTTGTTTCTACGTCCCGAAATCGAAACAGAAACAGAAACGCACGATTGCAGAGCAGCCGGTCGGGGGAGCTCTACTTCCTGTTGGAAGGAGAACTAGAAAGGCAGCGGGAAGGGAAGCGGAGCACAAGCCATGAGGCGTAGTTTGGGGGAGAGGGGGTAGAACCCTTGTCGTTTCATCGTTGTCAAGAAAGAACAAGCAGAGCAGAGAGTGAGTAAGTAGAGTGCGAAGAAGATTCACCGGATGGGCCGGGTAGGCGCTTGACTAGACTGGACGGTGCCCATCTATGCCTCCTCCTTGTTCTTCTTTTTGGACTTTTTGCTGCTGGGCTCTTTGGGAATAGTGCTGTTCACGGTCTGGTGAACGATCAGGCGTGTCCAGCACTCCTCTTTGTCCCACTCGAAGCCAGCGAGGTAGGGCTTTTCCAGTTCATCGTCCGCCTTGGTAGGGTTAGCTAGGATGGCAGTACCGAGAGTCAGTTAGATTGAGGGGAGTCATACCTTCTTCTTGAATCGCTTGTGGATCGCATCTAGTGCGTCCTTGATCGTGACGCCCTTCAGATTCCGGGCGGTGACTTCCAGACCCAGTGGGAAGTGCAGGTCAATCTTCTTCACGGGTGGGTTGACGAGCTGCATTTTGAGGATTTCTTTATCCTCAACTGTTGATGGTGACGTGTTGAGTTTCCTGGAGTTGAATTAGTGGTATTCGGGGGCTTGTTAGTGGATGAGGCCGGAACTTACCATCCTGTCCTTTGTGTCTCAATGGGGAGGGTGATTTCGATCTTTTGTTCCTCTGTGAGAGGAGCGGGGGATGATGAGAATGGATGGAGAGTTGGTTCGATAAGGGTGACATACCTAGGTCCTTGATATTCCATACGCCTTCACTTGTAGAAGAGGTGCGCTTATGCGTCTTCTCCTTCTTGGAGCCCGTGACCTCTTTCTCAGTGGCAGCGGGGGGTTTCTCGTCTTGTATGGAGAGACCAGCGATGGCAGAATCGACCTTGGTGAGAGGAACAGACATGATGGATGATAGGAGTGGGTATGATTGGGGATCAGTGGCAGATGAATGGAAGAAGAGGAGGAGAGTCCGGGGGGATGGATGGGGAAGGGAAGAAGGAGAGGGGAAGGGCAGGTGACCAAGTCAGTGACTTTCCTTCTGAGGGCGGGGGAAGACCAGTCCAAGTCATGGATGTCATTCCGCGTTACCTTTACATGTACCTGCTGTCCCTCGGGACGGGCCCTTATGCGCTCACCACGGGTCTAACGCTGGCACACGGAATCGATTCTGGGCTACTATAACTATCATGCTCATTATCGACTTCCTTTCTCCATTCTACTCTCCTGTCAGACCGTACTGCGCGACTTTCTCGGCAGTCTCGGATCACACGAGCAACTGACATCAGGGGCGATGTTTGGCTCGGGCGCCGACCAATCTGGAGCTGCACCCCGCATTCTGCTCCACTCGACTTTATTTGCGGGCGATCGGCGGACGGCTTTCATTCCCCACGTATGCAAGTCTACGGATATCTATATAGTACCTACACACGAACACACACAAGCAATAGCGGATTGATCTCCTACTAATCATCCACCTTGCAAAGCAAGCCTTCAATGCCTCCATGCGGGGGGCCGGTGCCGCCCATTGTTAAGGTTGGCGATCACCTGATGTGACGAGCACGACCTCCGATCGGCCCACGCCCAACATGCCATCCCTTCGTGTCAGACAGCTTCCTGTCCGTCGTGCCCCATAACTGTTTGCACCTTAGTCCCTCATGCTATCATATCAACTGAAACATGCCGCACCCACCGCGCTCTTGCGACATCTCGCAATGTCTCCACAGCCGTAGCTGGTACGGATCGCCTTTGGCGATGGGACCCGAGTGGATCCTCCCTACCCCACGCCGCGCTTCCGGTCTTCAGCCACACATTACCGGTGCCGTGCTGTCCAGAAACGGCGCGACTCGGCAGTGTCTGGGGAGAACAACGATTGCCCGGCTCTGGGCCTGGTGAGGGGCGGGTATAGGCAGGATCTGTCGGGAAAGAGACGAGGAGTTTTGACGCCCAGCTTACAGACGGGCCATCCGCCCCGCCGTGGTCAATCAGCCCGCTGTCGCGAGCGTCTTCGTGCACAAGGCGCTCGCGCCACCATGGAGCTCGCCTGGCTGGAATGAAAGCTTGATTCTCTTCAAGAATCTTTGGCCTGTCTTGGCCCTACTGCAGAAGCGTAAAGAGAGGTACTGACACGGCTTGGTAACATTCCTCAGACTCTACCAATTCTCCGACTGAATGGAGCGAATCCCAGCACGAATGCGCGACAGCGGGTATGTGGTCGACAATTGTGTTTTGATGTCTTATCTTGAGACTCTCTGCGCCTTCAGTGGTGGGTTTCAACTTTTCCAGGGCTTGGTGGAATGATCAGGCCACGGTAGTAGGCGGAACTGATTGCACCAACAACAGGCCCCGAATACGGGCTGGCAGCCTCTGCTGGTGGTCGCTATTGCTGGGGGAGTGGTGCGTTCTCAATCCTCACGTCTCCATTCTTCGAACCCTGAGCAGGACCCCATTCGCAGCAATTGTTCCTCGATTGTGGAATCCCCCATGCAAGCCGCGTCAAGTGGGGAATTGATGGTGCTGGTTTTCAAAAGGAGACTTGATTTGCAACCACAGAACTACACCAACATCCTTGAGGTCGCTGTCGTCTGGAACTTGCCTCAAGGCAACACACGGCCTTCCCGCCCGGTGAAGCCCGAATGCCCTGACTCGTCATCTTCCCGTAATCGCCGGTTGGAATGACGGACCAGACGATAGAGATCCGGGTCGACCACCAAGGAAGTAGTTATGGAACTATAATTGTGAAACATAGTATGCTCCTCTTCCCTGATCAGTCCCACGCTCTGGGCTGATATGCTGGTCGCATTTCTAGTGATTTCTTGTTTATCAATGCATACTGGGGTAAGGAAGGGGCTTGATTCAAGACTACCTGGCTGGACGTCCTTCACACTTGGCCAGATCTATCTTGGCGAGAGCCTGTGTAATGTTGCATTTGAAACACCCACGCCTCCAACCGATAATATCTCGGTTGTCGCAACCAATGCGGCGGGTTCTGTGGAGGCTGCTCTATCCTCCTTAAAGCCTGACTGGCAGAATTTCAACGTCCCGCCGACGGTCCGCGCTGGTCGACGCGTTGTCCGCAAGGTCACTTTTGTTTTAGCTCGGCGATGGCCTTGAAAGGTTCCGAGATACTTTTCGTTCGCACGCCCGAAGCAAAGGACCTTCCTGACACTCCGGAACGCTTGAATAATATGTCATTCCTCTATGTAACTCTAACCTCTTTCGAGCATCTTAGGTACTAGATTTCCTGTACTCGATATCTAGCCAATCGACTGGCGTGGCTCTAGTCATGTCTAGGAAGCTTCGGAAGGTCCTCTCCCCAACCAGGAAATGCGGCTCAGATATCCGCCATCCTCTCTCAAGCCTAAAATGCTCGAATCAACCATTTCCTCAGGGGGAAGCATGCCATCACGAGTCCAATATGATGGACACCCACCTCCACCTTGGCTGCCGAAGGCCATCTTCCTCTCGTCTCGCGATGGATTCGACTACCCATTTCCGCCAAGGTCCCTGTCACCCCGTCCGCCCGAGCGCACTGGCAACACGCATGAGGGCGGCCAGATGATTCAGATACCATCCGGTTCCGGCTGGATCTGCGATACGGGAAAGGAGGCTCGCTGGATCAGTGATGAGGCATCCGGGAAGCGCGAGGGGTGTTGATGCGACTTCCTTTCCGGTCTGTGAGGGTTCCGAAGATTTCGTCTTTATCGTTATCGATCTCTCGATGTTTCCTTCCTGTGCCTCTTTTATCCCTTGGGTCTATCGGCCTCGTGCCCCGAGAAGTAGTCCCCTCATATTATATCATCTGCCTGACGTGGATGCGGCTCCCTGAGTACGTGGACAGTAACCCGACTGTCGACCGATTCGGACGACATCCCTTTGAGGCGAACCGGGGACCAGCGGGGCAGCCATTGGCTCTGTTCAGGTGCTTTGTTGTTGGATGCGGTGGTTGTTGGATGCGGTGAATTGGGGACTCTGACGCCGTAGTGGGAGGGGCGGGGCTGGCCGGGCGCCTGCGGAAACGCGGACGGACAGACTGACAAGGCGGTGATCCAAACCAATGGCCACCACGCGGCAGGCCGCAGTATTCTCCATACGTCCACGGTGATCCATGATCGGCATATCGCATGATCGCATGGCTTCGGCTTCCCCCTGATCCAAAACCACAATTGTCTCACATCCGTGGGTGTGGCACGCCACCAAGCGGTATACGAGGCTGGTGGGGGCGGGGCACCCCTCCGTGGTGCCAGAATCTCTGGATCGCACCAAGTAGCGCCGCCGCGGCACTGCCCAGCTCGACTGGTGATAGTCCGGTTCTGGGCCCACTTGGCTGCGCCGCCGTGCTGAGCTGGAAACATGCAGACCCAGGGTCTGCGTGGTGGAGGACACAAGACTTGGCTTCGTCGCCAAGCAGCGATCAGAGCTTGACATCTTGGCAAACAACTATACACCTCTCGGCACTCCACGTTCTATTCTACATCCTCTCTTCGCGCCTCTGGTATGATGACGCCGTCCCCCGCCTCCCCCTCCTCCCTCCTCAGTCCATTGGGGGGAAGGGGGAAGGGGGGCAGCTGAAACCGCGCAGCAGACTCATTGGCCTCGTGGGCGGGTGATTGAGAAATGGAAAAGGCAAAGTCCATCGGCCTGCGCCAATCGCTGGCCGCCCTCCTGCCCCAGGTGTTTCGCAAGGACGTGGTGGAGCATCCACCGGCAGCTCCATGCCTCGCTGGGAAATTGGGAGGCTGCCGACTAAAGCCACGTAGCTGGGCTCGCCGCGTGGGGTTTGGTGTCCACCATGCGCTATTTAGAAGCCCCTCGCCCGCCACCCCTCCTCTTCTCTTCTCACACATCCTCTCTACCTCACTACCTCACTACCCCACTACCTCACAAACACCATCACAATGGGTTGGTTCTCTGGTACGTGCTTCGCTGACGGCTGATCCGTCACGTCCTTGCCTCCGCCTTCGTTCCATTGGCAAGACCCCCTCACTAACCATCTGGGCCTCTTCTAGACGACTCCGAGCAGTACAACTCGTACGACCAGTACAACAACGGCGGCGTCACCCGTGAGCACGAGGCGTCCTTCGCCCATGAGCTGATCGCCGGCGCCGCCTCCTACGAGGCCGCCAAGGCCTACGAGGAGCACTGCGAGCGCAACGGTTAGAACACACCCTCCCGTCATCTATGCGGACCCGGCTAATCTCTCTTCTTCTGCTATAGGCCAGCCCGAGAGCCACGATAAGGCCAAGGAGATCATGGCCGGCTTCGCTGGTGCCTTCATCGACCGCGAGGTTGAGACCCGGGGCCTGGACTTCATCGACAGCGAGAAGGCCAAGTACCGCGCCCGCGAGCACATCGATGAAGTCGATGCCGAGCAGGTTGGCTACTAAGGAGCTCACTAGAGACGCTGCGACTCTCGTGATGATGTCGGCTCAGCGTGCATGAATTATGTGGCAATGGAATGAACTTTCGTCTTTATTGTATCCTTCCACAGACGTAGCGCGTAGCATAATTAATGTACACCCAACCCCTTCTGCAGAGGGGCCTGGACTCGAAATTTCCAGAATAGCGTTCGGTCGATGGCCATGTCGATGCACAGTTCCTGGTTAGCACTGCTGGCATTGACGGCCGTCCAACCGAGGTACCTATTCAGGAAGTGCGTTCGCAATGGCGTCCATCACCGCGCCGACACCGAGGCGCCAGGAATCAGAGCAGCAATTGTACTCACTTCAGCCCGGGGCGCTGCAGCTTCCCTTGCCCGTAGAAGCCGAACTTGTGACGACTATGACGCACAGGGTTCCGCGTATTCTGTCCGTCCACCTCTCGAGTACAAGACAGGAGCTACGTAGGGCACAACTGGCCTTGTCGGCAGCGGAAGTATGGTCTGCGTATACTCTGCCAGTGATCGTAGTTCCGCGCGATCGAGTACAGACAAGAGCTACGAAGGGCACAACTGGCCTTGTCGGCAGTGGAAGTATGGTCTGCGTATACTCTGCCAGTGATCGTAGTTTTGCGCAATAATCATGAATGGGCTCAATGGCAGTTGAAATGCGACTGCGTGCATGGCTTTTCTCAGCGGGGCACCCACTGCCGGTTGGGGAAGCACTTGCGATCAAGCATGGAGAGCAACAGTTCAGCTGCAAGTATGGCAGATCCTACGTGACAGCTTGCAAAACCACGCGTGGCGAAGGCGCCTCGATACATTGAAGAGTGAATTCAAATGCGACCTTAATAGTACGAAGCAAAGAGTATTGCCTGCTGGGGGAGAGCAATACTCCCGCCCCCCCCCTTCGACCTTCAGCTGGAGAAGCACCTTTACATATAGACAGGATAATGTCTGACAAGTCTTGGCTTTCCCTTTCCGTTTTAGTGCTCACCCCATGCCGCTTTTTGCTTACTGAGTAGAACTGAGCACCGCCCTGCGTATCACCTGATCGTTATGTAAGCGGATGCCACGCTTAGTGAGCAATCCGATCCCGCTCAATAAGCGTGACCTGAGCGCTCTAATTTGCTCACTAAGTAACGGGTTCCAGCTGAGCGGGATTCAGGAAAAGTTGAACCCTTAGATAATATTGTATAAAATTCACATAAAAGTATTAAATTCTGTATAATAGCTGAACAGGATCCAGGATTAGTCATGATTTTCCTGAATCCCACTCAACTTTTCCTGAATACCGGTCAGCTGGGAGCCCGGCCCTTACTTTGTAACTAGCCCTGATCATACTCACTAAGCACGACACTAAGCAAAGCGCGGGAGTAGCTAAGTTAGCAGCCTACCTCAATAAAATGCACCACGCTAGCCTTATCCAAATACGGTTAGTCACTACAAGTCTTGATTATTATCCCCTTCACAAAAGGCGGGCGTTATTAACTTGGTGGTCGATCCTAGGTTTTCCGACTCTAGCTAGGAGGCTCTAAGATATAGGGCCTCCTAGGGCCTACCTGTCTGAGATATAGAAAAATAGTGGTTGGATATCTTATCAAAGATGCGGCTAGCTGTTACGATGATTGAAAAGAGCCAACTGGAAGGTAACGAGGTATATTTAACAAAATAACAAAAGTGAAGAGAGAAGAAACTATTAGACTTTATTAGTCCTATGGGAATTCCTGTATGGGACTCTGAGCAAGCCAGAGGATGCGTAGGAAGATAAGATAATTCGATGAATACTGCTGGTGAGAGTACAAATCCAATTTTAGCTTTGTGATGTATGAACAGCAAGTGACCCTGCTTAAGCGAAGTTGCACGTACCCACATACGAACATAAGCATACAATCAGTTGAATTCCACCATTGTCCAACCGACTAGGCATCTGACTAGTTTTACACTCGGATGGGTGGATGGATGATTTCATTTACCCTGATCACTCGCGAGTTAGTTTACCCAACTAGACCGAATACGAATACGTACCCAAATCGGCCGTGGCTTATAACCTAACTTTTACTGCGAGGAGTCAGCGTAAATGATACACACACACACACACACACACACACACACACACACACTCACACACACACACACACTCACTCACTCACATATTATAACCACGAGTTACTGGAGGTGATGAGTGATATGATGGAACTTGCATGCCACAGAACTTGGACAGCCCCCCGACCTGTTTCGCCTGATATCTATCATAACGATGCATCAGCCACTCATACTTACCCCGATTACCTAGATGAGATGCGCTTTATTCTTCCATCCGAGTCAATAGTACTGGTACATGGTTTCTGAGATAAGGGTGGCAAGTGCTTCTTCGGAGGTTGGCTGGTGCAACACCGTCCTTGGTTGAGAGATTATGCATTCTTTCTGGAGCTCATCACACCGGGGCTGATATTTCTTGACCAGAGTTTATTTAACTGATTACAATTTGTGATCTGACGAATCCCTTCCAAAGCGCTATGTGTCCTGGAGGGCGGATCCATCAAAAAGTGTCAGGAAAATGGTGATCAGCACCGTATTGACTCAAACGGTACTTCTGAGGTTTCCGAGAATATGGTATTCAGTATTGCGTACTTTTGCCACCTTCACCACCTCAGGTATGTACTGTAACCTCCGAGTCACAGGTGTTCTCGAGGGTATTTCAACCCCCCTTGACCCCCAGCAGTTTGAGAGAACCAGAATCAACACTCTTTTCATCTCTTGCTATTTCCCCTTCCGATTCCGTTGCGCCAATCGACCGTAAGCCCAGTGTATTTCCATAGCTATACAGGGCGGTCCTGATAAAAAGTCTCCCACCATTGAATGTTCTTACCGGCTTTCCGCATCGAACGTGATTCCGACGCTCCTGGTGAATACAGTGACTTTGTTGACGGTGAGTGTGCTGACGATGATGTGTCCGCTCGGTCTCAGGAATAATATTTGCCCGAGCCTAATATAGGAAGCGGTCTGCACGGCTGCCTGTTGTTTTTGTAAACGATATCCCGACCAGCTAAGAAAGTTGTCGCATAAATATGGCATAATACCGCTAGACCTAAAATGCACCATGGGCAACATTCCTAGTCTCATTTATTGTTCCGACAAAAGTTAACTCACTAGTGCTAAACTCAAATATCCATAAATGTCTTACTTTAGTTTCTCTCGCTTCGCGCTACTACAGGATCCGACGGAGGATATAAGGAGAAGAATCGTGATCCCAGCCATCTTTGTTCAAACAACCTGGCCACTGAACACAAGATGTCCTTTCTCTTGTCTGTCAAGTCCTTCCTTCTTGGTGGATGCCTGTCGGCATCTACGACTCTTGCCAGCCTTCAGTGGTCACCATGTCCTTCAAATCCAGCGTTGGATTGCGCAACCCTCAGAGTGCCACTTGAGTATGCGGAGCCACTAAACGGCATGTCAGCTTCTATTCCGCTTGCCCGATACAACGCCACGGTAGTGGCATCCCAGCGCAAAGGCTCACTTCTCACAAATCCTGGTGGTCCCGGTGCCTCTGGTGTCTCCTTCGTCCTGAACGGTGCTGGGGAGGCAATCTCGAACATCACGGGAGGGTTTTACGATATAATTGGATGGGATCCACGGGGCGTGGGTTCTGCTCAGCCCGTCCTGCAATGTTTTGCTACTGCGGGAGAGGAGTATGAAGCGTCCCAGGATCTACCAGCCGCGGCAGAGGTGGCGTACGGCCAATTCAGCAACCAATCCTACATGCCCTCTTACAACGCTGCGATGGAGGAGTTCGACAGCGCCACTGCGCAGCTTGCCGCCGCATGCGCATCTTACAATTCGACAGCTTTGTACACGTCTAGTGCGGCCTACGTTGTTCGTGACATGGCGGCTATTGTCGATGCATTGGACGGCAAAGATGCCCATTTGAACTACTGGGGTCTCTCCTACGGGACCATTTTTGGGGTAGAATTTATTCAGACCTACCCGAAGAGGGCGGGAAAGATTGTCCTGGACGGCGTTTTTGATGCCACTGCCAATGCTGAGACCTATATCGCCCAGCTTCCCAATGACCAGCTCTCTGTGCGAGATGCTATCAACGATCTGGTGTCATTTTGCGAACAAGCTGGTGCAGCTGGCTGTGCTCTGAGTACTCCTCCAGCAAATGTGACTGCCGACCTGACCACTCGACTTGCTAATTTACAAGAATCACTCTACGAACATCCCATTGCCGTCTCAGAAGGGTTCTCCATTACTGTTGGCATCTTCAGCGCATTCATGTGGTCCTTTTCCCGAGTTCCGACTACTTGGCCCCTTATCTCCTCGGTTGTGAGCGCTCTTGAGAAAGGAGATGTGACTCTAATGGTCGCCATTCTTAATGCAACCGCTCCCAGCCCGCCAGGCAATTCCAGCGCTCCAGCCTCTGGGTCTCTAGCTGAATGGCCCCTGCAGTGTATGGACAATGCGCCATCCAGTGAAATCACCTTGGCGGAGGTTGCTGCCCTAGTACTCAACATATCCCTTAGCGAGGATACCCCGTGGCTGAATGCTGACGTGACTCCCTTGTCCTTCTGCCGCCACTTTCCGGACACTCGCCCGAGAATCCCGAACTTGGGAGCCTCAAAACTCCCCGTTGCAAACTCCATCCTCACTGAGCAAAACACCCCGGTGCTCATTGTCAATGGCGAAGATGACCCGGTGACTCCACTAGCCTCTGCCGAGCGTTTGCGGAGTCAACTTCCTACAGCGTCCCGGTTGGTGACAAGACGAGGCCCAGGCCATACAACAGTCAGCGTTGCGTCGTTGGGCCTAGTGGAGGCAATCCGCGCATACTTCATTGACAGCACCCTCCCAACCAGCGCCGTTCACGACCTCAGCCAGCTGGTATTCTCCTCGGAAATCAACGCCGGGACATTAACCCCCCCTCCGGTGTTCAATGGCACATACACTGACGCAGAACGGACCATATTGAACTCCACATATAATCTCTTATTAGCGTTCCTCAGCTTGGCGTAAGGAGCAAGCACAGTAAGTATGGATAGCATGTACAGTACTACGAAATACATTAGTATGTAGAAGATAGAGAAATAAGAGGAGTGAGATAAAATAAAAAGGCCTCGTAAGAGTTGCCTGTGCAAGATACTACTAGTCCTTACCTCTGAGCGAGGGGGTTTTCCTGAAGAAGTTTGCTCAGCATAAGCTACAATTACAAAGGCTTTCACTAATAATAGCTTGAGGCTGTTCCGCCTTTCGCACACTAAGATGTAGGGTTAAAGCTTGAATGAACAGGTGATTTCGCTGGCCTTTGGGAAAACTGGCACGAACTCGCGCGAAGCTTTGGCGCAACGAGGCTGGCACTAAAGATGTGTCCGTGGATTAACGGTTGGTAAAGAATGTCGCCGATTGGGCGTCGAGATGATTTCGCCGATGATTTACCTATTAGTGGAGGATCACTCTGCCTTCAAGGTCCTCAAAACCGGGCCGAGACTCGAGACTAGTCCTGTACCGATGCCAAATTTGCGGGGTGTTACGGGCCAATCGAAAAAAAACAGATCAATTCAATGCGTTCTGACGAAAGTATCAAGCTGAGGGAAAGAGAAGAAAGGGAAGGTCAGCCAGAAAGAGGGAGCTCGTGAACACTCTATGACCGTGCATGTGTTTGTCCTAGATGATTGTTTGTCACATCGGTCCGGCCTAGCACAGCGTGAAGCTAGATTTAACAAAACGGGATGCGACCGGAGCTGCCTAGACTCTGGAGCTTCCAGAATAGGCTAGTTACCCTGAATCCCTTACCTGAATATTGAGCTCCAGCTATAGTGAGCAGATTACAGGAAGCAGGCACGAAAATGAAATAATTCGTGTTGATGTGGGATTTTGCGGGGAGACTTCACACTGTTTTTGAGATGTATATTCATTGAGTGGCCCTCGCACAAATATATTCTGAGCTGAATGGGTGAAGGAATAGCGCCAATTTCCGTGACAGTGAACACCCTCTCCCGGTAGATTGTACCACTACTGTACTTGCAATTCGATATGAAAGACGAGGGATCAAAAAGAAAAGAAAAGAAAAGAAAAGAAAAGAAAAAAGGAATTTGCTTCATTGTGTTATGGTGACATCAACCAAAAGTAGGGTAATAGCTGTTTTCTTATAGACGGTCCGCTAATTGAACTCATTGGACAGACAAGCGTCTGACCCAAGCGGGCTCACGCACATTTTCAGGTGGCGCCCTTGAATGTTTTGTTTTACCACCTATGCCCGAAAAATTAAGCTGGGTTCCAGCCAAGCGGAAAGGAAATGGCGGTCTGCCGGTGAGAAGGCTTGAATTCTGCAAGTTCTTCATAGATTGCACTGTGCTAATTATAGTTCTTGCCTAAGGGCCCGCAGATGTAAGTATTATTGTCCTCAAGTCGGGCTGGATGAATTCTACCACGATCGGATCTACCCAATGGTAAGCTCAACTTGTCCGTTAAGATGGCCCAATTTGACTGCCCTGTTGGTGGAGATCAGAGTATCGACAAACGAACGATATCTCATGGTTTTAGTGGCTTACAGAGCTGGGACTTTGACCACTATGAACATGGCAGGCCAGTGCTTCTCTATTCCTGAGGCCGAGGTATTCGACGACCCCACAACATACCACAAGGGAATAGTCTCTTACCCTGGTATCTTCGATCTTCGGGATTGCGGCCGCTAATGCACTAGTCCTGTACAGCGCCACCAGAACGCGCAGAAGATCTCGAGGCCAGGTCGGCCTCGTAATGCTGCAATGCGGGCGAGGATGGGGGACATTTGCCATGACTATCTCGACTCGATGTATGGGCCGTACCCAATCGTTCGACGCCTAAATCGAGGCCTAAAGGAATGGAATAAGTGGCTACCTAAAATGAGTTTGAATTGACGACTGGGATAGCCGTACCCCTCGCCTGCATTCTGGCGCAGCCCCCCGAGAAGTCTGTGCATCTGGGTGAGCGAATCGCAAAAGACACACCATGCAGCAAACACGATAGGTAATCGGAGTATCACAAGCAGTTGGTAGTGTGCGTTGGAATATCCGAGATACCGAGGAGGTATTGAGATAGCATGGGCTGCTCCTTCCAGGCCCTGGGAACAGAGGTTGTGGTGCGTGCCTTGACAGCGCTCTTCCTTCTATCTTCCATCTCCCGCCTCCCCGCATTACATTGTAGATCATGCATTTACTGTACTACACATGGTGGAACCCACTGGGTGATCGGCTCTTTACCTTCCGGACACAGAATTGTAGTTGATAACACGCACCTTTGGGCCAAGCCGCTAGGAATATCTTTGTCTTACCTTGCTACTCCTGCTATTCACATAAGTTCAGATCCGAGCCCCTTTTAAAATGTGTGATGTGTGTTCCTGCCGAATGTTTCTTCCGTCCCTCAATCGCTGACTAGCTCCCTGCGCAATATGTCGAAAGCAGAGGGAAATTTTGTGTTGGGGTCCAATCGTGGGGCATGGTTTTCGAAAAGCGAGGACGATGAGGGGCTCTTCAAAACAGAGTCTGCTAGCGGAGTGTCTTTGGCCAAGATGCTGACACGTACAGAGAAGCTTCGTCGTCATTGGCGTCGATTTTGGCTGGTTTATCTCGTCGGCAACGTGGTTTTCCTTGCAATATTTCTTCCCATATTGTGGGTCCGGTAGTCCCCTAATGAATGCATACAATGAATGCATACACCAGAGCTGTCTAACATTCTGTACAGCTTTCTAGTCATCATACCTGCCGTGGCGCAACTGGTTGTCAACAAGTCAACATTACGACTTGTCAATGCACAGGTAATGCAGCCAAAGCCGGACTCCGTGATGATGACCCTACAAGCAAGATTGGACTTGAAGCTTGCCATCCCCGTCCGCATCGAGCCTGTCACGCTCAACCTATTCGAACGAGATTATGGCTCAGATAATCCGTACGCCGCTGTCGACATCCCAGGACAAACCATCCATGGCAACTACACTCTCGGAGTTTCTGACCAGTTCACCCCAATCCAGGACCTGACCGTCTGGAAAGACTTTATCCACCAGGTTGTCTTTCAAGAGGAGACCTCTTTGGCCTTGCATGGCAAGATGGTTGCCTACCTCGGTGTCCTGAAGTCCCATGTCACGATGAATAAGAATATCATCACACCAAGTAAGCCTGGCGTTATCCACCCCGGGATCTTTTGAAAACACGTCTTGCAATATCTTCTCCCACTCCCCCATTCCATAGTTCGGGCCATTAGTCCAGCGCTTACTTTCAATAGCATTGAACCAGTTCTCTGGATTTACTATGTCTGACGCTACCCTACTCCTTCCCGCGAGAGATGATGGGACAAATCTCATTGGCAACATCACCCTTCCAAATCCAACCGTTTTGCACTTTGAAGTTGGTACCCTGAATCTGGATGTCAAGAGTGGCGGGATTCCTATTGGCAATGCCACCATAAAGGGAGTGACACTTCGGCCGGGTGACAACACTTACCCCCTTAGTGGTATCCTTGACTTGAAGACGGTGCTCGGCAACTTAGGGGATGTGCTCACATCTCAAGCTTCTGCGCTGGAAACCGGGAATCTCAGCCTTGAGGCAGTCACGTCGTCGGTTGTCTGGAATGGCACGGTTGTGGAGTACTACACGGATGTCTTGCGCCAGCTCACTCTTACAGCAACGATTGGCATTGCCGACATTTTGAATAATACACTTAGCAATTTAGTCCACGGAAAAAAACGGACGGGTACTAGCGACACGGGCATCACTATTCGGCCTCGTTATGACGATGCGAAAGCCAGGGTTGAGTTGACGCAAATGCTCAAAGAAGATCAAGAGGTGCAAGATGTTTTCCATGATATGAGCTCGGAGAAACGAGATGGTATTCTCGAATCTCTGGTTTTAATGTTTTAGGTGCTTTCTTTTGCTATCCACAACCACGTTAGTGAAGAAATGCACAAGTCTGCCGTCCATTTTATTCACTGATATCGACCTTACGCAGCTCCTCGTAAATATCATGTTTGATCTCCTCTTCTGCCCAACACATATCTACCGCGTTTCTTGCTAATTGGACCATCTCACCCTTGCTGAACCCGCAGTATGTATACACCTTTTGCATATTTCCATCGATCCACACATCATGCATCAGGGTTGGGTCATCGCTGTTGATGCAAATCTGGACACCCCTTTCAGCAAGTCTTCGAATCTTCGGAAACAAGACCTCGGTGGCTGTCCTCCGGTGATAGGCATGGGGGCACAAAGTCAAGCCGATCTTCCTATCGATCAGGCCTTGCCATAACTCTTCTTGATCCTCGGCATCGAGTCCATGATCAATACGCTCTGACCCCTGTCCATTTCGGACCTGAAAGATGGCTTCGTTCATATGCGCATGGGTGTCCTTCTGGCCAAAGTCGCAATGCATGGTGACGTGTAGCCCGTCTGCCTGAGCCAGGGTAAAGCCCTCTTCGAAGAGCATGGGTGGTCTCTCGTATGCGTTGCTCGCGAGCCCGACAGCGTGGAACAGTCCCTTGCCGCCCTCAACCGTCCCAGCGGCCCACGGCCTGGCTTCGGCGTACGCTGCCAACCCCTGCTCCACGGGTTCATCGCGGAGAAAGCACATAATCCAGCGCGAGTGCACACCGAGCTGGTCCGCGCCATCATGCTGCGCGCGCAGATAGCCATCCAGGACTGCGGTCGCGGGCACGCCCCGACGCGTATGAGCTTGGATGTCGAAAAAGGGCTCGGCGTAGCGTACGTTCATCGCCGCACAGCGACGCAGATACGCCATAGCTAAATCATAAAAATCGCCTTCGGTGCGGAGAACTTCGCATCCGGCAAAATAGGCTTCCAGGAAGGTCGGGATACCGGGCTGGCGGCCGTTGAGCTCCGGCCGATGGTTCAAGGTCACGGCGTAGGAGGCTTCCAGATCCTCATATGTAGCGTAAGGTAAAGTGATGCTGTTGCGGTGTGCTAGCTTCCAACGAAGAGCTGGTGTGAGCGTGCCTTCGATGTGCACATGGAGCTCAACCTTGGGCAGGGCCGCTATGAAGTCGCTGATAGCAAGGCCGTTCATGGTTGATGGAAAGTCGTGTGCTCAATCAAGTTCAGAAATGGCCCAAGCACAGGAAGACAAGAGGATAGCTGGGAAAATATCCATCAATTGGTGTTTGAAATGATTGCTGAGCCTTTTAGTTGCGAAGAGAGCAGTTTCTTGTTTGAGACTGTCGGCACACTCCGACTGTGCTGCGACTGGCGGCTCCACCTAGCCAACCACGCGACGCAATAATTCTGGAGACGGCTTAACTAACTTAAGCCTTGTTGGAGTTGGCTGCAGTTGGTGACCCTCCGGCCAGTGGCTGGCCTTGGCCCAACATCCTCAGCGATAACGCGCCCGTGGAGGGTGCCGCGCGGGGCTGGGGCTCGGCCGAGCCAATGGAGGTGCGGGGAAAGATAAGACAGGGATGGGCTTCCTGACAATAAAACCAGCTCTCCCAGTGTCCTCGACGATTGCCAATTTTCTGTTGGAGTAAGTAGCCCGCCATCATGGACGAGACGGCCCCAATTGTCGATGAATCCGCTGCGGAGCAGGGCCCCGACAGCACCATGGCGAAGAGAGTCTTGCGGAAGATTGATATGCGACTGGTGCCTTTGTTATTCTTCACATACATGCTTAATTTCATGGACAAGACCATCCTCTCCAGCGCGTCTGTGTTTGGCCTCTCCGATGACACTGTAAGATCTTGCCTGGGGAGATGGGAGTCATCTACTAACGAAGAGATCTTCCTAGGGACTGGTTGGGCAGCAGTATAGCTGGGTCTCCTCGGTCTTTTATTTTGGCTTCCTGGCATGGGCATACCCGACCACCGTGTTGATTGCTCGCCTGCCCGTCGCCAAGTACCTGACGGCCAACACGTTCTTCTGGGGCGCCGTGGTTGCCCTCACCGCGGCATGCAAAAACTTTGGAGGCCTGATGACGGTTCGCTTCTTGCTTGGGGTTGCCGAGGCGACTATTACCCCGGCATTCATGTTCATCACCTCGACATGGTATACGCGTGATGAGATCCCCACGAGGACAGGCCTGTGGTTTGCTGGCAATGTAGGTGGCTGCCTGAGCAGGTTCGAGAACTGAACTGACTTGTCGCATACAGAGTGTCGGCGGGATCGCGGCCAGTCTGATGGCCTATGGCTTAGGACATGTGGATGACCACGTTGGACCGTGGAGATGGATGTTTATCGTCCTTGGCCTGTTAACATTCCTCTGGGGATTCGCTCTCTGGACGATGCTCCCGGATTCCATTTCAACGGCCAAGTTCCTGTCCGCAGAAGAACGTCGATTCGCGGCCAACAGAGCCGTGGTTGCTGGAACTGGGGCAACCGAGAAAACAGTCTGGAGGTGGGACCAGGTCGTGGAATGTCTGAGGGATCCGAAGACCTGGCTGATTTTCGGGCTGGAGATCCTGACTCAAATCCCCAACGGAGGCACCCAGAACTTTGCAAATCTGGTGATTAAGTCGTTTGGGTTCACCAGCCTGCAGTCGACGCTGATCACTATCCCTTACTCGCTCATTACCGTGGCCGCAATTACTGGCTCGGGCTGGCTGGCTGGTCGTTTCCGCCAAATGAACTGCCTTTTAATCGTCGCGGTCATTTTGCCCTGTGTGATAGGCAGCGCCATCATCTACTCTCGTGCTCACGTTGTCCATGGAGTTCAACTGTTTGGCTATTTCCTCCTGTCGACTGGGCCAGCTGCGATGCCGCTCGCCATGTCGTTAGTGCAGGCCAACTACCGCGGCGTCACGAAGAAAATGACAATGACCGCGATGCTCTTCTTGGCCTACTGTGCCGGGAATATTTCGGGGCCTCAGTTCTTCCTCAGTCATGAGGCGCCCACGTACAACACTGCTTTCCGCACAATCATGATTTGTTATGCCTTGGCGGTGCTTCTGGCGCTTTGTCTGCGATTCTACTTGCAATGGATGAATGCTCGCCGCGTACGAGTGGAGGGCTTCGAGGGCAGTGCCGGGAATGCAGGTACTGTTGGTAGGGCTAAAGTATCGGACGCCGGCCACGATACGAATAACGTGGCGCAGATGGTGAACCAGGTTCATCTTGTATCTAACGACTATGAGGATATCACGGACTGGAAAACGCCGGGGTTTAGGTACCGATTCTGACTTGATACCCAATGCGTCTATCATTTCCGTTGATCGAGACTGGCCCTGCATTAGTTGCAGTTTCAGCTCGGAAGCTACTTTAAAGTTGATCTTGTCAAAGCGGTACTCGTCCGGATAAATTCCAACTTGAACTGTAGGATTCGTAAGCACTTCCCCAGGGGGTGGCTATGCCAGCTATTTTTGAGATCTACCCGAGATTGACAGGAGTTGCGAGTCCCCGCAACGTGAGTCACGTTGCGTGTTCCTGGTAAATTAGGCTTGGCATGAGAACTATAACACATCCACCCAATCCTATTAATGTCTTCCTTCATCCGAGGTATAGAGGGAGATCCTGGCCAATTCTGCACGCGGTAACCATGGCTTCTCTGCCGGGATCAGCGGATAACCCTTTCCAACGATTAATTGTCGAGTCAAGTGATGATCCTGTGAGTTTGTTTGAAACCATGAAAATAATTCACAGCACGCATAATGCTCAGTGATAACTTATTCTCGACTTGGAAAAGGCTCAGCTGCAATTGCGGTATGAAACACATCGGGCCACTCGAAATGATCAACAGAGCGCAAAAATTCAAGCGAAAGACTTTCCAGGCTGGTCGATAGATGGGATTCTAAAGCGGCTTGACGGCCCTGCTAAAGAGGAAGGATTCGTTGATCCCCGCAACTGCCTTGTTATCTGGGCTAGGCCCCCTTCTCATATCAGGGATTTGATATCATGTATACAAAGCCAGTTGAGGGATATTGCTCCATGTAGGTATTGCAGAGCTGCTTTAGGACAGTCTGTTATTCTCAAAATGAAGTCGCTCACTGAATCACGAACAGCGCTTTGGCCGATGCCTCCTCACAATCTTCACACCACTGTTCTGGAAGTGGCCCATTCTTTGACAGAACCCCAAATTGAAGAACTGGTTCAAACCCTCCAATCTTCAAAAGATGTCACGCAGGCGCAGATTGCCGAATATCCAACTCGTCATAATACTCGCCTCTTGAAACCAATGTTGAGCTTTGACTCCGCGGCCCTTGCCCTTAGCTTTGTTCCTGCAGCAAGCGAAGGCTCAACGGGGAGCGCCAGGGAGTATGGTGATCATTACACATATCATCATCTTCGTCGGGACATTTTTGACATGGTTCGACAAACCAAGGTTCCGGTCGCTTCTCGCTATATTGTCCCATCAGCCCATGTTACCATCGCACGCTTCATCAATAATGAAGGATTCCTGGTCAAAGGAACACATGGCGCGGAAGAAATTGACCATTCGCGCGTCAAGTCGCTTCTTGATAGGATTAGCGACATCAACAAAGATTTGGAAAGCCGTTATTGGCCCCAGGCTGACGGCAGCTGTCCTAAAGAGGGTGAATGGGTTGTTGGGCAGGACAAGGGTTTGGTGGTCAGAAAAGGTCGTCTTTGGTATGGAGGAGGCGAGGATGTGTAATCAATCTTGTGTGACAATTCTCTTCTTTCCAATTAAACATTATTCGATAGAAGATGATAGCCTCCATTGTGCCAGTGAGGCTCCATCACCATCTGGACGCGCGCCCCTGTGGTTTCTCCACCCTCCTCGCATTAGAACACTCCTGGCTGGCACTCATTAGTAGAGCTATCTAGCGCATCGCCATCCACAACTTCTTATACAAGCATGAAAGCTGGAGTTTCGCGGGCAAGACCGCCGAAATGCCCCTGGCTGCGCTGTCTCGTGGAGTTATATCACATGTTTCCATCTTCCGGCATTTACCCGTAGAAGAGAATTTAGAGGGATTCCTGAGACTTCCCTCGCGGACTATTTGTTTGGTATGCCTTGCATCAAGTATCGGAATGCACCTGTTCTGCTTCCACGGTTATGGCTTTCTCGTATCGCTAGAGAGTAAAGCATGGAAGCTAAGGTAATGACCGTGGGCTCACCACCAGCATCCATAATAACTCGCGAATCCGGTGCAGACAGTGAGTCATTTCAAAAAGGTTTCGTCCAGTGGCCCGGCAAAGTACGCTAATAATTCGGTGGCCGGACAATAGCACTTTGATTGGGTTAGGCTGAGCCCGGGGTCTTCTGTATGGTGGAGCTTTTCAAACAACCCCGCTCCCCCACCTTCTTTACGAGGATTACTCTTGGAATACGACGGCTACCTGGTGGACAAAAAGCGGGAAATGCCATTAGTGTCCTGAAATTCAAATATTAATATCAGCGTGAGCCACAGCTCGCGCTTCATTATCACAAGACCGTTCACTTCCACCCAAGTACACCATAGTGCAAGATGGAACCTCTTCGAAAGACGACCCATACATATGCCCATCACAGCATACAGCTAGACTGTGATGTGTTTGATGCAGCCGACTACCCAATTGATGCGCCTGTCTTTCTTTTCTTTCACGCCGGCGGCCTCGTTGGGGGGAATCGTACTTGTGTGCCTCCGTGGTTGGTGCAAGTGAGAACCTTCATCCGGGCTTGTGGATGTGTACACGGCTTACCATACCCTGTCTACCCTCATAGACCTGTTACCGTCAGAAGTGGCCCTTGATCAGTGCAAGCTACCGTCTTGTCCCTCCTATTGGCGGCAAAGAATTACTGGAGGATGTTACTGCTGCCTACCAGTTTGCCAGGAAGCTAGGTAATGGCGTAGAAAGAAAGGTCATCGTCGGTGGAGCCAGCGCCGGTTTGTTCTGCTTATACCCATTATTCACATTTGAGTTAGAATAAAACATTAGGGCTGACTCTTTACCAGGGTTTTTTATGGCGGGTTTGGTTGCGCATCATCTTCAACCGCCTCCCCTAGCCCTACTCTCTATTACTGGAATCGCCACATTCCACCACCCCTTTTTCCATTCCTCCATCCAACTCACGCCGAGCCCCATCCCCAAGAGCGAAGTAGAACACTTCTTCGAAGGCCCGGTTGTTGTTGGTTGCGCACCAGAATATGGCAATTGGGCCTTCTCTACTTCGATGCTTTTGCCCGCGTCCACGGCCAGGAATCCGGACTATGTTCATCCAAAGCCCCCGGCAGAGAAGTCTGCGCACGAGAAAGATGTTGACAAACGGGACACGCTTTATGATTACTTCGTTTATGAGAATGCATTTGGAGGTATAGTCGGCGAGGTTGACCCCGGTTTTGACTGGGCTCTGGAAAAGAGTGAAAAATGGAACGCCTGGCCGCCAACAATCTTCATTCAAGGAGATGCCGATGTGGATGTTGACAAGGATGTATCTGTCTCGGCTGCAAATAAGCTTGGTGAGAAATCGACTCTCTTCATGGCTGAACGGCAACCGCATTTGTTTGAAGCGAGCAGTTTTCTGGAAGATGAGAGCGTGGCAATGGACACTGTTCACGCTGCTATTGCTGAACTCAAACGGGCCGTCAATCATGCGCTAGTGCAGAACTGACCCTCAATATAAATTGCTCTTTTTTGACCACTCTCATCCGGTTTACACAAGTGGTATATATAGAACAGATATTTGTCTAACTACGAGTAAAGCCAAAGGGAGAATTCTTCACAGATACCTTGATAAGATTAAAATCAACTGTAGGACCCACATTGCCCATATCTTGTTGTACTCACCAGCCCGATATTATCGATCTCTCGATACGGTCTGTGTGATCCTTTAGGCGCTGCATACCAAAGTCCTTTTGACGGCTTGCACCTGGGCCCTAATTAGCGGCTGCAATGTTGTGCATCTCTATAATTGAGTCCACTTGATAGGGAAAGTTTGATTATTGGCATAGAGGACGCTTTTCGGAACCTGTGGGATGCTGGGCCAGGGGTCTTCCAACGGCTGACACGCAGAATCCCGCTGTCCGGACCCACCCTAGCACTCAACTGAAAGTACTCAATATAGACCCAGGGATTTTGGTGGGCTTTGCCAGAAAGTGGAGAAGCCGGTTGTTGGAGCTGTCCCTAATGGAGATTCCACATCACCAACATTCCAGACCAGAAATAGCAGTCCATCGGCAGATCCTACCTGTCAGAGTCGGTAGCATGACCTCTATGTCTCAGCTCCATTACTTCCCTCGTGTGTTCTCCGTTCCTGGATTTACGATGCGGGTAAACGTGATCCTAATTCCGAGCTCTCCAAAATCTCATCGAGCAAGGTGCGAGTCAATCATAAAGAAGGCGAGATGACTTCTTCGTTACATACATATATACTTGCCCAGCACTGCTTGCCTGGCCGCGGCAAAAAGCCAGATGGCCCGTTGGATGTGGTTGCGGGAGAATAGGAGATTGATCTTGTGAAGGATTAGGATGATAGGGGCTGTCGAAGGCCAAGTAGTGGATTTTTGGATATTTTGTGGTATGTATGTCTATAGGTCTATGAGAATCTTTTTCCGGGAAAGAGCGAGACATGATTATGAAAGGTACATGATTGGCAATACATGGATTGCTTGGGGGAAGATATATCTCGGACCCATGGCTAGCGTATTAATTGATATTGAAACTGGTCGGAGGTCAAGAAACATTAAGAAAGAGTTGGTCGGCACCAACTGCAGAGCAACGACAATCGTTGCTCTAAGAAAGGAAGAAGAGAGAGACAGCCAACAGCAGCAACATGTCATACACAGGGATCATTTTCAGTGCAGAGAACCCAGCGCCGGTGTAGAGTGGTGCCGAAGCAGTCACAGTTCCACTGGCCGAGCTAGTCTGCTGAGAAGCAGGCGCGTTTGTCGAGCTGGCATGCAGACTTGACCCAAAGGCTGACGCTGGGGAGGAAGATGCGCGGACCAAGGTAATAAGGTAGCTCGAGGCTCCCGCCTGGGGCCCAATCGCACCACCAACCGTGTTGTCTGACGAAGTGGAGCCGTTGGAGCCGTTGGTATTCACACCACCAACCGTGTTGTCCGACGAAGTGGAGCCGTTGGAGCCGTTGGCATTCACACCAGATTTGCCGTTCGAGCCAGACGATGAATCCGTGCTTCCCTCGTTGGATTCGGGGTTAGAGCCAGAAGCCCCGCTCGGAGTCACGGCAGGAAGGGAAATCATGGTACTGGTGGCAGTCGGGGTTACCTGGCTTGTAACGAGAACAGTAGACGCCACAAGAGTCTCGGTAGTGACAAATGTGCTCTTTGCGGACGCCGGGCAATCGGTCACCGTTGATGGGCATGCTGTCACCGTGGCGGTACGAGTAGTCCACACTGTGGACGTGATAACACCCGGATAGGCCTCCCCGGCGGAGCCATGTGGTTTTGAGCCAGCCTCAGCGATGGATGTGGCTTCCGCCTCAGCAATAGGGCACACAGTGGTGTAAACCAGAACTGTTTCAGTAGTGACATGTGTGGTCTTCTCTCGAGCGGGACAATCCAATACGCTGGAAGGGCAGGCAGTGATGGTGGTGGTGCGGGTCGAGACAATGGTTAACGTCGTTGATCCTTCCGCTGGAGGTGGGCTGTTGGGTCTGGTAATTGTCGCCGTAGGTTGAGGGGTCTCCGGGAGCGCTGGTGGGGGTACATTTGTGGGCCGATGTTCTTCAGGGCCTCCGGTGTGGGGCTTGTGCATATGGGACGGGTTAGGCCGGTGCATATGAGGTCTGTTGGGCCGTGTTTCGCCGCCGTAGGGGCCTACTGAAGGGGTTGACGAAGCTTGAGCAGAAAGGCTTGGCAAAGAAGAAGAGCGCATGATAGACGAAGGTGACTTGGAGATAGGTCGCTTGCAGGCGGACTTGGACTTGATTCGGTGTAGATGGGACGGGATCCTCGACGAAGCAACCGGCCGGGACGACGGGGTCATCTGCGGCGGCATGGAGCTCAATGGACGGATAGACATCTGCGGCGGCATGGAGCTCAAGGGACGGATAGATGGGCGTGCGGTTGGAACCCTAACTGGCGTAGAAGAAGGCACGCTTGAGCTGGACCGAATGGGGGAGGACGACACCACAACACTGGACGGGGTGCGGTGTGCAGGTGTGGATGTAGGAGTGAGTGTAGGAGTGAGTGTAGGAGTGAATGTAGGAGTGGATGTAGGAGTGAAGGTGACCGTTGAGGTGACTGTAGTGGTACTGCACACCTGAGTAGTCTGGGCGGCGTTGGTGAACTTGGCATTGTCAAATTCGAGAGTGGTCGGGTTCATGAAGTACGCCCAGATCACGAAGACATGCGAGGTTGAGGTCGCGGTAAGGGTTCCAGAAATGGTTTGCCATTCCGTGGAAGGCGACGCCATCGCGCTCGCGAGCACTTGATTGCCGTCGTGTTCGATGAAGAGGTAACTTGATCCTGCACCCGTCATCTTGTAGTCGAACGATAGCGTGTATGTGATGCCCACGGTCAACCCGTTCACCGTCTGCTCTGCTGCGTGATAGCCTTCCGCGCCGGTCATCTGCATGACATAGTCTCCATCGTCGGATGAGTCGCTAATGACGGTCGGCGTATCGTAGACTTCGCCATCGGGGTACTTGATCCATGGAGCCAGTTCACCCGTCTCAAAGGACGGATTGGCGCTGAAGTTGATGGGGACGTCGTTGCAATTGACTTGGGTGCTGGTGACCACTCGCGTGTCTGCCCAAGCCGCTTGTCCTTGCAGCATAAGCCGCAATAGGACGGCTACCAACGCAGTCTTCATGGTCAAAGGCGATTAAAGCAATGTGAAAGAATGAAATGAATGGACGTCCAACCGAAAAGATGGGATGGTTGCTGGGAACCAAAAACGAATGTATAGCTCCGAAGAGAATCGAGAGGACAAGAACAGAGGGTTTGGATCTTGGAGTGCCATAGATTATAAGACAAATGCTACCTATCTCGACGGAATTGCAATAGTTCCCTCTGCCACGAAAACATGGGCGGCTCGCATGTTTGTGTTGTCAAATTGGGACTTAGTTCAGCCTCTCACGCTGGCACGGAAGTAATTGGCGATGGGCTTCGGCTTTTGCCTGGTGAGGTGGAATCATGGGAATCGTGCCATTCGTGGACGCCAGCGAGAACCCCAAAGGTCGAAATTCAATAGTCTCTGGGTTGTGCAAATTAGCGTCCTTTAGACGATAACGAGGCAAGAAAAAGCGTGCGCGCCTATCACCGCCCTCGCGTGTTTTCTTCCTAACGGCGAAGTGGACCTTCCGCCCCGCTTGGAACGCCGCCAGGAACGCTTGCCAGGAACGCTTGCCAGGAACGCCCTGCCAGGAACTCAGCTCGCCACGAGGGTCTTCTGAACCCAGGGAGATCTCGTATAGCTAATAATACCCCTAACTATACTATAGCACCATCCGATCACAGAAAGCAGAATACGCTGGTCTCGCAGAACTCCGTCTACTGCAATGCAGACGGGCGCTGCCAGTGGGTCCGAGCTTGATCGAAGACTTGGTCCAGGTCTTCGTTCCAGATCCACTGCATCCGATCCTTCAGCTTGTCCTTCACAATCGGAAGGCCTTCATCATAGCTCAGCCCGGCGACTTCGTCAATCTTCATCTCGTACAAGTCGCCCGCTTGGCGTGAGGTGACTTGCACCTTTTCCGCACGCGCAACTCGAATCGATTGATAGAGGTGCAGGCAACTCTGCAAGCTGCGTGGGCGAGGTGATTCTAATGCTTGAAAGTACTCTCGGAGACTCCGCCCAATAATCCATCCGTCTTCAAGAGCTTGGCCCGCTCCGGCTCCTAAAATCCATTCTCTGCTGGTTAATCGGCTGCGTTTTCGACATCCAAGATCATAGGCTTCGAGGAACATACCTTGATGAGGACACATCGCATGAGCCGCGTCCCCCAGAAGTGCAACTTTGCCTCCCGAGAATATCCACTGTGGCGTGGATTTCCGGTCAAACAAGACCCATTTCAACGGATGGGCGTTCATATTCCGAATCACACTCTGCACTACCGGAGCGAAGTCTTTGAATTCCTCTTGAACCTCACTTTTGTCACCAGCCAGCGTCCAGCTTTCACGGACGTCTCCCAGCTTCTCCAATGGCGTGGACACAAACCCCACCACGTTGAGGATCTTGTTGTTGCTAATGGGAAAGGTGAGGAAATGCTTCCCCGGTGCCATGAATAAGGCTGCATATGTGGGCAGATCCCACTGGCCTTGGATCTTCTCCATGTCGCAAAGACCCCGGTAGACGACCATCTCGCCATACTGGGCTGTATCATGCTATAATGAAGGTTAGCCAGAGCTTCGTCTAGGATGCATTCTGGTACATACGATATAATGCGAGCGAACGACCGAGTGGATGCCATCTGCTCCGATCACAAGATTGGCAGATGCGGTTGTTCCGTCGGCAAACTTCACGAGCATCGTATCATCTTGATCCTTGATCTCAGTCAGTCTCGTTTCTGCGTCATGCTTTTCATGATTGCGAAAATTACTTCAATCCCTTCACACCGCTTGTTCGTATGTAGTGTCGCTGCTCCTCGTCGTTGTATCGCCTTTACAAGAAGCTCCAAGAATTCTGCACGGTGCATTGGCAACTGCGTGGTATTTCGATTTGTTGGATTCATAATGGTGAGCACTTCTGCGCCGGTATCGTAGCGCCGAAACGAAAGCCAGATACCCTCCCGATCACCGGCGATCGCGAGCGCTTCCTCCTTCAGACCTAATCGTTCAACTAGGGTAGCGGCATTGGGTCCAATTCCCACCCCCGCGCCAATCTCCCCATACTCTTGGGCTTGTTCGTACACATCAATCTTAATTCTTTGTGATTTGCAGTGGTGGTGAATGCAAAGGGCGGCAAAAAGGCCTCCAATGCCACCCCCTGTGATAGCGATGCGAAACATTGAGGCCAAACCAGGGACGGACAATTTGATGAAGATGGATTGATGAGGGTTATCCCTCTTGGCGATAACTTGAAATATATGTCAAATAAGCGCCTAAATCGGATAGCACTCGTACGGCATTGCCGAGGGGAGGTAGAAACACTTGGATGAAGCGGGGGCATCCAACAAGTTAACTCCCCGCGGAACAGTGAACGGACACCCTTTGCCTCCCCGCTATTGCACAGACGACGGAATGTGCCCGCTCCATTTGATTTAGCGTAGCACTGTTACAGTAAGTAAAAACATTACCCATTCGTTACTGACGTGGAGCACTTGTGCATGTCACGTATGCATGGAATGAAAAGGACGTCCTCGGAAATATTCGGTTAGACCGGAGTCCAGATATATTGGAAGCTTTACAAGTCAAGTAATGTATTATATTCAACTCCTCCCCGCAACGCTACTGAATGAAGTCTCGTCATCGAACGCCCAAAAGGATTCGGAAATTCCCGGATCAAGGATTCCAAACTGGGTTTCCAGATCCACCGTGAGATCTTGTGCCAGGCCAAATAAGGCGTGCAGGTCTTGGAGTTCCTCGGAGCCTCTGTTAACAGCTGTCTGCGATGCCATTGAGCCTGTGCTTTGGCGCAGGGGAATACTGCTTTGAGGTATAGTCATTGGTTGCGGCTGCTGGGCCCCCGTACTCTGGTGCAAATACCCAAGCAGCTGTTGGAGAAATGAATAGGCCCATTGTGCAAACGAGTGGTTACTCGACATGGCATTGATCATATGGAGGGCTTCATCCACTTTGTCCAGTGCTGTGCGATCGTGGGCATTTTGAGGATCCACGATATGAGATACTAGAACAATCACAGCATTGAATACTGTTTCGTGGTTAGTGAAGAGCATTAAAATTGGCATCCTTGCTAGTACGTACGATAATAAATATTGAAAAAGTCCAACCCCGATGTTCTCTTGGTTTGTGCATGTCTCAGTGCCACAATATCAATTGACTCCATGGCCGCTTTGACACAGATCTTCTGGCTGAATTGAAGAATATGAGTGACTACAGAGTCGTTGCATGTTGTCGAATTCTCAGCCTTGATTTTCAGTGATTGCCGATGAATCAAGATTCGAACCATGTTTCCGCGCAAGGCTAAGATCCAGGGTGGTTCTTTTGCAGCTGTTTCATCAAGCATCAAGTTTGCGGGTCGCTCCCGGTACCATCTTTGCCATTCTTCGTCGAATCCCATTGCTAGTTCTGCGGTCTCTCGATTGCCACCCTGGCTCTCAGATAGTCGTGCGAGGACTTTCTCGACAATTTGGTAGAGCTTGACGACCTCGATAAAAAACGACATGGAGGATGGCCGTCGAGGGCTCGGGTAGAGAATTCTATCGCTTTGGATGCAGTCGTCATCCAGATCCTCGAGCATGGAGATGGAGAAGTCGGAAGATCGGGTTGCAGGTGGACGTTGATACACCATGCTCCAATGCATGTCGAGCGTATAGGCCGCATACCAAACTCTTCGTTTTGTTTCCCGTAGTGGGGGCGCGTCAGTCTCAGGCGGCTCTTGGTGCAGCCGTAGTCCATAGGCAATGCGAATTGCGAGGCCCAAGACATTCCAGCATTCATCCCCGCAGCTGGTGCCTTGAAGATAGCGAGCGCCCAAAAGGAGGGCCTGGACATGTTGTAATGTCCAATCTCGTAGGATTGTAGGCTGCAATAGCGCCATCGCAGTATCATAATGTTGCCGTGCCGTTCGGGGATTGGCGTCCACATCGACCAGCCAGTGTGACGTGCAAAGAGCGAGAACCATATTCAATAGAACATATTCCAGCCGATGCTTATGTCTATCTCGTAGGGGACAGCATATGGCTGCTTGGAAAGCTGGGCGTGCGCTGGGCACATGGAACATCGGTGTGAGAATATTGCGACATTCGAAATATCGATCCAGAACCTGCAAAGCATTTTCTGGAAGGGCATACAGATCTTCCGAAACCACGCTGGAAGACTTATTTTGCCCACCATTTGACATGACCGTCTTTGCTTGCACATTTTCGTGACCAGGAAGGCTGTTCAAGACGAACTGGGTAAATGACACCCCGCCGATAGACACATTGGCATCCACGACCATTGATGGTGAATGCCCCTCTGACTGGCATGACGGAGGTTCTGGCTCTGTTTCTGAAGTAGAATGATTTGGTTCCGTCAACACCACATCAGAGCTTTGGTTTGGGTGACTCCTTTCCAGAATCTCGAGGCGCTTCTCCAACCCACGTAAGTAGCTGCCATTTTTTGACGGTTTAGTTTGATTTGAAGATAGGAAGCCTGGATTGATTACCTTACTCTTCATTCACCATGACCTTCTTTCTCGCGGGGATCCCTCGCTGTACAAAAGTACACCGTCGGCCATGATGGGCACACGTCGAACACACCGGTCGAATCCCATCACACTTCGTCTTGAGTGCCCGACAGCTAAAACAGGAGACAGGGACTCGGTTCCGGCGCCTCTTTGGTATACTATCCCCATTTCCAGACATAATGAAGTGACCAGATATTCGAGTGCTGCGGACCAGATTTGTAATACGTTTTGCAAAACCGAGCAAGTTCTCCCCCTCGCTTCCCCGCATTCTCGGGAGATGCGAATTGTCCTTCCCGAGTTCCAACCAACACGCCTCGAGCCAAGCCGGACTTACGCCAACCAATTTTAGCCTGATTGGGTCGCTTCAGACTTGCCCCTATTTTATCTCCCCGGTTTCAAAGCACGTGTTCTCATGACGGAAGGAGTTAAGATACCGAGCATTGACTCCCTACCCAGGGTGATGCAGGAGGTCAACATGAGCTTAGGCCCTCCATCCCCACGGGAAGTCATATTGTGGGGTATTTAGCATGCCGTTAGACCCGCGAGTTGAACACCCTTTCCAAGTTTTGGTTCTTCGGGTACCTTTCCAAGTGATCTTTCCTATGCCATATTACTATGGACCCTGAGAAAATGGATGTTGTTCGTGAGGAAGCAATTAGTCCGTCTAATGAGCCTATCCAGCAAAATCAGGTCTTCCATAAAGAGCCCTTGCACCGAGATCCTCATGGGCTTCCAGTGATTCCGCAGCCGACAGCCCATAAAGATGACCCATTGGTATTCCAGAGCCCGCTCATTGTGACGATGGCGATGGAGAAAAATACTAAACGCTTCTAGAATTGGCATCCCGCGCTCAAATTGAGCGTCTGTCTCCAAGTCAGTTGGCTTGCCCTCCTGGGGCCACTTTCAGCTGCGGTTGCGAATCCATCATTTGTTCTGATGAGCCACACGTTTGGCTTGAGTGTTGAGGAAGCTAGTTACGGTGCGCGATCATAATCAAGTTCTTGTAAACCGCCACTGCTATTCATTGGATGCTTACAGATTGCATACTCTAAAAGAACTCACGGTCTTTCTCGTTTGTGCCGGAGTTGGGCCATTGGCCGTCGTCCCCTTTGCCAATGCATATGGCCGTCGACCTGTTTACCTGCTGGGTAATCTCATCGCAGCCATCACGAATATCATTGCGGGTTATTGCGACACCTGGGCTGGGATAATGATTACCCGTGTCTTTAATGGATTGGGCGCCGGCGCTGTCATCGCCATGGGTGCAGCAACTATCTGCGATCTGTACTTTGTGCATCAACGGGGGGTTTATATGGGTATTTATACCCTTGCACTGACAAGTGGAGCACACGTAGGTTTATTTCATCCGATCTGCTAGCATCTCTCACCATCACCTGCAGGTTGCTCCTCTTCTCGGGGGCTTCATCGCGCAGTCTCTCGGGTGGCGATCCTGCTTCTACATTCCCGGCTATATACAGCTGGGCACGTTCGTCTTGACTCTCTTCAGTCTACCCGAGACTCGTTATTCAGCGGCGCATCGTTCTGACTCCACGCCGTATCTGGAGCAAACATACTTCCAAAATCTGGTTTTCAAGCGGAGCAAGGCTCCCGGCCGTCGACCGAATCTCCGAGATTTTTATAGGCCCTTTGAGATGCTCAAATTAGTCGCCATCTTATGTCCTGCCGTCTTATACATGGCCTGCTTTGGTTACGGCACTGTACTTTTTGCGCTGACAGGTGCCAAATTATTTACCACTCTCTATGGGTTTACTACCGCTCAGACAGGTCTGATGCTTAGCATACCTCTGCTGCTTGGAGGCATAACCGGGGAGTTCAGCGCTGGCTGGGTGACTGACTGGCTTTCAAATCGCCACGCAAAACGGAATAATGGCGACCGTCTTCCCGAAGCCCGGCTAACTGCTATATACGGCGCCTTGTTTGTTCCAGTTGGCGTGATTATTGAAGGGGTATGTCTTTCACACAGTGAAACGGTTAGTTGGGTGGGAAGCGCGTTTGGAATGGGCATCGCCAATATGGGCCTTCAAATCGCTACTACAACAATATATGCGTATGCTACGGATGTCAGTTCAGTGCGTCCCGATATTTTGACAGGAATGCCACTAACCAAGGTATTGATCACCAGTGCTATAAGCCTCAGAGTGCAGAGATATCCACTATATTCAACGCTTTCCGACAGATATTCTCGTGTCTCATTTCCTTCTACGCGTCAGTATCCCTTTTGCATTTAAATTGTGCTCAGTCTCACGACAAACTAATGCACTATTGTAGGATTCCGTTTGCTGAAAGAATCGGTATCCAATATGCCTGGCTGACGTTTGCAATCATCGTTGTAATACTTCTAATCCCCGTCGTTTTCCTCAAGTTTCAAGGCCCAAAGTGGAGGAATCTTCCCTCTCAAAAGCCTCCCCTTTAGCGAGTATGATCTATGGTATTCTCCCTTGGCTTAACATAGCAACTGGAACCTAATTCCCCAGCCTGTCTCATTTAAAAAAAATATAAATCAGCCAAAGGAAACGTACTATTGAGAGTGGTCTCTTGAGTAACGAACTGGTATTATATTTTGTATCAAGTCATTCGCAAAAAATTATCTCTATAGCCTTGATAATATCTAGATATCTTTATTTTGGATACCTGCTAACCACATATTTTGTACGGACTAGACGAAGAAAGTAGTAGGGTAGTCTACGAGCGTCTTGATACTCCCGAGCTTATTGAGGCCATAAGAAGGGATAATGGCGATCGCTTTGAAGACAAAACCACGTGAAAGATATTCTAGTGCCTACGGAAGCATGATCTCAACTAGACTCGAGTATGGACAGTCGTCGAGAGTACCACTACCGGCAATTACATTCATCGTCCTTGGCTACGTTATCTATTATACATGGATCGGCGCCTGTCGGCGATAATGAAGTGCAATTTGCTACTTCCAAAAGTGACCCAACTTATAGAGAGTGCATCTAATGGATATCCCGGGATAGGGCGACAAGCCACCGCCTCATCCGGCTCGCCGTCAATAGCCTAGACAAGCCATTCTCCGCAATCTAAACAACATCGCCCAACGTACCCAAAGATTGCCAGACCAGTTTGCCAGTATACCAGCTGTTGAATAGTTCTTTCTGGATCATCAAGGGCGGGATACTCGTCCTTCCTAGGACGACGCCCTTGATCCAGCCTCCCGGGGTTTTCCAAAGCCCGTTTGTCGCTCGCTCCGCTATTTTATCATCAATGGTGTTACGGTAAATCTCGATGTGTTGATGGTGCGACCGATAGAGGGCAGCGATGAAAAAATGGAAGTTTATGCATCGTTCTGGCGTGGAGAGAAGGGTGGTGAAGACGGCATCTTCATCGAAGAGGTGGTGGTATAGGACGGATGTGGTGCGACGAGAAGGGGCACGGCTCACGGATACGCAGTCGAAGCCTGTTGTGCACGAATTGGCTACTTTCATAACAAGGAGGGTTCGTCCGGAGGAATAGAATGTGCTCAGGGCCCCATTGTTGGACAAGAAGATCTCGATCGTGCGTGGGTGAAGATTCCATGACTCATGGATCCTCTGGAAGATCTGATTACGAATGGACAGTACTAGTCTGCCGGGCCGGATTCGGGGAGAGATATCGCTTTGAAGCACCATAGACTTGGGTTATCAACAATTTAGCTTATATTGCCCCTGAGTACGGAGAAGGTAGTTCTCAATTTGATTAAATTGGATCTTGGCCTGCGATATTCGCATGCAATTTTTCCGAATCATTTGGATTAAGTGAATATGAACCTTTCAAGGCCCTGTGGCCTTGATTTGAGGTAGTAGAAGGGTCGGCCCAAGAAGCGTACTTTTCCTCTCAGAACTCCATAGCAGGTCTTGGACCGTGACCTTGGGATGATGAAGGATTCTGTGTCTGTCTTCGGGCCGGAGAAAAATCTGGTTGAAGGGAACTGGGCAGCAACCTGTACGGCGTGCGACCAGGAGTGGGGGCCGTGGGGCTCAAGTATACATTTATAATATGCATGTTCCGCTTAAACTCCGGGGAGAAGTGTAAAAGAGTGTAAAAATGAGGAGTGGAGGCTATGAAAGTCTCAGTAGTGTGTTGTCAGACTGCCAATATGCGCAGTTCGTGCCAGCAGAGATGCAGTAAGCCGCTTGGGCGCTTCAGAGTGGCCTGCTATTGGCCCGCTAGCTATCGCCCTGATAAAAGAAAGGCTGCCAGATCATCAATCCGTCAATCTGACCTCGGGAGTCATCAGCTGAGAATGACCAGTGACATCAACCAAAAAGGCAGGATACGAGAAGAAGGCTCGTAGTAGACGCCTGTGAAATATGCCAGAAAAGGGGATGGTGCGGACTTATCCCGGACATCTTTCTTAGTTAGGTAAGCAGGCTAAAATGATTTCTACAGCAGATTTGGGGGTCGCTTGGCCACTGGGGAATTCGCGTGATTTAGGTGGAGAGTGTCGTTTCGCCAATAATACTCAATGAACACCGTAGTTGTTGCGTTTTACTCAAAAAGGAGGCGAGTCAATCAATTAGCCTATTATGATTGCCCATACTACTACAGTAAGTCGGATTTCTGAAGCGGCTGTTGGTGCTCGAGGAAACAGTGCATGGGCATCACGGGCGGGAGATATTGGCGGGGATCAGTGATCCCCGCTTACCCTTTAATCACCTTACTATAGAATGGAGCCTTGGCAGGCGCACTTGGCTTGGACTAATATGGCATTATGCGTCTGTGGTAAGATCTTTAGCGCGCAAATACCGTGAAATTGCACTAATTTAATTCCATGGTGATTCTCCACACTTTCTCCACACTTTCCCTTGACAAAATTATCGTCGATTATATTCTAGAAGGATTTCGAAAGCTCTCTCAAGTCATACTCACCGCTGTCGATGCTGCTATTTGCCGGAGTAACAAATTTAGTCCTACGCAGTGGGCTACATTACCAACATCACCTGGCAACACATCGTAGAAACATGACTCAAGCAGTTAATTATTAAGAAGTGAATCTACATAGCAAAGCAACCATTAAAGACCAAGGTGACGTACTCAACAAAGGAAGAAACCTCCACGAACCGGCAAGGAAAGGGTAGAAAGAGGGATATAACCCATGCTACGCTTCAACCTGCCTGCCCCGTAAGATACTACTCACGCAACACAACCTTCCCCCCTTCCCCAGGATAGGGCCTATCTTCTTCCCCACATCTTCCTCGTCAGAGGTCTTCCTGCAGTCTGAAAGGCCTGGATGATATACCCGACCCCTCCCTCCGGCGTTCGCTGCACAAAGAGGGCCCCCATTGTGAGATAGAATACGGCGACAATCCCGACTAGAGCTCCTTGGACCCCCTGCATAGGTTTGCCACGCGAAATATACAATGAATCACCAAGATCCCTTTGTTCTCCAGACGAAGAAGTGTTAAGCAACGCATTCATACCCTGTAGCGAGCCGAGGACGGTCACTAATGCGAGGGCAAGCGAGAAGGCACTCAAGGCGATTGCCGTCACTAACATTGTCTTGTACGATCTCTTTCTGGATGTACCCGTGCGAGCGACGAAGAGCATAATGCCCGTGCTAAAAAACAGGATGAGATGGAGGATGGGAGGTTCACAGAAGAAGACATTCTGCTGGAGATGCTTGGCTTGTGGGAGTGTGGTGTTCAAAAAGGCTTGAACGTTGGATTGGGCGGTAGAAGAGTTGAGGTGTAAAGGCTCCCAAAGATCTTCGCTTAGGTCGACTAAATTTTTGCGGCGCATGGTCAAGACGCAGTGGGTAGATGTTTTTGCGGAGGAATTTCCATTGGTAGAGGATGCCTCAGCTACTTCTGTGACCGAAACGCAGCCTCCTGTATACAGTCAGTTGGGACAAACATTTCCCAGAGCTTTTGTTAATGAGGGAAGATTGGCTTTTCCACGACTCACCAAAGTAGCCGACACGAAGTGAGATATTGTATGTCTCGTTTGTTGAGAGTTCAGCAAGGTAAATTTCATTGGCGTTTGCTGTTTTCGAGATGCAGCCGGTCATGACATAGACTAGATGCCATTAGAGACACGCCGTATTACGGACTTTGTTCAAACTTACGACCCAAAATGATGGCCACCAGATAGGAGATAACCGCCAGAAACACGAGTGGACATGTCGACCGTGATCTCTTTTGATTAACTGCCCCGAGAATTTATTAGTGTCATTCTCAAGATGTTGCGTAGTTGTGAGAGCGAAAAGTCAATTCTCTTACTTGGTTTGTCAAAGACGACCGTTTGTGTCTGTGGAAGAGGCGTATATGTCTGTGCATATTGAGGGCCCATGGGTAGAGAATTCATGGGAAGGTGAACTGCACTAGCAGATGAAGTTGGCTTCTTCTTGCCAGTGGTCTTCTTCCCCGTCTTTTTTCCTGCCTTCTTTACCCCAGTTTTGGCCTTCTTTCGCGGAAGTGTTGAGGAGCTGGAGTTTTCCATAGTTAACTGTGGCTAATGCAGTAGAATAACTTGAAAAGATGTCTGTCACCAAGCTCGCACACAACTGCAGGTGATCGTAACTCCTCCGGGGCTGTTTATGCCTTTATGTACTCTCGTTCAGTTAAAGTAAACAATTGGGCCTATTGGTTGAGCAGAATTCAAGGGCAAAAGATACATACGTCTTACATCATCTCATTCATCCCATTTCCAACCCACCCACGTAGTTTGCATATGCATATCTTCTGTTTACCAACATCACATGGAATTTATTTTAAGCAACTCCACATATCTCCACTAGTTAAGATGATGGGGCATGCGGTTCGCCCCGAAAGTCTAAAAGTGTATACCTCGTATCCATACTTGGAAGGCCGTTCGCCGATCCCTCACTGTAGTATCTACTGGGTACAATGGGGCAAAGCCCGGTAGTCCCAACGGACGAATAAACCACCGTGTTTGCCTTGTTGACCCTTGTCGCTGCATGTACCACACCTGCAGCTCGTATCATCGAAAAGGACCATATCGAAAACCAGGATCTCCAAGGGGCTGAAAAGAGGGGCGGGCGTTGTTCAGCCGCAACACATGCAACTTAATCCTGTCCTTCCTGCAGGTCTTTGTTTTGGGTTAAAGTAACCTCGAACACAGGGCTATGCTATGGACACGTGTGGAAAAGATGAACCTATGGTTAGCACAAGGCTGTACCTGATCCCTGAATATTTAGTCTTGGCATGTCTCCAACAAGCCCAAATCAAGATTTTTGCTTTGTTTGACATGATTCATTCCTGCCACATTTGTATCGATACACAGTAGATTGTGGTCACTGTCAAACACAGAGTAATCGTAGCGACCACCACTAACCGAAATTCGACAACTACTGCATGGGGGACTCAGGGATCGTACAGTAGTCGACTTCAATGACACCCGGGTCGTCAAGGTCTGTGCACTTGCAGCCGGCGCATACCGCGGCCAGATATTTCAATGTGTGGGTGCTTGCCATGGCATCTTAGTTAGCATGCTGAGATGAATGTTATGTTGTAGATGTAGCGAAACTAGGTCAACCCAATAATAGCCCAAGATACTGGAAATCTAAATTTACACCCAATGCATATCGCAGCAGGATTTGAAGCATCAGGTTTGGGGGCTTAGCCCACGGTTATCATGGCATGACTCAAGCTTGTAATATTCAAGCGGCTCAACAGCAACAGCCCTCGTGCCGCTCTCCCAACATCATTCCTTCCCCTGTGCGTAAACTCAGGCTTCGTGTCAGCCCCCTTGGACCGTTTCTGCCCTCTACATAATCCCTCTATGCCTCCCTAGAAGAGACCCAGATCCACAACCCTTCCCTACAGAACGTTTCATTATGGTTAACATGCGTCAGAATCCTGCTATATCTACAGATAACGCGCCCGTTCCTCTTGGCAGGAAAGGCCTAGTCGCAAATCTCGAGCTTCAAACAGAGGTTCCAAAACCCAAGAAGCACGACGAGACGAAGGCCATTGACATTGTCGCTGTTCATGGTGTGACCCCCTGGGAGACCGATGCTGGCTTCTCCTTCTGGCTGCGCGATTTCATTTCGCGGGACATTCGCGGGGCCAGAGTTTTTACATTCAATTACGACGCCAAGGCAGTCTGGTTCCCCGGAGCACCACTGAATAACATTCAAGACTCGTCCAGGGCCCTGTTGGTTGAAATTGCTGCTATTCGGGAGGAAGTACCGAGGACACGGCCTCTGGTATTGATCTGCCATGGCTTCGGTGGCTATATAGTTGAATCTGTGAGTATTTCTTTCTGCAGACGCACTCCTTCCTCGGCGGTATCATGTGGCTAACAGATTGCGGAACCAAGTGCTTGAATTATGCCTTCGCACACAGGTCGTCATTTCCAAATATACTCGATTGCGCTCGGGGTGTCATCTTTCTCAGTACGCCGCAACGTACGTCATCGGACATACCCTGGGAGACGCTCTTGACGCGTTGCGCGATAGACAGTATACCTTCATGGTTGACCCCGGCCGAATTGTCAGATTTGGAAAGCCTTGCATGGGCACAGAGAAATGCAGATATTCTGCGCGATATCTCCAAAGGGTTCAACGCAGGGGTGGCCCGGGAAATGAAATTGATCTCCTGCTACGAGGAGATTCCGACGTCACCACAGCGGGAATGTGTAAGTTTTAGCTCGCAGGCTCTTGTATGGGGAAAGTGATTTACTAATCTAGCCTCAAGAATTTGAACAAGTACTCGTCAGCTCTTGGTCTTCGTGGCGAGAAGGTCCTGTTGATGGCGGGTTGCAGTCACCTCTCCATGGCATATTTCCCAAACAGGGAGGATGACAACTACAAAGCAATTACCGCTGCCATCAAGAGGATCCGAAATGCAGCACACGCAGCATTGAAGGATGCGGCACCCGTCCCTACTGTTCACTGCTCTGAGCCCGGGCCGCACAGTAACCTTCAAGAAATCCAGAAACCCTGGGAAAGTGAGGCATCTCCGGCGATGACTGCGCATGCCGTTTCAAGTACTTCGATTGTGCGTCGACAAAATATCAACTTGCCGAATGCAATTACGCCATTGTCGCCGATGCCACTGCGTCCATTGCGTGCTCGTGACTTAGGCCATAACACATCGCCAACTCCCATGGCCACGCCTACGCAGTCGCCTGCCCATGGCAACATCCAGGTTGTATCAGTGACCTCTGCTACGCACTGTGTCGCTAGTCTACAATTCCAGCAGGCCGATCCCAGCCAGAAACAGATTCGCAGGCGTCCTGTCGGTCAGCCCCCAAGACTTGCAAAGAATATACCTGGATCGGCAGTTGTCAGTCCCATGTCAAACTCATCTGGTCGCGAACTTCAAACTGCCGTGCAGCCCCTACAGCCTACATTACTATTAGAAGGGCGTCATCCTGCGCCTGGACAATTTGGATTGGAAATACAGCAAACTCAGCACACACTCACCGAAATTGCGCCCGTCACTGCGCTTGGGCCAAACTCCTCCGCCAAGTCAGGCAAAAAGTCCAAAAAGTCACAGGAGGTCAGCCTTCTGAGTCCCATAAAACTACCTTCGAATCCCGGAAATTCAGCACCTAGGCCACCAGCCGTCTATCAGCCCATCGGCAACAAGCCCGTGCTCTCTACATCCGGCAGCGTTGACAAGAGAAACCAACAAATACCTTATGCAACTACCAAAACCATGCCAATTGGTTCAGCCCAGCGTATCGCCCCGCAGCCTACTTCAAGTACCTACGAGTACCCTCCAGTTCCACATGCACCTCCTATCAAGCACCCTGCGGCCCTCACTGTTACACCAATGCCAACTCCAGTAGCATCTCCAAAGAAAAAAGCAAAGCCACCGCAGATACCCCCAAGCGAGCAAAGCCCCAAACCTCGAAAACTACCAGGAACGAAGTCGGTGCCAAAACAGACCGGTCCCCAGAAGGTTGACTCAGCAACTAGACGACCTCCAATCCCAACTACCACAGGTGGAAAAGTCCCTAAAATCCCCTCAACGCATGTTCAAGTCTCTCCCACTATACAGCAAGGCCAGCGAGGACTGCAGCCACAGCCAAACTACCCTCCACCCCCTAAGAACTCCGGGATCTTTAAGAGGCTTTTCTCGTCTGGCAAGGGTTCGGCACCTGCCCCCACCCTAGGAGACACAGGAATGCGCTCAGCATCCCAAAGTGGTCCATACCAGCCGTACAGACCTCCGTCGAAGCCGCCTGCTTCGGGGGGCCCTGGGGTATTCTCGGGATCACGAGGTGGCCCGTACCAGCCGTACAAGGCTCCGTCAAGTGCGCCCTTGCCTTACCATGGCACTCCGAGGTATGGGCAAGGTCCATTCATGCATGACCACCATCCTAGTGGCCATTTTGGGCCAGGGCAGCATCAATCTTGGGTACATGGTAACCAGGTGGGACACGGTCATGGTTTTGATCATGGACTAGGTCAAACTTCTATTCACAATACCAGTATTTCAGTCGCGCCAGCGGGCCCTTTCGTGCATACAGGACCAGTTGAGCTTACAGGGCTGGTCAACCCAACAGACCCAGTTGAGTCTGTAGGTCCGGTCAAGCCTACAGATCCAGTCAACCCTACAGTCGGACCAACAATTTCAGTTGAGTCAATAAGCCCTGTTGAACCCATAGTTCCGGTTGAACCTATAGGTCTTGTTGAACCTACAGGTCTGGTTGAGCCTACAGCTCCGGTTGAACCTCTAGGCCCGGTTGAGTCTACAGGTCCGGTCAAGCCTACAGATCTAGACAACTCAACAGTCGAGCCAACAATTCCAGTCGAGCCAACAATTCCAGTCAAGCCAATCAATCCGGTCAATCCTGCAGGTCCGGTCAAGGCAACAGATGTAGCAACGCTAACAAATCCGGTTGAACCTAAACGTCTAGTTGAGCCGAGAGATTCAGTCAAATATACAGGTCTAGTCAAGCTTCAAGGTCTGCTTGAGCCTACAGGACGCGGCTCTGGCCATGACCAAATTTATGGGCAGGACCTTACGCACGGTCATAATCACGACCAGGCTTATTGGTCCCAGAACCAAGGCAGTGGAGGTGGGGCTATAGCCGCTGGCGTTGCGGGTCTAGTGATAGGAGGGGGTGGTGCAGCTATTCTGGCAGCCCATATGGGCCAAAGCGAAGAAAGCGAAGGAAACGAAGAACATGAAGAGGATGAAGACGAAAGTGGAGACAACGAGAGTGATAATGAGGGGAGTGACGATGAGGAGAGTGATGAGGAGGAGAGTGATGAGGAGGAGAGTGATGAGGAGAAGAGTGATGAGGAGGAGAGCGATGATGGAGAGAGCGATGAGGAGGAGAGCGATGAGGAGGAGAGCGATGATGGAGAGAGCAATGAGGAGGAGAGCGATGAGGAGGAGAGCGATGAGGAGGAGAGCGATGATGGAGAGAGCAATGAGGAGGAGGATGAAGACCATGAAGACGACGATGATGAAGAAGACGAGGAAGAAGATGATGGAGAAGATGAAGACGACGAGGGAGATAACGATAGTGATGAGGACGACGACGAAGAGGACGAAGACGACAGTGGAGACGACGATAGTGAAGAGAGTGACAGCGATGATGAAGGCGATGAAGATGAAGAAGACGATGGAGAAGTCAATAGTGATAGTGATGAAGACGAAGAGGAGGAAGAGGAAGAGGAAGAGGAAGACGAAGACGAAGAGGAAGAGGAAGAGGAAGAGGAAGATGAAGAGGAAGAGGAAGAGGAAGAGGAAGAGGAAGAGGAAGATGAAGACGATCATGATGCTTACAGCCATGATGAGTATGACGATTATGAATGATTTACTTTGTACACACTGTGGCCTAGGACATGCAGACATCTGGAGAGGAAGTTCATTAATTCAAATTTAACTTTAGAATACTTGATAAATCTTTTTAATTCAATAGGGCCGGGTAGGATCTTTTCAAGTTGAAGCCATTATTGTGCTTCTTTGTTGATTTTATATGGGGACTTAGCCTGGTTAGGTGGCTATACAGCAAATAAATGTGTCTTACTATATATGGTACTAAACTGTACATGCTAACTACATATTACTAGCTGTGGCTATGTGCAGATGCCAAGATACCGGGCGTTTTTACTGTAGATGGAACGGGACAACCCAATAACATTCTGTGATTATTCAACTAAGCCGGTTAGTACAGTGGCTGCACGACTTGGGTGATTCTCACCCTGTCTACTGCGCACTTACCTAATCACCCTCGCGCGGCGCTAAAGCGGCGCTGACCCTATAATAGTCTCACCCGGGCGGCACCCACCCGACTATTAACCGTAGCCACACGCCGGCCAGTTAGTAGTATGGCGGGTGACCACATGCGAATCCTGGCTATTGTATGTTTTTGTTTTTCAAATCTTATGCTTTTTATCTTTCTCAAGTCTTATTCACTCACACATACTAGGAATATTATTATTTATTTCCATTATAGTCTCTCCAGCCTCTTCCACAAATTTGGTCAGTCCTCCAATTGGGATTTAAAAGCGGATGCTCTTCGCTGCAATATTTTTCACATCTTCAAGGGTATACCCATAGAAGCTCATGGAAAACTTTTGTCAATTCATGTATTCCTCACTCACTACATTTTTTTTCTCTTCGCTAATTCCATTGCCCACCCTACGAGAAACATATACTTAAGCAAACCTGGTAGGGAAGGCGGTGAATATCATTTTCTGCCTCAGGCGGAAAGCATCGCGCATCCAAACTGCTTGCAAGCAAAGCATCGCCGGGTACTTTATTTTCAAGCTCGCCTCCAACCCGCCCGCCTTGACACCTCCCTGGCTCTCCCTCGGCTGCGTACTTGCACGTCTCACCCGGTCCTTGAGTGACGGCTACTTGCATCTTTTTGCATCTGCTTTGATCTATCATCTCGTATCGCCCGACGCAGCTCTCTGGCGCGCCCTTTCAGATGTCCCTCTTCGGCAGCGTTGCCGGCGCGGCCTCCACGTCCGCAGGCCAGACCAACACTACGGGCGACATCTCCAAGGACGTCGCGCTCAACCAACCCCCAGAGGATGGCATCTCAGATCTCCGTTTCTCGCCCGCTAGTGAGCATCTGGCTGTCGCGTCGTGGGACAAGAAGGTCCGCATCTACGAGATCAACGAGCAGGGTCAGAGTGAAGGGAAGGCGCTCTTCGAACATGAAGGCCCTGTGCTGAGCTGCTGCTGGTCTCCGGTAAGCTTCATGCTGGTTTTCCAGTTCCCGCTGGAGGGGTTTGTGCCCGGAGCTAATTTGCGACTTTTTTTTGCTTCTAGGACGGATCCAAGGTTGTCGGTGCTGGTGCCGACAAAGCTGCTCGCCTGCTGGACCTCGGATCAGGCGGCTCGGCTGCCACGCAGGTTGCTGCACACGACGCCCCGATCCGAAGCTGCCATATGATCCCCAATCCCTCCGTGGGTGGCTCCCCGCTCCTCATCACGGGCTCGTGGGACAAGACCGTCAAGTACTGGGACCTGCGGCAACAGAACCCAATCGCGTCGATCGAGTGCCAGGAGCGTGTGTACTCAATGGACGTGAAGAACAAGCTCCTGGTCATCGGCACTGCGGACCGCTACATCAACGTCGTGAACCTCGACACCCCGACCAAATTTTACAAGACCATGCAATCCCCCCTCAAGTGGCAGACGCGGGTAGTCAGCTGCTTCGCCGACGCCTCGGGCTTTGCCGTCGGCAGTATCGAAGGCCGCTGCGCCATCCAGTACGTCGAGGACAAGGACTCCGCTTCCAACTTCTCCTTCAAGTGCCACCGCGAAACTCCCCCAGCCAACCGCGACATCTGCAACATCTACTCCGTCAACTCTATCTGCTTCCATCCCGTCCACGGCACCTTCAGCACTGCCGGTAGCGACGGCACTTTCCACTTCTGGGACAAGGACGCCAAGCACCGCCTGAAGGGCTATCCAGCCGTCGGCGGACCCATCTCTAGCACCGCCTTCAACCGCAACGGAAACATCTTCGCCTACGCTGTCAGCTACGACTGGAGCAAGGGCTACTCTGCCAACACCCAGCAGTCCCCCAACAAGGTCATGCTACACCCCGTGGGGCCTGATGAGTGCAAGCCCCGACCTGGTCCTCGCAAGCGATGATCGAGGTTCAGAATGAATCAAAGAGGATGACGCTTGGGGGTCGTGTCCAGCGAGCGTCGTGCGGCGATTAGCGCAACGAGCATGTAATGAAACCCTTTTTTTGTCATACCGGCGTGTGTGTTTATTTTATTTTGGCTTAAAGAGATTTTGCAAATGGGATTCCTCTGAAGCTAGTCGTTCTGGCTCCTGCGCTGCTATTCACTATTTTCGTATGCCTTGATTCCCACTTGGCTTTGCTTTTCACGAATGTCTGAGATGGCCAAAGAAACAAGGGGGAAAGCAACTGCTGAGTGCAACAAAAAAATGCGCAAATATACGTCTTGTCAGTCTCCAATGTCGCGTGGGTTTTCAGGTCTAATAGTGGAAACAAGGCATGTGAACCCATCCATACCAGTAAGATAGGTAGATAGGTAGATAGGTAGCTATAAATCAAACAATCAACATGAAATGCAAGCAATGCAACTCCCATTTCTTTCCAGAACACCCATTCTCGTAGATTCATGTGTATGATAAAAAGGAAAATGCCAGTCCAGCGTCAAGTATATCAGTGTCTGTCCGAAACCACGTCACTCATTCCAATCAATGACCTATGACCCATGACCATAGCATAACCCCCACAATGTCGGCGCCGCTAGGAAAATCACACTTCCCTCTAGCTCCCCTGGCAGATGCCTTAACTCCCTCTTCCTATCTTTCAGTGTTGCACGCTTCACGAGGTCGGAAGAGTGACCTGCGCAACGCCGTCGGTGATCTTCTCGACCGCCTCGTCGTTGGGTCCGTCAGTCGTCACGCTGGGGCTCTCAGCGCCACCTTTGGCCGTGGCCTCGACTCCGCCGGGAGCCTTGATCTTGTCCTTCTTCTCCTTCTTCTTGGCCTTGGCGGCGGCCTTTTTGGCGGCGAGCTTGGCAGCATCGTCGGCCTTCTTGGCGCGCTCGGCCTGGGAGCCGCCAAAGCTCTCACGCCACTCCTCGGCCTTCTTGGGGTCGATGCGAGAGAACAGGTACTGCGCCTTGCCAATCTTGTGGCTAGCCTTCAGGCTGTCGGGCTTCCAGCCGTCCTTGAGCACCTCCAGCGAGGGGATCTGGAGGAAGGGAGCGTCCAGCTGCTCCAGGATCGACGTCGCCGTTGCGGGCATGTAGGGGGCAAAGACGCTAGACAGCAGGTGAATCAGGTTCAGTGCTGTGCCGACGACGGCCGCGGCAAGCTCGGGCTCGTTCGCAATCAGCGAGTTGTCCAGGCGGTTAGCCTGAATCAGACCGTTACCCGCCTCAGCAATTCTCATAGCGGTGTTGACGCCGGCACGCAGGTGGACGCTCTCCATTTCCTCGATGTACTGCTTCAGGAGACCGCTGACCTCCTCCAGGAAGGGGTTGAAGCTCTCCGGCACGGTGAACTCGGGGATGACACCGCCGTAGGATGCGGTCACAAGCTTGATGACACGGTTAACGAGGTTACCCAGCTTAGCGAGCAGCTCACTGTTGTTGGCGTCCACGAAGGAGCGCCACTCGAACTGAGTGTCGCCGGTCTCTGGGCGGTTCTTCAGCAAGTAGTAACGCCAAACATCAGGCGGCACGCCGGTTTCCTTGGCGTTAGTGCCGAAGACACCGATTCCGCGAGACTTGCTGAACTTGCCGTTCTCGTAGTTCAGGTACTCCGTCGCGCTGAGGTGGTGGTTCATGGTCCACTTATCCCGGGTGCCAATCTGAGTGGCAGGAAAGATGACGCTGTGGAAAGGAACATTGTCCTTGCCCAGGAACTGGTACAGCTGCACATCCTCCGGGTTGCGCCACCAGAGCTCCCAGTCCTTGGTATAGTTGGCGGTGATCGAGGGGTAACCGATGCAGGCCTCGAACCAGACGTACAGCACCTTGTTCTCGTATCCTTCCAGAGGGACGGGGACACCCCACTTGAGGTCACGAGTAATGCCACGGTCCTTCAGACCCTCCTTCAACCAGGACTCAGTGATAACCTTGGAGTTCTTAGGCCATTCACCCTTGCTAATGGCCTCCTCCGCCCACTTCTCAACCTCCGGCTGGAGCTTATCGAGCAGCAAATGGATATGTTTCGTCTCACGGCGCACCGGGGTGGCCCCGTCGAGCTTGCAGCGGGGATTGATAAGGTCAAAGGGATCGAGGAGGTGACCGCACTTGTCGCACTGGTCTCCGCGCGCATCATCGTAGTGACACCGGGGGCATTCACCCTCCACGTAACGATCAGCCAGGAAGGAGCCGTGCTGCTCGCAGAATGGCTGCTCGGCGGTGCGCTCACCGAGGAATCCATTCTCCTGCAGGCGCCTGAAGATAGCCTGCGAGATCTCGGTATGCTGCTTGGTCGGAGTGCGGCCAAAGTGGTCGAATCCGATGTTGAACCACTTATAAACCTCCTGGTGAATCTTGTTGTACTTTGCGCAAAGCTCCTCCGGCGTCACCTTCTCCTCCAGCGCTTTGGTCTCCGTTGCTGTTCCATATTCGTCCGTTCCACAGATGTATAGTGTTGGCCGACCGCACGCCTTGTGGTACCTATCATACACGCGTGAGTCTGGGTGTTGCGGTTATCGTGGCGGGGTGATAGTGAGTTGAGTCATACCTCGAGAATACATCGGCGCTCAGCACAGAGCCGACGACGTTGCCCAGATGAGGAACATTGTTCACGTATGGCAGTGCACTAGTAATGAGGATATTGCGCTCGCCCTTTTTGGGCAAAATTGGGTCTGACGCCATTGTGGTTTGGGGGAATTGAAAAGCGTGAATGGAGGGGTGAGGCGGGAAAATCGATAAAAGTGGGCATCTCGTGACATTTGCGCCCCGCATATCAGAAATTATGAGTTCTCTTCGATTCCCGTTCTTTGACTCCGAACGAACCCCCCCCTTGCATTGCTTTTTCCCGATGGAGTCCAATCTTCTAGATAGCCTTCTCGATCTTGAGGAGCAGTTTTATAACGAAGGTTATGATCTTGGTGTCGCCGATGGCGCCGATGCTGGCTACACTGAAGGCAGCGTCTTCGCCGTCGAGAAGGGCTTCGAGAAATTTGTGGAGATGGGACGATTGTACGGCAGGGCGCTAGTCTGGGCCCAACGACTAGCCGACTCCAGGCCATTGGAGACATCCGAGCAGCCATTGAGCCAGCCGGTGGTGAGCGCCGATGCCATCCCTCTCGACCCATCCGTGTGCAAAGAAATGCCCATACTTCCAGCGCACAGTGCGCGGGTGGCCAGAAACCTCTCCACCTTGTTGGAGCTTGTTGACCCAGCTTCTCTGGACATGACCAACACGGAGGACGCTGTGAACGATGCAGACGAGCGCCTGAAGGGTGCCGCAGTCAAAGCCAAGTTGATCCAACGAGCAATTGGCGAGGGGGAAGAGGGTTTGGATGCTCGACCGGGTACAAAGGAAGGTCAAAAACCTGGAGATGGAACTGGCAACATTGAAGACATTAGTTCGCTCAGCGTTCGTCACTGAGGTTACGCATGTTGACATTCGTCACAATACACTGCCTCATTCTAGCCATATTCTACGGCATCCAAAGTTCCCAGACGAACGAAAGTCTCTACCGCAGCTATCATTGCAACTCAGAAAACTTGCGTCGGTTCCGAAACTAGGCAAATTCAAAGACTCTTCCAAGGCTAATTGCCGAAGAAGCAGCCCTGTCTCCGAGCACTTATATATCTGCATGGCTCTCTTTCGCACAATTTACCACGCCAATCGCATCGACACATCCCCGCATCAAGCCACCATTGGTCTGAGGACGGCGAAAGCAAGGGAAACAAGGATAGAGATTGGATACTTCTCTGCGACGGCTCCCGAATGGACTGGCTGTGCAAAGAACATCGCCGGCAGGAACACCCAGTGAATCCAACGCGATAGCAGGGGCCTTGCGACAGGACGACCGTGACCTCAAAAGGAAGACAATATCTATCGATCTAGGACTATTCAGGCAGCAGAGCCAAGTAATTGCTAGCTCAGCACAGCACCCGAGATTCGAAGTTCTTCATTTGAAATCATCATCATATATGAACAAACCATTCACATCCCATGAACCGGTATAACTTTTTTGATCTTCCAAGCCCAGTGACCTTGCATCCAGTTATTACTCCAGACTGCGCACTGCCATAGCCATAGCACCCTCTTTAGTCTTATGCCCACCAATGAAACCACTAGCATGCACAAAGATCGCACCCTCCGGCAGCTTCGACTGGCCGTTCTTCTCCGCCTCCGAGGCCATCAAGCCATCCAGGTCTTGATCACGCACACCACGCCACGCCTCGGGAAGCGGCTTGCGAGACTCGAAGCTGCCCTCGGAGGTAGACACGCACTGCACGCGCCACTTGGCATCCTCGGCCGCGCTCTCGGGGTACAGAACGTAGTACACCTGGGCGTCCGGGCCAGCTGAGGCATCACGCTCGAAGTTGTACAGGTGTTCCTTCCATGGGACACCGCCCTGCGGTAGCACGAGGATGCGGCCTGAGGGGTGAGCCTCCGTGCGGGCGGCGTAGGCGTTACCAACGGTGGTGCGGGCAGGCAGCCATGAGGTGCTGGCCTGGTGGAGCTTGCGCGTGAACACGTTGCCGATGAGCGTGCTGGCGCGGCCGAACAGGCTGTCTTCGTCCTGGGGCTCGCCGGGAGGGCTAGTCGGGTCTGGGTTGTTCATGTCGTTGACGATGGAGGCGAGGGTCACGCCGCCATCCCTAAAGCGCTTCTCCAGGTTGGCGGCAGCCACCGCGGCCGGGTCGTAGGCGGCGATGCCATTGTCATTGGCGTCAATGGCCTCGATAAAGTCCGTGTACAGCTTCTCGTAGAGCAGGTCGACATCGGCGTGATCCTGGGGAAGGGACATATGCTGGGCAATGATGGCGCGACCGAAGTGCATGTACACAAGGCCTGCGGAGGAGAGCTTGGTGTGATGCTTGGGGAATACGGTGTCAAAGGTCCGCTGGTGGTGGTCATAGCGGTTGACGGCGGCGTCATACACGCCGCCCACGTCTACCACGGTGTGGCATGTCTCCAGCTGGGCCGGGTCGCGGGTGCGAACAAGGGGAGACGAGGCATAGGTGGGCAGGAGACGCAGGAGGTAGACGGCTAGGGCCTCGTCGGCGTGGAAGTGGCCGCTGGGTGACCGGGTTAGATGGAACCGTTCCAGAACAGATCTGGAGGCGGGAGCTCACTTGTGGGTGCCAATCAAGGGCGAGGAGGTCTTGAGCTTCTTGGTTGCTGTTTCTTCGGCCATTTTGAATAGTTGGCGCAGGCGCAGCATCCACGGGAGTTGATATCAAGAAACAGACAAGACAGCTCGGAGCTATTATGATCGGGTCTGCTCTGGCTGGCTGCCCGCTCTTATCTGCGTATCGCCGTATCGGGAAAGTAGGGCTGGCGGTCAGGGCCGGTATTGATCACCTGACCACGCGCTTTCCAGGTTAAATCTAACTGTTTTTGGCAACGTGGACCTGCCCGCCTTGGCCGTCACAGCTGATTATGAAAGAGCATCTCTCGAGGGATGTACTGTTACATCGTGGCCTGTGTGCACTCCGCCCCAGCTTAAAGTACTGGGTACATAACCTCGAGGAGTCGGCCCTCCGAATTTATGGTTGATGGCGCTATCACTCGGAGCCGTCCATCGCGCTGATTGATGATCCCAACTGGCCCCCTGGCTCACATCACGCCTGTATTATCCACTATGGCCTCTCTATACAAGGTGAGAACCCCATCCGTCCTACACTAGGTGGCACTCTCGTAATGCCCCCCATCGGGCCCAGATCGGGAAATTCGCCATACGGTGCTCTGACCGCTAGTCTTACCCCTTGTGGGTGCCTGAGCCCGGCTGGTAGAAAAAAGAACACCCAGGAAGCTGGTCGGACGTAAAAAAGCATTCTACCTGTGCGGAGTAGTATATTCTCGTGCAACCCCGGGCAGTAGTAATTATCCACTATACGGGGTATACGAGGGACCTCCATCCGACTAGCTCATCCCACCGCCTGCAGCAAGCAGCCACTCATTCTTTATGCTACCCTCCAAACAGCACGGCCAGGCAGTACCGACTCCCTTTTCCTGCTGCTGGACGAAACCCTCCCCTCCCAAAGCTAGCGGGCCCACGTGAAAGGGCGATAAGCTCGAAAAGAGAAAAAGAAAAATAACAGTCGTGTGCTTCCCCTCCCTTTCCCCTTCCCTTCAACCAGTCTTCCTCGTCTTCCTCCAACCCACGCGATCCTCACCTGCTTTCGCGCGCTGCCCGCGCGTCTCCCACCCCGATGTGGCTCTTCCGAGTCTTCTCGTCGGCCGTCTTCCTCGCCGTGGTCGTCTCCTCCATCCCGCTGGCCTTCGACGTGGGAGGCAAAGTATGCGGTCTGGCCTTCTCGCTTTCCCTCGCCGCCTTCTACTTCCTGTTCTCGCTGCTGAAGCTCTCCACCCCCGAGCGCTCGTGGTTCCGGTCGTCCCTGGTCGTCGTGATCAGCTCTACCCAATGGATCTTGATCCCAATCCTCTTGATCTGGTCTCTGAATCGCTTCTCGGTCGATGCGGATAGTAGCGGTGGGTGGGTGGAGCGTACTTTCAGTGGGAAGAGAGCGGCCGATGGCTCGATCCAGGAGTGGCTCTTTGGTCGCGATGGTCTGGTGGAAATGGTGACCCTGGGCAACTGGGATCGACTGCTGCGCTGGTCCACCCCCGTGTTCCAGCTCGCAGAGGGCTTCTGCAGTTTGCTGGTCATCCAGGCCGCTGGCCAAATCACCCGGTGGCTTGTGAATCGAGGCGGGCGAAGCGACAGCTGGATGGTATGTTTTGTTTCGAGCACTTTGAACTCCTTACCTTTGCGAGACGATATCTAACTCACCTAGCAGATTGGACTCCTCGTTCTCTCCGCGACGGTCATCTCCAGCTCTGTGTACTTCCTGTGGCGCGTCCTCCAGTTCCCCGAGATTTCCAACGTGGATGCGGCCCTGATCGGGGTCTCCGTCACATGTGCCGTCATCCTGTGCGCCTGGGGTATTGGTAGTGGGCGCGGCAACCCCGTGGAGAGCTCTCTGCTCTTTGCCTACATCGTCCTCTGCATCTACCAGATCTTTACGGACTATCAGCCTTCACATCCTGTGGAGCAGATCCCCTCGCCTACGCAGGCGGGTGATTTCCCGCCGCTCCCTCCGATTATCATGGCATCCTACACCACCCTCATGCATGCGCTGTCTTTGCTGCCCTCGATTATCCACGCGGCATTCAACGTGATCACAGCCGTCTTCAGCGCTGTTACCCCCTCTGTCCTGATCTCGCTCGCGTACCGGTTACTCGTGCTATACGCGTCGACGCGCATTATCCCCGCCGTACGGGAATCTGGAGCCCGTGCCCTCTCACAAGAGGCCTCTCTGGATGATTCCGACGCGGCTGGCCAGCTTCTGGGCATCCTGAGCTATTTCTCCCCGTCCATCCTCATTTCCGTTTACACCAGTCTTCTGATGCAACATTTCTCGTCCACGTCCCAAGCGATGGGCGGTAGCGGCGAGTGGTGGAGTAGCCAAGGAGGCGGCGGGGGCAATCTTTGGAGATGGATCAATCTCGCTTGCACCATGGCACTCTATGCAGTTGAACTCTGGCTCGGCGAGCATGACGATATCGACAATGGTCTGGCCGGGCACTGGAAGACCGACTGAGTTCGCCATGCTTTATGGAGACCGATCAGAGTGTGCAGACTCTAGTGTTCGGACTGCCTTCCTCGCGAGGCCAGCGAAACACAATCCGCTCGTATTTCCACCGCATTAATTTCTTCTGTGCCCACGGGGCTGTCTTGGAATTCGAGCAGCTGGCACCGATCACCGCCACTGAATGCCTCAATCCTTGGGCATCTTCCAAGGCACAAGAATTCCATCCGCCAGGCGAGTCTGGTCATCGCAGCATCACCTTTGGTTCCGAGAAAACGTGGGCACCAAATCAACCACATGTACCAGTGCTGCCCAGTCTCGTTCCAAATGGAGATCATTTCCTTCCCCCCGCAGCCGCATCTGCAATGCACGGCGATCTCCCACCCCCTTCGTCCGACGCTATTCACGGGTGGATTTGGATCATCCTTCCTTTTGGTCTCCAGTCCTTGTGGCAGACTCTCTCCCCCCGCATGTATAAGCCCCCACCCCCCGGTCGTCCATCAATACCCCCGTCCTAGAGAGTCCAGCCCATTCCCAGTCCGAGCCCCAGTCCACCCGCGAGCGCCTGCATTTCCAGCCTCCGCCAGGACTGTGTTTTCACCAGCCCTCCATCCTCCGTCTTGACAACATTGTTGTGCTACAGCCCTTGCTCTTCCCCTAGCCAGCCTCTCATGACCCCATGATACCAAATGCAATTTCCTCGCTATCTTTTTTTGTCTTCTTCGTCCTGTCCTATCCCCGCCACATGCTTGGCACTTTATACCCTCTGTCGTCCGCGTCCGCGATCTCGTCTGGCTCGTCACGCGCCTCTAATGCAGCCTTGCAAGCTGGCTCCCTGCTCCCCTCTGTTGGTAAGGCGTCCCATCCCGTCCCCCATCCCCCGGCTTCCCACTTTGGCCATGCCTTTGTACTTTGTACATACACTCACGCGAGCTGAGGGCGTCTTAATCTTGTCCCCCACGGTGGTCGCAGGGACTGTGATCGTAATCAAAGCTTTTGTATTTCGCCATCTCCCTCAGGCTGAGCTGGGGGTTCACTGTCTGGCTAGGGTCCCTGGCTGTCTTGCCCGCATGAATTGGGTTGTTGGGTGGGGGGAATTCATAGAAGATAAAATACTCTCCTGAGTTATCAATACCAAGGGGGATTGCAATGACTTATTGGATGTACCTATACTTGACTATACTGAGATAATCGTAAAAAGAAACATGGCCGGTATGGAGAAAGAAAAATATACTTAAATTTCACATAGGAGAACGGATACAGCGTGGCATGCAGGACGTCTGGAAGAGAACTGAACGGCCAAGATATAGCGGCAGACAGAACAATAACAATAACACAGACGAAGAGAAAATAGGAAGAAGATTGCATGGACTAAAGTATGAACAAGCTGAAGAAGTGCGAACAAAGGGAATCGATCGCCTCGATGCCGCGGCGTGCGGATGTTCCGGTGTTATCAAAGATAGTCACGTCTGCATGGACTGGCTCATCAACTGCGTGTCTTGGCTCGGATCTGATGTTTTTTGTTTCTTGCAGGGCAGTTCGGCTTCCATCGTAGCCCGAAGTACTAGAACTGGCCCCAGCCCTGAACCTGAATCCTGGCACCGACCCATATCATCGGCAAGCCAACCCCAAGCTCCATCTCTCTTTTTTTGATAATTGCTCTCGCTTGCTTTCCATCCGTCCATCTGTCCATCGCTTGCACTGTCCTGCAGTGCACCTCATCCGGAAAGAATCATATCATTCCCATAGCGCCAGGCTTTTGAACCCAAGGAGAAGAAGAAAAAGAAAGGAGATATGAAAGAAAAGAAGCCATCAACCCTAAATCCAGCCGAAACGTATCGGACGAAGAACAAAAACAAAGGGAAAAGCCATGCAATGTGATGATCCCGGAGTAAAATTCTCTCCAAGACCCAAAGCTAAGAACTGACCGGCCTCGACCGGACCAGCTCATAAATCCAATCCCTCCAACGATCACCGGCGGATGGGTACGCCCTCCCGAGCAGGCGGCGGGCTCACACTTTCCTCCTTCCCCTCCTGGTCATGGCCCTCTGGCCCCGTCGAGCCCTCACTCAGGCTCGAGCCACGGTGCAGGAAACTGCCCTCCTTCATAGGTGAGCGGCCCTGGAATCCGACCGAGCCCGGGTGCCCGCTGATGCTACCGGGCATCTGCTGGCCAATGCCGGCGACACTGCCGCCATTGCCGCCTGTGGCGGCGTTTGCGGCACCCGGTGAGGTTGCTGTCAGGTGGGGGATGTTTTCCGGGACTGGGTGGCGGGAGCCGATGCTGGTGACGCCGACGTCTGAGGCTTTGCCGGCTTTACTAAGGGCGTAGTCGCCGGAGTCGAAGTATTTGCGCTCCTGTGAGAATTGTGATGTTAGAAGGGGTGGTGTTGGGTTTGGATCTGGCGTGTGTTTGGGCCGATGCCTTTCTTGGTGGGTGGGGTTGAGTTGGAGAGGACATTGGGTAGGTAGGTTCGTGGGAGGGGCATAACCACGCACCTTGAGCTTGTTCTGCAGTAGGTCTTTCTTGGTGGGCATCTTGCCATAGAGGCGCAGCAGGCGCTGCTCCTCTGGGCTCAGCGACTGAGGGTCTTCGTTAGAACGAGTGGGCCTGGAGGGAATGTGGACTCACGTTGATATCGACCTTGTTCTGCTGGTGGGGGTTCATGGTGGTGTAGTGGGAGAGCGTCACAAGGTGGGGAGAGAGTGGGGAGAGGTGGTCAAGAGGGAAGAGGGGGTTCGTTGTTCAGTTCGATCTGTTTGGAGACAAGGGGGAAGAAGTAAAGAGCTGGGGGAAGCGATGGAGGAAGAAAGAAGACTGGAGGAAGAGCGACGAGATGGAGCTGCGGGCGATCAAACGCAGTCGGGGACTATCGATAACGCGGGGCTATCCTCACGGAGTAACCCATGAGTCGACCTTGGGCATTGATTGGCTTTACCCCCCGCCCTCCTTCCTTCCATATGATTCGATATCTATATCTACTGTACTCTATCTCTCGCTTTACCCGTTCATACCGTTCATTACGGCTCTGGTCGTGAACACGATGTATAGTAGTGTGGCCCCAAGATTCCGATGTCATAAATGTACGTCATCGAGGAGGCAATGAAATGGGGGCCCTCGGCGTTTTTCATCCCTCGTCAGAACCAGAATCGATGTTCTAAACTGTAATTTGACTTCACCAGGTCAATCGGCGGTTCGTATGGGGTGTTCGTATGGGGTGTCTCTCGAACCGGATTCGGTCCATGGGGAAAACGCCGAAGACAAAAAAAAGTTGCCGCATCCGCACATTCCTCCGGAATGACGGCACAAGATTCCCAAATGAGTTCTGCACAAGGTCTGCACAATTCAATTGCGTCCCCTGCTCGGGAGGTGGCCCATTGCAGTCCCATCGATCCTAGAGCATTAGGACGGGGCGGAGAACAAAGTTCTGGAGTGCAGTGTGATGCCCAGTCCACCGCATCCACGGGGCCGCCAAACTCTGCGGCTCTTCCGCCTCCTCTCGACTTGACCACTCAACTCGACCAATTCCCCTCCTCATCCCAAGAAGCTCTCCGAGGTTCTCCGCCATGAGTGATCAGAAGACCCAGGAACCAAAGGCCTTCGTGGTCGAGCATCTGGATCCAGAGCTGGGGCCATGGTCGGCCCTGGAGTACGCCGCCATCGCGCGCGAATCCCATGCCGGCGGTGCTCGCTTCCTGCTCAGCTCCGTGCCCGCCCAGCTGCAGATGCCCGCCGACCTGGCCGCCACTAAGGGCTTGGAGGTCGAGCAGCGCAGCGTCGAGGATATTTTTGCGGACCGCAAGGAGAAGGTGTGTTTGCTGGATCCCTCAGCGGCCACCGAGTTGAGCCCGGAGGATGGCGAGACCTTTGACGTCTTTCTGTTTGGTGGCATTCTGGGTATGTAATACGGTTTCGTCCTCGGAGGGTTTCTCCCTTCCCCCCGCGATCCGGTTATCTATATGAATTAGGGCTAACAGGGCGTGCATGATTCTTGGGACATAGGTGATGATCCGCCCCGAGGTACGTGGTCTGTGATCGATGATCGATCGAACACCCATGATCCCTGGCGGAATAGCTTCGGATACTGACGTCGATAGACCGCACCTCTGAACTGCGGAAAAAGGGCTACGTCGGCCGCCGACTCGGGCCCAAGCAGATGACGACGGATACCGCCGTGCGAGTGACGCGCATGGTGGTGCACGAGCGAGGTGGGCGTTGATGTGTCTGAACCCTCGAGAGTCTACTAACCTTTCCCTGCAGTGCCCCTCGAACAGATTGCCTACGTGGACTACCCCGAAATTCTGATTAACGAGCACGAGCGCACGGAAATGCCCTTCCGCTACGTGAAAGATGCCCAGGGCGAGCCAATCATGCCCGATGTGAGTCTCCACCCCCACCCCAGCCCTCATTGACCCTACGACGCCTGCAAGAAGTGGTTAGGCTCACCCCGTCGTTTTCTTTAGGGGATGGTGGATCTGATTAAGAAGGATGCCGACAAGGGTGTCGGTGATCTTTTCTGAGGCGGGATCTGAGAGTCCACGCCAAGCCCGCCAACCCAAAATGAAAAAAGAATGGCCAGCATGCCGCGCGCTTTCAGGGGATGGTGACCACGACCATGATTACAATCTCAATTATCATCATCATAGCTATGCTGATTTAGGGATTGTTGTTCCACCAATGCCTTCGTCCGAGGAGAGGATGTTTCACCTGGGCCTCCTGCATAGCTGCTTGCAAGTAGAAACAGGGGGCGTCTCAAAACCGCCGGTGGCACCCCCAATAGACATCAATAGGGGAAACGTATCATGGTTCCTGTCAATCAAAGAATACAAGCCGCACTACTCCGTATTCTCCGCGAATCATTCCTATTCTTCTTGCTAATCGGTTGGTGGCGCATCTATAGACCATCGAAAACGGCAACGGAGCACCCGAGCTGTCGTACTGTACTGTCCTGTATGGTATGGCTTGGGTATCGATGAAAACGCTCGATGGGCCCCGTGAATCGGGTAATTTACCCATATTGTAAATACCATACATCCGGCCATGCCGAGTCAAGGCCACGCCAGCAGTCCGCCTCGTTCCGCCATTGGATTGCTGGACTATTCGATTCCTCTCCTAACGACCACTTGTGCAGCTGCGACGACCCTCCGAAAGTTCCTCTCCTTTCCGTCTTTCAGTCCACTTCGAACAGAGAGCATCGTATCGATCTTTTCTTTCAACCCTTTCCTTCCTGCCCTCTCCGCCCTCTCGTGCGACGCCCCGTTGCTTCTGCCGCCTCCGCTGTCGATGATTGTTTGAGCCGCGCCTGGCGGTCCTGTCTGACTCGCTCGCAGCGTGACCGACACGTTTCGTCTCAACTCTCTCCTATGCTTCGTTCACCGGGGCGCTGCTGAATTTTCATCCCTCCCTTCGATGCCCTCCTTTGCGCGCTCGAAGAAGGGCGCCGCCCTCGCCATGTTGTCATGGTCCCTATCCCTGCTCGTCCCGGCGCTGGCGGCGGCCAGCTCGGCCGCCGATTATTACGTCCATTCGTTGCCGGGGGCTCCAGATGGTCCGCTGTTGAAAATGCATGCTGGGTGAGTTGATGCGACGGGCTCGTTTTCCCCCGGGAGGCCCAAAGATGGATCACTGGCTGATACGGAGACCGTGTTCTAGGCACATCGAGGTTGACCCCGAGAGCAATGGGAACCTGTTCTTCTGGCACTACCAAAATCGGCATATCGCGAACCGACAGCGCACGGTGATTTGGCTGAATGGCGGACCCGGGTGCAGCTCGATGGATGGCGCGCTGATGGAGGTGGGACCATACCGGCTTAAGGATGACCACACACTGGAATATAACAAGGGCTCTTGGGGCGAGTTCGCCAACCTGCTTTTCGTCGATCAGCCCGTCGGTACAGGCTTCAGCTATGTGAACACGGACAGCTATCTCCACGAGTTGGACGAGATGTCGGCCCAATTTATGGTCTTCTTGGAGAAGTTTTTCGAGCTGTTCCCCGAGTATGAAAGAGACGATGTATGTCGGAGTGGCTCTTCCTTTGGAATTCGGCTTGGCTTTTTTTTTCATGCGTGCGAACGCTAACGATTTGCAGATATATCTGGCAGGTGAATCTTATGCGGGCATGCATATCCCCCATATCGCCACAGCCATCCAGGCGCGCAACAAAGTCGCCGAAAAGGAAGGGAGATTGAAGTGGCCCTTGAAGGGTCTTCTGATTGGCAACGGCTGGATCTCTCCCTCGGAGCAGTCTCCTTCCTATTTCGACTTCGCCGTACGGATGGGTTTGATCGAGGAGGGAACCCAGACTTACCGCCAGGTCGAGGCTTTGAACTCGGTCTGTCTGTCAAAGCTGGAGGACCCGCGCAGCAAGGACATGATCAATATCGACGAGTGTGAGGAAGTTCTGCAAGGTTTGACCAGGCTGACCTCCAAGGACGGTAAGTGCTTCAACATGTACGACGTTCGTCTGAAGGATGAGTACCCGGCGTGTGGCATGAACTGGCCTACAGACCTGGAGAAGATGACGCCGTACCTCCGGCGCAAGGACGTGATCCAGGCCTTGAACATCAATCCGGCTAAATTGACCGGCTGGACCGAGTGCAGCGGCGCCGTCAGCTCGACCTTCCTTGCTCGTCATTCGAAACCGGGCGTCCAGCTGCTTCCCGCCCTTCTCGAATCAGACATAAACGTCCTTCTGTTCAGCGGTGACCAGGATATGATCTGCAATCACCTCGGTACCGAGACCCTAATCCACAACATGAAGTGGAAGGAAGGCACAGGCTTTGAGACGGCCCCAGGCGTCTGGGCCCCCCGCCACGACTGGACTTTCGAGGGCGAACCCGCAGGTCTCTACCAGTACGCCCGCAACCTGACCTACGTGCTCTTCTACAACGCCAGCCACATGGTGCCGTACGACCAACCCCGCCAAACCCGCGACATGCTCGACCGCTTCATGAAGGTCGACATCGCCAGCATCGGCGGTCGCCCCGCCGACTCCCGCATCGACGGCGAGAAGCTTCCCCAGACCTCCGTTGGCGGCCACCCCAACAGTACCGCTGCCGAGGAGCAGGAGCACAAGAAGCTAAAGGAGACCGAGCTCCACGCCTACACCAAGTCCGGCGAGGCCATCCTCATCGTCGTCATCATCGGCGTCACCGTCTGGGGCTTCTTTATCTGGCGCTCTCGTCGTACCCACAGTAGCTACCGCGGCGTCAAAAATACCGATATGCACGCTATGCGCGGCGGCTCCGTCCTCGACCGCTTTCATCACAAACGGTCCACGGCTGATATCGAGGCTGGCGACTTTGATGAGTCCGAGCTTGATGCGCTGCATTCGCCTGATCTGGACCGTGAGCATTATGCTGTTGGTGATGCCAGTGAGGATGAGGACGAGACGCATATGCATGGCGGCACCCATGCGGCTGGTGAATCTGCGGAATCTGGGGCCCTGCGCCATCCGTCATCGTCATAATTTTGAGCACAGCATGTCTCGGCGTGGTGGGTTGGGTTTCCTCTTTAGTTCTGGTTCCTGGTCCCGGGGTTCCCAATTCTGTTTGCTTGTTTTTGATCGCTTGCATCTGTACAATCTTGGGCTGGACGTATGCGTCGAGCATCCTTTATAGACTGAATATACTCATTCTTTTGGCTCTTCTTTAGTTCTGCCTAGCCTCTATCTCCATGGGTATAAGTCTAAATAGTTCTTCCCTGCTGGTTTTTTTTATCCTTACTTCTGTCTTCTCTATGCACACTGACTGCTTCAGCCTGTCTTACCTGGTCCACTTAGAGGTAAACCAAGTCCCCAGAAACTATAAGCTGGCCACGTGTGGAAGGTAGCCAACGACTATGCACCGTCTTATATTTCCCTCTTCCCCGTGAAAAATTATCTATGCTTCCCTTTTCCTATACAAATCAGGATTTCACGCGCACATATATTGCTCTTCTCTTTCTTCTGGGCACAATTCATAAGTCTCTATCCGCCTCTCTGACCTCACACCTGCACATCATAGACCGTAGTCCATTCACGGAGAAGCCGATCTACCTCGAATCAGAACCGAGTGCTTCTCGGCTCCGACGTGTGCTGATGAGTTTTTGCAACCATTTCTCGCCTCGAGAGATCCCGGTTTCGCAAAGTCTCCCTACGGAATTTCGTGAAAGGCTACGCTTTCATCCAATCGAATCTGTTGTCATAGGTCCATCCAATGAAATGTCAGCTATTTTTTTTGGAGACGCTGCACAGTCATGCGTAGCTTCACCGTCACTTCTATGTATGTGCTTTGGCAATGTTGGTCTGCATACCATTGTTGGCGCGGCCGTCGGCCTTGACAGTTCCGAGAAAGTATTGTAATTGAAACTGTAGAGAAGTCGTTGGATTCCAGCACTTGAAATTACTGACCAATTTGATGGAACTTTCGAGGATCCTTGGATATTCTGTAATTGGTCTCTGGGACTTGGAAGTACCATTAAAGTACTCTGGGGACTGTTTACAGTAAGAAGATGAAGCCTAATAGTCTAATGATAGACCGCTCAATATGTGATGTACATTATTACTGTACTCTGATCCAGCTGGGCCGCGAGGGCCACATCGACCTATTTCTTATGAGCGAGATTGCGCTCCTCGATTGTTTTTGACAGCACCAGTTGCCATGCATAAATCACTCCCGCACTGCCCTGTTGTATACAGCACAGCCAAACTGAAAGGGTAGGCATTTTGTGGGTAGCAGGGGGAAGAGTACGATCCTTCTTGGCTGTCCACCTGTTGACTCTGTTTCGGATGAGAATGCAGTGCTGGACATATATTACCAGCAAGCTTTACGGCAGTAAATGGAATGGATATTAATCATGATTAGTATCCAACCCGCCCCCCTATGCCCTGCATAACTACCTCGCATTCGCGTTTAGAAGTTCACAGTAAAAAAGTCTAAAATAGGGAAGACCTGTTGAACTAGGATGTAGGATATCATCTTTATGATTTCTAGTTGTGCTCTGCTCGCTAGATTACAGCTCTTGTCTATGAAGTACAGCCCGACTCCCTTTTCTGACATGCAGACTTCGCCATGGTTATAATTCCATGGACATCACATCATATCGTACGTACAATAATCAAAGTATGTTCATACTTCATCGCTGGAGCGTCCACACCTTCACACTTCCGTCATCGGCAGTCGTTACCAAAACCTCTTCCTCTTCATCCTCCGCAGAGCCGCGGTCGGCTCGTTTCGCCCAAGCGGCGTGGTTGATCTCATAAATACCGTGCGCACCATCCACCACCGCAAGGACCGCCCATTCCGTCTGGATTGAAGGCTTTTCTGCAAGCTCAGTGTCCATGGCATCCGAATCTGCGGGATGATTTACAACCCGCTCCTCATACAGCACAATCCGCCCATCCGCCCCCACAGACGCAACAAGACCACTCCGCCGGCTCCATGCTACAGCGTACACGGCCAGCTCATGCGCATGCGGCAGCACCGCGTCCTCCTCCCACGTCTCGTCAGATCCCGTTGGCCGGATGATACTCGGGATCCCCGTCGCCGCAGAGGCGTTCAGGCCGCTCTGCCCGCTTTCTTTCGGCAACCGGCGCCAGACCCGCACAGTCCGATCATCCGAGCAAGATACCAGCCGCGGCCCAGAGAGTGCACGCTGCTCACGCCACTGGCTGGCCAGTTCTGCGCTCCCGTGCATAGGAGACGGCACGTTGTCCACGCCCTCCCAGTCCAGGAACCAGACCGTGCCGCTGTGTGCCTTGATGCACGCCACCTGGCCCCAGTCATCCAGATCCTCACGCCACACCCGGATCGTGTCGTCGTACCCTCCGCTCGCAAGACAATCCTCCGCAGGGTGCCACGCAACGCACTTCACGTCGCCCCCGTGCTCCTGCATCACCGCGACCGTCTCGAAGTTGTTGTCGCCGTCATCCAAGTCCTCCCAGATCCAAATCGACTTGTCCCGCGCGCACGTTGCAAGCAGCATCCCTGACGCAGACCACGAGACCGACTTCACTTCGCTGTCGTGCCCGTCCAGCAGCACGGCGAACCGCCACTCTTCGTCGTCGTCATTGTGCGATGCAAGCCCATCATCTGTTTCGCCGTTGGGTGCTGACGCATTGTCGCTGCTGTTCAATGCCCACCCCGCGCCCCCGCCCTCTGCCCGCCCGTAACTATCCCACCGCCGCCAAACACCAACTGTGGCGTCGAAGGAGCCCGTCGCGAGCACGCTTTCACCCTGCACGTGTGGCTTCCAGGCTGCGGTACGCACGCTGCGCTTGTGCCCACCTGTGATTGTGGAAAGGAGCTTGAAGTTCGTGAGCGAGTATACTCGCACGGTCTTGTCGGAGCTGCAGGTCGCGACGATGGGGAGCGTTGGGTGTGGTGCGGTGAGCCATGCTCGCTCGAGGGATGGTGGAGTTAGGTCAGAGAGGAGGGTGAGGCTTGGCTGGGCCATGGTTGTTGCGTTGCAAGGGTGTTTGGTCCTGCGCGTGGTGGTGGCGGAGGGGAAATTTGAGGTGAGGTTGGTAGCGTCGGATGTGGGGTGGTTTGATAAGATAAGATAGTTGATAGTGACTCTTAGTTGTATTTGTATATCTACGCTTCAGAGGGATGAGGTGGGTGATATGCCACCCTGATTAAGGTAGAGGAGCAAAGTAAAGTCATCGAATCAAACTGGATTGGTTGCAGTCGCCCGAACTCCGAAAATCTTATCTCATCGCCACATAATACAAGCATTCCATCCATTCCCGTTCCAGTCGCAAAGTCAGTCCTGCCAATCTGCCCAATTCGCAACAAGCTCCCAAAACAAGCCAAATCCAACCGCACCCACAAAGCAAGCAAAGAGGGAAGACACTGATACCGACGCTGAGACCGGCGGTGAAAAGGAAAGTTACAACTAGATCCCGAAGCCATAATATATGATGTAATTAGTAATATGCCGAGAAACGCCTTTCACTGTGGAGAGACGCCTTCTTCGTATAGACGCTCGTAAACGCTGCTGTGGCAGAGCCAATCTACCTCCCGCACTTTCTCCAGTTCGTCAAATAACTTTCCGACTTCACTGACAAACTCGGGCATGCCCGCTCCGGCCAGACTCTGGCTGGCGGTCGTGGTCGCCCGTACTCGCTCGGAGGCACTCGATGCACTGAGACGAGAGAGGATATGACTCCGCAGACGCGAGAGGATGAGCTTGGCCACTGGGTCTGTGAAACCCGACGCGGATGGCCCGCTCCTGGTCGACTCAGCTGCCGATGCCTCGGAAGATGCCCCAGGATGGATCTGCACTGTCGACTGAAGTGTGGCGGAAGCACTCGCGGTCGCGACCGGTGCAAGAACCCGCCTGATAGTGGCTGCTAGTTGGGCACTGGCAGCGGGTGGCATGGGATGCGTCGACTCGAGAATGGAGTGCACGCGTTCTGCGCTGATCTCGTTAAAGTTCAGAGACAGAATCCGATCAGCCTCTGGTTTCCATTGAGACCGTGCATCTCGCTTCAGCAAGTTCTTGGCGGTCAGCAAAATGGACGCCGTCGCCACAATCTGGAACGCTTTCGCATGCAGTCGCTCCAGCCTCGGTTGGTCAAGGGCCAATGTCTCTGGAATCAAATCCTCAGACACCATGGCATTGCTCAGCACCAAGTCTGCAAGGCCACGAGCATACACGCGCGAGGCAGACGGACGAGGTTCTCCGTGGATATTCTCCGGGTCGCGCTTCTTCACTTCGTCTACCATAATCTTCCCATGGGTCCGCCAGAATCGCCGCGTCTTTCCAAGCGTGATAGTGCCATCGCTAACACCCTTGTCAAATGCTCGCTGTTCATAGCCTGGCGCCTCTTGAATAAGCTGTGGCGCGGCAACCTGAATCATGAAATTGGTGTGATCCAGTGAGAGCAGATCAATGATGCTCATCAGCCTCGCCAGTCGGTCAATGGCATCCCCAGAGGTATCCTCCGCAAATGCTTTGACGACTGGGTCCCGGTATGGAGCGCACAGGCGAGGCAGGATGGTGTTCATAAAGTCGAAGAAATTCTCGTAGGAAAACGAGCCGGCTTTGCACTGACTCTCGACCAAGCTGGGGTCCAAAACTTCACTAATAAGCACGTAAAGGGAATTTCCAGGCTGAAGAGAGCGTAGTAGACGATCTTGGATCACAGTAGCCATAGCAACAGTCCAGCTAGTGCCATGCCCTGCTTCCACGTCTCCTCTCATCTGTTCGCACATATGCTCCATAATTCGTCGTCTAGGATCTGTATACGATGCCTCTTCTATCTTGTATTCTTTGTTGAGGAGAAGCTCGTGCACCAAAACCCGGTTCTCGGGGAGAGCCGTGAGAATCTTGGTAAAGTGTTCATGTGGAGACGTGCGCTGCTTATCCAGCTCTTGGAAAACAGCAGCGTCAACATTGTTAAAGGACTCGCTGATAGGAGATGTCACGCTCTCAGTCAGAACATCTGTCGATGAAGCCGCCGCGGCCTCCGCAGACCGAGGAATGGCCTGCTTCGAGCCAGAGCGCTTCTTCTCTCGCTTGGCCTTCTTGAGCGAACGCCGGATCATCTCCATGGCTTTGTCCGAGCCTGCAAGCCGCTTTAGCCGTGCCAGGAGAAGAATCTGGTTTTGACGGATGCCCTGTCGATAGTCGTCTGCAACGCCCCCAGCCCGGTCATCTTTGACCGTCTGCCAGATCAGTTCTAATTCGACAAACTGCGCAAGCATGATTTCAATCAAGACGGTCGAGTCGTGCGACTTCCATGCATGGAACGCTGAGAAAAAAACATTATGCGATTCGCACAAAAACTGCAGATCGGCAGTGATCACAGCTGGCGAGCAACAGCCGGACAAAAGCAAAGCGACTACCTGGTCAAACGCTACCAGGAGCTCGCGCGCCTTTGTGATTAGGTCCTGCTCCTGCTCACCATCGCCGCTCAAGACCTCAGTCGGATGGGTGACAATTAGATAGCTGCTGAGAAATGTGCGCACAGCGCCTCGTTCACACATCACCCCGCCTTCCATGTCTTGCAGCCCGCAGAGTCGGAGAACCTTGGTCATGGTATCCAGGACGTCTTTGTTGGAGAGGAAAGCTCCGACCTTCTCCAAGGACATTTCACGGACCTGGGCAACTGACAAGTTGAGTGCCCGGAATTCCTGCATCACGGCCTTTGCGTGATGCGTCCTCCACACTCGCTGGATCTTTCGAGCGGCAGCATCCCGGGTCAAAGATGCGGTGACGGCTCGGGCCATTTTCTTTTCCTCCGCGGTCGGCAAGCTGCTCGTGCGCTGGCGTCGATGGGTCTGCTGGTAAAGGGCCCGTCGCTTCTCGGCCTCTGCAAATTTCTCCACCATCTCAAGCCGAAGGCGTGCGTGTTCTGCAGCTTGTTTCTCCCGCTGGTCCTCCGCCTTCTTCTTGGCTCGCTTGACTTGGTCCTCGCACTTGGCGGCAATGTCGGCCAGCAGGCGCTCCCGGGCTTGTTGTGCCGCCAAAGCGCGCTCTTCGCTGTGCAGATTTCTGGTTGCTGCCTTCGCCAAAGCGGCGCGCAGCCGGACCTTTTCGGCGTGCAGCGCACGATCGGCTAGTCGGGCTTTGCGGGTTTCAAGGATGGAGGTGCGCCGGAGGTGTTGGGCAATGTGATCGGTGCTTGTGGAGCCATTAGAAGATGCGTTAGAGTGGTGCGAGTGCAGCGAAGAAATGGAGCTGCGCCGCGAAGAGGCCACGGACGAGCGCCGGACCTTGCTGTTTCGGCGGTAGAAGCGAGCAGCGATGTGCGGCGGGAGATTCAGCGGCGGGGCCGGCTCTTCAGACGTCATTTCCACGTCGGGCTGATTCACAGAGTCGGGAGAACGGGGGGTTGGCCCCGCATCAGGGAGTTGGATCTCGATGTCGGAGTTGCGGCGCATCATCGTCGAGTCGGGAGGAGACGAGTGCGGCACAGTGCAGGGGCAAGTGGGAGGAATACGGCGGGGCAGAACTGAGCTGATAAGCGATTAGTCGAGGCCATGGGCTCGAGGTACAGGAAATCTTCCGACCAACCTAGTCACTGTCGCCCTCTTTATGGAGTTAGGACCTTGAAAGAGGAGTCAAGCAATCTGGAAGCCTGAAACCTAACACGGAGGAGCATGCTTGTGCCAGGGCGGCCGGGGTTGCGGAGGGATCCGTGCTTCGTTTCAGAATGGAGAAGAAGAAGTTAACTCATTTTAACCCGGAGAAGAGGAAGAGAGCAGGAGGAGCAGAAGAGAACGAGAGAACTACTTTCCCTTGCCCATCCACGAAAACAGGCAGGTCAAGTGCTGACTGTTGATCAGGTGGAATCGCATGGCCGCAAGCAGAAGACGCGAACACGGCTTAGGTAAGCCGCGGAGTTGCGGGGTCTCCTTGGGCGCGAGCTGCCATGCTGTTAAGTCTTTGTTCCTCTTGGTACTTGTAAATGCTTTGGGTCAGATTGTAGAGCTTTGATCTTCTCCTCGTGGATTTTATATTGTCGTTTGCTGATTCCCTTATCGTATGAAGGGTAGGTGCTGGGACAAATACGTCATCTCATCCCAAGCTATATATTTCCGAGATAGGAAGAATGAACACAAAGATATGATTATCCGGAACCGGATTTCAAGAATACAATGTCGCAGACTGACACAGACAGGAATGAGAATAATCGTAATTAATTCGGAGAATTCATTCAAATCCGCCCTACTATTTTTTCATGCATAACGATGGCAGCCATGTAGGTTCTATCTACAGAACGCGTAGTCCGACTCTCATCTGCCCTCTTCCACCCCGGTTCGCTCTTAAATAGTAAGGAACAAAGCACAAGTCTCTGAAGTTGCTGACGGCTTCGTTCTTGGATGGGGCCACTATCTGGCCCTCCCAGGAGGACGTGTCAAGCTCGCCGGCAGCACCATTCTCGGCGATAATGGCGACAAAACAATCCGGCTCGGTCCTCAGCTCCTCTCGCAACGATGCGTTCGGATCGAATATTGTCCTCTATATCCTGGTGAGTGTGCTTATAATTTCCAAAGATGACTTTAAGATCCCACCTTGAAATGATGGTCCTCCCATGGGTGATCGACATCCTCCACACAATATACGATGGGGCCTCGTGTGACATACGCCACGGGCTGCATAGTCAGAGGATTCGGACGAACAACGCGTGGCTTCATGGGGCAGGACAGCCGGAATCTAGAATTATTTTGTAGCCACTCTGTGCTCAGAAACAGATAGCCATCTTTGATCAGCGGATCGTTCGGGCGAGGGGTCATCTGATTCGTCGCGGTTAACTTTGGAATAGAACGGCGGCGTTTTGTTCAACTGACTTCCCATGATGTCGCCCAGCCCGGGATTCTTAATCGCAGCTCAAGATCAACCGAGGGCCCTTCCGTGTCAACCTCAAATTCCACGTCCCCATTCCATGGCCAGTCGGTCTTTTGAGTGACTTTCACCGTGGAGTCACAAACTTGAAGATCCAGAGTAGCCGAAGTGTACAAATGCACATTCACTACGACACTCTGGTGGCTGATAGAGTGGCTCCAAAGATACCCACCAAGGAAGCCTAAGGTGCGAGTGACATTGGGTGGACAGCAAGCACATTCAAACCATTCATGCCGCTGCGAAAGATCCTGATCCGAGGACGCTAATTGGTTCACGTAGGTGAATGCTTTCCCATCCAGGCTCATGCCTGTCAGGACGGCATTATACATGCACAGCTCCATGATATCCGCGTAGTGGCTGTTCAACTCGACCTGAGGTGTTATCAGCAGCCACGACACTCGAAAGTACCACCTAAATTAGATGAAAACATACCTGTAGCATTCGTTCAGCCAGCATCATAACTCCAATAGCCGCGCATGTCTCTGCATAGCAACCGCCCTCGTCAGTTCCCTGGGGTAAGAAGTAGTCAACACCAAACCCTTCCCATTTCTTCATAGCGCCAATACCCCCAGTTACATAAGTCTTCTTCTCGATCATGTTTGCCCACAGAATATGCAAGGTGGGTAGGAATTTTGCCCCAATTTCACTCGCGGGTTGGTAGATCTGGACCAGATCTGCAACTGCCGTGAGGAGATACATCGCTCGAACTGAATGCCCTTCGATTGTTTCCTGTTCGACGATTGGAACATGGGCTTGTTGGTACCTTTGGTCTCTAGTTAGATCAATCCGGCTTCAAGGGGGACAGGACCAGATTGAGGAATATAGTACATCCATACCAGAAGCTTCTTGCAGCAGGAAAGTACATGGGCAGGTCGTGTTTCTTTTCACCTCTTGCTTCTGCTTCCACGTCATAGTAATGGCGTTTCTCCTTCCCTCCTTTGGGATTGCCTCTCTCTTCAATAAAGAATCGAGCTAGCAGCAGATGCTTTGGATCTGCTGTGACCTTGTACAAGCGCAACAGAGCAAGTTCAATTTCTGGATGGCCCGGGTACCCGGGAATCTGGCCGTCCTGGTCTCCAAAGGTGGCCGCAAGTAGATCTACATATTTGAGAATCGGAGAGAGTAGCCCATCATGTTTATAGTAAATATGATGTGCAAGGGCCGCTTCGATGAGATGGCCTGCATTGTATCTAGATCAAACGGTCATGAGCAACGCTTTATTGCAGTCCAGATGGATCAGGGACGTACAGCTCATGCATATCTCGCAAGTTAGTAAATCGCTTGCCCGGCTCCACCACAGAATAATGGATATTCAGGTAGCCATCCGGATGCTGAGCTTCTCGAATCATTTGCACGAGCTCCTTTACTGCGGCATCAATCTCCGCATCGAAATGGTCCATCAGCAAGTGGCAGGCCCCTTCAATCCATTTGGCCACATCGGAATCCCAGAATTGATGGTTGGGGATCGGATAAATGGTGGGAGGTTCCGCATAACTGGGATGCCATTTCAGCTTAAACGCATCATAGCGACCGGTCTGTTTGAGCATTTGTAGCTGGTGCCGCAGGGTCTGGCTTCGCACGACTTCACGGCGGCGCGCCCAGAAAGACCCCGGCGCAAACGTCGTCGCGACAAAGCTTTCTTGCGGATATTCCATGCTCCTTGTGACCAAACTCTGTTCAGCGTGCTCGGGCAAAATCGAGACTTGATGGACCCCTCGAGCAGCGCGTCCTTATATGCTAGCGAGAATCGGGAACTTTCCTTGGAAAGTCTCAGAATCGGAGATTGACCGTGCCATATCTCACAGACCTCGGCCTTCTCACTGGAGATTGCAGATCCCGTGAGGACCGCCGGTCTTTAGTGTGGCCTCCGCCGCGGGATATTCGGCGGGATGTCCAGCGAGATGTCCGAAGAGCAACATTCCGGCGGAGTCGCTCCGGCGGGATGAACGGAGCGGTCTGAAAGCCTAGCCCAAGGAGCACGGTTGATGTGAGCGACTGTCATAAGCTTGGCGGCTGCTGTTGAATAAACCCCCTCTTGCCCGCATTCCCGCTTAGAGCACCGCTCAACTCTGGAGCGTTTGGAGATCGGCAATGCACTCCAGACTTTTGCTACCCCAGATGTGGGGTCCCGAAGTTCCGGCAGCCTTTTGAGAGTGTATATATACCGCCGAGAGGGAGGTTCATGCAGACACACACGGTTCTCTGACTATTGCGACCCCAGATTCCGTTGGTTTTTCGGCTTCAAAATGGGTCTTGTGGAAAAGTTTCTGCCCAAGGATGACCGGTAAGTGTTCGTTCGTCTAGTAATCCTTGGGCGTTTCGACTAACGCTCCATCTAGCTTTGCAGCGTTGCTGCTTTATGGCATGGTCTTTTCAACCTGCTTTAATGGTTACGATGCTGGGGTCATGACGGTCATTCTGGCCGACAAGCAGTTTATCGACTACTATGGCATTACCGCCAGCAAATCTGGTCTGGTTGCCACTATCCCATGGGCCATGACTGGTGGGTAGATCTATCCTTGTCCAATTTTGGTCAATTGTTGACAGATTCTGTGTTCTCATTAGGTGTTGCCCAACTTTGGCTGGGAGGCTCGCTAGCCGGCTGGCTGGGCCGTTTGTGGGCTTTGCGGATTTCGATCTGCATAATGATTATAGGAGTGTAAGCACAGATGATCCATGAAAATTCATGCCAAGCAACTAACGCAAATACAGAATTGTTGAGGTGGTCCCGAACAACTTCGGTGTCCTCATCTTAGGACGACTCTTAACGTGGGTTTTTTCCGTGCCCACCCCATTCCAGTAACTCTGACTGTTCATAGTGGTCTGGGTTTCGGCTGCGTATACATTGCAACTAACCTATACGTCGCCGAATGTGCTCCCACCAAGTTACGAGGAAGTTTCGTCGGCACAGTCTCCCAGTTCGGCTACCAACTCGGCACCCTCATTGCCTTTTGGACCGGCTACGGAATGTCCTTCCACAAGTCTCCCTATAACATTGCCTGGCGAGTATCCAACATTGTCCAGATCCCAATCGGGTTGGCCTTTATCTTCGTCTCTTTCTGGTACCCCGAGAGCCCCCGTTTTATGCTGGAGAAGTACCCCGAGACACCTGAGAAATCGCTGCAAGTGCTCAGCCGGCTGCGGTCTGGGGCTCCGACCGATGAGCGTATCCGTGCCGAGTTCCATGAGCTGGTTACATCATATGAGTTCCGTCGTAGATACAATCCTGGGTATCTCGGCTTGTTCAAGGATAAGAGTATGCGTAAGCGTTTGGCGTATGGATTCTATGCGGCCAGTCTCCAGCAGGTACGTTATTCCAAAATTTACCATACAATCCTCACTAAGATATACAGTGCGGTGGTATTGCTTCCCTCACTATGTATGCCACTCTCATCTACCAAAGCCTGGGGTGGGACGCTGGCTCCCAGGCTTTGGCCATCAATGGCATCCAGTCTGTCCTACAGTTGCTCATTGTATTGGTCAATACCTTCACTGTGGAAAGATTCGGCCGACGAGGCCTTCTCTTGGCTGGGTTCGCTATCCAGGCGCTGGCGCTGTTGATTATGTCCTGCCTCTGCACGGCGTTTCCTTCAAACACAAACAAGGCTGCGGCTGTCGTGGAGGTTGCCATGCTGTTCATTGTTGGTTTGACATACTGCTGGTCCAACGGTCCTATCGCCGCAGCAGTGGTCTCTGAAATCTTCCCTCAGCATGTTCGAGATAAGGTGAGTTTGGCTATCAGCCCATGTCACCGTATATATTCTGATCAAGCCTAGGGCTTTGGTCTTGCGATGCTTGGCCAGACTTCCTGGCTTATCTTGTTGACCCAATCTTGGCCATCTTTCAACGCCAAGGTTGGAGGTCACAGCTATTGGCTGTTGTTCGGTCTCAATGTCGCTGCTGGAGTAAGTTTACGCATCTTAATACCTGGATGATACTGGGATGACTGACTGTTGGCAAAGATCTCTGTATTTTTTATCCTTCCCGAGACAAAGGGCGTCTCTCTTGAGCGAATGGATAAGATCTTTGGAGGCATTGATTTTGTCGAGGCAGGCGAGATCGAAGGAGGCTCTGAGAAGCGTGAAGCCATGGCCATGGTGACAGAGGAGAGCAAGGCCCCAACTGCTCATGTGGAAGATGCGCCCCAGGAGCGTTCCTCCGGGCCACCGAGATCTGCGGTGTGAGGATGGGCATGCCTTATACGAATAATCAAATGTTCTATCTATATCTCTGGAAGAATTTGGTTCGTGATAAAAAAAAAGCAGGGCTTCTTCCGAATGGACAACATTCATTTCATTGTAAAATAATACGCTCAAGTGGGAGATATGCAGGTGCCATGCCGGCGAAGACAGGCTTCTCTAATGCAGGGTGTCCAAGGCTAGCCATTCAGTAGCTGTTGAACCCGAATGGCAGCAACTATGTCCATTGAAGACGATGCTCTCCGGAGGCATCTTTTGAGAGAAAACCCGGGATTCCCTTGGCTGCTGGGCTTAGTGGTGACTCGCACACCCGTGGAGGTGCTCCTGGTCGTGTAGGACAGCTTCTGCAGGACGGATTCCAGAACAAGTCACCACTCAATAATTTGGTTAATAAGACCAAGGCCACGCTGAAAGTATGAACAGCTGGCGAAATGCATGCAAACCATGTAGCGCCATTTGCAGCCCAAGCTGCTGGGTAGGGAAGGGCGATACGCAAAACCAAAAAGCACCAACATGGTTGACAAAAAAAATCGTGTGGTCATAACGATCAACCGGATCCAACCTTGATGCATGCGTTGCTCGAGTGTTGTGGACGTCAGAGCTCAAAATTTAGATCATCGATGGCCGAAAAGGTCGATACGTTCCACTCCATCGTCATCATCACCCTCTTCGTTATCTTCCTCATCTGTCTCCGAAGAGTCCGAAGCTAGGGCGGCGTCGTCGTCGTCGTCATCGTCGTCATCTTCTTCTGCTTCTTCTTCTTCTTCTTCTTCAGCAGCCGCTGAGGTGGCCTCTGCAGCCGCCTTATCGCCTGCAAGAAATCCATATCGGTCTCGGAGCTTCTTGCTCAAGAAGTTCAAGGCACCGTATTCGGACTCGCCGTCATAACGGGGCAGGCCACCAAAGAAAGGTAACGACGACGGCTTCTCTGATTCACGTTCAGTAGGCAATCCAAAGTAGTTGCTGACCACTGGTGAAATTGCACGGCCATGAGTCATGTTGTAGGATACAATTCGCCTATCAGAACCGGTATCGGCAGAAGTAGGAACGCTCAGGTGTGAAGGTGCAGGGTTGGCATTGAGGTGCAGTGCTGCCAACGAGGTCGCGGGTTCCCTATCTGGATTCAAAGTTGTCGAGCGTGGCTGACAGGAAATGTGACCAACACCTTCCTCTTCAAGCACTTCTGATACGTCTCCGTGCAAAACCCTCAGCTGGGCTGTATTATAGGATTCGCACCTTCTCAAGTCAGCCTTCTTTCTCGTCATAAATCGCCAATCATACTCACAGGTCACATTTCAAGCCCAGCCAGTGGTACTTGACAACAGACTTGGCGCCACAGTCGTTACAATAGATGAGACCCTTGGTATCCTTGAACTCAACTGGCATTGGCTGACTTTCAATCGTGCGATCCAGATTCCTGAATGTTGATTCCATGTTCGTAATAGTCTTGCTGCAAATAGGACAACGAAAGGAGGTCTTTGAGTATTCCGAGAAACATTTGTGGTGAAGGCTGTGGCCACATCGCATCACGACCACAGTTTCTGGGGATGTGAACATATAATCGCCACAAATGGGACAGTCACATTGGGTAGACCTTTCAATGCATCGATGAGTGTCTTCAGTTGAGATAGGCAAGCATACGGTGCATGTCTGAGCATTATTAGTAGCGAAATTTTGAGTTGAGAGCTTTTGTGATTGAAATACCTTGCAGTGGAAGAAGTCCTTCCCAAGTCCTTGTCCAACCCGACAAATCCCGCAGTCGTGACAGTGATATATGCTCTTCTTGCTGTCATTATCCCAGAGCTTGCAAATGTCGCAGTAATATTGGGCAGACTGTTCGCCACACTGTCTGCAATTTTGTGCTGCAGGCTGAGCATGTCCGCATTGCATACATAACATATTCTCTGTGTCTCGACGAATGAGATGATGATTCTCGACTGCATCGTGGCAGAACCGACAAGTGTACCATTTCTTGCAAGTGCGGCACTGTAGCTTGACATTTCGATGGTAGTGCTGGCAGCCTAAAATGGTCTCGTCACACTCTTCTGTATCCTGATCTTCATCAGCGGCATCGACAATCTCAGCCACTGGAGATTCGTGATCAACCCTTGGGACGTATGTTGGTTGCAAGTCCTCCGGGGTGAGTGAGAATTGGTTCTCATATTGGGGGACCGCCGCTGTTAATGTGGGGCTCGTCGGACTCGGATCTGAAAGCTGTCTCATCCACGGGGCGGGCGGGCTATCGGGATAGTTCATGCCCGGACTTAGCGTCGGAAACAGCGCTGAGGGGGATATCGGAGGTAGAGTTCGAGTAGAGTTGTAGCTTTCGGTCATCAAGTCGTGGACCATCCGTGCCTTTTCGTTATGGCTGAGATCAAGGTCCCGAATGGCATGGATCTTCTTCCTGAGCCAACCCATTCCGTCATCCGCTGGCAAAGACATCTTGCCAAGTTCATCTATGTTGAATACGCCACTTGGTGATCGCCCCGCACCGTCCTGTCCCTGTACCGAGTCCGTGCCCAATAGCCGTGCCTGTTGACGTTGTTGCTCCTCTGAGTTCGTTAGAAATGTGGTGGCTCCAGCCTCGCCAAAAGGACCGGTCGGAGGGGTGCTGGTTATCGGTATTGTTTGACCGGATACCGGTCCATGTTGAGGCATGGGTCCAGTGGCCGCCGGCTCCGGGGCTCGGCCATCCATTTCTTTCGGTAGGGTAGTGAAGAAGGGAGGGCCAGGCAAAGACCTTGCATTGCCACCAGTCAGATCTAGCCCACCACGGTCTTTGCAGGTGTCGAGAATGGTGGGATCTTCGTTGTGATTTGAGGCCGTGTTTGTTTGTTCGTTCGGAGCGGCGTCGTGAGGCTGGGGAGTGCGGGGAAGGCCAGTGCGGAACCCGAGCTCAGTTAGCAGCGAGGTGATGAAGCTGCTCATGAAGGGCTGAGGTGAATCACATCAGATGCAATCATCTTCAGCCTTATTTGCAGTTGGCAAGAGAGTTGAGAAGCGGTGTTGGCTGAAGGCATGTGACGTCGGGCTGCTGAATCATCCTCACATGCTGGGTGGATCTAGCGGCGAAGTATGAGCCAAGCAAAAACCACAAGATGCTTCTCATGTACAAGTCAGGATGGCTTATCCTCATCGTAAAATTAAGCCCAAAAATTGATGACAACTGAAACTTCTATAAATCTTGCATATTCTACTTTCGACCGACGACCCCCACAATCACCAATCTGCCGGATTTTGCATCCCGGCGGATTACGCAGCTTAGCTCTACAGATCCCCGGAATTCCCATGGTGAGGAATGCTGGCCAACATAGAGCACCGGTGAGGAGCGAGATTGCATGGGTGTACGGCATAGTCCCTGCCATACTATTTGCTGGCTAGGAGCGTAATGTGATGGAGGATGATAGGATGACAACCTGCTCAGATGGACCGTCCTTACCAGCGGCTTTCCAGAATAAGCGAAGGATTGACGTTGGACTCCCATTCAGGATAGCTGCCTCGTGGCCGCGGGTTGAAATTTCTGCCCAAGGAGAAGTATGGGAGCCCAATTTAGGGTGGGTGGTGCAGCGAATTAACTGGGCACCATGGCCCAGTTCGCATCCTTCATTTCACTTGAGACACGTTCCTAGGCTCTCATTCAAACGCTCCAGTGTCAAGTTGAATTGGTCGTAGGCACTTTTCCGTATCTGGTGCTCTGCGTTGCCAAGTCCTAGGCTTCGTAAACTGATCCCCAAGTCAGAGACATCCTTCTCCACTCTCCCGCTTGTATGGTGTGATAGTCACTTACAGGCGACTCTCTTTGGCGTTTTGCGGTAGTTCCCAGTACCGAGTGAGTAGCAGGTTCTTGATAATTCTGTGTTCGAGACCCGTCATGTCGGCTGCACGTTCGAAGAAGCGGAGGGTGTTGGCGATTCTTGTCCGATCGAACTCCTCGGGTGGAGCAGCGCCAAAGGAAGTCCGCAAGGTTGTTCGAAGGACATGCCGGCCGGGGGTCGCATATCTGATTGCCTTCAGGCCTTGCCGATATAGATGACGGTATGCATGGATGACCTCCCGCTGAGTGACCAACGGGCTGATCTGAGAAGCGCTCATGGCCTGGCGAGTTGCAGGTTGATTCGTTTTGGCAGCTTCACCACTGCAGAAGAAGGACGGCCTCAGGCAACGCTAGCCCAATTTGGACAGGTGACTTTGGGCCGCAATCACTTCGTTTTCGCATGCCCGTCCCCCCAACTTCCTCGCGCTGAAATCTGCAGGACTTGTTGCACTTTGCTCCTTCACAGTTGTCCTGGTTTCAGCAGGTAGAAGAAGTGTCCTCCGGGTGCCGTTAACCTCCACGCGTCCCTCCGATTGTTTCCCCCGGACCAGCGGTTTTATGGACTGACCGCCCATCCTCACTGATCTACGCTCCGCTTATCGACTGAACCTCCCCGCCCCGCCCCAGCCATCCGCGCCGATCTAGAAAATATGTGTTGAAAGGACTTCATCTCCAGGTTGCGTCGAAAGCCAACCTGAGAAGAAATGGCCCGGGTCATGAGAAGAGCCATGTCGGCTTCGACTCGGCGCGCCCCCACTCGCGTCCTGCAGAGGAGACCTCGCAAACACAAAGTAATCATGGAGTCGGTTACTCAAGAGAAGAAAAAACTTCGGAGTGTGGTACGTGGTTCAGGAATGGTGCCCGTGCTCCCTCGTGGACGATGCTTGACGGTTACAATTAGATATGTTTCGAAGCGCAGGCGCCAAGCGGCTATACCTTCATTCCTGCGGGCAACCCGCTTCTCACCACCGCGTGCAAGGAGCGGTGTCGGAAAGATGGACTCCAGGTCTATGCAGTCTCGGTAAGACAGAGATGCTTCCTACCTACGTTCTCCTGGAACCGTACTCACCTCAACCAGACAACACCTCATATGCGCACACATAACTTGTCTCAACATGTCCATAGGATAGGATATCATTTTCCAAGCACAGTTGTCGCAGCAGCCTGCTCAGAGCTAGGTCTATATCTCACCAGCGCTGGGAAAGCAGTACCCTTCCACACGCTTGGCAGTCTGAAAGAGCAACCCCCAGCAAACTCCGAGGTTGACCAAATCACGATTAATACGGAGGCAAGAGATGCCATCAGAGACTTGTTTCCTAATATCCCAGACAACGATCTCAATCAGATCATCAAAACTGCGTTTCAAAAGGTAAGTCTGCTGGTAATGCCTATGGGGCGAATGATGAGAAAGATCAGAGGTACCTGATATCTATATCTACGGTGTCAGGGTCAACGGAAAGTCGGCACAGCGTCAGAGTTACCTTTGGCTCGCCGAGCACAGTTAGCAGTTGTGGCGCACATCCGCCATCTCTACACTGATTATGATCGCCTTTTAAAGCAGAAATCATTCCACGAAGCCAGATCGGAAGTTGAGCAAGTCACCCTGTCCAAAGTTATCGCATGGCGTGGGGACGATGAAAACGGCCAAACCGCCCTTGAGGATGTCTTCCGCGAGGTCATCGTCATATCAGATGATGAAGACAGTGAAACAGAAGAAGATGGACCGGCAATCGCAGGCACCAGGGATCACAGTGTGGAAATTTTCTCCAGCAATCCCCGAACCCATGAGATTCAAACTCAACCGATTAGTGCCGTACATGCCTCGAACCAGGATCCCTTGCGAGAGCACTCCGAGGAAGCCCCGCCTGGGTTCCGAATCGTTACCAGGGTACCAGCGCAGAAGGCCATCAACAGGCGAGGATTTAACAGATACCAAGCATGGAATCGCGCTCTCAACCGGTATCGAGCTGAAGCAAATGGCACTCAGCAGACCCAGATTGGCAGTACCTCCAGTGAACAACAAAGTCCGCGGTACGGGAAACGTCCTGCTCCTGTTCATGACATGCCAGATCCTCCAAGACGCCGAGATGTCGCTCCCCATTCTATGGAGATTGCCCCCAAAGTTGTTTTAGGCCCCGTCTATGTTGATAATCCTGGACAGCGATTGTTTGCTCTCCCACCAACGGATCACCCGTCTGGAAAGAGCAATGTAGGTGCTCAAGAGAGACACGCTCAATTGGAATCCCAGCGGACAAATACTCAACATGGGTCCAGTGGGAGAACATTGACGCTAACTACACAGAACTCACATGAACTTCGACATTTGGAGAAGAATCCTCATCCGGTTGGAACTGCCGGTTACCCCCAGGCTATATTGCACCCAAAGACGAATTCCAATGGTCGGTCGGAGAGAATCCCCGTACCATCCAATAATGGAGCAGATGCGCCCATGTTTGTGGGCGGGCCACAAGAGCCACACCACAATGGTGAGCACAAATTCGGACCTCGGACTGAACTCCCTGGTTCCCATTATCCCAGGACAGAAGCACCCCGCGAGGATGATGCAATCCCATCGATTGAATTGATTGAATCTCCTGGCCTGGCAGATAAGCGACGGATAGATGGCCGCTTAGCGCACCTGACCAACAGGATGTCGCTTCGTTCTGTAACCCCAGTTCGTTCACAGGGCGAGACCTCCCGGCATGGCCCTGCTGCGGCTCCAGGCAGCCCGGATGATCAGAACTGCAAGAGGAGACGGCTAGCGCACTATGCTGCTGTCCCTGTAAGTTATCGTCCCGATAATTGGAACACGAGACCCATTGGAAATCCGATCTCGGAAGGGCCAAGAGGTCCGTACCGCCGCGATGAGCCCCTACCAGGGCCTTACTCGCAGGACAGGTACTATCTCCGTCATGACCATCCTCCGCCAGCGGAACAACCTCCAGTCATAGGACACCACCCAGAGAGAAACCCAGGCTCTTTGGGCTCCCCGCAGGTCAGCTTAGATGCCGGGCTAGCTATAGACCGGACACGGATCGCCGATCCTTATGAGCCAGTCCCCATGCATACAAAGTCAGGGCTTACTGGCACCAGCGGCGTGATTGCCGCTGGTGACCGCACCTTCAGACCAGCACCGAACGTCTCTTACCCGGAAGTTCGTCCTACTCACTATGATGATCGTAGACCCCATTTGGACCGTGTGCGGCCCGCAATGCTTCAAGAATCGCGCCTCCCTGTTTGGAGAGCCTTTACTGATGCCGATCGTTCTGTGGTCCATTCTGCTTCCTCCGATGGGAAGCTGTACGCTGACGACTTCGTTCGTCCCGTCGATATCCGGGAGGTTCGCCCAGTGCCAGTGGAATACTATGTCCAGCGGCCAAGACACCAACAACCCCCGCGTGTGGAAGAAACCCGTAGCCAGCCGGCGCGGACGAGGATACCTGACCACTACGTGCCCAAGGATCTGCCTCATACCCAGGGTCCTACCGAACAGCGTCATCCTCGAAGTCCACGGGTAGCGCCAGCTTCTCACGAGCAGGCATACCGTCCTCCCAACACTGGATCTAACCCCCGCGATCCGCATAGTAAACCCAGCGGCGCTTCTCGTGAAAGACGCCCTGGTAGCGGGCTCGGCGCGCCGCGGTAAGCCCTTCTTTATGGGACCCATCATCTCATATCCAATCACACACTCCGTTTATGCAAATGCCCCTGCTAGAACTAACATGATTGCAGACGCGTCCATGACCCGCGGTTCTTCCAGATGGTCGAGCAAAATCGCCCGATTTATGTGCAACGCGTCGAATCGCAGCCGCCGCAGTACACCGTCCCCGAGGGACGGCATATTGTAATTGTGGATTAAAGAGGAGAGTGTCTGAGGCGTTTTGAGAGTTCTTGGGTTCAAGGTTGATGCATTTGTTACGCACGCCGTTATCTGTGATACCCATCTGCCTATTCTTATTCTTAGAACGCCTGTCATCATCATTCTTAGGATGCCAAGTTTCAAGCCATCGTCTTCAGTCTTGTACCAAGCTACACTTATCTTTCGTTCATACTGTGTAGGAGCCCCTCGCTAGTCACACCTTGCTGTATACGATGAATATAGACATATCTAGCTATATTCCATATCAGGAGGCAAATCTTGACAGTATTGCAGGCATCAAAATGGGCCAGTGGGCGAATTCAAAAGGTATATTGCGCTTATAAACACAGCTCTTCCCCGGGAAGCGCCCAACCACGTCTCTCACGCATATCCGGAAATACAGCACCCTCTGGCGGCTGCCCCGTCTTCAACGCAGGGAAATCTCCTTTCTCTATTTCAGGTTCTGTTCCGGCTCGCCAGTTCGCCGACCTCGAAGAAGGATGCTACACGCTCATGGCCTGCCCGTCGGCCTCGCCGCTATTCACGGTCTTGCCCGTCTTCTTGATCACGGCCAGCACGGTGTCGTACGAGACGGTCGGCTCGGCGATGATGTTGGCAGTCTGGGACTCGAGGCTGACATCGAAAGACTTGACGCCTGGGGCGATTGGGAGTGTGTTAGCAACGGGGTGAAATGGCCAACAAAAGCAATCGACGGGGATGGATGTAGATTGCAGGCAACCGTGGTAGTTTAGAGGTATACGTACCCTCCAGCTTCTTCAGGACCCGCTCGATGGCGCCGGAGCAGCCGCCGCAGCTCATGGCCACATTGAACTTGTATTGGTGGTCAGACATTGCGGGTAGTTGGGAAGTGACGGTTTGTTCTGCCGCGGGGCTGTGGGGAGGGAAAGGCGGGAGTTGGAAGTGAAAGTGGGCGCGACGTAAGAAGGGGGGATTTAAGCAGTCAAGTGGGCGCGGGTGAAACCAACTAGGGGCCCGGATTTGTTATATCCCGTTATTATAGGAGATGCTTATAGTGATTACGATGATTACTGGGATGATGATGATTATCGATCCTGGTCTTTGCAAAGACCAGCATTTGTCATACGTGGTTCACCCCTTCGTTGAGCCATTTCCGCGATTGGTCTGCGCGGGCCAACGGCGGGTTCGCAGAGCAGTCGCACGCCATTATTGAATTCATATGATTGCTTTTGCTTTTTCCAAGAGTGGACTATGTACAAGCCAGAGAGCCCTCCGTCTGAACGCTAAAATCCCGCGGCGCGCCGCTTCTTCCTGACTTTCAGGCTCTTCTTCGCCTCGCGTGCTCCAAACTGCCCGCGTTCCATCTGGGTCATCGGCACCTCGTCCACAGTCGGTTGGCTGCTAGGGAGTGGCAGCGCGGGCAGGATGTTGTCGGGCTGACTGCCCCAGGTTCGGATGGGGGGTGCGACGCGGGTGGGTGGAAGGGATGAGGCCTCGGGCTGGGCCGTCTGCTGGGGTTTCCTTCGTGACCGTTGCCTCCTGGGTGTGCTCGGCCCGGCACTGCGTTGTGCCTCTTCTTCCTCGAGCATCTGCGAGGTTTTCTGCCATTCATATGTCGATGGATCAGCACCGAGTTCCCAGTGGGACAGTAAGTTGGCCACATTCCGCGGCATGGTGCGGGGCTTTTTAAATGTAGTAAATGTAGATAGACCATTATAGGCCGCGATGGTGGGATCCTTCGAGGTATTACTCGATGGTCCCTGGGAAGTAGGTTCTCCTGTGACTATGATCTGACTGCTGGGGGGTTGAGAGGACGGCAAATGCAGGCTGGATGTCTGTGAGAATATTGACTCCTCTCTCTCGGTCCGATGCTCATCTGTGGCTTCTACCGTTTGTGGCAGGTCTTTAGAGCTAGGTGTGTTTGATATGCGGATGAGTCTTGATAGAAGTATATCAAGAGCGATACCACGAATGACTCTCTCTTTCATGACACATGTGAACCGAGGGATATCGTGAGAAAGACTGGTCACCCACTCATGAACCAATCTGTCGTAGAGATTCACAAAATCCAAACTCGATTGTTCGTCTGAGGAGATGGGGGGCATGGCATGCAAGACAGGGGAGAATTTCAGTGGCAAAATGATGTATCGGCAGTGAGCCTCCCCAACAGGAGGCTCGGACAAGACGGTTGAGACCAGACGCGTTAGATTATGGGCAGTGTCATCAATATCCTCCATCACGGGTCGACCTTGGCTCAGCTCAAGCCTGTGATCCATTAATATCAGTCCTTCAAATCAACAGGTCCATGCTGGAGGCTTACATTGTTTCACTTGCTATCCAGTCCTTCGAGTTGTCGACCATGTCTCCCTCTCGGGTCGCGATAAGCTGGTCAAATGTAGAACCTGACGGACCAGGGTTATCAGGACTCCTACCAGCTGCCAGGTTTGCCACGGCTAACGCATATATAGATGTCCAATCCAAGGTCCACTGGAGATCCAAGTCGGAATCGCTGGAGAGGTTCTGGTGAAGAGCCGCACGTGGAGGTGCGACGGTCTCATCCCAGTCATCCACGACGAAGTTTTCATCGTCCACCTCGATGTTCTTTCTATGTGCATGGTGCCGCTTCTTCAGACGCAGGATATTACTAGACTCAAGGTGCACGTTATCCTCTTGCTCGGGCGTTTCGTCTGGGAGCCTAAACAGGCTCTCATGGACGCCGAGTGATGAGTCAATCCAGAATAGCTTGGTGAGCTTCATGTCAGGGTTGTAGTATGTCTTGCCCACGGGAGGAGGGGAGTGTCCGATTTCTCGAAATATGAATGTCGAGTAATGGACCGGGGTGCCTATCTCGGTAGGGGACTCATTGACTTCTGATGGCACATCTAGCATGAATGGTTCAGGTATGGAGATCGCTTCAGCTTGTTCATCTGCGATGAAAGGACATGGAAAGACCTGAACAAGTTCGGTAAGCTTCGAGTAGAGGACCAGATGCAAGTCTAACCCGGTTAGTATCCACGTTCAGAAAAACCAAGTCATAACATCAAGGGAGTCGACATACCTCCATTAATCGGCAGGTCGCTCAGACGCAACGTTGTGTCCTCAGGGTCTCGAAAATGGCGCCAGGCTAGGCGAGGACGTAGAGAAGGCCTCAATCCATGTTCATTCGGTGGCGCCGTGGTGACATCAAACCAGACCAGTCGAGATGTGGTCAGGACAAAAAAGTGAGCCACATTCTGCGCGCTTCGTTGCACATCCAGAATCCACTCAGACTGTCTCGTCATGCCAATCTCGACAGCGCTGCTTTGACACACGCCCTCCGATAGCTGGTAGAGCATAAGACAGCGACGATCGGAGACCAAAAGAGTTGAGAAGTCGGCAACCCATTCAATAGATGCCCATCCATCATGCCGCGGGCGGTTGGCATCTGGCTTATCAACTGTCTCTGGCAATTCGCCTTTCTTCACGCACGTGGCAGCCCAGTTAGCCCTTCGTCGTCGTTGTCGACCGGATATTTCCCAAACGCTCCAGTTACCTCTCGTGTCGACAATGGCAAGCTGTCTCGGATACCATGGGTTGAAAGCCACATCGGCGTGCGAGAAGCCGCCTGTATGCGAATTTGATATGTCCACCACGGGATTCGCATCGAGTCGGGAATTTCGAAGCGGTACAGAGAATGCGGCTGTATCGTCATCTGCGATGTGCATAGGCACAGGATCTAGATGATACAAAGGTCGGAATATCGTGGTCGCCTCTTGCAGGCGTGCAGCCATCCACACAGGCTTCTCCTCTAGCGGGCGCGCAAAGCAAATCTGCTGAATGGGGGCTCCACGCTTGGACCATTCGGTCACCTCAGATTGACCAATAGATGGCCCTCGCAATGCAGAGCCTTCGGTTGGTAACTCCGCAGTATCATCTGTCAATGCTCGAAAAGAAACAATATTGCCGCACTCCCCAGTCACCGATGCCGCGATGGCGACCGGCCCGCGAGCCCTCGTATCTTCCGTGCCATGATGTGTCGCATACCCTAAATCGAGAAGCGAAGAGACCTGAGGGTCATAGATGTCGGTTACGGTCGTAATGATTTTAGAAAGGCCATCGTCTCGAATAGAGGACCAGTGAGAAGCAAGATCAGGAAGCACTCGTGGAATGAGTTGCTGATCTGCCGTTCGAAACGGCTTCACCGATGTTTGCGGCTGGGAGGTGCGAGTGGGTGCCCGCACAGTTGTCTTCGTCACTCCAGTATATGAGATTGAGGGCGGTCGGGCGAACGAGCGCGAGAATGTCCAGGTCTGTGTCTCGGGAAGGTAGATAGCTCTTCCTACGTGCCCATAGTGTAGAGCACTGTCGGGATGTTCATCCATCGGATCTTGCTTTGCTCCTTGCAATATGCGCAAGACCGGGCCAGACCATGTCGAGGGAATTCTGGAGAGAAGGGCCGTGTTAGGGCGATTCGAAAGGGCAAGGACGTTGTCGCATATTCTTCGTGGAGGTCGATGAGGTCCAGTTGAACCCGAAAGCTTTTTGATGGCTTATCGATAAGCCCACTTCCTGGCCCCGTTGCACCGCAACCCAAAATACCCGCAGATCCCCAACGCGTCAGGTTCCTTTTGTCAACCACCACGTCGCAAACCTACACATCAAAAACTATAGATCCTAGCAGTGATACCGATCATGGCGTCTACATTCGAGCCCTCTCTCTCGACGAGTGGCATGCGCCCTCCCCTCGCCTCCGCGGATGCCCCCTCCATGGCCGACTCGCTGCCCAGCATCAACTTTGGATTCGAAGACCTGCGCAATCGCATGGCCCAATTTACAGCCAAATTTGACGCGTTCATCGAGCGAGGGCGCAAGCAAGTCCTCGAGGAACGCAATCAATTCCATATCAACCTTGCTGAGCTCCAAGGTGCGATGAAGCGACATTGTTGCCCCCACTATCCTGGGCACTGACTAAAACAAACCTGCAGAGGACGAACGAATGCGACAGCGAGATATTGAAATAACCAACCTCAAATCCCAAACCCATGAACAGACACTCCAGAAAGAAGCCGCCGAAGCAGCCGAAATGCATTCTGCGATTTCCTCGATCAGCATGCAACGCGACTCTCGACTCGCCAAGCGCGACCGCCTCAAGCAACAGATCGCAGAGACCCAGAAGGCGATCAACCAGAAACTGGAGGCACAGAAAACACATGCCACGCACTTGGATGCACAATCTCGACTGAACTTCCCCGAACTGGAATTTTGGCAAGACTACCTTTGTTTACGAATCGAGGGCGCAGGTCGGGAGGATCGGTTGAAGTTTGCTTACAGCCATCTTTTGGAGAAGGACTGGGAAGCGGAGGCATGGTTTGAGTTGGGCACTGCTAGTCGCGACTACGAGGTTTTCCACACGAGGCCCAAGGTGGATAGGGACGCACTGGAGCGGGAGGTGGACCTTGTCAACGATGACCGAGACTTCGGGGCATTCCTCAAGCGAATGCGTAAGCTGTTTATAGACACAATGAACTGAAGGAGGAAAGGGGTTGGGAGATATTTTGTTATGATATTCATGAGCCTAATTGATACATACGGAGCATCATGTTCATTGAGGTAATCAAAGTACGTAGGGCTGGCACAGGCACCTAGGCGATATCGTGGACAGTGCTCAACCACCAGTGGCCTCGCGGTAGAATGCGACGCTTCTATTAGCACCTGCAGTAGCGAAACACTCGGACCTGGCAGTCTTGGGAAGCCATTTGACACTCCAAACTGCCTTTTCGGTCTCAGACTGTGTCGCAACGCACATCTTAGTGTCAATCGACCAGACCTTGACTTTGCCATCGAATGAACTGCCGAGGCGATTAGATCTTGACTTTTCAGGCCTCCATAGGATGTGTGCACTCACCTGCTAAGAAGATACTCTCCCGAACTGCTCCACGAAAGAGACAAGACCCAGGCCGCGTGGCCGGAGAGATTGGCAATCTGTTCACCAGAAGAGGTATCGTAGAGCACGATCACCTTCGAATCTCCAGCTGCCGCAAGAATCTTCCCACCGGGAGAGAAAGCTACTGTCCTGACGGGTTTCACCAGACCTATGGCCAATTAATTTTTGCGGGGCCTTCGTGGTGAGGATCACGTACCTGACAGAGAGAACGGCATGCGGCCAGTATCGGTAAGGAAGATATAGACAGCACCATTCTCATGGCCGCTGGCAATAAAACGGCCATCGGCAGACTATATATGTCAGTGGGAGCAATGGTTCAAAAGGTGCGATGGAGGACCTACCAAGTCGATACAGGTGCCGAAGCTGCCTTTGGTCTCATGGTCTCGTATTTGGGTACCATTCTCGCTTAGATCCCATACACCAACACGACCATTCTGTGAGACACCTGCAAGATACCGGCCATCTGCAGACAAGGCTATAGCCCATGCTCTGACGTCTATTAGGCAAGCTGTTGGCTCCTGATTAGCATGGATGGATCCCTCCTTTGGTTGCGCCAAGTCTGCTCATACCTGAGGTCGCGGTATCTGCAGACCAATGGCCCTCTTGACAGGACCAGGCTTTGACATCTCCGGCAAATCCTGCACTGACAGCCCGAGAGCCACTTTCATCGGTCACGATGTGATGGCAGCCAAGTGGGTGAGCTCCATCGATGGATTGAACCAGCGGGAAGTCTGTGTCGGTGGTCGAATGCACCTTGAGAGATGGAGCCCCTGACGCGGACAGAATTTGCTTCTCCGTCACCGCTAGAGAGAAGATATCGACCGGGTGCGCTGAGCCTCAGTTAGCTCATATTGGTTGTGTTTTGAGATATTGCCAACCCACCATTGTCGGCCGAGCCCCACGCAAGGAATTGTCTCGACTACACGGTGTTAGCAGTGGTGCAGAGTCCCACAACGCCTACTTGAACTGTACCATGCTCAATTTGGCCTCAACTCGGAGGGATTGTGTTGTTCCAGATCCAACTTCAACTGCCGTTATGACGTTTGGGCCCGCGACTTCGGCGAAGCTTTGGTTCCGCCTTCGCGCCTCAGGCGTCACGGAACAAAGATGCCTCTACGCTCGACACATCTAGGCCCAGACGCAACGGCTAAGTCACTTTACTCCGAGGTTTAGATAGAATATAAATAGATTTTCATATCGGCCATTGCGACCAAGATACTGAATTGAATATAGCGCATTCACGCCTTTTTTATCCCACGTAACCAGACGCCAGATGCCATGCAGCAGATATATCCACAACCCAATTCCTACAAATACACAATGCTCTTCCGAATCCCACGCCAGGTCCATTCCAACTGCTTCATGGTGGGATATATGAAGAGCGCTCTTGTTTTAAGTTTGGTCGCATCTCATGCGGTTTGCACCGACTTCCACGATTGCTTGATATCTACAAGTCCGTTAGCTTCCAATAATTGGCAAAGTCCAGGCAGCGCATTGGCACTAGATTGTCGCCCGAGACAGAGGTTTCCAAAGAGCTCGCTGTCCAAACAGCGGACCGCTGGTCAGAGCAGAAAAAGGAGATGCCCGTACCTTTCACACAGTGGGGACACAATACATGGGCCCGCTTGACTTGACCGCAGCCGGGGCACTTGTTGAGATTCTGTACGTCCTTCAGGGCCTTGCCGGCCATTTGACGGTGGCGCTTCTTCATGTGCGAAGTCTTCTTCTTCGGCACGGCGCGGAGGACGGACTCCCAGAGGTCGGCGAGCAGCGGTGGAATGGTGATGGAGATGGGCAAGGCGAAGGAGGCGGTGGAGAGGAAGCCGAGGGGAGGGAATTGGGGCAAAGCCCGTCGGAGGGAGAGGGACAGGGCCATGGCGAGCGGGGAGGAGGGATTGTTCCCAGGCGTGAGGCGTGAAGTTGGTGGAGGAGGTGGAGATGGAGATTCAACTTTTGAAGGCCGTGCCTGCCTCTTTGGGCGGACTCGTTTTGCGCAGTTCGGGGCAATCACGCTATTCCCAATTGGGAATAGCGCACCCCTGAGTTCGATAGGGAAATAACAACGCCGAGAACTTAAGGGGCTCTCCAGCATCTTCACCTGGGGAATAGTTCGTCCTGGTTCTGGTCCTGGTCCTGTTCTTATCCCACCTCCCTCGTCATTCTCGCCCGCCTACACTCACAATGGCCGCCGCTACCAGCGCTGCTTCGGCTCAGCAGCCCACCGTCTTTCCCCACAGCCATGTCGGTTTCGACAGCATCACCTCCCAGATCGAGCGGAAGCTGTTGAAGCGTGGCTTCCAGTTCAATGTCATGTGTGTCGGTATGTACACAGCTGCCCCCTGCTCCTCTATCTCTGACTGACCCCTCCTTTTCTTCCCCCTGCGTGTAGGACAAACTGGCTTGGGCAAATCGACTCTGGTCAACACTATCTTCGCATCCCACCTGATCGACTCCAAGGGTCGTCTCACCCCCAATGAGCCCGTGCGCTCCACCACCGAGATCCAGACTGTTTCGCATAGTACGTGTGCCCTATGGGAGATTCGATAGACGCGCATGAAAAGCGGAATGGCTGACGGCTTGTCTAGTCATCGAGGAGAACGGCGTGCGTCTCCGCCTGAACATCGTCGATACACCTGGATACGGTGACCAGGTCAACAACGACCGCTGGTATGGGTCACCCTCTCCCCTTCTCTCCATGGGAGAGAATGGTACGAATCAAAACTGACGTGACACCAGCTGGGACCCGATTGTCAAGTATATCAAGGATCAGCACTCGGCATACCTCCGCAAGGAACTCACTGCTCAGCGTGAGCGCTACATCCAAGATACCCGTATCCACTGCTGCTTGTTCTTCATCCAGCCCTCCGGCCATGCGTGAGTCTTTCTATTTCACAGTCAACATATGGCAATTGCCATTGATCGTGCCAACGTCCTAACAAATTTGGTTATTCGATCCGATAGTCTCAAGCCCATCGATATTGTTGTCCTGAAGAAGCTGTCCGACGTTGTCAATGTCGTGCCTGTCATCGCCAAGGCTGACTCCCTCACTCTCGAAGAGCGCCAGGCTTTCAAGGAACGGATCAAGGAGGAGTTTTCTTTCCACAACCTGAAGATGTACCCCTACGATAACGACGAGCTGGACGACGAGGAGCGCGCCATCAACGCTCAGATTAAGGTAAGCAATCATACTTCACGCATATTCTGTTCCCCCGCCAAATGGGATTACCGGTCTGACCCTTTTTTTTCGCACAGGACATCATTCCCTTCTCCGTTGTCGGCAGTGAGAAGACCATTGTCGTTAACGGCAAGCAGGTTCGCGGCCGCCAGAACCGCTGGGGCGTCATCAACGTCGAGGACGAGAACCACTGCGAGTTCGTCTACCTGCGTAACTTCCTGACCCGCACCCACCTGCAGGACCTGGTCGAAACCACCAGCCAGATCCACTACGAGACCTTCCGTGCCAAGCAACTGCTGGCTCTGAAGGAGAGCAGCGCTGCCGGTGGCCACACGGGTGGCAGTCGGCCCATCAGCCCTTCTGCGGACCGCGAACTGAGCCGCAACTCGCAACGGGCGGCCATGAACGGCTACTAATTTCCCCTCTCCCTCTCTCCAATGGTATTGCGGTTGCGACCATGTTTGGTGAAGTGAGCGCCCCCTGATGCGCGCGACGGTAGCAAACAGACCTCCCCCTCTCCCCACGGGCAAGGCTCTCATTTTCCCCTTCTCCGAAAATTTACTGTCCCTTTCGACGCCAGCAGGCCCTTGCAGATATCCCTTTTTCTTTTGCGTCTCCCTGTTTTCGTCCTCTCCCTCCACATTTTGTATTACCCCGATGTATTCGATGTGCTTCAAGTACAGCGGGCTTTTCCTCTATTCTCTAGGATTTTGTGTTGCCGGGAAAAAGAGTCTGTCATCCAGCGCTCGTGCCATCTGGTCTTTTCCATGTACTTAGTTTCCTTAATTATCCCTGATGAGAAACTCTTATTCTTGGACTGTGTTTCTAGTTCGGTGGCCCTGTGCCGGCCTTGCGGTATCAGTTGCGATGCTGCAACATTATTCTATTCTCGTTCAGCCCTGTCTGTACTGGGATTCAAACGCTAGACAATATTTTCTATATGGAAACGAAGAACCGCCAATTTATTGCGGGGCGCCAAAGCGGCCTCCGTCGACAACCCAATCACGCACCTCCGCGTACGCCTTCTCCAGATCATCGTTCACAACAATCTTGTCGTGGGCACCAGGCTGCTTCGCGTACTCCAGCTCGTTAACCGCCTGGTCCAGTCGCTTGCGCAAGCTCTCTTCGGTTTCAGTTCCACGGCCTCTGAGCCGACGCTCCAGCTCCTCCACGGACGGAGGCGCCAGGAAGAGGAATCGAGCGTTGAGGTCGCTGTTCTTCACTTGCTTGACTCCCTGCACAGTCTTCATCAGCATCGTAATCCTGTACTCTGTGCTCCTCCAACTCAGCCACATACCTCCATCTCAATGTCGAGAACACAGATCCGCTCCTTCTCAGCGACGTCCTTGACTGCTTGCTTGGATGTGCCATAATAGTTACCGCCGAATTGAGCTAGAAAAAGAATGTCAGTCCCATACATCGGATGGCTAGATCATGCAATGCCACATGCCGTGCTCGATAAAGCCGTTTTGGGCAACAAGGTCGAGGAACGCCTCTTTGGTCACGAAGTTATAACTATAGAAGCTGTTAGTTTCAGTCACTCCAGCACAATCGATGGGGGCGCCTTTCTGGACTCCGTTCTCCTCCCCCGGTCTTGGGCCTCTGGTCGTGTCTAAAGTGCGCAGGCAGATAGTATTAGCTCTGTTGGTTCTCGAGTCGTATTGCGTACCCCGCGAGATTGTCGAATCGCACTCCTTCTTTCGTCTCGTTATCGCGGGAAGGTATAACTCAACTCGATACACTAAATCCAAAACGGTCTAGGGAATCAACAGATCTATTAGAATGGTAGGCCAAAAAGAGATGCCGACTAGGCACAGAACAACAGTGGTGGGGGGGAGTGCAGAGAGGTCATCTCGGGCTTGTGCAGGAGATTATCATACCGGGGAACTCGGCGAAAAGTCGCTTGAGAATGGTACTCTTGCCCGTTCCGGAGGGTCCCGAAATAACTACCGGTCTGTAGACCGCTATATAAAAACGGAGGGTCAGTTTTTCGGTCTGGTTTTGGTCTTGGTGTGAGGGGCATGCGCCAGGGGGTACGGGATCGTACCGGTGTTGGAAGCCATGATGGTAGCGAAGCGATTCACACAAAGGAAAGGTCTAAAAGAGGCTGACAGGGAACGCAGTGGCGCAAAACAATTCATATGAGAGCAATCGTTAGTCGAGAGTTCGCAATGACCGAGCCTTTGCGCCCAGATGGACTACACGAAAACGTTTGTCCGGCAGAATTAAGGCGGTGGTTGAAGGCGGCGCCGATCTCTACTGAGGCCTTCTATACACTGTGTAGATACAACAACCGTCCCCGATCATACAACACTAAAAGAACACGCGCTAGGCGCTATTGCTATGATTTCGCTGGCCCCGGGTGGCTTCCTCGTCTCATCGTGTTCATGCTTCCAACCTCGGCTTCTTGCTCCAGGAAATTGGACCACAGCTCCGCTAGCGTTTCCTTGCTAGAGGCCCCATTATCCATGAAATCGGTGGCCAAGTTCGGTGTGCTAGGTGTGCGCAGAGGTGTTCCAGGGACGCGGAGTTTTCCTGTGAAACTGGAGGTCCCTGGTCGGGCCAGACCTGCTTGTTCGCGTTGTTCTAGATGGAGAGATTAATCAGTTGCTTGAAGGGGGTAAAGTCTCTCCGTATCAGTAGCGAAACTCACCGTCGTCCCAGCCCAGCAGAGCTGCAATAAGCTGGAGGATCTGGAATTTCTTTGGATCCGACCGGTCTAGTGCAAGGAAATGTAGTAGGTGGTTGGTTACAATGTGCCTGGCGAGCCAAAATTATTAGCAAGGAAACTCTTCAAAAACGGCATTCTACGTATTCTCGACAAAAGGGAGGGAGGGATGCTCACCGGTCCACGTTGTCTTCTGGCTTGCCCTTCTTCAAGAACCGCAATGCCTTTGTCAGGTGGTCGTTCAGCGTCACGGCTTCGTGTCGGAGCTTGCCGATGAGAAGGTTCTTCTCCTTCACCTCCTTCTCGAACGGCCGCACGCGCTCCAACTCCTCTTGTGCTGTGTGGAGATTCTTGTCGGCATCGGCCGCTTGTTGCTGTGCTTCTCGTAAGGATTTCCTCAAGTCTTCGAGCTGGGCATCCGAGCTCTCGACCAGCTCCCGAAGCTCCTGTTTCCGCGCGGATTGGATTTCTTGCAGTGCCCGCTGAAGACCGTCCACTGTAGATATTTGGCTGTCGCGTTCGCCAGAGGCCTTTTCGTACGCATCGCGAAGATTGGCCAGCTGTTCCTCCAGATCTGTCACCTTCTCTGCCAGATTTTCGCGGACGGATCTTTCCTCCATAGCAAGCACCTCCCAGTTATGCATAGCATCCTTAGCCTGTTCGAACTCGGACTGGAGGTACGCATTCTGCTCCATCAACTCCTCTTTTTCTTGGGTCCAGTTTTGTTGGGACAGATTCGTTCGATCCCGGAGAGTGGAGACTTCCTTGCTTCTCTGCGCCGACTCTTCGGAGAGCTCTGCTAGTTCTGTAGACTTCGATTCCAGCTGCGACTTTAGGTTTGTGTTTTCGTCCTCCAGTTCCTCGATCTGGGATCGCGCTTGAGCCAATTCCTCCTGTAGGACTGCGTGAGTATGATCGTCAGATGGGAGATGGAAACAGGCCACGCACCTCGTCTTCCTTCAGGCGCTCCCCCAGCTGTGACTTGATTGCATTCACCCGCTCCATGAGTTTCTGGAATTGCGTTTCTGCCTGCTCCTTCTTGGACTCTGAGTCATCGAGCTTCTGCTGCAAAGCTTCCATGTCTGCCCGATGTTTCGATTGTATTTCTTCTAAGGATTTGCGCATGTCGGTCACTTCGGCACGGAGGGAGTCGCGGTCTCGAACTAGGGCGTCGAAGCGGTCTTTAGGTTCGGCATCGTCGGCAGCGCGGTCGTCGGTCTCTCTAACACCATCGCCAGAGGGTTCTGGACCGTCGGCAGGCTGCTCCGATACACTGTTGTCGGCAGGGTCGGGTTGAGCTCCGTCGGCGTCTGGGGTTTGGACGGGATCACTTGGGTCCTCGGCATCGTCCTAGGATCCTTAGCAACAGGTGCAATGGCAGGCAGGGATGCAAAACCCACCTGAGGGGCATCATCGTGGTTCTCTGGGGCCTCAGATGGCTCGGTGTCGGCTTGGCGGGCGTTGTCCTTGGCCTTTGCGCTCTTCTTCTTGCTCTTCTTGGATTTCGCGCCTGGGGTCAGGGTGAGTAGGCGAGCTGAAAGTCAGGGGAGGGGTAGTCAAAGCTCCGCACCTTGAGCCGCAGAGGGGGTGTTGTCTCCAGGCATACTGGCAGTGGTGTGGATTGGGCCCGGGGGGGGGGGGAAGAGAGATGGCGAACGGAGCGTCCAGAGTTTCCAGGTAAGCTGTCAACACCTCACTAGCGCGGGCTGGGAGGGGGCTTTCCGCCCTGGGATCGCGATGATTAATCTAGGCGACACGCCTCCCGGTTGGATTCCCCCAAGATGCAAATTGCAAATTGCATGCGAATGCAAAGGGTGGTTCTATAGGAAGTCCGGGTCTATTGAGCGACGAGCAGTTCAGTTGGGTATGCTTGGCATCCTTCTGGGGCTACGCGCCGGTTCCAGCCATGCGTCGGTCCCCAGCCACGCAGATGTAGAGACAGATGGATAAAACATTGCGATCCATAAATGCAACGCATAATGCAGACCAATAGTTGCACAAATATATATATATATTACCACATGAGATTGCAGCATGTTCAATTCCTCGGAATTACTTAGGACTTGGTCTGTCCGCGCTTCAGCTCGAAAGAAAAAGCGCTGGCTCCTTCCCATGGCGAGTCTGAAGCGATCGGTGCTTCTCTCCATGTGCTATATTTAGAGTATGAAGGTTGCGATATCGAGGTCTTCCCCATATCAAATCGCCTCTAGAATCTAGATCTCGGTCGGAGGTACATTTAGCCTCGATCCTCTCCGCACTGCAGAGTCAATATGGCAAAGATGGCCCTTTACATGCATTGTCTTCGCGCATTCGAGCTGGTTCTGCTTCCGCTGTTCCTAATTCTCTTTCTTTTGCTACTTTTCTTGACTTTTGACTCTTGTTTGTCATTTCACCTCAAGGCAAGTCCGCCGGGGACCTTTTTCGGGCCTTTGGGAGCCGTGAACAGCCGTTCCAGGGCACAACCTAGCTTGAAAAGAAAGAAAACAGTCCAAAGGCCATTTGATCCTTCGAAACAGTCGGCCATGGCGTTGCAGTGATGGCAAATCCAGTCACCAACCCATTCTACGCGAGAGGCTTGGCCGAACAAACCGGTCCGCTCAGCCACGCGATTTATAGTTCACCAGCGTGGTGGAGCAAACCAGGCGCTCGTGGGAACAACCCTATTTTCGCTCACCTCCGGCATTTGTGTCTTGCATTCATTTCAGAACCTCGGTCTTGATACATACTAGCCTTTTCCAATCTCAAACTCTCGGTCTGTCACCCTGCGTCACCGTGGAGAAAGTCAATGCACTTTCATTCCGGCGCAATAGCCTGTCTCGGGGCTAGTCTGCTTTGTGTCAGTGCGAACCTTTCGATCTTGCTCTGCTCCTCTCCTCCACCCCCCGTTTCATTTACCCTTCGCGCGGGTCTGGAGCGGCGCTAAAGATGCTTTCAGAATTTCGAAACGAAACTTCCGATGGAGCAGCTTAGTTGCCGTCAAGCGGCGGGGGGAGAAAAGGTTTCGCCAGGTTCCTGGGAATTCAGCATCAGCTCCATTGCTGCTGTCTCGGTTCCTACCGGCGAGACATTCTGAAACGACCAGGAAGTGCGAGATCAACACGGTGGCCCAAATGGCCCAGATGTTGGGCAAGGAAGGGAGAGGGAAAAAGGCGAAGAGTCTCTCAGACGCGTTATGGTGGAGAGAGCTTGCGCAGTGGTGTGATATGAGGGCCAATTCGCTGCATACAAGAATCCTGCGACACGGACGAGGATCTGTGGCCGTGCGCGGGCGGCATTTCCGGCGAGTTAGGAGTCTCCCAGGACCGGGACCAGCACGCCAGCACTCCATCACTCCATCACCAGTACCAGCAACGGGAAGACTTGAAGTTCAGCACTGACTCCTCAATTGCCGAGCTCGGCTGGACCAAGCTTCTTTGCCTGAGTCAGGTTTTGCTCACGGCCTCGTGGCCAGACCTCGGGCGAAACGATCGTCTCTGGGCCGAAACCCCCGAAACCAATACCAACGAACCACCTATCCCCATCTCTCCATCTTGGACCAGGTCTGGAAGCCGATGGTGTTCAGAGACGACTACCGTATGGGATAGCAGAGCTGGAATGCTGCCTTGGTCGAGCCCCATGCGAGCCTAGGGAGGTCCATGGAGCCTCACCACGGCCATACCCATGTCCATATCCATAGCGGGCCCAGGGGATCCCCACCCAACTGATGCACCGCACCTGCTACGCTTCTGAGGGGCAGGCTTGCACCGTTCCCACTCGCGAGTCGGATTGGCCGCGCCTCCAATCTAATGGGCTTAAGCGACATGTCCGACCCTTGAACCCTATAGCTCCGCGGCGAATCAGCACCCTGCCTACGTGGTCTCGTCTCGATCCCCCCGGCTAGCTCGATCCTAGCCGGAGCATGTCATATTTTCCCCCGAAAAAGCCGTTACGCCACGGGTGCTGGTGTGAAGTTAACGCTGCCCACCACGGGCGAGCCCGTTGGCAAACTCTCCCATGCGCCCGCCCCCCCACCCATGACCCGGGCCCTTTCTGATTGTATTATTTTGTTCAAGGCCCGTTCGGTCCCTTGAACGATGCTTTTCCGGGCCCCCTATTGGCTACTACTCTGTCCTACTAATCAATTGAGGGTGTCCAGCCTGCTTGTGCCGTCGCATCGAAGCGGCTCTCTATTTTCTCCCTGTTCTCCTATACACCCTTCTAGCTTCGTTGACTCTACTCTGTCGGGATGATGTCCGACCCTGTGCCTGACCTTGTGCAACGCTGGCCTTAGGGTGAATTAGATTCATAATATCTTTCTGCCGTTGGTCCTTTTTGATCCCGGCCGTTAACTACTGGGGATCTCGGGGCTACTGGACCGGGTCCCTCACACCTATCACCATCACCCACCACACCCCTTTCCCACTTTAAACCCCCCTGCTCCACTTCGGCTCCATTACATGATTGAAAAAGATTCGGAATTCCCGTGTGGTCGCATGCAGAATTCCGTTTCTGTTTACGCTCTCTCTGTCTACATCCCACCCGCCGCCCCGTGCGCATCTACAATCTCCCCCTCCCGCCGTCGGCAGCAGCTCCCTCTTTCACGGGCCCGGAGTTTCCCAACTTTCTTCCTATCATCTTCACGAGCCAGGCTCCCTCGCCATGTCGAAGGACCAGGCCGGCATCCGACGCGCCTTGGAACAGGCCCGGAACTGCGAGGATGGGGCAGTGGATCCGCAAACCACCGCGATCCTCGAGGCGGCTATCACCGAGCTATGGACTCGCATCCAGGCCGATCCAGATAACTATGTGCTCAGCCGCGATGAGTTCGCGCTCTTCAATTATTTTCTCGAGCGCTACCGCGGCTCGACCGTCGCTCAGCGGGCTGTGGCGCGATTCTGGAACAACTACCAGGGCTCCCCCAATACTGGGGGCAAGAAATAATCTGGACCACGATGATTAGATTGGTTCGCGATACGCAACGGCGCTGAATGGGCTTTGTCTCTTTTTTTTTCTCTCCCCGCCGATGGAGGGAGGGAAGGGGGGGGGGAAGGGGGGTTGGTGTCAAGGAACCGGAGGGATTAGGGACATGTCCACTACATTCTGAAAATGGCTGGAATGACCGATCTGCAGTATGCAAGCCCTGGCTGCTGCTGCTGCTCCTGCTGCTGCTACTGCTCGTCGTGTATGCTGGCACAGTCCAGGATGGGAGCTGCAAGAACTGACAGCCATGAACCAACACCCATGGACCGCCCCCTCGCCCATGATGAAAATCCACATGTGACCACACCGGCCGTCCACACCGGCCGTCTCCTCCAGTGTGAAACTTTACCCTCCAATGGGCCACAGACCATGGGGGAACGACCGGGGAAAAGACAGAAGGACGAAGCAAAGGGTCCAAACAGCGGCAGCCTCCATTCTCGTTGGGTCGCTCACCCGTTTCCCTTCCCCATCGGCCCAACGGTTCCCGATGACACAATATTCCAGGATGGGCCAAACGAGAGGCCAAGGAAGAGAAGAGGGGGAAAGGGCAGTATGATGCAGGCCGTTGCGCCTCCTGCGGGAGTGGATATGTGCGGTCAGGGAAATTGGCTTGGATCCCTGCCTCAGTCGGGACCGCATGCATTGGGCAAGGCATCTCCGCATTGCCACCCGGAGCCTTCTGATTGAATGATCCCAGAGACACTGGGAAGCAGCCAGCAGGCTTACTCGGCTCACCACTCCATTGTGGGCCCCCAGAACACCTCCATCGTGCACTAGATTGCCCTTGTTGGGACGACCAGGCAGGCCTCGCAGCACCCCATGATCGGCCCACCAAATCGACTCTGAATGACTGGATTCCCGATCCCTTACTATGCTGTCTATATATATCCCTCACTATGTACCGACATTTGACCTGTCCATCCTTTATCCTGTACACTATCTACTATATACCCGGCATATACCTAACTTCAATCTGCTTCGTGCGGTGGAGAGCCGCCGTGACACACAGCTGCGCGGCCCCGTCAGCAATTTTCCGACTGGCTCGGCTCCGACGGCCTGCTCCGCCGTTGACTTAATGGACTTGTTTGACTTAATCTATTTTTATCTTAGCAGAATATGTCTAGTCTCGGTTATTTAGTTTCGGTGGTTCCGCAGGGCGGGGCGATGCGGCCGAGACGTTGCCGCGAACTATGAGGCCATCGAACTATACCACGTCGCTATGAACTATATACACCACGGCTTGTTACCGTCATGGGATGCCTGCCCAGGTTGCACTGTCGGCTAGACGGAGCGGCGAGGCTCTGCTAAGGGTGTGAAGCGTCTCATTCGCTCTCCCTTAGAATCGAGTCTTGCAAATCGAACAAATCCTCAACGCTGGTGCAGCTGCCGATCGATGACGGCGAGCAGCGCAACTACGAGATGCAAGCTTTACAACAAGCCACATGAGACATCAAAACAAAAGCCACAAACGTTGATGCTTCGCGAATGTGCCCTCGCCTAACGGGAGAAATGTGCTATCTTGGTGCCATACCCCTTCGCGCCCCTCCCTCTAAGAGGATACCCGCCAGCGAAACACCTCCACCCCAACCTGACGTCTCCTAGGCTCTCCATGTTCACAACAAGGCAATTTTGGGTCACCTTAAAACCGCACCCAAAAAAAGAGAGAGAGAGAAAGAATAATCAGGCTCAGTATAGTGAGTTATCTGCACAGGAGAAGCTGCCTCCTCTCATCCCCTCGCGCAGGTTATGGAAGATGGATCGAACCGACGAATACAGGCCAACCAAGCACTAGAACGAGTCAGTCTTAGCAGAACACGAAACACAAGCGTCATCCAGTCTCACAATGATAAGTCCACATAAGACCAGACCGATGTTGATGCCGAACAAGACCATCTGCTTCCAGCTTAGAAACCAGCGGTGCCGGTTCAAAAAGAGCCAGAACACCCCTGGAAGACCCAAGGAAAACCAACTGGCAAACAGGGAACTCTGGTACGCCTGTTAGTCTGCAGGCTTCCCTTTCCGATGATAGATAGGCTGATGAGTACATACCGCCAGACCCAGGACATCATTGAAGACGGGAATCCCCTCCGCGATAATCCACGACAAGATCCAGAGAGCGAGACAGATGCCCGCCCATATGACTCGAGCCCCCACCGACCGCGCATGCATCGAGCTGGAGCCTCGAAACAGGCGAACATAGATGAATTTCACTGCTACATGGGCGTTCACGACTCCTCCGATCACGATCTACGTCTGGTTAACCTGGCACCAGAACACAACGCCCCCCACCTTCAAAGGGGACATACAGTTGGAATGGCAATGCTATAAGAGATCTTCCGGAAGAGTCTCCCAGCGGAGTTCAGGGCAGGCGATGTGACGGCCGGTCCCACATAGGCGTAGATGACGATGGCAGTGATCGTGTACAAGATCATCTCGCTTATCTGCAGCAGAGCCAATGCCCGGGGGAAATCGTGGATGTCCTGCAATTCAGAGAATAGAGTGAAGAAGGCTACATGGCCAGCGTACGCAAAGACAACATTTGCAATGGCCAGGCACGCATCGTGCACGGTTGGGGCCGGGGAAAGAAGCGGTATATGGACCGAAGCCCTCTTGTTAATAGATACACCGATCATGCTCGTCAGAACCGCCGCCGTGATGCTCACGAAGCTCACTGAGGACAAGTGGGACAGCCTCTCGAGTCGCCTTGGAAGGGTCAGGATGACCGAGACCAGCAGGCCCACGGAGGAGTAGAGAAGTGTGCAGCTGCCATGATCTGTGAGAACGTTCATCATGACCGAAAAGGTCAGCACATGGCTGCCCATCACGAAGATGTAGAATACAAGCTGGGCGATGCCCAGTAACCGGCGGCCAAGCCGTCCCATCAGGAGATCTCCTGCATCTGCCATGCTATGAACCTGCATGTAGCGGCGTTTGAACTGGCCGATGGTATACCCGGTGTAAGAGGAGATGATGCCAATGCCCAGGATGGCTAGAATGCCTCTATAGAAGCATGTGAGCGATAGATTTCAAGAGCAAAATCGGCAAGCGGTGCCGGAAATGGGGTCAAATACGGAATAAGTCCCAATATCGACAGAGCCTTGGGCAGAGCCAGAACCCCGAGGGAGATGGTCTCTGCGATCATAACTGATCTCGTCAGCTTGGGCTACAGGTTCAAAGAAAGGGTCGTGAACCTACTCATCCCGGTTTGCCTAAAAGCAGCAACTTCAGCTTCGTTCCACTCCCTCCCAGAAGATGGGCCAGATCACTTACCACCAGGCCATGGTCTTATACTTCACAGCCACTTCGCTTTCGTCTCCGAACGGGTCCTGTGCCGGGGGGCTCGGTGCTAGATTGGCGGCCTGTTTCTCAACTGATACGCCCAGTTGGCACTCGGACAGGTCCTCCGCATCGCAGGGCATACATCTAGGGTTGTGGTCTTGTGGGTCCATGTCGGAGCAACGATAGAGAAGCATAGTTGGGAAGAGGAGGGGAGGAAACACGGCCGGCCGAGAACATACAAGGCACCACCCACGGGCGCACCTGCCTTTTTAAAAAGTATCCTCTCGCAGGGAAGGCAACGGGAAAGAAACCGTTGAAGAGGGAAAGGAAAAACATGTCTATTTGTACAAGATCGCTCTATATTCCACATACACACACACACACACACACACACCCACACATACACACACGTGTCTATTTGTTGGCCGGGGAGTCCGGGGAGATCAGGGGATCAGGCGTATGGCTGACGTCGCCCTCGAGAATGTCCGCTGGGGGATCTGTGATGGGAATCCGTCAGTCATCAATTCAAATTTCCGATCACCTCGCCCTCATGGGATGGGCTGTCACTTACCAGTTCGGGAGAAGGTCTTGCGCTCCTCCAGACCCAGCTCCTTGACCCGACCGCTGGAGACCTCCTGGCGAGACAGGCTCAGAAGGCTCTTGGGGAGACCCATCGAGGACAGGTACGAGACCGAGTCCTTCCACTCGAGGTCCTTGCGCTGGTTGGACCACTTCAGCTCCTCACCCATCAGGTCAATCACGTTGGGGAGCGCCTCCAGGGCAGCCTCGGCATTCAGGAAGGCCAGGCGGGTACGGCGGGCAATGACATCGACCGCGGTCTGCGCATACTCGTGGCGGACGGCGTACCGGACCTCACCGTCGATGAAGGGGTACAGGGCCGAGATTCGGCAGCCGCGGACGGGGTAGCGAGCATTGGTCGGGGCCGAGAGGGCGGCCACCTGCCAGGCACGGTCACCGTAGGACTGGGTCAGGTGCTGGGCCACATCAGTCTCGAGACCGAAGTGCTGGATCAGGTTGATGAAGAGGGTCTTGGAGTAGCCGTGGGCACCGATCAGCCGCACCTGGTGGGTCTGGCAGCTCCCGTCGAGCACAGCGCCGTCAGCCACCAAGCCACTGCCGCCCGCACCACTGATATCCGGCATATCCTTCAGCTCGTGGGTCTTCAGCTGGAAGGAGCTGATCGCCTCGTCCACTGCCTCCTCGGCCATCTGGCGGTAGGTGGTCCACTTGCCACCGGCGCAGGTCAACAGACCCGACGGAGACACGGAGATCAGGTGGTTGCGCACCAGAGCCTGCGAGCTGGACTTGTTGGGGTCGCGGACCAACGGGCGGATACCCGACCAGGCGGCCAGGACGTCCTTCCGGTCCACGGTGATGTCGGGGGCCAGATAGCCGCGGATCTCCTTCAGAATCCAGTTGATGTCCGCCTCGGAGGGCTCGGGCTGGGTGGTGATCTCGGTGGGGGCGTCGGTCGTACCGGCAATGGTGTTACCCTGCCAGGGCAGGAAGAAGATCACCCGGCCGTCCGAGGTCGATGGGTCAATCAAGCCCATATTGGAAGGGCTGTAGTAGCCAGGTAGGATCACGTGGACTCCAGAGCTGGGCGCCACGATCTCCTTGGTATCAGGCTCATCCATCTTACGAATGGAGTCGGTGAAGGGGCCGGTGGCGTTGATGATACCCTTGGCGCGGATGGTGAATTCCTCGGTCTCCTCGCCATTCTTGCCGGGGATCACGTCCTTCAAGCGCGCACCATTCAGCTTGCCGTCGGCGCCCTTGGTGAGACCGGTGACTTCCATGTGGTTGACCACGGTGCTGCCGTAGAGGGCGGCGGTCATGGCGAGCGAAACGTTCATGCGCGAATCGTTGTGGGCGCCATCTGGAAAGGTCCCAGACCGGGCCCGTCAGATCAACCGAATCTTCTTGGAATCAATGGGGAGGAGAGAAAGGCAGCTTACCATAGTAGACCATGGCACCGATGACATTGTCCCGCCTCAACATGGGGAAGGCATCGATCGCCTTGCTCTTGGTCAGGAAGTAGGAGCTCTCAATGCCTTCGGAACCAGCCAGAAGATCATAGGCCTTGCAACCCGCCCAGAAATACGGAGCCTGCCACAGTTTCTGCACGGGCACCATGATGGGCAGCCATTGCGAGAGATGCGGGGCGGTATTCAAAAAGTACTTGCGCTCGCGGAGCGCCTCCTTCACTAGCGCATATCTGCAAGTGACATCACCCGTCAGTCCACCCTGAAGGGTCCCGTCGCCAAGGAGGACTCACTGGTTGTAATCCAACTCCCAAAAGGCCTTTTCCAAGTAACGCACACCACCGTGCACCAGCTTGGTACTCTTGCTGCTGGTGCCGGCACTGAAATCATCGCGCTCCACCACAGCAACCCGCAAGCCTCGGGTCGCCGCGTCCAGAGCAATGCCGGATCCGGTCGCACCGGCACCGATCACCAACAGATCGTAGGGCTCGTCCGTCTGGCTGCGCTTCAGGTCCTGGATCTGATCAATGCGACCCTTGATGGCCGGGAAGCTCGGAGGCACCAGTTTGCCCTCATGGTACCCGGGGGGAGGCACCGCGGGGGCTTCCAGGCCAGGGATGTTGCGGGGACGATAGGAAATGTAGAGCACTCCCGCTCCGGCGGCCGCGGCCGCGGAGGTATAGAGCAGAGGTCGCAGAAGCTTGCGCGAATGACGAGCGGCCATTATCCGGGGGAAGGGGGGGGGGGGGGGGTGTTATTTGAAGTTATAGGATGACGGAGGATAGTCGGAGGGGTCTAGGAATCGGAATCACGGTACGCTCTCTGCGGGCGGTGGACGGCAGAGGTTCCGAGTCAATTGAAAGAGAGGAGTCAATTGCGCTCAATTGGTGCAAATTGGAGAGCGCGATGATGGGGGAGGGAGGGTGGACACGGAAGAGTGCAGTTGAGAGTGGGAGGAGGAAGAAGGAGGGAGGAGTAAGAGTTGGAAGAGGAGAGTAGAAGAGTCGACGAGAGCCAAGAGGGACGCGACGGGCGCAGGAGGTACGACGATCTGGTCTCTAGTTTTCCGCTTAACCTGGTGAACAGGGTTCGACTCCGTCCTGGTCAGTCAGTTCTCTCCACGGCAGGATTGGCGGCCAACGTGATCCTACGCGATCGCTACACCTTCCACCTTTTGCCCGCAAACCGGTTAAAGGACCGCCACAGCACGGACGTCATTCGAGGCCCAGCCAGGCTACACACGCTGGACACGCTGACTCTCGACGCCAGCCGCGCTCGCCATTGGCGGCTGCGGTCGCGGTGGATCAGCATGACGGGGGTTTGGTCTGCATTCTCCCACCAATCACCCTCTCGGCAGCGACACGGTAGTACATGCCCCAGTCCAGATTTCGGATTCGCAGCCCGATCGTCCGGCATGGTTGACCTCATGTGACGTGCAGAGATTTCGAAGCTGTCGAGGTTTCGGTCGAGGTTTCGGTCGCGGGTTTCGGTCGGAGCATGCCCATTTCACGGGGCCCTTCTCGGGCACTCTCCCCCGTCTTTGGGCCGAGCAAGTTCTCCGTGCGAGGTTCTCCCGAGGTTCGCGACAGTCTCTGCATGGGCAGCTGACTTGCGGCTCGATCCACACCAGATCGCGGCCCCAGCTTTTCAGGGGCCCTTCGCAGATCCACCCGGACGACCGATCAGGATGGTGTCATGATTGTCGTCACCCTCCTCCTACCTTGCCCTCTCGGGCTGTACTCGCTCGTCACTCGGAACGGATGGCATTAGCCAGCACAAACCAGGACCAGGACCGGTCCTGATCGCCCCCGGGATGTCTTCCCTGCACCTTGCAAGGGGGTTCCAAGCATTCTTGCCTCCTCGAAGATCTTCTTCTTATTCCGTTCATCCCTGTCCACTAGTGCCCGCTTTTCTATTCTTCTGTGCTGCTTCTTTCCTTTTTCTGCCCGAAGAATACGTACATAAATAGACTCGGGTAGGCTGTAGGACGGGGATCTTCTGGCTGGGTCGACTAGGGCAGCCACTAGCTCCTCCCCCGTTCCATCCCATCTTTGAGCTCGCGGGTGTCCTCTGCAGATCGACTACCCTGCATATATATATATATATATATAGTCGGGCGAGCTATCATCTACGGGAATCGGGGGAGAGAGAAACACGACATCACCGCCGTCCACTGGATGCCACGGGGCTCGGTCCATGGAGGGACGCTAGTAAGCCCCTCGATGGCGTCCAGTGGCCCAGTGGCCCGGATGTCCTGAGATGCTGAGATGCTGTGATGCTGAGATACTGAGATACTGACGGGGTACTTTGTACTCTGTTTCCCCTCTCACTCGCTACGGACTCGTAGTGGTGCAGGAACCGAGTCAATGACGGCTACGGCGGCAGCTCGGAGAGGCCTGGGTGCGCGGTGGCTGGCAGCGCCAGTGTTCCGCCTTGTGCTTCGCGGGGGTGCACGGGACGAGATTCCCCTCGTGGTGGAGTGGAGGATGGAGGATGGAGGATGGAGGATGGAGGTTGGAGGTTGGAGGTTGGAGGTTGGAGGTTGGAGGTTGGAGGGAGATAAGGCATCCTACACGGACACATCCCCCTCGCCTCGTGTTCTCCTCCAATCTTTCCGGCCATTGCAACCACCAGGCCAGCTCGCAATCGGGCCTCTTGGCGTCTGGGGAGTTCAACGGCCATGTCGAATCTCACGATGACAACGCAGTGGTGGGGTGACCCCATGCAGATCGAACCATCCATCGTCCTTCCGCAGGTGCAGCCTACTTAAAGAGATGACTGCAGATATTCCGGCGGTCCTAGCACCGTGGATGTCCGAGGTAGCCGTGGGCGCGCACAGGAGGAAGAAGAATCCCCGCGGATCAACCTATTGGCAGATCCCGAAATGGACTAGACGTGCCCAACTCTGGCACGACCGCGTAGGGAGGGCCGCAGATCCAACCACGGGGGGTGGAGCCGTGCGACCCGAAATTGCCCCCACTGTGGATGTGGATGGGTTTAGAACCAGAGTACGCATTCATGCAGGAGGATCGAGCCAAGTCGAGCGAGCTATTCATTCGAGGATCATCAAGTGTATGGAGCCTTCACGCTGCTTCGGAGCCTGAAGGCTGCTGTCTGAAGTATTCTACATTCTGTATGTCTGCATCGCCGTGCAGTCCCAACCAGAGTCCCAAAAACAGAAACAGAAAAACAAGAGAAACAGAAATCAAGGAAACAGAAGAATGCCACCGGATGAGGCCCATTCCATCCAGGCGGCAAGATGAGATCATTCCCTGCACGTGGGCGTCATATCATTCTGGTCCGGTGTATCGTAGGCCATGGGCAAACTCCAAATGTATATCGCAAGTATCACAGGGTGGGTGTAGGGCCATGAAGAGCAGAGAGTTCTTTCCAAATCCAAATCCAAATCCAAATCCAAATCCAAATCCAAATCCAAATCCAAAATCCAAAATCCAAAAGTCAAAATCCAAAAGTCCTTTTGCACAGAGACGCCGAGTGTTTTGCTTCCATGGTATGCAATGTGTCGCTGAGAGAGCATGGGAGGAGGAGGAGGAGGAGGAGGAGCAGAGGAGCGGTGGAGAGGGTACGAGCCCCTCCCACCAGAGGTATTATCATGGGGATAGAAAGGTAAGACAGGTCGTTCGGTCGTTCGGTCGGGTCGGCCGGGAAAAAGAGAGAGAGAGAGAGAGAGAGAGAGAGAGAGAGAGAGGTCATTCAAGTGGTCGTCAATCGCCGCTTCAGGTCTCGCACGGGATCGAAGCAGCTGGCATAGTCCCGCAGCTCGTCTTGGAGCTGACCGGAGAGGGCCGTATTGGAGGCATGGCTCCGTAGAGAGGACAGCGAGGTCTGGGAGGACGAGGCCGACAGACTTCGGCCCCGGGTCTCCATGGTGGAGTCGAGGGTGGAGGATCGAGAGTGGGCCGCCTGTCGCGGTTGCTGGGAGGGTTGCTCATCGTCGGGCGATGGGCTGTCCAGCTCGGCGAGTCGGCAGGTCTGCGAGCAGTAGGGGCCGCCGGAGGTCTGACGATCGCAGACGAGGCAGAAGTCGAGCGACCAGTCGGTAGACATGATGGAGGAGGATGGTCCACGGTCCAAAGAGATAGCGATCGAAGACGAAGACGAAGTTGAAGAGAGAGATGAAGAGAGAGAGAGAGAGAGAGTGGGAGAGGGAGAGAAAAAGAGCGAGGTATAAAGAGAAGATGATCTGGTGCGAGACGCCCCGAGTGGGCAGGCGTCAATATTAAGTAGGCAACAGGCGGACGACGAAGAATGAGCAGAGAGAAGAAATCCAAATTAGAATGGGGTGAGTAGTTTTGAACAGAGTAAAGTAACGACTAAGGACTGCAGCAGCGATCACCTCATAAAGGGATCCACCACAATCATGCCACGGCCACGGGGTGGAGGCAAATCACGAATAAATAAAATGAAATGCCTCGTGCAGACTAAGAAGGAGGGGGAAAAGTTCGATCGTCGCACGGATGACCCCTGGCAGCCTACCACACGCTCGAATGACTGGGGGGGGGGGCAGAGATTATGGCGTGGCTCGGGCGCTTAAGCCAAAAAGCACCGGGACTCTGCAATCGGCAGACCTGATAACACCATACAAACCAAACCAAACCAAACCAAACCAGACTAAACCAGACTAAACCAGACTAAACTAAACCAAACCACCCGCAGCAAGCTCACGTAATAGGATAGAGCACGCAGAGTCCGGAGGATTCAGTCCGACCAAACACCCAGGTACGTTGCAGAACCGAGAGCAGAACATAATAGCCGGTGTGGGACGGTCGACAGCGGTATGTCCATCACCATCTGTTTACCCATCTGTATACCTCCAGACACCCCCCTCTCAGAGGGCGGACGCAGCCCGTTCCCCGCTCCTATCAATGACCAAGACCTGTATCCTCGTGAGGGATATACGGATCGCGATATCGCGATACCTCGATAGCGTGCGACCGATATGCATGCCTCGCTGCGGGTGGGTGGGCAGATTTCAGGAGCACAGTGATGGTACCTGAAATGGATGGGCTGTTATGTCGGATGACGACTCGGGCCTAGTGGACTGCGCGCTGCTGCCGCTCGTCTGCAGGAACCTCGAACGGGTAGTCATCGACATCCCCACCAGCTGCGCCAGCCCTCTCAAGCCCGTCATCTGCGCACGGGCCTGAGCGACGCCCCACCACGGTGCCTGATTCATGTGCCGGGCAAACATTGGACCACTGCGGACGTGGCTTCGTGCCCGTCATATCAGCCATCCCAGCCCAGCGTTAGCCCAGCGTTAGCCCCGGCTCAGCGTAGCTCAGCTCAGCTCGAACAGGAGGTCTGTCATGTACGCTCATAGTGTTTCATTGCTAGTGCCCTGCATCTCGTCCTCTCTACTCCCCCCTCCTCCTCCTCCTCCTCCTCCTCCTCCTCCTCCTCCTCCTCTCTCACCCTCAAACCTTACTCTCCTCCACCCATGCACGCCCCCTCCGATAAGCGTAGCGGCATTTCGCATTTCGCATTTCTTGGCACGCGCGGGTCACGCGAGAAACGCTTGAGGAATGCTCCTCCCCTCCCCAAAATGCGGGGGAAGGGTCGCGCTCGGCCCTGAATAGCCTGACCTTGCCGGTTTGGGGACCCCGGTGGTAGATCCCGTGGAACGTGCTTCCCCTCTCCCTCCTGTCATCGCAGTCCCGGCAAGCGTGCTCCGAGTAGGCAAACCAGCATAATTGGACAATGGGATGTTGAAGATGCAGCGGATGTCAAGAGTTCAGGAGACAGGATTCGGGGAAGAAAAAGGAGACCGAGGTCGGCCTGGGATCTGGGAAAGGGAAATTTCACCCTCGTCACGTCATGGACTGCCGGGCTTCACTCGCCATTCTTTGCCCGTGGCTCGGTGGGGATGCGAACTAAGGTGGCTGGCAAGCGAGGTTCACACGGGTCCTCAGGCTCGGGTCTGGCGGCATCGTGGAGCCCACTGGCTTTAGCTACGAGCCCGTAGCGTTAGTAAAAATCACCCGCACAACCTGATAAGGATTCCGCTCAAGCTTACTGGAGGCTAGGCTGATGGCGCGAAGCACATTGTCCCAATTGGCAAGCACGCATGCAACCGCTGGATCGAATCAGTCGGCCTTCGGTCCGGGGGCGAGAGAGAAGGAAAAAAAAAATCACCTTCAGTGCCATCCTTCAACGTGGCTATCTTGCTCTCGAGCGCCTGCATTTGCATGGCCAGTGTACCGCTGAGATCCCGCAGCTGTCGGAGGTTTTCGAGCTCGGCCTTTTTCGCAGCAATACGCGTCGACAGCGCCGACGAGGGCTGTGAGGCTGGCTGACGAAGCCCAGCACCCGGCAGCATGGAGGTTGGCCGCGATGAGTACGCCATCGCGAAGGAGAACGTGGAGTGGCAGAGGTTAATCGTATGTGGATTGTGTGGACGGCGAGTTGACAGCCCAAAACACCTCTCGCGCAGTCTCCACCCAGGGCGATGGAGGGGTGCTGAGTCATCCCGTCATGGGACTAGTCCCAATGGGGACAAACATCAACAATCCTGTTTACACTTCGTCCGCCGGGCCATTTGCGACCATCACTCGACTTCGTTGCGGCCTTCCCACACCATGGCCCGACTGAATGACTTCGCTGCTCCGGCAGAGTCTGTTGAGGCGCGTAAGTTGAGATTCTCTCCTGAACCTCACCCGCCCCCCAACCCCCACCCCCTTTCTCTCCTGAACCAGAAAATAACGCGCTCCTGCGGCCCTTAGTGAAACGTCGATTCGTACGACAAAACCGCGACATCGTGCGGGTGAACTCAATACAGTCTCTTCGCATTCGCAGCTTAGAATCGGAGGTTTCTCATTTACTGGCAGAAAATGTATCACTGCGGGAACAGATCATCAACCTGACGCAGGAGATCGAACGCTTCGAGTCGGCCAAAATGCTCCACGACGGTGTCTATGAGATCAAATCCCGTTTGGATGCAAAGCTGGCGGAGCTGAGTACCTTAGCTTCGGACTTGGGCATGTTGCCTCGCAAAGTGGGCAAGTTGCGGACCGAGAAGGCTGAAGCAGACTCGGATCGGCACAAAGCGACCGCGACAGAGTCAAGGCCTCGAACGACCGATCCACCGCTCAATGCAGGCGCCGATGATGGAAGGCTTCCAGCCATTGTGGAAGATAAATATTATCCCCGAAGAACGCTTGAGTGAGTGCGGCCAATGCCCTCCCAAACGGAGGAAGGATTCTTTTACTGATCCACATAAAGACACCAAGAAATCCAGAACCTCGTTCACGCCGAGTCCCGCTTAGAATCCCCACAGCACATCCATTCCATGCACGACGACTCGGATCCAGTCATGGAAAGTCCCAGCCCCGAACTGAACGATCTTCTAATGGAAAGCCGATCAGGCAACGATACGACAGGCGAGGAGGCATTCCTTCCACCAACACTCGAGACTCGGAAGAAGAAAAAGAAGCCGGACTCGGCAACCCCTGCAAGTGATCCAGTGTCGCAAAGCGGGAGGCTCATTGCAGAGAACGAATCCGAGCCGACGAAATCAGGATCGAAGCGCAAATTCAGTCCGGAAGACGACGGATTCTTATCGGACCTGGCACCGGAAGATGACGAGTTCCAGTTTAGCCGTCCGAGTCGAAGCCTTCCAAAGCAGGCAGATTCCTTCGATTTTATGCGCCAGGACCTTTCGCCCAGTAAAACGCCCGTGAGCGTGAAACGCGGGTCCACCAACTCGGGAGTCACGAAGCGGAAGGTGCTTGAGCCGAGTATGCACCGCCCCCTTCCCTATATCCCGCTCGGTCTTAGTGTTCAGCTGCTAACCATGTTGAACAGAGAGTTCAAACGTTAATTTAGGCTCACCCAAAAAGATCCGAGCATCTTTGAATCCCGATCATAAGGTTCTCCCAAGAGCTGGAGCAGATGAAAACACACGGTCTCCCCAGAAACCCAAGGATCTGGACTGCCAGAGGGCCAACACTCTCAATCTGAAACCCCACCCTGACAGACCGGCTACCGCCTCGCACAAGCAAAAGCGCTCGAGTCGGTCCGTTGAAACAGAAGAATCTATGCAAGCAGAGGTGGTGCCAAAGGACTCACCGATGGCCAGGGCCGGAGGCGATCTCTACCCAGTTTCGGACATGACTGCTGCGTCTCGGCCTTCAAGGCGTCGTGGTGCCGTGGTCAGCTATGCAGAGCCTAACTTGCGAGATAAGATGCGTCGCCCGACGAAATCGATGATCGATGCCGTGGCTGGAAACGGATCTCGCCGGTCGTCAAGCTTCCAACTCATGAGAGACAGCCTCGGCGATGAAGCTGATTATCAACCCGCGAGCACCAGCGCTCATCCCTCGTTGAGTCAGATCCTTCCAGCCGATGGGGCTCTGTCAGACCGGGCCGCGGACCTGGTCTCTCAGGGCCAACATTCAGATCAGCTACTGGCGACAGTATCTCGGCGAAAACGCAAAGTGTCGTCGTCGATCAAAGATAACGATGACCACCCCAGCTCGATGTCAAGCTCCGATGCGTCAAACCTGGCCGATCTGTCAAAGGCTCCGAAGGAAACTATGGGCTCAAGGGCACAGTCTCGGCGGCACTCTTCGAACCCCAAGAGCACGTCTCGAGACACATCTCGCCGCGAGTCGGATCTGACGAGTGACCTCGACAGCAGTCTGGAAGGAGATGATATTGCTGGGTGGAAGAACTCGTCGGCCATGGACGCGCGCTACAGACGGGAGACTCGTGTGGCAGCGAGGAGAAAAAGTATGATGGTTTGAATTAAAGGGTCAAAGGTGTATGCCCTAGACGGGCACGTTCTAATACTATATTTACCATTTTAGCCTGCATTGCTCGCAGTCCTCGCACAGATACCCTCTTCCTCACTTTCGAGTTCCGGATTTTGCAAGTCAATAGTACTTTCGTATTTGTCCTTGAACCCTGAAACGTTTCGTAGGTGGTTGGTCAAGATGAACTGATAGGGTGGAGGGCCGTCATAACCCTCATCAGTTTCGTCCGACCCCTTTTCCATGGAGTTCTGTCGACTTCCCATGGTCTGATCTATGATTACCATCTCGCTCGGACCGTCCTGTGCATTGAGCACGGCTCGGACATGGGGGTGGCCTGACGCTACCAAAGGCCATGCAAATCTAGTAGTAGCCACTATATGGCCGTGTAATGCCATTGATGTACTTGAAACATGGGAGCTTCGCTGTGGGGGCGCGAGAATGGTAAGCAGTATGAAAGACGCACGCCCTGCACTGTAGCACGACTATCAGGTGCCTCGTGCGTGGCTCTTGGATGGCTTGGGCATCTTCTCATACGCATTCGGGCTCGGCTTCCTCCTCTTATGTTTTGGCTTCAGGGAATCGGAACAGCACGCGGCGGAAGCCGCATCGGACGACTGATCGGCTTGGTTCTCACCGGACGGCCTTCGCCCTCGCGAGTGAAGATGATGCGAGTGGTTTGCTCTGTGTCGCCGGCGGTCGACTTCGCTGTCGCTGTCTGAGTCGGATGAGCTGGAGGAGGATTCGGATTCGGAACTGCTTTCGCCCACGGGCCGGGCCTTGTGGTAGATACAGCAGACTAGGAAAGGTCCGTGAGTACGTGTGGTTAGGTGGGAGAAGGGACGAGTCGGCTACCTTTCGAGCTTTTCTTGCCCATGCCTTCATTGTCCACGACGTCTTCGCTCCATCGAATGCGGCGAGCCGGGGACGGTTCGGCAGTGGTACTCTGAGTATCTTCGCCCCTCAGCCGAAGAGTACCCGTGAGTCGGACCGCAGAGGAATCGCGGGATGTTTCGGTGGTGTTATGAAGCTGTTGGCTTGCTGGTTGGCGAGGTCGGGACATCATGTTCCAAGGCGTCAGGTCGTAGCGAAAAGGCACAAGCGGGTTGAATTGGCAGGGACGGTTAACGCGGGAAAATGATGCAACTGATAACGCTGAGCCCCCCTCACCGCCTCGGTCTCTCTCAGCTTACCGCCTTAGAAGCCCTACGCCTGCAGCATACAGGGAGGGGGTTGACTTTTTACTCGAGTTATAGATACGAATTGTATATTTTTCCAGGGACAAATTCTCCGTGATAAGACTTTTTTCCTCCAAAGAGCTATGATAGAAAAAAAAAAAAGATATCAAACAGGACCACCCTCAAGAAATGTCGAGGAGGTGCAAAATACACAAAGGGGGAGGAAACGATTGCATCGTTGCATGATCTTTACGCCAACTTGAAAGCGTCTGAAGGGAGCAGGCCGGTTCTATGCTGCGATGTATGCCCTTCCCGGCTCTCAAATGTATGCTCCCCCGTCATCTAGAGATCGTAGAGAGACCAGCCATCAAGGCCATTATCATCCACCGTCGAACTCGGGTTTCCCGACCATCCAGCCGACGCAGGTGGGGGTAATTCAGTGCGCAATTCCTTGTCGAGTCATAGCTCATCCTCCTGATCCATTTCGGATGGCTTCAGCAAGCCTCCCACTTTCATAGCCCGGGATCGCTCGGCGACCTGCGCATCGCGCACGGCCTGCTCTCTCTCCTCGGCATAGAGCTCAGCATTGTCGTCAGAGAACTCCTTAAGCGAGATCAAGAAATCTCGCAGATGAGTCTTGAACTTGTTTAAGTCGTCAGTGTACGCGAACAGACCAAGGACAAACTGCTTGATTTGCGCCCTGGAGTCATTATATTAGCAACTGCCCCATCCGATGGTTGATCTCCTAGAAGTTCTCGTAGACAGAGAGGGGGAGGAGGTAGCTTACTCTTGCAAATTCTTGAACGCATTCTGCAGCAGGTTCGCGACGTATTCCTGCAAGAACTGTTTGTTGGTAGTTCCCACCGGGGCTTGATCGGGAGCATAGATAGGCTCCTGAATTTTGCCGGCTTCAACGAAGTAGAACATGCGGGACAAGAGCATTGCCTGAGATTTGAAACCTGGCAGGGAAGAAAGTCAAAAAAAGAGCGAGCTAGAAAATCGGTGAGGGCTGAGGATCTTTTGACATACCAGCCTTGTGATCACTGTCTGTGAGGACAAAGAAGACATCCTGGAGGATGGGAATGTAGAATTGGCGGAAAAAGATACTCGAAGTCTGCATATCAGTCTCGGCCATGTTGTTCATCAACTCTAAGCACATGGTGAGGCCCGTATTCTCCACCTCGCGATTATCGTGCTTCGAGGCCCACATGCAGGAATCGATCACAAACTTGAACTGTGTGCCGTCCAACTTGAGGAGGGCCTGGAAACAGTACAGGTTGATGGCCTGGAGGAGCTTGAAAAACTGCACTCGGTGCTCGGGGTATTCGTGGAAATCCTTGTTGATCATCTCCAAAGTACAACTGAAGACGCTGTCCATGATGGCCGGAATTTTGTCCTCCATCAGGTTCTGTAAGGGATGTGATGTTAGCGACGTCCGATTCGGAACCGGGTGGAAGAGCGGGAACAAGGATGATGCTAGGTCACAGAACGTACGTGGAGCTTGTGGATAATGGTGGTCATGACATTCAGGACCTCCGCTTCTCGTGCATCGGGCACGTTTCGGTGGTAGTCAATCAGAACGGCCTCGAGAAGAGGTGGAACCATATTCGCATTCACCATTTCGAGATCGTCCGACTTCTCCACGTAGGTGTCGATCAATTTCAGGATCTCCTTTTTGATGGTGCGAAGCCCACGAACTTTGGGGGTCTTGGGAGCAATGGTCCCTATAGTGCAGTGCGTTAGTATTAAGGCGCGATTGATGAACGTTGGAAAAACCGGGGCAATAGAAGGAACATACCATCATTAGCCACGGCATCGTTGATGAGCTGACTAGAAGCACGGTACATGTTTAGCATGTCGTGGTAGATGCGGCCAATCTGAGAGTAGAAGTAGGTTCCAATGGAAGAGCAGGCGGCGACGTTGGTCTTCATGATGTTGCCAATGATCTTGATCGTGTTGCCGTCTTGTAGAATGGCAGCATTTTGGTTGGCTTCCGCGATGATCTGATCCCAAGCCGAATTAGGCAGCTGCATCAGGTTCTCAATCAATCGATCCTGGAGTCCCTTTTGACCCTGGGCAGAAATCATGTAGCCGCATGCTTCGTAGAACGTGTGGATCTGCTGGGGCGACAGGTCCATGGTGATCTTTCTCATGTTGCGAACGATTTCCTCGATAAACGGTTCATTCTCGCCCGGTTGAAGGGCCACAAAATGCCGTCGGCACTTGTTGGCAATCTTGATGAAGGTATCGCAAGCCATATCCTGGACACCTTCATGTGTCTCGTGCATGAATTCGAAAAGCTTGTTGACCACTGTCTTCAGGAATTTCCAGTGAGCCTTCAAGAAGCGTGGATACTGGCCCACAATATACATGATATTACTAGCCACCACAGCCTTGTTGTCTTTTCCACGCTTCTGCTCCGTCAGGCCGAGAAGATCCTTGATCACGGTGACCAGGAACCGCTTTTCGGTTTCCTCATTCATGGCACCCGAAATGGAGCCAATGGCCCAGCACAGGGTATTGCAATTGGCCCAAGACCACTCCGAACCATCCACTTGCTTCGCGAGCTTGTCGATCATGATGGTCTCGGTGTCGACGACATCCAGGTGGGTCAGATAAACCAAGCACTCACGGATTGTCTTGTATAACTGGATGGTATCACTCTCCTTGACGAATTCACGCACAATCTCACCTTCGTCATTCTCCACGATCAAGACCTCCTCCGGGCGGACCATCTTCTCAATCATCACAGTACGCAGGTTCGACAGCACGGTTTCGTACTTGTGCTTGCGGAGAGGGTAGTTGGCCAGTGTGCTGGGGTGGGGTGCACCCCCGTTGGACAGACCACTGACACCCATGGTCACGAGAGGGTTTATGTCGGTGATGGGGAGTTGTTGCATTTCTTCGTAAAGCTCCTGCACCAGGCGAGTCCAGTAGTCCAAACAAATCTTGAACACTTCGCGGTCATCAATCTGACTGATCCGAATCAGGTAGAAATGGGCATGCGTGAGGAAGTCTTGGTTCGGCAACTTCTCAATCAGCTATAGAAATAAAATCAAAATAAAGTTAGTAAGAAAGGCGAGACGGGGTGAGACAGGAGAAAAACAGAGATGGAATACTGGGAGGGGGCGATTTGGAAACACATACATCCAAGTGGGCGCTGAAGAAACTGGAGAGGAAAAGAGCCAGGTTGGACACGAATTCCTGGTCTCGTCCATTGCTCCGGGCGTACGTTTCCTTCAAGTCCAGGGACAAGGGGATGACATTCGAGACCGTTGTGAGCGTCTCTGTGAACATGTGCACCAATCTCTCATCATAGTTATACGGGGTGCCAATCTGCAAACCACCAATTTCCGTGAGGCACTTCAGGGTGACGTTTCGGAAGTCGGGAACGTCCAAGAATCGAGTCAGGAGGGTGTTGATAATGGGGGTTTCGAAAATGTAGCCCAACGGGATCCAGTTTAAGAAGCGGAGCAGGGTCTCGAGGGTCGCTTTGACCAGACTAGGTTGGTTGGCAGTGTTGAGGACTTCGGAGCACAATTGAAAGATGGAGGCGAATTCCTGGGTCATGGAGGTCTTGAGATTTCGGGCCTTGACCGAGGTCATCTGATCCTGGGAGAAGTCGAAGACCTCCTCCGACAGTAGACGGAGGATGGCCATGTTGTTTTCACAGATGGAAAGGCTGGCATGGCAGGAGGAGATGATCTCGTTGATGAATGTGGGCCAGTGGTGCGGCCACTCCTGCTTCAGGATCGAGACCAAGACCAAGTTCAGCTTGTTCAAGAAGGCGCGCTCGGTGCGGAGCTTCTCTTCGGAGCCCGAATTCTCGATGATGAAGTTGACGATAAAATTTCGAATACCTGATGCGAGAAGCGTCGTACATATGGTCAGCGCATTCCTTCCACCAAGATCGGGGAGCGGAAAAGGATCGACGGAAGAAGGGAGGGGGAGGCGGAAGCAGTCCAAATCTACCTTGACACTGATCTCTCGGCAGAACCTTCCATCGGGTCATAATCACATCGTCGAGAACTTGGAGGGCAATATCTAGTCCACCGTTTAGCGCGTCCAATGTTTTCCTCTCGGGCGGGGGTCTGAAGTCCACCCACATTTGGTCTGCGGGTATGTGGCCTCCTGGAGGATGTTGCCCACCGTCACCCAGGCATCGGGATTTTGCTTGAACTAGAAGATGACAGATGGGTGAGCCATTGTGGCGTCGTCGCAGACGGGGAGGGAGGTGGAGGGAGGTGGAGGGAGGTGGCGGCGAGCTTACTTCGGTCAGGGTCTGCTGAGCTTGCTTTTGCTGTAAGGTGTGAGCATCGGGTCCCGGGGGAATCCATCGCGAGAAACGAGAGGGAGGGCGGGTGAGGCAACGTACCACGTCGCCCTTGCCTTCAAAAAAGGCGCGGACCGTGTTGTCCAGCTCTTGTACAGAAACAGACATGGCGCCGCAGAGATTGGCGATTTCGCCCTCACAAAGTGGCCGTCACCGAGGCTTGGCGGGATCCAAGGATGGGCGCGAAAGAGGCTGCAAGGAGGGATTATCCGAGCCGGTGGGAAACCAGGTCACCGATGGCGATGGAGAGGGGGAAGGGGGAGGAGGCTCAGTGTGATGGATTGGCAGATTGGTGGGCTGGTGGGGTAGCAACGGAGGGAGCAAGTTGGAGGGGCTTGGGTCAGCAACACCTGAGCTCTGACCGCGAGATGATTGGCAGTAAACCCAGACGGGAGACACTTTCGAGGGAGTGGACAAGCTGAGCTGCAGGGAGATGGGGGGGAAGGGGGGGGAATGTTGGGTGATACTCTGGAGTGTGAAGAATGAAAAGTCTGGAGCTGGCGGAGGTCAACACTGGCGGTGAAGGCGCGTGTCTCTCTGACGGTTTGTTGGACCCTCCGGCTTTGGGGGGAAAACAACCGCCTCAACTCGAGACGGATAGGCTTAGTCAGCCCGACCTGCAGATGAGTTGGATAATACTCAAAGGGTATAACTTGACCTATTGGGGATTGATCCCTCGAGTAGAGGGGCTCAACGATGGGATAATTTGATGAACGATGTAGAGCATCATCAAATCAGGCTATGGAGAACTGTGGTGGGAGATTGCATTGACAGATATAATATCGAACGTTCAGGTATAGTATATACACTGTAGCCTGTCTCTGTCTATATTGCTGTGGTGAGGTGGAGATTCCACCTCGTTCTACTCTGGGACAGGGAGTTCATAGAGCAGTGGTGTAGGGCAGAAAATTATCCCGAGAGAAAGAGAGGGAGGGAGATAGAGTACATATCAAATACACTACTCATATATACTATAAGTCACCTTTGGGCCGGTTCTGGGGGGTACGTCGATTCAAAACCGCGGGGGGATTATACGGACGGCGGGCTCATGAATAATTCATTCATAGGTGACTAGTGAATATGGAGAATAATAGAAATGGTGCATTATATGATTATTCCCTGGCTATTATTATCATCCCTATATGTATAATGATTTTTTCAGCGGAGGGAGGGAGGGGAACTGGGAGTGTGTGATGCGCCGGGCGCTTTGGCTGGCTGTTGGACTCACGCGCGCGCGACTGCGGACTGCGGGACTCGGACAGGCCGACAAGAACAGCACGCAGCGGGCGGAAAGTCAAAAAGGTGACCAGCTGATAAGCGATGCATAACCGCCCAACCCGCGCGGCGCCACCACAACATGGCCCCACTCGAGGGGAAGCTTGCGGGCCAGGCCATGGGCCAGGGCGCCAAGGCCACAGGGCCACAGGGCCACGGCGGGCCAGACAAGGAAAGCGAGATGGGCGCGGAGCCAGAGTTCGGGAGAGGAGGGGGACACAAAAGCCGGCCACGGGTTTGGGGCGCAGGAGCGTCGCTAGTCGTCGGGTTGTCGCCAACAGCTCGGGAAATGAGTGGATGTCTCAGACCCGCGCAGCTTTCACCAGGCGGGTGCGCTTTGCTCTTCCGATTGGCGGCCGCGGTGACGCCGGTCGTGCCGATCGCGCGCCAACTCGTCGCGCTGCCCTTTCTTTTTCCCGCCCTGGCCTGCTCTCGAATCACCACTAGCCTGGAGAACCATTGGGGCCGAGCCTGGACTCGAAGAGGGAGATGAGGGAGAGAAGGAGAGAGTGGGAGGAAGAGGAAGAGGAAGAGGAAGAGGAGGAGGCGGAGGAAGAGAAAGAGGAAGAGGAAGAGGAAAGAGGAAGAGGAAAGAGGACGAGGAGGAGGAGCTTGTATGATGGGACTCCCCGGATTGTAGGCTGTGATGCTACTAAATCCAGGCGACTGACTTACTATTCCCTCTACTAGGCCCTCCCCCTCCTCCCATTCACCCATTCACCCATTCACCCATTCCACTACTTCTCTCTTTCTTCCTTCCTCTTTCTTACCCTCCTAACATCCTAACCCCCCTCCCACCCCCTCTTTCTTCTCTTTCTTTCTTTCCTTCCTGCTCTTCCCATCCCTTCTTCTATCTCTACCCAACCCCTCCTCTTGCCCCCATCCTGTGACCTTTTCCGTCCAGGATAGTTGAAATTCCCCTCACCCAACCCACCATTCATCTCCTCTCCCCCTACCTCCCCCCTTTCGGCCCTGCCTGTTCGATCAGCCGCGGCTCGTCTATCGATCCCATTCTGGGCATTGTTGCTGCATTGAAGCGCTACCCGTCTCCTATCCCCAAACGCCCCACCCCCAGGCGAGGTTACCGCGATCTCCCCCTCCCGCCCTAAAGCAAATCAAGGAATTGCCCAGAGAAACAAAGAACGAGTCCACCCTGCCCCTTCTCCCCGGCCATCGATTGTGGACTTCTCCTCCTTTCTGCGTTGCCTCGCGCTGGTCCATCCTCTTTTGTTTTCCAATTGCGCCTCGGCAACTTTCCGCGCGTCTCTTGCGTCGCTCCCAGGCCGTCCCGAGACCTCCCCCCAGCTGCGGCTGAGACGGGACTGGGGGCCGCTCCTGGGATTGGAATCCCTTCCTGAACCAGAACCGCCGTAAGCCCTTTTCTTTTCTTTTCTTTTCTTTTCTTTTCTTTTTTCTTTTGGTTTTCTGTCCGGGAAGAAGACCCTTTCCTCGCTTCGCCGCCTTCGTTTTCCCCCTCGTGGATCATTGCTCGTGGGGAATACCCGCCCACGTTTCCTACCATGACGGCGGTCGCAGCCGCTCCCATGATGAGTAACCATGACTCGGGGACGGAGCCGGGAACCGACCACAGTCCATCCCGCTTTACCGCAGTCAATGGCAGAGACTCGATCGCCTCGACTCCCCAGGGGGGAGCGAATGCGGTGCCGAGCACGCCGATGAACCATGGGGAGAGGATCGCCGCGGCCGCGGCCGCGGCTCCCTCGGGGGCAACGAGCTCGCAGACCCATCACGCGAGATGCTGGGTGCACGCGGAGATCTACATCGCGACGACTCACAACGATCCTCACCGTCCGGAGCCAACACGCATAAGCGCAAGCGGTCGGAGTCGCGCGAGCAGGACTCCCGTCAGCCATCAGAGCCAGGCTACCATCACCATGCTAGTCGCGGGTCCATAAGCCATCCGGGGGAACCACTGCCCCCTCTTCAGGCCAATGGAACCGGATCAGGATCGGTCTCCTCAGAGATGGATTCGATCAACCCGGTCGCGACGTCGGGCCACCGATCGGATACGAATGAGGCGTCCCAGCCACCATCCAATGGCCCATGGCCCGACTATGACACCCACTTGATCAGCCAGGCGCAACGGGCCCAGCAGATGGATGCCTCGGACGCACACTTGGCGGATGCCCTCCAGCGAGAAGCGCAAGACCAGGAGACCCCTCGGAATGGGGCCAATCGCCCCGTTCCGCCGGCCCCCAACATGCAGCCCGCCTCGTCTCCGACTTACGTGTCCGATCGATCTGCTGGGGCCGTTCAGGTCGCGCCCAAGCGAAAGCGTGTCTTTAGCAACCGCACCAAGACGGGGTGTATGACCTGTCGCCGCCGGAAGAAGAAATGTGATGAGCAACACCCTGCGTGTGAGTCGAATATGCCTCCTACCCCGTCAGTGTCTTCCGGTCATGGTCATGGTTCAGGGTCACGAGCATTGGCATCGATATCGTCGTTGGATCTGGGCATCGCAATCTGACTAACCCGTCTCCATTCTCAGGTAATAACTGTATCCGAGGCGGCTTTCTGTGTGAAGGATACACATCGCGAAGCACGTGGCAGAAGCCTTCGACGACGAAAGCGCCTGTTCCATTGCAGTCCAAGGAAGGCTATCCCGACATGAGTGGTCAATACGCCGAAACCGCCGCCCACCATGACCGGCCACCGTCGGGCTTGCCGGATCATATGGAGTCGCGGAAAATGAGGCCGTTGGTGGTGGATGACAATGAGCGCATTACCCAACCATATACCACCAGCCCCTCCAACAATACAACCCCCAACCATGCATCGTCGTGGTCAAAACGCACCTGGTCGGGCTCTGGTCATCCCACGTACGTGCCTCCAGACCACCTGGCGAAGCCCGATTATCGAGAGGTGGCACCCATCCACGAGCTCCCGCCGCGAGAGTCCCACCCGAAGCCGGACTACCCCGTGGTTCCTCCCATTCGGGAGCTCTCTCATGGACCACCACCGAAACCCAATATGCCCCTGTTCCATAGTGCGGTCGAGCAGCGGCCCATGCCGCCGGCGCCGGCACCCGTCTCCGCGATCGACACCAGTAGTCCACAAGCACAAGCACGGATGGCCCTCAGCATCGAGCATCAGCTATCGGGTCGTGCCATCAATGTGGAAGAAACGGAAAAGGATAAGATGATTCGGGGCGAACTGTACCGGCCTTTCGATGTGCAACTCGTGGAAGAGAGAGGCCGGTGCAAGCGCGCCTTGTGGAGATTTAACAATGCGTGTAACCCACACTACGGGTTAAGCTCGAAGGAACAGAATCGCCTTCTCAAGGAACTCCTGGTTCCCCCATCGGGTTCGGTCGTCAATTCCCCATCGGGGGTGGCAGGGTCTCGTTCCTCCGGCGCCATCGGGCAAGGAGCGGTCGTGGAATCCCCCTTCCACTGCCATTATGGATATAACATCCAAATCGGGGAAGACGTGATGATTCACCAAAATTGCCTGTTTGTCGACGATTGCGGGATCAGCATCGGTGCTCATAGCTGGATTGGACCCAACGTCACTTTACTAAGCTCGATGGCCCACTCTAGTATGCAGGAGCGCAAAGGGTCCCAAAGCCGGTATCAAGGGCGTCCCGTCATTGTCGACGAAGATTGCTATCTAGGTGCAGGGTGCACCATCTATCCCGGAGTCCACCTATATCGGGGTGCCTACGTTGCGCCGGGAGAGGTGGTGAAGACCGATATTGTTGCATATGGGTTCCAAGGATACAAACCCAGTTATATGTGAATATCTTCTATGTGGATGAGCGAGCGCCTCAGGCCCGGGTCGCGGCGTGGGTCTGTTCCTGGGGATGTGGCTGGTCTTCGGATTGACGGGCTCATTCTCCGACAGTTGATCATGTTTTGCAATGCCGTATACTATTGATGCTACGTGGGGACACTCTGGTGTTGTTTGATGATATGTCCCTTTTTGGTCTGGAGTCTCTTTGTTTTCTTCATTTCTCTTTGTCCAAGTTACCATGGCGATCTGGCGTGTTGCTCGTGCCGTACATATATAATATTTGGTTATGAAAGATCTTTCTCCGATTATCTTCCCCGAGGAGGAAACGGCCAGGTCCATGGTTTTCTATAGCAGTAAACTACTTAGTTACCCCCTGCGCTTGAGGACTACATGTCTCACTAAGGGACTGCTGTTGAAGAGGTAGCGATTCGGAGAAGATAAACATGCGAGGCGGCGGAACAATAAGAACGACATCATCAATGAAGGGGTCAAATAGAGGGTATCTGTCTTTTTTTGAGAGTGGAAGGATCGATGGGATCAAGGCTTCCCATCATGGAATGAATATACTACAGAATAACACTGGGCGTGTCTCCCCGCCTCCGTCTCCCCCTCTCCTCCCATATTGGCAAAACCCATAACATATTCAGAGCCAATCCAGAAATTCCGGGACAAAGTAGGTCAGTACAATGCCTGCCCCTGCTCGGAGAATGCCCTCCGTGCTCTCAAAGGCCATGGCTTTCAAGTCAAACACTCCCGCCTTCGCACCCGCATGAATCATGGCAAATTCGCCACTGACCTGGTAGGCTGCAACCGGCATATCCTGTGCCAGTTCCTTGGCATCTCGAATGATATCCAGATAGCTACTCGCCGGCTTCACCATAATGATGTCGGCACCCTCGGCAATGTCTCTTTGAATCGCACGCCGAGCAAGACCACGACCTCCCGGGGGAGCTGGTAGCACCGACGGTCCCCAAAGGAGGGACACGAGCCGGCTGCATCTCGGAAGGGGCCGTATAAGCAACCGCTGAACTTGGCGCTATACGACATCAGCAACACGCGATGGGCGATGCCGGCCTCGATCAGTTTGAGCTTGATAGCGCGGACTCGTCCGTCATTCATATCCGATGGAGCAACGCAATGCGCTCCGGCAACGGCATATGCGAGCGCCACATCGGAAATCCGATCCACCGATTGTGTATTGTCGAGGGTCCCATCCTCCCGGAGAATGCCACAGTGCCCATGTGACGTATACTCACAGAGGCAGACATCGGTTGTGATATAGAGCTTGGGGAAGCGAGATCGGAGAAGACGAATGGCTTGGATGACGGGGCCTGCTGGGTCGTCGGCCGCGGTGCCGAGCGCATCCTTGGCCGAGGGATGAAGGGGAACTCCAAAGAGGATCACGGAGCGCAGTCCCTTCCGAATCAGCGGGGCGAGAAAGGGCACAAGACGATTGACGCCGCGACGGTACTGGTTTGGTAGGGAAGGGATTGGGGTTTCTTCGTCGGGGTTATCCGTGATGAACAGCGGGTAGATGAGCATATCCTGGGCGGGGGACCGTCAGAAGCCATGCCAATGCCAAGGGAGCGGACTTGTGGATGTACCTTGGTGAGCTGCCTCTCTGCCTGCCATGATCTACTCAGGGGGTGGCTGTACCCGGCGTGCAGCTGGCTGGAAATATCCCCGGAGATGCTGACACTCGTGGCCGTTGTGCTGGTGTAGGACCGGGCCGTCCGGGATGGAGCATGGGAGATCTGGGAGCCACGATCGTCCGGATGGGAGTCTCGAAAGGCGATATCGGAGACGAGATTTGAGAACGACATCGTGTGTGGAATCGAAAGGGGGTTGCGAGGATCCGCGGATTGAGGCGGATTGGCGGATTGGCGGTTTGAGGAGAGGTGAGGGCGTGGCGACGGGGCGGGGAAAATGAGCTCCGCTCAGGAAGCTACGGAAGCGCGTAAGGCGAATGCCAATCGCCGTGATTGGCCCAGAGCCGCGAAAGGAACCACAGCATGTCAATGCCTGACGGGGGACCGAGCAAGAGCGGTACAAGGTCTCAGTCGTGCTGCAGATAGTTCGAGATTTTCGAGGTAGACCTATGCCATGGATTACGAACCAGGGGACTGAGTGACCTCTTGGAATCCATGACTGGGTCTGACCTAAGCAAGCGAGCCCGACAGAACGCAGTATTCAGGCCAGTTAACCTACTTGAATACCTCGGTATACCTTATTCCATGACAACAAAAATACGCTCTTCCAGTTTGCGGTGACAACCAAATACGCACCCTTTCCCTCTTCATTCGTCCTCTCTCTCTCATCCCGTTCTCACTAGCCATTCCACTCTATCGCAGCTCGTCAACCCAATGCGCCAGTAGAGGAATATAGACCCGTGCATGCTCAGCTTATGTTACTTTGAGTTTGATCCGTGGATAGCACTTGCTACCTATATGGAATGGGTAAACCCAAGCTACCTGGATTAAAAATACATTTACTTAATCTACATTGTCATTATGCAGACCTTGCTGTTCTTCGTTGAAACGGCAGGTCGTTTCTCGATGTTAGCTTTGTCTTACCCTTGATGACATCGGCGATAATAAACGGAGTTATCATAAGCCCTCTTCCATTATTTTCTGGAGAAGTTTCACATGAACTGTTTGCATTAAGCATCGGAAGAAAAAGTGCGGTTAAAGAGTGTACATGCTATCAAGACTCATATCTCCTTCAAGGCAATTTGTAGTGGCGCCTTGAGCAATAAGCTTTGCCTTTTGTGCGTTTCTGCGATGAAGTAGAAGCCAACACGAACCATAGAGAACTCCAGCAACCACGGTCAGACCAGCTGAGACAGAATTCCCAATTATATACCGTGGACCCTGTTGACTGGGATATAGCTGGGATGACACCAGTGCAGATAGGTTTCCAATTGAATAGGCCAAGGGCATTCCAATCGCACGCTTGGAATCTGGTGAGAGGTTGGTAGACACCCACGTTACAGCGAGGGTAGAAATTGGATAGATCCCTAGCCGGTGTTATGTCAAGAAGCAACAAGCGAGGTTGCAAATCACTCACCTAAAACGAGTATAAACATGCCCGCATAACCGGCAGCACCGCTTGCTGTGGCCACACAGATCAGGTAACCAATTGCGACTGGAACACAGCACCCGATAATGAAGACACCCCGTCGGTTGACTCGATCGGAAAAGTAAACCTGAAGGACAAGTGAGATAGCACCAAGGACATAAACTGGAATCGTTAAGTAGTTGACCGACAGAGAGGGGAATCTTGATCTAATTAGCAAATTGTTGGAATAAATTTGTCAAAGAGATGGCACTCACCCAAGGCCAGAAAGGATGGTAGGTAGGAAAACGTTGAATCCGTTAATTGCAACTGACGATGTAAAGAAGGCTGTGCCAAGCAGGTAGACAAAGGGGTCTGTGAGAGCAATTCTGATCCATTTGCGGTCGAACTTGTCTTCTCCTCGGCGCAAAAAGTCTCGCTGTCTTTTCAGCCGCATGGTTTCCTTCTCCTCGGCGTTTAGAAACCATGCCGTCTCAGCCGACGTGGGGAGGCAGAACCATCCAATCCCACCCACAAAGAGCGTGATGCAAAATTCGACGATGAACAACCACCTCCAGGCCGCGAGCCCATGTCGCGATCCCATTGTCTGTACAGCATATGCAAATAGCCCGCCAAAGGCGCCCGAAATACACATAGCGAGATTAGTAGTCATGATACGCTTGCCTACCCGGTTTGGGGGATATATTGTAGAAAATAGGTAGGCAAAGCTTTGGGCCAGACCGGCTTCAAAGGCATTTAGCAGCATGCGAACGGCGATCGCCTGACCGTAAGTTTGAATGAAAGCCGTTCCAAGGGTACAGAAGCTCCAGAGGATGAGTGCAGTCCCGAGAGCTTTATTCGCACCAAAGCGCTTGACGGCCAGAACCCAGGGAACCTCGAAGACAATGGTGCAGACGCTGGACAACATGGTGATATTGCCAAACTGGCCACCCACGAGGCCAATGTCTGCGTCAAAGCCAAAGACTCTTGCATTACCAAGCTGATAATCCGTTAGATATAGTAGCCTGTGAGGAACAGAAGCTTCACTCGCATTATTCTGGTCCAGAGAGGACAAGACAAGGAACAGTACCGAGACTGGCAGGACGAACTTGTCAAATTTTCTCAGTGCGGCTGCCTCCTTCTCGGGATCAATGTATATGATCTCGCCTCTTTCGGCAGATACATGTTCCTCCGGGCTCTTCGTTTCGCCCCGGGGAACTTTGATCTCGATTTCTTTTGCCAGTTCAGAAGCCATTGCAGCCGACTCACGGTGACAATTGGTTTATAGATGAGTGAGATCCTACACACGGGAATAAAGGCCATAAATATCACCACGTCGCATGCCTTTATACCATCGATCACGGTGTTGGACACCAAGTGTAACTGATAAGGATTGCGAGATAGTCGTGATACCAGGCCTATCGGGATAAGCCGACTAAACAGAACCACCAACGCTTTGAACCGCCGATATATGGACGTGAACCTGCCATGATAAGGGAACGATACACAAGCGAATCAAACCCATTCCCTCAATTCTGGGCATCACAGGATGGTGGATCTGCTGGTCAATCGTGACGGTGAGTGTGTTGATCGGCTTATTCCGAAGGTCCATGCGAACCATCTTGCTGGGCCCCGCTTCGTCGAAACAACCACATTGTCATCCCCCGCCCGCCCAAGAGGCAAATACTCGTCGCTGGAGTATAAGAGTATTGGTCACATATTGGTCACACAGTGACCAATAGAGAATGAGAGGAATTTCCGCGTGTCAGAGGTGAGTCAAAGAATGTTGCGCGCTGGAGGTGATGCGTCAGAGTCACGATTCGAAATGCTGACGGGGCGCGCAGGTGTCGTCGAAGAAAGCAAAAGGTTACCATAGCATTCTTCTGCGTCCGTGAATCCTGCTTACCATCGGTGGAACGTGTAGTGTGATCTGAAACGACCGAGTTGCTCCAATTGCGAAAGCGTACGCGCCCTGTGCTTGACTTACCACTCGGAGAAACAAGTCGAGGTGAGTTCCATGGCCGCCGACCGCTGTGCGCGCTTATGTGACCCTCTCTCTCTTGAAGATACCTCGCAACTATGTGTCCAATCTGGAGGCTCAGGTAGAGACATTAACACGGGAAAACCGAGAGCTGCGAGCGCGAGCTCAAGCCGGTTCGGCCCATGGCGAAAATAGCCCTTTGATTCACGGGCCTATGAGTGTTCCTACAGCCAGTCCCGCAACTTCCAATGCAAGCACAACTCATTTTCAAGACTTAGTGAAGAGTGTGGAGGATGTCGTGGTTGAGCCCTCGAGACAGCCGCGGTTTTTGGGACAGAGCAGTGGCATTACACTGGCCAGACTGGTTATGGCAGCAATCCACGTCGATGATCTACCCTCCCTGGCCTCCAAGAATCAGACTCAGTCATACAACCCATGCTACTCTCCTCCAGCCGCCGAGGCTTCTCTTCCCCCGCGCCATGCTGCCGATCACCTGGTCGAAGTCTACTTCCAGTATCGCACATGCCATCTGCCCATCGTTGGGCGGCCTCAAGCTGAGAAAGCCATTGAGAACGCGTACCGCTTCTTGAACGGTCACGAGGCCCCGGATCGAGAATCTGAAAGGGATATTTTCACCATCTACATGATCCTTGCCATCGCCCTGTGCGATGTTACCAACTCATCTGGGGGTCGGCCATCCCAAAGCGAGGGTTGCTTCCGATCGGCCATCGGCTGGATCGAAAGGGTCATCACCTACGCAGATTCTGATCTCGATACTGTCCGTTCTGTACTCCTCTTGGCTCAGTTTGTCGCTCTGTGCCCTTCATGGGGGAGCTTATGGCATTTGACGGGCACCGCTCTACGCTTATGTATTGATATTGGCCTGCACTGGGAAACGGAAGAGCAAACACTACACATGAATCCAGAGGTACTGCACGATCGCCGGTGCTTATGGTACTCTACATACCAGCTTGACCGTGTCTTGTGCCTCACGCTCGGTCGTCCCTTTGGAATTATCGACGAAAGTACGCGCGTCCAGTTTCCAAACCCATGGACAGTGCCGTGTCGGCCCTGTGACCGGGGGCCGAATGAATACGACATTCACCATCAACGAGCACATAACCACCTGTTCAGTATGTCCAAGATGGTGTCGGAAATCAGGCACGTGTTGCATAGCCACCAGTGGCCTCGGAAGCTAGCCTACCCGAGGGTGAACTATTCCGCATGGATCCAGGAAATCCGACCTCGCCTCCAAGAGTGGTATTCAACCATTCCCCAGCTTGACAAAGCTTCCCCGGCTTCCATATTCGCTTGCCAGGCCTACTGGGATGCGATTTATCACAACACAGTCCTGTTTCTCTATCGACCTAATTCCATTGTCCTCCATACGTCGGTTGAAGAATTAGTTTCTTTTGACGCGTCTTGCAAGCTGATCGCAAGCATTAAGATTCTACAGCGGGAGGGTAAAATTGATATTTTGTGGGAATGGGTCCATCATCTCTTCATGTCTGGCCTGACCGTCATATATGACCTCTGGCGCTCGAAAGAGATCAGAGACAGTAATCCGGTTCGAAACAGCATTTCTTCACTTCAATCTTGCGCTTCCACACTTTCTGCTCTTTCCGAGAGCTTCCCCGGGGCTGCGGGCTGTCGGGATGCCTTTGAAACCCTCTCCTCAGTCACAATCGATCGACTGCTCACTGAGAATGCCGAGGAAGTACGCGAAACACATCTCGAATTCGACAAACAAGTGAAGAATCTACTGCACAATTTGCAACCGTCCGGGGCAGGTATGGTGGCAGCAAATGACGGTACTAACCACATGACAAACATGCTGTCCACCGATAACTTCGCCTTGGGTGAAATGCTCAGCTTTGCGGCGCAATGGCCTGATTTTCATGACGTGGGTTTTGAGGACGAGGACATGCGGCCCCTCTGATCGAAACAGATATATTTTCTAGGGTTGGTACGGCTTATCAACACAGCCGGCCTAATTATATACATATAGAATGCTATGCTATGCCATGCTTCATCGCTACATGACCCTGTCGACGTAGTCGGATATCTCGTTTATATGACAGTTGGTCATGTAAAGTAGGTTTGTGAGAACCTCGCTGTTAGATTTTGAAGGAATGAAACATTATGGAATAATAGTCATCGGGAGCATGACGGGTTACAGCTTTCATTCTATCTACTACCAAGTCAAGTCTTCAGGCCTGGTCTGGTAGGCCTCCTACTTCGGTGCTTGAAAAAAAGGTAATTTGCTGCTTGCAAAATATTACTGTCAAAACGGTTTATTCCAGAATCCTAGCCGAGAATGTCTGTCTCATGAACATCTTGACTCCATTCTACACCCGAGATGCCGGGTTGGTGGCACTTGGATTCGGCTCTCCGCCATTTCCAAGGAATCATGCCTATCCCCGAGAAGGGAGAAGTTAACATGATGTTTTCTCATGCTAGGCCATCGTCGCAGGCTCATTGACCAAGGCTTCGTAGGCAAAGGGTTCCTTGACCAGGCGCGCATCGGCAAGCCCCAGCTGCCACCGGTCAAATGCGTGGCGGGGGATAGTGGGCGTGGTCCACATGCCTTCACGGCGAAAGGTATTCGTCACGGTGATAGCGACCTCGACCGGGATATTGGGAAACAGTTCGCCGAGTTCGTCCCGGTACGATTCTGCGTCGTGCTTCAGTACCCACTCGATACCTTTGCCAAGGCCAATGCAGAAACGCCGGTGCGCATCGAAGACCTCTGGAGTGATCGTCGCACTCTCCCGGTAATACACGCTCCAAGGGATGTCACCTTGCGAGACCATTTCCATCCCCACCGAGATATCGGGATTGCGCTCCGCCATCGCCCGGGCCGAGAGGTTGTCCGTGACGAAGTAGTCGCCCATGCCGCCTTCGAACAGGTTGCCCAGCATCACACCATCCAGATCTTGAATATAGTCCACAGACCTCGGGTCAATGTTGTTCTCACGGAGCAGCATCTTAAAGAAGAGACCAACGCTGGCCCCGCCGCCCGACTTCATCAGGACGGTTTTGCCTGCTACATCATCCAGCTTGAAGTTTGCCTGATGGCCACGGCGGAGCAGGGCAAGAGGGCACCGATTCGCAATTTGCGCAAAAACAGTGTAGTCCGTCACTCGGTCGCGATACATTGCCGGCACCCAGATACCACCAAGCGCCATGTCGGCCGTGCCATCTGCCAGTGCGTCGAGCACGCCGTCCCATGGCGTGGGGATGGATACTGTAACGTTGAGCCCTTGCTCTTGGAAGAAGCCATGCCGGCGGGCGATATACTCGGGGAGATAGTTGAGGTTGTGACCGGTGGCGGTAAGGTGGAAGGATTGCATGATGTGTTCTTATGAGATCAATTGGGTCAGACTTGAACATACTCCGATATGCACCCGAATTGACGACAGAGGACGAGAAAGCGAGCATTTGGAGAGTTTAAATACTCCAACCCGTACCTGCTAAGCTTTCCCTCGGTCCCTACAATTTCATGATCGAAGAGTTGGAAAAGAAGGTCTATCGGGTCATTGCGAAAGTTCGGAGCACGCCCTATCTTATCGTCGGAGAATCGCGATCAGTAAATCGGCGCACTCCTCGATGTGCAGGCCTCGGCCGAAGGGACGACCCGCATCGTCTTATATTTTACTTCAGCTGGAGATTCCATATGTGAACACCACCGGTTGCGCCGATACTGTTTACCCCACGTCGTCTGCTATTCATGAAACCGCCGAGGAACAACGTTGATCCCGATCAGAATGGCTCCCACAATTACTTTATACACTGCTCCCCCTTGGGCCCATCGCGCTCAAATCGCTCTCCGCGAACTCGACATGGAATTTGAGACAATTCTCATCGATATTACGGTCCCTCGCACGCTCGAATATTTGGCCATCAACCCCCAAGGTCTCGTCCCGGCCCTTGTGTATGACGGCCACGTCCTGACCGAATCCGGTCCTATCACTCAATTCTTCGTGGACTCTCACCCCAGTCATATACTCGAGTCGAGCGCTGAGCCCAGCGGCGCTTTGCAACGATACAACATTGGTTTCTTTGTGGATACGTATTTTGGAAATGTTCAACCCTTTTTCGATGCGGCTGTCCTATCTAGCGGCGAACAAGAGATCACTGCCACGAACAAGTACATCAACGCTATTGTCAAAAACATCGAGCCTCTTCTCGCGGATGCCGCGCCGTTTTTGGGTGGCTCGAGTCGTCTTACATTAGCAGAGGCATATATTTCCTTGGTATCGTGACACGTTGAGTTGCTAATTTGTATTTGTGGGACAGGTCCAGACCGGGTCGTTTCTTCTTCGTGTCCTCGCGCTGCCCAATTATGAGGGACTGGTACCACGCTTTATACTCGAAAGACTTACGTCTTTTGGTGGCTTTGCACTGTGGAAGCTTAGGCTAAAGGCGGGGCACAAAAAGTGCCTTGTGCCAATTGTGGTCATTTAACTCACCTAAACCCATGTTGTTGATTGATTGTGTAAGACCCTCAAAAAGATGTGTTCGGGGATAGACATTGACATGACCTGCCCGTGGGTATACCTAGTGGGTATCAACTCTCGCTGCCCGCCCCTGCAACTAGTCTGCGCCGTAACTTTCGTAACCCACAACCCGAAATGAAATTCCATTTTTCACCTGGGCGGCAATCACGCGACTATTAAACATACACATGCTAGCCTCACGCTGGAAGGTTGGTTACAGAAGAAATTGACTTGTCTTCTCGGTTATAGATTTTTAACTGGTTGCGGATCCATCTCGGACTTCCTTCTCCTGAGCCCGCGAAGGAAGCCGCTCTGGCTGATTCTGACCTAGCCAATACCAATAACCAATATATTATCCTCGCAATGGTGGTCAAACGGAGGATTCTATAGTATGCCAAACAGGCCATGGGAAGCCACATGATGGAACGAGAGGGGCCTGAGATCGGCTAAGCGCCTGAATAGGTTGGGAGAAAGAGCCTTGCAGTACTAGGAGAGGCTAGTAGACCTTGGGGAGGACTATAAGGGACTAGACTAGACTAGGACCAGACCAAACTAAAACTAGTTTTAGTCCTAACTTTTGGGACTACTAGGCTATCCTAACTTTTATATGACTAGGCTACTATGGTCCTAGTCCCCTATATAGTCCTATATATAGAGTAAATATAGGAACCCCTGTAATGTATATATTTTATATAGAATTAGTTAGGAATATTTTTGTATTCTATTTTTATTATTTATCTATATAGGCTAATACTAGCTTAAAAATGATTTCTATAGAAAAAAATAATAATAATAATTTTAGCTAAAAAATCTAATTTATTACCTCTATTAATTATATATAAAGTCTATATTATATCTTAATATTTTTAGAATATACCCTAATTAATATCTCTAAATATTAGTATTAGATAGAGAGATCTTATTATCTTCTAGTTTAGTAAGCTAACTATTAGTAGCCTTTTTTTTCTGATAATTATTAACTAGGCTACTAAATAGATATTTCTATAGAAATATCTATTATCCTATTTTTCTTATTATTACCAAGATTAAACTCTTTGTTGTTTTATTTAGTATAATAATATAGATTAGAGATTTTATCTTTTATTTAAGAACTAATATATAGCTAGATTTTATCGTTGATATAGATTAGTATATAGTAGCTTTAGTTAGATAGATTTAGATAATAATTAATATTACTATATAATTTATACTAGATCCAGTTAGTCTAATAATTAAAATATATAATCTTACTATTATTTAGAAATTAAAAATTAAAAGGTTTTATAATATAGTAATATTTAATTAATAAAATTTCTATATAAATTATCTAGTAATTTTCTATATATATTTAGAGATCTATAATCTTTATAATTAGCTAGCCTATCTTTATAATTGCTATAGTATATAACTATATAACTATAGACTACTACCATATTTCTATAAATACTTATATAGCTATTCTATCTCTTTTATTTCCCTTTTCCTAGGATTATTATAAATAGTTTATAGCCTAGTTAGGTTAAATCAAATCAGCTATAGCCCTTTATATCTATACTATCTTACTAAATAATAAAAGCTTAAATTTTATGGTAATCTTTTTTCTAATATATATATACTTAAAAAGATTATAAAATTATTTAGATATATAATTCTTAATACTTATAAGTAAATATCTCTTTAAGTAGAGAATATGATAGATTTATATAGTCTATACTATTTAGTAGGCTTAACGTAATTCCCGGCCGACCGAGCTACCCCCCTAATAGAAATTTTGAACCAAAATATATCAACCAAAACGCATTAATTTAGCTATATCTGACAATTTTTACATTGATTAATCTTATGGCTAATTCCACTATACCTACTATACTTTAGTAGAGCCCTAGTTACTAGCTAAGCTAGTTAAATAGCCTCATCGGCCTGCTCATACGAAACGACCCGATCAGCTTTAACTAGCTAATTTAGCTACTAAACTAGCTATTAACCAACCCTCTTCGACCGATAGGCCTCCTTCGTAAGCTATCTACCGAGTTAATCGTATACGTTTTTAGCGTATTTTCTCATTCCCTATATATAGATCAGCGTTTTCTTATATATATATCGTAAGGTTATGAAGCGATATATAGTAGCCTTTAATAATCTGATCTAGAATGGTTTTTAATAGGCTCGGAGGGCTATTTAAACGTTATTTTAATAGATCTTTAAGTAATAAGGCTAATTCCTTAAGTTAAACAATAGTTCTAGGTATTTTTAGGCTAAAATAGCTATTACTAGTAGTTAGCCGGCTATTCGGTAGTAATAGTATTTTAAGTAAGATATTAAGCTTCGAAAATACCTATTCTAGGTTAATTAGAATAAGACTAGTAGCTACGAAGGCGTTTTGAATAATATATAGTTAAAAGGCCTCCGTATACACCCGAGGATAATTAGCGAGGAAATCAAATTTATCGATATAGTTATATAATATATAAACTAGATCGCTTACAAAGCGGCTATATATATATTTTAAGATAGCAAAATAGCTAATATTAAGTAGTTATAAGAGATATAAACTATATAGAGGTATATAAAATAGTATTATATTATTTTTAGCGTAGATCTAGTCGAATTAAGATATAAGGTAGCTACTATAGCTATAAAGAATTAATAGCTAATATTTCTTTTTTATATATATTATTATCGATAGAATAAAAAGCTTTTATAGCTAACGACGGCTAATTTTATTAGTTATCTAGCTATTTAGTAAGACCTTAATATACTAGTCTTTTAGAAGATAAAGCTATTCGTCGAACTAAGAAGCGATAAAGTTCTTAGCTTTAAATATTACGTATAGTAGTAGCGAATAGCTATTAGTACTTATTACTTCGATTATTATAACCTATTTACGATTATCTAATTCTAAAATCGATCGCTAACTATAATATTTAGCTTTTATAACTACTTTTTATATAGATACTAGACCTATAGCGAAGCTAGTCTTATTAAAATTATAGATATCCTCTAGTTAGATACTATTCTTATTAATAATATACTAGATAGTCGTAAACTAGGCTTATAGTAAGTTTAGATCTTTATTTAGGGCGTATTAATAATCGTAGTATCGTAAAAATATTAAATAAAGCTTATTATATTATTAAATAAAGTTTAATAGCTAGTTCTTACCTACTATAGCCGGAGGGGTACTACTATATATAGCTAATAGAATATTAGCTATTTCTTATATAGTAGATAGCCTAGGTACTACTCTACGTATATCTATAGAGATAATCTACTTAGTAAATAAATCCTTTTCTAATTAGGTTAGTTTATAGCTAGATAGGTATATATCGATATATAATAGTTAGCCGACGACGTAGTATTATAGTATTAAATATAGTATTTTATATAGCTTTACTACTATATAAATAGACTTAATACGGCTATTTTTAATACTATTAATAGCTAATAAGACCTTGCCCTCTTAGTTAACTAATTTTAATACGTTTTTAATGTATTATAGTAGTATAGTAGGTGGTTGAATTAGGTAGGTAGGTGAAGAAGTATGATTTTGGATAGGGTGGCTCGGTCGGCTAGGTAGCTCGGTCGGCCGGGAATTATGTTATAGGATAGACTTAGTATTAGTAATCCTTGTTTAAATAAGATTAATTTTCAGATTCCTAGCTAGATTCTCTAGAGACTAGTTATAAGGCTTATTAGAGATAAAACTATAATAATAGTAGATTAATTAGAATTACTTAGGATTTATTAGTCTTGGTTCAAAATATATTATAGGAAGATAAGATAGTAATAGTATACTACTTATATCTATATTAGCTCTGATAGTAATAGGAAAGGATAAAAATAACTTTTATTATATATTATAATAATAGAAAAGCACCAACTAGAAAATAACTAGATATATCTAATAAGAAAATAAAAATAAAGAAAGAAGAAACTATTGAGGTAGTAAATAGTAGACCTCACCAAAGACTGCCTAGGACTAGACTAGACCAGGGACTGGACTATACTATAAAGGGCTTAGTCCTTACTTTTAGGACTACACTACTACACTCCTAGTACCCTATATAGTCTTATAAATAAGATAAATATATAAAATTAGATAAGTTATATATAGTTTATATACTAGGCTAGTGCCTATATAGAACTATATAACTATAGCCTACTACCCTATTTCTGCTAAATACTTATATATCTATCTATTCTGCCCCTTCTATTTCCTCTCACTTAAGATTAATATAAGTAGTTTATAGCCTAGTTAGATTAAATTAAATTATCTATAGCCTTTTATATATAATAATCTTCTAATATCCTATTATTCAATACCCCTTAAAGCTTTTAAAAGCTTTATACTATAGTTATAAAAGCCTCTAGAAGTCCTAGAGTAATTAGAAGCCCATGGTGAATTAAATATATAGGGCCCTAGGCTATTTCTTATTAAGTATAGATAATATAAGCTATAATAGACTATCTAAATAGGTATAAGTACTTATAAAGTAGAATATAGCTCTAGTTAATTAGTTAAATTTCTTTAAATAAATATAAAAAATAAATAGATATATATTCCTAGGTAATTAAGAATCTATCTCTATAAATATCTCTATCTAAGTAGCTATCTTTATATCTAGCTAGATATTTATACTAATAGGAATAGTAGTTTAGAAAATAGTAGCTTAGATATCTTTTTCTAATTCCTTATAGTTAGAGCTAATATATTAGCTATTCTATATTTACTAGACCCCCTAATCTTTAACAGAAGTTATATAGAC